ATTTATGGATGTACTAGTAAAAAATTAGCTAATTAACTGCAATGTGCATGATAAAAAGTCATATTTATGAGCTGCATCATTAAGTGAAAAAGTGAATTAATTGTCTAACCTCTTCTTCAATGATGGCTTCTCGGGATGTCCAATTAGTCGGGCTCACACTTCCGGCCCGCTCCTTGCTAAACGGCTCATTCATGTCGATCGAGTCTTGAGAAAACTTTCTGGAATCCTTTCGATTCGGAGGGACGAGAAAGTCCCCCGGAGTTGAACCCCGTCTTTGGGCATGTTCCACATTGAGGACGTGTTGCAGATGGTGAGCATGGGCGTGGGCATGAGGGGCGGAACCCTTTCGCCACAAAATATTCCCGGTGGAACCCCTCCTCTCCTGATTGACGCCGGGAGGAACATGCAACTGACAGGAGGAAGGGGACACCCGTCCCGACACGGCCGAACCTCCCGAGTGAGCCATGATGTCACTGTGGTGGGGAGCCACGTAAAAGGCTTTGTTGACCCCAGCGTCGCTTCCCCTCCGACTCTGGGAAATGTGCACATTCTTGAACAATTTCGACAATTTTTCAGCGTCCGTGGCCATTTTTTTAGGTGAGGATTTCAGAATTTAAGAGAGGAAATGAGACAACCACTCGGCGATGGATGATGTATGCAATAAGGAAATATTTAAATTTTGGTTTATCTGCTTTAAAACCTCGAAAATACTGCGACTTGGCTGAATAAGTTTCTCTGGCTGTGAAATTATTATTAACAATGTTATTCAAAGATGTTTCACTTGGAAAAGGTGTGCGACAACTAATTAATTGGACGGAATCTCGAAGAGGTTACCACTTGGAGTTGTTCCTTGGAGTTGCTGCGGATTAGTGGAACATGTAACTCATCCTGCCTACATACGTACGTGTACTTACGCATATCTACTGCATCATACATAGATTATGACTATAGCACCTCAACAACAACAATGGAGAAGAGTTGGTCCATCAGATAGTGCATATTGTATGACAAAAGCTTCTGACCATCATCTCAGAAATCCTTATATGACTTCGACTTCAAATAAATGGCCTCATGGGCGATGTCGTAATCTTTTACACAGCCAACCTTCACAAGACTTTGTGCTGAATAACCAATTTAATGCTTTTTGTTGTAATAATAATAATAAACCTGATCTTTAGCGCATTATATTTTTTACGTCTCTGTGATTATTGGTGGTATCACTTGAAGTCCTGAATGTGTCGCACTTTTGGAGATATTAAGAAGCGTCATGCATTATGTAGGCGAGCGGGGGGCAAAATATGAGAAGAAATGTGTTCCAACTTGAGAAACGTACTAATTGTAATGTGAAGAAGATTATGCGTGAAAAGATTCAAGGGTGATGCAAACTTGAGACGTCAACCTGATGACGTCGTCGTCGTCTGCCGCCGCTTGAGATCGCCAAAAATTGGTAACATTTTAATTTATGTTGCGTTAAAACTATAATAATGTGATTAAGTCCCATTATGCTATTCCATAATTATTGGTTACTTCAAGTTTAGGATTCCTCATTTCTAAGAAATTGTTTGGCAGTACGAATTTACATATTTGATCAACTTTACAATATAATTCTGCAATATAGAACTTTGTATAAAACGAGAAATGCAAAATCGATCAAATTGAATAACGAGAAATTATTAGCACAGGCAAATTTGTATCACCACGAGACTAACAATAAATGCATATCAGTTCAATTTTCATACCTAACTTCGTCCTGATACACACATTAAAATGACTTGCCATGAAGAAATGATTGCGTCAAACGAAAAACAAAAGTCCAAAATCAACTTCATATTTTCAAGTCTTAAATTAAATGGATTAAAGAAACAAACAAGGCAATCATTATTATAATTACGAATTTATTACTTATCACAAGTACATATGTATGTATGACCGATTACGCTCGGAGGGAGATGACGCGTTAGATAATCGCATAACTTGTCACATTCTTGCATTACACATCACTCTTCAAACTAATCCACTTTCCAAATTCAGACCAACATAAACAGCATGATCGGAAAATTAAATACATTCTACGTACATATAGACTTTGGCCTTTTATAAATATGTCTACAGTACAAATTAATTTGAGAGATCTCAATTTCGCATTATTTGCTACCGTGCACATCCCACCTTATTCCCCACATAGCTTATATGCAAACGAGCCCAAATAATGACCAAGACTAATAATATCATCGTATTATTAGACCACGAACGAAGCCTAATGGGACTCATACAAATGATGTGTAGAGTAAATAGTAAATAGTTGCATCCTATTTGGTTGGACCACGTGAAATGAAGTTTTATTGCCGAGAAGATAACATCTCATCAAGGTGAATACTTATTTACATCCAAACTAGTCTGGCATTTCGCGAATGACAAATTATTGCCGATCGTGTGTGTGGCAGTGTCAGGTTGACGAGGTAGTAAAAGCCGCATTTATAAGAATCCGTGAACCGCCCTCATTTCCATTTTACTTGTTGTAATTTCGCGACCCATGAAGTCTAATTGGTTGGCTTCTTCATTTAAATCTATGCTAAATGTGTGTGTTGCTTCGTCGAGTGGGCGAAGGAACAAGGTGCCCGAGGGAATGGTAACGAGGAGGTCCGATATGTGATTTGCCATGATTAATGGAAAGGCGTTGAATTGAAGATAATTTTATTCATCGACATTTCAAGAGAACAGCACTAATTTATTGCAGTAGTTAAAATGAACTTGTATGATTATTTCAAATATCAATCTAGGTCATCAAGAAAAATTCTCCAGAAATGGTCAAGTTGGCGATGGTGAGGTGAAAATGCGTGTGTAAATCAATCTCGAAATTGTATTTATTTTAATTTGTTATAACTTAAAATAAATTTCCTTCTGATAAATATAGCGTAAACATTTTGACAACTCCATTTAAGTTTTTTTTTGCTTATTTATGTATACTCCATTCGTGTGATGTTTCATATTTAGTAAAAACGGACATGTGGTTCTTAATGGTTTGTTTTTAAATGTATTCATGCATAAAAAAGTTGTTTGTACTTTTAGGAAAACGACTTTAAATTTACGCACTATTTTCACGAGTTTAGCCTTGTTCTTAGCCTCTAGAAGATTTGGGTGGATAAGTACGTATACGGTAATTACTTATAAGTGGGGAAGTGTTACAATTTTTGTGTGGCAACATCAACACCCCAATTATGGCAAGTGGAATTGTTAAGCAGGTTTTCCTCTCCAAGAACGGATGCTAATTTGTTTATTGGTCGCCAAATACCCTACATTCGTATGTGCTTCATACCACGATACAAAATTATCACTACGTATTTATTTGTATCCTATTGAGCATATAAAGGATACGATACGCATCGAAATTCCTGCATCATTAGTAAATAGACGCAGACACCAAGAACAAGCAGTAATTAATTATCAGTCGCCACACACAGATTTAGTTATGTACATACGTAAATACTTATTAGTTCTCACAGAAAATGTCACCCGTCGTCTACTGAAATAATATATGACCAATGTCATTTAGGAGACGACACATGTCAAAGGTGAAATATATACGACTCATCCTTGATGACGAGCTTATAAATGGTGTCGTATTTCTTCCTACGTGTCCAATGTTACGTATACTTCTTCACGTCTTTTTGTCACATTTGCGTCGTCTCAATTATTTTTGCATCCCCCAACTTGCATAACATCGTCATTCGTCGGACAGAATCTGAAATCTAGGAATGTGCCAATTTATCATGGTGTGGCTGAGTAAGTTGTCTGAATAACGTAAATCTGCCGACGTACGTAGTTAATCTCTTATCAGATTTCTTTCAAATTTATGGTTGATATGCAATATACATAGGCTTACGTAATGTACTTGCTGGAATTATAATTTCATGATAGCAGCATTCAAATTGAGAAACAGGTTTCCACTCCTATGTATTAATACATAAACTACTAAATGGTCATGTTTATGTCGTAATTGATGTTATATTTCTGTCCAGAGTAAGCATTTGTGCAACACCAACATTACAATAAACTGGGGTAGATCACATCGCAGTCTGCTAAATTTATGTACTGTACTCAAGTACACTGTCACAACTACAACATAATTTGACATTGTGCGAAAAAGTGCATGTTTTTATATTTGACATTAAATTTTCATGGAGAACATCCCACCCATTTTCTCACATTTTCTTCCCCCACGCCAAACAACAGTTGACCATACAAGTCTTTCTTAGCCTGCCACATAAAATGTCAAAATTGATATAATTATGCTGACGTGAAACGCCCATTCCATCTCCCATCCATCATGATGATGATGATGACACTGTATTCTCCAACTCAGCATTTTGCATTTACAAAACAAGAATTGAAAAGAAGTACACATTTCACAGAGCATGAACCATTCCTCGTGTGGCTGGCGTGGGTGAGAAATTATTATTCAAGAGTCAAAGTCCAGGCATTATTCTCCAGAAGTACCCAGAAGAACGTTTATGATTATAAACATCATTAGAAATACATAAATACAGATAATTGTTGTACCCAAATTTGATTTTAAAGGAAATGATTTTATCGCATTTATGTACATGCATTTTACGCTATGCGAATTTGAAGTCATATGCAAACAAGAAATAATAATTATGCAATGCACCATATTTGCATTTCAATGAACTATTGTAACAATTTCACTCTGAAAATCATGGGCTCACATAAACCTTGACTATCATTATGACATTCTTGCCTTCATAATAAATTTTACATCGTAGTTGTGCAAACCATTCACCCATTTTCATCGTGGTATAACCAAATGCTCCAATTTGTTAATTGTTTTTTTCTGAATTGAAACCATGTCGCCGTGCAGGGGTCAAGTTTCAGCGTTAAAATAATAGTTGACACTCTATTTATAGCATTATATTATTTGCTTTGTTAGCAGATATAATAAAGTAATGTGTTAATGGAAATGTATATAAAGCCGTGCCCGTGATTGATTTGGCTAGACTTCATCCAGCCAGCCAGTCACACAAAAAAGACAAATATAGTCATTGTGTCATCATAAAACATGGCAAGCAACAGCATAAAACTAGCCGAAGGGGACTTGGTGAGAATTGTGGCGAGTGCAGGGAAAGGGTCTGCTGCTAACCTTCCCGTTATCAAAGCCTACGTGGAATCCTTAGGTCTCGTCGCTGATATTTCACCAGATATTTACAACCCTGACGAGCCCTTCTACTCCAACACGGACGATTTCAGAGCTGCCGATCTAATCTCTGCCTTGACAAATGACGAGTGCAAAGCGATCTGGTGCATTCGTGGCGGATCGGGATGCATCCGACTCATAAAGTATTTGGAAAGCCAACTTCCGCCGACGCCCCCTTCGCCAAAGGTTCTGATTGGATACAGTGACATCACGGTGCTTCATATGTACCTCCATTACAAGTACAACTGGCCCACGATGCATGGACCAATGTTAGAATCAATCGCGAACGGATTTTACGACCCTGCCGGCGAATCTGTCGTGGCTTTGCGATCTTTACTCTTTAATCTGACCACTCTGATTTGTGAACCAGTCATGACACGGCTAGATACAAGGGGTCCGTTGTCACCAGTCAATACTCAAGTTGTGGGAGGAAACTTGACCCTTGTCGAGACCAGCATTGGTACAAGTTGGGAGGTGAACGCGACTGGGAAATTCTTATTTCTCGAGGATACTGGAGAGGCAGCTTACAGTATTGAGAGAAGTTTGGACCATATGAAGCAAGCTGGCGTATTCGACAGTGCTGCAGCCGTCGTTTTTGGAGATTTTACAGATCCAGACAGCGAAAGTTTGATGACTTTGGTGCTTCAACGATTCGCAGGTGATGAGACGGTGACCTGTCCGGTTTTTAGATTGACGGGGATTGGTCATGGAAGGGTCAACTTTCCTCTTCCTCTCAACACGGACGCAACTATTACTCTGGTTGACCCTGACGCTCAAACTTATCGACTTTGTGTGAACAATTTGCCACAGAAATAATACTGTGTGAAATATTTACATCTTACATATTTACATATATAAATACTGAAAGCATTGAAATACAGTAATTCAAAATTCTATACCTATTAGTACAAATGCCTTTATGCATTCTTGGGGAATTTACTGACAATGGAGGTCTCCCAACGTATGCTCACAGATTTGGACCAAACTAGCATCAATCGATCAGAAATATAATTAGTATGAAATTTGCAAATGGAACTATCTGCCAATGCGCAGGTTTGGCGGAGATATTTGCATTCAAAGCGGGAAAAATGGGTAGCAAATTGGAAAATGAATAATTTGCCCGCCCTGGGGGTGCGTTTTCTCCTCTTTTTATGCAAATATCTCCGCCAAACATGCGCATTGGCAGATAGTTCCATCTGCAAATTTCATACTAATTATATTTGTGATCGATTGACGCTAGTTTGGTACAAATCTGTGAGCATACGTTGGGAGACCTCCATTGTGAGTTCACTTATTTAGTGCATAATTGTGATCACTATGCACATATTTAGTAGTAGTGCTGGCATTGATAATCTAATTCGTTCATTGCTCTCCAGCCACAAGCAACATAAACTGAATGAAAATTGTACATATTGTCACTCTCTTCGCGAGTTGACTACTACAAAGAGATTTGTAGATTTGTAGATACGTATTTGCAAAATCTCCTTTGCATTAAAATTCTAATACTCTCCAAATCTTTGTCATTATCCTTGCACGTAAATGCATTGTGAACTTCTGGGCTTTGGTCAGTTCAGTAATCGGTCGAAGTTTGGCTTGGCAGTACGATATCCACAGGATGCCAAACACAATGATTCAGTCCACTCCGGCGTTTTCGGAAGACATCAGCAAGCCAAAACCTCGACTCATTTTAGGCAGGCCAAATGTTCGCCCAAAGAGGTGCTTGACTAAGGAAGAAATCTACAAGTTGTTTGGTGCCCCTGTCATAATTAAAAAGCTGAAAAACATTCCACCAGAAGCGTATCTTCCTAGGATTGAAAATTCAAACCTTGTGGAGAAACCAAAGCCTGTGAAGAGTTCAAAGCATGTGGTGAAACCAAAGCCTGTGGAGAAACAAAAACGTGTGGAGAAAGCAGAACCTTTGCTGAAACCTGTAGTACAAGTAGGACCGAAGACACAGTTCCGATTAACACCTTGTCCCAATGCAATTCAGGAAATCAAAAGTGCCGATAAAGATCCTACAAATATAAAGAATAAATGTCCTGAATTTGTTCGAAAAAAGAAGCCTAATTCAATTTTCGACCGGTGAGTACTCCTTCAATAATTATACCGCTCCACGCCATATGAAACCCTTTCCCAATCTTATTTATGTATTATTCTTTTGCAGAGCGGAGGACAAGGACGCGGAAGCATTCATCCACTGGCTTCAGGAACAAGCAGGAAAAACAGTTGGTCAAAAGCGAAGCGATAAGTTGGTATCAGGAACAGCTTCGTCGTCATCAAGCATGAAATCCCCAGTTTTGCCCGACGACATCCTGCTCGATGGAAGTTGTTCCGTTCCAGGTGAAACTCAGCAGGTTGTTTCCACCGTTGGAGAAACCACGTCTGCAACTTCGGAAACATTGACCCCCATCACTTCGCCACCACGACATGGACTGGTTTCATCGCCTCAGACATCGCCGGATGCTGCTGCTCCCCGTAATCGCACTCCCAGGAGGAACAATCGTAGGCCAATCCGACTTACTTGGACGTACACTTTGCTAGTCCCTATATTACTGTCCGCAATTATGTTCAAACTCAAATTTCGTCAGAATTAACAATTATGACGCGAAGCGACTGATTTTTATACTAACGAGCAGTTTCCACAAATTGAGATAATATATTTATGACTCTTCCCCATATATTTTGTTAAAGTACCTTTAGTGTTTGCAGAATTTACACAGAGTTGAGTATTTTTGTTTAGTTTAGTCGATTTTTATCTTGCTGTATGACATGATTTTATTTAAATGTTTTTGGAACCTGGTATACATACCTACATATTTGAATACCGTTGTATTATTTTGACTAATTTTTTAGCAAGATGTCTTTTTACACGATTTTATAGTTTGAATAGTTTTTAGTCTTTAGTCTTTATAGAACTTTTCATTAAATAAATTCTGCTAAACACCTAAATGCTTTTCAGCCATCGGAGACGCTATTTTTTTGCATGTCCATGAACAAATGGGTTGGTTGTTATTGCTTGTTATTGCGAGTGACTATGCAATCTTCAGCTGGGTTTCATATTTTCTTTCTCTCCCATGTGCATTCTTCTCTCTCAATTCGCTCTTCTTTATTTATTTTAAATACACACAAAATTAAAATTTCTATTAAAATTTGAAATAAATTTCCCAAGATATGTAAAATAGTTGGTAGCATCACTATCAGCGGGAATATTCACTTATGGATTGATAATCATAATATTATGTACTGGTGAGTGAGTGAGTTGACAAAAGTAACGTTGAATTCGACCTTGATCAGTATTTTAGTTAGTAGACGTATTATATTTTAGGAGATAAAATTATCAGTTTTAAAACTGTGTGGTTCATTTGTACTTTAATTATTTACAGAAACGTGCATTCTTCATCGTCTTTTACTTGACCGGTCTTTGTTCCAATTTACAATAATTGATAATGATTCCTTGTCGTGAGTTGATCACGAGGTCGGACCAGATTTGCGTCAATGTTGGCATGTTGGGTCATGTCGACTGTGGGAAGACCAGTTTGTGCATGGCCTTGAGCACTACAGCCTCCACGGCGGCCTTTGACTCGAATCCGCAGTCCAAGGCCAGAGGGATTACTCTTGACCTCGGTTTTTCCGCATTCCCCTTGGACAACAAGTACAACGTGACTTTGGTGGATTGTCCAGGTCACGCCTCCCTCATCAGAACCGTGCTGGGTGGAGTTCGAATCATGGACTTGATGGTGCTCGTGGTCGACGTAACGAAAGGGATGCAGCCCCAGACTTGGGAATGCTTGATTTTGGCGAATATTACGACATGTAATCTTATCATTGCCTTGAATAAGGTGGACCTTATTCCGCCACCGATTCGTCCGGAAAAGGTGAGAGTTTTTTTACTGATTGTATTATCTCGTTAGTTAGAGCGCCACAGAACGGACGGTCAACCAAAGCAGATGCATAAGGGGATTTCGTACCTTAATAATTAGATAATAATAAGTAAATATGTCATTTTAATATTTTATCAGATGGAGAAATTCTGCAGCTTGCTGAGAAGGTCGTTGAAAAAGACAAGATTTGGTTCCGCACCGATGGTCTTGACCTCAACAACAGATGCTGAAATTGGAACAGACAAGCTCAAGGATGAAATTCTTCAGCATCTCAACAAAATGACACTTGTGCGGGATACTGCAAGTTCATTTGTCATGGCGATTGACCACTGTTTCAGTATGCGAGGATCAGGAGCTATATGTACTGGAACAATCATCACAGGCCAAGTTAAGTTGAATGATGTAAGTTGTTTATCTTGGTTGTGTTTTATTTATAAAAAAAACTTTGATTTGCTGCATATAATAAAATTATTGTATCTTCCTTTGTCCAATTAATAGACTGTTGAATTCCCGAAACTTCAAACTACAAAGAAAGTAAAGACCATGCAAGTTTTCCGACAACCTGTCGACTATGCAAAAGCCGGTGATCGAGTTGCCTTAGGAATTCCAGGCCTTGACGCAAAAAGTATGGAACGGGGACTTATTACAGCCCCTGGACTCCTCCCTTCCGCGAGCAGAGCAGCAATTGTGAAAGTTAACAAAATCCCGTTCTTCAAAGAACAAGTCCCCTCCGGAAAACGATTTCATGTCTCTATCGGATATTCCACAGTCACCGCCCAAGTTCAATTTTTCAGCCCTGATCCGACAGCAAAACTTCGCAATGATGATGCAATATTTAGTCGATCTAAGGAGTATTTAGTTGAAAACGTGTTAGAGTACGTTGACGAAGATGATGCATCCCGAATTTATTTCGCCCTACTTGTCTTTGACAAACCAGTTTTCATTCTCCCAAACACTTTGATCATTGCGTCAAATTTGCAACAGCCAGATGAAACCGTAGCGTGCAGACTAGCCTTCCAAGGACAAGTCATTGAAACCAGTCAAGACAAAGACGTCAAGAAGACGTACTTGCCCACTTTGAAAATATTCTACTACAAGAAAAAATCTGGTATTGTGGACCGTGTTTCTTCCGAGGATTCCATCATTGTTCGTGGATTTTGTCAAAAGAATTCCAACGTTGATCATCTCATCGGTATGAAAGTGTTTGTTCACGGAGAAAAGTCTGAGGAAATTGAGGATAGTCTCGTGAGTGGCAGGATTCAAGGTAGATTTGGCCAGACGAATAAGGTGCGAATCGGGGTTGACCGCCCCCTCACTGAAGAACAGATCCATTACCTGAAAAACCATGTGTGCATTGTCGATATCACTTTCAAAGAGTACAAGTTCAAAATTCGGACCGAATCAGGTCAAAAGCTCTGTCAATAATTAATTAATCAATACCCGGTACGCTCAATACAAATATAATAATAACAAATCAAAATTTCTGTGTTATTAAAAATAGCTTTTTATTAGACAAAAAAGAATTTCTATTTGAAGAAACAATAAGTACAAATATAAATTTATGGTAACCATAACCTGGCGCTAGTAGTAGAGTAGGTGAAAACCTGTTATATAAAAGGATAGACTTGGGGGTGAAAGTCATCAGCATCATCGTCAACATGGGTGACATCCATATGTGGCAAGTATCACGATGAGAGGAACGGCCAGGTCAAAGTTAACTTATAGATAGTAGCTGGATTTGATTAATTCTCCTCTTGGCTTAAAATTAGTATCAGCAGAATTTGCTTGGCGTGTTGGTTGGTAAGCTGAATCCTTCCTTCTAAATTATACTCGCCAATATATCTCTTATCCTGGACTTGTATATCATAGACCATATAATTCGCATATACATACATAGTTGCATTTTAATTTGTATTCTCATTTTACTTGTTCGCCTTTGCTTGCATATCTTTCTCTCTATATTAATGCTCCTTTCTCAGGTTAATAACGTGGCCTTCATTCTGCTGACAATCCCTGGTTTTCCCCTTTTCCTTGATTTTGCATATCATTATCATGTGTGTAGCTTACAATGAGCCTGACACCTCTTTTCCTCATGGCAGCAGAAGAAGACAGAGTACATAATCTATCAAGAAGCTACATAGCTATTTATTTTCCCTCATCACTTCTGCATACAATATATATAGCACACTCTTCTCTGTCCACTAAATCAATATCAAACTGTATCCTCCTCCCTTTGCTTTCCCACACATGCTAGATGATAGTCCCCTGAATGAAACGGATCGTAATTGATTAAGAAAGCCGACCAACGCACTGCAGGTACTTCTTCTTCTTCTTTTCCTTCTTCTCCCCATAAACCTTCACTTTTGACAGTTACCTTTCCTTCAACCTCGATTATTTTACTCTCTCTACACAAAATTAATTGACAACACTCTCGACTAAATTTGTTCATCAAAGACGGATACAATTTTCACTTGGAACGGGTACATATTGAAATTCGAAATTTTTTTCCTCTTAATTTAATCTACTAGAATTTTGTGTTGGGGGGAAGTCAACCTCGCCAGGGTCTGGGTTATACATACATAAGTATTTACTTAATACGCATTTTATGGTTAATTAAAGCAGATTATTTATATACGTAGTTAAGTTATCAATTGTTTTGGGATTATCATGGATGGTACGTATTTATCTGATGATGATGAGAACGTCGAAATTGTTGTATGCATACATATATATACTGGTCAACAAGGCTGGATAACACTGACTATGACAAGAAGTAAGCATCTTAAAAAATATGATGGTTTCCTCCTCCACTTTTATAATTTTCCTTTCGTTTCGTTTTTTTTCACTAACCCATTCAATCATTTTTCCCATCTTATTTTTTTCCAGCCACCAAAATTAGCCTACTTTTTTTCTCCTCTGCAATGATTTTTTTTGTTTTACTTGATTTGGGATGAGATATAATTTCCTCTCTGCGAATAGATTTGTTGATTGCGTCGTTGGCTTAATAATAATAATATTGCGTTGCATGCATGCGTCGTTCCAATTCCATTTGTATATAGGCTTCTGCTGCTGAATGCTTTCTCCTTTCTCTTCATCGCCTGTTGTACACAAACACGACCACGAGACTTGTAAAAGAGCAGATGAAGGCGAGTACCAGCACGGCAAGGATTATCCAAGTTTTCCTCCCTGGAGCACAAAAATATAAGAGTTTTTTTTCATTTGTTGGCAGGTCGTTGGGTGAGTGGGTGGGTCAGTGTAAGCATCTTTCTTTCCCTGAACGGTGAAAGGGCGGAGGCAAAGGGATAAATTACATAATTGCCTAGTTTTTTTATCTCCGTTTCTCATGGTTGGCATGCCCTTTTCGCTGTGTTGGCCAAAATCTGCATTCATCTGTACACCACACGTATGTTTTTTTGTGGACTTACCAATAGGTACGTATTTTAGTCTAGTCCAGAGAAAGGAACGATTACTTCCATCTTCTGTCCCGATTAGATCAACCTCTTGCCCAAAGTCTTCCAACATTCTAGCGGAACAAGACCAAGAGAGAGAAATGAGTAAGTGAGAAAACACACATGGCATTCCAGTTTGCATTTGCACATTATGTTTAAAAAAAGCAGATGAATTCCACGACTCACAAAGCATTTTCATCACACTCGACGCAGAGAGTATTAGAAGATGAGACGACGACGACTTTCTCCGGACTTTCATTCTCCAGTTTGGTGTACTTGGCCTTCTTGTTCCCACACCTCGGGCTCTCCGGCTGGATCAATTGAAATTGAAAAGCCACCATTTTAGCACCAATTACTTCACTCCCCAGCCACCCTCTCAAACATGTATTATTCAGCACGCTCTTATCCTACCGCACGAGGTCTTAAGCACTACAGAGGCCAAACCCTCTTCAATTATTTTCCAAGTGGTGGTGTAAGAGCTTCAGGAGTGCTAAAGATAAACTGCTCCACATTGTGTATGTACATGTACGTTCAGTTCAGTCTTGGACCCTAGATTCCCGTGCGAATCGTAGTGCAGTTTGACAAACTATAATTGTAACACCAAAACCAACCGCATACGAGTCCTCAGAGAAGAACTTGGCAACTATTAAACCTGTTACGACATTAAGCTGGGTTTGTTGGTTGTTGAGCTTTATGTTTGTCTGGTGCCTGGCTAAACATCACCACAATGTTCTTCTTGCGTTATCATAATAATCTAAATTAATTGCATTTGCTGGTTGACTTGAGGTTCAACTTGAATGTCAGAAACCACACAATAACAAAGGATGAGAAAGAGAGGTATATAATTAGTTCAAACCAATGTGCTAATGGCAAATTCAATCGAGCTGAGTACATAACCTTCTCATTCACTTAATTGTGATGACTTCTTCCTTGGCCGATTATCTATCTATCGTCCTTCAACTTACTGCTTTCTCCTCCAAATCAATGAACTCGGGACTGACATGCGTCCACACAAATATATATCCCACACAGTACTGAATGCCCAATTTTTTGTATTGGTTTGTCAATCACTATTACCACAAACGTTTATTTGACAACCGACTCGTGCTTAATCGAGCGGAATAATAAATCCAAAGTTGGGAAAAAGAGTGGGAGGATCTTATCGTAATCGTGTAAGATCTGTTGCTCCTGGATAAACTTGGAACATTTGGTACCTCACTTACTTACTACGCATTAAAGGAATCAATTAGTTGTCGGCTTATGTATTATGCATTGCACATGCCGCATATGAGGTCCCTGCTACCAATCATGAATTTATCCACTCCAGACTGTTATTGTGGTTCCCATTCAAATATATACTTAGCCCTCGTCACATGTAGGATTGCAGATGTTAAATAGACTTTTATTAATCCACTTTGTGCGCATATTGCCGGAATAAAATAAAGTCTGTCTATGTGTGACTCACAGCAATAAGATATTGAACCCGCATGTGTGTGTTTCTAAAGAGAAAAGTTTTACGAATCCCCCAACCAACTGTTCATATTCCTTTTATTTCGTTTCGAATAAAACTCTCTGACATTACTTACTCCTATTCCGACGATCGTATAATACGTAATGAACTCACCTGCCGAGCTGAGGTGTCCCAGTCTTCCCTCTTTAAATTGAGCTCGTCCTTAATATTCTGTAATCAAAAAGGGAGCATTTAAATGCTATTTGCATAATTAAAATCATCTCCTCATCTCTGTAGGTATATGTATGTGCCCGTAAAAAGGGGAAAAAGTTGTCCAATTCAAGAGAGAATTGCCACCATTACGGACGACATTTCGAGAAATATATAACCAAATACCAAACATAAACTCGTGCAATATTCATGAAAAGAAAGCTTTCTCTGAGAGTATGCAGAAAAAGCACAATAAAACAACATAAAAATGATATCACGTAGGAAAGCAAGAGCCAAACGAGGGAGAAAAAAGACGCTACCTAATTCTCGGGATGAGCATCAAAGGTGCTGTTAATCTTAATTTGAATCCTTTCAGAGAAAGACAAGCTCATTCCGGCAGCATCAATGGGATGGAATATGGTCCTGATGAGGACAATGAGTGAGTGAGTGTAATGCGAACCACGGACTTGTTCTTGTTCACCATAGATCATGAATATTACTGGAAATGAGATGATTCACGAGACGACGCTGCCTTTCTGCTTTCTCCTCCGTCGTTTCGTTATTAATCTAAATACTTTCTCCGAGATATGAATAATGGTATGATGATGATCAAAGCCAATAGTAATCAGTGCTGTAGGACCCGCCTTTATTTTCTGGATGACTGCCTTTCTCTTCATGTCTCTGTGTCTATAATCATGATTAACAAGGACACATGTATTGTATCTGATGACCAACAAACATAGAAAAAGACCACGACACGCGAATAACATATTTACCCCATTTGCAATACCAGTAATGCTGTTTCATTGACGGTTGCGCTGATACATGTGAATGTACAACAATATCGTTAATATATATGTGCTCTTTGCTCTTTCTCTGGTGGAACTGGGCTAAAGGGTGGAGAAAGCTTAGGCCTTGAGCGATGCTCACTAAAAGTTCATGTTCGAAGGGAGGCGTATCATATTTTTTAGAAAATTGGCAAAACTAATGATACCACGTTAGAATCGCGTAGCGAAATTCACTTTTTGATATGCGCACGTTCCCCTACACGAGGAGAGGTTTAGTTGAAATTCGCTTTTCTTGAAATCTAATGGCACAAAAAGCTAAAATAGGCTACGGAAATATCACGGCATCACCCAACATTAAAAAGATGACGCTAATAAATAGATTGAATGTGAGCAAAACATTACATCAGATTGTGTACGTCGTCAGAGATTTATCTTGACGCCATAGGTTTTTCTTTGCTATATATAAAATTATTATATAAAGTTTTTCTCCTTGTTGGCACAAGAGAAAGCTGCTGCCACCGGTAATATTAGTTACACTTTATACCACTCTGTCATCCCTCATGACACGACAGAGTTTTGCAACAAACTTTTGTTCGTGTGTGTACATACACCAGCAGTTTTGGAACACTTTCTAATGGTTCAACCAAGCATTTTTATGGAGTATTTTTTCTTAAATAAATATTAGCTCTTCCCGGAAGTCCATTGATTACGAGGTGCTCTCTCTCTCTCTCTGGCTCGTATCATCACTTACAAGGAACATAATGTTGTGCAGTACTTACAACGTGCTTGAGTTTATGTGGATGGAGTGAGAAGCGTCTACTGTAAGAGTTGTTGGGAATTGTTTTCACTTTATTTTATCGTGTCATTGAACACCTATGTTCACCTTTCTGCAGAGTTATATATTTCCTGTGGGAAATTATTTGCCCAGTTAATGCTTCGAGCACCGACAGAGAACAACGGTCGACATTTGACAGTATTTCAATCTCTGTAGGATACAAGATACATGGCGCAGTAATGTAATAAAAGACCGGCCGCTCACAAATCTTACTTGAGGCGGTGGATAGAAATATATATGTAGCTCTGATTTCGGGTGGTATATACATATTGAATGCGGAGAAGTAAATATGTGCGAGTGGAGGGGATTACATACATATTATGTAACTCTCAATTTGAGTAGAAAGCAAAAATAATGGGAAAAGTTTACTTAAAACGAACGTAGACAAATTTGGCACAACTTGCCAAATTGAAATAAAGCAGAAAGGAAATTGAAACGTATAGATGTCCACGTTATTAGACAAGCTGTTACACATGCAACTTTGCATGCATTCGGGTCTTATGAAGAAGGAAAGTGTATGAAATTGATCGCTTTGTCAAACGTGAGACTACTCTCTCAGTAAAGTGTCTCTCTCACTAATTGCTTGCGTCTGGTTGGGGCAACGTGCATGTGACAAGAGCTTAGCAGCATCACAAACCTGAATCTCTTGACGAGTTTTAATGATGAAATTGAGTCTCGATGAGATTTCCTTGTTGTCTCGAAGTCCTTGTCTTTTGGCGATGGCGAGTGTGGCCTCGAGGTCGTCGAGGTCCCACTCCAAACTTCGGAGACCGTTCCGCAGCTGCGAAGCGACCCATTCCGACACCTCGTTCGACCCTTGACAGTTTTCACTCCAGTGTTGAAACAGCTCCCGTGTGCGACCCAGCGCTTTGCAAACTTCACTGCAAGTAATTAGAGACGTCAGTCAGTTAAAACGATGGCATATGCCTCAGTCAAATTGAATGCATGCACGTCGTCGTCGACATAATAGTAATAATGGACGTATTGTGGTGCTGAGTTTCGTGAGTGAAATTCAAGCTCGCATGTACGTCACTCGACGAAAGACTATAAAGCCATTCTCCATTTTATGCTTAACGTATATATGTACGAGAATCCCCATTTGCGCGTCAGATTCAGAGATGCCTGCATATATTTGGAGCTTTATAAGTAATACAATTTGGACCAAAACGATTTTCCTGTCAGAATCTTAAAACGTCTCTCTGCTCAGAACAGACCTGCAGCTTTCGTGGAACTGGAGAAATATGCAGAGCTACAAGACAACGGAACCTCTCGGTTATACATACATAAATACTTAAGTACGTATCACAAATACAGATATGCCTAGCTGTTAAAGACAACATTAATTGGATACATGTCAGTCATCCTGCAGGAACTATCGTATTAGTAACCAATTGGGAATGTCAGAAACATAAATTCTAATCAAATATGTTTTTTCCCTCTTGACATCTTTATGCCATTTTACTTTCGATTAAACAGGATACGACGACTGGTGGGAGGCATGTATTAAACTCAACACAGTAGTAATAGTAATACACATATCGGTAGTTTGATGCGTCGGTCTCATGTATTTCTTACAAAATGATTAAATTCGGTATTAAAAGCAATCTCGTGTTTATGAAAAAATACACGATGGCCGTAACCTTTGATTGGTTGTAGTGAAATGCTTGAAAATAGAACATATATGTTTTCTCTGTATGCAAGCAAAATCATACTTAAATATCATAAATTGCATTTGAATTTTGAGAAAAATTACATAATTATAGAGTTGTTATGAACTACATGCACTATACAATTATCCACATACTTTCTTCACAACCTGACCAATTAAGTTATTAAATAGTGAATAAATACAGTAATAAAAAGTCAAATTTACTCTTTGACAACGATGAAAGGATCATCCAACGACATTCTTGAAGCACTCGATGACGGTCTTGTTGAAGGAAGTGTGAAAAAATTCGAGAGGAATGTGCCTCGTGATTAATTATCCAGTTGCATCAATCCATTATTGCTTTCAAATTGATTTCTACCTTACAGTCGTGAACTTGACGAAATAAATTGATGACAAATTCAACACGAAGCCTATGACAGGAAGCCTCACATAATAAAATTCACCTATTGTCGATATCTACATTAAAATCGACCCAAAGGTGAGCCACCAATTTAACTAGGAAGTGACAATAACACGGGTTGAAGTCATTACAAAAAGTCAACACATACAAACGTGCCAGACGAATTTTAATCAATTTTCCAATTTTTCAGCCACTATGTATCCCCAGGTCTGGATGTATAATCGATGAGTATTTTCTGCAGAGACTACCACGAACCGTACACGTATAAAATAAAATGGTGAAAGTAACTGATTTTTTTTTCTTTTGACGAAGACTGATCCAATCCGGTGGTCGAAGGGCAGTCAGTGAGTAGTGGATTGGAATTTTCGGACTGGTTGGGTTGGTTATGCACTTGGAGGAATCTAATTGAGAACTGAGACTTGGAAACACGATTTCACCAGACGAAGGAAGGAAAGGACGAAGAAGAATTTCACTTTCTCTCCCCAAACCCAACCATACATAGCTCGTAGCCCTCCTGGTAGTACAAAGTAGGTGCATACATTCGTAGGGAAGGAAGTGGTGCAGAGGATCCCACACCTATTCCGACAATCCAATCCACCTTCTCCACCAAGGAAAGTTGGGAGTGGAAGGAACGGGAGGGAAAGTGGTCACATCGTCAATGGCGCAATGGACTACTCGCTTGGCTAAAAGGGTGATGCATCAAACAACACCGAGCAGCAGCCAAGTAAAAGCAGTTTCTGGGAATATCCTGCTTCTTTCTCCGTAAACCCACCAGCAAGCAGCTACTTCATAAGTAGTTACTACCAACCAACCAACCACCACGGCTACTACAAACACACACATACAAAGGCTACTACTACGACCTCAGACTCTGGAGAGTTTGTGTGCCGAGAGATTATAATGCTACAAATCTATTTTATTATTCTCCAACTTTCTCCACTTTCATTAATGTAGCTCAAATGCAAGTAATTTAGCTATTTGGCAACTCCTTAAATTGCACAGTAACGTTTGATTATATTGCATGAATTTTGCATCCTCTATGTGTACACGTCCTCTCCCATGGTCAAACGTACTTGGGAGGGCTGGTTGGAACCACTGTGCGAGACGACGAATAATGGTGCGAGAGCAGGAACATACATTTCGTGGACGTTGCGAAAGAACAAGAGGAATCAACCAATGTCTGGGAGCATGTTGGGCATGGAAAACTTGCTGTGTTACAGATGGCTTCATGCATCAGTTGGAGAAAGCTGAGGGGGGATTTTGTGAGCTATTTCCTATTTCCATCTCTTGCCCTCCTGCACAATAAAAGGCAACACGGGCAGCATCGAACAGTTTAGCGTGGTATAATTCGATATAGAAATGGATGGAATAATAACGGATAGGAAAAGTGGAGAGGGAGAGAGTAAGAAAGTTTCTCTTATGGAAGAATTTTAGACCACTTTCTTCACATTCTAGCTGCGTTCGGTCGGATCCCATTTATTTCAAGATTCAGAGGGGTGCATGATGCAAAGATGAATGTATTTGTTTGAGACATGATTTGTGTATATTCAATAAATGAGAAAGTTGTTTCGTTGTACGAGTCAAGTTTTGCCAGAAATTATTCCTCCATCACGCTTGCTTGCTTTGAACTACTCGGAATAAGTAGGTACACATTATACTCTCAAAAAGTCAAGAGATTTCTGCTGCTTGTATATTTTATCTGTTGTTCATGTGGAAGTAAATCTTGTCTGCGTCCTACACTCATCTTCATCCCTTCTTTAGCCGTCATCCATATTCTTGGCATGTGCATATATTGTTATCTTCCCTCCATTTACATACAAGTACAGCAGAATTACAACTTATGGCCCCAGTTAAAACATTATTATTGTCCATTATTCCGTCTAGCATCTTCACATTTCCATGAAATAAGTACTTCTCGTCACACGACGAGTATGTTTTTTTAAGGCAGAAGAGTTTTTTTGTTTGTCCCAGGCGTTATTTGTTCCTCTTTCTGAGTACAGCATCAGCTTTTCTTTACTACATCCGCGTTGACACAATTCGAAAAGTTTACTTCTTCTCAGCGTGTTCAATTCAATTTACCCGTTTAAACATTTCATTAACTTTGCTTTGTTGTCTTTGCCATCCACGAAAGTTGTGTGTGTGAGAAAAGTCTGTTTGCTTTCTCCTCTCTCGCAAGTAATTTATAATTCACGTCCTTCAAAATTAGTTTTGGCATAATCCGCATTTGTACAAATGAGGAGCAAGTAGAGAATAAATAATCACAAATTCTGCATGGGTGACAACATGTTTGGACACGCCAAAAGGCGAGGAGATTGAAATAAGCCGAAAAGTTAGAAGGAGACCAAGGAGCAGAATTGGGGAGGAAAGAAGACGCTGCTGCTTGTTGGAAAGCGAAACCTTTCTCCGTTGAGCTGCGTATGTATGTACCACAGCAGCCCCGAATAAATGCAATTACACCACTCAAACTCCTAAAGCTTCCACAAAACCATCCACTGGAGAGAGAACCGAGGATTGAGAGGGAACCGTCCGACACATCATCGTCCTTTCACATATGCATGGAGAAAGAAAGTCCCAAAATCTGGAACAGTCGTCCCCTCCGTTTTCTTAAATTCATGACTTTACCTCCGTCAGAGACTGTGAGTCAGTCAGTAATCTTCTGTAGATGCACGACGGGAGTTAATCTGCTTATTGCTTCCTTTAAAATATATGTACAATAAAGGTTCGAGCTGGGCTTCTTTTTTTTGAGCCTGGAGAGTGCTGAAGGATGATGGAGAGGAACAGTATTTCAAGATTTTTTTAACAGACATGGTATAAAAAACCATGTGGTAGTAAATACAGAAGAAAACTACGCTACATACACGGTGATTTCGATAAGGGATAAAAAAAAAGCTCTATATTTTATTTTATGATGCCTACCTAACCTACATTTTGACTCACTCGTGAAAGATTATCTACCGCAATTGGTAGATTATGTAGACTTTTAGTCGGTTGAAACTGGGTTGGTCTTGTACCGGAGGCGTATGTATGTGTGCATAAATAACTTTCACAATCTGGGTACGAGAGAATGCTGTGCTTAGAACATGCTTGATCTTTCACCTATTTTTTCTATTTTTTCCATTTAGCCCAAATGTCGAGGCAACATGAGACATTTAGCGCTATATGAGAAATATATAGTATGCGTTCACGAAACTTCAATGTTAATGGTTTTTGACCGTGTGGTTCGACCTTATGAGCTAGGGGGATGCGGTAAAAAGCATTCGAACCAGCTTACAAATATAGATATAGGGCACGCGTACCGTTTTCAAAAATTTCCAATAGTTTTTGGCATATCCACTAAAACGTATTTTTGACTAAAAAATCACAAAATGCTATCCTGAATGAATTGGGTGCATGATGGAGACTTGAAGTAAATTACAATCACATCCGGCAGTAATTTGTCTACAACATTTACATTTAGACCCTTTCGAATTAAGGCCTCCTGGAGGCCACAAAATTGAAAATTCACAATTTTTAATTCCTCAATCTATCGCCGATCACCACGGATTTCTATTCCTTAGATGTATGAGGAGTGCAACGTGGCCATCAACTTATAAATATGACCGTGGCGGAATTGTAATAGTAATTTTTTGAAATTTTCACTGAATAATTTTTGACGGGTATACCAGTCCCTAAATGCCCCAGATGAGTGGGAGTCAAACCAAAATATCCAAGTTTTATGTTTTAGAAGTAACTTCAGCAAATTAATGCGAAGAATTTGTCCGCCCACGCCCCTTGACCTCAGGGGGAGTGGTTATACCCAACACAGTAAAATCAAAATAATTTAAGAAGCAGTGAAAATTTTTCTATTCTGCTTTCAGCATGTGGTATTATAAATTAATAATGAGTCACGACCACACCCCCTATGACAATTATGGGGTGTGGTTTGGGGTAAATTGAGATTATTGTTGAAATTGATGAATAATAGCAAGATTAATGTTTTTGCCTAGTCGGGAGTGGTTTGGGGACAAATTAAGACATGAATACATTGATTATAATGATGAAAAATAGTACAATTAAATTGTTTTCCTAGAACTTGGGAGGTTGGGGCAAGTGCTTTATGGAGGTTGTAACATTAGGGAGGTGTAACCAAAATATGTGTATGTTAATGTTAAGGTGAAAAGCATCAAATAAGTTGGGTGGTAAAACCACAGAAAAATCTATTTTTTCAGTAGTACAGCCTTCAATTTTTGTAGAAAGCAGAGTATTAAGGAGAGAAAAAGAATTAAACAAGATGTAATACCCTTTGCTTAAATTAAATATTTTTACTGAAAAAATAGGGGCAACAATTAGGTTGTGCAAGTTCCATAACTTCCATATAAATTTGCAGATCATAGCTTGCTATTTAAACTCAGAATGTTTAGTTTGTCACGTTTCCTTTGCCTAAGAATTACAGTCCATTTATTTACCATACGACCCTCGACGTCACCACTGCAATGCTATTAGTAATGAGAGTGATGACGTCGAGGATCGTATGGTAAATAAAACAAGAGTATGTACATATTTGTATTAATTAACTTGCTCTGTACATGTCCACTTCTTGAAAATAATGGGCAATATTGAATACCACTGTGAAACAAATGAGCAACGGTTGCCCCTATTTTTTCAGTAAAAATATTTAATCTAAGCAAAGGGTATTACATCTTGTTTAATTCTTTTTCTCTCCTTAATACTCTGCTTTCTACAAAAATTGAAGGCTGTACTACTGAAAAAATAGATTTTTCTGTGGTTTTACCACCCAACTTATATTGTATTGCATTTCATTGTGTAAGTGTGTGTGAGTTGCTGGCTGGTCATGTAATACATTAACAACCTCCTTCATGAGGTAAATGTAAGACGGGAGAAAAGAATGTCGGCAATGAAGCCTTATTCAGTCAGTAATTCCATTCGTTTTTACTTACGACTTTCTCGACCGTATGAAAAAGCGGTAGTTTGTGCAGAAGGAAGGGCATGAATAAGTAAAATAAATGCTGGAATCATGGCGATGCGATGAAATGCCTCTTATTTAATGTCGAAGACTTGGTGCTTTTGCGGCCCATTGGTTAGATTCTTATTTATTTCACGGAGAGGAATTCCCACCCCAGGCATTCATTTTATATCTACACGTCTCTGATTTTTACCTCAAGAAGTCCGAAGAAAAGAAGTATTAAAGTGGATTACTTCAAAACCAATTCATGTCAAACTTTCGATGAACAATTTTCATTATCGGAAAATTTAAATACAATTGTAAAAATTCTACAAATGCTATAAACGATTCCTTTAGGAGTAAGTTGTTATAGTTTAGCAAATGTGAAAAAATGCGACAAATTTATCTTGATTGAAACTACGATTTGATATTGGCAACTCTAATTTAGCATGTTGACTTACTGCAATATAAATTCTATCAAAAATAGATTTAGTACGGTATGGTCAACTTTATTGATTTTACCCAATGTCGGAAACAATTACGAGCAGTCAGCTCAGAATTATGACGAAACGTTGATTACAACCTCTTTTGACTTCTGAATCAACAGGGTGCAACGGTTGGGTACATATTGTGCTGTTAAAATCTTAAAAATTAGGTCATACAACGGTTATCCAGCACCCTAATTATTATATTATCAAAGAAACCAACTTGGAATACTGTGTATTACAAGTACATATGCATATGCAATATATATTGACGTATAATATTGTCCATACACATGCAGCAATCTAATCAACTTAATGAATACACATATCATTACAGCATGCACCAACAGAACCAACAAAAGCAGTAAATATTTAAGTAAGTAAATATTTCTCTTCTATCCGATACATTTTTCACTTATCACTGATGATTCATCGTCTCGCCAGTGTAATTTGATCCTGACGGATAGTGAAGTGCATTAACTGAGCGTGACTCACGTACCTATTTATATTTATATTTTATGATTTTGAATTCCAAAGTTTATAGTTATTGGTTAGAACATTGCTTTGTTCCATGTGTCATTATTCTATGTCCAAAACAAATAACAAAGAACTATAATACTTGAAAACACAATAAGTTAAGTACATACCAAAGAAATTAATGTGCATACACATCCACCTCCAACTTTTGTGAATGCCTACCCTTTCTTCATTTCCAACCTGATTTTTCCAAGCATACCAACTAACTACATTCCTTCTCAACTACAATATTTAATACAGTGCCTGTGATTTCAAAGTGAAACCAGAGTTTTGAAATTGATTGAAATTTTCAATCAATTTCAAAACTGTTTCAATTCATGTTTTAAAGAAGCTTCACAAACCATCATCATTCATTCATTCATTCATATCACATAAAGTGCGACTTGCATATTATTATCACAAATTAAATTGGGCAAATAAGCCACTTATCTTTAACCTTGATTTTGAAGAATATTTTTGCATGAACAAGCAAAAAACAAGCAGGATAAAATTGTATACATCTCTTTCAGCCTCTATCTATGCAGCAAAATTGCTCCAGATTAAATTTAACTCTAGATTTGCAAGTAAAGATTAAAGATTTCGAACTTTGAATAAGATAGGATTATTTTGAGATTATTTTGAGAAATACATTTTCAAGAGAGAAAGCGAGAAAGTCATAAAGTTGACTTTTTTGATTTTCTTGGGCGGCCTCGGTTCGATTTCTTCTTGCCCACGAGACAAAAAAGTTGCAGGTTGGCATCACACCAGTCGCCTCTCTCTCACTCTACGCTCCACTCTGCTCGTGCTCGCAACGAGTTCGTTCACTCTGCTGGAAATCAAATTTTGGAAAAGATCTCTTATCAAATATCAGCCCACTCGAGAAATAAGAACTCATCGCTCACATTATTTGGGTAAGTTAAAAAAATAAGTCCTGTCGTCGATATTTTGAAAATTACACTTACTAATTTTAAAAAAGTAAGTGAAGTTTGACACCTAGAAGAAGAGAGAAAATGGGAAAGGAGTAGAGAGGTAGAGGTAGAGGTAGAGGTAGAGAGCGAGAGAGAGAGAGAGAGAGAGCCGAGAGAGGAGAGCTGCTGAGTTCATTGGAATTGTTCATTACTGCACATTATTTTACGGTTATTATTTTTTGTTTTTAGTTAACTCGAATGGGAGGTGGTCCAGTTTGGTCAAAGGTTACATTGGGGGACTAAGATACTGAACTGTGCCATTGAGAATATCCTCAGGATACAAAAAAACTCAGGATGAACCTTCCGGACGTGGAAAAGGGGATTCTCCTCGGTCCAAAACGTCTTCAAGCTATTTTAAATAAGTCGAAACCTGAAATTGATGCGGCCTTGAGGGGATTTGTGCATCCAATTTTGAGAAGTATTTCATTTTTTAAATAAAATAATTGTATATTTTGATTTACAAGCATTTTGAATTAATATTAATGAATTTTTTGTGTTTTAAAGACCTTCCTAATCCCGAGAAGAAGAAGATGTGTCAGATAAAGGGAAAGTACGATGCGCGGGACTACATATTCAAGAACCAGAAGGCTAGAGCAAAGAATGCAGAATGCGATATGTTCATACTCTGCGACGAGGGTTCGATCCCCTGCCATCGGGTATTTGTTTCGCTCATGTCCCCACTCTTGAGAAGCCTAATCGACGAGAATATTGAGGCTGTAAGTATTTTAGAATGACTTTAAATAAGAAGTTCTACTTTTGAGTGCTCAATCATGACCTTAATGCAATATACACATAGTAACCACTCGGGGGCAAAACTTTTAGTAAACGATATCAAATCCATGTTTTATTTACAATTTATTAATAATTACAAAAATTAAAACGCACTTGGTGTAGTTTACTGTATATTTGCATATAGGTATTAATTAGAACTGTATTTATATTTAGATTGGCGTTCCCGGTTGCAAAAACCCCATATCAATATACTTAAGTGACTGCAGCATTGAGGACCTTAGAGTGGCAATGAGTTTCTTTTATACAGGATTTGTTTCTTTTTCATCTTCACGTCGTAAAGCTGTGCTTGACATACTAGAATTTTTCCAAGTGGACAAGTCGGCTACATCAAATGTGGAGCCGTACTCTCCCACACTTTTACAGGAAAAAAAATGCAAACTGCTTCAAGTAACTATAGACGGAGGATCCAGTAGCGATTCTTCTGAATCGGAAGAGTCTGGTGCTAATGAAGATGATACACCGTCAAGGTCAGGGGAACGTAAGAAACGAACGGGAAAATGGGTAAAAGAAACAACATCCAAGACCAGCTCGAGCGTAACCAGTCGCGAAAGTAAAGCTCCGCCCAAATCTAATAGTTCATCATCTATAAGCCTTTCTAAGTCACCCAGTGTGGGAAGGAAGACCAGAAATAAATCTAACTACTCGGTCACTCCATCCCCAGCAACTACGCCTAACAAGCCAATAAGTAGGCAGTCCAATTCTATTGAAAATACTCCAAGATCAACTCGTTCTACTTCTGCTGGTGTTGTTGCTGGCACTTCTGTTACGCAAGGGTCATCCAAAAATGTTCCGGGGTCCTTAACTACTCGACAACCGGAACCTCGAGTTAAGAAGGTCCTTGGGCCACCCCGTACGACGTTGAATGCAACAATTCGAAGGACTCGATCTTCAAAGAAGGCACCACCAAAGATAACTGCAGGATCAGATAAGCCAACTGCATCCACATCTGCTGGTACGTAATTTAAGGATAATTTGTAATTTTTTTCTTCAGTTTAGGACTAAAGGGGACTAGATCAAGGTGAAGCCTAGTTTATTATTTCACATGTACATACATGTTTTTGTCTTTTGTCACTTACAGTTTTAGGAGTAATGGACCAACCCCCCCGATCTAAGGTTCCATACGAGCATGATTCTGAGTACGAACCAAGCGAAATGGGTCCAATTGTCTCATCGTCTTCGCCTTCGGTATTCTCCGAACAAGGTTCAGATGAGGACGATCTTGAAGAAAAGTTGGCCTACGCCGAACGGAATTTGCGTTCGAGAGCTCACAAAGAAGACATGTCAGCTAGTGCATCAAATCATGCAGATGAAATTGATTTGAACCACGATCCGCCTACTCTCTCTCTTGTGGATCGACTCAAGTTGAATCCCAGGCATCTGAGCGGAAATGAAGATGACCATAATGGTGCACGATATCCTAAGCGAGCACGAAAGAAAGTGGAACATTATCTTCCGGAACCTGCCGAATCTGTAGTAAATGTGGAAAGTGATGAAAGTGGTAATGGGGGTAATCGTGACGGTAAGAGAAATATTTTTTACCCCAAGTTTTGTTGTTGGGCTGTATTGATTTGGAAAGGTCTGTTTTATTTAACTGGTTTATTTGTATGTACTACAGATTCAGATGACGTTGAGAGCAATGTTTCGTCGAAAGATACAAAATGTTACTTTTGTAAGACGGCATTTGATACTGAGGAAGGTATGACCCCACTATTTTTTATGGATTTACTCCTGATTTGTGTACTCATAAATGTATCTCCATTATTTTACTTGTATTTCAAGTATTATATATTATACTTTCAGACCTAGCACGCCACTCAACTTCGGAATGCGGAAAGCATTTGAAACATATGTATAACTTTGCAGACAGGCAATGCTTGAATTGTTTCAACATATTTGGACCTATCACTCATTACGAATTAGTAAAACATGTTCAGTATTGTATCAGCGATAATAAATCAATAACAGATGCCATGTCAGCATCAGGCATTGGCAAGCACAAACTAAAGAGCAATTCTGACCTAGAAGAACCACTAGAAAAACGAGCAAAAACGACACCGATCTCACCGTCCATGACAACAAATGGACAAGAAAAGAACACACAAATCTTGACAAAAAATGGTCAGAAGTTTGCGATTGGGAAGTCAAAAGTTGTGATGCAAAGGTTTTCTGATGAACTAGTCAAAGAGGTAATTAACGAAATACGTAATAAGCGTACCCCAGACATTCAACGCGTCCCGGGATACAATTACGTTCGGAGACTTGTTACCCCGAAGACCGAAATTCCTGACTTGTTTCCGGATGACACCCCAGAAATGAATGCGGAACGCATTCGGCAATACAGAAAGGAGCAAGAGGAATATATAATTCAATCGGAAATGCGGAAACTTATCAAATTGCAGGCTGAACAAGCAGAAAAAGATGCGGCTGAGGCTAAGAAGGTGGTTAATCCCGTCGCTTTACATCTTCACCGTTGCATGGATATGCAGAACCAGAAAACTGTACTGAATGCCAAAGCCATTTTTGAGAAATTTAGAAACTGTAGCTGTGGAGACGTCCATTCTGATATTGAAAAATCACTGAAGTGTTTAAAGAAACGGAAATTGAGCAAATGTTGGATCTGTTGCACAGAGTTTGAACCAAGTCATCCTATGGAGCATCATCTCCGAAAATTGCATAGCTCGAATACTGGACGTGTCAACTGTGTAACTTGCCCTGTATGCAAGGCATCATTAACCTTCGCTGAACTCAATCAGCATGTGTATACCCACTTTAAGGGAAGAAGTAGCTATTCTGATGATGATGACGAGGAGGTCTTTGAAACCAACAATGCAGTCTCGGTCGAAGGTGACGTTCTTCAAGAAACAGACAATACAGTCTCGGTGGAAAGGGTCGTTCTTCAGGAAACCGACAATAATATAGCCTCCGTCGAAGGTGAGGTTCTTCAAGAAACCAACAATGCAGCCTCGGTCGAAGGGGTCGTTCTTCAGGAAACCGACAATAATATAGTCTCGGTCGAAGGTGACGTTCTTCAGGAAACCGAAAATATAGTCTCGGTCGAAGGTGACGTTCTTCAGGAAACCGAAAATATAGTCTCGGTCGAAGGTGACGTTCTTCAGGAAACCGAAAATATAGTCTCGGTCGAAGGTGACATTCTTCAGGAAACCGAAAATATAGTCTCGGTCGAAGGTGACGTTCTTCAGGAAACCGAAAATATAGTCTCGGTCGAAGGTGACGTTCTTCACGAAACCGACAGTACAGTCTCGGTTGAAGGTAACGTTCTTCACGAAACCGGCAATTCACAGAATAATGACAGACAAAGATCTGAAGACAACTTACAACAGGGGACTGCAGACAATCTCCAGCACGGACCAGGAAATGATTCCCCACAAGGACCCGAAGACAATCTCCAGCACGGACCAGGAAATGATTCCCCACAAGGACCCGAAGACAATCTCCAGCACGGACCAGGAAATGATTCCCCACAAGAACCCGAAGACAATCTCCAACAAGGGACTGAAATTGATCTGCAACAAGTTCCTGGAAACAGTGACCAACACTTCGCAACAGAACTTTGCAACAACAGCAGTGCTAATAATCGTAACGAATTGGAATGCGACTCTGTGCCCCCACCTCCATCAGTTGAAGTTTTGACTGCCAAAAAATCGGCAACGGTGTCCCAGGAGAAAATTACGCCGCCAGTTTGTTCGGATGATGTCACTTGTCCAAACTTGGACACCCGAATCTCTAAAAGTGTGAAAGAAGTGGCAAATGTTCGAAGTGATATCGGGGAAGTTGTTGTGGACGGACAACACCTCAGAATCATACCCAGGGGTGTATCAGAAACTCCGTACCCTGGAACGGTTCACACGATGCCGGTTTCGGATGAGCTGATTAACTTATATAGTTCATCTAACCGTCAGACTAACCCTCCGCAAAATGTAAATATTCAATTTCCCAATAACGTGCAACAGCAACAAGTGGCCTTAGTCAATCGTAGTATGTTGTTTGCCAGTGGTGCCCAGACACAACAACAACAACGCCCTATGATAAGTCAAGCCGGAGGGGTTCATGTCAACATGCCAATTCCTGCGCGAAATTCGCATCCAATAACTGCAACGTTTCAGCAGCAACAGCAGCAGCAGCCCCTGTCGGCTCCAGTCAATCGCAATAATTCTAGTATTTTATTTACCGGTGGTCCTTCTGTTTCTCAAATGCAACCTCGTTTACAAATTCAACAACAACAAGAACACGTTATGATACAATTTGGAGGAACTAATATAAGCATGCCAACTCCTGCGCGAAATGCACCTCCAATAACTGTGTATCAGCAACAGCAGCAGCAATTTTCTGTGAGAAATTCGCCTCCAATAACTGCAACGTTTCAGCAGCAGCCCCAGGCGGCCTCAGTCAATCGTAATGCTCCTAGTATTTTGTATGCTACTGGTCCTACTGGATATCAACAACGACAACAATACCCCATGATAACTCAAGTCGGAGGGACTTCTGTGATGGCGATTCGGATGCGAAATTCTCCTCCGATAACTTCAACGTTCCAACAGCAGCCACAACGACGACGTTTCACGGCGCCTCCTCCGCCAATTCCTGTAGCCAAATACAGTTGCAACAAGTGCAATAGGCTCTTTATATCGAAAGATCTATTTGATACTCATTTTTGCTAATTATTTTTACTAATCCAGATACAAATAATTGTAGTACTGATTAATTTTAAGTAATTCTCTTCACCTTTCTTTATGAAATCAATTCAACACGAGATTTTATCGGCATACATTGAAGTATTTTTTACACGTTTTTATAAAATTATATTACAATTTTATACCATCGAGAAGATTAATATGAGGATTCAGTATCATTATTATTAATAGAAAATTGTCTTCCTTAAAATATACTTTCCATTCCTCTCAAACTATAGAATCTCTTTAGAAAATGGATATCATTGTTTATGAATTATTCTAGTTAAGTTAATCATTTTTAAAATTCTTGTTTCTTCCTTACGTATTTGTTTACTATGTACAATTTATATAATTTGGTTCCCAGAATTTGCCTTGAATTATAACATTTTAAATTATGAATAAAAACAGAAAATAATTTTCGGCTTGGAACTTTACTTAATATAAAATAATTGATATACTCATTATTCTACCTACTACTCGGATTTAGTCAAACTGCATTGCACAAAATTTAACACTACATTTATCGTCTCCATGAAAAACATGTTCAATTTCTTCTTTGTAAACTAAAATGGTTTTATGAAACTGCAAATTTCCATGGCAACCTAAAAAGGATTTGAGGTGTCAGGTGTTATTCTTATTCAGTACGACAAAAAAGGCAGACCTGGACTGGGCAGCATAATAATTACAATAACTTTAATAAATTAGTGATTCAATTAGAAAACATAATAACTACACGTCAAGATGGCACTCGTTCAAATTCCTCGTTACAGGCGTTAGTAAATAATAAACTATTCTTACAATTTGACATTTACCCCATTTACCAGTTATTTTCTGACCGTATCTTCCAGCCGATCCATCCTGGCCGCAGCCTGAGTGGCCTTACCATGTCTACCCTTGGAAACTCCCCACCTTTCTACCCAATGGGGACAGGGTCCCGGATTACATGCCTCTCATCGACCCTCCTCCTCCCAAAGGGTATGTAACATGGCAAACTATGGGCGACAACCTTTACTCACATAGCTCGCGAATTATACATATTAGCATAATTTTCAAAGTTTTTCGAAATTTACAAGATTTCAAACAGAAAACGATGGGATGGATTTTTGTATAAAAGTTAAATTTTACTTGCTTACTGTGCTGTACTGTAACTTCCTTAAGTATATCGTTGCTTATCTGTCAGGCGATTCAAATGGCTTCCTACGTATAATGGGCTCCCCACATATGAATCTCTCCTGCAAAATCCCTACAGACATTGGACTTGGTTGATGTCAGGAGATCTTAAGAAACTCAAAACCTCGGGTATAACAATTGCTTTCGAGTAGTTCAAATTAAAAATACTAAGATTTCTGTTGTGAATAGATAATTTATGATGCTTTGTTTTTAGGCTATAAAAAGATTCCAAAATACTTCAAAGATAAACTCATGTACTTTCAACGTTTCGACCAGGAATATATTTTTCACAGCCGTGGAAAGTTTTACGGTACGGCATGGACTATTCCAAATTACGCACGGTATTCCTACAGCTTTTACCGCAAGGAGAACAAAGGGCTCCGGAAGTGGGGGCCAAAATCTTTAGATCATTTGGCCAAACCATACCATCTTATTTACGATTCTCGATTTCAACACCCAACTTCTCATTTGTTATATTCTGTAGTTCGTATTAATCCCAAAGGTAAACAAATACATTTTATTACGTATTGCGATAGATGAAAAAATTATGATAAAATTGTGATGATGTACTCAATTTAAGCGACAACTGAATCTCGGCGCAAATTCTATTGTTCTAATTGGGCCAAGAATGTGACCAACATGGCAAGAATGGTCGAGTCCTCTGCGGCTGATCAGCATCAAATTATAATTATTGAGCAGACTCCACTTGCAGATTTATTGATGAAAAGAATCATGTATGGATCGAATTTAAGCGGTATTTATTCATTTGTACCTATGCATAGTGCTTGTTTCTATTGGAGCCTCAATTAATAGAGTTTCTACAGATATGTGCATCTGGATGTGTTTGGCAACCATAATCAGTTGCCATTATCGCATCCGATGGCCGAGCATGTACCTCTTTCCTTGTCTGGTTGGCGTCTACTGTTGGCACGTTTACAAATGGGAGTACCGACACGACCCAAGTTGGAGGTATGGTTTCTGGACGACTTGGGTAAATGATCCAACGGAACATGAGCACTTTGAAGAACATCTCGATGTCCACTCGGAACTTTTACTCCACGAAAGGATGACTTTCATGCAGCTTGAGAATATGAGCTATCGGCGACCAGTTAACTCAATATTTACAAAAATATCAGTTCTGTGGGCATTGAGAACAATGATGAAACGGATCAGGTACAGGGGTGTGGGTAAGTTCTTATATAGAAAAATGGTCGTCCATGTTTTAAACTGTATCGCATTTACCCATGTGTTTATTATATCTGAACCTAGCTGAGGATATGGCATGGGACGCGTTGCAATACAAAGTCTGTAACAATTCTGGCTTAGCAATTCGTACCATTCACCGATTGACGCACTCTTTTAACGCTCACTGCAGTTTTGACGCTGAAATGGGCACTGGAGGGAATTTGTTATTTTGGACCAGCTTTGTGATCATGTACCTTTTCTTCATTCCACCCATGATAATCAGAATTCAGAAACGCTTCGACTGGAAAACTAGGGCACGGCTCATCATCAATCAGGTCGCTTACCGCGCTATGAAAGGTAACATTGGGTTTCTTCCTCTTTAAACGGTATAAAATATTTGAAGTACGGCTGACGTTTATAATGATTGGTTTCCACAGGTGAGAGAAGATACATGAGATTAATTCAACCCATGTATTGGCTTTACCGTTGGGCATATCCTACTGACAGGATGGGTCGAAGAGACTACTGGTATTTGTCAAGTAAGTATCGTCACACTCCAGGATCGCATCAGTTCTACTACTAACTAATTATACGTTTTGATGCTAATAAATACACATATATTGTGTATGTATGTATACATTTAGTGGAAATTATGCTTGTCAGTAAATTAGTAAACTAATATTAATAATGCGCTAATTGTAACGCCTAGTTTGGCCACCACTGATCAGGAATAATAATATGTCAGCATAATAATGACGATTGTAATTTCTTTATTTAAGATATCATATTTAGCATCAATCAACTAATCGGGATTATTTAGCGACGATGCATTGCCCATTGTTGCTCTCGGATATTTCTGCACCTGGAGGTGATTACTCGTTTCCCTAACCTAAAATTCGAATAGAAATGATTAAGCATAACGAAAAAGTTTTGGGGAATGTTTCAAATCATTCTTTCGAATCATACCCTGGAGATTCTAGGCACTCGTCCGTTTGGGAGTTACGGATGATATAAAATCCTTGGTCAGCCTGCCATACTGTCCAATATTGAGAGCTGGACAAAGCAAATCCGGAGTGCTACCCGAAAAATAATCAAAGTAGTCAACGACTCAGAATAAAATCATGCAAAAATTGTATATATTTCTCCATTAGTATTACATACCTCCACTCCAACCATATTTCCGTCGACAAATACCGAAATGTTCTCATCCGAAGTAGGCTTCAGCATGTATGATGACCCCAAATCTGAAAAGCAAGGGATATCAATGGGTTTCCAATTTTAAGTGCAAATAATTAATCTCATATCTGACTACTTACATCCCTTGACCACTCGCCATTTTTGCGTTGGACTATCCCTCCATCGATCCGAATCGGCAAACTTGGCTTTTCCTATCGAAGTTAGAAACTGTATGAAAAAACAAAGTAGTATCGTTTAAAATTTAAGTTCTCGTAAAACTTTCACCGTAGTATTTTTTTTATAAAACTTGATTAAAGAAATTTACCCCGAAATCGCCCTTATTCTGGAAAGTGTACACTGCCCGGTTCACCAAAGTCTCTTGTGCCGCAGTAATGCTCCCCATGACCATTCCCAGAATGCAAAGGTAACCCCAAACCGCGTTCATGTTGATGGATTTGTAGAAGAATAAGAGTCCGTTCGTCTATGTCAGCAAAGAGTATCCAATTACTGTAGATTTCCTTTATCAAGCTCATTTATATATGGGACTCATAATGGGAATTTAATTGGTCAGACTATACTGGTGCGTCATCAATTTAGCTTACATGGCATTACACGTGACGAAATGAAGATGCGTGAAGTTAAGTCATAATAATATTATTATCATTTAGTACGCATTGGTGCGAAACGCACTGTTTATGGAAATTAATTGTGGATCAATGACATTGTTGAATGATATAAATTCATTATCATATTTAAGACAAAAGGCTTGCGTTCCAAATTGTAAGTGGTTCATTGCATATTATGCAACAGGAAAAAACTAACCCCATTATCACATTTGAGTTTATCATTACTAATTTATGTAGTTATTCATCCAGCCATCCACCACACCACTATTGTGGGCTTATCGCTTCACTGATTGACATGTAGCGTGTAAAGGAATTGAAGATGTCAACATTTGTATAATGATTTTGTGCATGTATTAGTATAACAATACTTTATATTTAATTAACAAGAAGTTCCAATTATTCGGTTTGTCTTAAATGATGACCTTCATTACTTGCAATGTTGTGAAAATAATAACGAAAATAGAAAAATATACAGCGGTCCGTTATTATTATTATATACAAAGCATAATTATGAAGATTCTAAAATAACAATATAATAGTAAAACAAACGATCAATTACTAAATTTCGTATAATTCTAATTAAAACAGTATTTGTAAAATAACGTTGCGCATCAACTTTACTTGGATTTCTTGGCAAATCGAGATAGTGGGTCGTCATCGGACATTTGAATAGTTTTCTTTGACTGCTCTTCGCGTTTCTTAGTCTGATGTTCACTCTTTGCCAGTTTAAGATTGAGCTCTGTTCGCAAGCCTTCCTTGATTTTTGGGAGTTTTGCATTTTTCCTCTTCTTCCGATGAGCTAATTGAATGTCTTTCTTCTTCACGTAATTCGGTTTCTTGTCCAAACTACTGCTAACTGCGTGTGTATCAACTTCACCCAAAATGTTGTTGTCAAGCGTAATGAGTTCAGGTTGAATCTAAACAATTAGTTAATTAAGTCGATAAATATGAAACGTTCTTATAAATAGTTTATAACTAGCTCAGTTTTGTTTCGTATGACATACCTTTTCAAGAAGTCCTTTGATTTCTGCTTCACAGCGTTGGCCTTTGGATTGATATGGATTTCTTTCAAGTGCGTCAAAGTTAGGTTCACCAGCACCTAAAATTAAGTAAATATTTAGAGATTGGAATCATGCCTAGAATAGAATATCTATGTTCACGTACCTGGCACAATTACAGAGTCAAAGCCACGATTCGTTCCAACCCCTAACACATCCTCAAAAGGGCAAAACTGCATAGAACTGATCTGGCTATTGGCAACATGCTTTAAGTATGGCTTGGTTTTATGACTGACTTCTGAAAATATCTAATGAAAAATATATAATCAATCATCAGTTGCACTATAAAAAGTTTTGTAACAATCTATGGGTTAAGGTTACCATTGCATCAGTGGAAGTAGCCATAGCTAAAAGTCCTCGCTGACTAAACTGTAATAATGACGATATGCCTACTTTGACTGAGAGAAGGGGTGTGTATGAATTTCTTAAGTCCCAAATACGCATAGATCCATCTCGTCCACTTGTTGCCATAAGTCTGATACATTTGAAGTAATGAATGCAAATTTTGTAAATAATTGATAATTAACATTTGTAATTAATAATACCGTCCGACGTTATCAACCGCTACAGCGGATAGAGGACAACCATGGCACAAAATAGACGCCAAAGATTTTCGGACGGTAGGAGCCCACAGGGAAACTGTTCCATTTGTGTGACCACAGTGAACTACAGCATTTGCGGGGTTGGTAGTCATTATAGCTACAGGTCCACTGCGAGCATTAAATTGGGATACAATCTTTCCAATCGAGACGTCTACCCAACTTAGGTAACCTATAATAAAGTTGAAAAATATAGTACTTTAAGACCTACCTGGAACTCAAAAACTTTGACGAAGCACTCACCAGACTGATGTCCCCCGACAAGTAGGAAGTGATATGGTAGAAAGTCGAGATTGATAACCCTATCCATACTTTTTAAACAGTGAATTTCTATACCCTGATTGTCGTAAATATAAGTCCATTCCTTTTGGGCTGCAGCAAACATATTCTCATTATGCAGCCACCTACAATTACACAAACATTCTTTTCATTAATTTCTTTCTACCTAAACCAAAGTAAACCACCATAATAATAACAATAATTTAATTATTTCTTACACCACATCGTGGACACTTTCCCTCACGCCAATTTCACACATCAAATTCTTTGTAACCCAGTCAAACGCGGCAATATGACCTTTTCTGCCACCCAGCACGAGATACCGTCCATTATTTGTGTATCGTAGCTTGTAAGGTCCAAACTCGTCCAACGATAGGTGAAATCCTTTCGTGGCAGATGCAATATCAATCTTTTTGGTGATGTCAAACTGCTTAAGCTGCAGAGTGTGTTCCCCTTCGTCCACTTCAATCCCACTGAAATACAAAATTTTAATAGAATCTTACTTTCTAAATTAATAACAGTCCCAAAAAATGAAATAAATTAAGCAACATGATTTCTAATTATGTGTACCCAGAGTCCTCAACTAGAAGAATTTCCGACCGTGCCGCACGTTCTACCCCGGATACAATTTTCGCCTCTTTCCTAAGAATCTTCGTCTTCCGAATTCCCATCTTGACATCCAAGTTGGACGAGAGACCTTTCCCACGGCTGTGCTTACCGACAGCCGTGGAAACAACCAACGGATCTTCTGGAACTGACATTTTAGCTAATGCACTAGTCAGTAGTAAACAATTAGTTAATTAACTAGACAAATATTTAAAAGTTAGAATAGAAATGCAGCAGAACGTGGAGATTATTTTGTCTCGTGGGCAGTAAGCACTCACGAAGAAACGCGGTTTATTCTCGCTCTGCAAACTCGATGCCTGCGTTAAATAGATGAGTTTATGACGAAGCGATGCATGGTTTATTTCCAGTTTTTCATGGCAATCATGAAGTGATGATAATCGTCAGTAATTAATTAATTTTTGGTTTATTGCTTCATGTAGTTCATATAGTTCATTCAAGTCCAAAAAGCAATAACAAAAATTCTAAATAGCTCGATTAAAAACTTAAATCGAAATGTGACCACGAATCATGGTCCATGATGTTTAGAAAACATATAAAAATAATTCATGAAAAAGGCAACGAAAAGTATATAAAAGTATATATCCAATTGCATTATATTAACAAAAATGCATAATTTATACGCAGTTGAAAAACATGGATGAGAATATGAAAATATTTCGTATAGTTTCAGCGCTGCAAAGCCGTGGTCCAAATCGGAGCTTGCGCCCCATCCATTTCTGTGGCGAGTTGATTTTCTTCAATCAGTTGATGATCCTCCCCACCGATTGGTGCCCCGCACTCGTTACATAATCCACGTTCTGTTGGACCCCCGCATTCCGTGACGACAAAAACATGTCCATTTGGGCATTTAAACCAGCGCCCAGCACGTGTCCCAAACGCATCCACGATTTCTTGTCGTTCCCGATCCGTCAATTGTAGAGTGTAGTTTTGAATTCTGCTGAATACCTGGTGAAAAATTGAGAAAATATTTTCTTCATTAAATTCTAGCACTTCAGTGGTGCACACGTCAATTAAACTAATTAAGAACCTTAAATTTCCTGTCAAATTCAATCTGTGCTTCTTCAGTGTATGGCTGACGAAGATAGAGTGCAGCCTCAGCTTCTCGAAACTTTTTCTGCCCCTCGACACTTTTTCCTAATTTCAGAATGTGGTCTTCCATCTCGAGTGAGATCCGCTCATAGAGGCGTTGAATGTCCGAGACACGAGTAAACTCCAACCTTATCGCTTCGACCTCATTGACGTGAAGAGGCCAAATCCGACGCATTGTAAAATCAAAAAGTCTGGTATGTTCAGCTTTAAACTTGTTGAAATATTCGGGTATCCATAAATTCTCGTACAGGGGGAGACTTTCCTCGACTCGTTTCCATTCCTTAAAGACCCACTCGATGCACTGGACTTTGCCCAGGGACATCTACAATATATCCCAAGAAGGCAATAAAAATGTTATGAGTTGTATGTGGAAATTATTCCGAGATTGAGATAGTATTAACGAAATTGTTAAATTTCTTACCGAGTCAAAGGTAACCCGAGACTTGTTAGTTGTTTTCATCGGTTTTCTTAATTCAGTCAGAATGTGGTTGCCAAGCTTTGGAAATTTTGGGACGTAGGACCCAGACTCAAGGATTTTGATTACGTCGCCCTCAATTTGTTCAAGTCGTTTCTTGATCTCATTTTCGTCACCTCGGATTGCAGATTTTACTTGTTGAACATCTTTCCAGCATTCCTGAATTTGCAATGAGAATCGTTTCAAAGTAGGATGAATAGGGACCAGGCAGATTGGACAAAATTTTAATTTAATCTCGGTGTTCTTCGTGCTAAGCCATTCTGTGAGGTTGGATTCTTCGATGGCATGTCCACACGGTGGGATTCGTACGTAGCTGTATATTCATAGAGCAATTAAGACTATCGAAACAATTTATAAAATACAATATAAAAATGGGCATATACAATCTCGTTTCTTCGCCAGATAGCTCCAAAAAGTCAATCAATTTATCTGGAGTACAAATTCTGCAACCGTCGGGACAAGTTTCGCCGCAAAACCCGACGCAAGGATGTTGACAAGGCAAAAGCTTTGGGCATGGTTCACGACATCCTTCGCGGTCACACGTTTCTCCGCAAATTTTGCTGCAAGATAGATGTTCGCAAGAATATGTGCATGGTTCCTGAAAAACAAACATTCAAAAAGAACAACATTCATTAGTATGACTAACTATTACTGTTACTAAAAAGTATTTGTAATTTCAACTTGCTGGACAGACATATTCACACGGAACCCCACATTCATATGGGCATGAATAATGCTCACAAGTATTCACACACTTCTCCGTGCATGGGGGACATATAGCTGAACATGGAATCTTGCACCTGAGTCAGAAATGTTAAAAATATTTTAATATACTCGCCTTTAATTATTATGTATTTCTGTACGACGAGTGATAATTAATTACGATTCACTTACAAGTGACGGCAAATCAAGGACTTCTCACATGGCTCCGTGCATCGTATATGGAACCGACCTTGATAACACCTCATGCACGATCCTTTGCAATCATGACCACAGACATTGGTGACTCCCTTGACGCAGTCTGCTCTACAGTAGACTGAAATGTCCGCGCTTGACAGTTTATCTGACAAATAGCATGGGACCAAAATTTCGTGTCCACAAAAAGATGGATTTTTTGCTTGGACAGGATATATACATGGATCCAAAATTGGAACGTGACATTGGGACGGTGTAGGGTGTCCACATTTTGGATGGGGTCTTAATGAAATCGTCTGAAAATATTTAATAAAGAGGGATTGCATTAGTTTGAACACTTTAGTAATTAATTTATGCTTATATGAGAATAGTTTTAAACCTAAAATTACCTCACACGGGCCACATTCTTCGTAACATCTTTTTACGCAACGGTGCCCACAAAAAGCATAGGTCCTCTCACATTGGAGGTGACAGACATAATTCTCTTCATCAAAATCAGGGTCGCTGCAGGTGATGGTCAACATATGGCGACATTCCAGTTTCAATTGTGTCACAATACGGCATGGGGGACATCCTTTGTCCTTATCGCAGCGGTGTGGAACACATGGATGACCACGCGGACACGTTTTATCGCAGCGTTTCTTGCATTCGACATCCTCGTGGGATTTGTCGCATTCGGAACAAATTTTACTGCAGGGGTGACCACATTTGAGAGGAGTTTGACAAGGTTGGTAACAAACCTATAGGATTCATTATTAGTTTGTTCGGATATTCCTTAATTTAAATAATAATGTTTTTAATTTAGAGGTACAGGTACAGGGAGACTTGAACAACTCACCGTATCTTTATCTTCCAAAGGATGTCCACAATTTCGTAAAAATATACATCCCCATTCGCACACGCAATCGTGATAACAGGGTAAAATACAATGATGACCGTTGCAGCAGATTAATTGACACGTTTCCCTGCATAGATAATCCCCGTTGCTGCAGTGATCCGTGTTGACTGGGTGGCAGACTGATCCACACTCGTGACCACATCCTCTCCAACGACAGATTTCCAAACATCCACCTCTTGGGGAAGCTAGACTCAACTCCTCGGCAGTAGTGATGTCCCGACAAACTTTATTATGGGTGTCACACCGGACTGATAAGAAGGGCTTGATGTAACCCGACTTGTACATCTTATTTATAAGGGTCACCCACTCTTCGTCATTAGCTTTCAAAATTAGCATAAAGGACGCAATTATTATCACACCATTTCTAACCCACAAAATAGAATGTTAACATTAATTAATTGAGTTCTACTTAAAGCAAATTTAAGCGAATTAAACATGTACATGGAAAACTGACCGTGATTTTGCAATAGCTTTAGATATGCTGCAAATAAAGTTCTTCTGCTCGTCTTTGCTGCCCAAGGAGACCAAATCCAAAATTGTGACACATCTTGATGGGGCAGTGTCGATGTTGTCATCCTCAGTGTAGAGGAGCTTGATCGCTTGGAATGGTTTCGACCCTTGACATTGAAAACGCTAATTAAGAGAACAAAATACATTCTTATTATAGCCGAGAAATTAAACCTTATCAAAAGGTTGTAAAACCTTGATGCATATTTCATACTTACCGAACTCATTTGTTTAATTCTCTCCAATTTGTTGCACATGACTTGAATCTGGTGCACGGGAAAATTATTGAGAAGCAAGTGACGACAGACCCCAGCGACCATGTCACACCCAAATGTGTCAACCACACTGAGTTTTTCGGAAATTTGCTGTGAAATTAAAAGTTCAAAATACAAAATATTAAATTTGCACTTTAAAATTGTTTTGAAAAACTTTTCCTTACCATGAGACATTCCTTTCCGTGTGCATAAAACAATAAGTTTCCGTTAAATCCAGGAATTTTTCTCTTGCCTTTGAATTTCTTAATGTCCCCCATCGTGGCGAAGTAAATTTGTAGCCTGCAATTATTCTACAACAAACGAGGTCATGCTCAGCAGATCGCAAGGGCAAAGGGCGAGACTCAGTCCGTCGAGTTTGGAAGCAGGAACTCAAGTGTGCGGAAAATGAGACTGAAGGACCAAAAGCAACCACGCCAAGCTTAATTTATCACCTTTTCCTCAGCTTTATCTACATATTTACATAGAGCTTTGCATTCCGAGTTGAGTACAGCACCAGCTTATTAGTACATGTACACATATCAGTAAGACGTACCTCAGATACGAGACTTTTACACGAGGTGAGATGAGACTATTTATAAGCTAGTGTGAACTGAGGAAGAGTGGTATGTGATGATTTACATAATTACTGTATTCAATAGTAGCCATATGTTATTATATTTGTTATTAAAAATTTATTAAAATTCATCAAAATAGAATTCAACAATAAATAAAAATCTATTAGCGACTGGAATCATGTCTAAACATTTCGTAGTATCAGACATGCAAACTAATGCCCAACTTCGGTTGTCTTTTTGTAAAAATGAGGTGCCAGTTCTTCCAGCCATTGGGGTTGAACAACGGTGAGGTCTCTCATGTAGATATGCGTAGTGTGAATAATTTCAGTGAACAATAACCTGAATTTAAAAACAAAAAGTTATATAGCAGCATATTCAATGGATACTTCCAGGGCAAATTAAATCTCAATACCACGTACCACTGGGGTTGGGGAAGGGTATACAATAAAGAAGTCGGGTGGACAAATACGGGCAAATCCCCACGAACCGTTCTATGATAGCCGGAATGATGGAGGTAGACAGCATTAGGAAAAAACCCAGCACAAATGCATTTAATGATTGGTTCAATTATTCCTAAAATGAAAATGAATCGTTCGGTTAGTTATCAAATTGAGTTTCAGTGATTTCAAATGGTATAAAGAGTTTGTTTACTACCTTTACAAGATTCGATAGGTACTTTGAAGCGATGTAGCATTTTGAGCATTTGTTTTTTTATTTCTTCCGCTCGTCGTAGTCTTTTGTAGTGTAAAAAGTTTTGTGAGCAAAAATGTTTTGTCTTTCCAGCTTCCATGTATGCAGTGTAGACGTTTAACAGGGTCAAGAGATCACCTTCGGCCACTTCAAACTTCCGCTTTGTCATCCTAGCTTTCATTGCATTTTGACCCCACGGAGCTTGGAAAACGGTTTCAACTTGGAGTAAGGCAGCAATTGTCGTAATCTCTTCGGCACAACCATATTCGCCTGAGGTTAACAGCATTTTTGAAAATGTGGGAGGCAACGGAAACTCTGACATTTGCTCTCCCAAAGGGGAAGTGAGATTTCCTCGAGAATCTAATGCTCCCAAGGCATATAATAACTCAACGGCACAAATAAGGTTTTTTGCAGGTGGTGGTGATGGAAAGTTGAATCTAACAATGTTATCAATCCCTAATGCTTTTAATTGAAGTACAGTCTGTGCTAAATCATTCCTCTGAATCTCAGGGCAAGTTGCAGTAGGAAGTTTTTCATACTCGTGCTCTGGGTACAGCCTAGAGCAAACAAAAACCACTCAAATAATTATTGCCCATTTCAATTAAAAATCAATTACAGTCAGATTTATGTGTACCTATAAACTTTTCCCGGTTTTGTTCTTCCTGCTCGACCTGCTCGTTGTTCAGCAGATGCTTTGGAAGTTGGAACGACTACGAGAGAGTCAGTAAAACTTTCGGGGTTGAACCATCTCATTTTTACAAATCCGCAGTCCACCACTGCAAAATAGATTATGATGAAAAGTTAATGCATACTGACTGTTATCGAAAAAATAGCAGAGTATTTCAGTTCATTGGCTTACCATAAACGATACCGGAAATTGTTATCGATGTTTCCGCAATGTTCGTGCATACAACCACTTTCCGATGTCCTTTTGGTGGATACTGGAAAACCTTGAGTTGATCACGAGCAGGTAAAGACCCATACATTGGCAAAACGGTCATTTCTACTGTAAAAATAATAATTGCAAATTATTAAATTATTATTAAACGGGGTGTTACATCACTAATGAAATTAATACGTACATCCCCCACGTTCTTTCATGGTAGTACTGTGTTGCATTAAAAGACTAACTGCAGTGTCGACTTCATCTTGGCCAGTGAGAAAGACTAGTATATCACCCCTGTCCTCACGTTCATGAATTTTCACAACAGTATTTACAGATTCTTTGACATAATCAGGTACCGGATCTGCATATAATGCAATGATATTAACAAATATTTCTATACAAATAATTACCAGCTATACATATATTATAAAAATTTTTATTTACCAATACTGAAGCATATTTCAATAGGATAAGTTCGTCCACTGACACTCAATATAACGGAAGTTTCCTTAGTTTTACGATCTTTGGACTTTTTGCTTTTCAACTCGAAAAAGAGTTTTAATTCCTCTGCATCAACTGTAGCCGATGACACAATGAGTTTTAAATCCTTTCTGGCCTGGAAATTCATATTAACAATTGCGAATTATGTAACATCAAATGAAAATATACTATACACATTGCTAAAATTCATTTCAATCACATTGCATGCATGCACAATCCATCAACTTTATCATGCAACCAATATCATAAGTTGTAATAACAATAAAAAACAAAGCGAGCAAACACTTGTACTCACTCACCTTTAATATTTTACGAAGGAGTCCCATCAGGATGTCACTATTGACAGTTCTTTCATGAACCTCGTCCAGCATGATGACTGAATATTGTCGAAGCAGAGGATCGCTCATCATCTCCCGGATTAAAAGCCCTTCCGTCAAATACTACGAAATTCGAATAAAAAAAGCCACACGTAAAAAATGATCTTATCGCATAATAATGTTGTAATGTGGAAATTCTCCATGTTCATTTATACGTATGGTTGACCCGATTTATGTGTATGCATGCATACTTCATGCATCTCATTCTACGTAAGCGAACAAAGATCCGTGATTTTGTTTGCTCAAGACACTTTGTATTTGCCTTTATGTTTAGTAATGCCAAGTATTGCATAACAAATTGTAAAGTCATGTCTTACAAAATGTGAATTGTCATTCCTGTCATTTCTGCACACACACATGATTTAATACTTCTTGTCTGTTGAACTCTATCTCGAAACCGTCCAAAATATTTTGCATGTTACAATTTATATCGATATTTATTCATCCACATGAATGAATTTTATCGATCTGTATATGAAAAATATTTCAAATAAGTAAGTACAGCACACAAAGGTGAACACAACCCAATTTTCTGCTCCGACTCGTTCAAAATTTACGCATTTAATAACAATCGTTCCCAACTACCTTGAAATTATGGTCTCAATCATCAATCTTTAATGCATTTTATTATATCCAGTCATAAAATTTAAAACTGTCACCACCTTCAACTACCTTCAGCCGGCTGCAGATGATGGAAACGACAATATTTAACAGTTCATGGGTATCATCATGCAGCGAGAGATAAGCGTTTTATTACGCTTTACACTCTTCATCCAGGTGAAAAAGAGAAAAGGCGTTCTCTTTCTCGTTCATTCTCTGTTAACCAGGATTTGACGTGACAAAATAATGTGTCGTTTTTAGTGTACAAGTGGAAAGATGAAAAAACTAGTGCTGTGTTGACTACGGATCTATCATGCTAGTAATTTCTAAAAATTCCCGGTATTTTACCTCAAACAACTTGTCAGTAGAAGTAGCGTTATATAAACCTGGATCCTTCGTACATTTTATTAAGATACATACATAATTTTATAAATTACCTTCACTTTGGTCGTTTTGGGGTTGAATTTCTCGTCGAATCTGATCGCATATCCGACTTCGTCGCCAAGCACGGCCCCCATCTCATCCGCGACACGGGAAGCGAGGGAAGTCGCAGCCACGCGGCGAGGCTGAGTAATGCCTATCATCTTCTCGCCCATCCCCCACCCAGCTTCCAACAGGTACTGGATTTTGGTAATAAATACATCAAGTTATTCATACAATAGTAGAATAAAATATGTTCATCAATATAAAAGGAAATCAGAAACATTTTAAGGCAATGCATGCATGACGCCAACTGTTCCATTTCTCATTTTGTTTTTGTCAAAATATGTAATTTGTGTATCTACATGTTATGCATACTTGAGCGCATATGTAGGCAGTTAAAAGCACCAATTTTCACCTTGAATGCTGACTGGAATTAGGCAAATGTTATTCCTAATTTCCTATGATCAGATAGGATTGTTCCATTTCCAGTTTCATTAACTATTTAATATGACCTTTCTATGTACATACTTAGTTTGAATCAAATATAAATTTCCATCTCCATTAATCACGGATAAGTTAGGATAGGAAACCTTATATTTTATATTAGTAATGTATACTTAGGAATCATTATGAAATGACGGTAATAATGGTAACATAATATTCAGCTCAAGAAATCAATCCGCAATCAAGCAGCAATCCCCGCATCCAACCTTGTAATTTGAATATTACATTAATATTGACATTTGCATGACACAAGAAAGTGAGAATCCATCCGGTTCTAATGTCAAATTGCCAACTTCCCTCTAATATTCCATCCATAATGCAAAGGAATGGGTTACAAGGAGTCCAAATTGAGTATTCAGAAAGATTGCAGAATGATATTTATAAGTTTTTGCACGTGTTCGCACAGTTGTCCACGTTAGTAGCATAGCCATTATTGGGAATGCGCAAAATGTGAAAAGTTCACATTTCCTATCAAATCGTCGCCTTTAGTCCTCTGCAGCATACGTTTGTTCATGACTATCTACAAATTTGTATGTATGTATATTGCAGATAGTGAAAAATTATTGAGGTATTAAGTATTTAGTGGGACCTCAAAAACCCGTATCATGTATTATTTATTATGCATAAGTTTTCGTACGTAAGAGGTGTTACATGGAATCAACAAAAGGCGTGCGTAAACTGCATGAACCTGCTCCAGATAGGGGTTCCAGTCCCGGGATTTTATTCCCGGGAATTCCCGGGAAACGGGATCCCGAAATCCCGGGATTTTAAGAATTGAAATCCCGGGATTGCGGGATTTTTCAATGATTTCGGGATTTTTCAATTTGTCATTCAGGATTGAAAATTCCTTATATTTGACTTTTAGTGGCGGTTTTACATAATTTTCGGTTATATTATTGGTAAGAAAAAGTTTCGATGAGCATAACCTGTCAAAATTCAATCTCAACTCCAAGATTAAAGCTTTAAACAAAATGGGAAGCCACATTTCTTTACATGTCGCAGCATATGTATATCTAAATCTTATCGTTCGCAAGTAAAATTTGCAATACAAAATGAAACCTAAAATTTTTTAATTTCGATGTCAGATTTAAATTTGAAGGAAGAAATAAACCTTACCCTCGGTATAATTATAGAATCTGAAATCAGTTATGCTCAAAAAAGCTAACATGTTAGAAATATATAATTTCGAATTTTACTCGATCAATCTAAGGCTGAATGAACGAGGTAGTTCATATATTTGAACATAAAATTTTTGAATTGTCCAATTGTAGTTTTTTCATAATAGTACCCAAATAATAAACGTAAATTTATGCATTTCAGGTCAGGTTAAAATGCTAGCAAATCGTTGATTAATTATTATGGAAGTTTTCTGGAGTGAAATTTTCAAAATTTTTCTTATCACCTCTCTAAAGAGGGGAGCATCACCACCTGCCCTTCACAGATCTCGATGCCCTTTGGATATGTGGTAGGGTCCCATGAGTGTACTAAAACCCTGAAGTGGTTTGACTCCATGGCCACATTTGCGCCCACCACACCCACTCAAAGGTGTAAAAAACACGAAAAAAGCCCTGTTTTCACGTACTTCAACTGTCACCAAAAATACAATTTTGCTCGGATTTTCATAAAATGTACATTTTTGTGATCCCAGATACTTGTATGATCATATCCAGTAGATATTTTTTCGAATAATTCATCAGCTCGAAAATTTCAAAAAAGTTGAGATTGCTACTGGATATGATCAAACAAGTATCTGGGATCACAAAAATGTAAATTTTATCAAAATCTGAACAAAATTGGATTTTTGGTGAATTTTTGAAGTTGGTAACTTTTGTGGTTTTTATCCTTTTGAGTGGGTGTGGCGGGCGCACATGTGGCCATGGAGTCAAACCACTTCAGGGTTTTAGTACACTCATGGGACACTACCACATATCCAAAGCACATCAAGATCTGAGGGGGGCAGGTGGTGAAGCTAAGACAAAGGGCGGAAAATTAGACTATCACATTGCACCGAAATTTTACATTTACAAGCTGACACACCACCATATAATTGCTAATTTGCACTACCTTGATTTTGAGAAGGCCGTATGTAATAATAATACTTATTGATGCACGGTTCTCGAAAAACCATAAGTATGTATGTGCATAAGTAAATATTATAAATATGCTTGTATTCTGTACTTTTTAAAGTTATGTACCTTTTTGTATACCTAAATTTAACTAATTTCAAGCTATGAGGTAATTTTTGAATTTCGGGAAAAAATCCCGGGATTTCCCGGGATTTAGTACGGCTTAAACCGGGATTCCCGATTCCCGGGATTTAAAAAATTGTCCGGGATTGCAATCCCTAGCTCCAGATATGTAACACATCTTTCACAACATTTCACACAAATTGAGAGGACAAAACAGACAATTGACAATTACAAATTTTTTTGTTAACACAGGAAAAGCTTTTGCAGCTGGCGACTGCTGTAAATATTATCTCGATGGGCCTGTAAAACCGTTGTGTAGTTTGCTCATCCTATTTCACCCAGTCGATTTAATACATAATCCTCTCCTGCACCTGCACAAGATGATCATGATCATGTTCAGGTCAAAAGTACATTATGAATGGTTTAATATCTAGACCGATCATCAGCCCTCGAATCAAATTATTTTTACTATATTATTGCGAATGCACATACACTTTCGCGATATGCAAATCTCAAAGACGAATGAAACGGTGTAATAAGACTCCCAGTTTGGTTTTATTAGCGTCATTATTATTTTGTATTCTGTCCGTTATTTATTTTCTCATGACATTCCGATTGAATCAGACCCATTGGTTTGATTTCATAGCTCTGTTTTTATTACTTGTATAAACTCGACCGAGTTTGGTACTCATTTTTCCTTTGAATTTTGATTGTTTATCAAATGGAAATAATAATCATAACATAGGAAATTGCAGCTTCCAAGAATTATGTACCTACTTTATACTCTGCCAAGAAACGAAACCACCATTAGTATTCAACACCGATTATTCTGCATGAATCAGAGACGCAGGTCGGAGCAGGCATTTCACTATTATTACCATTTCTATTCGAGAGGTACTATTCATCCAGAACATTCAACCATTCAATCGTGTACTGACGATTGTCTAAAAAGGTAAAAATATAAAAATCGTAAATAGATAAAAGATACCCATAGAATTGGTCAACTGGGCAGTCCTTAGCGACGAAAGGACAACGAAAGTAATAATATGGTATTGATAAATAATGGATTCCCTTCGACTACACACGCTATTTCCATCGCCGCATGAAACCAATCAATATCTTGTCGCAGACATACATATATTAGCGTTTTTGCATATTGTGAATTCGTCATACGTCAGACATGGTTCATATTTAAGAACCCAACCCCCCGAGGGGGTCCACCTTTGGGAATAAGAGGGGGAAGGAGGGTTGGTCTTTCCGGGTCTCATTTTACCCCTCTTTCCCAGTCCAAAACGGTAAAGACGACTCGTCGTAAGTACGTATGTATCTATTACATAAAAGCACATCACATAAATACTTATCCACCACCATTGACCAAACTGACTTCACTTGACTCTTGGTATAAAAAACTGGGTTTTGTGTCTCATGTTCTCTCATCATTCCATTCCATTCTACATGCATGGAGCCAGCACGGATTGTCTGGATTCTAGCTAGACTTGTTTAGCTAGAGCCAGAGGAAGCAACTCTTTTCATTGCTTTTCATATGTAGTAGTGTGCACATTTATTAACATCTTTCATGTGTTAATAATAACCATAGTTAAAATTAGAGGGGAAAAGAATAACCACACACGCACGTAACAAGTAGATACGTGGGTCAGTCGGTGGGAGAGTGAGTGGAATATTTTTTTTTACCAAGGCGTCCCAATGGAGAAGTAAGGATTTACAGCAACAGCAGTAGTTTTTGTAGTTCTGCATGGTTTCTTAAATCAAAACGAGTCCCGGTGGCCGCTCGTGGTCAATAATTTCCGGAATCAAAATTATCAGTAGGATTGGAATGGAATGAGATAGTAACGAAAATACAGTTAAATCGGACCATGTGAAATGATAGAATTACATATTGAGACGACAAGACTGTAAGTATATAAATATTTCTTCATTTTTAAAAAATTATTCCTACCCTTGTTATTATGCATGGATTAGATCAAAAGCCAGCTGACAATGTGCATGCCTAGTTTGCTGTTATAAGTATGAGAAGACTAGATTATACAGTGCATAATCATCCCCTATTCACGAGCTGGCAGAGAATAGCGAGAGACCCTTTTCCATGATTTTTTTTCATGTCTTTTTTCTATTCAATTTAGAACAATCTTGGATGACCCGATTCTTCAGTCATCACCTTCATCACCCGACGCAGACGAAGAAATGGAGAGCTGGAGAAAAAGAATATCATCCCAAGGCAAGCTTGTCGATATAGGAAATCTACTCCACGACATTTGGCTTCACCACACGAGAATCTTTCCACTCGTGATTGTCATCGTCATCTCGACCTTTGCCCTCTTCGATCTTTACCTATGCTACTTTGTCACTTCCGTCCTGGACGGGTCGACCCTTCCCCTTTCCCTCAACTCGTCGGACCACCCCTGCTACAGCTCCCCCTTCTGCACCATCAATGTCAAGAACCTCATGTTGGACCCACCCGATTTTTACGTGCACAACACCCTCTCCTCCCTCTTTGTTCTATGGGCGGATTTGGGAAATTCGTACCTCTTCATTACACCCAATATGATCTCTTTCTTCCATGTCTTTGTGGCACTGATGGCGAGCAGGCTGATATCAAATGACTCCCTCTGCGTGAGAAGGATTGGGGTGTTGCTCTTTCAATTTCGAAACTTTCTGGACGCTGTGGATGGCGTTATTGCCAGAGAGCGGAGAAAAACGGTAGCTCTAGCGTCGGCAAATCTGATGATTATGAATCAAACCTACTCCTCAATTGGTGGAACAGACAATAACATTTACTACCCTCCTCCTGATGGGATTTCGATGGATCAAGTCAAGGAGTACAAGTCGTCAGAGAGTTTGGGATACTGGGTGGACGGAATTTGCGACGGTGTGGGTGGAATATTTTTATACCTCGCGTGTTACTTTTATCTCCAGAGGCACCCTGTCCGTAGACGTAGCTTATTCTCCTATACGGCCATTCCCCTCATTGTGTCGCCAAGGAATGGTGCCGTGTCGTCAACCCATGTCTCCAAGAAGAAAAGACAAAAGAGACAAAAGAAATTATCAGCTAGCTACTTATCCCGACAAATCATTCGATCCGTCCATCGGTACGGATTTTTATCAATTAATTACGGATTTCAAGCCTTGCTTGGCTCCATCGCTTGGAATCGGTTCATCCCCAACTACACGAAGCTCTTGGAGACAAATGCATCCAACTTTTCTTCTCATGAGACCCAAATGAAAGGCAACCTCGTCACGTCGCCCATCATGTGGATGGTAATACTGGCTTGGAGATATGTGAATCCTCACACGTGGGTGGAAATCCTCCTCATTGCCATATTCTTTGACAGGACTGGAGAATTTTTGTATGCATTTAGAATTCGAGGATTTCTTGTGGTAATTGCAATATCGATGCTCACAGAGGCACACCTACGATATGCTCGATCTCTGTTTTAGCTCTTCTATGTTGTATTCAAGCAGGCCAAAATTTGACAAATGTAAAACTATTGAACTTAATATGTTTTAGACAAAAAAAACATACGTCAACTCAAACTGTACTACTCGACCTGTCTGACTCAGTAATTAATTATTGTATAGCCGGGAGACACAATGTTCATTAACATAACATCACATATTGTTGTACTGTACTTGTTTCTACTCTATTTATTGGATAATCAAAATATGTGATGATGATCTGCTTTAGATCTGTCTAATCTGTCCCGTGATATGTTTATATAACTCAAATGACTATATTATTACACAAATGACATATATAGCATGTTACTATAATTGTTATTTACTTACTCTATATATGTATATCATTTATGACTTTAAATTCCTTCCAGGCTAAAAGTACTGCCTGCAAAGTATTTTACTATAGCTCCCTCCTATCAGTTAAAATTTATAAATAACGTGTGAAAAACAGTGATAATCAAGGGAATTCCAATCATTTTAGCAGTGAAGATAATCAAACGACGTGATCGCAATAAGCAACGAAATTCTTCTTTGATTTGGTGTAATTATACTCTTCTTGATGCTTTTTACAAATTCCATTATATATTTATGAATGTAATTATGAATAAAAATAGGTTATGATATTGATGAGTTTACCCAATTTTATACTACTTCGTGCATCAAGTCTACCATCCAAAATATGATATACTGCAATTCATGGGATACAATCACCTTAATTACACATCATATTAACGACATATTACCTGCGGAACTTGTGTGCTTTTCCCACAGCCTGTTTCTCCCACGAGGACGAGGGTCTGGTATTGTTGCAAAAGGTACAGAATGTGATCCTTATTTTGATAAATGGGCAACTTTTTCTTCTGCTGGTCCAGCGATAAGGACAGAAAAGGGTTGAATATGAAGGTCGTCCCATTGTTTGGGTCAATATCGGGCTTATCTTCCTCCCAGGAGGCATCATCTGCAGTAACGAAACGATACAAACATTAATTCTTGACAAAAACATAATATGTAATGTAATATTTACCGGCTGGTTTTAAAAAGTTTAGCCTTGGTTTTCCTCCCCCACTTCCCCCAGATCTATTTGACGAGTTGCTGTGATAAGCCATAGGGAAGGCCTTATGGTAAATTAAAATTGGCACTTTGAAACCAAACCTAGTCAAATTTTATAGTTAAAAGAAAGCCAGTTAAATCTTTAACAAACTCTATCCGAATTTATTTACCGATCAGAACGAAAAACATTAGCTCCCGCTCCCGCCGCACCAAATTTTTATGCCTGAGACAGTGATGTTTGACTATGAAAATGCAACGAATCGTAATTATTATTATTACATTGATAAGTGCATGCGAACAAGGTATCAAGTCATCATGATTATTAGGATAAGGGATGAAATCATCATCTTCATTCATGACATGAGTGAGAAGAAAGATTGTGAAGTAGATTGCACATTATCCTTACTTTCAAAAACAATAGAACATTTTATTACAGTCGTACGATATAAATTCCCACATCTCGAGACGGAAAATAGAAGAATATTTTGTAAACTTGAATTACAAGCATTGGTTGGTTAGGGAATAATAATAAACCATGACAGGATCTACATAATGTAATAATACAAAGTAAACTTTAACAATAGTAATTACAAAGCCCAACTGTTTCCCGTAAAATACTTGAAAATTACTACAGGATATTTATTACCACCAAATTATTGAATGTTTCTAAGAGGTATTGCTTAAATAAAATAATAAGATTAACATTAACATTGATTAACAATTAAGACTAATGCTAAGTTAATCATCTAGTACGTAACAGTAGAGATGAGTGGACAGTACTAGTACATACATACAGTACATAAAGACGAGGAAAATGGATGTCCAGATAGATTTAGATAATTTTGAATTTGGTCAGTAAGTATGTATAAGCATATCTAGGTCTAGAGGAGGGCTTGAATTCATTTTGAAAAGAAAAGTAATGATGTAATTCTTGTATTTGATGACGATGAATTTAGTTCCTTTTTTTCAAGTAACTCAGATTTGAATCTAAAATGGAAACAGACATCAGTAATTTTAACAACTTGAAAATATTATACGTTTTATTACCTGATAATAAACCATCATACCGGAAGAGACGGGGTTTTTAACGACGTTCCCGAGAATCCGAGCGAGAGCGGCGACCACGGGATCGTGATCTGGAATGTGAGCGACTTCGGCTCCTCGAAAAGCGACGCCTTGCTGCTGGCGACCTAGATCGGCTGAAGACAAGAGAACCAAAGATTATTGCTAATTAAAGGTAACACTTTACTCGCCTAATCAAAGACAACGAGAGTAATAATAATTGAATTAGAGAAAACTCGCTTTTAGTTAAAAGGGCAAAATTTTTACTTTCTTTTGCGCGAGCACACTTTTTGAAATAAAGTTTAAATATTACTATTCGATTGGAATTAGTAGTAGTTTACATTACTGAGGAGGTAGACGAATAGTCGAGTGCGGAAGTGGTGGGTTGGGGAGTGGAGTTTGACTGATTGTGATGTTTTAAAAGAAAGTGGTCGAAACGATGGATGGATGGTTGAATTACACCGCTGTGGATGCCGCGATGGGGATGAACGAATGATGAAGGTTACATCATTTTACAAACGGCGTCGGATTACATGAGATCGGAGATATCATGCTGAGCGACTGATGAGGGACGATATTGAGGTGTTAAGTAGCAAGGATCATCCCTGATGATGCTGATGGTGAAAATTTCTTTTTCGGAGTTGGCGAGAAAAAAATCAAAGATAAACGAGGAGGATGGAGTACGTGGTGGGCGGGTGGATAAGTGAGAGCGAGGTTGGATAAAGACAACATAAAGCGCCTGTAGAATAAAACTAATCAATAGAAAATATAATGAAATTAAAGACAGAACATATGTGAAACTACCCAAATGACGGAACCTTTGAAATGCTGAGATGATGATGATGATGTGGGTGTGATGGGTGGGGGTAGACACAAAGCGGCTCCTAATATCTCTCTCTTTCTCTCTCTCTCTCCTACGGTATACAACTGAAGTTGGTGATGGTGTGCGTGTAGGTAGTAGCTAGATAATCGGCTGGCTGTTTAAAGAACCCACAGGAAGGGGTGGATAGATGGATTGGTAGGTGGGTAGGTGAGAGGGGTGTCATATCTCAAGTAGGCCCGATAATAGGAGGTCAATCAATCGTTGATGTCATTCCCAGCCAGCCAGAGAAGTAACTACTGTGATCAGTTGCTGTGCCATTTGCCTCTGAGAGAGGGGGTGTGTAGTTTTGTCGTAGCGTTGGTTGTCTGTTTCTACCCGTTTGCAATTGCAAAAGAAGACGGAAGGCCGTCGAATGAGTCAGTAGTAGTAAGTCCCCGTCGAAGAAGCGATGAAAGCTTCACCAGGGTGTGACTTGCTGCTGTCTCAGGACCCTTAATACTCCCACCGCGAATGCAGAGGAAGAGTCTTTCATTCAAGTAACCAGTAGACACTTGAAATGTGGAAGAAAGGGTCGTGTCGTACTCAGGCAGACTGAACGTAGGATGTGTTGGATGGTTTTCAAGGTGTGGAAGATTAAAGTTGTTGCGAAGTTAACGCTTAATCTAATTCAAGTGCGAAAAGTGGGGTCAGACATTATTATAATTGAAATTGATAATAGTACGCACGCACTCTTAACAATTTTCTCACAAATCAAAGAATATCTACTAATCAATCTGCTGCGTTCTCGTTGTAAACAAACCTTTGCTCTTAGAAGTTGATTTTTGAAAACTTCTGAATACTAATCAATTCGCCTTGCTTATCATCAAAGGTATTTCATATGGAACCATACCATAACTGATAATACCCTCTGCATTCTCTTTTTAGCCGTTCTTCTAATTCTACTAATAATGACTGCTGAATAGGAACCGATATCCCCACGATGAATAGTAAAACAAACTACAAACCTTCTTCCGCCACCATAACCACGATCACCACCTCGCCTTGGTGGAGCAGATCCTCGCCCACGACCGGAAGGATCTATTTAACAAAGTAACACAATTAAACTATACTTTGTCTAACTAACAATCATCATTAGAATCTTAACAAACAAATGTGTACTCACTGCGCCCAGTTGACATTTCAGCACGAATCCTTACCCCACACAGGCGACTATAACAATACAAAAACTACAGCTCACAACCAAAAACTCGTATATTATCCTAATTTATCTTAATTTTAAATATTGTACTACAACTTACGTCCCATCAAGATGACGGACTGCATCCTCAGCATCTGCATCGTTATATCAAACATATCATCATACAATTCCTTTTTTTAAAAACTCTTTAAAAATATGACCCACCTCGAGGATCTTCAAACTCAATGAACGCAAATCCTGGTGGATTTCGTGCCACCCAAACGTTCTTCAGAGGTCCATACTTGCCAAAGGAACTTTCCAGTTCGTTCTTGGACGCACTGTTCCCCAAGTTCCCAACGTAGACCTTGCAAGATAAGTCCCAGTCGCGATGACGAGACATTTCTCCTGCAATCGTAAGTCCGTTTATTCCTGCAATAACAAAACAAAACATTGGATTATTCAACTTCACACACGTGACAAGTTGCTGGGAAGATTGGGGGAATATGCCTACAATTTCGAAACCTTACCAAAATTAGAAATAAATTGTTTTTGAGGTGCCCGTTGTTTAGCTGGCTGGAGAGAGACTGAGAGAGAGCGAAGCTGCGAGTGCTACAGGGCGGAGAGTCAAAAACCTGAGTGGCGTCGTCCTCATCCACCACCAGAGAGAGACAGCACAGACTCGTCACTCACCACCGAGTCTCACTTTCCCCCGTCCCAACTTTCTCCCAACATTCCTTTTTGTCTCAACTTTCTCCTCTCATGAATTTGTGCATACTTTTTTACGTAAATTTGGAGCAATTAAGCCGAGTATTTATTATTTAATGGTATGAAAAGAAGAGAAATTTTCCAGCAGCGTTAAGGAAGTATATACTGAATAATGAAGAAATTGATTGTCTCAAACTGTTGAAAATAATTTCTCATGTTGATTGATAGCGAATGTTTGTATCTTATGAAAGAAAACTATACTTCTTGCTGTAAAGAGATGACTTTACTGTCAACAAATAATATTTATTAAGTATTCATTTATTTAGTAAATATGAGAAGGAATGCATATTTTAGATGTTGTTGTTCTTGTTAGTCACCAGTCACCGTATTATCTCATCTTTCAACTCTAATCGCAGCCCAACACGTCATAAATACTAGTCCGAAGGCTGAGTGGAAAAATACAAGAAGTAGAAATTATCGAAACTGATAATTTTGTATTATGTTCGAATTAAGACACAATTCAGAAATTTACATATCGTTCAATATATATATTCCGGTTAGAATAGAACGAAAACATCTTCAGTAAGATTGATCCAATAAATTTACTCCAAAAAATGCACTCTTGATCGTTTCAAGACTGACTTATAATTAGTTCTAGGAATCTTGTATGTATGTATTTATGTATGTACGTACATAATAAATAAGAAGAAACCCCAATTGGGTTTACATGAATTTCAAAAGTTGATCAGAAAATGCCAAGCTGTCAATATTTTCGACATTTCACAATTTATTGCTACTGGTTTCTTCTTCAACTTGAGCTTATTCCACTAATTTGTTTTCCTTATTTTGCCGAAATTGAAAATAAGCCAAGAATATAGATGGAATATGGATTGATGATTAATGAATCTCTTCTGTCGGACGCACGGCTTGGATTGATTTCTAACATTCAGATTGTTTCTTCTCTGCATGCGCATAGGACGAAATTATAGGAGGAGGAGGGGTCATTATCCAAATTTTAATTTAAAATGTCTAACCAAGAACCAAAAATAGGTGCGGTTTTCAAAAAATCAAACAAGACAAATTAACAAATGGCTAGATTTGGCAAAGATGGCGAGATCTCTTTGTGAGACAAGATTTGAATACAAATTCTAAAGAGATTCATTTCATGGTCAAAAGTAATTTGTTGCTTCATTACGAGTAAATGTACAATTTGTGTGTAGAGTGGTTTGGTTTTGAATTTATATGTTGCTCATGAATGCATCCTTTTTACATACATGTGCATTTGCAATGGTGAATACCGCCTATTTAATTTTATATTGGCAATTAATTTAATGCCTTCTCAGTTTTCACCCCAACCCATTCTCTCATATCAACCACTCACAAGGAGAATTATGACAAAGGACTCAGCAAATGGTTCATTTAATTCTTAATTTATTATTGTTCAAACCAATGACCACCACCATACACGCTTAAAGTACTGCTCTTCTTAAGATTCCTCAACAAGAAAAGCGTGGTTTGCGCTTGTTTGGCTCAAGATTAGTTGAATTTGCTTGTCTTTACAGGGAATCAATTCTCTTGCAAGTTGGAGCAATAAAATACAATTAGGAACAACTAGGCCGCTTCACATGCATATTTACGTATGCAGTCGAGGCGATAGCGATACATGGGATTGCAATGATAAAATATAAAAACAGTCCTTACGAAGAATACTTACATGCCTAACATGAGATAACATGAGACTTTTGCATGTTTTGGATAACCCATAAATAGGTTTCTTCCTATGAGAGTTGTGTGCAATACCTACGAGGACATGTGCCATTCAAATATGCCTTATTCAAATTGATTTGTAACGTCTTGTTTAGTGCTTAGAAATTCAATTCAATAACTCAATAACTCAATATGAACGTAGGAATTAAAAATGGGTATAGATAAACACATCAATTCGAGAATTGCACCATATACTAATAATTTAATCGTTTCTTCTTATACAGCAGATTGTAAATTAAAAATGAGACACTTTGCCAATTTATTTAAAAGTATTCCGAGGACGATGAATTTTGTAGTTTACAAAAATCGAGTCTATAATATGGACTCCATATGCGATTGATTCTTTTATTTTTAGTATCATATTACTTTCTACGAATTTTACGCTTTTATCAATTTTTGTTACAATAATAAATCTCATGTTGCATTTGCAAAAATTTTTCTCTTTGTTCAATTTTTTACCTGCTTACGATTCTTAGGATTAGTGTGCAAGAAATATTTGTCACTGATTCATTTCACCAACTTCCCGTTTCGGCTGGTTTTAAACCATCATTCACTGTTCGTGTAATAATCATGGATGTCATGCAACTAAAATTTATCGCAACTTGGTAACTTAAGAAATCGTATTATTGTACTTGTGGATGATGCTACATCAATAAGTTACATATTCCCACCCACTCAAAGTTATTATCAATTTAATACTCATGTTTGATTTGCAATCCTCTCCTCAGTACAACAGTTAAAAAGTTTATTGCGAAAAAATTGCAAGTAATGCCCGTGTAGATCTTCCGCATATCAAATTGACCTAATCTAGCAGCATGAACCTACAGATATATAAATCTGATAAGGATGCGATAAATATCAATGCAAATCTAAAAATACTTTTTGGTGCACAATATACATATCAGTTTATATTTGTGTCTCTATGATTTACGCATTTTTCTACCCTTTTCTTAAGAAACTGCATATCGTATTATTTTTGTGCCCTAAATATGTCACTAGTAATTTTTCACGACATTGCGAATAATATATTACATGTGGTATCGATTATGGAGTTTAAATTGCAGACAGATCAAACATCTTGTCGCCGTTTAATTATCGTACTGCATACAGTTTATTGCTTGTTTTGGATTTATTGTAGGCTGCCAAATTTAATGGTGAAATATTTGCATACATATCGCTCGTAACATCCTCACTCACAAGTGACAATAAGCACCAAAGTACATAAGATTGGAGTCCAAGCAACTATACTACTCGTATTAAAACGCAATATGTCCAGCGTGAAGATATGTACTAAATAAATATCTTCCGATAGCATGGTTGAGATCAATACTGGTTTTCATTTACTGGTTTTCAAACACATTTTCTATACGCAGCAGCTACTAATTTTACATTGAATTTACTAATTGGACACAGTTCGATAATAAAATGAAGCGATATGCACGAAAGGCTTTTCTTCTTCTCTTCACATTATAAAGGAACTAATTTAATGTCTCTCCAAAACAATGGGAATCACCCTGCAAATATTTAAGAAGTTACCTAAGTGGAAAGCAACCTCTTAATGCTCAAAATTTTCCCTCCTGTTAAATGGAAAGAGCCTCTCATTTTACGTATCGTAATTCTATGTAAATTTCCTATCAGTGATTGGTCTTATTACATTTTTGACTCAATAATCTGGAAAGCTTCAGTTCTGACTCCAAGTTTGACAGTCTATTCTCATCTTCTGCTTTGTTACTATTAAAAAATCGCTAACATTACTAGAAAATTAAATTTTGCTGATGACGAATTAGGCCCAGTAACACAAAATGTAGAAAACCTACAGTGCCTACTATTTAAATTTAGCCTGAGTCACGTACCGAGTCCGCTGACCGCTCCTAAATTTTTGTCCCAATTGATCGGCGTATTGTACCCAACCTCCGGGGTGGGGAAGGTTATCTTTGTTAGATATTTTCTATTATTCGGTAAAACTTTCTTACAGTATTAAGAAGTCCTTCCCCTTGACCAGTGGGGTTTTTTATTTGTAAAGACGTCCTTGGGAAAATTAAAAACAATTTATTTATGTATGTTGCCCTGAAGCCAAAACTGTACCAAAGAGGAAGCATGGGTGGAGGACCTTTTAAGTCCATAAAAGCCTTGATTGCCATGTCGTTTTTAAAAATGTATGTTTTATGGAAGCGTTAACTTTAATTGTGAACAAACCGTTACAACGAATGTAACCAAGGGATGAAAGCAGTGTCACATGTCAAAGTGAATATCATACTATTTTCGAAAATTGACACGTCTGAGGTGTCAAATTTAACCCTGTGTAACCTTTGAAGTCATAGAGGTCCCCATTGTATTCGGGGTTAAATTTCAGTGCAAATTGATATAGGTATGTATCATATTTAAAAGTTGACGACCTTTTTGTAACCTTCAAGCGACCTTTCGTGACCTCTGAGGTCATAATGGAGGTCACCATTGAAATCGGGGTTAAATTTCCTATTCAGTTGATATATCTACATTTTGACCTTTAAATGATATTTTGTGACCTTTTGACCTTGAAGGACATTACCAACAGTGTCCATCTTCGAACTCGTTCTCCCTTTAATAAATGATACTCTTTTTATATAAAATTCCAGCATTATAAGTTATATACCGTAAATACTCTATTTATGGCCGGGGCTAAAATCCAAAACTGATTGTCACGGACCCGGCTACAATTAGAGACCGGCTACAATTAGAGACCGGCTATAATTAGAGACCGGCTATAATTAGAGACCCGGCTAAATTTTGTTAGGCCCAAAATTTTAGATGCTACAAGATCATGCTGACTCAATTTTAGTTTTTTTTTATTTATCAAGATATGCTATTAGTAACCCATTCACTTTAAATCCACATCTTTAAACGAGGTTTAGCCGGTTTTTTAAATTTTCTGTAATGACTATATCCATTATTAACTTGGAATTAATAGGTAAAAATTAGTAGGTTAACTTATTCGTTGATTAACATAATGTGCAACATTTTTCTTGAATGGGCTATGAACCGGGACACAGCGGACAAGACAGGCCATAATTAGGGACCCGGCTATAATTAGAGACCCGGCTAAAATTTTGAAATTTTGGTCTCTAGACCCGGCTATATTTGGAGACCGGCTATAATTAGAATAGGGCTATAAATAGAGGTTTTACGGTATACGTCTATTATTTTAAGAGGTAGTTTGCCACCAAAATCCTAATTCAAAAATAACATTAGGAGGTAGGGTTCAATGGAGGGTACTTCTGAAATATTGGGAGGGTACTTCCCATTTTTTTGGAGAGGCATTAAATGCATGCCCATTATAAATATGTATTTACACACTTACTCTTAACTGCATCCGATATGTAAAACTTTTCTACGGACTTGTTCTGGACCAGGTTTCTTGGCGAATGGGAATGAGATCATCGGATTAGCGCCAGAGATTTAATGAGATAAGGAAAGGTATCAAATTTCGTCCACTCATCGTTGGGTTGTTGCATATACCATAAATCTTGATTTAATTATTATTAGAGGCACGTTTGCTTTTTATCTCCAAAGTGGTATGCTCCATATTTCCTCGTATGTACGCTCCTACATACAAATGTACATACGTGAAGATGCAAAATGATATCTACGAGGAGAGACCAATACGCACTAATTGATCGATCGACAAAAGTCTGCATAAAATAGAAATATACTGCTTTATCCTCCTTCATGACAAGGATGGAGTTATTGATCAATGGTACATATGCAGTCAAACCCGTTGAAACGATGCTACAGAAAAAGTCAACATCATGTCATTTTGTGCAACTGCTGTCCACCAAAAGTAGAAGTTGAGGAGTTGATGATGAGTTTTGAAAAAAGGGCTGAAATTGGGCTGTGCAGATTTAAGAGGAATAAAAGTTTTTGCGGGTGTGTGTGGTGCATGTAAATAAATGCGATGAGAGAGCACTCCATCGTCTCGGAGGTAGGTGATGGCTAAATTGTGGTCGTAAACTGCACATTGAGTTAAACTGCCAAATGAGATAAGGTGATTGAAGAAAGGATTGTGAATGTAAATTGCGTTCAAAATAGCGAGTGGGTTACATATATGCCTATTTAAGGGATATATTGAGAAATATGTATGTTTTAAAGGTGGAGCACAGTCAAATTCCAATTTTCTTTTGTGCTGATGTGGACGGCCGGTTTGGTTTCACCCAACAAAACAACTACGTCCACCACACAAGCGACGACCAGGTAAGCAGTCAAGTAAAGGGTGGAGTTTTCTTTTGACCAATTCAGGCTACGAGCTGTTACCTTCAAAGGACAAAAATCTTGACTAAACTAAAACTTATCTCTCTCCCTTCTCAATGAATGTCCTTATCCCACCCTTTCCTAATTCCCATTAAATGCCAAATCTGCCCTGTCTAATGTCTCATCTCTCCCTCCAGTTAATTACAACAGCTCTCTGAATAAATCTCGAGGCTGGTCAATACTGCTTCCATCGCAGTCTCAATCCTCCTCCTAAATATTCTGTCCCACACACATACACACTTATCCCACCACCACCCAAGTCAGATTCTACAAGAACTTTGAATCTTGTGAAATGAAAGCTCTCATTATTCCCATCCAATCCATTTACATGCATATTGCACCACGAAATCCTCTCCTGTTTCCGACACCTTATGAGGAATATTCTCCCAAATCTGTCTCACTTTCCCCACGCTGTGTCGAACATGACGACCAAGCCCAGCTTGTACAAGCTCAGCCAAGTTTTATTGAATCAGCATTAGTAAACCAAGTCCTCGGAAGGCAAAACCTACAAAAGGGAATAAGGATGTAAATAAATCCAAGTGGTATGCATGAGCTGAGCTGCAACGTGAATTAGTGATTTAGATCATGACAGGTCTCTGGTCTTGTCGGTGGAAAGAAAAGAAATGATATTCAAAATAGCTGCCGTTGTTGCTGCTGCTATTTTCTGCTGGCACAACAGCTTCCAATTTAAAAACTTATTCCATACCCACCCAAAGAATCCAATTACATTTTACCAAAAATCTTAACGAGAAATAAATATAAAATGAAATGTAAGCAACTGGGTTATGATTAATTGATTCTTTCGGCCCACACAAGGACCACAGGAACTGAGCCACCTAAGCATAACACATCCCATCCTCTTCTCTACATATAACCAACCAAATATCTAGGCGTAAAACTTCGTCGTGGTCATTCTTCTTCTTTCCTAATGTTTCTGCGAGGAAAAGAAGATCTCTCCGAGCGTGCATGTTGAGACTCATAATAAAAATAAAAATAATTGAAGAAAGAGGATTGAAAAGTGATCCTTTTGAGAGAATAGAATACATATTCACTTGACTCCACTCCCATCCATAACTCACACAGGATCACTTTTTAATTATATGCATTCACGTTATCTCCGACAATTATATCGTGACAAGACACACACACACTTGGTGACCTTCTCCTATGTCGCGATCCTTCTTTAGAAGTGTGAATGCAACGCAACAATATGTCATCCTTTTGCCAATTCTGCATATAAAATAATAGTCGCTCTTTTCGGTATGATGATAAGTAATGATGAAATCAAGTACAGTAAATATTGGCAGAAAAATTGTAAGGGTTAAGTCTCATATTTTATTTGTCCTCTTTTTGCTGTTGTTGTTTAATAGGATTAACGATGATAATAATAATATACACCACGCACGCACTCACTATTAACTAAACACTACTATTATTATTATACTTATTTGATAATATAATAACCCATGGGGCAGGGTGACTTACTGACTTGAGTTTTAAATCGACTTGTCAAACACAACAATAGGAGTAAAGTATCGATTCGTTGGTTGTTTGGTCACACGATTCATTGCTCATTTTAACACGCTGTGTGAGTATAAATGATTTTTTTCCCTCGTACCAATTACACTTCGCCCAATCAAGATAAATGATTCTGAGAGTGAGGGAGGCAGATATGCGGATGCTGCTTAGGTCTCTCTCCATGAACTATTGACGACAACATTGTCACATGAAAGAAATATGAAATGAAGTACTATTTGCATTATTTGAATGTCTGATTTCGACGGATGATACCGAGGATAAAATGTCGTTTTGTTGGATAACTCTTGCGAGGGGATCAGTCATTATGAATATGATGACGGAAGATACCGCGCACGGAGGCACAAGAAGGGCGTGATTTATGAGCTGTCAATTGTCATTGTTGGTTTGATGATATCTTTGGGTAAATTATTCTCATTATTTATCCATAAATATATAACATGGCGACAAAATTGTTCTTTTTCTCGTGCATATTTCGCTATTATACTTAAATGTACTTTTATGAATGAGAGGGAGACGTCGGAGGAGAATTGTTGTTGTTATTGTCGTCACTGCTAAAGTCTCTTCCTACCCTGTCGTCAATCTGCTCCACGTCCACCTCGTCGTCACTCCCATCGTCAAACGAGGTATTGTTGTCATCCGGGATTGTTGCGGGAGATGATGGCTGTGTGATAAGTGTCACTTCGGGCACCAGCTCGTTTGTCATCATTTCATCGTCATCTTCGTCCTCCTCGTCCTCGTCACAATCGTCGTCAGAGAAAACTGAGGACGGGTGGAGTTGGGAGTTGGTCGTAGTGGTGCTGAGATCCACGTCGGCGTCAACAATCCTTGTATCTTCCGGTCCGTCCTCTTCAGCTTCTCCTGTTGAATAAGAACGAGTAAAGTAAAATCCTAAATACAGATGTGTGAAAGCTCAAGAAAACATTACGCAAGAAATGAATGAAGGAACATAAAATGCACTGGTAAAAAGTCTTGTGTGTACATGCAGTAGTTGAATCAAGTTGATGTGCCATATCGGGAAATTAATTAAGACTTGTTAAATCCACATTAAGTAATAATAATACGCTACCTGAAGTAGTTGTAGCAGTCGGGTTGACAGACCCACTTGCACCACCAGACGAATCTTGGACCTGGCCACCACCACTACCACAATTGTTGCTGTTATTAATATCCTTCACGTTGTCGGGTAAATAGTCTCTCCAACTGCGGAACAAGTATCGTGTAAACTTCCGAAGCTGTCGGAACTTGCAGTACGTGGCCCCTTCGGCAGACTCGAGTTGTTGCGTCTGGATGAGGAAGCCCTTCTCTTTGAAAGTCTTCTCTAGCTTTTCTCTCATCAAACTCTTCCTCGTTCTCCGTTTCCTCTTGAGACGCAACAACTTCCGGCTCGTCTTGTACGCATCTAGCTCGAAAGGTGTGGCGGCACCCCCACCATTGAGAGAGGCATGACTCCCACTTGGTACCCCACCACCACCACCAGATTCAGAAGATTGCGAACTCGAATAGCCATCCTCTCCCCCGATGGGAAATTGAGACATTGAGGAAGACGAGGATGGAAATGCGAGTCGTCCATGAATATCCAGGAGGTTGTTTAGGTCTTGAACTGAAGGAGTAATGCCGCTACCCTGTTGTTGTTGCTGAATACTGAAGCCAGCAGAAGATGAGGACGACGAGATTCCATGGGTTGCTGTTGAGGAGGGTATTTTCGAAGAAGACCCTGCAGACGATGATTCGACGACCACTTGTTGAGACGTGGATGAAGGTTTTAGAGAAGATGGTCTCACAGGCATGCACACCGACATGGATTTCGCACTTTTTGGCAAAGCTGAATATGCGTAGTGACATCCTTGATTTGTTTCTCGCTCCGTCCGACTTTCTCCATCTCCGGAAGTAGAGGAGGACGAGAGTATGCTTTGAGCCTTGGCTGACTTGACTGTAGACGATCCTCCGACTTTATCCTTGTCTGTGTAAAATCTGAAATTACCTCCAGAGTCGACCGACAACATTTTCTTCTCTTGAAGGGAAGGTTTCGCTCCTCCGGTGAATTTGAACTTGCATATCGACACTTGAGCGCCTGAACTTGACCCCGAATCCGTCTGGCCAAATAGAGAACCTCCCGCACTTGAGGGTGGTTCTGCTGTCATTGGGGCATCGCCACCCATTTGTTGCTGTTTATTGAGACCCAAGTGTGACGACGACGATCCTCCTCCACGTATTCGGCGTGTCTTCTTACTCCCACACTTTGTCGTCTGCACTTGCGGAATCCCAGAATTATTTGGGAGGATAAACCCAAACGAGTCTCCACGAGAGGATTTATTTCGAAATGGAGACGACGAAGATGGTTCCGAAGAAGAGAGTTGAGCACATTTGGCAAGATTCAATTGAAAGTTAAGCTGATTGACTAGACCGGAATCACGAATTGCATTATTATTTTCACCACCAATACCACCATCAATGTTCACAAAACTGTTTGTCGTCGCGTTAGAATTATTGCTCTTGAACTTTTTTGAGCCAACTTCCACCCCTTTGCTGCCTTTCCTGGAGGATACAATTTCATGAGTTCCTTTATCAGGAGAGCAGGATACTGGTTTTAGCTGAAAGTCACTAAACAAGTTGGACGCTAGCAGAGGTAACTTGAGGTTCATCATTTCCGAACAGTTTTTACTACTTAAAGAATTTAAATTAAATTGGTTCTGCAACTGAAAACTTTTCAAAGAACTGCTGCTTGCATCACGAACACATAAATTTAGAGGTTCTTCAAAAGCACCAAGAGTTCCGTAATATGACGATCGTGCAGCATTGCTATTTTGAGATTCGAAACACTTTCCATTCGTATTTCCACTTTTATTCCCAGAGCTTTTGCTGGACGAGGAAGGAGGTCTGGTTAAAAATGAGGAGGAGGAGGGCGAGGCAAGACGAGATTTATGACGAGACGCAGTACTTCCAGCAGTTGGAGTGAGTGGAAGTAGTGCTGGTGGTGTGGAAGGGACGATATTCCAAGTTTGGGGGCAAGATGATACTCCTGACGATCCCTTACTTTTCTTGAAGGAATGCTTGCCACTTGTTGATTTGGAAGGTAACCCAACACTTTTCCCCATGAGACTACCCCCCTTCTGAGCAGACAAGGTTGTCGCAACGACCTCTGGGGGCCCCGTGTACGGCGTGTTGGTGTACGAGTTGGGGAAATGAATTCCATAATTTTTGGAAATGAGGTGACAAATGTCCGCCTTTTTGGGTTTGCGCCCTCGTCGCGGCCGAGTGTCGAAAGTGAGTTCGCCCATGTAAGGCAAATTATTCATGAGCAACATTGGAGCAAGGGTGGTAAGTTTCCGGTCGTCGGTCAACTTTAACTTTTTACCACCACCACCACCTCCACTGCCCCCATGCACGAGTTTAGTGGGGGGTGGAAACTTTTGCAAATGTTGGCCACTACTTGAGGTAAATTCACTACCCTTCCCGAGAAGTGGACCACCCGAATGTGGAACATTTTGTTGCAACACAATTCCCGTATTTACCCTGAATCCGGACTCGCTTTGGTTGTTTTTCGTCACTCTTTTCCGTGACACGTGCTCTGGCCCGTGCTTATTTCTAACGTCCAGTCCAGTAATTTTCTCTTTACCTTTCTCCCCTTGATCAACTGACGGCTGGATAATACTGGCTTCGTCAGTCTCCTCCTCGTCTTCCTTTAGTTCACTTTTCATGGATTTATTATTATTCTCTACGATAACATCTCCACTTCGAGTTCCATTACCACCACCACCACTTTCGTCGTCAGTCCTCGCGACAACCACTAAGTTGTCACCAATACTGTTCTCATTCTCAAAAGTGTCGTCACAACCGTTCGTCTCCGGAAGAAAAGCGGGGTCTTGGCTGGTCTCGTCGTCGTATCCGTCGTCCTCGTTTCCCTCTTTACGACTTTCTCCATTCGAGTGAACTTTTCTTATTGGAATGCTTGGAATCTCGGAAGCGTTCTCTCCAATCTTTATTACAATCCTTTCATCCGCTGGGGTTGTTGTTGTCGTTGCGGAAAAAGATTCCTCACCAAATGTTTCCAAAATGTTGGACAATAACAGATTTGTAATCTGACTTGAAGATGAGGAGGACGTGCTGCGGGTTTTTCTGTCGGTGTAAGCGATTTGTGTTGATGTTGCTGCACGGAGTCGTTTAGATCTACTGGTCACTACAGTTTCAAGCATCGATGTTGATGACGATGATGATGGTTTTAGTGGACGCGAAGTCGTAGTTGAAGAAGAATCATCACCACCATTATTGTGCACATCAAGTCTTTCTTGGTTTTCTTGGTGGAGGTGATCTCGTTGTTGTTGTTGGGAGGAATCCACGTCTTCTTCTTCTTCTCCTCGTTCCAACAATGGGACAAAGTCAGGCTTCCTGCCTCGATGTAGTAATTTCCGTTTTCGTTGTTTTCTCCTGCCAAATTTGGCCCTTGGCTTTTTCTTCTTAACAGGATTCAAGGTTCTGTCCATTCCTCATTGATCAGCCTTCATCAACTTGGAACGACGTCATGATTATTGAAAATACAAGAAACGTAGAGGAGAGGAGAGGACTTTAATAATTATTTTTTAAAATTACTATAAATTTTACTTATTCCTCATAGAAAAAAAATTACCAAACCTCTTACCAAACGAACAAATGAGAAGATTAAAATATCCAGTAGGCGTTAGATAAATCGAGTAATGAGCGAAACTAAAGATTACATAGTTGCTCTAAATAAACAAGTTTTATGAATCAAAACGGCTATAAAAGTTTCAAGCTATGGTTTAGCAGTCGACAGAATTATTTACAAGTATTTTCACAAGTGCAAGAGCAACAAGTTGATGGCCGAGAAAGAAAGTGAAGACGAACAAGAAGAGACGGAATAATTTACGTACAACGAAAGGAAAACAAATCCGTGTGTACCTACTGCAAGGAGAAGAGAAGAGAGGTGAAAACGGAAAATAAGCAGAATATAGAAATAATAGTGAACAACACGAAGAAGAGACGACGACGGAGAATCTTCTTTGGTGAACGCTACAACAGGAAAGCGTTCAGTTTTGGCTACGACATCCAAACGAGCAAAATTCGCTGGGCGATGAAGAGCGAATTTAAACCGTAGGAGCACGTCGAGTACGAGAATGTGCAAAGAATATATCCGTCTCTTTAGTCTTTATTTAGCTGTATACTTTGGTCTGCAAAAGTCAGACTTGGAAAAGAAATGATCCAACGGAGGAGGCAAACCAGCTCATTTTAGGGGGAGGAGAGAGCTTGGAGGCGAAAGTGGATGGCCAAATTTTTCGCACAAGCTTTTCTTCACCCATCGCCTCTAATGTCAACTCCAACTCTTCTTCCAGTCATGGCCATTAACGAACTATGTCTTTTTTAGCTTTGAGAGACACCCCACTCACTTCCTATAATCTTGCAGAGACAGCAGTGGTCTGAAAAAAGGCTTGCTTTCCTAGAAGAATACGCCGTCCCTGACGGAAATATGCATGTGCAATTAATAATAACCTTTGTGTGAACAGCATGCGAGGAACAACAAGTCCTTACTCTATTTATAGGAAGATTTAGTGCAAACTAGAATTGCACGTACAAGTTCAATGTTTCAATTTCCAATGCACATACATAATTTTTGAGCGAGAGAGAAATTGTGAGAAATTCAAAATGGCATCATTTGCACGCCAAATAAGGCAAGAGACGTTATAAACTTGTGCATAGCACTGCCGGAAAACCGAACTGGGTCTATTTTGGATTGGTGGTGGAAGAAGATTGCAGAATTTTTCTTTCAGATTGTATCACCTTTCAGTTGGCTATGTATGTAGGAAGGACTTGCAGCTTTTCTTTACTCGCAGTACAAGTAGTAGAACTTTTTCAGCCAATATTCATCTTCTGGTTTATATGTACAAAGTTAGCGTTTAAGCCCACATTCACATTCTTTGATCCGCCTCAAGTACAGCGTTGGAGCCAAGACTTGTGCTGCACGCATCTTTTAATTCCGGCCAAAAGTTGATACTTTATCGGAAGTTAAATATCGCATGATTCCAATGATGGAATGATGATCTGTATCAAGTTAGTATTTAATATTGTCCAATTTAGATGGTCGTTAAATCTAAGTTAGTCAGCAATTTTTGATGCATTTTCATCGCATACATGCATACATTTGCATGCTGTGAAAGAAGCCGAGGTTCAACAAGTCTCAAAATCCCTATTTTAGGCACACAGCTTGATGTATGGAGCCCAAGTGTCATTCGGAAGCAGAAGAGTATAAATGGAAGACAGGTTGCAGGGGAGTCACTGCTGGAAATTGGCATCCACTTTGAAACATGCTTTTTCGGTTGGCCAAAATTGTGACGCTGAAACCGAGCTATAAGCTTCTATAAGCGCAGAATAAAATGCGACCATGCGGATGTGCGGTAAAAGAGTTTGGAATAAGTGTGGCTAAAATTTTGGCTTCGTGAACGCAATATTCGTCGTCGTCTTCTTCTTCTTTAGTTCTTTCCCATTCATGCCCGCCCGAGGATCACATAGCTTCGTCGTCGTCCATGTAGAACAGGGTGAACTCCTTTTAAGGAAATTTGGAGCGATTTGGGTTTTAGGGAAAATACAGCAAGTGTTGAAACAACTATAACAAACCCATTTTGTATTTACCTACACGGATAATTAGTGCTTTTGCCCTGTAACATTTATATACATGGATGTTTCGATGACATGACGAAAAAAAATTAAAACATGATTTTCTTCTCTCCACCACCCATCAAATTATGGTAAGTCACTTGGCAGTATTATTGAGTCATGTAAACTAAACCATAACCTCGAGGCTATAAAGTCATATCATCGGAAGAGCATCGAGGTGCGTACGCCTTGCATTGTTTGTCTCTATAATTGCATATGCCTTAATTCCTTCGCAGAGCCGTTTCTTCAAAGGAGAAGGAAACTGGATGAAATGTGAAACATTTTATGTCAAACCATATAAAATTCACTAATTTCCTTGTCGATCCTTTTGATACGACAGAAGACGTTGCTTTATGCGGATTGAGATTGACGTAGAATTAAGCATATCTCAATCTGGGTAGGTTGTCGAGAAAAAAATGAGATGTGCGTTACTTGTCTTTGTAATTGCCGATGTGATGAGTGGAGTAAAAAATTTATAAAATTCAAAATAATTAAACTAGGAAAAGTTAATTATTACTTATCAATTTTAAGCAATTAACATAATGGTTTTGCAAACATGGATAAATCGCGCATGGAGTTAATCTTAATGAAATATTAAGAAACTACTTTAGTTATAATATTCGCAACCGGCTCCTCCATTTTCCAACCAAATCCATAATGTTTTGTCATCCATTATGCAACGTAAACCTTCTTCTCACACACATTGTTCTATTCTCGTCTTCCTTTCCAGTTTTCTCACCTTCTGCGTACACATGTATTTTTAGGGAAGCCAGAAGAGGAGAGTTCTGTAAAAATGGTAGTAAGTAGACGTTTACTACTTTTACTACTTACTTACTACTACTCGCCTACTTCTCTTTTGTGTACGTATTACATAAGGAAACGAAGCCAGCGGAATAAGATTTCTCAGAAGAAGAACGTGATCCAAAATGCAAACTGCTATTGCACCACTGGCTTAATCATTAACTCACTAACTCCGAGGATCCGCATATGCTTTCGACTTTAGTAAATCTATCCGTATCGTCATCATCATCATCATCGTTCCGTTTGCTCTGGGATTGTCTTTATCGGCCGACAACGTACAATTTATTGCCAAATGTGAGTAAAAGTTTTTTGGAATTGCGATGCCATGCGTGGGCGACACATATTGATAATATTACTCCTTCGAGCATATGTACAACTTTTTGAACCGAATTATTCCTTCCTTTTGCCCATTTATTGATCTCTAATAAGTGTATCGTAAGCAGTTTAAAAGATGAAATGCAATTTCACATTTTTTCCGATTCGTCGAGTTTGTTTCTTTTAAAAGTAAAAAAAACTGGTAGATTGGCAACGACGACGAGGACGATGACAAAACTCCAATTAAAATTTTCATCTTTATTTGGATAAACTTGTGTGGTACGTAGTTTGACTTGAATTTGGTTTGGTCAACTTTTAATTATTTGTACTCGAGTAATGACAGATTTTGACAACATAACACAAGCATGCTTCACTTTTCAAGAGAGAGAAGTTATGCGAGTGAGTGGGCTATTATTGCCATTGTCCCAATGACTGGTCGAATACGAATATGTAAGAAGAAATGACGACGACGACGAGTGAGTAGGAGACCAATCAATTGTTGTATAACAGCACACTTTGCTGCTTTTTGGGATATTGAAATATACTTTTAACTACGTTTTTGGTATTTTGTGTCCCATGTTTTTATTGTTAATTCAAAAAAGTTGTTTCATGGAGATGGGTTGACAACTTTCCAATCCGGCGTATCTTTTACTTTGTATGAAATTTCATCTCGCAATCATTCCGTTTGTGCGTACTGCGTGGTGTGCTTGCACTCATGCAATTTTAACTAACAACAAGTTGGCTTCAAGTGCCAATCAATTAACACCCCAGTTAAAGAAGTGTGTATGTAAGAATGGATGAATATGTGATGTAAGGATGGAAGTGCCTTCTTCCTTAACTGTTGACAATCAAAATGAAGAACATTATTTACTGCGGAACACTTATCCCTCCCACCACAAACAGAAAAATATGTTGTGGGACTTGCCTAAAACGACACTAATGTGTTGCTATTATTTATTTTTGTAATAAAATAAGAGAAAAAAATGTATATTGTGTTGGGAATTATTGTCAGTTCTATACTTTCCGTGTGAACGTACAGTGTTGAATTACAATAAACAGTTACAAAATTATGTATCAATCACAACAAAGGCATGTACGTGAAGAGTTTTGATTTAATTATGGCGATCCCTATCCAACCGAAAACTTTTTTGTTGTCTTTGCATTTTAGGAGATTAGTGTGGCACAACTTGGAGGAAGTATGTATTGCATTTGTTATATTTCATATCTGTGAAGGATTTGCAAAAATTGCAAGCAAGATGGTTAACAGTTTTTAGATAATCAAGCAACCAAAATGCAAAACGTAAATTAAAGTTGGCAGTTTAGGTTTCGCACTGTTCGTATTAGTATTATTTTATTTATGTAGAAGAACTAGTATGGCTTTTAGTGACTAGTGTAGGACTACTACGAGGAAGGACTACTAATTATAATTCGCCTCTGTTGCATGTGAAAATGATGAATTGTTATGTTATCCCTTCTAAATAGTGACCTAAATGACTATCAACTTTTCAATTGATTGATTGGTGAGCTACTAAATGGGCTACTTATTTAAGTGACTGACTACTAGCACTAGTCCGTGAATTTATTTATTCGATATGCATAATGCTAAATTAGAAGACCATTATTACATACATTATTGCAACATATGTACATACATACAAACTAAAACGTAGCAGTCAATCAAAGTGGATATGAAAGCCTAACTCAATAAATAACTTATGCCATTACGGCTACCAACACACCAAGCTCATGAATACATACCTTGTAAATGAATTTGCATGAAAATGTTACAAATATGGCCAGAGTTTATTTTATTATTCTGAGCATCAAATTCTCAGGTTGTTAAAGGATGGATTGGATTGGGTGGCGAAGTTTGTGATAAACTGGACCAACTTTTCCTCATTGGTAAAGTTCTCATGGGCGACTTGACAAGTGGCGAAATACGTGTGTAAGTCGGATAGGGGAATAATCCTGTATATATTTTTAGCAACTCTTTGCACCAATAAGTTTTTGACTTACTTGTGTCATTTCACGTTTTTCTGCATCATTTTAGAGTCAAATTGGTTCCGTGGTTGTTGTCCATCCCTAAATATTTTGCCATCCTCACTTTCACCAAAAAGGTGTTTCCCCAGTTTTGAAGTTGAGAGCTGTAGCTGTTTGATAAAAATTGAGATAGTGTTTAGCATAAGTTAACGAGTAGTTTTAAATTTTGCGTGGGCCCCAGAATTCCATTGGTTCCTTCTTTATTGGCCATTGTCGATAATCAAATCAAAATCAGAGGATTAAGAAGAAGGAGCACACTGTGCCCAAGTTTATTAAATTTCCATTGGATTTTATCATTGGTGACGGTTGGAAGTCCGAGTTTGTAAAATTTATGTTTATGGTGTTCATCTCATCAATAGATATTATTATTTGCCATGTCGTCGTCGTCGTCGTCTCGCTGTCTTCTCGCTCCATTTGGCATGTACATATGTGCATACGATATTTATTGTACTTCACAACGACGACTGGGTTTCAAAAAGCTAGTGAGGAAAGGGAGGAACCCTTTTTACCACCGTCTGTAACTCTGTAATAAGATTCACAACACGGTCTTGGTCTTCAAATTCATAATAATATGGATATAAAAGGAAATTACTTATCTGGCCACTGAGGAGGGTCCATTCACATTATTATTATTGTTAAGCAGTTCTTCTCAATGGGGCTTTTCCTCTCGCTCTCCAATCTCAAATCCACTTTATTTTATTCGAGTTCATATGCATGCAAAAAACCGCAACCAAATACATATATAATGTTCATCATCATTAATTCCATCCAAACTTAGCGTTGAGTTGTACATTTGAATAATCAAATCTCGATTTTGCATTTGAGTGGGATTCAAGCGACTTTTATTAAATAAATCTGAAAAAATACATGTCTTTAAAAAACAAAAAATTCTCCTCAGGAAACCTTAATTTAAGCAGTTCAAAGCTAGCAACAGTTTAACATGTAAACAGAATTAAAGTTTGATAAGCTTTATATAAGCTTGCTGACCCAAATAGAAATAAATCAATTCGAATAAAATCCATAAGCATAATGAGACTCGTAAGCAAATCAATTTGTCGCAATACACTTTGCAAATTGTCCCAACTGAACATGTCCAAAGTGTTGAAGTCGTTCCACACAATTGCCATTATTACAGTTAAGGCCTATTCGCAGAATGCAAAGAAGCCTGCAAAGAACATTTACTAATTGACATTGCCAGAATTAAATCTCAAAATGATTAACTTATTAAGATGCGAGACAAGTCGAACGGCAAGTGTTTTCTTGTTGCCCTTTTGCACGCACATGATCCTTCTTATTCGACCATATCCTACAACATATGCATATAATGCACATACATATCTGCAAAATGGCAGTAATAATTCTTGGGGTAAAACCCTTAGCAAGCCTATTTTCTCTGGTTCTAATGCCTCGTGTTAAGAGATACCTATACGGCCTTTAAAATTCAACATTCGCTTAAGTGATAACACACTATGCGCTTCATATGCAAGTAAATGGCAAAGAATTGAATAATAGCAACAACAATAACAACAATAATAATAATGACATTCAGCCAGTGGCGAGTAATCAATTCGTCAGGGAGGAAATGAGATATGGACGAGATTGGAGATGATGGGTTGACTGTGGGTCGACGCTAATAGGTGCAGAGAGGTGAGATGTACTTGATAAGTCCAGTTTCGAGATAATGAGAAAACGATACAGTCAACGACGACGACGACCACGATGCCGTTCGTAAAATAAATTATCGTGTAGCTAATAACATGGGTGTGGGTCTGCTTTGTACTTGAGAACAGGGATCAAGCACTATTAGAATTAGGCACAGGTAGTAGATTCATTTAGATAAAACTTTCTTCCAATAACACATCCCTTGTTTTCGTTCTCCTTTTTAAGGATCGATCTCATCCCAACAGCACAAATTTTACATATTTATGCACGGATTGAACAACAAAACAACGAGTACGTAAGTGTGTCCCTATGCGTATTATGTGATCGTCGTCATTTCTCAAACAGGCAACACTTTGAGATTTGCTTGGACAATTTGTACATTTTCTTGTAAACTGTAAATGAAAAAAAAGACTTGTTTCTCGTTGGGAAACATTGTGTGTTTTTTGTCTTGTTTCATTTAACCTTAATAGAAAAGTATAGTTTCATTAGGACACAACTTTAGCTGTTTTACATATATCAGAAATTCGTCTTAAAAGGCTCAAAAATTAATAGGAGCTAAAAAAAGTTATATGTGAACATATTTAAGCTCGTCTTCATTCTGCTGTAAATTATTAAGTCTGACTTTCCGTCGGCCCGCATAATAATATTTAATATGTCCATCGGTGTAATAAATACTTCATGATCGCATGCAGAGATTTCTTGGATGGATCTTATTTGGTGTTTTTGTATACAATTTGAATATTTTTATGGGTTTTATGTCTCATTTTAAATTTTATTTGACTCTCTTGGAATGAAATCCAAAAACGATTGAAATTGGATCTTTACATGAACCGTCATAATATATGTTTATGCGTATTTACTCAAAGTCATATTTTTATAACGCGTTCATTTTACACACGGGTATTCCCTTAATTTTGAATGGTCACAATTCTGTGTTTAGTCTACGTTTAGTTTTTCTAATGGTCGTTTGGTTTGACTTAAATAAGGTTTCAAGTAACGATTACCATCATCGACCTTTATCATTTAACTGTTCCAGTCAGCAGTGAAAAACTTTGAGAAGGTTTTTGAGAAATATTTAAACGTGTGGAGAATTGGGATGGACGGACAACATTCGTTTTTGATTGGCATCAGGCGAATCCATCAAGGTTGGTGACAGTTTGACAGGTGTGGATAATTTGGTGGAACTGGAGTTGAAGTTTTCCTAAGGAATTGCAGATATATGTAAGAGTCGGATGGGACAAGTAACAAATTTATTTGGCTAATACCCACTTATGAGACACGCATATCCAATTCAATTACAAATTAAATCAACAATACCCAAAGATGGAGACGAAATAATTGTAAAATATGCTCCGCTCACACGCTCTTCAGAATATCACCCATAAATGCACATAACCCGCGGTCAGGTCATTCATTTAACATGCAAACCTCAAAAGATTCTATAGTAAGACATAATAAAATGAAAAGGTTAACATAACAATTTAATTCCTTTGCATACAAGTAAATCTGATATCGTCAGTGTCTGTGGTGGGACTAAATGTAACGTGATCGCTGATTTATAAAAGTTGGGGTTGTTTGGTCGTCGGTGCATTTATTTGTGACAATTAGGTACTTTTTCGTGTGGTGCTTAGCACATAGAAATTTTTACTTGCAATATGCGATATATTTTTGTGTAAGATGTCCAACCGCGTTAGACAGAGACATGTCTGACAGTCATGTCTTATATTAGAATCATATAATCGATCTGGATATTCCCTTCTTTCACCTGATTCACATCATCCATTAATTTGTTACTTGATACACATTTATTAGTGTCCATTTAGCATTAGAATCTTTTAATTCAGTTGATTACAATTTTTCCAAACAATAAATACATCTTCATTTAGTCAATAATAATGTCTTGCACGACGCCTGGAAGTATGCAGAGAATCGACGAACGTAAATACTAGCACGAGACAGATTCGTTTACACATCACAAAAGATGTCGAACGAATGCATACATTTTATAAACAATGAGCAAACATTCTTGTGTAAATAAACTGGAACATCTTTGAAATCATTGTCATTCGTTCATTCATTTCATTTGTGATTCTTCCACCTCATCCTCAACCCCACCACGTCCGACTGTTTGGCATACGTTGCATTCTTTCTTCTCTGTAATCGAAAGAGGATGGAAAAATAGAGATGAATAAGGCAACAAGGTGAGACGACGGCGAGGTGAAGAAAGTCTATTCAGTCTGCAATTGGGAACAAAAAAACGGGTTCGACTTGAGAATTGTTATCTTTATTGCCCCTTCGACTTCCAATATTACAATCGTTATTATAGCCAAATGTTCCAAGAAAAACAAGGCTTCACAACTAACTAACTACTTGAAAAGAGTAGTCTTCATTTCCCTGAGGAGACACCTCGTACAAAATTCAATGACTTTAATCTAATCTAATCTTACTTTGAATTCCTTAATAAAGCAGATATTATAAAATGTTATTGCATTTTTATATCAATTCGTGCCACCAAAACACAATAAACGCAATGCAGATGAGAGTGCTTACTTTCTTCAAGTCTTGAAGTGACTAATAGTTGGGTTGTGGTGGTTAATAAAAAAGACATCTTAATTTATTTACTACTGACCAGTGTGTAAAGTTTATTTTCAATTCGTCTCATATTTATCAGGCTGGTAGTTTAGGGTATCTATTTAAAGGAGGTTCAGGGGAATACACCCTTTTCCAGCCAGTAAATGTCAATGTGATAATATTTTTCATATAATGTAAACAGTTTTTAAACCATACTGGTCACCTCATAATTTCCTTAAATGTAATTAATTATGCAATTCAAAATAGTTCAACAGTCTCCACACTATCACAGGCCTCTATCCAGGTCAATAATTCATATAATGCTTTGCTTTTTGAGCAACTGATCGAGATAACAGTCTCATAAAAGGGGGGTCCACGGTCCACCCCACTTTTCAGATCTCAAGAACATCATGCCAAAAGACATTTTAGTCAAGTACGTAAATCCTGTCACAAACCTTACACCAGTTCCGCCTCAACTTTTAGTTTATGCAATACAATAATTGGCCTCAACGTAATGCAAAGTGAAACCATGTTGTATTCATTCCCTCACAAAACTGCGTTATCAACGTGGTTTTCATCGACTTTAATTAAATTCCCTTTACTTCCACCATATTACAAATTATACTAATCACTGAGTTACGTTAGCAGGCAATTACCTACATCTTTGTTATATCATCATTTAATTACACTATAACCTCAAAATACTGAAAATTACTTAGTAATTACACCCCATTTAACACTGAATAATTAATGTGCAAGGCCTCTCCTTCGTTCCATTTCGTCTCACATTTCGAGCTGGTGAGTTATCGCTTTTGGGCCGCAGAAGGACATCTCTCGAGAGAAGGAAGCTATTTTTTTCTTCCAACATGAATCCAACTCACCCCAATTGAAAGCATGTTGGTCTTTTCTCTCTCTCTCTCTCTGCTGCTGCTGCTGTCATTCGCTAACCTGCTTCGTCGGCACGCACATTTGTTCTCTCTCTCCATCTCTCTCGCCAACCTCTACATATGGTCACTTCAGGGTCCCTTCACACAGGTAAGAGAACTACACCCCCCACACCCAACAATTGCCTGGTCTTGGTCCTCCTCGTCTAAAGTGGAGGGAGGCGGAAGTGGTGGAAAAAAGAGAGAAAAGTAGCCACTCGCCGGTCAACCGCCACATGTCACTTAATTAGTACGAGGAGAAGAGGGGAGGAATATTATTGAGAAAAAGTGTGACTAATTAACTTTTTTCCGTTTGTTCAGATTTTTGCTGAATTTTGAAGGCTTCCTCACTGTCTGTTCTCATCGTCTGTTCCACTCGCTCACCATCACTTCACAATGAGTGTACAACCACAACCCATAATCCCTGCCGTTCCGCAGTACTTGAAAGGATTTGTTAAACAGGTAAGTTAGAGGAGATATGGGATTTTTATTAAAGGTAGTGTAATTATGTAAATAAACTTTTTTTCTCTCTCTTCAGGTTCTTTCCGGTGATTCAATCATCATTCGCGGAGTCCCGAAAAGAGGTCCACCTCCAGAGAGGCAACTTAACTTGTCTTCTATATCAGCACCCAGACTTGCTCGTCGGCCAGGAGGCAATGTGAAGATGTATGGCTGAATCAAATTTATTTAATATGATGTAGAATTTAGAGTTTTTTAAAGAATGATTTAAATTGGTTAAATATTTAATTGGTTAGTGAGGATTCAAAGGATGAACCCTGGGCTTGGGAGGCTCGTGAATTTATGAGGAAGAAGTTGGTTGGAAAAGAAGTCTGGTTTGCTATTGATTACAAGGTCCCTGCGTCTGGGCGAGAGTATGGAGTAGTCTTGCTTGGTCGAGATGCCCATACGGCGGAGAACATAACCGAGGCTATCATTTCGGCAGGATTGGCGACTGTTAGGAAGGAGGGGAAAAGTGATGTTTCTGCACTTGTAGAACTCGAAGAGGCAGCCAAATCTGCTGGAAAGGGAAAATGGGGCCCTGATCCACCAGAGGTTAATATAGTTATTGAATTAATATGAGTATTAATAATTAACAAATGTAGATAAATTAAAACTAATTAGTTGATTAATTGTTCTTTAGAGCCATGTTCGTAACATTACTTGGTCACTAGAAAATCCAAGAAGTCTGCTAGAAAAATTTGGCAGAAAGCCTGTGCAAGCCGTTGTTGAGTAAGTAAGACATGACAAGGCATGAAAAGGCAAGAGTCTGGCCAATGCTATCACCCATATTGTGTCAATGTGAAAGTGATTTTTCTTTATTTTTCATTTTCTCATAGTTCAATAATAATTTTCTAATATAGACATGTTCGTGATGGATCAACGATTCGCGTTCTCTTACTCCCATCATTCCATTACGTTACCGTGATGATTTCTGGCATAAGGGTAACTTAATTAAAACTTGAAGTTTTACTGAAAAATATTTTACTAAGCATTATCCTATGTATAGACTTTAAATAAAAGTAAATAAGTATTCATTATTGTGACTTTGTAGTGCCCTGGTTTCAAAGTCGATTCTGAAGGAAAGCCAGATCCTTCAACAACGGAAGCGTTTGCTGAAGAGGCCAAGTTTTTTACTGAAATTCGTCTTCTCCAGTCCGACGTAGAAGTAGCCTTGGAGTCCGTTAATAACCAAAGCTTTGTAGGGTCCGTAATTCACCCGGTAAGTAATTGATTTGAACGTATAAGTGCAAATTTACTAGTAATGCAATTTTAATGATATATATTATTAATAGAACGGCAACATTGCCGAGCTTCTATTACGTGATGGATTTGCTCGTTGCATCGATTGGTCAATGGGTTTCGTTTCTGGAGGGGCTGAGCCATTGAGAACGGCTGAAAAGGTAGCGAAGGAAAAGAAATTAAGACTATGGAAAGACTACCAAGCAAATCAAGCGTCGGGTTTGGACAGTCTTAAACCAAAAGACAAAGATTTTGTTGGCACTGTTGTCGAGTGTATCAATGCCGACGCTTTAGTTGTTAAGCTTCAAGACGGCACTTTGAAAAAGGTATTTTTGGCAAGCATTCGTCCTCCAAGGCAAGAGACAATTCAAGAAAAACTTGCTGAAGGCCAGACAAAAGAAGCACCAGCTCCAAAGGAAGCCCGTCCAAAAGGATTCCGCCCCCTCTATGATATCCCTTTCATGTACGAAGCTCGTGAATACATGCGAAAGAAGTTGATTGGGAAAAAGGTTCAAGTATCTGTCGACTATATCCAGCCAACGTCGAATAACTTTCCAGAAAAAATCGGCTGCACTGTCAAAAGTGATGGAGTGAACATAGGAGAGGCCCTTCTAACCAAAGGTCTTGCCACCGTTATTCGGTATCGCCAAGATGATGACCAAAGAGCCAGTGATTATGACACCCTATTGGCAGCTGAGGCCAAAGCTCAAAAGGCGCTTAAAGGACTTCACGGCAAAGACACTCCAACGCACCACGTAATTGATATCACGGGTGATGCTGCCAAAGCCAAGCAATTCCTCCCTTACTTTCAACGGGCTGGAAAACTTCCAGCCGTTGTTGAGTACGTTGCTTCTGGTTCGAGGTTGCGTGTTTATGTCCCACGTGAGGCTCGACTGATTACACTGCTTCTGGCTGGCATTAGTTGTCCGAGGGCGGGTCGGACTGTTCCCGGTGGTAGCGCATCAATGGAGGCCGAGCCATTTGGCGATGAAGCGTTGGCTTTTACAAAGGACGTGTGCCATCAACGGGAAGTTGAAATTGAAGTAGACTCTATTGATAAGGCTGGAAATTTTATTGGGTAAGAGTTATCTCATCTATAATTATTGCAATCCACTTTGTTTTGAATACAAACTCTGACCTCTCTCTTCTCTCTTTGATATCAGGCTCTGTTAGAGATTTCTATTAATATTTATTTATTTCACCAGGTTTATATTCATTGAAGGAAAGAATCTTAGCGTAGCTCTGGTAGACGAAGGACTAGCGTCGGTGCACTTCTCTGCAGAAAAAACTCCATACTTCCGGCCCCTACAGATTGCAGAAGATAATGCAAAAGCTAGGCGAGAAAAAATTTGGATGAATTATGAGGATACCAAGGATGACGTAAAACCAGAAGATGATAAGGCCGAGAGAAAATACGAGCCCAAAAAAGTCATCGTCACTGAAGTAACAAATGAATTGCATATTTTTGTGCAATTCACTGATCATGTAAGTTTTTATTTTAACGTCGGGGTCGTTGAGATAGTATTTTCATGTTTAATTAATTAATGTAATTTTATAAATACTTTTAGGGTGCTAAGTTGGAGGCTTTGACTAGTGATATCCGAAGAGAATTGGCAGAGAAACCACCACTAACTGGTGCCTACACTCCAAAGAAAGGTAAAGTCAGATTAATTAGTTTATGTCCATTTAATATTAATTGAAAATATAAGAATAATATTTTTAATACAGGTGACCTTTGTGTTGCACGCTTCAGTGCTGATAACGAATGGTATCGGGCCAAGATAGAAAAGGTCGAGAAAGATCAGGTTCACGTGTTGTATATTGATTATGGCAACAGAGAAGTAATCAAATCATCAAGGTGCGCTGTACTCCCAAGCGTGCCAGGAGCTTCTGATCAGGGTTTTGCCAAAGAGTATACATTGGGATTTGTATCTTTGCCGTCTGATGTAAGTTTAGCTGGACTTTGGTTTATTTTTTGTGACTAATCTGATTTTTAAATTAAATTGTGAATTTATAGCCTGATTATGCTCAAGAGGCAATTTATGCGCTCAAACACGATACGCAAGAAGGGAACCTTTTGTTGAATATCGAGTATAGGGTACGTTTTATAAACAAACTCTCTAATAAATTATGAGCAATTTTTATCACCATTTGTTGCATTGTAAATCTATTGTGTCAATAGAATGGAGGAATTGAATATGTCTCTTTGGCGGTGGAAGAGTCAAAGGCCGATATAGCACAAAACTTGGTAAAGGAAGGACTTCTTATGGTTGAAAACAGAAAAGAGCGCCGCCTTCAGAAGCTTGTAAGTTTCTAATTTTTTGAATCCTGTAATAATAATTGATTAGTTAGTTGATTAATTAATTTGTATTTGTCTAGGTAAAAGACTTCAAGACTGCAGAAAGTGAGGCCAAGATGAAACATCTGAATATTTGGCAGTACGGTGATATCACTGAGGACGATGCTCGCGAGTTTGGAATGTCCAATCGTAACTAAGAGGCTTCTGTTAGGTTTTACTATACAACGTCCAGATCCATCATATTGTTACTTAAGTTTATTTCTAGTTCATTATTATGTAACTGCCTCATCCTTCATACCTTATTTGATTATGAGTCGTCAATTTTTCCTAAGGTTTTGTTCATATATATGTTTAGTTGTAATATGATTATACGAGCTCTAAAAGTTCTGTGCGACAGGGCAGGTAGAAAAATTGACTTCCAATTGTACAAGGTTAATTAAAAAAACTATATCTGAAAGATGCCTAAGACTCACGTGTGCCTAACTACCTTTTTCCAAGTAACTGTAACTAGATGCCGTAAATGTTGTTATTATTGTAATTTCCTCTCGAAAGGAAAATCCAATTTTTATATGTTACAAAAATTTTTAATATGCAATATTTACTATACAGTTAAAGGTACTTCTCTACGGCATTTAAGCGGTGCTGAGTTTTTAGAGTAATAAAGTTCACAAAAAAACATAACCTACTGTATAATCTACATTTAGTAAATTGATTGACCTTGCTATCTATATGAGTAAATTGATATCGAAATGTAATTCTTTTGAACGAGTACTATCATCATATACTCATATTTTTTGTTCATAAATAATAATGACTTTGATAAACGCGCTGGTGATGATTCGTATCATATACTAATTTCCAATAAATATAAATCAGATAAGAGTCTGATCGTGAGTAATTGATATAATATATTAGGTGTATAATTATGTGCATAATTGTCATGTATGAAACCCATACACTTATTTATTGATGACAGACTGGTAATTAAAAACATACAAATAAGAACACAATATTTGCCCAACTTTCAACTTTTGGTCATGCAATTGAAACAAGCATTATAAAACTTATTATGTAACAAGCATTTAATTTACTCTACATGATAAGAGACCCACCCAACAAAACTTGTCAAATTCGATTGCAGTTGGACACCCCTCAATTAATTAGACTTGACTTGGGCACATCCGAATAAAAAATTTTGTAGAACTTTATATATATCATTCAATGATCAAAAATGCGAAGGGATATGCAATTCATAAAACCACTCAAACATCGACAAAGATGGACGAATAAGGGAATGCAATTTATCTATTAACAAAACGTGGTTTAACAATTTCATGAAAACTTTCCATTCATCATTCGTCGCCACACTTATTTATTACACTCTGCAGACTGCAGTATATTCAATCCTTTATCTGATGTAAATGTTTGACCAATAATCGAACATACATTTAAAATTAATGGACACGTCTTCGTATCATTGTTCACAGCTGCATGCACTTTTCAAGTAAGTGTAATGTAATGATAACACGATTTCAGTGGAACTCAGAGAGATCCATCCATGTCTAAACTGAACCAGGAGATAACTACAAAGCAAACTAACAACAACTTGAATCAAGAGGTGTTTGACCATCAATTTGTTATTTGACTATGTAGTTTGTTCACTAATATATCTCAAATTTAGATTCTCAATCATAATGAACGAAAAGGACTGAAACGGGTATGAATCTCACATCACAACTTTGTTCACCAGATTCAGTCGAATTTGGGATTGAGTCGAGGCAACAGGTTCTTCCACGTACCGGCTGGTTCTAAACTTGTCATATCTAAATTCCTCCATCGTCATCACATTCTTCTTGCACAAACAATTCGACAATCCGCCCACATTTCAGTTCCTCATTAACTGGTAAGTCCAAGAATTGCAAAACTAGTTTTCAACCCTTTTTGTATAAAACAATACAAACTATTGCTTCCGTTGTTTGCAGAGAAATTCAAGCTAAATAAACAAATCAAGATGTCTGGAGATTTGGCAAAAGTTTTAGGGTGAGTAGAACAATATGAAATTTGAAATCATTCTAGATAAGTAAAAGCAATGGTGACATTTTGTTACTGCAGGTACATTGATGCCAATGAAAAGACGTTCATCGCCAATTTGAAGGTACATTTTAACAAAAAATCCATAAATAAGTATGAGATAATAGATCAAATGGATTATGCAACTATCCTATGATAAATCATCACGTGTTTTACGTACTTGTAATTGAATTTGAAGGGGGCCGTGGAGATTGCGAACGTCTCGGCCTGGAAGGACTCGAGACCTGAGTGCATGCGGATGGTGGAATATGCGGTGAGCAAGCTGAAGGTGCTCAACTTCACCCACGAGATTCGAGACGTTGGGATGCAAAAGATGGAGGACGGCTCTTCAATTCCACTCCCCCCGGTCATTTTCGCCACACTTGGAAACGATCCGGCCAAGAAGACCCTCATGATTTATGGACATTTGGACGTTCAACCAGCAAAAATGGTCAGTTTGGAGTGCCATCAAGGAGTGCTAATTTGAAATCAAGAAGACTAATTAATGTATATTTTGATCTCAGAGCGATGGCTGGAGCTATGAACCATTTACGTTGACGGAAGACGGTCCAAATCTGTATGGGCGAGGGTACGTACATTATCATGGTTTTTATACTTTATCAATCTGACGAAGTTGTAGTTAATTTCAATAACTATTCTGCTTTGGTACAGATCTACGGATGATAAGGGCCCTGTTTTGGGATGGTTGCATGCAATTGAGGCTTACCAGAAAAATGGACTTCCTGTTCCTGTGAACATTAAGGTTAGTTTGGAAAGATGATAAAACTACTGGATTGTGCAAGCTTATAAATAAGTTTGCATTTTGTGTAGATGGTTCTTGAAAGCATGGAAGAGTGTGGATCGGAAGGTCTGGAAGAGTTATTGGAGAAGGAGAAGAATGGTTTCCTCAAGGTAGGCGTAATTTCTAGCTGGATAGCACTACATTAAATCAGTGGTATACTAATATGAGTAATTTTGGGTACTAGGGTGTGGACTTGGTCACAATCTCTGATAACTATTGGTTAGGAACTGAGAAGCCTTGCTTAACCTATGGTCTACGTGGCCTTTGCTACATGCATGTCGAAATTGAATGTGGCACCAAGGATCTTCACAGTGGAGTGTTTGGTGGAGCTGTGTTAGTGATTATTACAATTTTTTTTCGACCAGATAGAATCAACGCATTATAAACTCATTGTCTGAATTTACAGCGAAGAAGCGATGCCCGACTTAATTTGGATGCTTAACCAACTTATTGATCAGAAGGGACAAATCCTTATTCCTGGTATTATGGATAGCGTTGCTCCTTTGGACGAGGACGAAAAAAAGTTGTATCAAGAAGTTGACTTTTGCCCTAACGAATTTAAATCGGACGCTGGTGTACGTAGTTTGAGATGTCCTGGGAATAAGGTATTATGCAGCCAATTTTTTTTACAGCTATGCTTATGCAGCTATGCAAATACACATAACTTATTTTTATTTTCCACCCTAAGGAAGCCACTCTGATGAACCGTTGGCGGTATCCATCCCTGTCCATCCATGGCATCGAGGGTGCTTTTGCAGACCCAGGGTCCAAAACTGTTATCCCACGCAAGGTCATAGGAAAGTTTTCTGTTCGACTGGTTCCAAATCAGGATCCCGTTGAAATTGAAAAACTTATCAACAAATACTTGAATGACAAATGGACTGAGCGTGGATCAAATAACAAGATGACTGTAAGTATGAATACTTTGAAACAATCTAATAGTAATCTAATATCTAAAATGTTTTATTCTAATGACATTTTAAGGTGCTACCAGGTCATTTGGGAAAACCATGGGTAAGTCAGAATCAGAAGTTATCTCTTCCTGACAAACTTATTTATGCAAATACTAAGGGATCATTGATATTCTATTCAGATGGCAAAATACAATCATCCAAACTACCAGGCTGCTGCTAAAGCCACTGAATTGATCTACAAAGTGAAACCCCAGTACACACGAGAAGGGGGATCGATTCCAATTACCTTGACATTCCAGGTGATTGTTAGCACAAATTAGATTGATGGGTATTCTATAATAAGTAAAGGTAGCTGCTTTATGCAAAGATTTTATCCGTTTACACTACTCCTTCTGAGCGATACAATATTTTGAAGTTTTGTTTTCGGATATCGAGAGCAGATATGAAGAAAAATAATATCATACGAATTAATTGCCCATTTAGGTCATCGAACTTTTAAAGTTACATATTATATTTATGATACCGATGTCGAATGTTTGGAAAACTATAGTCGTAGCTTCACCGCTACTTTTCTGTTTGCTAGAATTTATTTGTTCAGTAATTCACTAATCGATTCCAACCTTCTTAGGAGTTGACTGGTCGAAACGTGCTCCTTTTGCCCATGGGACAATCTGACGACGGGGCGCATTCGCAAAATGAAAAAATTAGCAAGCGAAATTACATTCTTGGAGTAAGTCCCACTAATATTAATGATTGTTTGAACTTGCAGAGCATTTGTTCATATACGTTGAATGTTCATTTTCACTTACAGACAAAGGTGTTTGCTGCCTATCTTCATGAAGTCTCCTTGCTCGACAAGAAAGACTTGTAATGGAAAAACAAGAACTAGAACCATGACTTCACGTAATCTAAGAGCAATGCAACTACCATTATTTATCACAAATAAACTGAAAAAATTTTTATTCACGTGATAATAAAAAATTGGAACAATAAGAAAATGATGTGTTTAGAAACACCTCATAATTGAGGTGTCTTATTTGTCTAAAAACGAAAAGAACAACTGCACGAAAAATAGATTATGTTTAAACCGTTTATTCGATCCGATATTATTATTTATTAAACGAGCTCTACATTCGATTCGAAATATTATGAATAGGCGATACCGATCCCGTAGAGCAGGGGACGTCTGCAACACGACTCACATCTTGACTTATATTTACAGCACGTTTGTTATTTTTTGGTGCATAACAATTTTCTAGTAGGTAATTCCCAGTTTCAAATTAACACAGTATATTTCGGACTTATTGTTTTAAACAAATCAACTGCAATGGTTGCACTGACTTGGAGGAAAGATTTGTTGTTTCTAACTCTACCCTTTGAAAGATTTTCTAAAACTAGTTGTACAGACGACAGAATATAGATTAATGAGAAAAAGAAGAAATGTTCAAAAATAAGTAATACTATAAAACGATAAATTAAGTACAGTACAATAACGGATCGTCGTTGCTCGGTGTCAACGGATTGCATAGGGTTAATATTGTTGCACTGTTCCTTGTTTCACGCTGACATGCAGACAACGTTCTCTTAACATCCACAACTATGCGAACTATCCACTATTAGTAGGCCATATACTAACTCATGCGAGTTCTATCTATAAACTACACTCTTTCAAAAACTAAATCCTATAATAATACCGGCATGAACTATTGAAAAAGCTTTGAGCATATATAATATAAAGCAAATGAAATTATTAACAATATTTTCAATTAGGCACGAGAAATACGTCATTTTTAGCAGAGGAGTCATGAAACTATATATATATATCTATACAAATGTTTTTAATTGCAATGTAATGCGGAGGTTTTTACTATACAGTGACTGTTACAATTTTATTTATTACAAATCAGTTCTGACCCTTCAGTACTAATAAAATACAAGAACATAACATTTGATTTAGAGAACACAGGACTGAGAGCTGCTATGTATACGCACCTTCGCTTTTGTTTAGACAAATTATATAACGACAATTAATTTCGATCATTGAGGTTTGGTATGCTAAAATCGTTCACGGAAAGTCAGAGATACTGATTGGTGATGTGATGAGATTAAAGTTCAGATATCGTTAATCTATCCAGGACTGTTCAACGCATGCTTTCACTCGCTTCTCGTACTCGCGACGATTCTCCTTGTACAATTGGGCAGCCATGCTGTTAGCCGGAGAATTTGGATTTGGATCGCTCAGAAGTGACTGTCACAAAAACGATGATACAAAATTAGTAGGTCAAGATTTCAGTCCCATGCAAATTCACAAACATAATAAATTGGCAATATAATATCAGCTTCTTCACCTGGATTGATGTCAGAATCGCACTAACATCATAGGTTGGAGACCTAATTTATTGATAAAGTTCATGTTTATATTATAGCCTAGAGTTTGGGGATATCAATGAATAAATACCATCGATTTTGTAAAATGTCCAAACAGATTCCACCATCTGCGTAAACGTTAGGATGAAACATTTTGGATTGAAATCGCACGGAAGGCGGCTTGTTTGGGTATTCTTCGGTAAATTCAACAGTCAGCTTGAAAGTTCCGTCCTCAAATGGAGTGTCATGAGGTCTATATGAACAAAAAACATAATCTAAACCATAATGCTTTGATCATTTGCATGGTACTCTGAAATCTAGGAGCACGTCATCATACCCGAAAATAATGGCATTCCAAACCATAATGTTGTTTTCCGAAGGCGCACCAGAGACTCCCGATGGTGGGTCATCTTGCAGTCTAAATTACAAATAGCATGACACTTAACTTAGAACATATGGATATAACAGTATAATAGTGGATAGTTCGCATAATTTTAAATGTTAAGAGAACGAAGAGAACTTTGACGAAATTAATACGGAATCGCTAATAGGTTATAAAAATTGGCACGAGGAACTGTGCGACAATACTAACCGTGGAATGACAATCCGTAATTTTATTGTACTGTACTTAACTTATCGTTTCATAGTATTTCTTATTTTTGAACCTTTCTTCTTTCAACATTAATTTCAATCAAAACAATTTAATATATTTATCACATCCGCGCTAATATACATGATCTATGCATCCGTAACTTGATTTCATATACGTAAAACCGAAAACAAATAAGCAAAGATAAGAACAACACCATTAAAAATACTAACAACGTTTCAATTCATTGTTCGCCTATACAGGATATATGTTTCCCCATCGTCACTAATGAGTGACCATTTTAGTTAGTGCTAATGTCACTACTTAATCAACAAATATAGAAACTTGAACTTCAATACGATGAATATCAAGGACATTTCTGATTATAAAACAAATTCGACTCCTCCAACAACTTGGAGGAGAGAAAAATTAAAGTCAAGGACATACATTCAAATACATAGCTAAAAAATTACATCACTTTTCACCATACATAAAAATGTGGGTCAACTGGCCATGGTCTAACACTTCCTTATTTGCACCATTGTTAAGTTTAACTATGGCGTAAATGAAGACCCCGAGGAGTCTGGGTTCAGACCATGGGTAGATGACCCACATTTGATTGTCAGTCTTCACCAATGACCTGTCCCATGAACTAGGTCAAGTAATGCTGGCTGCTCACTGAATGTATATAATTCAAAAATTCAACTAAATAGTCAGTTACCTTTTGAAATCACGCATCAAACGACGACGAGCAGGTGTCGACATGTTTTCGTGCAGCGAGTAGTTATTAATTTAGCGAAATAATAAACGTATCGAATTAATTTTAATTTTATGCGAGGCAGCGAGCTAGGCAGCGATGATCACAGATTGCAGATGAGAAGACGAATGAGAGGTTCCCACATTCGGTGCGAGGTGAACAGAGAAATTCTTCTCGCAAGGAGACGCGTTGCCATGACAATTCGCAAAACTATACGTTTCAGAAATATAATTGCAACGTTTGCAACGTATAGGCTTGATTTAGCCCAGTCATGATCTTGCCATTTATTATTTTCGAAAACGATTGTCAGTTTCTCTTGACTAAAAATTTATTGTGTATGACTTTCTCCATGTATGGGTTATTCAGCCTTCAAAATTTCAGCTTCTTCAGACAATCTTCATTTTCTGCAGTCTAAATGTGTACAAAATTTCAAGTCGATCGGATAAACCATCCCAATACAGACATCTATCTATCTGGACATGACAATTCATAATTAAGCCCTGCTAAAAATGTATGTAGCACAGAGTTAATCAAATTGTTAAAATATGCATATGCATTTTGACAAGTTTAGTCATTAAAGTTTAGCTTTCTGCAACCAAGTTCATAATAATGTTTCATGACGTAATCCAAGGAGAATGCTTTCTCTACTTTATTCAAATTATAAATTGAATAATGAGGGAATTAATGATTATTTAATGATAATAGGAAAATTACATTTTATTCCAATCACAAAATTTGTTAAACTGAAAAATTTTTAGCTAATAGATTCCTTGTATGTTAATACATTTTTCTGATTTCCATTTTTATATTTTTACAAGTTTCAGATTGCAAATTTTGCTGACAAATAAGTAATTGAAGATTGAAGTAAATTAATATTTTTACTCAATACAATTAAAGAATTGTAGACAAAAACTCAAAAGAATATAATCAACTATATAATACTACCATATTTCAGATAGTTTTATTCACTACTAACTATGCTTATTATTCATATGCATCATAATGACATCCCAATAAACAAGCGATGCAACTTTTAGTTTTTTCTATGATATAGGATATTTTTTATATGATGTCAGTTAACAATTTAATTAATTAATCATGTTTATATATCTTCTAATCACTACAGTTTTACACAATGACTACCGAAACTTAACACCTCAACAAATAAATTACTAGCTTTACATTTTTCACAATTATTTTAATTTTACCAATAATCAATTATACTACAGAGAATAACATTTTTTCAAGTTGTAAGCTAATGCCGTATTTTTAAGACTTAACTCTTCCGAGTGTTTTCTAATTACTATATTGAAATGTTCATATTCAATGTTATTAATATGACTAAATCTCATTTTGACTTGACAGTATTACAACATTTAATATCTGTTTCTCTGAATAATAAAATCACACGATGGAAAAAGGAACCCAATAAGTAAGCAATTTTCTCTCTATTCATCCGCTTGTGTTCTATGTTCTGTTCTGTTCTCTAGAAGAAGTAACGACATGAAAGTTGACGAGATCCGATCCATTATCCATGAATAAAAAACATGAGAGTTTTAGTTCATTTGATTGAGAAAGTGGTGTACACATATAGATACACAGTGATCACTATTATTACACGATACGACATATTGCATGTATGTACATACATGTAGTTGACATAGTTAGTTCATGTTCGTTTGTTTCATGGACACTGGAAGAATACATTATACAATTAACCGTACAACAACAGTTTCAACAGTAAAATACAGAAGAGTTTCATACATACATACATAAGTAATTTTCTAATTCGATGGATATTTTGTAGGTGAATGCCAGCCACATCCCTGCAAAAAGGCCATCTCGTTTCCTCTAGTATTGGGCTTAAATAGCAGTTGAATAAACAAAGTTTTAAATAAAGTAATTGGGTTTTTGATGGTTCACATACATTATACGACATACACAGCCATGCAAATCAGTCATGCCGTGTACAACATATACTAGTAACGTATTCAGGATAATTATTTAGCTGTATTTTATTCCAACTTACATAATTTGAGGGAAGAAGTAACTTCTTGCTTATGTTTAAAGTGCTTTTTAAAACCTTAATTAAAATGATTGCATGCATGCTACGTGTATGAAACAAATTACTTATTTGGTATGTGGAGTCAAGCAATTGTTGAAAAAGTTAGCGGTGCAAAATGCTATTTGTGGTGAAAAATTGATATTGACCACTTCAGGATTTAAAACTGTCTCTGTTTTACGAACTTTTTCTAACTCTGAATTGTACGAAAGCAAGTTCTTCCTATGATAAATATGTGTAGTGTGATGAGGCAAGGTGAGACAAGTGAAGGATGGAGTGTTCAGCACTATAGATAAGAACATTATATGTCAACTAGATTATTTTAACTGCATAATAATAAAATTAAAAATCCTATCATGTTCCGGAATATAGGCTTTATATAGACATAAATAAGTGTGGTATTATACAATTGACAGAGGTAAATAGATAGATAGGTACTAGGTACGCATGTGTTTTTTTGCTTGATGTACATATATTTTGATAGATATTTCTGGTGCCGTAGGGAAGGAAAAGGAAGGAAATGAAGGGTTGGTGAGTTTACGGTGGGTGTTCCTTCAGTGGTTTAAGATAACGTCAGCGGCGGTGGTGGTGGTGGAGAAATGCTCAGCCTTGCAAAACATCACTGGGGTCGAAGGGAATTGGTTGCTGTGCAGCAAAGTCCCAAATGTTTGGATTTCCCCCAAAGAGCTGTGAGTAATAATCTGGAAAGTATCCGATTTTTGACCCAAACCTTTCATTATTCGCCCAAAGACCGCTCCTCCCGAGTCGAATAAAGTTGTTCCGTCTCGGATTTTCACGACCTAATCGAATGAAATTGTTCTTCTTGTTGCCATTATTGTTGGCCGTGGCCAAATTGAAGCTATCAAAATCCATGTTTGAATTCCGTCCAAACCGAATAAAATGACTATCTCGTCTCAATCCTCGAGGAAACGGGGACTGACCAATCCCACGGAACAGCCATTTGTGTAGTGCAGGTCCTCGAGGAGCAGTTTGCATACGGAATCTATGCTGCTGGGAAACTGGAAACGGGATGTCAGGAGTGGAGACGAATGACTTTTGGGCTTTATGGACCGCTTCGGGCTCATCTTCTTCGCTCTCCGAATTTGATTGAATGATGTTGTTGTTGGTGTTCATGTCTTCTGGGGACTCCTCGTTCGGCTGCTGCTGCAGATGGTCCACGGAGCGGACATGACGAACACCCAGCGTTGTAGGATGATGCAGGAAAGGAGCGCCGCCACCAACTTGGTCGACAGCCACCCCCATTCGCATCTCCTCCACCACAGAACTGGGTTGGACTTGAGTCTGGTGGTCTACGACGGCGACATGTTGCTGGTGGTGAGGGGGCCCACTCCCAATTGCTGCACCCAAGACCAAGGGTACCATCAAGGCATGAAGCAGGGACAGGAAGGAGACTGCGATACCGATGCTGTCGTTCCCCTTCATCATCGTCTCAACTTACTCTCTGAAATGAGAACAGATTGATTGATTGATCAAAATGGGTTGTGTAAGAACCATTATGCTTTTCCTTCCGTTCTGAGATCGCAACAAGGATTCATCATTACAGAATCATGCACTTTCACCACAACCCACGCTACAAGCTGCAGCCCTGATTGTGTGTATCTACATATGTATACTGTTCGATTTGGTGCATTTATTTGATAAATTTTGGTAATATCAATACTCAAGTTGTATAGTCAGATGAGGAGGTTTGGTTAGTTATAGTTAAGTGCAGACAACAATGTAAAACAGCTCAGCACTGTATACAACCTAAAAACTAGTGATGCAAGCCGACATGTGTCACCAGACTTGTATTATATTTTTACTCCCTCAATTACTTGTCTTGATGTCTACACTGACTAATCACCAACTACTCATCTTCTTCTTAACCACAGTGTCTCGTATTTAGTCCGTGCATATTGCCTCTATCAAAAATGAAATCAGAAAGTAATGCTTAAGCAAGTGAATCATGCAAATTAGTTTAAGCCTAGTTTTTTAGGTGCGGCTTCGCATTAGAAACTGCGGTGGGATCAGTGAGGACACAAATCACAATTTTAATTACAAGTACGTGTTTCCTAATGCATTCATAGACCAGAAACCCGGTGCAGTTATGGTCGTCATCTTTTAATCCTGAGAAACTCTTATTACTCGGCTTCCTGCTCTGCTTTCACTTTCACCACCCCTCAACTTTCCTGCGTGCCAAGTTCCTCTCTCATAGAACATACATCGTACATGCAATCCCGTCTCACCGTAGATCTGTTTCCAACAAAAACACACGTCAAACCTGCTTTTTAACCCTCGTTTGTCTGTCCTCCCTTTGATCGCAGTGATGAGTCTGCAAAGTGGTTTTTATAGGTTCGACACTCAAATTTGCGGTGCATATGACACAACCTTGAATGAAACGTTCTAATGTGTACAACTTTTCTTAGTTGGGGCAGAAATCGAATTTCACTCACAGCAGGAAAAATATACTACTTGTCTGTACGTATGTAAGACTACATAGTCCGACCATATGTTCCCGTGAATGCATTTCCGGTGATAAAGCCCAAAGTATTAGAGCTATCTGATAGAAATTTTTGTGGATGAACAAGGTATTAATCTTGTTTAGAAATCATAACTTCGTTTTCACAATTTCCTCCACGGGCTTGTACACAAGACATAAGTCGTGGCGAAAACTGCTCGATCGCGGCACGCACGGATTTCCTGGGAAAAGCGCCAGATCTTCAGTAAGTGCGACCTCAGCCCTTCCACACTTGGGTGAAATTTAGAGCATACTTGTACCTATAATTTTGACCACCAGTCATAATTTAGGGGATTAAGGTCTGCAGATACAGAGCACCGTTCTACGGATGAAAAAAAGTCATGAAAATTCGTCTGAAGCCAGTTTTGGACAATTTTGCACCTTGCGCATGAGCAGAGTCTTGTTGAAAGGTCCAATGGCGATTTTCGGAGGGTCCAGGGTTCAGGTTATTAACGTTTGTCTCTAGGACACTCTGAAAATAATTCTTGGCTTCAACTTGTACCCTTTGCGATAAAAAACAGAGATTTCATTTCTCCAGCCAACTTGCTCCCATGCACACCACGGTGATGACTTCGTATTGACTTCCGCATACTTAAACGGATGTCAGACTTCTGTACAACAAATATCTGGCCTTTTTTTCTATTACATTTTTTGCCAACGGTGAAAAGTCTGAAATACTTTTGGCACGAAAATTGGCGCGTACCACGATCAACCTGTGGCCGTCACGAGTTATGTCTTGTCTAATTGCCCGTGGACGAAATCTTGACAAAGAAGTTATGATTTCTAAACAATATTAATAGCTTCTTAATCCATAAAAATTTCGAACAGATAGCTCTAATACTTTGGGATTTATTACCGGAAATGCATTCACTAGAACTTATGACCCCACTATGTAGATGGATCTCTATCAAGTTTAATATCATCGTTTGATGACGGACCGATATTTTTTTGTGAAACTACTGTTCTACATATGTTCACAAGGATCCAATACTTTATCGAAACAGAGGACAAATAGAAGGACACATATTCAACACGGTTTGAAAACTGTAAAATGGAATTGAATCTCAAATATGTAGTGTTAGAATTGATGAGGCAATGCTCGTGACGATATGAGAACAAGGCGTTCTTGCGATTCTTATCTACTTTTCCATCAGTTCAGAGGAGTTGAGAAACTCGGCATGATGTTATCATATTGTGGTAAGTACATATCTTCCACCTTCTCAAAAGAATTTCACGCCTATGAAAAAGGCTGTTATCGTATGCTAATTTTAAGACAAAGAAAATAGGCTTTTATCCTAAACGTCCAGGTATTGGCACTATATTAAATATGTACTTATGCTCTCCTGTTCTAGCACCAGGTCATACATTTTTACGATTTCAGCAGTGTGATGTAATCATTGTTATGTATGTATCAAAGTGACGAAAACCTTTTATCCAGGATGACGCAAATTTTAAATTTAGCATCAACTTCATACTTGAAAAAACGTGAATTCAGCTAGAACAGAGTCGGTGTCGCTCAAGGGACAAAATAATTAAATCACATTTGTCAGCATGAATGAGAATTGGTGTCTTAATTTTTCATGTTCTTCCGTCAGCTCACATTTCCACCTGTTTTTAAATGGTCAAAGGAGTGGGATGGCCAAATGCCAATCCCATCTCAAAAATAGCCCAATGGCCAGAGGTGATGTTTAAATCGATCAAAAATGATGTAATAAACATCATGCAAACAGAAGAACACTTCAATTTCAATATTTCATCTTTTTGTTTACACACGACAATTCAATCCTCCTCACCTTTCCCACTAACAATAAGAAAGCAAAGTTCAAGGAGAACGTGCCCAAAGCAAATTATCTAACAGTAAAGTTTCGCATGAGAAGTAGGCAAAAAGGCGTCACTTACATATTTTTGGACTTCAACTACAAATATCAAGCAAAATAATAATCTACATAACAATTTAAACACACAAGAAGAAGATGGCAAACGTATAAGCTCATCGCATTATTGTTGGCTGATAGACCTACCCTCCTCGTCATCCTACACGTTGTTTGACCAGGGAGAAAGTTATACTAACCAAACTAATATTACAATTCATGAAAACAAATACCACTAATTTTCTCATTTTCAAGTTAAAAACGTTGGATGGAATAAATACGTAGTTTAGTTTAAATGACATGAAAAAGCATTTTGCTGGTTAATTGGCATGATATTCAATAACATTGTAAGAAGGCACTTGAATTATGCAACAGGAAGCAGGCCTACTTATGCAAATTATTCGCTGAACTAGGCTTATATGAGATAAGTGAAACAATAAACGGGGAACAGAACGTATGCATCATTTAGATTAGGAAATCCTTCCTGTCCGTCGAGATTGTCTAACCCAACCAACTCCCGTCCTTGCCCATATGCTAAACAAGTGCTTTAAACAAGTCACACCAAGTACGAGAACTCATGTTAATCAAGCAATGTTCTGGATCTTTTTGCATATTACGTGTACAATGGGGCGAGTCTATACCCAACTTTGAGTAAGTGTCGCACTTTCTCCAAGGACTCGTAAAACCTGGAGGATGAATGTGAAATATTTTCCAAGTTACTCCCAAAGTTAATCACTATACTCGAATGTCATAAAGTTTACAATGAAATTTGTACAATTCTCGCCATGATTGAGTGAAAGTGAAGTCACATTAGTCTCAAACAAACTGTGAATTAGAAATCTTAATTCTTTTCATGAGTTTCATTAAGATTTGACTTTGTATTAACGCAGCATTTGGCCCCAAGCTACTATGTCGAATATGCGTGTCTCAAGTTTCTGCAGCACTTGTTTAAAAAAGTATGTTGCAAGTTTATATGTATCCTACGGATACAATTAATCGTGCAGGCAGCGAGTGTCGGTTGTCACACTAAACATGAAATTGTCACACATCACAAGTTTGGTTGGGGCAAAGACCAGGATGCAATTGATGAAGGGATTCCATCCACCACCACTTTCTCTGCCTGCACCCTGCGTGGGTGGGTTTTAAATGAATGAATGAATGTTTATCACTCTGATGGGAAAGGGTAAGTTGCGTGGGATGGAGATTTTGACTCACTACGTTTTTTGTACAAAATATGCTATGGGCACTTTTTTTGGTATACGTGAAAGGGGAATACCTCATAAGAAAATATGGTCCTCTTTGATATGCATATATATTTTATAATCAAAGTCAACATGTCGTTTATTGCACAGTCTTAAGCGAATTTAATAATTGAAAGCGTAGCACAAGACTGTATGAAAGTAATAATTAATCAGAATTAGAAATCATACCTTGTTCTGTTGAGAAAGGGATCGATTTTTGCTCCAGATATTGTTATACAGAGGGAAGAAAAGTGAGAGGATAAATGTTGGGCTTTTGACACTTGATTATTTTCAGAAGGAGAAATTGTGATTTAGGCGAAAATAGAATTTAGGTATTATTAATTCGAAAACCTCTTTATTTCTCCGTAGTGCTCAGACACGGAGATTTGTTTCGAATTTAAAATTTGTATCGAGATTTCGGTTATGCAATGGATTGAGAGGAATGACGAAGATTTCTCTGTGTGTGTATTTTGTTATTTTTTCAATTTATGTATAAGATTACTCTTGTATCTCGAAATCTGATCCTATGTAAACTAAAATTTACCAGGAGTGCATATGCCAATGTGATTTTGGGGGCGATTCTGATATGTCTGAATTGCTTTGTTGGAAATGAATACTTTTGCCACAATACTACAAATCAACAATTAACGGCTTGATTTGACACTTGACTTGCAAATTATCTTACTCTTTCTGAGAGTGAAACGTAATTATATATTTTTTAGATTGAAATATTGAAAGATAAAAAATGTATGTGCTTGGTTTATGCTTTGTGTTCTCTTACGGTCTCGGGGTGGTGGAGGTTGGTTGGTCTTTGACGACGGCGATCTGGAGGAAATGGCCTGTTGCTCACCTCTTTTATGGTCTCACACGCGCCCACTCACTCACCACCAACATCCCAAAGTTCTAAATTATCCCACCCAGCCCGAAATCTTTGACGACATTGTGTCGACCATGGCATCCTCCATCCCTTCGACCGGGTGGTGGGCAGTTAGTTGGCAGTGGTTGCTTCCATTGCTTTCACATTTTTCTCCTAGCCACTTTTTGCTTGAGATGGAAAGTGAGACGAGAGGAAGCTCTCTTCCGGAGAATGGTGCATGTTTGTCGCACTTTCCCCCAAAGAGAAAGTCGTTCTTTGTACACTTGCATATGCAGAAATACAAGGAGCACATACCAGGAGCATGGAAAACACGCTTTTACATTTGTATTAAGATCACAAAGTTCATGTGTCGAGAGGGCAGGCTCAATTTTTACGATGACAACTTATCTGACAAAGCCGGTAGCCTTCATCTTAGATTAGAAAAGTCAAAACAAGTGAGGGAAGAACTGTGGGGGAAGCTGATTTTTATTTTTAATTGTTGATCCTTCCTCCTCATTGCGATCTTAATTTAACTCCCAGACTTGATTCGCATTTAGATACACGAAAGTTGGAGGAGGTATGAGGATGATTAAGAATGCATATACGTTGAAAAAATCTCATAACTAAAAGACAGAGACGACGGTTGCGTCTCCTTGTGTGCCGAGAGATTTTTTGCTAATGAGGGGGGGCGGGGCGAAGAGAGCAGCTGATTTTCATGTAAACAATGCAGGCAGTTGCATGTAAAAAGTTGCTTTGGGTTTTGAGAGTGACCGTTCCCACTCTCCAAACGGGGCATCGCGAACCAGAAAAGGAGAAAAATTTCGACTAAAACTTCTAATTTGCAGCTAATACAAAATGGATTGATTTCGTTTTGGTGGCAATAAATTCCCAAGTTTGTGCTTTACAATTGCCATGTTGCATAAATTCCATAATAAATCTCAGAGAAAAGTATTGAACTGAAACATAGACTCATATCATGTTTCAGTCCAATACTTTTCACCGAGATTTATTATGGAATTTATGCAACATGGCAATTGTAAAGCACAAACTTGGGAATTTATTGCCACCAAAACGAAATCAATCCATTTTGTATTAGCTGCAAATTAGAAGTCTTAGTGACAAAAATCATTTACATTACTGGTAAGTGGCGAGGAGAAAAAGTCAACTCGCTCACTAGGATGCCCAGACTGTTCCCTAACTCAAACTTTAATTAACGGGATTGTAATCAAGGTAATGAACTTTTGGAGATGGAGTGAATCAAGTAATGTTTTATATATAACCATTTCCAGGTATTTATTAAAATAGAGACACATGTCTTACTTTTATAACGAGCTCTTGTATAACTTAAGCCCAGTTTTTCAAGTCATCGTTTTCCTTATTGCAAATCTGTGTTGAAAGGGGAGGAGAGACTGAGCATTTATTGATTTCAAATTCCAGCTTAACTAACCATGCACATGAACGAACTGGAGATAATGAGCTTACACGTAGGTGAAAAGGTCTCTTTTATGCGTAGTATATTGACACGGGATGACTAATTAGATTTAGATTTTGCATGTTCTGAGAAGGCTAAATATTTCGTCGTCCACGCGTCGAAGGTGCCTATTTATGGTTTCTATAATCTTGAAGACCGTGTTTTGGCTGACGAATGAATTTTTATGTTAAAAAATCTCAGTTTTTTACAACTTTCTCGTGTTTCAAGTTCCATTCAGTACTTTCGTTATAATGTTCTTCCATGGCTGCAGGGTTACAACTTTTTCACACCTTGGGCTGTGTAACCGTTGCACTATTATCGTAAATTTGTGTTACTTTAGTTCTAATACGACAAATGTATAGGTGGAACCTCAACACAAAAAATATCTCCCTAGACAAAAATGGCCGACTCCAAGACACATATTTCATTCAATTACCAACTTTGCATTGTGAATCATGTGAAAGTTGTGAAAAAGTTAGGGTCAACTTTCTCTCAGATAGTTGAAGACAAAACGGAAATAAAATAAAATTAAAGAATCTCATGCGTAGTAGAAAAAAAGTGAGAAATATTTAGACATCGAGAGGGAGCATGAATGGCATGATTACTTCCTGGTTCATGGTCACCAGAATTGTCGACCTGAACGTGTAATTCGACGTGGGAAGGGCTCAGGTTCGGGAAAAGTTAGAAACCTAAACGAAAACAGTTCCTCTCTCCTACATATTCGAAATCGAATGTTTTTTATCAATAACACATTTCAGAATAACAGGTGGACTTTTGAAGTGGAAAGTTTGAGTGAATCATGCTTTAAATTGAATACGAATTCGACATGATGGGCTTTCGTTAACCAAAGAATATTATCAAGAAATAAATAGAACTCAAAGCTAATTGGTCTGAATAATTTTGCATAACTCGTAAATGAGCTTAAATTTAAACTTTACTTGCTTGTGTCAATTTAAAGTCGCCCTACTTTTCCGGGGGAGGCTGGAAGGTTAAACTTGTTGAAAGAAAGGGACGAAATGCATCATCACATTGATTCAAGTAAATATGCTTTGCACGTAACCATAATTTTAATAATCCTTGTGTCATCAAGGCATTACACTAACGATGAGATGCCGGAATCTCCCAATAAGTACTGTTTAAGAGTAAATTGGACATTGCACACGAGCTTTCCAAGTGCGCACATAGATATGTACATCATTAGTTTAACAAGTTAATACATTACCCGAAATTCAATATTCTTCTGGTCTTGATGATTTATTCAGAGGATGTGCGTTGTGTGGTACATGCTCAGAATTAGCAAAATTTAAGGGGGAAGACTGAAATAGTTGTATTGACTGATGGAGAGATTAGTTGTTAAAATTCACCTGTTTGCCAAAATGCTTCCTCCATCAAGATATGTATGTAATAAAGGTGCATAAATTACATCTACATCAATATTTGTGATACACATCATCTCTCCTAACTGGACATATGTACGCAGTATGAAAAGAACCTACCTACGTATGAATTCAGTTCTAGGAAATGTGTTGTCCATGTTTGCACATCCTGAAACAATTGAACAAGAGAAATCAACCATGCTGAAAAAATACGTCCAAATTGAAAATGATCCTTCTCCTTTCTTTACACAGAATAACATACATGTTTGTACGTACGTAACATGTTTTTTGTTATCGGTCCGAGAAAAAGTTACGTTTGATTCAATTTTTTTCAATGGACTAAATAAGTGGGCTTCATTATAAAGTAAGATTTGACTACATTCAAATGTAAATCTCTCTTGTGCAAGTAACAACAGTGGGTGGACAAGATCTTTATCTAGGAGATCAATAGTACAATCAATAACACAAATCACTGCTAATAATAGAAATTGGCGGACTGAGAAGAAATTTGGACAACATTGCTCATCAAACCAAATACCTACACATGCATGAATCATGCAAAACGTGTGAGAATAATAAGTATACAAAGTATTGCCAGACCGTCCCAAGGGCAAATAATATGTGCCTTGTTTTTTTATTCGACTCCGCATTCATCCAAACCACCTCAAAATAGCGAATACAAGAATCATTTGCTGATTTGGGATGCAGAAAGTTGATCAATTCCCACAAGATAAAATCTACAGGCTCTATTATTCCAATGAATAAGTTACTTTTGGGGGAAATACTCCTGACTGACATGAATTTACAAAGCAAAACTGAAAGAAATAATACAAATCGTGCAGTGAAAGGCTGACACGATTTAAGTTGTCTGACATAGAAGTGACTGATTACTAAGTCATGCATATATTTTCAGTGATATTTGATGTCATCAAACCTGTCGAAAATCGATGTCTCGTTTTTACAATTTTCAGAAATTTGTAAACACAACTGTAAGAGACGGTCGGCAGTCGACAATAATTACGTTTCCACCGTCAACTGTCAAGACCCCTTTGTTTTTGAGGTGGACGTAAAGTAAACATAAAATCCACGCTCGGTGTTGCTCCTTTGATCCAGGTTTGCCTACATGTAAAAACAATTTGAGATCATAAAAATTCTCCAGAACTGACTGACGACGAGGACGACGACGGAGATACATACATACAACTCCTTCCCTGCTATGATGTAAGGTTAGTTGAGACAGTTTTGTTTTGACAGATTTTAGGGATTCTCTCCTCCAAAGTGGGTGAGTTGAAACTATGGAGAAAGTTGGAGAAGGATTTGTTAGTTGTACAACAATTTTCTCCTCAATTTACTCAGCAAAACTTTTATACTTGTCACATTGCCCCGGTTGCTCCATCCGAAATCAATCCCATTACAGAAGAATAACGCTACCATATACATATGAACATTATTGTACATTGCTGAATTTTTGGCGAGACGAGAGGAATATGAAGGGAATCAAACAAAGCAAAGTCAATGTTCTTCACAATCCCCCAAATTATTCGGATTATTAAGGATTTAACCACTGCAGATTGATATTGTCCGTTTCTAGCAGAAATATCCAGTTTTAATCACATCACTCTTTATGAAAACTGTTGTGGGAAGCTCCTTGGGTCATTGGTCATGGTCATTTGTTAACGAGTGACTTAGGCTTCTGCTAAAGAATTACTCAACATTTCCTTTGCAACACGAACTTTGAACAATTCGAGTGAAGCTGAAATGAAATAAAGCATTTTCTTCGTGTGAATGCTTTGCAATTTGAAGTAGCCCACAATGCCCACATAATAACATTCAGAGAGCAATAGTATCTCCGTCCGTGTCAATGGAAACGGTGCCAGGATTACAGAAATTCAATGCCGATTGGTTTTGTCGAAAGACGAAACTTGAGGGTTTGGTTTAGACGTCTACAATTTATACATACATATGTCTGATGTTATAATAATATTGTGTCGAAATGTCCTCACTCTCATTTGGTTTCGATCTCTAGTTATACATTGGAAAACCTTGGTTTGGACTAAATTTCTCAACTTTTTGAATACAACAAACCTTGGATTTATAATTGACCAGGGGAGAAAGTTGTTCAAACTTTGGTATGATTTTTTGGTGCTGAACTTCTAAATTCTGATGAAATTGATGATAGTGTTTATTATGTGGACAAGTTTCCAAACACCAACGACACGCATTAGTGGTATGTGCATACATGTCATTGCATAGTATGTCTTATGTACGTGGGGGTTGTCACTTTACGGCTGTACTTTGGCTTTGAAGAAATCATAATTCAACGGCACAGAGGATTATGAATCTTTCAACATGACTCGACTTCCTCTCTTTCCTGACGTCAGTGTTTTTACGTCCTGCTCATTGGATTTATTTTCTCTCAATGTATTTCCTTAATCTGCATTGTTTCCCGAATAAGAAAAACAATTCGCTATCATCCCACACGCTGAGTAGATGTTCCGACTTTGTATGTAATCCCAAGCATTCTTTTTGAATGGGACAATAGAAAAATACATTTTTATTGTTCCACATTGTTTCAGTTGTTGCGTTTCTGCCAAATTTGAAGGAATTGCAGGCTCAACAAGATTTTGCACCAATCTTGATTATAGTCAGCCATGTAGGAGAAAGAGTGGAAATAAGTACAGCAGCAGAAACTACATCACATACAATGGATCAAAGAGAAAGTGAGTGAAAGTTGGGTGCCACCTCTAATGAAAGGGAAAATCTGTAATATCTTAAACCAGCGGTAAATTACTAATATACGGAGGGTGCCTCCACACGTCGTAAAAATGTTTTAGAACTTTTCTCACCTAGATGTATTTTTGATGCGGTACTTGCTCGATATGATAGCCCTTGTTCTTATCTTAGCCACAAACCTGCATCGTTTTTTCCACTCGCCATTTAAAGCGTTCCAAAGTTCGTCGAAAGTCAGGGCTGGTCGGTGGAAAAGTTGTTAATTCAGGAATTACCTAACCTACCCACAAATCTTAGGATTAGAGGATTTGAACAGCACCCAACGAGAATATTCACACGCTATGCTGAAAACCGTTGCAAAGCATTGATGCCAGTTGGTCGAAAAAAGATTCGTTCATTCCCAACCTAAGGGACGAAGACTTGGACCATTAGTGGATAATTAGCTATGATGAAGATCTAAAAGTTATAAAAATTTCATTTGATTTCGTTTTGCTGGCCATAAGAAAACAGAGACTTTCGACTTTCACTAGTACACAACCTTGATCTTTAAAAATATTTACTACTTGCCTTAACTTTATGCATTTATGAACTTATACTTACTCAATTTACTTATTTCTCAAAATTATCTTTCTAAAAATGATTTTGAAAACAATACACACATACTTTTTCCGGTCTGTTCATCATGCAAATGCAATTTATAAAGAATGCGAACAAGCAATAATGTCGACGTCATTACGAAAATGTGGAAATAAGACTTCGTCCATACTATTCTTGGCGTATCTAACACGGTCTAATTCTAATTCTTTGTTGTTTGAGAAGCATGCAACAATACAATTATTGAAGAGTCGTCATTACGCTTGCATGATTTTATCCTGATTCCAGAGTCAAATTAGGCATTCAGTTGAATAAGATGAGTTGTTATTCTTTGCCTTTCCCATAACCAGAACGAGCCGTATATCTCACGAGTGAAATACCGCAAGCATGTAATTACATACGTATTCTGTGCAGATGTGTGTTGGTGCTTTCTCCCATAAGATATCTAGCTTCGGGGTTTTGTGTCAAAAGAGGAGGGTCGAAATAACTCCAATTTTGTAATATAGGGTAATAGTACGTAGTTTCGGAGAAAACTTTAATTCGACTTAATTATGTACGTGTTCCGAAAATCCAACAGAGTGTCTCATGTCTCAGAGTGTCTCAACGCGAGGCCATGTCTCATGTTTATTTTTTAATTATACTCAAATTACCTTTTGTCCACATACGTAAGTGATATGACAATTAAATTATCATCTTGCCGTCGACTTCCTAGAATTATGCTAATCGTTTATTTGATCGTCACACTGTGTGTATCCAGCATCATTTACATATGTATTTATTTATGTAATGCGTTACATTTTCCCATCTACATCGATAGAATGCTAATTTCTCCTTTTAAGATACGGGAGTTCTTTCATACACTTCGATATTACAAAAAATGTTGAGAATGGACAACCAGTGAGGTATGAACCCACTTTCTCCAGCAGATCCTGATTCTGCATGAATAAAATTATCAGTTTCCCGTTATTATTTATCCCTATGTTTCTGTCATTAAAATGTGCACGTAAAGAGTTACTGGACATCCCAATAATGATGACAACTTCATAGAAAAAAGTCAATTCGATACAAGTTGTATCATACAAGTTGTCCGAGTCCGACTGGATGATGTGGAATGAGACGGGGTGACGTGCTCTAAAATTACGTCATTATTCAAATCCATCACAATCTAAACGAATACTTTCACTCACAAAATAAAATAATTCTCTCAAATTGTATACAAGTTTACCAATATAAATCCTAAATTCTCATTTTTAAACCAAAGACGAGTCAAGTCAGAAGCAGTACAAAGAAGTGTAGCCGTAATATTATTTAATAATTGTGTCTCATCATCCGTGGTTTTTGAACAATCATAAGTTTTCTGCAAGACGAGACAAAAAAAGTGAGTGATGAATTGAATTGAAAATATATTTCGCTTTAGAATTGCATCAGTAAAGTTTGTCTTGTTCTTCACAAGGTACACGAAGACATCACTGAAGCAACTGTGAAGCAACTGTAATCGATATTGAGTGGATACAGTTGTAAATTTAAATTTAATTCCTGATTTACTAGAATATATACAGTTGTAATTGGAAAAGAGAATAATCTATCATTCATTTTGAATCAGGTTATAAATCCTTTCAGCAATTGTATTCATCGTAAAGATAATAACCTAGAAAATAAGCCACTTATACATATATTACAATTGAATTGTACATGTGAAGCTATAGGTTGTGAATTTTAGTAGAAATCATTGTATTTTAACAGATATTTATAAAATGGCGACCAATCAGCTTTTCTCCACTTTTACCATGAATGTATCAAACATTTCAAAATTTGTTGGTCAGTCCTCCTCCTCCGCTCTCAACAAGTGGTACTGCAAGGCGTTCTAGTTGTGGTTATCTCTTCGCCATGGCGCACTAGGTTAGGTTAGTTAGATTCCCTTCGCCTTGATCACGACCTTGGACGCGGAAACACAATTAAAATTTCAAAAGTCTGTATACGAAGTTAAGTAGTTAGTTAAGTTGTATAGGAAATGTGTTATTATTAGCAAATTGTATTTTTTGAAGCAGGGTTATTCTAATTACTTTATTATGTATGTATTACTTACATATGTGACATATTTACTTAGCGTTAAGTATCATGATAATTTAATTAACAACATATATTTTTTTTGTCATTTATGTTTCAAAAATTGTGCTCCCCTCTTGTAACCATTTGTAATTGGGGACAGGGATAGAGAAAAGTAATTCCGAAAATGGCAGGGCAGGCGGGTTCTAGTTCCGATGAGCCGGAATGTCTGGACAATTGTTACAGTATTCAACATGGACGAGAAATCTGCGGGATTGCATCCGTATCAGGAGGAATAGACGCCGTTCCCCTCTGGATTAAGCAGTGTGCCAACTATGCTCAAGTTCAGGATGAATTTGGCCGAACTGCGTTACACCTGGTTGCATCAACCGGAAACATTGAGGTAGAGAAAATAAGTTGACAACTGAATGTGCTTATTGGGAGGAATATTTTTTAACAGTAAATTTCTGTTACCTGTTACAGGCTCTAGAATGGCTCATCAAACGAGCTGGTGCAAATCTTGATAAAAAGGACAAAATATCAGGTCACACTGCACTACATCGAAGCATCTATTATGGGAATATTCACACTGCTAGAAGTTTGATTAAAGTACGTGTACATTAAATTGTGCTTGCAATGTATGCAAATTAACAGTAGTTTTTATAATAAGACATTTCTGCTAGTTTCGGGGATTGGTTTTATTTAAAATTTGCAAGCTTTCAATTCCTCACCGTTTCTTCATCAGGCATAAAATTATAAAGATTTAAAAAATCACGTTCTGTTTCGCCAACATAAACAGCAGGCCATGAATGGCATTGGTTTCTTTAGTTTTTGCTTTGTATTGCATAATATCGATCCTAGTTTTGGGCCGGGATAATATTTTCTAATAATACTTTTGTTCAGTTTGGTTCAGATATCCATCAGAAAGACAATGAAGGAATGACAGCATTTGAGCTTTGTAACAAGGAGATTAAGGATTTCCAAAGGGGATTTCATGCTAAAATTGAGTCTGATCCGACTGAACTTCTTGTGTGGGGAACGAATGATAATTACACGTTAGGCAACGTTAATAAACAGGAGCGACTGGTTCCAGAACAATTGGAGGTGTTCCGAAAGCATAATACTCAAATTATGAAGGTATCAACTGAATATAACTATAATTTTTTAACGAATTTTTGTAGAGTATCATGAATGGCTTAACGTATAAATTTAAATCAATTTTATTTGCTGGACCTATTTTCAGGCTGCAATGTCCACCTATCATTCTGTCTTTTTGTCTCAAATGGGCGAAATATTTGTTTGTGGATCTGGAAGACTAGGCATACTTGGAAACGGATATGACAAGCCGGTCCTTCACGTAGAACAATTACAAATTCGATCCAGTGCTAAGTGCATTTCGATTGCAGTTGGACAAGACCATACACTATTTTTGATGGAGAACGGCAGGGTTCGTTAACTATATACAATTTTTGTCTACTTCTATGTGAGCAACTAACTAAAATAATTTACAATAATAAAAATTTAGGTACTTTCTTGCGGATCCAACGAATTTGGGATATCTGGTCAGAAAGAAGCCATCAAGCAATTGTTGGTTCCAAAGACGGTCGAATTCCCAGGAAAAGTTTGTATTGAAGGAATAATTGGTGCTCGTTATCACTCTGTGTTTTACACATCTCATAAATTATTCACATGCGGACTTAACCGTGGCCAGTTAGGCCACTCTCAAGAAAAAGGACCTGTTGTATATGAACCAAAATTGGTAAATGCGATAAGTATTGATTTCATTCCTTGACTCATGTAATTAAAATGGAAAATGCTGATTTGTGCTAATATCTTAGAATTATTATTATTATGTAATATTAAATATTTGTAGATAAGCCAAATATCCTGGGATGCTGAAGGAGACACAAAATTTACTCATTTTGCAGCATCTGCTTGTGCCACAGTTGCGAGGGCCAGTACCGGCATAATTTATGTCCTGCATAAATTTGACGTTATTAAAATTAATGCCAAGTAATTGTCAAATTTTCTAGTAATACTCTGCAGACATGACGATAAATTAATACATAACTAATTTTGTTGTTGTAGACAATTCGATGTGGTAAAACTTCAAGTTGTTGGTGGTTCATTATGTGATACCCATTTTGACAAGTCGACAAAATTAAATAATGACGAACATTTGGTTGTGTTGTTATTAACCTCTACGGGGCGAATAATTGTATGGAGGGCTAAAGTTACTGGACAATCGTGTGGGATTGGGACATTTAGCCGAGTGATATTCAACAATTTTCTGGACATTGCAGATTTTAGTTTAAGCCAGTCATGTCTTGTGTTTATTACTACTTGCGGGGAAGCTTATAAAAGTAATACCAATAGCCAAATTTATTATCAACTCCACTGAAGAAATAAGCCAACTATTGTAATTGCAGGTGTGTGGAAACCTCTCAGCGACCCATCCTATGTCGCTTTACCATGTTGGCAACGTCAGCGAGATTCGCAGCAAACTACCGACTTTCAAATCTCAACGGGTAGCCGGAGACCTCAAAAAGGTGATTGTTATTTAAATGCTGATGTCTTATGTTGAAAACCTAGATTAAGCTGTATGTTTTTACATAGGCAAAGATCCATCATCTGTAGTGTCATTTTTGGAACATGTGAAAATTCAGAAAATCAAGAATGTGTACTCTGCTTTATTTATCACCAGTGACGAACAAGGGAAGAATTTTTCAATTATTCAGTCATCGCCAAAAACCCAATTGACATCTCTACCCATGATTTCCACATCACACCTTCATTTGGACATGCTGAAAGTTTTAGATGAAGCGAGCGAAGAGGATGGCCTGCATGATGTAATATTGAAGGTAAAAGTACATTCATGTATAATAAAACTAATAAATGACAAAGATAAAGTTTGTTCAGATTTATATATTAAATTTTTTTTTAGGTTGGCAGTCGACGGTTTGCAGCACATTTGTTTATTATAGCGTCAGGTTGTCCAAAGCTACATAGCATGATTGTGTCAAGGTTAAAACGCAAAGTCGATAATGAAGCAAAAGTCATAACTTTAGAAGATTTGGATGATCAAGTTTTTGGACAAATTTTGCAATTTATATATTCTCACACATGTGATTTATTAACCATGGGGAAAAAACTTGCAAACTTTCGTGTTTTAGATGTAATGAAATCTACAATTGAAGCAGCTCGACGTTTAGAGTTAGAAAACTTGTGCAAAGTTCTCCGAAAATTTACAATAATAGAGAACGTAGTCAACCTTAAACCTTCTGAATGTCCGTTTGAAATCCCATCAAGAAGATTTATTCGTAATGTTCATGAAAACTTGTGCGATATTACGTTACAAAGTCAAGATTTGAAGGTTTTCACAGCCCATCAATGCGTCCTTGTGGCTAGATCAGAATATTTTTACTCCATGCTGTTTGCCAACGTATGGCTCGAAGTAAGCTGAATAACATACATAGCATCAGCAATATTAAGTGTTTTCAATATTAAAGATGTAAATTGATTCATGTATTATCTATTTATACAGCATTCTTCTCAAAAGCCGATTCAAATGCAGTTCTCAGGGCAGTGCGTTGAAATTTTTCTGGAGTACATGTGAGTAAAAATCGAACTCAAATATCCTTTTTTTATTTTTGGTACATATAAATATTCCTTCATGTATATTTTTTGTGAAAAGATACGAAGACACCATTTCAAATCTTCCACCAAACGACTTTGATGCTTTATCAGAAATCCTGGCCATGAGTGACAACTTGTTTCTGAACCGTTTGAGATCGCTGGTGGAATCTGCGCTAGCAGAAATCTTGTCCCTGAAAAATATTACGTCAATGCTTTACTTGGCAGACAGGTGTAATGCTTTGCAACTTAAAGAAACTTGCATGCAATTCATTGCTGTGAATTTACCTCTGGTTTTGGAGACACGGTTAGTACTTTTTATACTTTATACAGCTCTTTCAATGAGGAATTATATACACAATTGTGATACTCGAATAGATTTACAAATATTTACCGTCACTTTTGTAGACTATTGGACCCACTGCCTCTCGACCTGGTTAAGGATGTTTCCGTATACTATCGACAAGTTCATCCATCAATGACGTCGAGAAGGATAACACGACCATCCTCTGCTCCAAGCGAACTTGACTTTGAGCAAGCAATGGCTCATATTTCTCCAGAGCTAGCCAATGAAATTGAAGCATTGCAATATGACGACGAAGTTCGGCGACCTCAAATAAAATCTAGCAAAAACAAAGCCCGAATACGTTCCCGAACATCTGAAAGCGAGCATCCCACTGATTTAAATACCTCTGGAAATTTACTAAATTTGAGTCAAGATTTGAACATCTCATCCACTACCTCAGAATTAGCATCACCAAGCTCCTGTCATCACTCAAAGGAAGACGATAAGGTCCAAGTTTTTCCACTACATCGAAAACTTAAATTTCCGAATCCTAGTCAAACCATGTTGACCCTTAAGATAGCTGAAGCGCAAGAAACTCTAAAGAATAGTCAAAAGCTGAATCCCACAGAGTTTCCAAGCTTGGACACTAAGTCGTCTGACGTCTGGTCGCCACTACCAAAGCAAATAGTGAATTATCCAAAAAAATCAGCCAACGGTGTACCTGATACTGTTCTTCAGAAAGCCCCACTGTCCCCAATTTCTTTGGAAATTTCATCAAATGGAAGAAAGAGTTGTCCGTCCCTTGAGCAAACAAACCTTAACCATAAGTCTGGAGGAGGTGCAAAGAGGAAAACCAAATGGAAAAGTGTAGATTTGAATAATGTGTCTAATTCTGAGCAGCCCTCTAATCCAAATTTGTTGGTCACCGAAGCACTAAACCCGCCAAGCAGGGATCCTCAGAATCCTTGGAAAGTTGAGGATACTCGCAAAAAAGTTGAATTTAAAGAGATTGTGCAAGATGAAATGGAAAAGAAGCAAAATTGGGAACGGGCCACTACGAAAGCATTGCATTTAATGCAGGTGGGTTTACGATTATTAAATTTTTAGTTTTGAGTTTGTTTTATTAAATTATGTACGCTTCTACCCATACCTGCAGATTGAAGATCAAGCCATCAATCAACTAACTGCCAGATACCACAGTGCAGATGTCGAGGAAGGAATTGAAATTATTTCGGTAGAAAGAGTATGTTCTACCAACTTTGCTCCACCCACCTGGGTTCAACATTCGCCCTTTAATCGTAATAGTTAATTAGTTAGCTCAGCTGCATGCATATCAAGCCATGATACACCTGAAAGATAATAATTTTTTCGTGAAGATTTATAACAAGGAATTGTCAATTATTCCAAGCAGCAATATCAGCATTGGCAAAATACAAGCACAACAATGTAAAAGAATTAAATAAACATGAGATCAGAAACTTAAAATAAACTTTCATCAATGTCTTTATTTTATAATAGGTATGTTCGTTATTTCGGTTTGGTGACGTAATAGATACATATCGCAAGTATCCCTATACCTAACAACCCCTTAAAACAACCTCTGTATTCATAAATAATGGTTAAGTGTTTAACGCATATAAAAAAAACGCTGTGGTATACACAAAATGCTAAAACAAGTAAATTCGACAGTTGTCGCTACCACAATGACATAGTGTTTGCTTAATTAGCGGTAAACTGCTTCCTGCATCCAAATCATCTCGATTTTCTGCCTTTTTCGTAGCTTGTTGGGAGCTCTTGTAATTGAACGTAAGCTCCGTTCCCTGGAAAAGATTATACAGGCAATTTAATAATATTTTAATCAATAATATAATTAATAAAACGTCGAAACTTTTAATGAAATTAAAAATCTTAAGACTAGTTATTTTCTTACCTCGGGGATATCCTTGCATGCGAATAAAGCCAACATAGGGAGATTAGGGTCCAAACAGTTGCACCAAACGCCTAAATTTTTAAGAATAGTGTATAAGGTACATGGTGAAGGAGAGATGAAATAAAAAATATTTACAAAGAATATTTAACATCATACCATAAACACATAAGTTTGGGTCACAACTGTGGTTGAAAAAATGGGATATATTCCCATACATCTTCGCATCGATAACGTACGGACAGTTGTCTAAATCCGTCTCGTTAAAATCCAAATCGAACAGGTATGTTGACCCCTCTTGGTCGTAAGTCTTGCCTCTGGTGTTTGCCATCTCGTCGGTGATTACTTCGCCTGCATAAAGACAGACGTATGCTCCTTTCCTAATACGCTATATGGTATAAATTATTTTAACTTAATTGATCAAACTACCTCAACAAAATAAAAAAACAGACAAGTATTTTCCTTACCTTCTCTGTCCGCACTCCCCATCCACAATTTGGCGTTTTAAAAACGCACAGTTTTTTGCCACGAAGTGGGCTGACACCATCTTGGACAACGCGATTTCTGCATTTGGACGTGCAAGTACATCGGTTATTGCTGTTCAAAAATTCAAAATTGTAACAAACTTAATTGGAATAGCAGAATCAAAGAAGAGTCGAATAAAGCTTAAACAAACCTACCACTCGTATATGGGAGTGCCAAGTGGAGCTTTTACCCTGCAAAACACGTCGAATTATCAAACATTTATGTAAGAATTGCATAGAGATTTAATTTTACGTACAATCCTTTTTTGTAATATCCACCCTTTTGGTATTCTCCTGCCATTTTCGGGCAACAAGTTGATGGACAACCCCGGCAGTCACTATCACAAGAGCACCCGGCTATAAAAAAAAACATTATGAATTACAATGCATAGCCCCAAATTAAAAAGTACTTAATAAAGGTTTAGCATACTAGGAGGGTCTTGTGGGATTTCAATGCCCTCGGCAGCTATATAACTATTTATATAGGTGAAGTCTGTTGGAGGATGGGCGAGATCGATTTTATTTTCAATAGAGATAATAGGACATCCTTTGGAAATGCCATTAACCATAGATGTCCACTCCTATTTTGTTAAAGATGGATTTTTAATAAACATTTTGTATACATAGAAATAATGGTTAATAAAAAATAAGTCGTGTTTTGATAATCTATCTCACTACTTACCTTCAACGCGGCTTGCATCTTTTGACTTGCTATTTGAGCAAGGAAAAATGTTGCTTGGTATAGGAGCTCCTCAGTTTGAGTTTCAGTCAGTTTCCCGTTCATGGCCTGCTCAACGAATTTTCGCATCTTCTCTTCGCTCCACCGTTTCTTCCAACCACCTTTTTCAATAAGCTGATGTTTACTCTGCAATGAATTACGAAAGAGGTCTTATTTCGACACCAAACCTATTTGTTCGTAATCGTATAATAAAATAACAATTAAAACATACAAGAACGTCTTCATCGGATGGGTGGGAGTCATTCTTGTCAAAATATTCCTGAAGAATCACTTCAAGCGTCCTTGGGTCTGGCGGCACTTCTAGTTTAAGTTTTTTGCGCCCTTTCTGTGAGTTAGCAGACTCCCGTTCGCGCTTTCTTTTTAGGTAAAATTCGAAAAGCTTATCATTGCATCCATGCAAGCTGGTGACGGGCTCCCAGGTGTTGTCCTCAACAGAATAGCCTTTCCATTTGACTTCGTATAGACCGTCCACGAAATCCGCAATGTCTTCCACTTCGTATTCCCCTTCTGGAATTGGGGACGAGGTTCGTGATCCGGTCCTGTAATAATTGATCGTAACTCATCTTGTAAAATCTCTCAACTCAGATTGACTACGAATTTTTTGTTATTGATACATACTCTTCCTGCTCAGACGAGTTTTGAGGGCTATCCGACGAGTCACTGTGGCTGATTTCCTCAGTGTCGTCTTTGTTGTTAAAACTTAGCATGTCTTCTTGTGGAATTGGCCTTGCTACATCAGGATCTTCATTATATGATTTAAGTGTATCGACCCAAGGCAGTGGGAAAACAAATTCTAGAATGTTTCGATTTATCTCTCTACCTGAATCAGAGTCAACTTCGTCATCACTTGATATACATTCCTCTTCTGCAATTGGCCTTCTTTCAGATTGTTGAATAGGGTTTCCCGCATCCGGATCCTTATTATACGCGTTGAGCGTGTCGAACCAGGGCATCGGCAAGATACATTTAATCCCTTGAAAGGTGGTGTTGCTATCTCCTAGGACTCTTGTCCCTCCACCTGTATCATAAGTACAAACTTATAAAAATGACAACAACCCCACCCAAAAGCAATTTTACTATGCTCACCACTCAATGATGATTGACTTGGCTGGTGACCAGACTGATTCTCATCCGGTGAGAGAGGTCTACGTCTAGGAGACTGCCGGACATCCGGGTTGGAATTTACAGGGCAGTTAGAGCAAACTGCGTCACGCCCATCTCGTCTCCCTGATATGTTGTTATTATTCATCTTCGTTCTTCTTCCAATTGCAACAACCAAATGTCAAACTAACTAATCACCTTCGTCGTGGGTGTACCCTACCTACCCATAGTAAAAATATTCGTTGTTGAAAATGCGTTTAGCCATAAATCCAAATCTTTGCATTGCATAATACAATTTGCATTCAGGGAAATCAAGGACCAAATTATGACTCCTAATATCCCCAAATGTCCAAATGCATATTCAACAACGATATACAATGTAAATGTTTGTACTGACCAACATAATAAGCTGTTCGTTAAGCTTGTTTTTCACTACAAATGAATAATTTTTCTAGAATTTAGATAAAATTTGAACATACTCACCGTATAAATCACTCGTCCTGGAAAAGAGGAGGTTAGGTTTCTTTCTGCTGTGAGAAACCCACCACCTATTCTTCCCTTATCAAGTTTAACACTTTGCAATCAATTTACAAACTAGGTAATTTCCACCGTCCACCCCAAATCCAGTCGTCACATCGATAACCACTCCGGCTCAATTGAATCTATGAGTAATTTTTTTTATAAACCGAATCAAAAATTTTATGACAGACTCAAAAATCCGAAAAAAAGCGAAGTAGGTTCTTCTTGGCCAGTTGAGCGGGATCGTGGCTGCTTCCCACGGTCGGTTCACACCAATGACGTATTTCTCTACCCCATCGAGAAAACTGATTCTCTCTCCTCTAAAAATTACTGAAGGTAAGAAGAGTCGAATAAAAATTGGGAAACATAAATTAACCTTAATTTATTTGATACATTACCATTTCAATTGTTATTTAATCCATATTCGGCTCATGTAACTGGTGGTTTGGAGTGAATCGACCATTGCGACCACATGAGCGGAGAAAGCCAATCGAATCCTTGCTACCAACCGCCGCCAGCTTCGAGAACCGCAACTCCGCCCACAAAACCAACGGCTCACTCGGAGAAAGAACCACCACCACCAGCAACAATGAGTCGTTGCCTGAGTTTTGTTTTCCTCCAGTCAAGTCTACACACTGGCCATTTTTCCTGATTTTGAAGTGTTCCTGTTTCGTTCTCCCTTGTCCCTGTTCTTGTTCTGGAGAACAGTAGTACTTGGAAAGATTGACAGATTCTACAGGTGAGTGGAAGATGATTGAGAGAAGTGGGGACTTTCTTCAGACCACTTGTTGCGAATTCCACATATCCACCGTAATTTTAGGTGGTATTTACTTCCGTGATTGCTAATAGTTTATTATTCTTGTTAATAGATAGACTTTGCAATGGGAAAGAAGAAAGTGTCTCCTCCGAAACGGCCGATGCCCGTTTACCGGACGACCCTACACCGCCATGGCCTGGGGAAGACGGGGTTTACATCCTTCGCACTTAACAAGGCGACAAAGGCTCTCTCCTCCGTGGACTCGGCCAATACGCAGCGTGGAAATATGAAGGTCGTGATCAGAGTCAGACCAGAAAACTCGAGAGAATCTTGTCTCAAGGCGAAGTAAGTTTGATGAACAATAAAAAAACGCACATTTTATAATGCTTTGAACGATTGCATATTAATTGAAGTACTCTTTCAATTTAGAACGATTGTTCATGCTGTTGATTCAAACATGGTTTTATTTGACCCCCCTGATGATAATCCGGACTTTTACTACAAGGGAGTTAAACAGAGTTGTAAGTTATATTTTGTAGTTGGTATTAGTACTTAATTAAATTATTGATTTAAATCGTTTGATGTGAAATTTGCATGTTGTTTTTTAAAAGACCAACAAGGGAAAAGAAATAAGAATATCAAATTTGCGTTTGACAATGTGTACGGCCCACAGTCCACCAACGAGGAGATTTTTCGGGATGTAATCAATCCCATGCTGGACACTCTGTTGAGCGGATTTAACTGTTCCGTATTTGCATATGGTCCAACTGGGTAAGGGATTGGTTAATCGGCAAAACTAAAGTATGTCTTTAATCATACAACACTCTAATTTTACGTTTGTTTTATTTATTTTAGATCTGGAAAGACTCATACAATGATTGGGTCACTCGTGAACCCTGGATTAACCTTCCAGACCGTGATGGAATTATATCGACGACTCGAGGAAATGGTAGACGAGTATGAGACAGAGGTCACGGTTTCATATTTAGAGGTACGCAAATGAAATGTTGAAATAATAAAAATAGGTAGAAAGTACAATATAATGAATTCATGAATAATATTATTCTAGGTTTATAACGAGACTGTTCGGGATTTACTTCAAACAACATCCGGAGATTTGCAACTCAGAGAGGATACAAATGGGGTGGTTGTGGCTAACTTAACAGTGCACAAACCTCAAGACTCCACAGCACTGCTTAACCTGCTTGCACAAGGAAATAGTGTTCGTAGTCAACACCCCACTGACCTTAATGCGGAGTCTTCTCGGTCGCATGCAGTTTTTCAGGTAAATCCGCAAAATTCAAGGTTGAAATTGTATGTTTTATACTATGCACTTAAATTTCAGGTGTTCATTAAGCTGAGGAGCAGATTCACAGAATTGACTAATAAATACAAGTCAGCAAAGTTGGTTATGGTCGACTTGGCTGGATCAGAAGTAAGACGAGGACAAAGTCTCTTTACTCGTCTTTACGTATCAAGATTTTATTAATACTACAAAAATGATATTTTTATGCAGAAAGGAACTGCGACTGGCTTCCAAGGTCAACGATTTCGAGAAGGGGCCTCAATTAACAAGTCTTTACTCGCACTTGGTACATTTCTAAAATTGGCCATTTGGTCCAAATGGTTGTAGCTAATCTTTCTCTATGCTTAGGCAATTGCATAAACGCCCTTTCCGATGGGAAGAAACATATCCCATACCGGGATTCCAAGTTAACAAGAATTCTAAAAGATTCACTTGGAGGAAACTGTAAAACAGTTATGATTGCTAATATATCCCCTTCCAGCTTGTCATACGATGACTCATACAACACGCTCAAATATGCCGATAGGGCGAAAAGAATTAAATTTGTGGTAATGCACATGTTAAGAATTTTTCGTAAATCTACTGGCAGTAGTTATTAATTTAGTAATTGAACTTGTTATTAATAGTTGAAGAAAAACACAATGTCAGTGTCTGCTTGTCTGACCCAATACACCAAAGTGGTTGATGAAATGAGCCACAAGATAGAAATCCTGGAGAAAGAATTAAGTGAATATAAATCCAAGAAGTGTTACTGCAAAGGTGAACCAATTCCTGAATCACATATCGAGACTGTAGAGATTAAGGTAAGCCTAATACCGCATTATTATAGAATTTTATAATACCAAATAGTTTATACAAAATGAAAATGGTCCTACTAATAATATCATGTATGCATAGAACCCACCTCAACCTATAATTCCAATCATCGCCCCAGTTCCTGCGGTCACGTCTGTAACATCCTCTAATATGGAAACGGCGATTCCGACCAATGTCGTTCAGACGATCAATGAGCTGGCTGCAAGACGCACTGAAGTAATGAAAACTCTTTCGGCTGCAAGCACCACCCACTATGTGACCCTTAGTAAAATTAAAACTAAGGAACGTAGGATTCAAACTATACAAAACCTCAAGTCTGGCAGTGTAAGTTGCTGATACTGTTTTCGTTTTGTGTGAGTTTCTGGTCTAATTTATGTGATCCTTGTGCAGAATATTAGCAAGATGGAAAAACAAGTGGAGGCTTTTACTCAGCAACTTGAGCAAGCAGAGGCAAAAAGGGATCAATCAAAAATGGTTAATTCTCAGATAAACGACCAAATTAACCAGTTTCGCATCGAGTATGAAAACACGGTCGGTACCGTTCCTCTCACTGCGCCAGAGTATTTTGAATATCAAAATACCAAGGTAATTATTTTGTATTAGTAAGAAAAAAATGATTTATTAAGAAACGTATTAAATTGCTTACAAAATATTTAATGAATTAGATGAAATGTGAAAAGTATTTTACCCTGAGTCACACTCGAAAATCAGTAACCAACTACTTAGTCGAGGAATGTAAGAAATCTGAAGCCTTACTCGCTGAAGCTGTAAAAATGATGAGTTGTCACTATTTAATGTGCAAACATTACAAGGCTAATACAAAGAAAATGGATACTGATTACGAGGTAAGTATAAAAATAACTGATTTGGCAATTTAACTCTAGCTTCGTATCATCATATCATCTATGCGATTGTTACTTACGTAATGTTGTGTATGTATCAATGTTTTCAGAAATTTGTCGCTAGTTTGTGTGGAACTACTGTCCATTGGTCTACATCGGACAACAACGAGAACATGCCAATATCGTCAGTGGGTTCACTAGAGATGATTCTCTCAGATAGTGCACTGGAAGACGGTATCTTTTTCAAACGCAGTGCTATTGCAGAGGACATCTCGGTGGACGCCCCAATGATGCCACCGCATATAACAATGCAAGCATTAAATCCATTAATAAAATCATCACAGCAAGGAACGAGTTTAAATGAAACGAGGCTGATGTATCCAACACCCAATACCGGAACGCGATATCCAACACCGCAACACGATACGCGAACTAGGCTTGACGAGACTATTACGTTGTCTACACATGACATGGAATTTGGTGAATGAAAATACGCGATTCAAACTCAAAGAGCAAGCCAAAAGGTTTTTAACATAAGTTTACATTAGAAATTATTGCACGTTTACAATAACATTGGAATTAATATTTTTTTACAAGCAAGATTGCAATGGGATCAAAATATTTAATTATGTTACTTCAACAACTTTTACAATCTTACCATACATATAAATGAAGTGCAATTTTTATATAGGGAATACTTAACTATAAGTTAAGTCTACCAAAAAATCAAAGTATTTCGCCTAAGTATCCAATTGTTAAATTTAAATAGAATACTTTTATTCCGAGAAATATTAATTGCTTGTTGCTCTTGAAGTTTCGAAATAATGTCATAAAATTAATTGTATTGGAAAAGTATACCAATTTTGTGCATAGATGTTAATGAAACTGAGCCGATACTCTTATTTAATCCTTAACCCGGTCGTTCTTCCTTGTTGTTCCGTGTTCATACTGTGCATTTTCTAGCGTTTTTACTATACTTTTTACAATTTGCGATCGTCTTTGATAAATTATAATATTAATTAACTTTTCTAGTTAATATTCCTAACATTATAATTTTGTAATACATCCTTTTTTACCAATGACGTTGATTATGCATACAATAAGCAGGGTAAATATAGGAGTAGCAGAGAATTTCAGTTTAACTGGTTTATTGTTTCCATAAACAGGCTCTTCCTTTCACCACCATGTAAATTTTCAAGTTGATACGACAATAACCAGTTAATAATACTTACTTAATAATAAACCAGTTAAACTGAAATTCTTCACGACGCCAATGCTTATTTTGCTTATTTCGGCATTACTTTTTTAATTAGTAAGACAGCTCGCAACATAAATTAAGTTAAATAATACCAAGCACATTACTGAGATTAATAAAAAAATACATAATTAACAATGAAAGTACATACACTGATCTGAATGGAAATTTTCTCTACTTCTAATCAATTGGAAACACAAATTTAAAGCATCCACAAATTTGTAAAGTATTCACAAAAATATAATCGTGACCTTTTCTGAAGTCTTGTAATAATTTTGCAATAATTTTGCAGAGTATCTTTTTGCATGAGAGTATATGTACACGTTTGTACATGCATACATACTTCTACCAGCCCAAAGAAAGACCGTGTCGACGAATTCGAGATTCCAGCCAGCGCTGAAGAGGCTTGAAATATCTTAGCAATGCTCCCGACTCAATATCTTTCGACCCGGTCATCTCCTCCAAAGTTGTGGACCAGTGATTACTCGTCCCTCGTCCCATCATTCTCCTGGAATTATTAGTAATTAATTACTGCATGGAACTGGGGATAATTATTAATTTTAATTTGTATTAAGTACTTACCACAATAGTTGACCCGCATCCTTCGACCCCCGTATCTGACAAGCATGCATGTCATTTTTCCATCCAGCAGCCGTACACATCGCCTCATAAAACTGGACTTGTAGAAAGGAGCCCAAGAAATATCGAATGTATGGAATGTTGTCAATAATATGAAATTTCCCAGCCGCATCCATCACATTGTCTTCCCTGATCTTGTAGCCTGCTGGTTTTGTTACACCGAGATATTCGTGGTGCAAGTCCCACCAGTTTTGGTTCCACAGCGACACAGCGTCCTCATTCTCAAACACGTTCCAACGCCACAGGTCCATCACGAGGCCATATCCAACTTGGGGCAATTTTGCCAGCCCTGTTTTCAGCAAAGACTTTATTTTGCTATTTTCCGATGTGAAGGTCGGTTTGAGATCGTAAGTCACGGAATCCCCAACGGACTCTTGGAATGCTGAATTTGCCCCGTCCTTAAAAATAGTAAACTTTAGTATCTGCATGCAACGTGTAAATGAATATAGGACAGTATTTGGTACCTGAAAAATGGTTGGTAAGTTTGAATATGCCATGAAGTACACAATATGACCAATTTCGTGCTGAAATGTGACCAAATCCTCATCTTTCACCTCGGCGCACATCATCATCCTGTAATCTGGACCATGCAGACCAAACATGTTGGCTGCCGAACCGTGGCAATTTCGAGCATTAGGTTGTTCTCCGTCCGTTGGTTTGGGATCCTCGAAATACGAGTTTTTCCAAAATGAGGGAGGAATTTTTGGCAATCCTGTACAATATGAAATGACAAACTCGGTTTGGCATACGTGCATATAATTAATTGCATTAAATGCGGAAGCTGAGTTGTAGTTGTTTGTGTGTAATTAGTTAATTAAACTTTAGACCAAACTTTTTGAACTTTTTAAAAATATGTTTTTATGTAAATAAGTTTATGCCAAACTGTTTACCCATTGAGACGAAAAAATCCTCTGCTGCTTTCACCATGTCGAGCACAGTTGCATTTTTTGGAAGGATTGCTTTCACCAGGGGATTGGTTTCCTCCTTGCTCATTTTCTCATTACTTTTCTCATCATCATCTTCCCACACGATGTCAATCAAACTTTGCCAATTTTGAGCGTACATGTTTCCTATTGGCAGATTCATTTGTCATGATTAGTTTTGTAGTTATTTTGTAAATTATTGTGCGAAGTCTATTTAAATACTTTGATACAATTTCAAGCTTGCTAACTTTTAAATAATGTATAAAATCAAATTAACGAAGAATGACGGAGGCTCATACGTAGATAGACTAGACATCCAATAACATGAAAATAACCATGCTTTATGAAGAGGAATCAGCGTCCCTGGAGTATGCCGAGTATTTATGTCGAGACGAAATACTTCGAATTTTGTACGGTATGCATAACTTACCAAGCAAATGGGAAGGTATGGGTCCACCATTAAAGTCCATTTTGTAAAATTGTTCCAGTTTGAAACGGACGAAGGTGTGAAGCATTTCGTACAAGTGTTTCACTTCCGAGTACAGTTTGCTCGCAACCATTTTCAAATGTGGTATTTCAGTCTCTTCTCGCCAACATTCGCCTATATCTGAGTGACCTTCAAAAGACAACAGCCATGGGAAAACGATACTTGCAACAAATAGGAATTGGACAACAGGTTCGTTCAGATGCCATAAAATTTGACTCACCTGCCTGTCTCGCCCCCTGATTCAGCATGTGAACGAGGGACACGTACAAGGGTTTCACTTCCGTCCCAATCTGTCCATGCCATCGAGACCAAACTTTGTTCAACATTTTCTCATCCCTTGACGATTCCATTATGCGGTTGAGATCCGGCTCCATTCTCATGCACTTCCCATTAATGCAGACCTCTTTATTGTAAAGCTTCTGCATTGTGCTCAAAATTTCGAGAACGTTACTGCAACCAGTAAATATGTGGATAAGCATTAAAAGTGGCCATTATCACTTCATACATTTCTGATGTCGTATCATTCTAATCAGCGGAATGGAAAGTGTGAACTTTCACTTGAGTACGTTTCTACGTACATTTATGTAGGTTAACTTTGGATATTCATGAATGTACATTACCTCAATTGATACGAGGTGAAGCGAGGACCTCTGCAAACCAGGTAGAGTTGTCGAAGATGTTCAAGTGTCCATTCCAATGGGTTTTCTGAACTGGCGACATCGGAACGGTACAGATTCATCAGTTGAGAGCACCATTCATTTGTCCAGATGTTGCGTTGAATAGTAAATTGCTCATTTTTATCTGATATAAAATTGTTACAGAACATGAAACACAAATAATGCACCTGAATAGATATTCATATAGTTGGTAAACGTTGACTTGTTGGTTGTAATAGTAATATTTTAAGGATGGAGAGGGGCATTTTGAGTCTCAATTCATAATGATCATAACTTTTCGAATTCACCGATCCGAGGTGAGAGGGGAAAGATTAGAACAGTTTTAAACTGGAATTATAGATCAACCTCTTTTATAGTTGATGAATAATGTGATTTGTAAGAATGTGTTAAGGGCAGTAAATTGCTTACTATTAGTAACGATGTTTGATCTTCTAAAAGAGACATTAGTTTTGAGAGTCAGTGCAGCAAAAAATTACAACTATCTAACTTGACATGTGCAAGGAGACATATAAGACTAGATTTATCTATTTCAATCACAAACACCTCACTAAAAGCAAACTTAAATGGAATTCGAGCTTATTTAACAATTGATTTCTATAAACTAAATTAAATATATTGCATACCCAAAACCTCATGAGTCATATTAATGCTCATATCCCAAGCCAGTTCAGCTCCATAATGTCGGTAAAGTCGCAGCTCGTCGTTAAACTTTCCAAGAAGGTGGTCAACGTCGGTCGGAATCCTCGATGCAGAGATGCTTCCAGTGACAAAAAGAATTGCCAAAACTGACAAAAATGGAATTCTTAAGGTGCAAAATAAGTCGTTCGGACTCTTTTTGCCAACCCTCATCTTTTCTCCCATGGTTCATTAATTTCGCTTTAATCAGTCGATTTATACGTGAACTTGAGCATTAACTGTGTATAAGGTAAACTTCACTAATATGAGGTTATTAGCAAGAAAACTGATTGAGATTGGGGAAATTTGAGACTTGAAGAGGAACAGCAGTAGCACTAATTGAGACAATATTGAGACAGACTTATCTGCAAAGAGTGAGAATCCCAACGACGACAGGATAACAGTGGGGGTGCGTGGTGCTAAAATAAGCTTTGGTTGTCGGGTTGAGGATCGCGAGAGGAATGAGACGACACGGGTTGACACTCAAGCAAATGAAGTGCAAAGTGAAAGTAAAGGCGACTAATCCGACCGAACAGTCTCCACTACGACGGTCACTGCCTAACTAATGAAGCCACCAACTTCTTCCTTCTTGGGCCACCAATTCTGCTGCTGCTGTTTCGAAAAGAAAATAATTCTCCAGCAGTATCAGCCGTGACATTTCTTCCAATCTCAGAATAGTGACGCATATGGTAATTTTGGTAATATAATGCCGTCCGGGGGACCAATTTAAGAAATGCTGGCTTGGCTTTACTATATACGAACAGATGCTTCTGTAATTCTACATTTGTTATACTTTTTTATCTGGAGAAAGGGGAAATCAATTGTCATTGGAACCTATATCTCAAAACATAGTCTCACATATGTACATACATCAGTCAAAGTATAAAAAAGGACCCTCATAATTCAAAATGTTGCACAAAATGCATACTTTCGCCCTTGATTTGATTTCACTTTTAATCACAAGTGATACTTTCGTTACTACAAGAATAACAATCAGTCAGAACACTTAGAATAGGGTGAGATGAGACAGCTAGAGAAAAGATGTTTCATTTTCATTAGGGTGAAAGTGTATTGATGAGGAGTGATGATCCACATGTGTGACTTTACCTACGTGTGATGGGCCATAAAATGAAGAAGCTTTTATCCGAATCCATCCTACATTCGACTCAATCTCATCTATTTTATTCCTTGATACTACAAATACACCCACTTATTTCACAGCCAGGCATATGGGACTCGTATCTCGTACGTGTCAACCAATTCGCCCGAATTGGTTGACACGTACTTCACCTGTCACCTATTTAGATACATCAAATCCATCCTCAACAACAAAAGTACTTTTTGTAAAATAATATTTTTTTTGTAATGGGCACTTTTTCAAAATATTTGATTTTATTCATTTCCTCAGTCATATTCGTTGGTTTTGTTGGACGATTGAGACAAGGAGCGAGGATGAAAGTGAGTGGTTGGTGGTGGCTCCCTCTGGCGGGATGCTCTGACTCCGACTTTGCTCAGACTTGATTTCTCCCTCCCAACGTTGTTTCACCACAACAGCCAACAGGAGTTACCAGTAGTAAATTCTAGGATAAATAAATACTGAATCGGTGTTGTCAAAAATGCAATAATATACAGTGACAACAATTAAGGAGTAAATATACAGAGTTAATTGACATCTTAGACATCATGTCGTCGTCGAGTGGTCGTACGACTCGACAGCAGAAGCACATCTTGTCCACTTCGACCGAGTCCATCTTGTATCCCTCAGGGTGCAAGGATGTTCAAGAGGACATGCACGCCGACGAATTAATTCGGCGGCTCAAAAGCTTGGCCTCAGCATTTCAAAGTATGGGACAAGAGGAAAATGCTTACGACGAGTATGTTCCAGTTTGCCTGCACTTGGCGGAGGATGGATTTTTACATCATGCGAGTAAAGACGTCCGACTCTTGGTGGCCTGTTGTATTGCAGATATTCTGCGAATCTATGCACCTGAAGCTCCTTACAAGGAGACTGAACAAGTTAAGGTAAGAGGGGAAAGGCGTACATAACATGTTCGAAAGGACGATTGTGTTAATAATGTGGAAAATGTGCTAATGCGTGCTTTTTGTATTCCTTGTTTCAGACTATCTTCAAATTCCTTATCTCTCAATTGGAAGGATTGAAAGACCCTAAAGATGCTGCTTTTAAGCGATATTTTTACTTGTTGGAAAACTTAGCTTACGTCAAATCATTTAACATGTGTTTTGAACTGGATGATGCTCAAGAAATATTTTGCAGCTTGTTTGAACTGATATTTTCCATTGTAAAGTGAGTCATTTGTTTTTATTCAGGTTACAGTGATTATTGTGTAATTTGATGATGGTCGAGCTGTGTAAGATAATTCTACATGTTTTAAAATTATTTGTTTACAGTGACGAACACTCGGGCAAGGTGAAGTCTTTCATGCTGGATGTTTTGTGCCCTTTGGTGTCAGAGTGCGATTCCGTCTCCAACGAATTACTAAATATAATATTAAGTAATATCGTGGAGCCTGTAAAAACATCAAAGAAAAATGCGTACAACCTCGCTAAAGAGCTCATCATCAAATGTTCAGAGACACTCGAGCCTTACATTCAAAACGTGAGATACAAATTATTATTTTATTTTTTATGTCATCATTAGGGAATGTTATGTGTTATTATGGTTTATGCTAAATAATAAATACTCCTCTTGTTTTAGTTTTTTAACCAAGTCCTTATTTGTGGAAAGGATGAAGTAAATTTGTTTATAGCCTACAAGGTAACTTGATACTGACTATCCTTCATAATACTTTTATGTGCAAGCTGATTGTGATCTTGAATAGCTAATTGTTAACTGTTTGTTTTGTAGGTCTACGATTTAATTTACGAGTTGAATCACATCTGCCCGAGCATCTTGCTCTCGGTCATTCCGCAGTTAGAGTACAAGTTGAAAAGCACAGATGAGGCTGAGAGACTGGGATCTGTTTCGCTGTTGGCAAGAATGTTTTCAGAAAAGGAGTCCACGCTAGCAATTCATCACACGCCTCTTTGGCAAGCCTTTATTGGAAGGTAAGTATTCCTAAACAGTAAATATTTAATTCTGTGCAAGTACAGTCTTCGCTGAGCTATGCATTTTATAAATCTGGGTTTATAATAACTTTTAGATTCAATGATGTCAGCGTCAATATTCGGATCAAGTGTGTGCAATATTCTATGCATTTCTTGTTGAACCATGTAGAGGTCCGATCAGACATTGTTGAAGCTCTCAAGGTATTAAACGAGTAAAATGTTAAATGATTTTCTACTGCATACTATGAATTGCATAATAATAATCTGTAATGATATGGTTTCTAGTTGCGGCAGCACGACTCTGAGGAGAATGTTCGATTTGAGGTTGTCAAAGCTATTGTGGCAACTGCTCGTTTGGATTTCAATATTGTATCCGAAAGTGAAGATCTCCTAAATTATGTGAAAGAAAGAACTTTGGACAAAAAGGTATTTATTTTGATTGGCTGCTTGGTATTTTTTAAAGTGACATTATTGATATTTACTTATGAGTTGAAAATTAATTTCTTACTTATAGTTTAAAATTCGCCGAGAGGCTGTCCAAGGGTTGGCCTTAATTTATAAGAAACATCTGAATGCGGAATATGTTCCTGAAGCAACGAAGCGAGCAGTTAACTGGATCAAAGATAAGATTTTGCATGTCTATTACATGCAGTCTTTGGACGATAGGATCCTGGTGGAACGACTGATGAATACCTGCTTGGTTCCGTTCCAACTGGAACCATATGACAGAATGATGAAATTAATGTACCTCTACGGTACCATTGACACAAATGCATCCAAGGCATTTGTCGAAGTTCAAAAGAATTTGTTATTGTAAGTCCTTTTGTTTTATACTTGGTTATTAACATTGTAACAATACTCACAACTCCTACTCAACTTTAAACAACTTGATATTAACAGAGTTCGTCGACACGTTCAAGAACTTCTTAATAGCATACGCAACGAGTCTAAAGTTGACTACGACCGGCAGCTGAATATTCGCATATCTCAATTAACGAAGTTTCTCCCTGACCCTGTAAAGGCTTCTGAATTTCTATGCAAATTCAGTACAGATCTGAAAAATGACAAGAACCTGTTTCGAACAATGGAAACAATTGTCAACCCTGCGACAGATTGTAAAACGGGAACTGAACACACGGTATGTAAATGATACTTGTTTTGACTAGTGTTGACAGGTAAAGATTAATTATGTAATCATTAGTTGCAATCATGTTATTTGATTACTTGCAGAATTTTGTTCTTAAAAAACTTGGAGCTCCAGTAATGACCAATTTGTATTACAATACAATTAAATTGCTTCTTGAAAGGACGTCGTCTGTCATTATTGATAAAGATTCGATTTCGGTATGTAAAACAAATACTTAACCTCATCTTTAGTGAACTAGATGTAAATATACTCTGATGGGGATCAAAGTATAATAATTTTTAATTGCTTACTCAATAATAGAAATTAATGAACATCATGCACGAAATCGTTGCTGGAAAGAAAGAAGTTCTGACTGGTGTTGGATTGGATAAACATACTGCGATAGATCGTGGACTAAACCTGGTTTGCGTAAGTTAAGACCTGAGTCCTTCTTTAATTTGATTTGGTATGTACTCTTTATGTGTTGTATTTTGTTTTGTATAGATTTTATCGTATGCTTTCCCCCTTCACTTTTGTGACGCCGAGATCTTAAACATGATGGTTCAACTCCTCGAATTTGTTGGAGATGTTGGTCAACCCAAAGTGTTGGCCGCTTTGACTAGTATTGGAAAATCAAAACCAATGGGTATGTATAGCTTTTTACGACTTTTGAACATTTTAAAATAAAATAATTTGGGAACTTGTTTAAAAATGTATTTTTATAATTATTAGGTCAATTTTACCAAAATGTAATGGGAACTCTTGTTCCGCAATGCCAAACGATGCTTGTGACTGGAGGTGCAAGACATGGGAAACACGCTGTTCGCTGTCTCCACATCAATATGAACGAATCTGCTCGGAACCACATTTTTGGTCAAGTGGTTGAAGCCCTCAGGGCAAACTTGGATCCAGACAATAACAATTATCGAACAGCTATTATTGCATTAGGACATATTGCTCTACTCATGCCAGAAGAATTCAAGTACGACATGAAATCCATAATCTCCACCAAGGTTCGTACATTTTTACCAATTGATGGGAGTGAAGCTTTGATGAACTCATTGGTTTTAATATTTTCATTAAATTTCAGATTGTAAAAGAGCTACTGGTCGCCCCACGTCGAACTGACGATGACAAATTAAAAAATTCTGAGAGCTGGTGTGATGAGGAAGATCTACCTGAGATTACCCGATGCATGGTAAGCAAATAAATAAATTATTGCAATTTATTTTCTTTTTAGCCGCGTAAATAGTTTATTAATTGTGAATTTGTTATCTTTGGTAGATTGCCGGACTGAAAACAACTGTGAGATGGTTAATGGGATTGAAAAGCGATATGAAAGCGGCCCTTAAGACGTTCAAAATGCTTGCTGCATTCGTTGAAACTGGGGGTGGGTTCATCAGTGTGTTGAATGTTCCATTCAGGTATGGGATCAAACAATCGAATTAGAGTTTAATTAATGGAATGCAAGTTCGTTTAGAAATAATTTTATATGATCGATATGGTTGATTTGTTGTTGCAGTAATGCGGAAAAAGCCTGGCTTCGGTTGACGGCTGGGTGTTGTATGCTCAAAATCTGCGAACAAAAGGGAGTCGGTGATCAATTTAGTGCAGCACAATTTTGCTCTCTTGCCAAATTGATGAATGTAAGTTTTTTTATAAATTATATTTTGAGTAAATCAAGCGCTTATCCAGTTACAAGCATATACATAATTTCATAATTTTATGATAATAAACAGGACGAAGTGCTAGAAGTTCGGGATCGTTTCGCACACAAACTACATCGAGGTCTTTCTCGTGGAATTCCACACAAGTAAGTATTTAATGATATTATCCTTTATTGTTGGCTATACTGTTGGTCACGTTTGAAATAAGTTTATAAAGAAATTACAATCATTAGAAACTTGGATAGAAACTAATTACATAATTTCATAATTGTGCAGGTGTTTGCCACTTGACTTTATGGGATACTACTCACTTGCTGGTTACGAAACAGATAAGAGACAGAAGGCCATGGTGCGATCGTATATGATGACAGACATTGAGAAGCGACGAGAGTACATAAAAAGTCTAATGATGACCGCATCTGACCGAGCTGCAGAGCAGCTTCCTCACATAATGCCTGATTACATGCTTGTGTTTTCCGTCCCTGTGTTAACGCATAACCCTAAATTTTCATCATATACTGATCACAAGGAATTGGTAAGAACATTCTTTCTATGCAAGTACCTTTTTTATTGAGGGTTAGTTTAATTGATGTTTTAATATTTTGTGATACAGGCTGAGATTAAGGAGTGCTTGTGGTTCATCCTGGAGCCTTTAATTGTTAGGAATGACAATTATTCGTTTGGGTTTTACAAGACGTTGGTTGAAAGGATGAAGAATCATAAAGATGCCCTAGAGCCAGAGAACGAAGAAATTCTTTGTGTAAGAAAAAGTTGTCTTTACTAAGTTTTACGTGTGTGGGTTATCTATTTAATTGCTGAAGATAAATGTTGTAATCTCACAGAAAATGTATGCCTGCTGCGATATTGCTCTGGGACTAATTCTCCAGAGGTCCACTAGTTTTGAGATGAAAGACTATCCTTCGGAACCAAGAATTCCTCCGATGTATTTTAAACGTAACGACGATCCATTCTATCAAAATACGTAAGTAGTACATTTATACAGATTATTTTTAATTATTCGTCGTCTGCACTTTACATACATGAATTGTGAATAAATGCTAATTGAAACAATAGGAGAACATACCTTCCTACTGACATGCAGTATTCAGCCCCCAAAAAGGCTGGCGTAACTGTATCTGTTGCTTGGGACAATTCAACTAAGAAACCTATCAAAAGATTAAAACGAGACGCTGTCCTTGTCGTAAGTTTCATATTGTTGAATATACTATAAAAAGCTTAATTATGTGACGACAGAGTCTAATCTGTAAAATTCTTTTTCTTGACTCAAGCAGGATGAACACGGCAACGTTTCCATCGATGCTCAGGTAAATACATTTAACAATAACATAAGCTAATTCGATACTTCGTGATACCGTGTCACTAATACTCAATTTTTATATATTCGATTTTCAGCCGAATGACGCTAGTGAAACTCGCTTACAGATTCCTGGCATCAAGGTAAGAATATATTTTTGTTCACATCGTTAACAATGTATCTGGATTCTTATGCTGTTCAAGTATTATTTTTAAAAAAAAATAATGCAAGATTTATTATCCTTTTCAAACTTTAGAACGGTGAAAGTGACGAGGATGATGAGGAACATGACGAAAGTCAGGCCACCAGTGGAGCAAATTCGTTACAAGCCCAAAGTGAAACTAAATCAAGTTCAAGTGCATCATTGTCCACCCTGAAACTTGTTTCAGTGGATGAAAAATTGGACGGAATGAAAAACAACCGCACCACTCTTACCACTGCTCCTAAGAAGGAATCCAATGGACGTGGAAATGATAGTGACACAGATTCACGTAATAGTTACGGGAAATCAACGGGTAGTAGTAGAACAAGTACGAAGGAACCTGATGTCACGGATGCCGATAGCGAATCCTCCTCCCCAAAACCCAAGGCAGAAAAATTAAAACCAGTGACAAAACGAGGAAACTTATCTGTAGCAAGTGCAAGCCCAATCCCTGACAGCGATGACAGTTTAAATCATCAAAATGAGACAGCTGCCACCACCACCGCCCGAAGTAGACGGATCATAAAAGCCGTGACCGTTGGTGGCAGTACAAATGCTTCACCAAAGAGCGATGCGTCATCAACAAAGTCTGCAACACCCACCGTCAGTACGCCGTTAGCTTCACCACCACCAACAACAAAATATACAAGCAAACGTGCCAACTCTAGCGAAATTCCTTCAAAGTCTACCACAACCACCGAGACAGACGCGACTCCGCCACGAAAATCAGCTAGGCTAGCTAAGAAATAAATAATGTTATACATCACATGTCGTTTAATCTGTGTGTATATAACATTATACAAAAAGTTTTTCCTACATTATTCTTCTTTATTTATGTTAATTTTCTACTACTACCACCATTACTACGACTATATCGAGTTGACATCAACTATTATTCATAAATGCCGGACTTTAAAAATAGAATATTATTTCAGAAAGAATGACAACTCCTCGTTTTGTATTTCTCATATAACGTAAACTCTGTGTGCCCTCAAAATATTGGTCTAATCCAATTTAAGTCTCAATAAATAAATGATTTTCAACAGTTTGACTAATTTCGACTTATCTGAAACGTATTTTTTTGCATGATGATTAAACACAAAACAAAATCAATCAATTCGTTGTATAAAATTTTCACCTTTACTAGAATCGTTTTTCATAATTCACTGTTGATTTTGCATAAGTTTTGAACCATGTCGTCACAGAATAATTTAAAAAGCTTACACAAATTTATACACATGGGCCTTGATGGCATTAATAATAATCACAATTTTCCAATATTTCAATAGTTAAAAGTCAGCAAATTGTTTGGGATATTCATCATACGTCCCCACGTCGATGGGTTCCTCGATGAAGATATCAAAGCTACTCGTGTCATCAGCTCCGTTCAACTTTGGGATGTACGGAGCTTCCACAGTCTTATTAAACAAATCAATCCAGTTCAGAGTTGCGAACCATGGATGAGATCTAATGTCGTAAATCCCATTTTTCAAATTTCCATAGCGTTTGCTTAGGTCGACTTGGATTAAGTTGTGCATCAGATTCTTCAAATCAGAGGAAAGAGTGGCCGGATATTTAATTTTTCCACTGACAATCTTTTCGCACGTCTTGATCGGCAAGTTTGATGAGAAGCTGTAAATAATAATTAAGTATCATTATGAAAAGGGATCATTGCTACATAATTTGTAACATACGGTGGATATCCGACAGTCATTTCAAATATTAGAACCCCAACTGCCCACCAATCTACGGCCTTGCCGTATCCTTTGCCCAGGATGACTTCCGGTGCAAAGTAGTCTGTGGTACCGCACAAAGTATACGTTCTACCCTGGACGCGTTTAGCAAAGCCGAAGTCAGACAATTTCAGGTATCCGTCGCTCGAAATCATGACATTCTCTGGCTTCAAATCCCTGTGGATGATATCCATCTGGTGCAGATACGCGACTGCCATGATAATCTGACCAGCATAAAACCTGGCCTGGGGTTCCGAATACCGAACACGCTTCCGGAGGTGAAGCCACAAGTCACCCCCTTGAACAAAGTCCATTGCCATATAAAGATTCTTCATGTCCTTGTAATGGTACGTCAACTTGATGACGAAAGGGAAACGCACACAGGCCAAAATCCTCTTCTCGTCCATGGTGTGTTCAATGGCATGAGACCTAAACAATTTTGCCTTTTCCATGACTTTAACGGCGAATAATTCCTCGGTGGACTTTCGCTTGGCGAGCATCACGAAACAGAATCCTCCGATCCCCAAAGTTTTCAGGTAGTCGAATCTATCGAAACTTGAGAGTGTAGAAGCTGGATTATCCCATCGCTCATTGAACTCGACGCGAGCCTGTTTGAACCACCGTTTCACCTCGTCATTAGACGTGTAATCAATCCTTTCTTTAGAGTTTGTGTTGCCCATTGTGAATCTGGGTGCAACGTTTAATTAGAAAACTCGGTCGTGGAGAAGTTCAAATTAAAAAGTATAAATAATTATGAGATGGCTATTTACTTACCTGATATTAATACTTACTGATAACCTGATGTTCAAGGATTCGTTGTCCTTTTTAATTGTATAAAAGTTACTGGTTGGAAAATGGTAAAATTTTAATAATTAGCAATTATTTTAAAACGTCATGTCTTGACTGTTGTCGAATTGGAAGTGAGCCGTAATTGTGTGTGAATTTGAGTTCAGGTCAGCAGCAGATGCTCATATGACGTTCCCATGACAACTCGTAATAAAAATCAAAAAATTATGATCCATAGTGACAAAGAATCGCTGTACTTTTGTGAAACCATACAAACCATTAGCAGTAAATTAATCATCACCATCTTTGCTCTGTCGGCGATGAAACTTGAAGTAAATCAAATGAATTGTGCACATAATTAAGTGATACAACTTGGTGTTGAAATAATTACTTGCATATTTTATTGAAATTACTCGTCATGATTTTGTCTGACAGTTTTTCTTGAACAACATGAATTATTATTAAGGGTATTCACGACGAGTTCGCATTGTTAGCAAGAAAAACGAAGTTCGCAAGTTCGCAAAAAAATTCATCGGCGAACTTGCGCATTCTAAGGCTAGTATTTAGTTTGCAATTTTTTTGAAATTATGTTGGGATGCGAACATGCGACTTCGTAATGAATACCCCTATTATCTGGTAAAAACTAATAATAATCAAAGCTTTAGTATGCAGTTGTTTGTTTGTCAAAGTTACGAGTTCCATGAACAATGTGAAAATGGAAGTATACATTAGTAGTAGTGATAATGATGATGATAATGTCTTATTAAACTCAACGGCTTTAAATAAGTCAAGCTGCCACTGAATATTATTGTGTGTGTCGGTGTGTACGTGAAATTAATATAATGATTGATTGCTTAAAGTATCCTAGATTACAGATTATTCATGTTCCCCTGCTGACTTACGGTTACTTAGGGTAGTACTTAATATGTAGTCTACGGTTAGTTAGTAGTACCAAAAAGTGGTTGTCGTCATTAAATTTGAACGAAATATATTTTTGTGCACCCTTTTTATTAGATCCATCCAGGTCTGTTGAAACCAAGCCCATGCGGATAAGGATAACCGGTCGGTGGCAATAAGCCCATTACATGCGGAGAACTCTGAAAGAACTGTTGGTACGGGTCGACAAGTCCTCGGGGTGGTTGGCTGTGTGCGAAGGGTTGTGAGCTTTGAGATTGATAGGGGGATGGGTGAGATCCTATGAAAGGGGGGATTTGATATGGAGAGATGGACGGGGCGGGCACACCCCCGGCGGTGCTGCGGGATGAGGGCGAGAATGAGGTGTGGAAAGATGAGGTGGACGAGGGGTACAGGTCTGGACGATGTGCGAGACTTGGTGGACTTGCCTGTAAAAAGAAACATGTTAGCTAGCACAGCTTCCCTGTTGTACCTCATTGTACTAATGCTAGTAATTTACCGAATAGAGTGATCCTTCGTCCTTGGAAGGATAGAGGGCAAGATCTGCGGGGGAAAGGGAAGAAAAGTTGAATGCACTTGCAGCAACCATCGCCTGACCACTGCTCTTGGAGTTTGATTGAGATCTAAGAAATATAAGAAATTTTGATTTACTGGCATGATTTATCAGAAAACTAATACGTATTTATATCTGGTTTATGTACCTGGATGAAGATTTGGACTCTGCCTTAGAGCCTTGTCTTCGACTATTGGTCACACTCGTGACGACAGGAGTGTCGATGTCGGACGGCAGTTTGTCCGCCGGTTGAGAATGAGCTGCTGGAGGGTTGAGAGGATTCCCAGTCTTGGTTCCACCGGAGACGCCACTTGCAGAACTGTACCCGCTTGGGTCAGCCGCTCTTTGATACTTGCTCATACTTTCTGCCATCGCTTGTTGATCTTGGTATTGACGATACGCATTCGCCATCCCGACAGCATTCATCGGATTGGGGATGCTGTTCACGATTTGCGATAGTGAGGCAAGATTATGTGGCCACTGGACAAATCCATTCAGTTCACTATGACCCAGTTTTCCCTCCAAGTTTGCAGCAGTTTCCCTCCTTTGGATCTCTTGCTGTTGCTGCTCATTAGCTGCGGCTGCTGCTGCTGCATTCGAACGACTATTTCGACCCCGTGAGCTGGACGATGATGACGATGATGAGTTATTGGAAGTGGAAGTAGTGTGTTGATCCGCAGATGATGAATGTCCTCCACCAGATGAAGTAAGACTGAGTTCCCCACTGCTCACACTCGATTTGTAAAATCTGCTCATTGCTGAGTCCGCACTCATCGGATTGGTGTACACGTTTGGAGGAATGTTAATGTTTCGAGGGTTGGACGCATACGGATTTGAGGGGTACGGAGAAGGTTGAGCTGTACTAGGTCGTTGAGAATGAGAATGAGCGGCCGTCAAATTTTGGGTGTAACTGGATGCCGACGAGGGCAGTGACGACGGAGGCATGCTAGATGGAGAGTTCATCTGGTGATGGTAATTATGCGGCGGATATCGCTCGTAATGCTGTTGATGGCTCATTTGTGAATGGGCTTGAACTTGATTCATGTGAGCCATTACGGGCTGATGGGCTTGAGATATTGCAGGGGTGCTGTGGGCAGCTTCCGGGTGGGGCTGTCCGACCGAGGAAGGATGGCCATAGTGATTCGTGGGAGGTGGGTACGGAGGGATGGAAGGAGCAGGAGAGTGACTTCCTCCATGATGAATTAGAGAGCTCGTCCTGTGATGGGCTGCTGATGAAGAGTGCGCCGGAACAACCACACTTGGACCTGGGCGAATAGTTGTTGCAGAAATGTTGAGAACTGAAGTAGTATGCTGAGAATTTGACGACTGGCTGTATGAGGGTGGTCGATACTCTGGGACGTTGGGTGAATGTGGGGAGTTGGGGCCAGCAGGTGGTGACTCCACACTGGTCATCCCTCCAGGGGATGGTGACTGCATATTGGAGCCTGGACCCACATTGGGAGAGGGTGTGCTGGCTGCATAGCGAGGAGTATATATTTGGGGAGCATTGTAGGGTCCAAATCCACCACCAATATTTTTGTTGGAACTGCCAGTCGAAGACATTTCTCGTCCTCCTCCTCCTCCTCGACTGGCATTTGTACTATGATTGTTCGTCGGGGTGGGTGGAGTGGAGGGAGAGGCTACGTTAGAGTTGGAGTTGGAATGTGGTTCATTGATCTTCTCGGGACTAGAGTGCTGGGATGTGATATCCTGATAAAATCCAACTCGGACAGGTCCCACGGGTCTGGGGGGAGTTTGTGGAGTGTGGGGCGGACTATTGATGGCGGGGGAGAAGGGAGAGTTTGCAGGTGACTGAGAACTCACTTGGGACGAGGCGGAAGGGGACTGAGACTGCGAATGGGCCCAGTGCTCGTCAACCCATCGAGGAGGATTAACTCCTGGTCCGTCTTGATTGCTGAAGGGGTGGGGTGAGCCACTCTCGCTTTGGGAGGACAGACTGCTCGTACTCATCTTACGATGGCGATGATGTTTCTTGTGTTGTTGATTATTGTGGGTCTTGTTTGATGAGGAGGATAGCTCACGCTGCGGCTCATTCAGCACTGTAGGATGGGGTTCACCGGGTGGTTTATGCTGTTGTTGTTGTTGCTGCTGTTGAGCGTGAGTTGAGGAGTTTGAGTTCCAGTGAGGAGGTTGTTCAGGATGGAGCACATGTTGTTGCTGTTGCTGCTTTCTGACACCTTTAGGCACTGGAGAATGCTTGTGGTGACCAGCATTCTTGTAAGAATCGTTGTTTGAAAAAGACGAAGAGTTGTTTGACTCGCCCACACCTCTCCCCATAACCTTAAAGCTCTTGGGATCATTATCTGGTTTTCTACCGTGAGGAGAGTTGCTTACTGGGGCAGTGGCAACACATCCAGGAACAGGTTTCGTTGGACCACCAAACGCTTTTATCCAAGCTGACAAGTTTGGCATGCATTTTTCCGGCTTAAACCCTTTGCTTGGCTCCAATTTCCTGTCCGTTTCTTCCTCCTCGTCATCATTCTCTTCCTTGTCCTCCTCCTCTTTAGATGACCCTTGAGGACTGGCTTTAGACCCTTCCACCTTGACAGGTACCTCTGATGATCCTGTTGCTGTTGTTGCTGCTGCTGTTTCATTGTTGGACGACTCTACTTTCCCTGCTCCACTGGTAGACGTAGAATATTGTGAGGGAGGAGTCGCGTCCTCGTCGTCTTCGTACTCATTCTTCTTAAACCCTCCAAGTTTAATGGCATCTGTGGAGAGGACGGTGCCCAAGCTGAGTTTAGGTCCACCCTTTCGGTCAGTGGGGGCATCGTTGAGGAGAAGGCATTTCTTTTTCTCTGGTTTCTCGCCCACTGAATTATTATCTCCTCGAACTAGCTTCTCAGAGTTAACTTCGCCACCTCCCGAAGGTGTTCCTTTACCTCCAAAAATGTCAGACTGTCCGGCTATCTTGTTGAATTTTGACTCGACCGAGTTCAACTTGTTCCCCTTGTTCAATGGTTGCAACTTCTTGATGGATCCGGGACCCTTCAAAGTTGTGAAAAGGCTATTGGTTCGTTTAACTGGGGATTTGTGTTTCTTATCTTCAAAACTTTTTGAATGTTTCAACGATGGTTTTGACTCTGTGACACTGTTGTTGTCACCAGGACTAGTGGTGGTGGAGGAATAGTCATCTTTTATAATGGAGTCAGTCCTCTTCTTGACTTTATTGTTGGGACCGTTTGACTTGGAATATGGTGGTCGAACTGGAGGAGGAGAAGTAGAGTCACGCTGCTTGGAGCTGCTACCACTACCACTACTGTGACGTTGATGTTTGCTTGAGTGGTGATGTTGGGATGATCGCTTATCCTTGCCCGTTTTGGACGATGACGAATGATGCTTCTGCTTATCCGAATTTTTCTTTAATTTGACATTTCCCGTTGTGGTCATGGACTTTTTCTGTTTGGATTTTTCTGATTTTGACTTGTCCTTGGGACTCGGTTTATCTGATTTTTTTGGCATTTTCTTGGGTGGTGTGAAGTCTTCGTCCTTTTCATCATTATAATCTCGTCGCTTGGCTTCTTTGCTTTTAACAAACGGTTGAGGCCGAGACGTAGCAGTAGGAGAGTTTTCCTCCAGTTTCCGTTTATGACCGATTATATTAGTAGGACTGGAGTTTTTGGGAGGAGAATGTTTATCACGATCATTGTCATCTTCGAGAATTCGATTTCGGAGGTTATCAAATGCAGCAGCTCCAGAACTGACGTACTCGGTCGGTTTAGGAGTTTCCACCAACCACTTGTCAATATCCTTCAAGGTCTCAGCCGTGGCAGTGTCGAGATTTTCAATTGCTTCCGAATCTCGACTGTGATGTCGCATTAGTTTATGTTTCTTGGACTTTTTGTCAACTTTGTTCTTCTTTTCTGAGGACGATGATTTGGACTGCTTAGATTTGGATGATGACTGTTTTTTATCGGTTGAAGATTGATTTTCTTTCTTGTGCTGAAGTAATCAATAGGAAATTTTAAAAAGTTGCAAGATATCTCAGTAAATCTACTTTCTACATTAAAAAATTGTAATAATTTCTACCTCACTAGACTTCTCGTCCTTTTTATTATTTGTAGAGTGAGTTCGAGGTCGTTTCTTTTCTGAACCCATGTTGCTGTATTCAATGCTGATTTCTTCATCGTCAGATTCGTCGGGGGCAATGTATCGCTGGACAGATTTATGAAACGCATCCTGTAATGTTTCCGCCATTTCGGTGTACTCTGGAAAATGGATGATAAAAATAAATACAAATTATTGGAATTAGCTGCATTAAGTAATTATGATCGGGATTTTCAAATACGGACTACGATTTAAAAAATTCATCCAAGAGTATTTAGTTGAAAATGGACGCTCGTAAGCAAGTCTTGGATTTTATAAAATTCAAAGCCAAGAAATTAAATTATGAAATATACACGTTATAGGTATAAACCCCTTCTTCTGTTTCTTGCAAAATTTTTGCTAAGAAGGGAAATTGGCAGTTTGAAAAATAGTCCATATTTTAAAATCCAGACTATAATAGGACTAGGTAATAGTGATCCGTACCGCTAGAAGGTCCATTATATTTTATACAGTTGTCCACAATTCTCTGAAAGTCTGCGATAAATTCTTCGAGTGAGACGTACTCTTGATTGTCAAGTTTGTCCTCCATCGTTTGAAGGTCCATTGGTGAAGAGATTGCTTTGTAGTAGTTTGGAGCGTAATCTTCATCAACTGGATTCATAAAAGGCCAAGCGTCTCCGTGGTTCTTTATTGATTCAACCACTTTATGCATCCCGATTTGAACGTCTTCTTCACTTTGTGAAAACCTAAAAATAAATAAATGAGATTTAGTGATTTCAATCGTATTACAAAATTGGGAACAAATTAACTGAGGAATGGTGGACTTACAGTACACTGCTTTTAACTTTGGCTTTGGACATTCCCAGCATGGAATGAATTGGTGGTGCGTGATTAGTATCGAATAAAGCCTTTTCAGTGGTGGGTTTGCTCTTGCTCGCCTGCTTTTGTCGATCCCTATCTTTATCCTTTGATTTTTCCTTCTTCATTTTTCTCTTTTTTCTGTCCTTGTCTTTCAGCTTGTCTTTGGACTTGGACCGTTTCTCCTTGTCCGTTGAACTACTTTTCTGTTTCGCTTTCGTGGAAACCTTTTTGGTCGATTTTTTAACAGGTGCTGGAGATGAGGAGCGAGAGGTGGACCCTTCATCTCCTTTCTCATCCTCTGCTGGTTCTTCCCGATCACTGGACGGATCTCGTGGGTTGTCGTCATCGTCATCCTCCTCCACATCTGATCTTTCATCCCCTCTGCCATCGTCACTATCATCATCTTCCTTGTTGTATTTTTTAGCACCTTTGGACAAAACTGCACTTTGAATAGTGGATAAAGAGTTATTGGTCGTCCTCTTGGATTCAGGAGACGTCTTCTTTTTGCTTCCATTTTTGGTAAGAGTGGACTTTGCCGGGGATTTGCTGGGAGACTTACTCGTGGCTGAACTACTTCTACTACCTCGAATATTTTTCTTCCTATTAGAACTACTGCCAGATCTTGAGGAGGAGGACTTGTCATTATTTGATATCCTCGTGGGTACGGATGACACTGGTTGAGAGGGTGGGACTCCGCCACCCCTTCTTTCTCGGAGGTGAAGTCGTGCCTTCCTTTCTTCCCTCTCAATCTCCTCAGCCAGAAGCCGGTCTGCTTTCTCCTGCTCTTCCCTTTGTCGCCGTAGCTCATCTTCTTCCATGTCGCCCGATTCGCTAACACTTTCTCTCCCTTCCTCACCACCACCCTCGCTAGAAGCGTGTTTAGTTTTTTTGTGAGATTGTTGGACGGGCATATCTTCTCGCTGCTGCTGGTGATGATGGTGTTGGTTTGGTTCTGATAACACGGATCTTCCACTGCGACGGAGTTGCTGCTCTAGCATCCGCTTCCGTTGCAGTCTCTCCTTTTCGGCAAATAGGCGTGGAAGTTCAGGGAGAAAGTCAGAGCTAAAGGAAGGAATAATCGTTAATTAGGTATTTATTAAATGTGAGTTTTTTTTACATAGCCATTAGCACAGTTATGCAGTATCAAAAGTGTTAAAACTGCATTACTATTATTAATACCTGAGAGTGCGGTGGAGATTCTTTTCGTGGATAGATTTGCAGTTTTTAAATTTGCGTGTTAACACTTGCCAATCTTCTTCAGTGTAGCAAACGACCTGCCATTTGCTCAAAGATTTTTCCCAGTGGAGCTCCTTTCTCCCTCGTTTTCGTCCGGCTGCCTGTGTCGTTTCACATGAATACACATGTAATCATTAAATGCTCAATAACACGCTCATATCGAATTATTGAGTCGAACTGCTAAATTACCGATTTGTCGCTCCCGTAGTCCTCCCTATAAAGCCGGGTCCCGTAAAAATACCAGTATGTGCTTCCCCCACTGTCTCGACCCAAGGGTTCTACGCGTAAGCTATCGGACTCCAAGGACTGAAATACAAGAAAATGCTATGTAATATCTCTGCTGAAGTTATGGCATGACTGATAATATCATAAATTAGTGCAAAGGAAAATGAGACCTCCGATGAATCTGTTAAATTCTTTCATGCTGAACTTACCTCCAATTTTAAAGGTACATCCTCATTGTCCAAACGGAAATCGCATAAGTCGTACAAAATTTTTACTTTTATGCTCACGGGGAGAGAGTGGAATGCTGCATCGGTTTCAAAAGGATTGTCCTTGGTTGAGCCCTCCTGTAAATCAGCGTGATAGACATGATTTACAACATATTTAATTTTCGTCTCAACTCTCATTCCCTCAAAAAAAAGGCTCAAAAAATAATAATTTGTTGTTTCTTTACGCGTATCTTTAACTCAGTTCAGTTTCAGATAATGAGGTCCGTATTAATTAATTGTTAATCATAAAAACAAACAAAACGAGTACAAACCAATATTTACAAGGTCATTTCATTTTTTTAGTAAACATTTATTCCAGTAGCCACGCACTTTATAAAAATCGCCCCTTGCAACAAACAATCGAACAAAAATAATAATGTTTGCCCTTATTGTTTGAGACTTATTGCGTGTTGACAGCAGAATACATTTCATGATCCCATCGTATATTTAGGTATTTACAACATAATCAATAAAAAAAAGTGAAAGCACAGTAATAGAGAATGAGATCTAGGCAGAAGAAGTGAGAATAAGTGCGGCATATAATTTTGCTTTCTATCAGCACTACGTGTAGTAAAAGTTTAATTAAATCCAATCATAAAAAATCTCCTTCCCTTCCACCTCAAGAAGAATGCATCAAGATATGATACACATAAACATGCTTCTCGTCGTGGCCTGTTTATATTGCATTATATTTTCGTGTAGGTTGACACACTATGATACTCAAAAATAATTTGTGGTAAATTTCATGACGAATAATTTCATCATCATCATCATCACATCATAAAAAATTGGCAAACCAAGGAAGAAGGAATCGTATATGTTAGGTGATGGTATCCTCTTACCTCGCATTTTTTGCGAAAGAGTCTCCGTAGGTACATCTGAAATAATAATACAACGTCGTAATGCAGCCAATGCCCACTACTCCTCCGTTTCAGACAACGGAATGAACACCGAGATTCGGACAACTTATACTCTTGCCAATTCTCCCATAACCAACTACATACATCGTCCATTAGCAATAATACTTGATAAAAATGGATCGGATAATGGAACTCATCATCCTTTAATGAGTCTCCATTCTCATAAAAAACCAAGGCTGGCTTCATTTCAAACGCATATTCAGATATCAACTAAATATATAATTTATCAGACATAATTTACCTGATAGTTGGATGTTGTGATTTCATCGTGCTTGGAATTGAAGCAACCCTTGAGAAGTTGAACTATCAAGTCTTGCAGCAACGAACTTGCCACTTCCTCTACACTATCCGTGAGCAAGGCTTCTTCCAACTCCTACATGTGCATAAATTTCACACCCTTTCATCAATTACTCACACCAAGTGGGACTCTTGTTTTTTTTACTACATCACAAATATTCGGATCGTCAGACCATACAAATCTATAAAATCCACCACCCAAAATAATGTTGCCAAACTTTTTTTTCTCTCCATGGGATTCGCAATCATACTCTTTTACGGAATATTTACTACGTATCATTCTCAAAAGATTGATTTTTATAGAGAAGATGAAACCAAAACTCCTAGAACAGAAGTTCCAATTATTCCTACAAGACTTATGTGCCCTCATCGTAACAGAATCCTTTCCCAGTTGCAAAACTTCTTGTGGTAAAGTTGTGCGAATGCCTGAAGAGGCTCATTGATTTCGCTACTAATTATACCCCTAAGGTAGACCCACGCTTTGAAAGTGTGTATTATTTGGCAACAACAAGAAAACAATCCAACTATAGCTTTACACCTTCTAATTAGTCCCTGGAGTAATCTGGGTTGGTGGTAACATGAGCCCTGGCCATTCCATTTTGCATAATGCGATACCTCTTCTTCCTACCACTCGGTATCTTATTCATCTTCAAAATATGTAGTAGGAGGAGGAGGAGTGGTTGGCAGGTCCAACCGAAAAGTACATAAAAGTTGCCTATCTTTGCGGTTGTTTGAATGAGTGGTGTGTAGGCACGCAATATTATCTGAAGGAATTGCGGAAAGAGTGGTTGACAGGAGGAAAGAGAGAGAGAGGTTCGTGCTGAACGGAAGTTAAGCTTCCCAGTCGTCGTAGATGAACAGAACAAGACTGCGGAAAAAGAAAGATGAGTTTGTTCGTGCACGTGCTTCTCTTGGTCGTCGTGTAGTGGTAGTGACTCTGAACTAATTATAGGAATAACCGGAGAGAGGAGAGAAGCCGTTGGCATGCTTTCGCCTTATTATTCGCCTCGCCTCTCTCGCTCTCTCTGTGTGTTCGCCCGCAGAGGAGGAGGCTGCAGAGTGCCAAATCTTTTGCATGTTTAACAGCACAAAATTGCAAAATAGTCGAGCTGGAAGAAAAAGTGGACTCCTCGTCGTAGGCGAAGAAGAAGAAGAGGTCTGAGAGAGATATGATTTACGTCGTCGTCTCCGCCACTATTACTGCCTGTAAACTAATGCTTTACTTTTCATAAAACCACTACCACCACCACCACCACTGCCTCTACCACCTCTCAATTGTTATTTGCACAAAGGAGGAACTAATTAAGAGGAAAAACTTTTATGGATTTAATAACTTAAATAAGAAATTAGATTTTAATCTGCTCGGAAGTAATTAAGTGCTTTCTCTCTCGACTTGTATCACTTCCCCCCATATTTGAGTCTTGTCCTGATTTTCCCTGGATTTCTAGTTTTTCCTGACATTGTGTTTCGCTGTTATTAAATTATTCATACTAATAGATGGAACACGATCCATTTAGAGACTACAAATACACACGTATTCTAATATTCTCACCACTGACTGAACTACAAAGAGAGTAGTAGTAGTGAGTGAAAATGCTGAATATTTGTCCTTTCTGCATGATTTAATCCTCTTTGAAAATTAATTTCTTTTGTTTTACATGAAAATACATGTCGCATCCTTCCCTCCCGATACACAAGTAAGTCTACGCAATGAGTGTTTTTAATTCCGTCCTCTCCTCATTACATAAGTTTAATAAAGTTTCCATACAGCAGAACTGGAAGAAGACGGGCGGATGTATGTACATCGACTAAAATACACGCCCGGACAAATATCGATCCGACAATTTTGCTTTGTATGTAGGATATTGTTTTGTGTATTGTTGTTTGATACTTTTTGTATAATATAATACACATCACAATTAATTGTGTATGAAAATCCTGAATGGAATACGGGTGCAAATGTTTGGGATATAATTCGACTCTGAATGCCTTTGTCTTTTATTTTACTTTACTCTCCTCCTCCTCCACCTCCATTGTTTGCAAGATATATAGATAAATATATGAGAATAAGCTACGACTAAAAAACGGTCGTAAATATGTCACTACTATATCTTTTGCTAACCGTAAATGTGATCTCTCCCTTTCTCTCCTTATTTATAACCCTTCAATTCACAGCACTCTCATCCTCCTTTCTTCCTTTTTTTGCTATTGCGAACTTGCCCTCGGTATCTTATGCGAGCTTTTTTTTCCTAAAAACTCATGTCTGTCTTTGATGCTGACGTGATCCCAAGATTTTTTGACTTGATTGAAGACAAACAAGGCGAATTTGAAAGGACTTTCTTACCTCAATGTCAAAATCTATAAGATCGAAATATAAACGAAACAAGGAACAAAAGTGCGCAATGCATGGTATCTCCCAAGAAAATGCGACACGACCAGCACCTTTAAAGAAAAACAGATTATTAATTAGGAATTTAAATTCCTAATTGTTGTAGATTTTATGGGAAATTTAGGAATAAATCCAGCTCTGAATCTCATCTGTAAAATTCAATCAAAGGTTTGTGAGCATTTTATAGTTTGCTAACGCTCTCGCTCCCCACTCGGTTTTTTGCTGACGTTAACTCAACTATATTATTCAAACATAACTGCGGCTGCTGCTGCTGACGACGACGACAATCAAAAAAATTTTACGTTCAAGGACTCAAACAACTAAAATATAATTGTACCTCTGCTGCGGAACGATGCGCCAAATAAAATTTGGTCAATAACAACATCAACTTAAGAAGGAATACCTGTGTATGTACGAGCTATACAACAAGATATTAACAATTTTTAACGTGTCAAAAACAAATCAGGTCGGGATACGATAAAGCAACGATCAAGCGTACAATCTCCCCAGTGGCATTGGCATTCCATCATCCAGCTACCAAAAAAATGCCCAAAAATAAAAGAACGCTATTCTCACGGGTTCTATATATCCATAAAAATTAAAGAATTGGGGAGAAAATTATAAATTTTGGTACGTAGATGATTTGAACTCAGACAAAGCTTGATGCGTTGGTAGGCTAGCAATAAATATTGATCAACAACAATTTTTAAATTTAAATGTGGTAACAGTAAGTGGTGGAAATATTTAAGAATAATTTTTTGCACCAAAAATATAACAAGAAACTGATAGTTATGTATTATTGCAAATTGCAATTTGCAACTTGAAATGAAAATAATGATGCGAATTGAATTGATCACCATGTTTGATCATACACTGTTGACCAAGCAAATAGCGAATATATAATAAGTACTTTTGGCCTGAACATTTAAAAAATACGAAATAAAATTTAACCACTGCTACGGCTGCATATACATATATCAAAATTATTAACAGTAAATGCACATGCTTGTATTTATGTATGTATATTTGCCACAGTATCTATCTACCACTACGCCAATTTGCATGTAATCAGGGATAAAGCTATAATATCGTATTGTTCTAACAACATACATAACTTATCAATTGCCACATTAAAGGTGTTAATTTATGCTCGAGTTCTAAAATTAAATAAATAAATTAGTTTTTTAAGTGAACCGATTTAATCAAGACTTATCAAAGTCAAATGTCTATTACGGTTTAGAAATCGCTTCAATTCTAATGTAGCTTCCTCAAAACTCAAATGTCTTCCTGGTAGATTTAAATAAAAATTGGGATAAAACTTCAAAAAACAGTAAAAATACACCGAACCAGTAAATGATTACAAAGGCAAAAATATAAATCGAAACGGGAGATACATATATTAGATTCCATCCCGTTACGATTCAACAAAAATTTGCATTGCAACAAAACCTGAATTGAATGATATCAGTATCATCAAGTTCCCTCCATCCGGTGGAATGTCAATTTAATCATCATCAGCCGTCACAAAAATCAAAATGCAAATGATGATCAAAGTTTAAATGACCGATTCTGATGATGTTGTATGAACGCTTTTCTCGATAAACTATGAAATGAAATGAAAATGAAGTGGAGACAGATAAGATAAAAAAAATTAGTCCAAGTGACACAATTTGAAGGATGCATAATAATATTAGTTGTGTGTATGAGCGATAAAATATGAACGTAGCGTGAGGGTTATGATGATGATGACTCCAAAGATTGGAAATTCACAAAAGGTTGAGTTTCCACTAATCCTTTTTTCGTAGTAAGTTAAGTGCTAGTTTTAAGCTTATTTACTTATACAAACATGCTTTCAGTTTCTTTAATGTCATGCAAGTGAGGAAAGAATCCATGCAAGCCTGGAAAATTAATGATACAAAAGACAACAAGATGCAGAAAATATTAAAGCAGAAGCAGATATTTTTTTAAGAATATCGAATAGCAGTGAGTAAAGTATGTTTTTATTGAATTAAATTAAGTTTTTGTTTTAAACTGAAATTAAATTACTTACCGTCCATCGCCTGGTTAGCGATGAAAGTAAGCTTCAATTTTTCTTAGTGACTGACAATCCGCGTACCCCGTCGAGAGAGAGAGAAAGTCGTGTTGCTTTCACTTCCAGGAAACAGAAACTAGCAATTTATTTCTTTATGGATGACGATATTAAGTAAGTAAACTAATAAATTAACTACTAAATATCACAACAAACATAACAGGAATAAGTAAATAATAATGGAAACTAACAAAAAGTCAACAACACTTTATCCCTGGTTCGCTTTACATAAGTCTCACACAGGGAAAATATTAATTTAATAGGATGGATCAAGTATTTCAACAGTAATAATCCTCCACAAGTGATATTGGCTTAATTTCTATCTCAGAAATTAAGGCACCACATGGCGAACTTGTGACTCTCAACAATATAATTTCACCGATATCAGTTTGCACTGTCGTTTATATTTGTTTCGTTATTAAAACCCAGAAAACACTATATATATAAATATTGGCTTCTTATTGATTATTATTTATTATTCAACCCTAAAATACTCACAGTGGAACACATTGTTCTTTTATGGGAAATGTTCCTTGAATGCAATTTCAACTTGCTGGATTCATCATCATCATCATTTTAATTATTTATCAAACAAAAGTTGTGTCTCACACTTTAAAGTGACGTTGCGACCTTGGTGTCATCCTGGTATTTAATTTCTATTAATGTTTTATATAACTATCCATTCCTATTACTCGGCAAAGGAGGGAAGGGCAATTGTTTTTTTGTTTATTATTACCCGCCCTGAAGATGAACTTGTAAAGTTAATTTTGCTGCTAATAATATCTCTGTCTTGGAAAAACCCATGCTCATTCTCGTTTAAATTGTTGTTGTTCTTAATATTTCGGAATGTGTTATTTTTTTATTATCGTTATCGGATCTCACAATCCAATCGTTCGGTCGGTCCGTGTGGTTCCCTCCTATTTTGCGATCGGAGCACTTGGAGGGAGCTTTCGCCCAGAGAAATGTGCTTTTGTACTTATTCCGTGGCAGAATTTCGCAGCGAATTTAAACCACTGTCCCTTTAAAGGTGGATCCTCTCCAGATCTATGGAACCGAGGTAAAATTGTATTCGCAAATAAATCCCCACAGTTTAAAGACAATTAGTGCGTTTTAGTTGAGTCGTGGTGGTTGTTGGAATACGCTGGTGGAGATCCTCTCAGAGAGAGAGAGGTTCGGCCGTCGTTAAATTACTTGGCTTGCTTATACCAACTGAGAGCGTAGTGCTATAAAGTATGAAAAAGCTCTTCTCCTTTCCTACACAATAATAATATCATCAAGAAGAGTAGTAGTAGCCCAAAAACCTGGTTGGTACTGTGTAGTAACAACAACGACGAACCTTTTTACTAAAAGGACGAGAGGCCCAAGCGTTTGGAGATAGCGAGGAATGAGTCGTCGTCGTCGTCCCTCCACCATTTTCGATCTCGCAGTGTAAAGTTGCCAGCGTGGTGGGAAACAAGGCCAACCTACCAACGAACGTACGTAATATCACAGAATGAGAATGGAATCGACGTATATACAGCTGCAGTGAATGTTTAAGAAGAACGTGTTACCAGGCTGCTGGGTTGCTACCTTTCACCGAGTAGAAAACAAATATTTGGGCGAAATTTCCGAACAAAAAGAAAGGAAAAACTTAGCATACCCCAGGTTCCCCCAGGGGTCATTATGAAATTTCATCATTTTCATGATTTTCAGAAATGTAATTTTCCTGAAATTTAGCTTTTTTGCAATCAATCGCGAACCCTGTAAAGAGCTACATACCGCTCTTGCGTTGCGTTTTAGAGTTTTGCGTTGCTCTCTTTACGCGAGTTCTTCATGCATCTCACAATGCATAGCGTAAATGATTTCAGAAAGGTTTGCCGTGCTCCTGGGTCGTCTCAAAGCGGTCGCCCCCTTTGGAACAGATCCACATTCAATTCCGAACCTAGCTAGGATGGAGGTTCCATTAATAACGTCCCCAGAAATTAAAAGAGGAAGGAAAATGTAACGCTTTCTCGCCAACTTTCTCCACCTTTTTCCCCCCGGGAAATGTGAGACTTGCCAATTTTAGCGTAAACCAGGTACAAAATCGTGTCTCAAAGATGTATGGATGTACCATCATCTCTTTGTGCATGTATACTTTTATATGTGTTGTGTGCGTGTCTCATTCTGAATAATTCTGACCATTATTATCCATCCATTCCTATCTTTTCTAGCGTATACGTAACATACACACGTTCATCCATACAGTGTTTAATACTATTTACTTTCCTCACGTTCAAAGTGAGACTGAACAACTTGTTCCATCCTCCTCCAACCGAGACACACGAATGAGACGGAGACTTTTTTTTAGTTGTAATACAACATCAAGTGTGTGTGTGTGTCGAGCTGCAGAGAAGAGACGAGGGTTTTTGTACTACAAACTTTGTAGATATTTGTATGTACTTCATCTTACTTAACTAAACTTTACAAGAGAGCTAAAACTAACCCAAACTGCATAGAGGATTCTCTCCTCTCTTTTCTTGGACACGCGTTCTTTTCGTTTACTTTTGTTTAGCTCGACTTTTTGGCAATTAGCATTAGGATTCCTCCGTGAGTTCAGAACAACGAGATCATCATTCACATTTCAACCTTCTCCTTACGGGTTTACTATTAGTTGGCTGAAATCAGAGCTGGCGAGCTAGTGAGAGTGGTGTGGGTGTCTCTTCTTCTTCTCTCCACATTCATCTCGAGCTCCCTCATCTCATCCACCGCTCAAGAAATTCATCTCGTTAGAAGAAGACCAAGAACAAGAGATTCTTCTAATTATTATATAGCATCAGTCACTGCGAAACCCACCAACAACATCGTCATCACGACACCTTCTTCTTCTTCAGTCGTCTGGTGGATGGACATCATCGTCACGGAAAAAAGAGAAATAAAGTTATTACGACCCTGGTGGTGTGGGTTTTATTTAGCCACTTATTAAGAAGAAGAAGAGATAAAGTATATATAGCAAATTCGTATTGGACCAGATTGTGGCTTCTACTTTAATTAAGAAAGAAGAAAGAAAAAGAGAGTGGCATCACTGTACGGGAAATTATTTATTAGTCGAGATTAATGAGAAAGCAGTGAAGAAATAATTGGTGGGGACGAGAAGAAGGAGAAAGTTCGAGAGAAAGTGTGTTCAATCAAACCGGCGAAGAAGAAGGAGTATTTTATTTTACTAAAGTTGCAAGATTTTGGGACTATTGTATCGTTGAATGTCTTGTTAAGAAGGGTGGCAAAGAGACTAATTGTAGTTAATCAGACGGATAAAGAAATGTCTAGCAGACAACTTCAGAATAACCACAAGATCGTGGTCGTGGGGGCTGGAGGGGTGGGAAAAAGTGCCATCACAATCCAGTTCATTCAGGTAAATGTCTAACTTTGTATACCAAATACGTATATTGTTCCATTGTCTGTACATAAACATGGACATTAATAATATTTAACTACGCACACACTGTGCTAGACATTGTGTGTGTTAGTGAAAGCCGTGCTATGCATACACGACATAAATAGGAGCAAATTAGTGAGATAGCAATTCCACACGAGGTAATTAGGCACGCGGTATGTTTTATACCGGCAGAAAGCGTGTTCTTAGTGCATAAGTAGTAATTATGCGACATTCCGACAACGCACGGCCGGTGATAAAATTAGTTTGTTTTCTATGCCATAATTCCTTTTCTGGATTTTCATTTTATAGCGTTGTGAAACTACAAAGGAAGGAACGACCCTGTGGCATGTGCATATAGTCCATTTGCAAAAAAAGATTACCTGTGTCCTTCCAGCTAAGCAAATGAAGCTCTAGTTTTGAATACTTTCCTATACATATCGTCATAAATGCATATTTAAATATCTAAATGCTGCAATTGCTGCATAGCAATTTGTCCAAGTCACAAAAACAGCAAAAATGTCGTATTTTTCGTATAAATTTGATCAATAAATGTCCCAGTAGCAGTGGCGACTGATGATTCTTGCTTCTCCACGCCACCCAAATTCCATCTGCGTTAATAACCACTATTTCATCGTCTCGGCGAATCCTAAAAAGGGACGTTTTTATTCGATTTCTCCAGAAGTTGACTCCAGCAGAAAAGTCCAGCAAGTTAGTGTACGATAGATAGATAGGCAACCCAAAAACCAGAGACAGCATAAGAAGAAAGACAGCCTAATAAGATTTGGAGAGGGAGATAAAAATCCTTCGTCGACGTCGTCGTCGTCGTGCTGTGAACATGTGCAAGTTTAGGTTGCACGCCCTCTTAAGACATTGCCCTCATTTCTAGACCGTCGTCTTCGTCTCTCTTTATGGGTGCGTAGGTTTGCGTGGAAAAAGGAGCTTGCAGACCAAGTAGACTTTTACAAAATAAAATAATGCTTCTTCTTCTTCTTGTAAAGGGATGGACATTTTTTTTCACTTTCTAGCAGACAGTAGCATCTCATTGCTCAGAGTATTGCGACATTTTCTACAATGTCAATTTATTCTTATTATTCCGTTTAGTCGTCGACGTTTTGTAGCTTTGTTTCATCCGTCCATGTGACAAAAGAGTATTACTAATACATAAATGAGTCACCGGATGGACGTGGCATTAATGGCGTGGAAACAAAGTATATAGTGAACTGTTGTTTGTTACTCGCCATGACTTGTGTTTACGTAAATATGCATGTGTGTACACAATGCTGGGTGAATTGAAATTGACAATTTCCAGGATTAAGACATATATGAGAATTGCCTTATTATGCTGGGACTACACTATTGTTGCAAAGTTTTGCTTACGGGTTTTCCACACAGTCGGTCGGACCGAGTAGAAAATGGGATTGCCGTAATTTGTTTGTTCGTTATGTCCAATTCCCTCTTTTCCTGCGAGAAGATTACAGATCAGAGAACGGCTCAGTCAAAGCTTACTTGCTTAGATGTAGACACCATTTGTCTTGTTTGTTGGAATGAACAGTGCCAATCTAAGGCTGGAAACTATGTAAACATGAAATCAGAGCCAAGAAACTGAAGGAACTAAAACAATAGTACAATCATTCCATCAAGGTTTCTCATTTCATGGTAATGGCAATAGCATTTGGACTAATAATAAAAACCACATCGCGATTTTGCTTTCGTCCGCCTGCATGCCAACTTGTAATAAATCCATTATTGCGATGATGATACAAATAATTGTGGACCACTGACTTGAAGCAATTGAGTTATTTCCACTGCTAGGCATGGCACAGGCATCATAATGATGCAGAAAATTACATTTGCAAGCATACGCAAACATTTCATGTATTTCGTCTAATTTGATATCAGGAGCTTGACTTGTTGACAAAAGTCGTGTAGACAGACGGACAAGGTGTCTTGTCGTCATTCGGAAAGTGGGAATGAGATTAATTACTTCCAATTCAAACTGTAATTCAATTCTCTACGCTTTCACTAGTGCATAAAATGCACTTTTCTCACGCTGCACAGTGTAGAATTTGCTCCAAATGTTGTAAAAATTATGCGATTTCATAAAACTATTTGATAAATTGTTATTTGCTTCATACTCACTTAATTTTTATTAAAAAAACTGCATCCGGCTTTTATAAATTCTTTTGTCATTATTTTTCAGAGCTACTTTGTCCAAGATTATGACCCCACGATTGAAGACTCTTATACGAAACAATGTGTTATAGACGATATACCCGCTAAGCTGGACAGTGAGTGCTTTCTCTTCTGTGGTTCATATTTCCACGTGATTTTAATGAAATGACACGATTTGATTTACCATTTTGATGTTTTCCATAGTACTGGACACTGCTGGGCAGGAAGAGTTCAGTGCGATGCGAGAACAATACATGCGGTCTGGAGAAGGCTTTCTCCTCGTCTTCTCCGTCACAGAACGCTCTTCTTTCGAAGAAATATCAAAGTTTCATCGACAAATTCTGAGAGTCAAAGACAGGGACGAATTCCCGATGCTTATCGTTGCAAATAAGGCCGACTTAGAAATGCAACGAGCGGTGAGTAGCATATTACAATTATTTTTAAACATGTCCAAAATTTCGGTGTCACTATCTAAACGAAAATTGGAAAAACATAATTTTGACCCAATTTGCAATTGTGTTTTACAGGTGAGCCGAGAAGAAGCACAAAACCTTGCTCGTCAATTACGCGTTCCTCTGATCGAATGCAGCGCAAAACTGCGTATGAATGTGGACCAGGCATTTTACACTTTGGTGCAAATTATCCGACAATTTCAACAAATGGAGCGTCCCCTGCTGAAGCAACAACGAAAGAAGAATAAAAAATGTATCCTGTTTTAAAAGGGGAAATAATTAATTAATTGTCCAACCCTGTCAGAAAATCCTTACAAAATTACTTCACTGCGTCATATTTGATCATTACGGTAACTTTTTTTGCAAGAGGAGTTGTGGTACTACATACATAGATTTATGCGCTAACCGTATTATTTTGTAATGAGCAGAACACAAGTCTTGAGTCATTTCGGACAATGTCCATAATTATTATCCACTTTAACTACTATATATTGAAGTTTAATTATTTTACACACAAGCTGGTAGCGAGTGCAACACAGTGCAATTATTAATATTGTATATCTTCCACATACGAATGATTCTCATTAATATTATTCACAACTTTTTCCATTCAATGGCAGCATATATCTATATAATGAAATGAGCATGTTCTTGTTCCGTTTTATAGTAGAGGAAGGAAGGATGAAAGGGAAGGAAACTGTGTAAAATCGACATATCCAATTTCAATAATATGCGTGCGGGTAATGTACGTAACACAACAAAGACGATCATGTTTTGCCAATATGACAGATATTCTTCAAGTCAGCCATTGTATTAGACCTTCAGTCGCACCAAGAAATGCACTCAACTGACCCAACACACTTATAACAATTACTGATGCTATAATAATGCTAAGAAGAAGAAGAAGAAATAATAATAATAATATTAATGGATGGTACTAAATATACTAAATTATAGGAAAAGAACCATCTGTCAACAACGTTGCCTCAAAGAAGTTTACTGACAACGAGGACGTACTATTCAAGTACATACCTAAATATTTACTACTAAAAACTACTAGTATTTTACACAAGGTCTAAACCGTGGTGAGAGAGAAATAATTATTCATAAGGATTCGATGAATGAAAACCGATACAATTATTATTCTAGTAGTGAGTAAGTCGCTAACAATTTAGTACGCTTACCAAACAATCGCAATGTATACCAAATTTTGCATTGTATCGTTAAATAGTAAATCAGCGCTTCCCTTGGTGTGCTTCCTACGTAAATAATTATTACAAAAAAAACTCCTCCCTCGATCACTCGTAAATTTCAAAATCGGAACCCGGAACCCACCAAAAGTGCCTTCTTATACATATTACTTATTATAACGTTAGAAATGAATCCCGTGTTCTGCAACAACTCTTCTATGAAAAAAAATATTGCTAAATTTTTCGCATTTCAATGTCGTGGATCGGATTATTATTCCTTGTTCTTATTGCTATTACTTATTATTCTTAAATGCATTATGATTGATAATGTCATCAATTATTTGCTGTCACTCTAATAGGTTGTGTTTTCCAATCCGCACTACTGTTCATACATCACAATCCACTGTACAAAATCAGAGGTACTACTAAATACTACTACTAAATATGTATAATATGTAATGTGTCACTTATTGCTTACGATGCCTTTCCTATTACCATTACTTCTTGTTTTATATAAGTTACATGATAACGATGACACGATGTCGTTGATGACAATCAACAAATGATCGTGGAAATAATTGTGACCAAATTTTATAATATTTCAAACAAACTAAAAACATGCACTACTACTCATTGTTCAATCCAACCAAACTATACACATACATTTATTATATTTAGTAACTGAGACAATCTCTCTTGTTTTAAATCTTGTTGTTTACATATATTGACCAATCATCACTATTGTTACTCACCATTTTAATTTGCATTGTTGCAATTTTATTCAGAGTCGTACTAAATACTTCGTATATACGTTTTAATAATGCAAGTCGGCAATATAATTGATATTCATGGATTGTTTTTGCTTTTTTTATTAATCAATTTTAGGACTTTTTTTTAGTCCGCTGAAAACGGCAAAGTTTTAACAAGCTAATCACTTATTACCAAAAAAGCTGGTCGTTGTATAAAAAAAACTCGAATAAGTGTCCTACTCTTGTTTGACATTTTAATATGTTGGATATATATTTAGACTATAATAATAATAATAATTAATAATAATAATATACAATATTTACCTTGAAATGATGCCAAGGCGTTAGAGATGAATTATTCCAGTTAATTTTTGGATAATCACTATACTGTGCATATTAATGCTACAAAACTGCCAATGTATTAATTTTCACCCTATGTTGTTGTAACTGTTAGACTGGGTCCATATTTTTATAAAATTTAATTCGTTTGACATAATAAAAACTTCTAATAAATTTCTGATCATGGTTTTTCAAAGGAATTATTATGATGAAAGGAGTAATAAAATGCATATACACTCATGTTTTTTTTACTAATCTACACATCAAAATTTATTCGCCACGTTACAACATTTTACATTTTATACATTGAGATGTGATGAACTAAAATATACTAAAGTTCAACTACGTTTTTAGTTTTTTGTTTCATAATTTTATTTTGGGTCGATTGAATTTTGATAGTTTTTCGAGGTTTTGTTTCAAATTTGTAAATTTAATTGTCAAATACATTTTTTTCAACCCATATCATGTAGAATTTGGATCATTTTGATGATACTGAATATTTTTCTTCATATATTATCGTCGACAATTATTGTCAAATTAATTGTTGAGGTTAGAATCACATTATAAATTGTGTTGGCAATTAGAATTTCAGGTTTATTTTTTCTTTTAATCGGATGGGTGGAGAGCCAATGGTCTTCAAAATTTCAAGTCAAAACTAATATTTTTTAATATGGTTTTTGATATAGGATGTACTTTGTATAAGATATGACATTAAGAATACACGCACGACATACAGAATTTTTTTATGAAATTTCAATTTTTTAGTTGTTATACGATTTAAAAATATCAACATAAGGTGACGCAAACTACAGATGGCACACCCGATCTTGTTAATGCTGCCCAAATATATTATTTACGTATCTAACGATAAGAAACAAAATAGGAAATATACACTGATAATACACACATATTTTCAAATTTCCCTTAAATTGATAAATTCACTATTAATTAACGTTAATATATAATTTTTTGACATCAAGTTCCATTTCATATATATTTTTTCATGACATACAATTTCGCACCATATTTTTCCATATCACCAGATTCATCTGCTACATCATACATATATAATTTTTGTAAGCAATACGTTTTTATATAGAACACGGATTAAGATTTAATACAATTTTACTAATTTGTGCTATATATAATTTCATCTAGGCTAAATTACATTTAATACAATGTTCCAATTACAAGTAATATTGTCACTCGGACATAATTTTCTTATAATTGAGTGCAAGTGCATATTGTCGTGTTCAGCTCGGAAAGTCGAGAAAATAATCTTACCGATTTCAAATCTTGAGAAATATAATAATTAAATTATACGCTACTGTGCCGCTAATACTTATGTGATACTAACAAGGGACACTCACGACCTGTCGTTTGAGTCCAGGGTACCCACTATATTTTTTAGAATCTACTAGGACCCCAGATAAAGGATCCATTCATATTTCCGTGTAAAACTCATATTTGGCGCCATGGCGTGGCGCCAAACTTAAAAATTTGCATTTTCGACCAATTTCAAACCCCCATAACTTTTGCAGTTTATGTCGGATTTTTAAAATTTTATGCTTAAAATGATCAGAAAAGTCGAAATTTTAGAGAAACAAATAAAAATAAAAAAATTTTAATTTTTGAGATATTTTTAGCATTTTTTCGACGAACCCGAAATTTCGAAATTTTGCGAAAAGTTAAAAGCGATAATTTTGGAAAAAATTTCATAGAATACGAAACTCGAACTCCTTGTCATGATTTTTGCCAAAAATTTTGAAAATCCGTCCAGGATTTCAAAAGTTACGGCGGTTTTAAAATGAAAAACCATCAAATTTGGCGAATTTGGCGCCACGCCATGGCGCCAAATATGAGTTTTACACGGAAATATGAATGGATCCTTCATCTGGGGTCCTAGTAGATTCTAAAAAACATAGTGGGTACCCTGGAGTCAAACGACAGGTCGTGAGTGTCCCTTGTAAGTAATACATATATTTGACTATCATCAGTTTTATACTTATTATTTGCTAAATATAATTTCCTACGTCTAGCCTTATCTTGTTATTCTTCAATTAAGGAATGAGTGATTTTTCCTGGGTAAAATTTCGTAATGTTTGTTACACCTATGATAAGATCAAGTATTTTACCTGAAATTAATATATTTTTTGTATACGCTTATGTATGTACATTTATCTACACGCTTTTCATTACCTACTTACGACGCTGGCTTAACATGCAGTCAAGCACTGAAGCACCCTGTTCAGGTAATACAGTTTCTATTCATTTATATTTCATAAATGCTAGTCTTTGCTGTATTATTGATAATATTGTTTCTCAATCCTCAAAGTTACTGCTACTTTGTGAACAATATTGAAATATCTCATGACGAATATGATTTGTAAATTACTAATTGTAAATCAGCTACAAATGTACGTACTAACTACACAGGGCTTACGATGTATCCTACAATAGGGGCAAAAAGTAACATCCACCTACAGAAAATCAATCATTACCTTGTTAACATCTACAGGTCTACAAATTGTCAATGTAACTACAACTACTTACTACGACTACAACTACTATGATGCTACTACGATATACTAATCCACATCACATTATTATGTGATTTTTTCAATATGTACAAGTTGCAGAATATGTTCTCTTTCCATATGTAGTACATAAATACGTACATAGCAACAACATCGAGATACTAAATATTTAGTTGTGTGCCCATATTTGACCATTCTTCGAAATATTTTGACAAGACTCGTCGTAGTACAAGCCCAAAGAACGCAAGATAAATGATACGACATGGTCAAGCGATGGTGTTGACTTTCCAAAGTTTCTTTGCGCCCCATATGCGACGCAAGATCAATTTGATCTCATAGTAAATCCATCTCAGAGTGAATCCAATAATGTGTAAATCATAATAAAAAAGCCCTCTTGTGCAGGCTAAAAATTCAAGTCCACAAACTCATAAATACGTTCAATAGAAATCAATCAACTCAAAGGAGCAGTGTTGTTGTTTTCATGTTATTGATCTTATGAGAGACGACAAACCCTGCAGTTGGTTGGACTGCGTTGGTTGTTTAAAAACGCAGACACAACCAAAATTTCGTCTATTTGATCGTTTTCGTTATGCAAGTTTTGTTTAGATTTGGGTCTCAGAACCGCTCAGATTACCATTTCGGGTACGATCAGGAATGACAATTGGTGGCAAGATGACACTGCGAGTTTCCAACTTGTGGATAGATGACCGTCGCCGTTGGCTGAGAATGGTGTCCAAAGGAATAGCCGGGTCGGGGGACCGGTATGAGATGGTAGACAACCGGCGTTCAGAATCCATGCGGTCAAGTTCATCCTTGCTGAGGTGATACACGATTCCTGCTCCGTATGCGTCACCCAAAACATTGATGGAAGTTCGCAATCGGTCACTGAATACGTAATAAATTAGAAATTGCGAATCAAATTAGTATAAATCAAGAAGCATTTTGTGTAGGTAATTCAAATGCATGATCCATCATAGGGGAATTATATGGATAATGTGGTCTCATTTCAACCCCGATATTGGTTGATAAAAGTTATGTATATTTAAAAAGGTGTACCACTTGAGATTTGTGACTTTAGTTAATGTTCCATTCAAAATATTGCTGTAATTGTAAAGCGAGGGAATTATGTTTCACTTAATTCATCTAAAGATTGATTCATCATCAAAAGCTACACGACGTTGAGTGGAGTAGGCTAATTTCCCTTTACTACGTACAATTGCTTAATTGGGCATATGCATAAAATCGGCATTTCCACATTATGTCTGTAATTATAGAGAACACTCACAGTAACCAATCCACGGTAAACAAGAGTGGAACATCTTCCGTCGGTAAGTTCAATGCCGAGAGGACCAAGAGCATGGTGATCAATGCAGCACTCGGAATTGAAGCTAAAAAGCGAAAGTTATTACTCCATAAACTTCTTACTTTATTATCTACCATCAAATTATTGCTCGCTCGAAAAGTCTCACCTGCCCCAATGGATGCCAATGTTGCTGTCAAGCTGCATTATGCGAAATAATTTGCACGTCTCATCCCATATGTTACACGTTAACTTGTTTACGAAATGTAAAGCAACCCAAATTAACGAACCTGACTGTGATGATATCTCCGAGATCAAGTTGGACTCCGTTCATCTGAGCAATGAAAATGGCAGCAACAGCCTCGTACAATGCCGTTCCATCCATGTTCACCGTCGCACCGACCGGGATGACGAACCTTGTGACACGTTTATCAATGTGGTTGTTTTCCTCCAAGCAGCGAAATGTGATGGGCAAGGTCGCTGAGCTACATATAGTTTTTAAACCATGTTTTTTTATTGTAAGAGCTGACTCAGTCGCAATTTCTAACCATCAGAATCTCATCTTTCCCTCACTGACTCTCACCTGCTCGCAGTTCCCAAAGCCGTGATCCAAGCTTGTAACATGCCTTTAAAGAAGGTCCATGGATTCTTGCGAGTCACAGTGAAGTAGATGGTTGGCAAAGTGATCAACGCATGGAACGCCAAACCAACAATGACAGTGATCATGTACATTCCAAGTTGACTCATGGTGGTGCTCAGGTCTCCAATCTGCATAATTCTCCCAGCAATGAGTGACATAATTCCGATGGGAGAATACCTATTTTACACAAGTTGGTGAGTAATTGACCCAAGTTTGAAGTTTGGCGTGCCATCATCAACGCCGCATACGTGAACACTCACCACATAATGAGCTCAACCATTCTCATTACAACGTCGTTCAAAATGCTGAAAAAGTCCGTCATGACTTTTCCCTCTTGGCCGAGCTCTCCCAGCAGTAATCCAAATCCGAGACAGAAGACAATAATCCCCATCACATTCGTTCCCTCCTTCATGACAAACTTCTTCTCGTACTCAACGACGGGGACAACATCGTCGGTAAAATTTGCCGAAATGTTTCCAGTCAAATGCAGTGGTTGCTGTAATTAATGCATGTTTTTACGCAACAGAATACATAAAAAGTTGGCACGTAACACGAGGTTGGTTGAGGTTTTAAGCTGTCAGTGCATATGATGCAATGCAAATGGAGTTTTTAATGGAAAGTGGGTAGTAAAAAGCGACTCACCATCGGTTTTTCTTTGTAGACCGTCGCCACTTGTTGGAAACAAGCTTGCACCAGATTTTCAGGAAACGTGTTTCTAAGAACGAATTACTCGGCATGTTAACTTAATGGGGGAAGGTGAGATTCACAAATAAATAACAATAGAGATCTTAACCTGACGATGTCCAGAAGTGCATCCACCGTTGAAACAGGGATGGCCGAAGTCTCCGACAACCTAGTTTGCTTAATGGACGTGTTGCCCGGATGGATACTTACGACGACAACAATTCCAACAATGGCTGCCAGGACCGTGGTGACGATGTAATACACCAAAGCCCGACTGCCCATCCGACCTGACGACTTCGCATCCAGCTGTGACATTCCTTTTGTATTCGACACAAAATACCATTATCATCACTGCCACATAATATTTTCATGCTGAATATAGATTTTTCATGTCAAGCTTAATGCATTTGGTTAGAGACACTGCGAAATCCTGTCGACTTTACCTGTCACCAAGGAGGAAATGATGAGAGGCAGGATCAACATTTTTAGCATCCTCATCAACATTTCTCCTGGGAAGATCACGAGCTCGATAAAGGTCTTGGTGGGTGAAAAGATTCGGCCCGAACATCCCGTAACGAAGCCCATGATCACCCCCAGAATTGTGCACACCAGGAGACGGTTGGACTTTATCCATCCTAACGTCTAATCGGGACAAATATCGTAAATATTTATGGCCAATTGACAGTCATGTGCGTACATTTGGAGAAAGTTGGAACTTTAAACTTTCGCGCAAAACAATGCATAGTTTTGCATTCATATTTTCAATATGTCATCTTAAAGTTATGTATGGACAATGATATTTAGTTGAAAATTCGTGGTCTCACTTACCGCGGAGCATGGTTGTGGTCTCGTCGTGTACCGGATGTACTGAAGCTGCTCCAAAGTCTCAGGAGGTTGAGACATTTGTGCAATTTTAAGTTGGACTCCCAACTTCTAAAAGTGGTTCATCCAGACTTTTCCCTCCGTGGAGATCTATCCCCCCATTTCTGTAATCAACGATTTAAACACGTGAGGAATGGTCTTATCAATGCGATCAGTACAACGGATAAGTTGAGTTGAGGAGAAAGTTGGTGCAAGTATGGAAACAATGCTTTCTTCACACTTGACAAGTTTTATTTCTCAATGTTTTGCGAATGTGGAATTTCTAACGAAGATTACAATACAACTTTTGAATCTGATCCTACCAGAGAAAATGTATTGTTACTTTATTTCTTGGCAAGTTCTTAAACTTTTGGATTTTGTCCCAATAGATGATAGGTCGGCATTAAGTATCTGCCATTCAGTAACAAGTACATACTGGAATCATTGACATTCTAAATACACAACTTTTGCCATGGGTATTATGCCTGCATAGAATATTAGTAAGTAATGATACAGGCACATGATGATTCATTACTGTACGATGTACTATGTCGCTTTCATTCCACATAAAGCGTGCAAAGTAAATGAAGGATTTATCCGTGTAGTGGAATGCCGTCAAGCAAGGTACACACACGTATTTGACTTGTAAAACATATATATCAGAGATTATCTCAAGCTTCCCAGATATTTATGTAGATGAACTCCAATGTACATGAAAGACTATCAAATCTCTTCATCATCACAAAAGTTATTAGTTTTCCTCTAAATAGAGTTCTTTATGTAAATAATATGTTACTCCGAGTGGAGAAAGTCATACACCCTGATAGATCAAAAATGTTTTACAACATCCTGCCAATATTTCCTGGCTTTTTAACCTGAATTTTTTAAGCAACCCAGTGTTGTCTATTTTCTTTAAGCCTGGGCCAAGTATATTAAAATGTATAATATGACACGTCCTTGTAAAGCAATTTTCAGCCGTGTGTACACAAGATGGATTGTGGTCACAAGTTACTTCCCCCAGAGTGATATAACCCTCAGCTGAAAAAACTGTCTGTACGAGAGTATGATGATGTTCATCATACATTTCTTCTATGGCCAAATTGTGCCCGTCGACTCGCATCATCATCTCATTTCAAAAGTTGAGTTGGAAAAGATATTGCACTTTGGCCGCAACCAACATGAGCTAAAAGAGTTGTTTGCTGAGTAAACATGAATCTACCAACTTTCACGCAAAATCGAGGTTAGCTTCTGCAGGCTTTTACCCCTTGACAAAACTCCGACCGTGGTGCTGCTGTATGTGTAACATGTTCTTCACGTTCAATCCGGTACAAAGTCAATCTCTCTCTTCCATGTCGTTCATTTCATCAGTTTGCATTGAAACTCGCCGTATTTATCCAGCCCGTGAAAATACAATTGCAATATTAGAAATATGCAAGTTTGTGGAGTTTACTCAATTTCATTTCATCCCTTCAAGGTAGAGCAGTTATACACGATTTCATTCATCTTCTACCCAGTCCAGTCAGTGTATGTATACGGATAAGGTATTTAATTCTAATTTTATGAAAAAAAACTGGGATTACTTACTTCTACGTACATCCGCCGAAAGCGAAAGTTCGTCTGAGGAAATAATGAGTATTTGAGTAAAATTTACTCTGCTTACGTATGTATAGCTTATGGAAACTTCAAAGAAATTCGTAGTTAACAAATCAAAAGAGTTATCTGCTCATGTTGCAAAAGGCCTTGAAAAAATTTTTCATACTTTTCCATCATAATATTAGAAATACATAAGCATATGGAGGGGGAGGCTCACGGAAAAAAACATGTTTTTAAAGAAAGTCAGCTTCTACATCAAGCGGATATTGTTCTTTTGTTCGCTCACTCACAACATGGACCACAAATGTAATAATAATTCATTATTTATCTCGTCGTCTGTCCTTCTACTTGAAGCGAGCGAGGACAGAAAGATCGGGTTTCTGAAGCAAGACGACATTAGAGACGAGAAAAAAGGAAATTAGCTTCTAGAAGGTGACCATTTTCTTCTGTATCAAACTTGAGCCAAAATTGTATAAATGTGACTGTCAGATTTCTTGCCTGCACACATTCTCAGCAGGATAATAGAGAAAAACAAATTGAAATTATTGCAATTTGTAACCAAATATTTGCAAAGTGATAATAAACCCGAGTTTTCAAAAGTCATCATTTTGTAGAATACATATTTACTTTATTCATAATTAAGAATTCAAATTATGTACTTATTTTTGTACTCGGCGAAATAAACCATTTCCTAAATGTTCATTCCTCTCAACTGCTGCGTACAAAATAAAATGTTTATTACATTTCCTGCTATCACAGTCCAACAAAATTACTTCAATGTTTCAACAGCAAATAAGTAATCCCTCGCTGGGTCTTTTACGTGTTCTCCAGTTGACGCTTTTCGAGAAGTTAATTAGAGAAGAGAATTAATATTGTGTCGTCTCTGCATCAAATAAATAGCTACAGGGCTTTGGGTCAAAGTGTGAGGAAATCAGGTATCTCGTAATTAAAGCTGATCTGGAATATATGTATTTACAAGTAGGAAATTTACAAGTCTGGGATGAAAGCAGATTTTGAGCACCCACCGAGGCAGAGATTATTGACAGGTTTATGCATGGTTAGGCAACTGGGAGAAAGTATAGCAAAAGTGATATAATTCTAGCCTGGCTGGCGGAGCCTGTCAACCAACGTGCTTTTCTGCCTGGCATATTTTATTCACCTTGGATGTCTCTTTTTTTTTTACTGCCAATGAACAAAAATTAAATCGAATCTCATGCACAGTCAGTTGCGCTCAGTATTTCGTCCTTCTCGAGCCTTCAACAGGAAGAGTACGTGGACGTTTATTTAATAAAAAATTGAAAGACTTTTTTATTCCTCAGCTCCATTTCCACTCTGACGATTCAATTCTGGCCATTTTGTGTACATGATCATTCTCAAATTGAGGCTGCAAATGATGTAGCACTTTTGTCGTGCATATAGCATGCTTGATAAGTATGTCAATGGAATTCAAGTTGAAAATGTACCTATTTGCAAAACGAAGAAATATCGAAAATGTGAAAAATCTCATGTAAAATTATGGTAAAACGTTTATATAAGTCTATACCCTGTATGTTCGAGTTTTTTGCTTATTTTTTGATAACTTTCATACAAATAATCTTAAGCGCCGTGAATTATTAGAACGCAGACGGTTTTCATATGAAAAATATGATTGTATCTTTGTAACTAATTTTTTCTACGATATTAACTTTAAAAATTATTTATTACTTTTCAACAGTTGAACACCAATTATTGAAACGAAATGAGCTAGGACCAGGAAATAATTAATTATATCGCTTCTTCAACAAGTCGCAAACAAACTTGTCGTCTGAGGAAAACGCGACAGCAGAAAATTAAAGACACCATAACGAGAAAAATAATAAAAAATGGTCTAACAAACAAAGTACAAAAGTCTTTCGTAACCAACTATTTAACTACATAATCAAAATCTTTGTACTGAGTTTTTTTCTAGTCTATCAAAACACAAAAGAGTGAAAAGAAGTTTCTTTATCTCGTTGAGTCAAACAATGTGCCCGTCTCGGGATCAGTAGTGCTTCTTCTTGTGAGCAACTTTACCAATGCAACACGGCAAATTAAAATGCTGCAATTTAGTTTAGACGCGAATTTTATCTAACAAAGAGAATTTCAACTTATTTTTCAAAAGAGAAAGTTTGAGATTGAATATTGAAAACTCTTAAAGAACAAACTGACTGTCGATATTTAAGTAAATGTCCTGAGATTCAATCAGTTCGCCACATGTCTGTATCTGCAACCAACCTCCTCCGTAAGATTCAGAAGATCAAAGTCAAAAGGGTCAAAGGTGGAAATTACTTATTACATCGTGTCGATACAGTTTCTAAGCAAATCGGTTCATATATATCTCATATCACGTGGTCTGCAATTTTACTCGCAAAATCTTCATACTAAAAAAAGTCCTCAGATCACGCATCTCAGAAACGCATCGTAATTACTATCCTTAATCCTATTTCTTACGATAAATCGTACGATATATCGCTAATAAGATACGCAGTTTCCTGATTTCTACAGTTTTACGAGACCCGACCATACTTAGAAAACATTCTCATTGGAAATTCCGCATGTATGATTGTTGCGAACGCTTCCTCCCAATTCGTCAATCTTGCACACAACACAAAATGATCGAAATGCACCCTATACATAAATATATTAACCCTTCAGCGTATTCCTCTCCAGAGGGAAGGGACCCATTACGAACATCCGAACAATATAGGAAGAGGAGGAAATGTCATAATCGTCCTTGTCGTCGTACGGGAGAAATGGCCAGGAAAGAATTGACCGGCGGGGGAGATAAGTGGGGGGAGAAGGGGAGGATGTGGCGGCAGTTCATTATGACGAAGATTCGGGTGAACTCAGCCGCAAAGATACCGTCGCTCTCTCTCCGCCCGTCGCGTCCTCACAGAAATTTATGGAAAGCTTGGCTTATTCTCTGTCCTCCTTTTTCCCTTTTCATGAATTGGGACACTTAATAACAGCCACGACAGGCTGAAACACATCCAGCCACGTTTTGCCACACTGCTTTCTGCTGTATGTAGGTCTTGGCGAATTTGTACACATAGCGAGACCATGCACATCGAAACCTTTGCCAAGACGACATACATTCGTACAAAGGCAAAGTCGATCAGGTATGAGAATGGTCGTCGCATTGTGTGCATCCTCACTGCAATCAGATTTGGATCAGTCAACGCAAGTTGGAAATCTAATCTCAATTTCCCCACGATACGTATAATATATGAAGACTCCTTGACGCTGGAGGCATTGAAATATGGAAGAAACCTGGTGGTGATATACAAATTGGCACATCGACATCCTGCTCATATGTGTATTCCTACCCGAGGACAGGAAGTTGCTATGTGGATAATGAAGCCAAACAGACACATAATGGAATTCACGTAACAATATCGATTAAACAGGTTTGATACAAAATTGCATAAATCGAATTAATAATGCTTGTGCCGAATAGCCAAAATTGTGACAGGAAAAAGGAGAATTAGTTTGCCAGCAAACTAATTCTCCGTATTCTTGTTGCTCATTACAACAAATAAGGTAAATAACGAAATACATTTATTGTGTATAGGCGACACAAGGATCAAGTTATCCCAATTATTTTACGATTTACATAAACATGTCAGACATCAGGCCTGCGTAACTAAAGGTGTGTGTTTGTGCAGTATGTCTGCATAGCATGCATGTTTACTAAACAGATTAATGTTTCTTGTTCATCAAAGAGTTTTCTGTTCTTGTCGTTGTCACAAGGAAACTAGTGTCGCTAACAAAATTTAGTAAACTACAAGTGTCCTTTCCATTTCCTTGATGTCTCGTTACACTGCAGACCTAACATTACATATCGTTCCCAGCTTTGTTGTAAATCAATTTCGAATTCAATTTAAATCAACATGAAAGGAATTTTAGCAAATCCAGTTTAAACCAAACCCAAATGAAACTTAAAACAGTTCAGGCTGACGGTATTTCTATAATCATGTAAGTTTGTCAATCTTGGTGACGGGTTTATTTGTCTGTAGAGTTGGCTTGTAAGGTTCGGTCAGAATGAGACCAGGAAAATCTCTGACTAACAAAGAAAACAAATTTATTTCGTAATCTACCAGAAAACACATCAATGTTTCCCTTCTTCCTCCATTGTTTGCTGAATCGGAGAGGAAGAACAGTGCATTTTTGCAATCACAAAAATCTTTGTGTGGTCTGTACATGCTTATCTGCACATGGAGCAAGTCGTGTGGAATACCTTTGTGTACAGAAGAAGAGAAAGTCAAGAAAGTCGACCGGAAAAGCATGGAAACTTCTACGTGCAACTCGGGTTCGGCCAGTCTCAATTTCCCCAACGGACCAATTTCTCCAAGTAAATGGGGTGCCATTAGATGCGAAACATTTACCGTAAAGGGATTTGAATTACTTATCACAATTCTGGAATGAGTGGTAGAATTACGCTGATCGGAATCACGTCAGCATCAGTTTATACGATTTAAAATATTTGCAACACATTTTAAAACTAATCCCCTTGAAGGTTGTCTAGCTTAAATGAGATCCATGCTATTCAGGTGAAAGTAAGGGAAATTTAATGTTCACATTTCGTATGTTGAGTGGAACGAGTGGTGTATTGTCCCGGAATAAATCTTTGAGAATATGCACAAATAGAAAGCCTATTAACCATTTGTATTTGTGAAAGCCGTACGAGACGCCAAATTGGCTTAAAACCTGGTACTAGACGGCTGGTAGGGACACTACCCATACCATTTTTCATCTACATTTCAACGCTTCATTTATGCATAATAATAAATATGTACACATCGATTCGAGTTTACCTGCTCTGATCCGCATAAAGTACGGCAAATCTTTTTCTGAGGTGAAAGCTGAACAAAGCAAATTCCGCGGAGAGTTTCCAGTTTACTTGCAACATTGGCTTTGAAGTGAGTTAGTGAAGGATTTCGGTCTCTAGGGACTTTGTTCAACCAGCCGAACTAAAACCGGATCATGAGAAGAATTGTGCTGAAAACTAGTCTTAGTCGTCAACACGAAAGCATCTCCGATCACGGCGGACGACATTTCAAACATTTCCCAAAAGTTGGTCTGCCTCTAATATTTGGAATGGAAAGCACCTGTTTGCTTCTTCCACGGCTGTTGATTATATCGCTTCTTCGCCCCACACGAAACACCATTTCGTCCAAATGTCCTCTTCAACAATGCCCATTTTACTAGCATGCACTTTCTTTTTCTTGAAATGTGATGCTCCCACTGCCACTTCATGTACAACTAAAGGTGATTGTTTTTAGAGTAGCAATTTTCAAACGGCATTGTTACCCTCGTTCGTCTGCCTGTGAGAGATGATACCCGTTCGTGTTAATGAAATGTGTGTGTTTTGCTCTGTTCAGTTTCATTTGAGCCTCTTATTTTAATCTGTCTCATTATTTCGTTGATTTTCATACCCTCATTTGTTTCACATTTGAGGGGATTTACTCCATATCAAGAGAGACCAGGACGCTTTTACGAGACAGATATCCAACGACTAGACGCATATTCGCAATTAGAGAGCAAAGTGAAAGTCAGAATTTACTGCACGTTTTTTCTTCTTTTCTTCTACATGTATACATGTTTTATGCTTTGATGTAGCAAACAAATTGTGTTGTACGAACAGAGAAAAATGTATGAAGAGAAGTAGATTTGTCTCATTTTTTTACTATCACAATCCTTTCGAGTCTCAAAACTGCACGTGCTCATTGTTGACTTGATTCCTTAGTGAAGGCCAAATACGTATTAAACTTGCCCTCAAAGTTTCTCAAATTTTGGCTTGGATCGAGATTTTTAAAACTAATAATCTTCTAACCTACTCGGTAAGGGTGTACAGTACAGGTTTTAACGTAGTATCACATTACCCTGAACGCGTTGCTTTTGGACAGCACATATGCAAATGCTGAAAAATAGTAGAAAAATCCTATTTTACTGCTTAATACGCTAGTGTCATGGACAAAGTGACAAAAAATACTACGAGTTGGACGTTTATTTAGACATCGTGTTCTTACTTAGCTTAATTGGTGTATAACTGCTGCTAATAAGACCTGCCTGATGTGATCAATAATCCTAAGTTAATTTCCTACCAGAATTTACAAGGCTACTCTATCACCCCAAGATTTTGAGCAAATTATGTGAGAATCCATAATTATGAGATGAGAAATGAATCAGTAGAGTATATGGATTACACAGTGACAATTAAGCGTTTCTTCGTGACAAAAGTTTCTCTGACGCCTCATGAATTATCAAACTGCGTGTTCTGAAACTCCCATCATTATTCGAGTAGCATACATACAACGATTTTCCAGTCATGGTGGCGGTTTTTTAATGGCGAATAATTATGCATTTAGGGGTATAATGAGTATGTATATGACTTTTCATACGTATATCCACATGCATTACCAGACGGATGCAGGAAACTAAGTTGTGTAAGCAAATTCTGCTGATAGTGCAACAACCCAGTGTAACAGCCTCCTCAATAATAAATTCAATTATGTATGAATACTGGCGAAAATATCAAGTTGGATTTTAGAGGAAAATCATAATTTTGCGTGAAGTGGCTGCAAACTCCATTAACCAATGGAAAATTCACCTAAAAATTTCTGCTGCATAATATATACTACACATCTACATATGTATATGGATTTATATCGGATTTGAACAAAATAAAATTGTGGCCTCATATTCGTGACCAATAATTTTCCCAGTACGCCGATGAAGCAGGAATACAACGTACCGCATAAGATTCAAAGATTTATAAAGCATCTCATTCACATTCCATAAAAGAGAAAAAGAAAGTTCGGGTCCGAATTTTTACAAAAATGTCTCAGCTCAAAAGTGTGTTTCTTTGCATATTAGGCAGACTCGCTTTCTTCGCTGCTGCTCAGTTAAGCTAACACAAATTTGAGTTGTCTGAGATTAGTGAAAATGAATAAGCAAATGTGCCGTAATGTAATAGCGGTGTTATGTGCGGAAGATCAAATTCACGACGTTTCAAAGGACAGGAAATGGAGCCGGAATTGAAGGGGAAAGCGACAAAAAGATCATCTTTCACTGTCACGCGAGGAAGGATTTCTTCCAACCAAAGCATCTATACACCTTACTTCTTATTGCAACTTTTAAACTCGATCGCTCCCTGTGAACTTAATTGCTAGTTTAAAAAATCAAATTTTGTATCAATTGGCTAATGAAACAGAGGCCAATTATTCGGATGCCCACTCACCTTCAAACTTGTACAGATTCCGACCAACTTGCCATGTCGTCGCCATAGTCATCATCATCGTGTCTATTATCCAGATTACTTGTTAAACAACCATCGCTTTCAGCCCCAGCTACACATCTACTCCTCTTCATTCCCACTTTAATAATGTTTCTCAGAGTGTATTGGGAATTTGCACGCCTGCTTTAGTTTACCTTTCACCACGTTCTCTCTCCCAGGCTGGAGATGAACAGTTCCAAGTACTTGACATGAAATGGGTGAGATGTTGGTAAAGTAAGTCTACTCATACCCATTTCCTGGGTGAGAAAACTCATTAGGCGTTGTTCCAGATACTTCAATCTGATTAAAAAAGGTTGAAAGTCGCTAGGGGACGGAAAGTGTATAACTCTTTGTTCCACTTGAGCATTTATATTGTGATGAGTTGAGAGGTTTGAGAAAAAAATCAGGTTTCAGCAACGCTAATGAGCCCTCGCTCGGGGTAAAAACGATACCTTTTTATCACATTCTAAACGAAAGTGGTAATTTAAAAGCCATGTTCAAATTAATAGTTTTGGGAACAAATTTGGAAACAATTTTGTGGTACGTAACTAGACATATCATCATCGTGTTATTACTCATCTGGAAGGATTACAAGGTCATGGTAAGGGTCTCGTAGTACGTGTAATAGTCATAAATCCACAGTCATGGCACAATGATAATTGGATGATGTGAGACTCTTTCATGTTCACGAGCATATTTGTTCCATGCATAAATGAGTTGGGAATCACTGGGTATCAGAATTGAAAAAGATGTAAACAGTGACTTTCAATATATGTAATGAACTCATATAAATCGTAATAGTACGTTAATGTATGCAGAGTAACTACTATAATGTCACCTTCTACATACATAATGCCCTCAATTCCCAGAAATACATTGTGACAATGTGTGTGCATTGTCACATTGTTCTCTTTCTCTTCCGCATAAAATTGGCAACATAATAATAGCGAATTTTCCGAGTCAAATTAGTGCTTTGTAAACATAGTCTCAATGCCTCGCCGAATGAATATTAAGGATAACCTGAAAATGCCAAAGTGCAAAGCAACAATGAAAACAAGATTACTTCTTACCGTTGCTTTCGAGGGAACGACGATGAGTCTTCTTGTTCTGATGTGGTAACTGGTGAAAGTCTCAACTTTCTCTTTGTTCATACAAAAAAATACGACCCGCAGTTGTGAGTAATACAAAGCTTCTGGAGGATCTTGCTTATTGATAATTTGGACAATTGCTCAATAGTTGACAAGAAAGGGGTATCAAATTTAAAATAAAGACTGTTTAAAGTTCAGGTACTTTGACTACTAAAATTTTACTCAATTTAGACGATTTGATTGATTGGGTCGTTCAAAATAAGTTAACATTGTTGTTGGAAAATGAGAGAAAGTTGAGAAACAAAGTAAGTAAAGTTGGCCTACGAGGGATGTTCAGTTGGTGGATGGGGAGACGACGAGGGTGATGTGGTTGCCTCCGAGGGGACGACGAAGAGATTCCACTCTGGTTAATTGAGACGCTGAAGAAGAAGCTGGAGCTGCAACGTCGTCGTCGTCGCCGAGATGGTTAATGGTCCGTCTTCCTCCTCGTCGTCAGGCTACATAGGTTGCGAGGAGGAAAATGGTGATGGTGGAGAAGGGCACTGTTCCTGCTGAGCTTTGAGCTGAGCAACTCCATCCAACCTCCAAATCTCAGCTTTTTGGGTGGTGAAAGCAGGCCGACTTTCCCTCGACCATCACTTTTACTCCCTTTGCTCAGCCAACCAACCAGCAAACCATGCCCAGGAGATCACACCTCGCTCAAATTCACGCCACTTTCACTCATATCAATCTTCACGCTCCACACAGTGCGAGGAAATAGGTCGTCCCACAGGTATTCGACTCGTCAAGTCGTAATTATGCCTACGAACTGTGGATACAGGCTTTTTATGCTTTTTATTATTTTATTTGTTTACAATACTCAATAATGCATGAGGCGCAAAGCTTTCAAAAAGTCTCCATTAAAGATTCCTCAACCGCATACATAGTTTTAGTGGCTGGAATTTCACTTATTCGCCATTTCAGATCAATTTTTCCAGGACAAAAGTGAAGCGAAGTTTTGCCACAATGGATACTGAGCGAAAAAGCCTTTTATTTTATTTTCCCTTCCATTCTGATTCATTATGTTGGAAAGAGTGCAAATTGCGTTTGCCATACTTCAGGTCTAATATCTCAACATTTTTTTCTGCTAGTGCAATGAACACGGTGTTGCCAATAATTTGACTGATTAACACCAGCATCTGAAATTAGTGGGAAGCGAAGTAGAATTGACTGGGAAAATAATTAAATACATTCAAAAGTATTTGAAAACGACGACGACCCGTCTGACGCGATGTCCTTCAGAATTGCGCGGTGTGAATATTTGCACTTTCAAACTGTTCGAGTCGTTTAAGAGTAATAGGTGTCAATGGGTCTTCTTCCGATGATGTGGTGCTGTTGCATTGTTTGAAATAATAGTTGGTGGAGTGAACTTGCTCCCCTCCGAGTTTTCAGAGTTAATCAACCATCAAAATCAAGACCCGATTTGAGAAGAAGAAGACGAAGAACGAGTCGTCCTCCTCTCGTCGTTGGGTTTCCAATCTCAAAGATTCACAAAAGACGACGACGAGAGTTTTCTTCTCCTTTCTCCTCAGGGAGTTGGACTCGTGGTGGTTGGTTGTCTGTTGAGATTTGAGATGATGAGAGAGCAACTTACTTCTTGCTTGGTTGATGTGGTGGTGCTCGAAGAAAACGGCATGGAAAACACACAATGCTTTCCTTGATGAAGAGCACGTCGAGTGGGGCTGCTGATGGCTGAATCGCATTCGCCTCTTGTTTGCGACTTCATCTTTTCCGAATCAAACGTCCAAGAATCCAGTTATTTCCCCACTGCTATTTTCGTCCAGTGGAATGGAGCACAATTGAGAAGGAAGGATAAAAGATGCTCCTGGTTAACAAGAGAGGAGGAAAGCAGCTTTTTTCCTGTTGCTATCAACTCATTTACTTCTGTAGTGGTGGGTGGGCGTAAGTAAGGACAAGGGCCAATTCCAAGTAATTCGGTACACTAAAAAAGTAATCGTTTTGTTGATATACGCAGCTCATTCCAAGAGTAAGCCCACTTTTACAAAATTAGTTTTATGTGTGTATAGCCCATACTTTTCCGTCCTTGGGGTGCCAAATCTAATAAGATGAGTGAATGAGTGAGGTTAAAAAACCACAATCAGCTCACCACATACGTACAAATTTGGGAGAAACCTATGCCGTTGTAATTGGGTTATTTTTGGTGATTATCGTCATTGTCGCGACACGTGGAAGGAAATGAGGTGACGTTAAAGGTGGTCATTATAAAACGGGTAAATGCTTGTACTCGCTCAATGGAAACTTTAAAGCAACTTTCCGACAAGAAGTTACTCCACAACAGAAGACTTAAGCAGAATGTTATTCGTGAATATTCCATTAATGGTTTACTTACTCTTCTCTCCTTTTGATTTCTTCCAGGTAAACAGGTTCAAAGTAGATCAAGGAAAGCAAATTAACCAGATTCTGAGAAAGTGGACACCGCAGCACCAGCAGCAAGAAATAGGGGATGAAGGAAACCATATCTCTCAACAGTATGGGCTTGTGTAATACAGAAAATGAATGAGAAACTCGTCGTAGAAGGTTCGCATATCGGGAAGAAGTAATCTTCATAAGTTTTGGAATACTGTTTGACAAAAATGCTCCACTTTCCCTTTGAGTTTCTCTGATCTGTTTTTCACTTACTCAGCAGATTTGTTACTTTCATGCACTTTTCCTTTCTGGTAGACAAGGAACTAACTATTTAAGAAGGAGGAAGGGGGAAATTGTTATTAAAAATTTGCAAAAGAGTCTGAAACTGATTTGATGAAGCGTGGGCTGGAAATATATAAAATTATTTTACAAGATGAAATCACAAAACTGCCAAATGCACAATGAAGAATTGAAAAGGTGACGTGGTAGTTACTCTTGTATGGAGCAAAATGATGTGATATTTCCGAATTTTCCTTATCGACAACCAAATCTTTTTCATATATAGGAAATAAGTATGTGAAAACATAGACCTCTCTTAATCACCAGTCTGTGTAGCATTTTTTCAATGAAAACAGAATCCTGGGACTTTCTCCCAACTTTTAAAAGGAATCCAAACCAAATAATCAAATTTTGCCTTTTATCATAAGCAATGCATCTCGGCGGTATTATTATGATGCTGGAGAATATTGTGGACGTGAAAATAATATATTATTCATTTCCCTTTTGTGAATATATAGGAAACCGACAGAGATTCTATCGTCTACGTGAGACCCAGCAATTTACTTCCTCACTTTGACAAGCAGGAAACATGGAAAAACAATTTGGACGTGATTTCTTTGTACTTATAATTTAGTTTCTTCTCAACAATACAAAAGCAACTTATTTGGGAGAAATGGAAAAAATATCGCGTTTATCCAGGAACTTTGTCCTATATAGAAATGGGATCAAATAAACAGTTAATAATATAACTATTATTATTGCTTCATTGTTCTCAACAAGGTCTTTCTTCTTGCTGGTAAGATAATACATGATTAAGGACAGGACGAAAATTTGTGTTATTTGCTTCAAGTAGGTATAAGATCTGTAATTTGATCGGTCCTTCATAAAGTACAACCAACTTAAGTAGTCCAATAACGTCTGGAAAGATCTACCACGCATAAAGTTTAGCAGTAAAAAGTCTTGAAAAACAATCTATTCTTGAGGACACGCACTCGAAATCGCCGAGGTGACTGCTGCAACGGTGGACGCCATGATGTTGTTTATTACTTCCAGTGTAACAGTTTGAACTTTGAACCCTAATTCGCCATTTCACAATCAATATTTTTTACCAATCTAACGATAAGTTATTATATTATAGAAAAACAAAAGATATTTAATAAATCTGACAAGAGATGATTGATTTTTAAAATATTTTAATTGACATTCTGCTGTAAATGTGTGATTCTTTGTAGTAAATGTCCAACCTAGAGAGGAATTAAAATTATTATGCACGAGCTATTTCATCGAGTACTAAAACTAATAACCATGTATATCCACCTACATTAAAAGTGGTGGATGAGATGGATGAATTAACGTAATCAGTCGGTCGTGTTCCCTTTTCTGTCAAACATTTCATGCCTGTCTGTCCATTAAAAAGGGTCGAGTTATCCTTCATCCGCCTGACCACATCTCAAATAAGTCTGCGGGATATAATATTTCGCAAATTTTGTTTAAATCCTGTCAGCAAACAACATCAAACGCTCCCGAAAATGAAATCAACAATGCGGCTTACTCAACAGGATTGTGAAATATAAATAAGTAGATTTATAGACGAATTCGTGAATACGGTGGAAGCGGATAAGGTTCCATAATTTTAGGCATTTATTGGTCTAAACTCGAAGAAAGTAAATTCGCACAGCGTTACATATTTGCTTGATGATCGTGGTAGGCAAAGCCTTGACGAATTCGTGGAACTGCCTGAGATTCAATGAATAATACGCAGCTACAAGTTCAATTGCTTTCCTTGCTTGCTTACCATAGCTGCCAACCTTTTGTGAATATGATAAAAGGCAATTGAATCGAGCTTGGGGATGAGATGAAGAAAGTTCTCGGTAGGCTTGAAATTCTCATTCTGGGAAGCATCGTATCATCGTATCGCTCAAGGTTGAAGGAATCAGAATCGGTTTGGCAAACAAGTACATATAGCACAATTAAACAAGTTCAAATTTTGGTCCTTCGTCTGAAACTTGTTTTATCGAGAAACTGTCGAGTGGAGTGGATGAGACGAAGCACTTGGTTGGCAGCTAGGATGCTGATATGATTCATGATGACTTTTACTTCCCGTGCGCCCTTATACTTCTTTCCAGGTAAGATATTTCTATACATGAGATAAGATGCTGGCAAGATAACCAAGGTAAGATGGATGGATGGATGGAGACTTTGGCAAAAATCACATCCACTCTTTCAAGAAGTCCCAATCATGCAATTTACGTTAGTTTATTAAGAACAGAATTTCCCCCAGTATTTTCATGCCTTTTGTATAAGTAAGTAACAATGTGAGACTGCTACGTAGGTACTAGTTTTTTTACTCGGACCTATATATTCTGCTACTTGTTCATGAACATGCACTTTCCTAAAAATGAGTTACACCGAAAAAAATTCTTCACTCGATCGTCGTATCTAAATCATGGGCTAAAGCATCAGCCCACTCTTGAGAGCCACATATCATCGGATGGACGTCTCGATGCCAAGAGTCCGTAATCGATATTTGAGTGTTGAACAGTTCACAAGTACATACATACGTACGTCGTAGGTAGACTTATTGGGAGGTATGTTTACCCCTTCACAGAAACTTGTTCTCTGATTCCTTGTCAGTCGAGGACGACGACGACGAGCTGCTTAAGGCTCAAAAAAGTAGTTGGTACATAGTGGCAATGATGATGTCTTCCAATATACTTATTACTTGACTTGACGGCATTATGTACTCTTCTTCTTCTTCTTCTTCCCCCGTCTAACAACTTACTTTCACTCCACCAAAAACTCGGCAGCAACGAAGTAATTCCGCTAACAATAAGCTTCTTGTATTTCGCTTCCTCGTACATACATTCCCAACTTTCTCACACCCTCCTCTGCTGCTAAAAACGGAGAGCCACAAGTGTGCAACTAACTACCCATGACTAATACGTAGGTATAGATGGGAGAGAGAAAGCCTGGTCTCATTCGTCCAAGAAATCTTGGTCCCAGCATATCCCACTCATAATTGGGGATTAAATTATTTCCAGGATAAAAGCATTCAACCCCCTTCCTCCCTTTTTCCGAGTCTTGCATACATTTTTCATCCTCTGAAAAATTGAGACATTTAGTTAATAGCCTTGTTAGAGATCAAACTACATGCAAACGTGGAAATTTAATATCCTTCTTAGAAACATTTTGTGAAACCTTCACAATTAGTGTTCCATGTTTTGCTTGGATTTGATAAAAAAATCCTTGGAATATTACAGGAATATGCGCTAACAAAAAAATAGTTAATATTCTCTTTGATAAGACATTATTACAGCGGAGATTTTACGAGATGATGGATTCCTGGAAATCGAGACGGGGACCATTATTATGAAAATCTTTTCGACATAATAATGCTTCACTCTCGTCATATCAAAGCTCACTTTTTCATAATAAATTATCCTAAACTCTGCCGTTTGGCTACGCACAACATGGAATAATGAGCACGGGCTGCCAATTATGCATGTATTGGGGCTAGATTCCACTTTTACTGGTCACATCACATCACGCTAACGGATTTTACGGGACGATGCGTTGTAATTTGCAAATGGCCAGGAGAGAGAAATGGGTAAATGACATCGCTTGGCAGAGAGAGTGATGGCTGACTGAGAAAAACGGAAGGAAGGAACTGGTGGCACAACACGGGGCGAAAGCTAATTTCAACGCCAAAAGAGAAGGGGAACTATGCACTGACTGATAACATGTAGACATATATTTATTTATCAATATTTATCTGACATCATCAGATGTCAACTACTACCTGCTAAACGTAGGAAACTGTATTTTACTTTGTGTTTTCGAGTTAATCGATGTGCATGATTCAATCAACAGGACATGTAATACATAAATCTCATAATTTTGCAAACAATTTCAGACTGAGATAATATGTATATTTTCAAAATAAATGTCCGAAACAAAATTTTTTGAATAAAATATTTCATACTAGTTGTTTGCCATTTGTAAATGATTTATTATTTATTTTTAACGTCTTTTAATCTGAACAACTACTGCAGTGGCACCCTGACTTGCATTTGGTAGATTTGAACTTAACCAAACATTTGTCACACAACAGTTTTAAAATTTTTCCCATCTCGTAAAACATTTTCTAGTGTCTAGTGAACTTTATACTATACGAGTAAAACATTGAGCCGAAATCTCAAACAGGACAAACTGCTATAAACCCTAACGTTGCATTGCTCGTAACGACACGAGATAAGTGTTATACAAAAATATGTACTACAAGATCTATTGAGATTTGGTTAGCAGAAGAGTTGATGTGAGTGATTGGTCACAAAGTTTTGTAATAAGTAATTGTCAATATCTAAACTTCTATTCTAACGACGCTGTTATGAGTAATCTCTCTGCCAGGTAACTTTGTTTCCTGCTATTTAATTTAATTACCGTTAAAATTACATCTTATAACTATACAATTGCAGAATAAACCAATTAATCCAACTTTACAGTACAAACAGGTAATAGAAAGAAACTTCGAAGACAATAATTTTTAAACTCTCAAATTTTGATTTTAACACAGAATTTAGATTTCATACATTAATGAACGTATATGTAAATATATATAGTATACATTGTTGGTCTTATCCTCGAGTAAATTTTACAATCGAATTCGACTATAAGTTAATCGTCTTCATTATCTCGTCGACGAGCGCTGCCTTTGTTGAGTTTACGTTTCTTAAAAGCTACCTCAGAGACAGGTTCAGATTTTACAAGTGACGACGAAGATTCAAGAGATCCTGCCGTCTTCTCTCCAAATTTGACTGGCTGTTCTTCCTGACGCTTTGCAGTTTTATGAAGTGAAGCACCAGGAGAAGCTGTACTTTTTGTTGGAAGTTCGAGAAAATTATTGCCAATTGCACTGTAAAATAAGTCAGCACACATAACGTTAGTATATATGTATAAAGTATGATTGCTTAAATTGAAATATGTATTTCATAGCTATTATGGATTACCCAGGTTTCCTTGCTTCCCAGCCCCCCAGTCGATGGTAGCCCTTTGCAATTTTATTCATATCGGCAAGTGCAGCGTCGTCAGCCTTTTGTTGTTTTTCGCTGCGATGTAAAATTGTAGGTTCAAGAGATTTCTTTGATGTGGAGGGACCTTCCTCTGGTTCTGGGTCCTCACTTTCTTTCATCATGTTGACATATGTTTGAATTTTCATTGAAATGTCCGGATTATCTTCCATATCTTTTTGGGATGCAGCAAGCGCAGCCTGTCAGTGAAAGGATTCATATATATAATTGATTTCCAAACATTTCACATTAATTTAGTTGGTAATAATAACAAAAATTAGTAACTGTAAATTATCACCTTCTCTAATTTTTTCATATCTTTTGCAAACTTTTTCTCTACTTTCATTTCATTTTTGTTCTTTTTTTGAATCTCCCGTAGGCGATTTTGGATGTTCATTTTGTGTCGATTCCCATTTTCATGGAATGCTATGCTCTATAATTCATAATAAGAATATTTAGTTCATGATTATTTTAGGCAACCAATTCGCAAAGTTATCATACTTACCGATTTGTTGTCGGTGAGCCAACACTTACACACATCGCAGTACTTTTTATCGATACTCTTCCAATAGTCTGCCATTGTTGAGCAGGCTGAGATTAATTAAATTAATCTCGTATTCTTTACTTGTAAAATATAACTTGATAGGGATAGTGCCAATCCCTGTTGAAACTGGAGTCTGACTTCTTCAGCACTTCAACGACTGATGTCAAATGATTGTCAAAATCTTCCGAAACTTGTATATCCTGAAACAACCTACTCCGCCTCGCTGTTTCAATTAGATCAACAAGCTTTTCAACTCGAGTTGGATTAAACAGAATAAATTCTCCTCCAACCTTCAACAACTAGAATAGAAAATATATAGTTATATAGGTTCGTCATTTCCTCAAGTGAAAGTAATTAAGTATTATACTTTAGTACGTTGGATACCTTTGAAACTGTCTTAATGAGTGAATCGAATATTCCAGAATCATACACAACGTCTGCTGCAATGACCTGGTCGAATCGTCCGTCTAAATTTGATGGCACGTATCCGTCCCAATTCAAAAGATTCGCCGACACTAACTTGGTTGTGAATACGTTGTGGCGAACACCCTTCCAAATTTGTTCAACGTTGCTAGGATCTCCGTCCGTCAAAACGACTTCTTTAGCTGTACATGAATATACAAAATATGTTAGTACTGATAATTGTCAATTAAATTATCAAGTAGCACTTATTTCAGTAATAAACTGATACACTATTTAAAATGTAACTGGGAGTGGAGTGCTGTTAAGCCTGTTCGACAAAAAGCATAATCGACGTACGAAGGAAGAAAGAAACTCGAAAGACAAGAAATGATACCTTGAATGTATTTAGCAATAGCCACCCCTGCCAAGCAATGAAATCCGCCTCCAATTTCAATCACAACTTTTCCTTCGAATCGATTCGAGTTCTTCAAGCACCAATAAGCTAAAACTTGTTCTGCTGGCCAAATGCAGATCCGCCCAGTTTTATCATACCCACGAAGATCTCCGATATCTAAAGTGCTGCACTGACTGTTTCGAAAAACGGTTAGTAAAAAGAGAGAGGTTTGCTTGGAGGAAGAGTTGGTGTTGATATTGTTGCTATTGTTTATGGTCGTTGTTGTGGAAGATGATAATTTGTTGGAAGCTTGATATGTTGCAATTCTATTATTGTCGTTTTTGTCGACCTTAACTTCCACCGAGATTTTCCCAGTGTCCCTATCCGCTGTCCAGTCGATGATACCAGAGAATTTTTCAAAAATTCGTTTCGATGCTGGATTGTCTTTAGGTTCCGGAATGCGTTTCTTTATAATTGCTGCTTGCAGTAAACTCCATCGATTTCTGGCCAGACTATTCTTTCCGTTATTCATTGAGTGGGGGGTAAAAATACCCCAATATTTTCCGGACGAGTAGGTTACTCTGCACAGAAAATATAGGACACACATAGAGTTCACGGTAGCAAAAAATGGTTGCAACGGTTACGCTCAAGTTAACAACGAAAGGACGATAACGCAAATAATAAAATGAAATGCAGGAAAACACAACAGGTAGACAACTATAGTACATTCAACAGTTATAAAGAAATATCAACAGGACACTCCTCCCAGTACATACACACTCTTTAAACGTTTCAAAATTCAGCAGATAACACCCAAATGCAAAATCAGTTTGTCATTACTACGGCTAAATACATTATGCTAAATATTAACTAATCATACTAGTCATTTGAAGTTATCAACACAAACACAACGCTAAGTTATCTTAAGTTTACCACAAACAATTCTCTCATTTTACAACTAATAACTATTCATGAATGAAATTAGCTCTAACAAAACCTTCTACTAATCAATAAATTTAAACTTCTAGGTTATATATTATTCATTATTTATGCATTTACCTGTTGCCAAAAAACAAATCGTTCCGGTTATTACAAGGCCAGAAAGACGGTCAGCACGCAAGAGGAGGGCAGAAAGGAATGTATACTTTCGATTGAGTTTGTACCTTTACAAAATAATTGAGTTTTTTGAAAGACGTTAATTTTTCGGGAGAACCTGAAAAAAAATCGTCGCATTAAATCAACTAATCCAACTCAAACCAAATCTGACATACTAATTTTAGTGGAAAACAATCAGATGGAGACCAAGAGATACCTTGTCCGGAGTGGGGACGATTTCTGTGGGTGGGGTCCTAGGAAAAAGGACACCAGTCGGAGGCGAGGTGGTCGTCGTTCGGCAGCAGAAAGTAAGAAAAACCCGACTGAAGAGGTTGGCGGTGGTTCCCGTGTCTCACTTGTCCACCCTTTTCAAAAATCCACATTTTTATTCAATCGGCCTCTTCAGTCTAGTACATTCTGCTGCTTTTTTGACCACTTTCTGGTCAATTTGTCCTTTTCGGAGGAACATTGACATCAAAATTCGAGTACAGAGTAAGGAAATTGGTTAATTAACACAATTTAAGTCATTAAACTTGCTGCCTTTTGAACCGAAGTAAATTATACGACTAGCTATTGATAGATTTGACAAGTTAAGTATTGCAATACAAATTAAATACTTACAATTTGTCGTTTGTCTAAATTTTTTGAAACAGGAGAGGAGTTAAGAACCAGTGAAACCAGGTGCCTTCTAGAGCAGAAAAATGAGTCAATCTCTGGGAAGAAAGCAGAAGTCCAATTTGGATAAGGCGATTGACAAAATATTTTTTGAAAAGGTACGAAACTCCTTTTGTTTTTAATTATATAAAATTATTATAGTGCCTGATAATTTCACAATTAGTCGAAACATGTAATTTAACTATTGTCGTGTTTAATAATAGCAAGAAGGCCGTCTGTGCGGACAACATTGTCTCAATAATGCATTGCAATCTCAAATGTTTGACGCCGTCGATTTGTCCACTATTGCTCAAACGTTGGATGAAGAAGAGCGGAAACGAATGGCAGAATTTGGAACAAAAACCAAGGAATACCAGGAATTTATGCGTGTAAGTAAAGTGGAATTTTGTTTAAGAGTACTTGTCAAGGTATGTTTTAAGATTTGGAGGCCGCTGCCCTTTTTCTCCTTCCACTCCTGCAGTAAGTGACGGAGGACCAGCAACGTAATTTTTGATAAGGAGAGGCAAGGTTTTTTGAGGCCAAAGTGCGCCTTTTTAATGTTTAGATTCAAAATGATGTTTGTGTACACCAATTACTTAGAAAATACAGAAGGTTATGGGGAGTATTTATCCCACGCAGTACACAAACATCATTTTGCAAAAAAATAAAATAAATCGCCTTTTACTACAGCATTTAGCATATTCCTGTTATAAGAGGGTAGCACCTTCCTTGAGGGAAAGCGTTAAGTAATATGTAATATTTTTATTAACTTGCAGAAACCGTCCTCAAACTATGATGACTCTGGTTATTTCAGCATTCAAGTTTTGACACAAGCCTTGAAGAATGTTAACTTGGACATGATCAACTGGAAATCTGATGATGTGCGTGCAGTTTGTGCGAGAAAAGATCCGACGTGAATATAATAAAACAATATACACAAATTCGCTTCCAAGGACTAATAACTAAATTAATTATCTTTCCAGGCAGGAACGGCTCTTTATTTGTCACATGGATGATCATTGGCTGGCCATTCGACGCCTTGGTCCGCAATGGGTCAATGTTAACTCCATGCTAAAACGACCTGAATTATTGACTGACACTTATCTCGCCATTTATCTTCAAACTATGCAAGCAGAAGGTATGCACATTAATGACAAACATCATCCTTCAATTTTGTTCAAGAGTTATTAGAATAAAACAAAACATAACCAAGATTTACTAACTTTATGCTACTTTCAGGCTACATAATTTTCACGGTGTTTGGTGAATTACCAGAATGTGACGCTGAGAGTGCATTCAAGTCCTTACGCCGAGACCAAGATGGGAAGTATATTGATGAATTGATGGAAACTCCTGGACATCGACTTGGCTCTACACGCTCTGAGGTGCTCGAACTTCCGGGAGGTGGGCCAGCAGAACCAAAAAATTCTACAGAAGACATTCGCAAACAGAGGGAACAATTTCTTCAACGCTTCAATAAATCTTCTGCAGCTGCATCATCCGGTGATTCTCCTAATTCTTCTATCAAATAAAAACTACTCGAGTCACAAACTAAACCATCCAATGCCTTATAAAAGGTTTATGTCTATATAGCAAGACTATTTCCGTAAAGACTATTTTGTTTACCGTTTTTGTATACAAACTTTCAGTATATTCCGTAATATGAAGGGTAATGTAAAATCTTTATTCGGACAATAAAAATAACAGGAGCTCAATCCATTAATCTCTTTGCGCAGTTATTCACACTTTCATTTCATTTTTTGGGGTTGATTCTTGAATTACGCATACACTTGACATGCTGCTGAGGAGGAGGAGGAATAACTGTCTCTAGCTGTTCTATGCTGGCTGGAGTTCAAAGTATTGCTTATTAAACATAAAGTCGCAACGACATTGGAGCCAATCAACCGTAGAGAAAAACGTGACGGTTCGTTGATTCTACTTCTACGACAGACATGCACAGTACTGAAAATCATGGAAGTCCCATCATGGAAGGAACAATGCCCATATACTTAATTGGTTGTGAATGATCATGCGATTTTAGTTGGTTATCTGCTCCTGCCCAAGAAAGATGCTGGCTTTCCGTTTAAAAGTTCTTTGATTTCTCAAAGTCTTGTTCTCTAAGTCTTAAAATGACAATTGTAAAATTGGCCAGTTCTACTTTTCGCATAACCCTTGCGGCGATGGTGTTAAGTAGCGAGTGTGTCCATAAAACGAGTAGTCTGGAGAGTGACCATTTCAACATTTCAATAGAAAATAAAAATATTTATCAGAAATTGCCCCCCACGACCAGCCTCCTAACTCAACCCCATGTTCATAAAAGTGACGAGGTGCAAGTCTTTGACAATGGCACCGTCACCAATCCAACGACCGGCATGTTTCAACAGCAGATTAATTTCGACAGTGGAAGTCGAAATTATCGTAAACGATATGGCGGTGGTGGGGGCGGTTCTTGGGGGGAGTACGATGGAGGTGGGTCATTTTCATATGAGGGATCGTACGGTGGGGGTGACAGTGGTGGTGGTGGTTGGGGTTACGGCCATAAGAAAGGTACTGTTGATAACCTGTTTCATGCCTTAATTATGTGCACAGTTTTTGAATTATTGAATGTTTTTTTTGCAGGAACCCCAAACCATCATTACAACCCTTCCGTCAACAAATATGGAGGAGGTGGGCCAATAAGTTATAATCCAGTTGGAGGTAGCGGCGGTGGACATTCTCCTCCAAAAAAGCCAAACTACGGTTCAAGCTATGTCCCCAATCATGTCCTACCTGGGGGCGGTGGTGAAGGTGGAATCAAGCCGGGCAGTGGTGGGCACAAACCGAGTGGGGGCGGTGGAGGCGGTGGGGGTGGTGGAATCGGAATCAAACCAGGTGGTGGAATTAGACCAGGCGCAGGGGGTGGAATTAGACCGGGTGCAGGGGGTGGAATTAGGCCAGGAGCAGGGGGTGGGGTTAGGCCAGGGGTAGGAGGCGGGGGAGGTGGACACAGACCTGGAGGAGGGGATGGAGGTTCCGGCGGCGGCGGTGTCATACCTGAAATCGACATTTCCGAAGATGCCATCACCATCGTGCTTTGCGAGGTTGTGGAAAAGTGTCACATCTTTGTCCACTGTGCCTCCTACTCTAGTGACTACTTGGGTTCGAAGGAGCGTTGTTGTTTCCAGCCGAGGAAGCAGGAAAAGGGGATGTGTTGCGACGGAAGCTATCCCTTGACCTCTCCCAACGCTGGGCGTCACTTCAGCCCTTACCCCACTGACACAGTCCCAGTTCCCGACATCAGCCACAGCTCGCTCCAAACAGCCGCCGCCAAGGGGTACGAGTACCAAGCGAGGTATCGCTCCATTGAAAACCAGTTGCTCGAGCTGAACATTATTGTCGAAAAGGGAACGGCAGCTCATGGACATTTGCTGTTTTTCCAGGTTATTGGTCTCTTCTTTACTCACTTGTTAATTAATCAACAACCATCCGATGCATGTCCATGTCATCGATGCATGATTTTGTCATCCTCTTTTACAAGAATTCGTGCCAAAGTATTTCGCAGTTTAAAATTCTCGAACGCTCAGTCACAAGTCATTAGCTGCAAAACGTAAAAATGGACTTTCGACTTCAAAGAGCCCACACTTGTAGTCATTTCATGAAGCTAATGAAATATTTTTGGGTAGTTTTATTGTTTATCTCAAAGGAAACACGTTTCAAGGTTAATAGGTACGTACTACGAACTGAGTGTATGCACTTCAAGATGCGTCATTAGCAAAGACGCGACAAACTATGTAATGAATGATAATAATAAAACAGGAGAAATCGTTCTGGTTTTGGTTGATTAGGAAAATGACACGCTGATTTTGCTAAACCAGGTGCGGCTGCTGCCTGATTATAAAAGTTTTTTTGAATGACGGATCAAGAATGAGCTTCATACTTTACATGTATTACATATTGTCGTAGTTTATTGTATGTATTAGTACCAGAAAGTGATGAGTATTTTGTTTCAGACAACGCAAGCCATGCTTCATGCGGCTCGAGAAAATTTTTTCGCGTTAAAAGCCACCAGTTACATTCAAGACTCGTAAGTGCAAAAAAAAGTCAGAATTAGCAACATTTATCTAATCAATGTCTCGAAATGGAATGAGATGATAATGACTCGGGAATTTTCAGATATTTTTTAACAAACGCTGAAGCTGGGATCGGTTTGCAGGGGTATGACTTTGGTGGGACTGTGTTGGAGAAGACTTGTCCCACCAAGCCAAAATGCGACCGAGTTTCCAAGTACAGAACGGCCGATGGGTCATGCAACAATCCAAAGTCTCCAAAATTGGGGCAAAGTTCTTCCACGCTGATCAGACTGCTACCACCCGATTATGCAGATGGTTAGTAACTTAACTAATTTTAGAATGTAATTGATTCATAAGTGTAAATGGGGTCAAAGGAATCTGGGCGCCACGGGTCAGAAAAGATGGGACAGCTCTACCCAGTGCAAGATTCATAACGCTAAATATCATACCGGATGCAAATCTTCCCGACTTGCGATACTCTCACATGCTCATGCAATGTGAGTCAAATTTGAAACGTCATACTAACGACTACTTAATAATGCTCTATCCCACCAATAGATTTGACCACATCTTGATGTCCTTTTATTTGTTTTTTGATCTTGTAGTTGGCCAATTTATAGACCATGATCTCAGTCATGTTCCAATAATTAGGTTTCCAGATATGTCGGGGATTCAGTGTTGTAGTTCGATGCAGGCGGACGTGACCCATCCGGCATGTTTCCCCATTGACATTCCTCCCAACGATTTTAACAACAGAGGCCTGCCTTGCATGAATTTTGTGAGGTCCATGACTGCTCCTCGTTTAGATTGCAGCTTTGGTCATGCGGATCAAGTTCGTATCTGCATATTTATTGTCCCAAGTGTATTATTTAATTTAAATTTGCGTTGTGCATTTTCTAGTTAAATCAAGTAACTCACTGGTTGGATGCGTCCCAGATTTACGGATCAACTTTCGAAGCAGCTGAATCTCTTCGAGAATTTTCTGGAGGTCGTCTCCGAATTTCGCAGGATGGTGGAAGCGGAGGTCGGGAATTTTTACCTGAGAGTGGACAAGAAGAGGAGAAAGACTGCGCCCAGGCAGCTCAAGGAAATGGTCACTGTTATATTGCCGGAGACAAACGAGTTAATGAAAATGTGAGCTACTTAATTATTTCAAGAAATTGAAAATATTACTCAGAAACGGGGCAATAGATTTAAAAAATATAAACTGATTGACAGATCGCTTTGACATCCGTGCAAACAATCTTTCTGCGTGAACATAACCGCATTTCGTTTGAGCTTGGGAAGGTAAATCCACACTGGGAAGACGAAACCCTGTATCAAGAGACGAGGCGAATCGTAATTGCGGAATACCAGCACATTTTGTACAATGAATGGTTACCTCTCATAATTGGGAGAAATTACATGGAAACGTTTGGAATACTTCCGCTGTACGACGGATACTACAAGGGATATGACAGTGGCGTGGATTCCAGAGTTTCAAACGCATTCACCACGGCCGCATTTCGAATGGGACATTCACTGGTTCAGGGCACTTTAAAGTGAGAGATGGCGTTTTATTGAAGTAAAGTTAATTTACATATGTAATTTTGCAATGCAATACTTTTTAGCTTGCAGGCCAATGGAGGAGGAAATGTCGGGAGACTCGTCCTTCGAGATTTTCTCAACAATCCCAGCATTCTTCCGGAACCTGGAGTGCTAGACTTTCTTACGGAAGGTCTTCTTACTCAACCGATACAGCGATTTGATAACTTTGTCACGACTGAGGTATATTTACATATCGTCATAATATTAAGTGTGTTAATATTAAGTATGTATTATTTATTTTATTGTTCTTTCCATGAAATCATTTTACATACATTTATTTCGAAAAAGCTAAACGCCCAGCGGTTATGTTAATATTAATGCATATACATATGTGTAAGTTAGAACTATCACTAATAAAAGAATACTTTTCAGCTACGAGATCACCTCTTTGAAACGGCCAACTCTCCAGGAATGGATCTCCCCGCATTGAACATTCAACGCGGAAGAGACCACGGACTCCCAAGTTATAACGAGTATAGAGATTTGTGTCGACTTGGAAAAGCCAGAGATTTTGACGACCTTTCCCCGATCATCCATCCACGGAAAATTCCACAATTGGAAAGAATCTACGGAAATGTGGATGATATTGACCTCTTCGTGGGCGGACTTCACGAGACACCACTTCCGGGTGCAGTTGTTGGTCCCACGTTCGCCTGCATTATTGGGGACCAGTTTGTCCGTTCGAAGCGTGGAGATCAATACTTTTATGATAATGGTGGACAATTCAGCTCATTCTCGAAAGGTAATAGTTAACCATCATTAACAACGATACAATACTTTGTGGAAGTAAAGCATGACTGGATTTCAATTAAACTGAATTTGCATAGGTCAACTTCATGAGATTCGAAGTACCAGTATGAGCCGGATTTTGTGTGATAACACGGATGAAATTCGATCCATACAACCTTTGGCGTTCCATCTGCCTAATGGACGATAGTGAGTTATCATTTATATCATTGAGATAACCTTAACTTTTAATTCATTAAAATCTATATATGTAGCAATCCAATGCTTCCCTGTGGAAGCCCTGCAATTCCACGACTGAACCTTCGAGCATGGCGAGATTAGTATATTCATACGTAGTAGTAACATTAATTTTATGCAATAGTACCACTTTTATACTTACTTATCTATTGTTGTACTAAAACAATACTTTTTATTTAACACTCACTCACTCTAGGCAGATTGACCGAATGTTTGCATTTTTTATAGAAAAATAAAAGAAGCACAGGTTTAAAAAGATTACAAACGCATTTCGATGTTTTATTTCAACAACTGACATTTTTTTCTCGTTCTGAGCAAATAATTTTTAAAGGAGCGATTTAACTCCCACGATATGTCGAGAAACCGTACGCATTAAGCAAAATAGGGACGTGATAGTGCTCTTCAGGCTTCTCAATTTCGAAAATAACGTCGATAAAGGGATAAAATGTCTTCTCTCCTTTGCTCGTAAAATATGATTTTGTGTCAAAGTTCAACTTGTAAATGGCTGGAGTAAATTGAGCTCCAGATATTAGGTTTCCAATTCGTCCATCGTTGTTGGTCGATCTAAAAAATAATGTTAATTGGTCAGCACAACAACAAAACAATTTCATATTGCTTGCTATTTTCCTACGATTTTCGATAAATTTAACATTTTTTAGCTACAAAAGCTTCATGCAAAAGTTGTGGAATTGTGAATATTAAAATCTTACTGCTCCGTAATAAAAACCCAGTTCCCGTCCGCCCCCCTTTTGAACAACTTCACGAGAACTCCGGCTGCAGGGCGTCCTCTGGACGTGTCCAAAATATGGGAGGTGAGTGGATTCGCATTGTCCATGTTTTCCTAGCAAGAGGAAAACCAATTTATCTTAAACATCATTTCCGTTAACACAAATTTCACGGAACAAACAATGAAAGTTTCCGAGTATTTTGAGTGAGAATGTTATAAATATGTACTTTATTTAGTTGATCCGTTTCAGGCTCTGTTACGGATGCGAGATGCCCAAGACTGACGCAAAGAAGGACTAAAACACTAACCAACGTTAGCGTTGGGGCAAACATGATGCAAAACCTTTTCCAAGTTAGCTCCCCAATTTTGAGGCCGTTTATTTTTGTTTTTGTTTTCCACTAACTTGTTTTCACTGGTCGAGTTAATGACCTCTTATACAACTTTCACTTTACCGGAATGTTATAAGGTTCATTAAATTTAAAAAAAACAATTTACGTAACGGTTTAAATTTGCATTTCGGGATTTAAAACTCAGTTAAAATTACGAAGAATGATTTACTTGAGTCACTGAAGTCGTAATAAACCAGAGGAAAGAGCAATACTTCCGTCACTCCTCAGAATGAGAACTACAAGGTCTCGTTAGTTCGCAATTCTGTGAGGCGATTAACATGGAATTGTCAGCAAGTGGCAATGGGCTGTCGAGAGTTTGCAATGAATCAAAGCGTCAGCAAAAATAAACACCATAAAAAGGCCACACACTGGCTGAAATGCTATTCTCAAGAAATTTGCATACCTCATGATTTCTGCATGATGGGAAATGTCGTGTCAGCCTTTCTGCTGCCACTGGATGGATGATGCTGTCAAAGAGTTTCAACTTGAAACTTTCAAGCCTAAGCAGGAGGATGTCCATAATTTGTTGTTGGCCGTTTCGTCCTCTCAATGCCAACGTCCATTCAACAATTTACACTCTCGTTACGTCCAATTTCCAATTTGATTTACTCTGTGTATGACTTTTCCGAAATTTCAGCCAAGTATATATGCACGCAGCTACGGACATAATAAGTATATCGGTCTGCCTATGCGAAATCGAATTCTAATTATTTGTGCATATTTTATGTCATCCAGTCAAGTTGCATTTTTGTATTCATTTTATTGAAATATGTATTTTGTATGCCAGTGAAATAATGATGACCTTAACCGTAGTATTTTTTTACGAGCTTCTCACATGCAGAAATGCATATGCTCATATGTAAATGAACAATTTGCATACTCACTGAAACTTGATGTTCACAAGACTAATTGGTGAAAGGTCAAATAAACAAAAAATTATCACTCGCCACAAATTACTTTAAATAGTTTTTTACGACTATTAAAAAGCTCTGTCGTCTATCCGTTGATAGCCATGTCCGACTGACTTAAAGTTTGGCGCATGTCAATGGCACGCTTATTTTGGGGAGAGTATTGTGTTAGCAAAATGATTGATGAAGAATTGATTGACCGGTGGGGGTTCAGGATGTACATTGGTTTTAGTGGAATGGAAACCATGGGGAACTCATGCAGGGTTCCCACTAACAATCGTTCAACACAACAACATCTTACATCATATAACGTCGTTGAAGCTGCCAAAAGAGCCAAATCCATTTTATGTCAATTGACACAAAATGGATTTGGCTCCTTTGGCAGCTTCAACGACGATAAGTATATCGCATCATCCAGAAGAAATACATAACAATTTTAAGATCCAAACTTCTAACCAAATTAGCAAATTTAAATATGCACCCCGACCCTATCATATAATAATATAATCATTAAACTTAAACTGCTCGTAAACAGCAACAAAAAATCTCACTCAAAAGGGTAATTTGACAGTAGGATTGACATAGACCAAAAGAGGTGACGTAACAAGTCAATAAAAAAGTGTATGTGCTTTTTATGTATTGATTATTGTCATTAGCAAATTGCACATAATAGCACAGGTGCTCAATGAATAATGAATTCAATAGTAGTGCCTCTGACATAATTTATGAGTTTGTTAGCTCAAAAAAGTGTACACCCATTGAGTTCTTATAAATAAAATACCTCCGACATTCCTCAATACTCATTCCCCAAACACGTCACAAACTTGATACCATTGCCAGTTAAATTTAATTCTATTTGTAAGCTCGGTGAAAAAAATGGTAAAAATTGAAAATGCCATACTTGCTGTTTTTCCTCGGACTTCTCGGAATGTTTGTTATTCTGAAGGGCGAGATGATTCGCGATGACTTGCAGTCTCGTTTTTGCTTTATCACTGTTGCGCACTTGAGCCTTTGCACTCATCAAGCTGGCTTCTTCTTCTTCTGTCGATGCGTCGCTCTTCTCGTCCTTCTGGATATTACAGCTACAGCCGAACGAGTGTCCACAAAGCCTGTGTATTTAGTCTTGGTGATCAAGAAAGTGACAACTGACAACGTAAATTCAACCAAAGTGATCATCTCTCAAGCTAGCATTGGAAACAACTTTACTGATTTCTGCGATTCACATGGTTAATGTTAGCTTAGTTGATTAGTACACAACGTAATGTACATATGGAGATGTTATGTATAGCGTGATGATGACGAGAAAACTTGTATACAAGGTAAATGTACATGTGCATTATCAATCATCTTAAGTGGTGTTTCTTGAATCATGGAGTTTCCCCAATGTATTTAGGATAAGGTCAAGGATTTGACACAGTTATGTACGTATGTACAGATGGCATTTTTCCATGCAGATTAATTAGCAGATGCAATGTACATATGCAACGCTATGCAATCAAGTGGAAATTGAAATGCCCATATACATATGTAAATTAATTATGGCGCATGATTAAAAGAATTATGGAAAAATTCACGCAAGTAGGAAAATATTGTTAAGCAAATCAAATAACTCCAAACAACAACTGATAGGTACAACAAAACAATGCGTTTTTTTATTAAAACTTTTAGTTAATACATCAGTTATTAAATCACTGCAAACTTGAGGATAGTTTATGTAGAAAATAGTGAACAGACAGCAACAAAGGAATTTTATAACACCAAAATTAGATAATTTACACACACTTACTGTTTATCAAGTCGACAAATTGGACTTTTGTAAACCATCCCCAAATCCACCTTTGGTCCTACTAAGTCCCTAATGTTATCATATCCATATCGAATCATAGTTGGACGTTCGAGAGATAACCCCCAAGCAATCACTCTGACATCTTCGGGGAGACCCATTGGTAACAACATTTCGGGTCGGAACATTCCAGAATTTCCTACTTCCACCCACTTTTTGAGCCCCTCGTGATAAGCAAAAACTTCCATGGAAGGTTCCGTGTATGGATTGTAGGCTGGTTTGAAACGCAACTTCTTTATTCCGAGACGAGAGAAAAATTCTTTCATTATTCCAATCAGATGACCTAGATTGATCCCTTTATCGGCCACGACTCCTTCCACTTGATGAAATTCAGCTAAATGTGTCGCATCCAGGGTCTCATTTCTAAAAACTCGGTCAATGGAGAACAACTTTGTGGGCACAAACTCTTTCTTCTGACCTAAAATGAAAAAAATACAGAATTTTCATTTAAAAAAATGATAATTATGGGATGCAGAAAAAAATCATTGATTCTAATTACCAATTTCGTATAACATTCTCGCACTGACGGCAGTTGTGTGAGTTCTCATCACATTCTTTAATGCCTCTTCTTTCTTCCAATTTGATCCATACCCTGAAGAACCATAGCTTCCACCCTCATGAGCGGCTTTTACCCTATTCATGTAATCTTCCGGAATAGAGTTGCATGTTGAAGGTTGCGAGACAAAGAATGTATCCTGAGCATCACGAGCTGGATGTTTTTGGGGGACGAACAACGCATCGAAATTCCAGAATGAACTCTCAACAAATCGATTGGTTGGCATTTCACTGAATCCCATTTCAAATAGGACTGATCGAAATTCGGAACGCACCTAAAGGAATAATCAATTAATTAATATATATATATATATTAATTACCAAACAAACTAGTCACAAATTATGCGAGTTTGTTGTTTCTCAATGTACCTTCATCAAAGGATGCAGATGCCCAGCAGGAATTGGTGTCCCAAGTGCATCAAAGTTATACGCTTTAAAATTCTTAGTTTTCCAGTCTCCGCTCGCAATCATTTCTGGAGTGAGGTCCGTTTCAGGCTTCTCAATTACCGTTGTAAATCCCCTCGCTTTTCGAAGTACCATGAACACGACAGTGTTTTGAACCAGCAGCTTCCTCTTTTTGTACTCTGCCATTGTCGCCTTGTCCAACTCAGTCGTCCCTGCAGCTACATTCCTTAGAGTTTCTTGGACCTATATATAAATTAAATTGATTAAATCAGAATACCAAACTGATATGTGACTTAAGGGCCAAATCACTCTTCACCTTATCTTCAATCGACTCTTTCAATCTAACCACTCTGTTGGAATTCCCTTCCTTGACCGACTTGATCCACCCAGCTTGCATTGCTTTGCTCATCCCTATCTTTCCATTGGGTCCTGTGATCTTCATCAAGTCGGGCAACAAGATTCCCTCTCCCCCTGAAGGCACGGCCGCAAATAGGATGGCCTCATGACTCCCCTTGGAGACAAATTCTCGCCCTATTGATACAACATAAATGTTTCAAATTAAATATTTAGTAAATATCGACAATTTAATCAGAATCCAATTTATTAACTATACTACGTATATACCTTCTAAAGTTAGCTCTGTTCTAACTTCGGAACGTTGCTCCACTTCAATGATATCACCCGAACTCTGAATACTTTTCACAGCCCCCACGATCCGTTGGTGGTCCTCCTCCCACTCTGTCGCCAACTGAAGGGTGTCCACCGTCTCCGTGTGGCTCAGATACTCCAACACCTTATCGATGAGGGGGTTGGCAGCCATCGCGAGTAGTATTTAGTCGACACGGTGATGGTCGTGGACCGTTATGAAGAAAAAAACGATGCAAAAATGTGACCAGATTGCTACACGCGAAAAAACTTCCACCTGTCTCTCATTCCACCGGCCTCAAAAAATCCGCTCCTGTTTCCTTGGCCAAAAGGAGACGCATAGTTCATTGTAAAAAATATCAGTTTCATACGATTTTTCATGAAATTATGAAACTTGGAGGAAGAAATAATTTCATATGGTCATTTTGTCCCTGCAATATTGTATGAAAAGTATGATTTGTGGTATTGGTGCGAAAAATTCGAATAATTATTTTATCAAGGTTTTGATGATATCAATCCCGATTTCACCCTGATAATGGTACACAGCACGGCAATAATTTGCGACTAATTCCCAAGGACGACACAAGTAGGATTACAAAGAAACGGCAGTCGTCAACACCCTGGATTCAGTTGAGTGAAGCCATTCTAATGGTGAGGCCCACTTTTGAAAATTATTATCCTTTCAGATTAGCCAATTACAAGCTGATCGTACACCACCACAGTGTATGGGTCCTAATTTAAGGTACTTACATGTTTATTATGTGGTGCATATTATTATTACTACTGCTTCTTCATCTTCTTCTTCTTTAGCAAATATTTCATGGGAATAAAAGAATACAATAATTGCACCGCCCAGCCACACCTGGCTGTCCACAAACAATTTCGAATCCATTCTCATGAAATGAATGTAGTTTCTTCGGTGCCGATGTCGTGGTTTTCATTTCATACCGCATTATTCTCAACCTCAAAAACACCATCAACTTTTTTTTCTGCTAAGTCTACCTCTCCTTGTGTCAAAAGTGTTTGAAAAATTAGGAATACGACGTACACACTCGTAGTCAGTTAATGTTTATTTATATATTTGCATCAAGAATGGCATATGATTTTTACAACGCCGCACACAAGTCTATTCAATCTTCAATCAAGACTTGAGTGATTATGATTCCAAGCCGTCTTTACTAGGTGCATTTAGTTCCGTCCACTTGATTTTATCCACGATGACGGTTGACATCTCGTAAAAATCAACACTTGTCATACCCTTATTTAAACCATGTTGGCAATCTGCCGTTATAAATAATACACACTCTTTGGAAGGTTTGCTTATAGTATAGAGAAAAAAACCGCAATAAAACAGAACCTGTACCCCACCCACACATTTTTCATCATTTCTACATGAAAATGATTACTCGATCTTAATCTTTCCTTCTCCGAAATCATTATGTTTTTTCCGCCCCCCAAAGAAACACACCGGAAATCAAATCAAATCAACCTATACCTTGCCAAAGTACAGTTTTGGCATCTTGAAAAAACATACAACTTGTCATACCACCACACACTTGATTTGATTTTCGAAATACTTGCCATTCTTGATATGCATGCATAATAGTTGTTGTTTTGTGATTGGAATTCAGTGACCCGTCATCCTCCTCATCTTCTTGATTCTTCTTCATCATCATCTACGCCTAGTTATTAGTTGGTCAGAGTGGAGCGACGATTAATCGACACAGCACACACTGCTGGCTGGTAGCTGGCTTGTGAGATCCTTTGATATGATGATACCACTTACTGCAATCAGCTCTTCTGTAGGAATGATGAACACACTCATCTCATCATCTCGTCATTTCCACTGCACGAGAGATAAAGGGAATTTAAGTTGGAGAAGAAGTGGATGCAAATGAGGCTCATCATCACATCATCCTCAACAAGAGCAGCATAAACGGGTGTGTGTGGTTGGTGGTGTGGGCATAATAATAATAACAGAACTTGTCGTAACAGAAGAAAAGAGGAGATAAAATTTAAGGGATTGATGATGAGTCTTATTTCCAACCAGCAAAAAGGTGTTGGGCGAGATGAGAAAGTGGAAAGTAGTGAATTGAACATAAAAGTCAGCTCTCAGAGGCCGAAGGAAGACGAGACATAAGCAAAATACACCCTAGTATCAGATCATCAGCAGCAGAAACCACCACCACCACACCACCGATTGAGTCTATATTCCTAGTTTAAAAAATTAATAAAAGTGACCCCACTGGGGGTGGTTTCATCGAAGGGGTGGTTATTCACGTAGTCGTCGTAAGGAGAAAGAATTGTGTAAGTTTTTTAACGTGTTTTTGAAAAGAGGGAGGTGCAAATTCAAAATATTGCTGTGCTTTTTTATAAGCACCATCCTGATTTGAATTGGTTAAAGTTAATGTTTCAAAGACTGTTTTCAGTTTGTGAAATAATAGGTTGAGTTTAAGGTGAAGAAATTGATAAGGTTTTGGGCCGTGGTGGTTAATTATGTCGGCAAATTTCTAACTGTCAATCAAACGTGCGCGAATGTTATTGTGTGGAGAGTGCGTGAGTTCAATTAGTGTGGTAAAAAAAATTGAAAATTGGCAACATCAATTTGGCATTTGTGTTGAATACATATTGTTAATTAAGTAGTAATTGATGGACATTTAAAAATCCATCGTCCTGCTGTCTACGTTGGAGACAATTAACGTTTGTGTTGAGTTTGATTGCGCGTTTAAATGTCAAATGTCATTGTACTTTTCCAGTGTTATTGTGAATAGTATTTTTGTGTTTTTGGCCATTACTGCAGCCAGGCTGGGGGAGAATGGTTCAGCTACCTCTAAAAAAATACTGCGGACCATTAAGAACGAAAAGATCATTGTCACCACTCAGCAGTAAAGTAATCAGTACGGAGTAGTTGCATAACATATAATGAAATGCAGTATGCGAAGCCAAATTGCACAGTCAAAATAATGTTATTTTGACTCTGCAATTTGAAATTTAACTGTGCAATGTTCATTAGCAGAATAAGCCAAGGAGAAGAACAATAACAGCATCGTTCTCTGAACCTAAGTAGTTATGTATGTGCGGTTCACAAAACTATATTATGTTTTGTGTATTGTTCTTTTAATGTTCTTTCTAGTATTTTGCAAATTTGCTACATATTGTGCGATGCGATTCATACTTTTTTTTAAAGAGCCGAGTCCAATTAAGGGCTTAACTGCACAAATGATCAAGAGACATACGGACGAAAATAGAATGAGAGAGAAATGAACCTGTTTTCCTCCTTCTGTTTAAATGTGCGGTTATCTAGTACGACGTTATATACATATCTGCATTGGCTGAGTACGTCGTATGCATTATTTTATGCATCCGAGTTTTCTGTCCAATTCAGCCAAGAAGCGGTCATATTTCTTTCTCTTTTTTTGTAATAAACATTTAGCCGTGTGGTCATATTACATATGTACATCGACCTGCTGGAAGTGTCTGGATTTTGGTTTGCCTTCTTATGCATGTTAGTGGACAATGAGAGAGAGAGATAATAATAAGATATCAAACCTCGGAGCCAAAAGTAATAAAATGATCTCTCTCCTGTTGGCATTGGATATGCAGGAAATGTCAAATGTTAACATTTACCTACTAAAGTGAGATATCACAAGGCTTTCTAGAGTCTACTCCTGTGTCCTGTGGGGACGGTATAAATCCGTTTATTTTAAGACGATATTGACCTCACTAACTTGTATAATTTTATCCACATGCATATCAATCATCATTTTACGGTTTAACATGTCAAATTCTTTTTTACACTCTTCTACTTTTAGTTTGGTAAGTTTATACTTTGGAAAGCTACGTCATTCCCTCAAGTTGGAAAAATTGCCCACGTAATTGGCAATTCTCCAATTATTTCACATACCAGGCAGGAACTCTTAGAAGAGATTACTTCATTTTACAAGTGTCACCATCCTCAGAGTTTGGTTGAGAGTCAATCCAGTGATTGACTGGTGGATATGGAACGTTCGTTTTTATGTTCATTCTTTACGCTGTTGGTTCATTAATTGGGTCATTCAAATAGAAAACGAGATCTAAAATCGCATTTAGTTCCTGGGAAGGGTGAGTAGCATGGAAATAAATGCGTATGAGAATTATACCTACGCTTGTTTATTGTTGAGAAGGATTGTATGGACATATGGAATATTAAATATTATTATTCATTCGAAACCTTTTTCCATAAATATACACAAAAGATAACTTTTTTGTTTTTATTTATCTTCAGGTACAAACAGAAACGTGCGAGGAAGAGTTGACGGAAGTATATATCTCAACAACGTATGTTAGGATAACCAACTTTGGGAGGAATTAAATTGTCAATAAGTCAGAGATAGGATAACAGCAAGAGTCACAGTGACCAGTGTTTACCCGAGAAGATAAGCTATGAAATGGATATGATAATGATGATGACTACTACTCATCCATCTGGAATCTGCTGAACATTTCGCTACTCTACAGTTAAACAGTTTTTTGTTATCATGAACATGAACATGATGATATTCACGCTAATTGAAGTTGAAGTTGACGAACGACGACGACAACGATCCATTCTCAAAGGCTGCAGATGAAGAATAGACAGATAAAAGCTTAGTGTCTGTCTCTTGCTCATGAAATTATTTAAGCTATGCAAAATTTCTCATTATTTCCTCCGACTGAAGAAGAGAAATGGAGATATACTTACGGTAGACAATAAAGCGAGGAAGTAGCGTGTAAGACAAAGAAGAATTCAAAATGGACTCACGAAGAACGGTTTCCCCAGAGTCCGCCTTAGCGTCAGATATATTTGACAAGTTTTGTAGTGCAAATACACTCAGGGGGATTTTGAACCTGTATCGGCAGTTATGTTCCGTTACGAGAACGAAACCAACTCATTTTCCTGATTTCTATCCGAGACTTCGAGTAAGTGATACTACACAATTCATTCATTCATTTACTCACTACTGTATGTACATTCTTAACTGGTGATATATGTATTTTTTTTGTTTCAGGCTAAACTTTGTTCTTGGAGAGCTCAAGGGTTGTGGTCAAAATTCGAAAAACGGGCAGCTCAAAAGTGCTATGGGAGAGGGAAAGCTTGTTATGGAACACGGGCAAGCTACTAAATAATTTCGATAGGATTCCTCATTTGTTGGAATCCTATTCAAGATACTAATGAAATTTATTCATGTATTCTCAGGTTCTCATTATCGGAGCTGGTCCTTGTGGACTCCGTGCTGCAATCGAAGCTCAACTATTAGGTGCAAAAGTAGTGCTGGTAGAGAAGAGGGATCGATTTTCTAGAAATAATGTGCTTCATCTGTGGCCCTTCGTAATAACGGATTTGAAAGCTCTCGGTGCAAAAAAGTTCTACGGCAAGTTTTGTGCAGGCTCAATCGATCACATTAGCATTCGTCAAATTCAATGCATTCTTCTCAAAGTTGCTCTACTCCTCGGGGTCGAAGTGCATGAAGGGGTTGGGTTCGAAGGGCTTCGTGAACCCACTGAACATGAAGGCTGGAGAGCTTACATTTCGCCCTCCGATCATCCAGTGTCCCATTACACGTTTGATGTTCTTATCGGAGCAGATGGGCGCAGAAACACGTTGGATGGATTTAAAAGAAAAGCACTCCGAGCCAAACTTGCCATTGCTATTACTGCAAACTTTATTAATAAGCATACTGAGGCTGAAGCCCGGGTGAAGGAAATTAGTGGTGTTAGTTACATTTTTAATCAAAAGTTCTTTCAAGACTTGTGTGAAGCTACTGGAATCGACCTGGAGAATATTGTATACTACAAGGATGAGACGCATTATTTCGTCATGACTGCGAAGAAGCAGAGTCTTCTCAACAAGGGTGTTCTTCTGCATGTAAGAAAAATGGAATATCCTTCTACATACTCTCCACTATACTTTAATAGATGGATGATGAGTTTGGGAAGTAATTTTTGGTTGTTTCTTTCTTTTCTGTCATTAGGACTATGCGGATACTGCAAAACTTTTATCCCATGAGAATATAAGTACCGATGCACTCATGGTGTATGCCTTAGAAGCCGCCACGTTCGCCACCGAATACCAACTACCTGATATTGAGTTTGCCGTCAACCACTATGGACAGCCGGATGTCGGAATGTTTGATTTTACTGCAATGTATGCTGCAGAAAATGCGTGCCGCGTGGTGCAAAAGAAGGGGCATAAACTGTTGATGACACTTGTTGGTGATAGTTTGCTCGAGGTAATCTCAATACTTTCCAGGAGCTACACTTATTAGTTATATATTATTAAATGTAAATATGCCCTTACTCATCCATATTACTGTAATTTAGCCCTTCTGGCCGACAGGCAGTGGTTGTGCCCGAGGCTTCCTAAGTTCTTTCGATGCGTGTTGGATGATTCGGAGTTGGACGAGTGATGTAAAGTCTGTGTTAGAAGTTGTTGCGGAAAGGGAATCAATATACCGTCTTTTGGGACAAACCACACCGGAAAATTTACACAAAGAACACATGGCTTATACGATAGATCCGCACACCAGATATCCAAACTTGAATCTTCGACTAGTTATGCCATTTCAAGTCAAATCATTATACGAAGCTGATGAAAAGATACCTGACGTTCCGGATGGTACAGTTGATTCGGCACTTGATGATAAGACTCCCAAGAAACGCAGAAGAGGTACACTTACTGATTTAAATTGTACTGGCAGATTAGAGTAACGAATATATTACCCATTTGTAAATTTCATATTTTATAGATTCCGTGATCGCTATTGATTCTTTACTAAGCTGGATGCGAGAGCAGGTTGTGTGCTACAATCTGGAAGTTATTGACGTTCGAGAGGCCTTCGTTCAAGGAGATGTACTTTGTGCAGTAATTCATCGCTTCCGTCCTGACCTCATCGAATTCCCACTACCATCCGAAGAAAATGTGGATCCACTCACTACGGCTGCATTTAGAAATCAATTAGCATTTGATATTTTGCATCAGGAATACGGTTTGCCACATGTAAGATATGTTGGAACTAGCAAATATTATTTGAACTAGTCATACATATATTTGTATAACACTTTTGCAATATTTATAGGCGATGAGCGGATACGATTCTGTGCAATTCGGTTCATCCGAGTTTTTAACACTTGTTACTTATCTGTCTCAAATATACGAAATTTTCCGTGGAGAAATCCCACAGACAAAATATTTTAAATCGGTAAGTACTTGTTGCTGGGCTGGTTAGTGGGATTGAAATTATGACGTTCATAATCATAATTATACTTTTTTAGGAGAGTGGTGACGAATTGGAAGAAAATGTACACCACAATACGGACCATTTACTTCGAATAGCTATGACAGCAAAGCACCACTTTCCTCGTAAGCTTGTTTTACCTATTAATGACGAATCTTTAAGATCAACTAGAGCAAGTTAGCCAACATTATTTACAAAATTTTTCTAGATAAAACAATTGTGCGGAAAGGGAGGCTTTCCTCTGGCGGTGATAGTAGTGAACCATATCGGAAGCACAAAAAGCGTAGAAGTGATGAAAGGGCCGCTGCTCGAATTACTACCGGGAGCTCTGGAGAGATCCGACCTGGTGCTAATCACACATTATCGGTAAGCCAACAAGTCTAGGAAAGGTTGATTAGTTAACAGAACTACAACACAAATAAACTACGATAGTTTCAATATGTTTTTACACTTACGTACTATTTCAAATATGCCAGCACGTGAGATCAAATTTGTTCATCATGTATGTATGTTGTGCATATACATATGTGCAATTACTTAGGCCAAGATAGTTTCGAAAGAAAGTCGCAAACTGCAGGACCGTCTCTTCGATGTTGAGCGTTTCATGAAGAGCATGAGACTTCTGCAGCTGAATAAAAGCTCAGATTCCATAGACGAAGAAGAGGAAGAAGAGACTGAATTTCGTGATGTGACGTTACATTTGTATCGTCAAACTGTCCCGGACTTTGAAGAACGGAAAAAATTTCTCGAGCAGAAATTAATAGTGAGAGCTGAGAATTTTAAGTTTTCTGCAGATATGTTTCTAACTGCTGTTTCGTTGAGTAACAAGGATTTATGTGTTTTAAGAAGGTCTATTACTTAAAAAAATTGATTCTAACATATTTTAAAGAATGAGTGGCATGAATAACGGGTTTGAAATAATCTCCGAGTGATTTATGTGTAAAGTTGACTTACAATTTAATCCTTGTGGATATGCTTATTTTAGTGCCTCACTAATTTGCGTTATTTTAATTACAGGGTCGAGAATCGAAAACTGTTTTCGGCAAAAGTTTAACCCAAAGCAAAACCCAGTCGGACAGCGAAAAACTGGTTCCAGGCTTAGCGAAAGACTTGGAAGCAAAATTTAAGGGCCGAACAACAATTGAAAAGCAGAAACCCAAAGACTTAATTCGTGCAATTGGTAAAATTGAAAAGAGTGATTGGAACGTACAACTAATTGAAAAGAAAATGGCTGAAATCAAGTCAGTTTCAACGAGCAAAAAAGATCGAGAAAATAAAGTCCCAAGATGGTCCCGAGAAGCCTATGACGACAAGGTATTTTAGAAATTAAAGATAGCATATGCAAGGCTATCGTATACTTATGCAAGTTAAACATATGTACTTATGCAATTTTTATTGTTACAGCGAGACGCAATGAAGCGTAAGATGGACGGTGCAACTACTTCTAGTCAACAACCTGAACAAGTTCTTGACGAAACTTTCAAAAAACTTGGCAACAAATTGAAACACGGGAACGCTCTTGATATTGGACAGCGAGGGTGCAATAAAGTCTCTGCCATGGCTGAACAACTCATCCATAAACTGGAAAGGCCAAACATGGGGGAAACGTCTCAACCAAAGCAATCCGTAAGTCATCAATAATAAATTGATATCATGTATGGCTGTAGGGGTGTGAATTAAATAAGTAAATGAAAAAATAAACTCTCTATGTATTTCTCAGGCTTCTACTCGGCAGGCGTTCGAGTTGCCGAAAAAGGGAAGAGTCGACTTGTGTCACTTTTGCAAAGAACGAGTCTACGTGGTCGAGAGGATGACAGCGGAAGGGAAATTTTTCCATAGAAATTGCTTTCGCTGTGAATATTGCAATATGTCTCTTCGCATTGGTATCAAATTATTTGACAATTTACACACTATAAATATTATCAAGATTATTCGGAACGATATATACAACTCTGTTGTGTGTGCATTTTGTTCTATAGGAAATTACGTATTCGATCGGGAAGGACGCTATGGCGAAAGATTCTACTGCTCTCCACATTACACAACCATCCGAATGTGCGGCTGGAAGAAGTTTGACAACGGTCGAGTCGAAGATGTCAATAAATATGGGGGAGAAGTGCACAACTTGCTTGGAAATCGACCTTCTAGTCAGCAGGTCAGTCACCACTCCGGTGGCCTGCTTCCCTTTTGTAAAATTCATCCACTTGATGATGACTTCTGCGTGGAAACAATTTTCTTTGTTCTCTTCACCCTCTTATTTTTTGTAATTTCTCTGTTGGTGAATCCTCCCGAAGTGACTGATTTCGTGTTAGACAATCTTATTGTTGGCCTCTGAGCAGCTCTCTCTGTCTCTCTCACTCTCTCACTTTCTCTCAAGCTGCAGTTACCAGATTTGTAGTGCCTTAATTGCCTTTATAGTTATGTAGATATGGCCTGAATTGACTGAAAAAAATGATATTGATTGATTATTGACCTTACTTTTGCCTGGAACTTGTTATTCTTCAAACTTTGTTTTATTTTATAATTCATCACTTTTTTCCATACAAATATTATTCATTCACTCGAAAGAGTGCTCCTTTTGCAAATCTGCACTACCGATAAACGTCTTGGTTGCAGGAACTTCTACAAGCATCTATAAAGAACGCAGCTTTTGGGTCCCATTCCTGCTACGATATCTCCAGATGCATTCGCCTTCACTATATGCTTTGCAACCTTCCGTTGTCCTCTTTCTGTTTATAATTTGTCGTAACGACATATTTCATCACGTTTTTTTATATATTACTATTATCTTTCTCTTACTTATTTGTTATGCGTGCTGCAAAATAGAATACATATATTATTATGATTACTACTACTACAAAAATCCTGTTAAAAGACGTCATGCTACACACATTTATAACTTTTGCACACCCATCTTGCAAATCCGATTCTCTCTTTAGTTTGACGAATCCAGTAGTAGTTTGTAAGCTTCTGCTAGGTCTTATCTTATTAGGTGAGTTACTTATTTCCGATATTTCCTTCCGTGTTCTCGTCTAGTAGTATATGCTTATCTATCTGCACCTAAATACACTTTACTGTTTTAAACACCCCGTATTACCTGTGCCTATTGTTTCTTACTTTCATTACTAGTCCAATTACTTATTAGAGAATTTATAAAATAATATACATTTTTATGATTATTTTAATAGATCGTGTAAGTATTGACATTTTATTGTTTTCAAAGATTTTATCGGAAATGGATGAGAGGGGTACAACTCCTGAGAGAGTCGAGTTTGAAAACTCTGTTGACTTCGCTTCAGAGGAAGAACTTCTTAATGAAATGGACGAGGATGAATGGACGGATAGAAACTTTGGACTTTCCAACGCTGATAATACGTCTGATGAAGCTTCGGATTTAAGGTGCTAGGACGCAATTAAACTATGCTATGCTACGACGAAATTATGGGATGTATTTTAATGCTTGATTTGTAATTTTTGAATGCAGTGATGATGAAGAAGTTACTCCTGAGGGCAACAATGATGCTCCGAATATTGCTCTGGCAGATGCAGAGAAAGAAGGTAAATGCATCCACCTTTAACCGCAACTCGCGATTACGATCAATAATTATTTTTTACAACAATGATTATTGTTATACCAAATGATATTTATAATTAGGTGCCGTTCCAGTCAAGCCGACTGAAACTGAAAGTTCAGACTCGGATACAGAAGTGGCTTCAGAAGATGACAACGGGGAAGTTGGTGACGAGTCTGACAATGAAGAGGAAGAAGAGGAAGATGACGACGAATATGATGAAGATGAAGAGGACGAAGAAGAGGAATGTGGTGGTAGTACTACGGAAATAGAAACAGACTCGGAATTTGCAGAAGATCCCCCAAATAGTGTACCAGGAAGTATTCCTACAATCGTAGTAGATGCTCCAGAACAGTTGGTCACTAAACTTGTAGATACTGGATTAATAAACCACGCGAAACATGTTCACCCAAAAGAACCAAAGCCCTCTGAACACCGAGAGAAGGGATCTCATCATACTCAGAAATTCAGAGATTTGTATTACGATAACAATGTTGAACTGGTAAAGAAAGGAGGGCCCGAGAGACAGCTTCCAGTTGTGACTGGTGTACCCAAAAAATGGGAACCAAATCCTGAACGACTCGCTTCTAAAGTTTCTCTAGAGTTGAAAAAGAAATATCTCCAAGGGAGTAGCATTCCGCCGGTTGGGACGAACCCCAAAAAGGCCGACCCTCAGCAACAGAACCAATTTCGAAGTGTTTTGGACATGATCTCGGAGCAGCAGAAATTGCTCCAACCTGCTTCTAAACCTTCTGCTACGATGCAAGCTTTTTTAGACGGTGCTGATAAGTTGAAGAACAAAACCACTGCGGCTGGGATTGTACCAATCCCTTTAAATCGAAATTTAGTTTCTGGCCAATCAGTGAATCTGAATCAATCTGAAGCTGTCGAAAAATTGGCATCGGCTGCCGACGTAAATCTTGTAGCAACGCTGCAACAAAATAATGGAAATACCGTCATCCAACCAATCAGCCCAAATGAACCAACTACTGGAGATACAGAGAAAACCCTGAAGGATACGACGAACTTAATCATCAGTTCGCTTCACAGTGGTAATTCACAGGATTGCAAGAACGATCTAGAGAAACAAGATTTAATTCCAGAATCCATAGTTAGCAAATGTGACGCGAATAGTGTTATGACCACCTCGTCCGAAGTTTCAAATAATAAATTAATGGCGGAAGAAATTTCGGGAATTATGACCTCAGATACTCCGTCTTTTAGCACTTCCGAGACAGGGTCCAACAAAACGGTGATAGATGCAAATGACTACCTGATTTCTAGAAATGTTCCGGATCCTGGGAATGAGCATGAAGAAGTGGGAAGTGGAAGTGATACAGAAGTTGGGTCTGAACCCTACTCTGACCTGGACGACTTGGATGAAGATGATCTTCCTCACAGAGTAGTTCATGAGCCTCCCAGAGTTGAAATTGAGGACGAGTTTGGCGTGACAAAACCGATGGATCCTCCACCAATTGGGACGAAAGATCATTTGGATAAATCGCCCACTGGTCATAGTTCATCGGATTCATCCTTAAATTCGGGAATTTTTTTGGAAACGGAAATGTCAGACTACGTTAAAGATGAAAGCGTTGCTGCAGAACGTGCTGCTTCGGCAAAGAAGCGACTAACAGGAAGAAGAAGCTTAACCAAAAAATGTAAGCAAGATATTCACCAACAACGACAAACCGTGGGAAAACTAGAAGATTCTCCCCGCACGAAAACAAATTTTGAACTTGAAGGATTAGATTTCGTTGACATTGATGGTGGCAGCAGTCCAGACGATTTTCGTGACATCAATGAAATAGGGTTTGGCATACGTGATATTAATCCTCCTCCAGTAGGGGCGATGAAAATACAACAAAACACTATTTCTGCCCCTCCACTGGACACTTTTGCGCCCACGTGTCATCCAAAAAGTCAAAGTCCACCCATTACCTCACCTTCCGAGGATGATGAGAGGTCATCCACGTCCACCAGAGATCCTCAAGATCATTCCACTTCTGACGCAGAGCTATCCGACAGTTTAAATAATTGTTTAAAGAATCGAAACAATATCTCGGAAGTAAAATTTTATAACGATATTTTCTCTTCGAAACACATGCCGACCACAACGGATAAACTTCCCTCATTGGAAAGAGTTGTTCCATTTTCTGGTGCACGAGATTCGTTGGACTATAGGAAAGCACGAGGAGTGTCGACTAATTTAAGAAACAAAGATCTATACTCGACATATTCAACCCCGTCCACAAAACCCCTCGGTTCTGAACCCGAGGTAATTGTAGCATTCTCATCCGTGCAGTTTGACGAGGACAGTGGAGTTCCAAGTTTAGAGGGTGGACAAGACCTATCCAGTCTTCCCGGATCAACGGACGACAGCAACCGTTCTTCTGGCTCCCCTTCTACGACAAGAAAACTACACGAGATCCGTCAAGAACGAGTAAAACAGAATGATCTGATTCGGTCCATGGTGCTAGGCAGAATTAAGCGAAGTCCGGACAAAACCATTCGCAAGAATTCGAAAGGCTCCTCGTCTGGAACTTCACTTAATCTAGAGAAATCGGGTGATGAAGAAGCGGACTCACGCATAAGTTCGGATACATCACAGTATCACGACGACAATACAACGTCAGAAGACTGTGATAATAATGAATCCACGTCCAGAGGAACCGCAAAACCTAATCTTCACCACCATCATAACAACTCTTCAACAGACATCTCAAGCGGTCATGACATTCCTCACAAGCCGATGGCAGAATCAAATAGCAACTCCAATTCTGACGACTCTTCTGGATCTCAATCAGCAAAAGCATTGTTGACCACTCAAGCAGTTCACTCTGCATATGAGCCAGTATTTACATCCTCACCTAGATTTCGAAATCGACCCAAATTTGATGTTGTAACTAATTCCCAGCAACAACAACCACAGGCTAAAACTGAGCCACCCACGCCGACTCACGCCATCCCTGCAGACATGCCTTATCCATCAATTAATTCCTCAAAAAACAACGAAACTAGTTATACAACTCAAAACCCTCTCTTTTGCAGATCAATGCCTAATCTCATTAATCTTTTACCAAAAAACAACCACACTGCCGTCCACCACGACGATGAGAGTAATGGTATTCTGCCAAACACCACACAAAACAAGTCATCATCTGCAGCTATGTATCAAACAAGTGCTCCAAGGTATGAGCATCCTTCAAACCTAGTGGGAGGAGCAGGAGGGGGCCAATCTTCGAAAATCAATCCATTCCTCGTGTCTTCGTATGGACCAGGAGAGGAGCAGATTCAGTCATCAAATGATCCCGGCGATGACTTTCTTAGTCTCCACCTCAAACTACGATCAAAAGATCAGCTAGGAAGCCAACGAACGGCAGAAAAGTCACGAAGCGTTTACTCCGACTCCTCCAAAGATTACTCTGATTCAGGATACGGTCATACGGGCAGTCATCCCTCCTCCGTGATGACCATGAGGTTCCAACATACCCAACTTCCTGACCAAGATTTTTCCTTGGTGCCCCAAGGGTGGGGCAGGAACGAAATCAGGCCCAGGTCAAATACCTTGACGGATTTTGATGGCAAGACTCACTCGCCAGTGACATTGCCAAATTTCAACGCTTCAAAGAGCCACGTTCATCCAAATTCTCGTCATTCTATAGACAATTCTGATGCCAGTAGTAAGTCATCATCCAACAAGGCTAAGGCTTTCAGCTCCGATACCTTGGTTGATGCTTCCCCATTATCGGAAAGCAGCAGAAGAACCAGTGTGCCCGACATTAGTGGGAGTGGCAGGAGTAACGACGTTGTCATGAGAATGAATAAAGGAAGAAAGGGAAAAGATCGGGACCGTCGACGGAGCTTGATCCAAACCGTGTCAGACTTTTTCACAAGTCGCACCACCCAAAATAATACTTCGACCAACGATAAATCTCCTCCCAACACTTCTTTAACCACGTCAACGTCATCGTCAAGCATCATGTCTCCAACGAAAGACAAGTTTTCTCTTTTTAAACTAACTCCAAAACTGCTGCAGAATAAGGACAAGAAAAACTCGTCCAAATCGAAGGAGTCCGTGGTTGTTTCGCCCCTTGCTTTATCGGGACAGTCTGCAGAGGGCAGATCAAAGACTGATTTCACAACATATCTTTCTCAACCAGATTTGCAAATTCAACGCTTGTCCTCCAGCCCTACCAATAACATATACAAGGCAGAAAAACAACAGGACGACGAAAAAGACGTTGACGAGTGCGCAGGAAATTTGTCAAATTTGTCCATAATGGCTCCGGGGTCGTCACGACGGGCCAATTTATCTTCTGCAAAGGAGACAGATCGTTCCAAGAGAGCAATGACCAGGTATATTTCGCTTAATTTATGTATACTACTCAAAATATGTTTTTTGTCTAACTGTATGGTTTTGATGGTTTCTTAGAGCTCGAGAAATTGAAGAAATTCAGCTCCAATTAGAATCCATCGAAACGGATCAGAGGTCTTTGGAGGCTGCAGGAGTAATAATGGAAAAGAAATTAAGGGGAGAGGAAGTTGGTGAGTTTTTCTGTGGTGAATTATTAATATGTTTTAAAAAATTGCCTAAAATATTTTATTGTTTTTAGATGAAAATGGCCGAAGTGATGATGAAATCATGGACGAATGGTTTGCCCTTGTCAGGGACAAGACCAAGCTGGCTCGTTTCGAAAAGGAGCTCTTGGTAAGAGCTCAAGAACTGGAATTGGAGGTTCGGAGAGAGCAGCTAGAGGAACAGTTAGAAGTCTCATTATCCATCCCAGGTACGTGGATAGTTTTGCTTGAGTTCACTGGCAGTTAATTATTTTACTTTAATTATTGTATTTTAATATATGCAGACAAATCTCCGAATGATACACAGCGAGAGAATGACATCATGTATGAGCTACGTAGGCTGAAAGACCAGCACGTTCGCCTTTTGGACACCATACATTCTGATATGGAACGGTTAGTAATAATTAACACATGTTAGATCAGATTACAAAATTCAGACAAGTTCTTACGATTGCTGGTTATTTTCCTCTTTATAGATATACATCCGAAGACGTAACAACTTTAAATCCGGCATTTTCAATTTCTCCTGGAAATTCAAGGTTGGAATCCGATGTATGAACTGTATTGTGAGACCACAAACGCAAATCTTTTAAAAATTGAATCCCAGAGACGAGGTATCACCGTCACATCTGAAAATTTATCGTAAATTAATCTTACATGAAGTCGAATCGAAAAGAAAAACTTGCATTTCCCGCTTTGGGTTTAATTAATTAATTATACTTAATATGAAACTATTTATTTATTTATTCCGCATCTGTGGAGTAAAATGCGTTGTTAAACTTAAAAAAATAAAGGTGTGATAAGTTTAATATGATACTAATAATATGCACAACGTGGTAAAAAAAAGTAGGAACAGACAACAAAGAGAATCGCAGTTACCGGACAATGTACCTCTGCTCATCAGCTTAGATTCAAGCTCAGAGCATCTGATAGATAATGCTATTTATTACTATTACTACTACGCCGGAGTATTTTTTTCAAATATGTAGATTATAAATTATGAAACGTTTTTCTTGTAAATCAACATAGTGTACAGAATATTAGTTGTGCTTTTGTACATTGCATGCATATGCAGTAACTGCCTGACAATAAGACAACGCAATTTTCATTAATATTTAGTGCTGCCGTTTGCATTTTGATCGTAAAATCCACATGTAATGGATAAGAGTATACAACAGTCTTAACACGATGATATGCATTTGAAGGAAAATATTGCGTGCCTTGTTTTGATAATTTATAAAATTCGCAATATAAAATATAGTTCAAACGGAACTAATGCATAGCCGATTTTGAAATAGAACTAAAATTATAAAATTGTGAAAAAGAATCACCACCGAGTTCAGTTCATTAATTCATCGATACTTTTTTGCCTAGTGAAACTATTACATTCAGATCCATGCACTTCCGCTTTAACTCGCTCGCAAATAATTGTGCTTAAAAACAGAAAAATAATTAAGAAATACCAGTTCTTCATAATTAGCTTTGTTTTTTTGAGATTAGCAATAAATGTGCAGGGAGACTCGCTGAAATATATGCGCGTTGTCACTTAACTTGACTGATCCGTCTAAACCTTTTAGCCATATTATTTAATATTTATTATTATAATAATTATTATTATTGGTATGCATTTAAATTTAACACAATAATTATTCATTTTCATTTAATAACAATTTTGTAGCTGATGATGAGATTCTTTTTAATTTAACAAAAAAGTTCAAATAAATATATTGTCAATTACTTCTGAAGTATTGCATACATCTCAATCTCTCTAATTTTAATGCATTCATTTTTAGGTATAAAAACCTACAAGGGCTTCATTTAACCCTACTCCGGCATTGTCCTGAAAAACCCCTCGATATATAACCGGTCATTCCCTTCGAACTGTCTCGTCGAGATACGTATTTTATATATTTGAGTTTGTCAAAATCAGTTTAGTGGTCCGTCCGCTAGCGTTTCACAGACAGACTTACATGACGATTCCATTAGCACACTAAAAAAATTAGTAACTCTACTTTCCACAGATTCATCTTCTTGTTGCTAATCCCAAGCAGCAGATGTATGCAAATGTCATATAAAATATGAAACTCAACTTATGAACAATTCCTATCTAAACCCATCCCTTGCGTTAGAGTCCAAGAAGCCCATCATGTTTCCTGAGCGTAGAAAGTGCCGGAGAAAGTGAGTAATGCGGGTAATAATGCGAGCGAAGGACTGAGCTGCTATCACCACCACTTCTACTACGATTACCCGTTACTATGCAGATCGATAAAAAAGAATCGGGCAGATCCCTACAGATCACATCAGTTCTCCAGTTTACGGACGGAGTAAACACTGAAGTAGATCCGGAACAAAATTTATTCTCAAATTTACGATTTTGAAAAAATAGCAACATAGATTTCAACCCGTATTATTGAAAAGTATTTAAAAATAAAAAATCGAGACCTTTCATGAAAAATTAACAATTTTATATTATTGTGCTCATTTCTGCAGTGAAATTCAGGATCAAACTCAAAATGTTATAATTTAACCAAGTTTGAGTTTAAGGGATTAAACAATGGACGGATAAGAAATCGTGTCCCATTTGCATGTTAAATACATATATATGTACTAGTCTAGATTTATTTAGAACGTGGAGTGCTTTGGGTTAACGGAGAAATGAGAAGTGCAGGCGTCGTTAAATGTCACCCATCAAGCCGAGAAGAATGAGCGTTAGGATGAACGAGCATGACGTTGATGAAGTTGCTTTCCTCACGGGTAAGAAGAGCTAATTAAACTAATTCATGCTTATTGTGCACATAAATATACAATTGCATATTGACATATGTGTATGGTTTCATCTGCATGTGTCGTTTTGAATCCTATTTTTGCAGGGGAATCAACCAATGCAAACAAACGAACTCTTTACGAGCAGGATCGGATTGCCGTGTGCTCACAAAAACGGGCGGTGGGTGTGGCTCTCCTCGTCTTTTTTGCGCTTTTCTTTGTCGCCGTCATCATTGCCTTTGCGACTCCTCTCAGTGGTACGTTCTTAAAATTGGAGGGGGAAATGTGGTTGGGAAATTATTGAAAGCAAAGCATTAATGGTTTAACTGCATTCAGGATGTTCTTTCTTAACTGGGCCATCGGACCCTTCACTAAATCCGGATGAAGGTTCGGACGAACATGATTTTATTTCCGAGTCTGGAGAACTCTTTCCATGGACGAAACCCAGGTTACCCACAGACATCAAACCAACGCACTACACAATCTCCATCCACCCAAACTTGACCACTTTAGATGTTACAGGTTTGTACCACTTCGCTCTATGTCTTATAAGGAATGTCACAGCTAAACAAAATTTTACTTGGCTATTCTTCAGGATGGGTGGTGATACGTTTCGAGGTGTTGGTGGAGACGAGCCTGATTGTTCTGCACAGTCGGAACATCACCATCATCGACAAGTGGGTGAAGGAAGAGGTCGAGGACGGTCATCGTGTAGAACCTCTCAATATTTCTCAGTTGCTGGAGTATCGCCCATTTCAAATGGTATATAATATCCCATTTACGTGTAAAGGATATCAATGGACACAGTTGAATTTTATCTACAACTTAATATCTCACGCTTCCAGATTTCGTTGGAAATGAAGGACGAAAGTGCTCTTATCCCTGGAAAGAACTATTCACTAGGAATCCGTTTTCACACAAACATTAGCACGGAGCTGGAAGGATTCTACCTCAGTAGTTATGTAAATTCTCAGGGAGAAAGGAGGTCAGCGTCATATTAAAAAGAAAATTTGGCATAATTTTCATAAGAGATTATACTTTCACGTGCAGATATTTAGCAACCACTCATTTTGAACCAACTTACGCCCGGTCTGCCTTCCCCTGTTTTGATGAACCACAATTTAAAGCAGCCTTCAAAATGATCATTATTCGTAACCAATTTCACAAATCGTTGTTCAACATGCCCATCAAGAAGATTGAGACAGTTTACTACGGATATAACATGGAACTGGTGAGACGCCGAAAGTGATTTGATTTTGAGGTCTATTTGTTAATCAGAAATAATTGATTTTAATTAGTGGAGGGACGAGTTTGAAGAATCCGTCGAGATGAGCACTTATCTTGTCGCATTTGTCATCTGCGACTACGAGAGCATTAGTAACAAAACGAGCAAAAAAGTTGAAGTATCCATCCATACGCCACACGGTCTTCTTAATCAAGCACAATTTGCCCTTCAAACTGCCGTCCAACTCATGGACTATTACGACGAGTTTTTCAGCGTAGCTTATCCATTACCAAAACAAGGCGAGTATTTTCATAAGCGTCATTTTCTGTCTCGATTGTTAATAGATTTGTGTCCCGACAGATTTAATTGCCATTCCCGACTTTGGTGCGGGTGCGATGGAAAACTGGGGCTTAATCACGTACCGAGAAACTTCAATTTTATACGATAAAAATGAGAGCAGTTCGGCTGCTCATCAATGGGTAGCGGTTGTCGTGGCCCATGAATTAGCACATCAGGTACACATTATCATAAATCGTATATTATTCAAATATATGACATGATTGGACGAAATTAATATTTCAGTGGTTCGGAAACCTTGTGACGATGCGGTGGTGGAATGACCTTTGGTTGAATGAAGGGTTTGCCAGTTTTGTGGAGTACGTGGGAGTGGATCATATCCAGCCAGATTGGAAAATGATGGAACAATTTGTTTTGGAAAAGACGCAGACAGCTTTGGCACTCGACGCTCTTGCGAGCAGTCACCCCATCTCCGTGGATGTCCGTGATCCTCGGGAAATAGAAGCCATTTTCGACACGATATCATTCAACAAGGTGAGAATACTTTTTGAAGTATTTCTGAATCTATTACTGATGAATCTGTGTTGCATAAATACTTGACAAAAATAGGGAGCTGCGATCCTTTACATGCTCGAGTCTGTTCTTGGTCAGAGCAATATGCGTCATGGGTTGATGGACTATTTGAACGAGCATAAGTTCGACAATGCGGACACGGATGATTTATGGACAGCTTTGAGCAGCAGTGCAAACGATTCAATGAAGGTCAAGGTATGTAATTAAACCTATGAAATTATATCAATGCAGGTAGATGAACTTGAATTCCGTGTATCTCAAATATAATTAGACAATTATGGATACTTGGACCCTACAAATGGGATACCCTCTAATTCGCGTCCACATTGAGAATAATTCCATCCGGGCGTCACAAACTCGATTCTTGTTGAATGCATATGATAACGAAACAGAGCTAGAACACGTAGAAAATCAGTTTGGGTACAAGTGGTACATTCCACTCACCTATGTCACCGATCTTAAGCCCAGAAGCATGCAACTCGTCTGGATGAACAGGACGGACTGTGAGAAATTTGTTTAACATGTTCTACTAATTCAGTAATCTGAATCTCGGATGAACTTTAATTAATTTCAGACGAGTTCAACATGCCCTTCCGAGCAGAATGGATTAAATTCAATGTTAATCAAACTGGATTTTATCGAGTTCAGTATGAAGGACAATTGTGGGATTCCCTCGTCAAAGTATTGCTTACAAACCCATTCATTCTGAGTCCAACTGACAGGGCGAGTTTGATTGACGACGCTTTCACCCTTTGCAAGTATGTAGATTATTCATTTCCAGTTTTTATGGTGGCATAATTGACACGATTTCATTGAACCATGTGCATAGGGCTGGACTTGTTGATGCAAATATTCCATTAGAATTGTCCCAGTATTTGATCAAAGAGACAGAGTACGTTCCATGGGCCACAGCTCTAGAGCATTTCCGATCTTGGAGCAAAGTTTTGTACGAGAGAAAGGCACACCGACCTCTGATTCAATACGTACAAAAACTAACGGAACCAATTTACAAGAAGGTCGGATGGGCAGATTCTGGAACTCACCTATTCAAGTACTACTTATTTACACATTACAAAATTCTCTAGTGTTACTCTGATTTAAAAAGCTTCCACCTTACTAATAATTCCATACCTTTTCGATGTAGACTGTTGCGAGGTGAAGTTCTCTCCACAACAATTCATTGTGAAAACAAGGATGCGGAAAAGGAAGCAATGGCAAGATTTGACAACTGGATGAAAAAAGGGGTCCGAGTTCCGCCCAATTTGCGAGAAGTCGTATACTCTGCTGGGGTAAAATATGGGGGTGTAACTGGTTGGGACTATTGCTGGTCCAAGTATAACTCTTCTCGGGTTCCCAGCGAGAAGAAAATCTTACTCAAAGCAATGGGATCGGCTGCGGATCCATGGCTTTTACAACAGTACGTTCAAATGAGTCACTTACCTTTTATTTATTCCGGCAGATCAATTAGTGTATGCATTATACTGATCCTTTGAAATTAGATATCTAGAAGCATGTCTTGACCGAGAAGTCGTCCGACCCCAGGACGTTCGTACCGTCCTTGGCGTCGTTGCAGCCAATCCATCAGGAAGATTACTGGCTTGGCGACATCTCCGAGCACACTGGTTCACCTTCCAGAGCATGTTTGGCGAAGGGTCGTTTACAATGGGAAGTTTAATTACGGCAGTCGTGGGACATTTTTCAAATGAGTTTGATTACAGAGAGGTTGGTTTTTGCGTGATTTTTCCTCTTTAGAAGTATATACAAAAAACTGATTTATTTCAATAATGTACTTCGTCCTCTAAAGGTGACGGATTTCTTCAGCGACAAGGACGTCGGATCCGGCACTCGTGCTCTGAACCAGAGCTTGGAGACAATTAGACTCAACATGCATTGGATACAGAATAATGAAGACGACATTGAAAAGTGGCTTCAAGTCCATGTGCGTTAAGCTGCCAAACTAAATAAGTATTTATATGACGTGACAATGGTGTGAAAATTGATTTTGATTTGGGATGCTAATGATCGTTGTGAATGTGACCTGTGGCGATTCAGTGAGATGTATTGTATAATTGTGCTGTACCCTATACTCAAAAATTATTTTCTCGTCTACTGTTAAAATTCATATCCAAAAGGACATAGCTGCCCCTCTTTCAAAAATTCAAAATTATAAAACTATTTATAAACGGGCCAAATTCTCTGTGTGTAGAGACTCTAGACAAATCTAGACATGATAATCTAGTCCAAAATATATGTATCAAACGATAATAATGTTTCTGCAAGGTGGAAAGTATACCATAAAAACAACGAATTATACTCCTCTATATATTTCTTAACGCGATATCAAGTAATAACAAGTAAGTGTTTTAACTTCTGATGTACACCATTATTGTGGCATTTCCTCATTTTCACGTTTATTATTGCGTGGTCATATTGTTGTAAGAATAGTTTGTTTGAGGAGTTTACATCAAGCGAAAATATTATATCCTATTTAATAATACTCTGTGTTCTATTCATTTATTAAAACATAATTTTAAGTCCTCATTTTGCGGAGTAGAATGGTTTGGACGATTGCGATTGACCAAATTGTCTCGTTTCTTTCACAACACTATAATAATATAACAGAAACTATGGAGTCATTTCATTATAAGGGTTTACGACCACGTCATTATATAATTATATTATTCCTATGCTTATTATGCAGCTTTACTATCTACTTTACGGGTTTTTCTATACTTTTTCACATAGGCTTCTACCAGTTCTTTAATTTTGTTAGGGTTGATCTCTCCCGACTTATTGTGACATATCTAGTGGCAAACAAAAATATTGCATTTCAACAAACACCATCAACCATGTTCACTTTATAGTACAATAAAGTGATGTATTGCTTACTTTTGGCACAGCCTTTCGTAAAATATCTTTGTATTCCTCCTTGGTAATGTGTTTCTTAACATAGTGCGGCTTAAGTGATAATTTGACTTCTTCCACTACCCTTTCTTGTCGGTTTAATTTCTTGAGATACTGTAAACAAAAGCATAAACATTAATTAATTGCATAGTAAAATAGCAAATATAACATTCATATATTTACCTTTTCGTTAATTTTTAAAGCTACGGCAGAATTTGGAACTTCCTCGTTTAATCGAGAATTCATTTCCATTTCCCCATTTTTATCTGCTTCTGTGCGCTTGGATGCTGGAAATTACGAGGGGAACATGTACATACATTTTGAAAATTGCATAATAAAAGTACGTATATATGTATCATTCTTATGATTATAGTGTGACTTACATCTTTTATGCTTCGATCGCTTATTATCACGGGGAACTTTTTTCATCTTTCCTCCATGCAATTTAGAAGACACTGTGATAGACGACTTTTGGCCTCCAGAAGGAGTGAATAATGTGTCAAACAATGACCGCTTGTCCATCCCTCCATCGTATTTTGCGGAATTGCCAGCGTTTCCCCCAATATTGCCAGACGACCGATGAGATTGATCCGGGTTCTTTTTGTTATTTGACATGCCTTGGTCCTTGCCATGATTTCCTTCCCCTTGGCTTGGGGGCTCAAACAAATCGTCCCCATCACTGCTATTTGGCGAGAAAGGAGAGTCACCCTCCCCACCCATCCCGTTGTTTGGACGACCATGTTTCACCGAGGAAAGGTTTATACTATTGTTGTTGGATTGATTGTGTCTCGAAGAACCAGAGTTGATGTTGGGCCCTGCATTGGGCTGTTTGGCAGCCAACAGGGGGGCGTACAAGGCACTGGCAACACTCACCAAGTTGTTGATCAGACTTGTGGGGGTAGAGTTGGGGACAATTTTGGGAGGTGCAGGGATAATGACGGATGGCGTGGAGATCAAGCCTGAGGATGAAAATCCTGACGGAAACAGTCCAGGGATGTTGCCAATCATAGGTTTTATAGTAGCAGACGTGGAGGAAGACGGGGTGGAGGAAGGTTGTCGAAGGGGTGTGGAAGAGGATAGGATTTCTGGAGAGGGAGATTTATTAGCCGCCGCCGCTTTCTCGAGTCTCTCGGTATCATTTGCAAGAGTGACAGAACGGAAACTTTGAAAAGGAGAGTTCCGAGATGCTGACTTTTGAGATAGGGAAGAAGATTCCGGAAGTTCGCTAGTTCCTTTATTACTTTTAGGGCTGCTAGGCTCCACGACAGGACTTATAGATTTGGATTCAGTGGAAGAAACAAAGAACTCGCCGAATTTATACGGACTTCTGGAAGCACTTGCACTTGCGGTAGCCTTGTCAGAAGGCGACTCTGATGATTTTTTGGGAGTGGATACTGAAAACAAGGACACACTGCTGCTGTGAGTATTATTATCCACCGAATTTTCATGACTAGAAGAAACAAAATCGAGTCGGTCCACACAGTTTATAGTTTCAGAATCCGATTCGAGTCGATCTTGACCATTCTTCTTGTCTTCCTGAGACTTTTTACTAGACTGGTCGCGATCAGACTTATTTTCTTCTGATTTTGAACCATCTGGAGATTTCAAGTCCTTCTCTCCTCGACTCGGAGAGGCGTCTAAATTAATTAATATGGTCCCTTTTCTTGGTGTTGCTTTATAGTTTGCAATTGGTGCTTCTATCTCGTCGCAGGTATCTGTGTTATTAGTATTATTGCTGCCACTACTACCACCACCACGTGTTTCAGTTTCACTAGAACGATTATTATTATTAGCATTATTAGTATTACTGTGAGCTACAGAAGAAGTTGAAGAGGATGATTTTGAGGATTTTGGTGGCTCTTCTTTTGCTTTCTGGAAGCTGAGACTTACAACAATACTGTCACCGTCCGCCACTATTGCTTTCACTGGAGAAATGGATTTTTCTCGTCTTTTTCTCTTTTTCTTCTTCTCTTTATCCGTCACCTCTTCTGTGACAACTTTGTCTTTCTTCACTTTCTTTTTAGTCTCCTCCACAGGAGGTGGGTCTGACTTTGAAAGTTTCCTACTGCCATGGGAGGTCGCTGGTGGAGAAAGTTTTGCGGAAGATTTGTCATGCTTGTTACCTTCCACGCTGCGATTTCTTTTGCGGGGTCTGGGACTTTCCGCTGGCCGGACCGAGCTCACGCTGATTGACCGATTACGATGACGTTTCGTGGGAGAAGGAGAATGGCGATGTTTAGGTCTCCTCTTCGAAAGCGACCTAAAAAAAACATTGATGAAATTTTTAAAATTCTATGGTGGTACTACTTAAAGGTATAAGATTGATAAGCACAAAATTAGGTAGAATAAAATCTTACCTGGAACGTGAGTGAGAAGGTGACGAGTGATTAGAACCATTACTTCGACTGCGATAGGAGCCATCCCTTCTAGTACGTTTGGGCCGTCGTGATCTATTATTGATTCGTCTGGATATAGGACTTCTCGACCCACTTTTACTTCTGGATCGATGTCTTGAATTAGAAATGGAGCTTCGCCGACGAGATGATTTCGATTTCATTGAAGATGAATGAAACGAGGATGAATATCTGTTCAGAGATCGGCTTCTGCTCCTCCTTCGCGATGGCTCATCTCGCTTTAAGGTACGGTCTCCTCGGTCAGCGTCAGCTTTCTCTTCAGATTCTCGTTTTCCGTTTCTGAAAGAAGGGACAAATAAAATATTCAGGTCAATTAAACAAACAAAAATCATAAAATTGCACAAGCAAATTCAACATTTTGTGGATAAGGTGACCTATAATTTCTGGTCTTGTTAGTGAGCTTTGGTTTCCTCCAAGAGACTTCTTTGTTATCACTTTCAGAGAAGGATTTTCTATCCGAATCCTCTGCCGATCTGTCCGAATTCATTTTAGAAGAACTGACTCTCGAGTCTTTGGAGCGCTTTCTCTTTTTAGATTTTTTCTTCTTCTTTTCTCTTTTCCTTCTCTTATCGAGCTCCACTATCTCTCCTTCCTCAAACCCATTACAGGGAGACGGAGACGTTGACTTTTTTGGCCGATGATTCCTTCTCGCGAGTCGTCCCTGCCGCAAATCTGCCAAATTAGCTCTTCCAATTCCAACAAAGGTAACTTCAAAGTCGTCATCCGAATCTGACACGCATTCCAGAATGATCTCCTTGTTCTCCTTTCCCAAGGAATCTTCCAGGCATTCAGTGAGATGTTGTTCTTCTTCTTCGGGTTCTTCGGGTTGAATAACCTCGGGTGAACTACTCTCATTTCCGGGAGCTTCCAACAGCTCCGAGACTGGTTTAATTGTTATCATGTTCTCATCCTCGTTCCATGGCGGTGTCACTGCGTTTCTGATGTCGTCATCGTCGTTCGATGATGGGGCCGTGGATTTAGGGATGTTCACATTTAGCGGATTTTCCACCGTTTCTGCTACAGTTTTCCATTTATTCTCCTCCAGAGTTATCTCAGAACAAGTAGCAGGAGGAGGAACAATGATCATGGTGTCTTCGTGACCAAACTTATTGACGGCATCTCTTTCTGACGTTACGTCAGCAGGGTTGCTAGTCTCGTCTTCTTGCGGACCATCCTCATCATCAGAGCCAAATATTTCATGAACGAGTGACACCTTAGGTTGATCATCATCATTTGGATCGTTAGCATCACCGCTAGAGTCATGACCGTCTCCTTTGTGGAATGCTTTTGACACTTCAGAATTATAATTGAGGCCTCCCCCACTCTTGTCCTGTTTTCTCATAACCCCCTTTTGTCTCTTAATCAGGGTGCTGGTGCTGATGGACATGAGTCGGTGTCTCGTGGGTATTGAAAATTGGATCGTGGGGCGCCGATACTCATCACTTGGCATGGGTATGGAGCTTAGGTCAATATCAGGCTCATTATTAGTCCCACTATTACGGGAAGAAGAGGAGGGAGGAGGAGGAAGGGGCTGCGCTGTTGGTAGTCGGGATGGAAGGGGATGACGATTATCCACATCTTTAGTAGCAGCCAAAGGTGTTGGTAGTTGTGGTGGATGCCGCGTGTTAATATTAATACTCTTTTCAAAGTTGAGGCTCCTCTGGGGGACAGAGTCCTCCTCATCGCTAGAATCTAGCGGTTGGGATGGGTCATATTCTTCCGCCGTCGTCACCGCCGCCGCCGCCGCGGCTGAATTATTGCCTCCTCCTATGCCATCACAACCGGTGGGGGTTCCCTTATTTTTTCCAGGAGTGGAGGACGACCTCCCTCCCCCAATTTGGAAGGTGAAGTCCATAGTAATTTCGATATGATGATGATGACGATGCACTCACTCACTCAACAGGAGTCACTTTTATCACAAAAACTTGTTGCAGAACGCTATGTCGATTTATCTTGTATTGTTTCTTCCCTGGGTCCACATCATTTCACCAGAAGTAGGGAGCCGACCAGCTTCCTCGGAGTCAAATTGAATTTATGGTGCAGGAAAGTCCATGATGGTAAGTTACCAAATGGCAGATGCCGATCAACACCACCAAACTGTTCTCTAACAACTCTGTCAGATTGTTACCATAGGTAAGTAAACGAAGTATTTGGATTTTACTAGTAATCAATCTAGTAATAGTTGTAGTGATGATGATGGTACTATTATTGTGAGCTGTAGTTGAGTTCTCTCACCTGAAAAGACCTTCTTACTATTACACTTTTGTGTGTTTAAAAGTACTCGTTACAGCGTTGGTGTATAGATCGTAGAGTCGTCGTCCAAAGCTGTGAGTAGGATGATGTCTCTCCTTTTTTTCAACCAAAAGTTGCTCATATACACTCCCTCTGGTGTAAATACCCATGTTTAGCATCCCATTTGTTTCTCCGGCGTATTTTGGATATTACCCTTCATCCACTTCACACTTCGGTTATCAAAGTCGGAGATGATTTTCTTTTCAAAATGTTAACTCCTAATTTGCAGTTCTCCTTTGAAATGCTGCTGGAAATGGCTAGCTGTTGAAGAATAAACGACGGTATGTTGATTGATGATAGTTCTCATCCTCACTTCAATGGTGATGATGACATCAGTAAGGAATTGCTGATCTAATGAAATTTGACACTCCTGTATGATAAGTAACACAATACAATACTTTTCTGAAATAAAAAATGCATTGGCATTAATCAGACAATCAAGTTGAGATTAACATGTACAATTCGCATACCAGGCACCTTAACAATTCCCCCATAATTCCAGAAAATGTAGTTCTTGAAGCAAAACTGAAGATGATAACTTGACACGATTATCTCACCATTCCATTTAGTTGGTGCCATTAACTACAAAGATAAAAAAATATTTTATGTTCTTTTTTAAAACCAATTTATAAAACCTTTTCTTGTGCAGGCCCCTAAATTCAAGGCTCTTCTAATCTTAACATTTTTTTAACCGACAACAACCCACGCATACTTCCGATTAATCAAGCTATCCGTATAATTCATATTTACAGAAATTTACTTGACCCTTTTGCATATACCAATAATACCGGCGAGGACTTTATCACATTCCTGGCAACGTTTCGGAAATGTGAAATGTTTACGTTTTACATATTTCTTGTCATTTCAAGGGTTTTAGTCCACTATGGAGAATATTTAGTACCGATTACAATAGTTATTTTGTAATTTGCAATTACAAGGAATGAATGAATAAAATAACGTTTGATGATTTCATACAATTCTATGTAAACAGCAGTGGTCGGACGAACGCAACCACCAAGATGTTCGCGTGAAGTTGCCTCTGTCAGAGGGGAAAGTTGGTTAGTTGGTTTCTTCACAAAATTCCTACTCACTTCACTCACCATAATATTAGCATCATCCATTAGCATAACATTAATCTGTAACTGCACAATAATAATATTCATCCTTTGGGGATAACACCTTATCTGTCCCGTGTTGACTACTTTACGGGTTAGAACCAAATTGGAAAGGGAACACGACAGACGTTTTTCACTCGCAGTCGCATGTGCAGTCAGCACACAAAAAGAGAACATACGAAATTTTGAAAGAACAGAACTGAATAGAAATTAGAAATTAATATTTTTGCCACATTATATAAATATTAAATATATATAGTTTTTCAACTTGCATCGTAGTGAATGCAATTATAAAAAAAATATCGTCATAATTTACAAAATTTTAATTAGTTATTTAAGACTCAACTTTGGCAGGAATGAAGTAGGTTGGGAATTAGGTTACGGGTTTGTACATTTGTAAAATTAACCTTGTGGTGCATATATTCTGTTTTTATCTCGTAGTTTTAGTTGAGACCAATTGTGCATTTATTTGGTCGGGTAAACTTCTAATCCGAATATAGTCTGTGATAAGTTGCAGTAGTTTATTTAGTTAAACTGCAGCTACGTTTAGTAATTGAAACGAAAAGATCAATATAAGATAGGAGTCAGGGTCATCGTCATGTCTGGGAGTGTGGGTTCGTATAGGGACTTGATGTCCATTGCTGCAGCCAATTCTCAAAGCAAGCAGAGAGAGGTAATGATCACTACAATTTTTTCTTACGTAATTATTATCATGTTCTTGAATAGTGAATATTTACAAATCATGATTCATAATCCTTTAGTTGGAACAGCGTAAAGCTCAGCTTAACAAGGAGAAAAAGATGGATCCGAAGCAAGCCAAATTGAAAGTCGGGGTTCAAAAGTTTTTAGCCAAGAAGGAGGAGGAGGAGCGTCGCAAGAAGCAGGAGGCCGATATCAAAAAGAAAGCACTGATAGAGCTAAGAAATCAAGATCGCAAAGCGACGAATCGTGTCAAGAGAATGATTAACATGACCAAATCGGCGGATAAAGGGGTCCTCGCTGAGGCTAAAGATTGTCTAAGTCAGGCCTGTAATGAACAAGGTACATAAGTTAGCTGTTGACTTGAAAATTTGAACTTCTTTGATTGGGGTGGTTATTTTTTATCATTTAAAAAACTAATTTTATTTGTGTCTCAGCCGGAGAAACCCAACCCGATGAGGACGACTACGGCTATACTTCCACATACGCGAACGAAATGTATAAAAAGATGATGGAGAAATACCAAAGCGATGCGAAGAAGGCCCCTCCTAGCTATAGTAAATTTGAAAAAGTTCAGCAAGTGAAGAAGCCATCGTCGTCAGGGAAGGAGTCTAAATTAAATGGCAGTCATATTCCAACTGATCTCGAAAATAGTTCGGCAAAGGGAAAAGCTAAATCAAAGAAAGCTGCAGCTCCGCCCCCTCCCACATTTGAAGATTTAATGCGCCTGGCGAAAGAAAAGTCAAAAGAACCTGTTGTTCTCAAGAAGCTAGCTAAGGACCCAGTGGATGGGTTTGAATTTGGGCGTCCCATGACATCTCGACAGAAAAAAGCATATCTTGAAGAAGAAAAGCTGAAACATCGGGTACAGGAAATATTTGCAGGGAACGGTATTGGTCTCCCAAAAGATACCTCAGCCAAGAGTGTGCCTGTGAAAGGGGTAGAGGCATCGTCGTCGTCGTCGTCTACAAAAATGAAGGCCATTCCTAAATTTACGAAAGTTACAGCAGAAAAACCTTCCAAAAGTCAAGAATCTACCCCTATCGTTGCCGATAGTTCAAAACGTGAAATTAATAATAATAATAAGTCGTCTTCTCAGCAATCATCTCCACCCTCATACTCTAACTCGGGTGTAAAAAATACCAAGGATAAACCGCCTTTAGAACGTAACAAGCGTAAACCTAATACTTTAAGCTCAACCATTACCTCTCAGCCTTCTGGTCAATCAGACGGTTTTAAGAAACCCTCATTACCATCATCGACGTCATCCTTTTCAAAAGAAAACGGCCCAAGTTCTTACTCCTCATCTAATAAAACTGCCAAACCAAACGGATATTCCAGCAAAAGTAATGCCTCTTCTCCCCTACTCGCGAAGAAACATTCAGATTTCTCGAATAATTCCAAACAGCGATATGCTGAGGAGGAAGTTCGTCACAAGCCTCCTCCCAACGGCAAAATGCTTCCTCCTTCCAACACATCATTCTCTAAAAGACCACCAGACAGGGTTCCTCCTAGATCTCGACCTCCTGTGGATATGGACAGGTCAGCACCCCGCTATCGTCAAGAAATGCCACCTTCTCAGAAAAAAGATAAACCACATCGAGGTAGATAACAAGAAATTTAATTTAATTGTGTATTTAATTTCACTGATCATTTTGTAATTTTATTAATGGGTACGTGTTTTAATGTTTCGCAGGAAGGCAGGTCATTGATAGTGACGACGAGGAGGAGGATTATGATTCCGAGATGGATGATTTCATCGATGATTCTGACGTTCCAGCCGAAGATATTAGCAGCATGATTGGGCAAATGTTTGGCTACAATAAGAGAAAGTATGTAAATGAAGAAAGTGATGATGAATGCATGGAGTCCAGTGTGGAGCAACAGATGCGTGAAGAAGCACGTACTTTAAGATTAGGTAAGATAATTGGAGATGTCAACAATTATTACTTGGTATCGTAATTGATCCTTCAATAGATAATTCATACTTAATCGATTTTTACAGGGGTTCTCGAAGATTTGGAGGATATGAGGATGGAAGAAGAAGAAAAGAAGAGAAAAGCTGCGTTTTTGAAAAAGAGAAAACTAAAGTAAAAATTTAATTTTGCACATGTGTCCTTGTCAATCGCAATAATACAATTATGACAAATCGCTCGTCGCATAATATGTAACGCTCTCAATATTCATACGAGTAGAATAAAAAAATTAATATATACAACCAAACCACAGGAGTGACGTATTTATATAATTTATTATTATGTATTATGCGTTTGATTTCACAGACTTTTAAAGCTCATCTCATCTCATAAAGTTAAGTTGTCGGTGGTATTATTAAATTATTAAAAAACTAGAAGAGCAAACTATTAAATTAGATACTTTTTCCACTACAACAAAAAAGGAATGTCGGAATAATACTAGTGGTTCAATTTCAGTTGTAAGTCTTATATATCGATCCTCATATAAGTAGCTTTGCATGAGAGCATAACAAACATATAGCTTTCACTACTCTTTGTTACTAATTTCACATTCATTTGATTCATTGTCAGAGTGCGGAGAAAGTTACCAAAAAATGTCCTACAAAAATTAAAGTCAATATAATTTCAGTTCATATTTTCAACCAGTGTATGGATATTGTATATTTTTTAAGTATAAACAACACTAGAATCGGTTTTCTATATCAATGAAAAAAACTATAAAATCCACAAGTACGTTTTGCACCATTTAATGTTCGATAAATTTTCGCGTTTGATTGACGCTGTTGCATAATCACATATTGGCATTTCGTTAAGCTTCACTCGTTGTTTATGCAGTATGTAGTTACGACGTTTCGAGAAATATCTACAAACAAATAAGGTCACATTAGTGTGGTCATAGCAGAGGCACACAAATTTGTAGTACCAACCTCGCTGAGAATCACCCAAAAGTCACTTGAGTTTTGTAAAGTAATTCGGACGGCGGAGATCGGACACATTTCAGGCTCTATCTGACCATCCAACACTCCAAACTCATCAAAGTCACCTGCACAAAATAGTTCCAAAGTTTATTAAATAGGTCAAACCTCTCGAATCAATTATCTTTCAAAAAAATTACCCAAAGTAATAAATCCGTCCTCTGACTTGACATAATTTTTTTGTTCGTGTGCAGCAGTGGAGACTGTTCGAACTTCAAACGTTGCATTGTGTAACTTATCCGAGGGATGCTCTGCATTTCCACTCACAAACCTATAACTATTGTTACACGAGAGAAAGCATATGAATATGTGGCTTAAGGCGGAATAGCATGCTGGCTGATGCGGGGTTTTTTGTTTGAATTGTTGTGTCTCAACTTTCCCTTCCTCCATGTATTCAAATGGCGATTTTGAAAAATTTTTTCTTCAACAAGAAGATAAATATAAAATAGATGAAAAATAATCAATAAAATTTAAATATTTCCTCATTGAAGAAAAAAATCAAAATTTTTATCTCCTAACTATGTAAGCCTAAAAATTACCGATTTTTAGGTGCATTAATATCTTCATATTGTTAAAAACGAAAGGCGGTGAACATTTTTCAAAATCGCCATTTGAATACATAGAGGAAGGGAAAGTTGAGACACAACAATTCAAACAAAAAACACGTGATACAATGCCACGTTAAAATAGTAATGATAACATTTTTGCGAATGTATGTAAATGATCATGAAAATTAATGTACATCGGCATTTCTTACCTTTTCAGACAAAGTGGTGACGGAAAAATAAATTTGATCGTGTCACCAGCTTGAGGTGCCAATCCCCAGAAAAAATTCATTCCTTTGTACGCTTTCTCTAAAGAAAATCTCCCGTAATGCTTAATACTAGTTTCTACTCGAGCCGTTGGATTTGCATGTCTCGTGAAAAGTTCCAACTTTCCAAATTGACGATCCTATTTCGAGAATGTTTCATTGAGAACATGTGCATTTAAATCTATAGGTTTGTAAATACGTAAATACCAACCTTTAATTTCTGTACTTTTCCATTAAGAGAAGAGATCATTCCAATGTGTTGGAACAAAGAAGGCTTGAAATGGATCCAATGTCGTTCTAGTTCTCGAAGGCAACGTTTCTGCATTTTATTAAAAATTTATCATATTGTCATCAACTAATAGGCTGGCTCAATAAAGTTAAAAGTTAATATTTCCTTACGTGATTATAGTCAAGTTTGCAGTACTTTACGCTGAAAAAGTGCGACAAAAGCCAATCTCCAGGCTTATCTTTGAAGAACAAAAGTATAAATTCAACTAATTTCCACAGGTCGGAACCTCTAAACAGCTTTCCTACAAGATGGGCAATAAAAGCAATGAATGAACAAAGAAAATACTACGTGCACCTCATTTGTGCGCCGTGTTGATTGTTGACATTAACATTATTTATATTTTGATCAATTATACGTTTAATGAATGAATAATATTTTTTAAACAACGATGAATGAATAATTGTTTAATTTACCAATGAATCCAAGTTGGCAAAAATCGAGCATGAACCAGTCACTCGTTTTCACCGTAGTCTTGAGGGCAAAATCTTTCATTGTGGTGATAAATCCACGCCGACTGAGAACATCATCTTCCAGCTGAACATTTACCAAAATGATGTACATAACATTTAATTGAACACAATACTTCGTAGAAAATAAAGCAATTCAGTGTTACCTGAACATAATACTTTCCTCGGTTTTTAGCATACATCATTAAATACGCGTCTACAAAATGGAAATTCGTTAATTCCAACGTCATAAAAGTGATTAAGAAAATTTAGTAAAAATATTACAGTCCAAGTTCTGCTTGGTACGCCAACGCGTCCTCTCATCCGAATCCCCCAAGGTACTTTTGATTGACTTAAGATCAGGATAAAAACTAGCAGAGGGTGCAATTATTTCTACGAGACCAGAATCCACATCATCTTTGAATCTGTTGGAGTATGAAATTATTAAGGTATGTATGTACCATGAAAACCTTATACGCATATGCACATATTCCTGCTTACTGTCGTATTATGGAGTTGACCGTGCTCTCAACGAAGGAAACATCAAACTCGGCAATAAAAATTATAATTAAGGTATCGTTTTTCTCTTCAGGGCTCATTGAGCTCAACAAATTTTGAAGAGTTGGTAACAGGTAGGACTGGGTGGGTCGTTTCACGGTAGGAATACCAAGCACCACGGACACTAAACATTATAAAATCCAATATCGGCTTATTGATTACACGATTTACAATTTATTTTACCATTAACTAAACTAACTGACCTCCTTCCCTGTCCTTTCCCAAGGTCAAGGCTGGAATGAGTGCCTCTTCGTAATCCATAAGGTGTGGAAGTGGATCGTAAATATTGTGCGTTTTGATTCGTCGCATATTGAAAATTTTAGCCAGTCCTTGACTCTGACTGGACGCAGATGGACCATGTTGGTCACCACCGGTTTCCTTTAACATAAAAATCTCCTTCTTAACTGAAGACAAAATGGATTCATACTGCTGGATGTCCGTTTCTAGTGACACCAAGTGCCGAAGAAGTTTCGTCTCGGCGTCTTCTTCTGAAAAAATTCAATAAGGTTTTTTTTTCAATTTCCAACTTTGACTTTGAAGGGCACACTACTTGACGTTTTTGCATACATACCTTCACTAGCTGGCCAGAATAGGTGAATGAAGAGGGCGGATAAAAGTATCACTGCAAGGATACCAAGTCGAACGTTGAATTGCATTCTGTGCTGAGAGGTGCATAGGGTAAGTCAAAGATTTTCTACTCCTATTGACCGTAACGGTGATTTTCTTCAACAAACTTAAAATCTGGATGATAATACATGGACAAAAAACAGTCGTTGTCCAGCAGTCTTTTGACGTGTTGACGTCCTTGTCCCTTGATATCCTTCTCAACATACTGTCGGCGTAGGAGTAGCGCCGTGAAGTGAATTGTGCATGATTATGACCATCGGCAGTCTACTATTATTAACACATCTGCAATCAATCAATGAAACAAAATCCGATACATGAGTCAAATTGTCGCATTGCATATTTATTTAGCAAACTTCAAAATAATATTTCTTATCAAGAACAAAGTGCGAGTCATTAAGAGCTCATTCAGTTAAACTGTCATCGTAGAGTTGGTTCTATACACACATTTGTACATACAGCGAATCTTTCCTATCTAAATTGCCCCACTTTAGTTGTACTTACACATATCATCAGAATTAGATTATTATTGCTTTTGTGTAATTCCACCCCTTTCATGTCTTTTATCTACTCGGAGTGAAAGCTTATAAATCGTTCAAATAAGGAACTCACTCGTAACGAGAATCAATTATTCCATCAACCCAATCAATTATTCAATTACCTCAGAATACGTGTACATATCCGACTAAAATGAAAGTGTTTGTCCAATGTTCCCAAGTAAAATACTTTTGCGGTGCGTAGTGAAATAATAATAATAATTTCGATCGGAAGGAAAATTGAGAAGACGGATGTTACTATGTGCAAGACTTTATATTCTTTAAGCAATGGTCTAAAATGATGACCACTCGATCGTTACTGACCAGACCACAAACTAAATTAACACGAAGACACTCGGAATAACAGATTATCACTTTTTGGCCGTGCATGTGACCATTAAATTTATTAGGTGAGGTATGTTCTTATCCAATCTCGAGTTTTCACCACCACCATCTCCACCACATATTCCGGTCAGGTTGTTAAGTGTTAATAAATCTCTTTCTGGTCTCGTCGATAATGAATGAACACTGCAAATCCCTCGTAGTTACACCTAGAAATAAGTACCATTATTACACGTATATGTAGCTCGCTTATCTCTCTGGTATTAAAATTATAGCATGCACATCTGCTTCAAGGAGTACAGATTTGCAACTTATTATACAACTCCTACTTCTACCCTCTTGCTTACTTAGCTCTTACGATGAGGATTCATTGCTCCGTATTTCGTATAGACAAATCGTGACGGGATATTAAGACGAAGGAAGTGAAATGAAAGGAGTTTCTGAGAGATTTCTTCTCATAAACAACTTTTCCTTAGAAGAGGATGTAATAAAAAATATTCAATGAATGAACTAATAACACGATGAAACTTATTATAATGAATCATGCAATTCTTAACTGACTGAGAAAGATATGCATTGACGAATCGTCTAAAATAGAAGCAGTTGAGTGTTAACTAATAGAAATCATGAGCACAAGAAGCAGCCAAAAGTACACACGAAATCTGTATCTCTTACTTTTTCATGTGAAGTTGTTGGAGTCTTGAGATGAGATGAGTTTGACAATTGATGATTAACTGATGGAATGTCGCCCGAAATATTTCTTCGACGTGGGTTTAATACAGAAGTGATTTTGTTATTTGGGAATGAATGTTGGCAGACGGAGATAAGAGAATATAACGACAATGTTGTGCTTATGTACATAATATGCATGTACGTATTGTGTTGCGTGCAGTAAAATAATAATGTGGGAACGGTGGGTTAGATAATGGAGGTCAGATTTTGTGGTCATACTTATTAGTTATTTTATAGCTCTTGCTTTATAATTATTACAGCTGTAGCAGCAAGGAGTAAGTATTAACAAGGGAACCTTAAGTACTGTCACATCTCGATTTCCTTTCGGATGGTCTTAATAGATAGATAATTTAGTGTAACTAAAACTTTGTCATAGAACATGGGGTGTAAAATTACGTTTTTGCGAGATATTTGGAGAAAGTTACACTAAAACGTGTAATTTTTCCAATGCTTTCACCATATATAACAGCTTTCGGAATTATGAAATGAAGAGTATAAATTATAGACCTGTCCGTAATTTCATGCTGATCACCAATATGCAAAAAACGATTCAAACATTTGCCAATTTTTTCAAATTGTGAAAATCTGCAAAATTTTCTAAATTTGAATTTCGACGTTTTTTTGAAATTTCCACAAAATTTAAACGTCTTTTATTTAAGCATTGAAAGAAAGTTTTCAAAAAATAAATTGTTCTGTTATTGCAACAAAATTTGCGAAAATTTTCAAACATTGAAACTCACAATGAAAAAAGATATAATGTCAATGTGTCAATGATAATCTACTTACATATATATGTTACATATTTTTCAAAATTGTTGGCTATATTTATGTTTGCAAGTTGCAAAAAAATTGGAAATTTGTATCGCCAGCCTTTAACATATTCAGCTAAATAACTTTTCCATACCTAGTTCAAGTTCGAGATTTTAATCTTTTTGGAAAATGGAAAAAAATTCATTTTGGAGGGACCCTATGGGGTCCCTCCATAATTATGGAATACACCAATAGGCCTATATATGCTATATATATATAGGACGTCCTATATGGTGAAAGCATTGGAAAAATTACACGTTTTGGTGCAACTTTCTCCAAATTTTTCCCAAAAGCGTGATTTTACACCCCATGTTCTATGACAAAGTTTTCGTTACACTAAATTACCTATCTATTAAGACCATCCGAAAGGAAATCGAGATGTGACAGTACTTAAGGTTCCCTTGTAAGTATCACGTTTTTGAGTCCGTATTTGTGCATGTGGTTTTATTCTGGACACAGTTTTAATACCTACAAGTTTGTCCTATGCATTTAACTTATGCAGAGTAGTAGTATTTAGTTATAAGTAGGAGGACGAGGACAGGGCACGTTTATAAATTATAAATAATGTATCCGCAGGTTGTGTGCAGCATATATGCAGAAAACTGTGCGAATTTTATGTTTTACGACTCGAAGCTAATTAATTCATTTGATGACTATGTATAGATGTATGTGTATATTGTGGCATAATGAATTGGGACATGCGACGTCCTTGTCGTCCTGGAATATATGAAGTGCATGAAATTAGCTAACAAGTAGTATTTTTGCAAATCTAAATTGGGAACTTTTGACATTAAATTATTATTTTTTATGCTTAATTTTTCGGATGACTGAGTTTACATACTTAATTTCAAGGCAATAAATAATTACTGAGTTGACATAATATAAAACAAAATGGTCTACATTCTACGGATTTAATATAACATATGTATATACATTTTATGCATGCATGCAAGTCTGAAAGGATTTCATTGTCATTCACAATAAATACCGGGTTCCATTCATCCACGCATTTCAGGTCCGTCCTGCTAAAAGATAAAATTCACATTCTTTCCATGTTCAATGACACGAAACGTTTCTGATTTCTATGAATATTCTATTTCATTCTTCTAGATTATAGGTTGACGATAGTGCTGACGTTGAATTGGAGAATGCTGATTTAAATTTGACACAAAATATAATATTACTAATGCATTTTATATATTTCTGTCAATAAATGAATGTTATCATGAGTAGAGCAATACACTAATACAATTTCCAATTTATCGAATGATTCTCTCTCATTATTTGAACATGTCTATGACAATTTGTCTCATTATGACTCAAGCATAGACAGCTGAAGAACAACAAATTCTTAAGTGCTAACCGATAAATTGTAAGGGCTAGACTTTTATGTTGTTTTATTCGCAGGATGTTAGTCACTACCCGACGAAGATAACCATGAAAATATTATGTAATGTCTCTTTAGCACTAAGTTACATTATTAGTGACAATTTATTACGCACTTCTAAAATTCCAATACCGTCATTTATAGGAGTCAAATGTATATTAGGGTGTATAAATTTCAGTCCCACATCTCCAATTTTACCATTTACATATCCCACCAGAACGCACATTAACAAGTTACATAAAAGACTCAGACGATTGTCTTTATAAGAACGGGAGATTGGAAGTAGTAATAAAATGATCATAAAAAAGCCTATCTGCTATCCAGTTGCATTCGAGGGTACAAAAGAATTATGAAGCGAGAACTGTGTAACTCATCCGGAATCTTCAGTAATGATCTGCTGCTGACATAGGAGACAAGGTCATGACGATATAAGTTTTACGATTTATCTATTATCACCCTGCTTATTCCTCCCTCGTCATTCTGGATGGAAAGAAACCCATGCAATTTGGCTAATTCACCATCAGCTAAGGATAAGCTTGAGTGAAATTTGCACTGTGCAAAAATTATCAATTCATTCATTCTAACCGAACATAACCAGTCTCATTCAGGTATAATTCATTCATTCACATCCATGTTCTAAATAGATCCATGTGAGACGTGTTATTAGATAAAAAAAAACTCGTTCATATCTCATCTCATCTTCACCTCAGCAAAACAACAACTGCAGCCGATTATGAAGAATTTGGCTCAAAAGTTGCCTTATTATTCTCATCCTCATTCTTTCTAGTCAAAGTCGTAGTTTGTTTGGAGAAAGCAATTGTGTGTGACTCCCACGCACACGATTGTACTAAACACTTGCCTTATTAAGTAATAATAATCAACATTTGAGATAACGTTGGTGTTATCTGAATAGTGTGAATTTCGTGACATTATTATTCTTCCCAGTGAAAAATTGAATGACTCAGAGACCACTTTTTGTTGGACTAGTCCAACATTTGGACATATATTAACACCCACACGTACACACATTGGTTTTTAACAAACCAATGTGCATCGTAGGATTATAATACCACTTTCACTACTGTTCGCATATTATTAACTCGCTCAGGTATGTATGCGCAAATAAATTGCAAAAAGCTAAAACTGCCCTCGTAACGTAGTATCGATTTGTTCAGTTCAATATTCATCGTCATGTCAGTACGTCAGATTTATTAAGCGATTCGTCAATAATTTTCCAGACAGAATTATTTACAATTACTGAGCAAAACTGTGCTGCTAAAATTACTCACTCACTACGGGCACTACTACTGTATTTTTATTTACCTATTAAAGCAATGAAATAATTACCACTCAGCGTGTAGTGACAATAATAATAGCCAATTGTAAAAATGCTTTAATTTTGGAGTCTCACTACTTTCTAGCTGCATAGATAGAAATTTACGGCAACAAAAATTTCTCGATTTAGAGTAAATATTTTAATTTAGACCATTCTTTCTGAGAAACTTAAATATATTTGTCATTACGCACGAAACTACTTTCTCCTGGAGATTGATCTTACATAATTCTATTGTTCTCGCATTGTAGGTTTCGCATTTACGCCAACAAAGGAGTAGTTGGTTCAACTTGATCTCTTTTCCTGGCTGTGATTGAATAACCATGGATTCTGCGGGAGGAGGTGGGGACGAGAGGAGTGGTGCCTTCGAGGGGGACGATGCCTCCGGTGGTGGTCAGCAGCAACAGCAAACTCGGTCCTTCAGCTTCAAAGTCGTCCTGCTCGGCGAGGGCTGCGTCGGCAAAACTTCCCTCGTCCTCAGATACGTTGAAGACAAATTCAACGAGAGGCACATTTCCACTGTTCAGGTGAATTGAAGCACACCACGTGACCAATGCTTATCTTAGGAGGACATTGTCTTGTGTACTATCAACTCACGGATCTCGATGCCTTTTGGATATGTTATAGTGTCCCATGGATGAACAAGAACCCCCAAGTGGTTTGATGCCATGGCCACATTTGGGCCCGCTACACCCACTCAAAGGTGCCCAAAAACCGCTTTCACTCCAGCTTTCACTCACTCAAATCCACGCCAAAAATCCAATTTTAGTCGGATTTTGAAATTTCTTTCGCCACAGTTGTTTTATTATATCCAATATCAAATTCAACTTTTTTGGTGATTATTACGCAGGTATAATTCGCGTTGTTTATTACTACAACGATGCTCATTCAGAATTTTAAATCTTACAAATACTAAAAATTTCAAAGTTTAGTTTGGTGTTGGATATAAGAAAACAACTATCTGGGAGTATAATGGTACACGGAATTTCAAAATCCGAGCAAAATTGGATTTTTGGCGTGGATTTGAATGAGTGAAAGCGCTACTTTCTCCGTCTTTTCGGCAAGTTTGAGTGGGTGTAGCGGGCGCAAGTGTGGCCATGGCGTCAAACCATTTGGGAGTTCTAGTTAATTCATGGGACACTATAACATATCCAAAGGGCATCGAGATCCGTTAGTTGATAGTACACAAACCTCTCTTTAGAATAATGCAATTTTTGGATACCATCTTTTGCAGGCGTCTTTCCTTCAAAAGAAGATAAACGTTTCTGGAAATCGCGTGACCCAGGCAATTTGGGACACTGCCGGTCAGGAGAAATTTCACGCCTTGGGACCAATTTATTATCGCCATTCCAATGGAGCAATTCTAGTTTATGATATTACAGATAAGGATTCGTTTGAAAAAGTATTTCACCATGTTCATATTTCGGCAATTTCTGGAAATAAGTGATGTGTATGTATATTTGTTAATGGTTCTTGCCAATGCAGGTGAAGATTTGGGTGAAAGAGCTCAAGAAAATGCTGGGGAACGAAATTTGCCTTTGTATAGCTGGAAATAAATCAGACCTGGAGAGAGAAAGGACAGTGAGCACAGAAGAAGCAGAATCGTAATACTATAAAGCCTACACATAAATCTTGTTGGTCATTTGGGTAATTTTGTCATTGTGATTTGGTCCCATTTTGCAGATACGCAGCTATGGTTGGCGCAACGCATTTCTACACCTCAGCCAAATTAAACCATAATATTGAAGAGCTATTCCTGCATTTAACTGAACAAATGATAACTTCAAGTTTGGGAACTGAGAGGAAACAAACAGGTCGGAGGAATGTGGTCGTAGTCGAGCAAGAACAACCCCCCTCGCCACGACCTACCAGCAAAGGTTGTTGTGGATAAACTAATAAATAAACTAATAACTATTTATATATGTACCTATTTAAGTATTATAAGCGCCTCGTCACAAACTGTTAATTTTAGTTGTCAATAAAACCGACTACCTTATCCACTCGCAATACAAGGTTCCATGTGAAATTGCATAAAACACTTTTGCATAATACCCTTATGGCATAAAATTTATTGCATAACTACCACTTAAAACTAACGATTGGTCATAATTATGCATGCAAAGACCAGTGTGCCAACAGAATACCCATAGTGTTTTTATGATTTGTAAGCATTTAGGGATGATAAAATTTCCTAAATAATTTTGTTTCTCCGGTAGCCTTTTCTTCTCGCTCGTCTAAGAAGGAGACCTTGTCTATTGGACAGTACCCGATTTTGGTACTTTTTGGATTTTCCTGATCCGAAATAGTTGTTTTATCATATTTAGCATTAAGCTAATTTTTTAAATCTATCTTATTGCTTTGCTCTTATTGCTATTATCTTATCCTATCCCTTAGTGTTCCATCCATGTGTTCCCTTAGTGTTGCGATACGTGAAGTATAGCCGATTATGGGTTAGTTTCAGGGTCATCTAATACAGAATGACATTTGAGAAACAACTTGGTTCATACATATGTAGGCATAACAGTGCTTCCTCTTGCTAATTCCTTCCCAATTTACGAATTATACTAAATAGCATCATGTGAACTTTCTATTTACATAATTGGGAAGTATGCAAAATGGCATTATACGAGAAAGGTGTTATGCAAAAAAATTATGCAATTTCACCTCACACGCAATAGAATGGTCAATGAAAAGAATGTACACTTTCTATTCTACTACTCGGTCCAAATCTCAGGTAATATAGTGTTTATTGATATTTACTTTTTTTTAATTAATAGGAAGAGTAGGTAGTAATACATAGTGCATGTATACAATTCACACTATGGTCAACCTATTATGACCGTCATATAAAGGAGACGCTGCATAGTACATTAGTACTATATTCACATATTTGTACTCGCACACATAGACACATAAACAGCATTTCAATCGGCGTACTTAATTATTTAACTAGTTCGGTCAGGCTGTTTTTGATACAGGTATATCTATGCAGGTATATAGCAAAATGCATATCAATAGTATTCACCGAGGTATCGAGTTATCCTTGGTACGAGACAGTAAATAATCTAATAGCACTACAACGGAATGGGATGAGATGAATGGGTTTGATTCATCTTGCCCGACATTGCTTCGTCAATTTAACCATAACAAATTATTGTTATTAAAAATTATGGATTTGGTACATTTATCATACAACCTAAAAAGCGTTCAAATACACGTTCAAAGTCTTACAAAGGATACAAACTCAGTCAATCTATACGTATATGCATACATGGATATATATATGGATATATAACAAATCAGAAATAAATATAAATCAAAATCAGAACGCGGTTTACTTATAAAATGCATGGAAAGTGGAGTATACAATGATTCTGTGTTTTTATTGGGTGAGGACTTCTTAGTTCATTTATCTAATTACTTAATAGTTGTTGAATTACTCAGTCCCGATATCTCTGTAATTATCGCACAGTTCATAACGCTGGTGGTTCTTTACTAATGGTAACTTTCATGTGATCAATAGAAGAACTGACTATGTATTATAAAATCTAGCCTACATGTACTCATACAGATGCAACAAAACTTGAAGAGCATGATTTCATACGTTTTTTTAAATAATATTACTAATAAAAAATAATAACACTAATAATTTTAATTGTATTACAGGATCGTTCATTATATAAAATTAATTATTAAAACAGCATTATTCCCACAGCATAACAAGACTCGTTACAAGTAAATTACTCTGGAAAGAAATATTTTACGCCCTCCCGTGTGCTCGTTTTCAGATTTTTAGTGATATTCTGTATATTTCTCTATAACTAGGATGATGAAAGAAGAAGGCCGCAATGCATTGGACACAGAACAGCTAGGACACGACGTTATGCTTCATTTTTGTAAGGCTGAGCTGCGTGCTTTTGCTGCAGATGTTGATCGCTTCAACTGGCTAATTAACTCGTAAATTTTTACGGATGGCCCAACCTTGCCTGTTAGGGCAATCAAGTTATCCTTGGTGAGGGTCATCAGTTTAGGCCCGTCCACATTCTGCAAAATAAGCATAATTAAAAGTATTTCACATTTGAGGGCTTTCTCATTCGATTAAGCAATGTAGGATAGTGCAGCTTTGCAGATTTTGTAAAGTTCCATTATTGCAAATTGCATTCTCACATTTTTGGTGAAGTATTCACAATATGCTGCACAGTCGTGAGCAGTCAGAAATTGTGCAACGTCAAAAATACTCCAACCCTGTGGATCCGAAGGTTCCGTTGAACCGGGCTTTTCGATCACTGCTACTTCTTTTTCATAAGAATTGATAACTTTTTTCTCAGTGTTTCCGTTGTACGTTGTCCCTGTATTATTGTTGGCTGCTTTCGGTTTCACTTCTGGCTTTACTGCACTCGACGTAGGTATTTGCTTAGACGCGAATGTGCTGCTGGTAACAGTACTTGGAGCCGACATCTTTGGCGTGCTCGACGAATTGGAAGAGTTTACCACTTTCGTATTAGTGTCCACTTTAGGCCTTTAGAGCGTTTGAAAAGAAAAATGTAATTTAATTGTTTGTAACTTTTCAAACAAGCAATTATTTTATTAAGTTCAGTCAAATATAAAGTACTCACTTAGCAACAGGAGGCACCTGCTTCGCACCACCCTTGCCTGTGTTCTTTTTCTTGCCTTTCTTGGTCTTTTTTTGTTGTTTTGGGACGTGTATGGGGGGTCTAGGTGGTTCCAAATGATACTTTACTAGGTCGCACCAGCCAATAGGATATATATCTGGAGACCGTGCATCCATCCATTGGTCATACTCATCTTCCCATCCGTCAAAGTGAATTTTCAATAATCTTCCCACAACCTTTCCAATTGTAGCGACACAAATTAGTCGAGGGTCCATAAGGTCAGCTGCCTCAATCTTCATTCCTTCTTTGAAACCATGTGGTAACACCTTTTCCTGTTGGAAAGAGAAGCATATATTAATAACATGGCACAGCATAAGTGGGACTAATATAAAAAAAATATGGACCAAATAATTATTACCTTTGGCTTAATTGGAGCAGCAGTGCAGTCATTTTGTTTAAAATATTCGTCCCAGTCGAATGTAGCTTTATCATACCCATTTGGTGGGGTCAAAACAACTCCATTTGTACGCGAAAATCCACAAGGAAATACAGAGTTCGAGCTAATGTGATAGCAAAACCAATCTAATCCGGAACTATCATCGTCGTAGCAGTCAATTCGGACCATGACGTATCCTCGTCGAAGTACTTTCTTAATAGTTGCGGCGCAAATAGCTGATAAATTCAGCGGATCGATAGCCTCTAATTTCATACCCGCTTTTAAATTCATATTCTCAAAGTCTGCATCATATGGAGTTGTGGGCAGAGGATCAGGATTATAGGTTGGAGGACATGATATTAAATGGCCTATTGTTTTGGCCCATCCGCAAGGATGAATTAGTCGAGACTCTTCGTGACACCAAAAACCTACAAACACAGTGATTTTACGATGGCTTTATTTTAAATCTCAAACCTCAACTATTAATCGTCACGTACCTCCGCCTTCTCCATTATCCCAGTACTGCACGTGCAGCCGCCGACCAACCACATGAGTCACTGTCGCCAGACTCAGCTGACTTATTTTATTTTTGTCTACTACCTCCAACATGTCCCCAACTCTGTAATTATTGGCATTAATTAAGCACACTATACTACCATCGGCCAACTAAAATACATAATGTTAATCGAACTTTTGCACAGATTTTAATCCGCTTTCCAGCTTTGAAGAGAAATGGGCAGGCAGTGTTCTCGCTCCAGTCAAACGATGGACCAAAAAACTCCGCCAGTCAGTAAACTTTTTTGCGATAGCTAATAAATTTAAAATCCGAGTATTTAAAATTTAAAATCAAATAATCAAACTCTGCGGAAATTCTTACATTTAGGAGGAATCAGTGGCTTCCCTTTATTTGCGCACCAACCAACATTATGAATGCTTTCGGAACACAGATGAATCCAGAAATCTCCCGATCCATCGTTCCCAAATCCTTCGTATCTTAGAAGGACATAGTATCCTACAATCATGATAATATTATAATTAACTTATGCAACAAAACATTTCAAAGAGGCCGTATTTTGTACCTGATAAATTTTGTAATAGTATTATTATTTACCTTGAATCTGTATTACACTCGCAACCCAGAATGCAGTTTCACTAATCCTACAATCCACGTCCTTATTTTCCACCTCCAACTTCATTCCTTCAGAAATATTTTCCCACATCCTTGACAATGGAGTCTAGAGAAAGTACACGCAAGTAATGTAGATAACTTAGTGATAACTTATTCAATTTTAAATGAGCAACATAATAACAAATCTCATACATGTTTCACTTGGACTACGCTGGCTGCAATGAGCCCAGGATTTCCAAGGAACTCTGTCCAGTCATACACATCCTCTTCGCCCTTCTTCTTCTTCTTCTTGGGAGGTTTGTATGTGTCAACGTGATTGCTGGAGGACGCCTGGGCACCATCATCCATGGAGGATAGGGAAGATTCGCCATCCTGGTCATTTACGAGAGGCGAAGTGGCAGGTCGCTTCACATTTGTAGACGGCTAAAAATAAATTTGACATGTAATTCAGTTACGACAACTCTGCCAATTAACCAAAAGCAGATTGCTTGCCATATCTTAATTGTACCTTGGATTGTCCGGATGAAGAGGTTGCATTAAGTGATAGCATTAAGCATTCTTGAGAACAGAATCTTTTCGTCCCAGCCTGACACAATGATGAAATGGAGAGCGGCTTTGCACAGTGGAAGCAACACACCGCTAAAAAGTTAAAATGTAAATCAAATTAGTAAAAATATTCTTACTAAAAATTAATTTTCGACCACAAAAAATAAAATAAATACCTTGCTTTGGCGTTGAATTGTTATTTGCAGACATCTCGATTATAATACTTTCCCGTCAAAAAGTACTTTCTCCAATGATCGAGAGTACAATAGCATTACACCCACGACGCCGACGGATGAGACGATGAAAGTATTTCTAAATTAAAATTAAACCACATTGAAACCTCGATAACTTTTATGCTACCCTCACCACCGAACTCCTGTTTTCCACATTCTACACTTTTTAACTAGGCCTTTTAATAAGGTCAAAGTTGACAACTTACACTTCCCCGATGAGATGACGACCGTGTCCTAGCTGTCTGTGTGGGTCGGCACGAAACAAACTTTTATCTTCTTTGCGAAAAAAGTGATGACAGCCGAGGCAAGAAGGAGTATCTCCCGATGGGTCGAATACCAACTAATTACTCTTCGCAAATTAGCTGTCCTGCAACTATTTTCCTCCACAACAAGGAGTTTTTGAATCCGTGAGGAGTGAGAGCGAGCAGAGAGCTTGTGCTTGAGGTTGGTTTGGGAGATTTGGAAGAAGTGCGGCAGTCATGGTGGTGGTTGTGGACAACCAATTGGCTGCTGGAGACTACGAACCAAGTCCACAAAATATGTACTCTCACTAAACAAATCTGTCTCAATCTCAACAAATGTTTACGTGTCCTGTTTTTACTTAGAGTACGCCTTTACTCAGCCTTTTAGGTATGATGAGAGGGGACTAAAAAAGTACGAGAAGACTGAAGGGTCCCCCATGAGGAGATAGAAACACTTTTAGTTTTTACTTCCTTGCTTTCTTTTTCCAATGTCTGGGACTATCTTGGTTGGTCCTTCTCCTGCTGCTGGTGCCTTCTTCTCCCCAACTAAAACCACTAACTGCAATGATGAGTAGTCGCATTTAGTACTCACTTCACTCTCACCCACTCGAGCAAGATGGTGGAAAACGGTATCCAGCCACTCACTCCGACGCCGCCATGTTACACGTTTCCATCCGGAAAGGATCACTTTGATGACCTTTGACTCGGACTCATAAGTTGTGAGTCACAACTTGTTCTTTCTCCGTGATTGCAACTTTTAAGTGTACTCGTCAGAAGTGAGATGAATGGGTTTGGATTTATAAATGTCACATAATATGTATGCAAGCATAAAATTGTCGCATTTGTGGAGGCTAAATCAATGCTGAGCATATGCAGCAATGAATGAATGCCAAATGCTTGATTCATTATCTTATCTGATCATCATCTTCCTCTGGTAGTCATTCTTATCGCCATTTTCATCTTTTATGCACGGTCCCAAGGACCTAGTGGGGACTTATCATCACAATTTAAGCACTTTATCGCATTAAAGATTTATCCCCATGAACCGAATGAATGAAGGAAACGAAAATGAAACCTTTATTCCCATCATTTTACTAAGCAAAGTTTAATGAAAATTTTCATTTGTCTCAAAATGAACGCTCAAAAGAAATAAATTTGCCCATGTAAATATGTCACAAAATTTTATCTTTACAGAAAAGTAAAAGCATAACAATGATGGTTGGAAAGCTTATGGCTCATGTACTGTTGTTGTCATTCTTCTGTGCATAAAATCATTTTGTAATCGATCCATGATATTTTAACGAGCACTTTCACTGCCATACTTTCACACTTACTTTATTACGACGAGGTGCTCGGGATTATTTATAGATACTCCATGGCCGTGGAACACACTTGGTGAACGTGCAAGGAAAATTTATGCGGAATGTTGTATTGGCTTTTTGTCGTACAACAATTTGCATGCAACATTTTATAACCATATGTACAAATATTCCAATATGAATGAAAAGAATAACTGACAATCGCTCTTTACATGATAAAATCGAATGAGAATTTTAAAAGTTCGGCCTTGCAAAACGCCTATTTATTATGCATATCAATGCTCTTTGTTTCGCGAACAAAGATTTATCCGGCCAGTGAAAGTCCGGCTCAAATTAACTTCCATATTGAGAATGTTGCTGAGCATATCGTAAATCAATGAAGAAAGTGCACGCGTTGTCCATGAAAAGATATAATCTTTATATAATCTAGATTTAATACGAAATGGGAATATGCGTGTTTTGAAATTTGTGTATGATAAACGAGGTGAGTAAATTTTGTTATTCTTGGTTGAATTAAGAATACAGAATATGCAAATATAATGGCAAAGGTGTAAACATTTAATCTCACGTACTCATTTGTGATTAGTGTTGGTTACATAGTATAAGTGCAGCAGCAGTGATTGAGGAATAATCATTCGGCGTACAGAGAACATAAGACACTTATTACAAACCGTGAAATGAAAATTATAAATCAAGTTTGTTCAAAGTCAAATTACAAGGCGACGTAATATTAAACTTATTCTTAAACGACTAAAAAAATAAAGGAATATAGGAAGTTATAAAATCTCTTGTGTCAAAATTGGACTAGAAAATATCTGCATACAGTAGTTGCTGTACAAGAAGTAGTAGTAGCAGTGGTAGTAGTAGTATCAAGGACAAAATTCTCTAAACATACTGGTAATTATCTCTATGATCTCTTAAAAATGGTTCTCGGTCTGAGTATTGTTCATCTTCATCCATTTGTTGTGGCACCCAGGCTCTCATCCAATCTATTCTCTTTGGATGCATGAAGCCAATCTCAAAGAAATCTGCAAAATTTTGTACAACTCCTCGATGAAAGAGTTTAGGATTGTGGCCATGATTTCGATTCCCTTTTCCTGCTCCAAAATATGAATAGCGAGTCCAATTGAGCCTTTCATTTGTTGTCAGACCGAGCCACAGGATCTAAATGCCAATGAATCAGCGAATTAAGATCAATTCCGATGAAAATCATATACAACACCTCTCCTCTCCTAATATAGTTTTTTTACCTGATACAATTGACAAATTAAGAGGACTAGAACCCACCCTCCGTGCACCACTGCTTGTGCCATCATAAAGTTGACCCAAGGTTGATACCTCATTACGTCAATGAATGTCCAGTCCACACCGAGAACTTTATTCCACAACATAAAGGAACCAACGACGCAAGCAATGCACATAATCACGAGAGAAAGTAGGTAGCCGATAAAATATTTGTGATTCTTCCAACCCACACAATTAGAAAGCCATGGACAATGATGATCAAACCTGATAATATATGTTACATGAAATAACAATTTAAAAAAATATATCTTAAGACGTACCGAGCAACGCATCTATTGCAAATTGAACAGTGTTTGGACCGCAGAGGCTTGCGAACGAGACAAGTAGTGCAAAAATGTTTAGGATCAAATCCATCTTCCTCGGCCAAGGAAATAATGGTCTGCAAGTATAGTGCGACGACAACAATAATTAATTGGTATGTCATATTATCAATTAACAATTTAAAATTTAATAATTTACCTTATGACGCTCTTCTGCAGACATTTTGATTACTCCAGGATCTCCTCGCCAGGCTCTTAAAAAATTATACCACAAAAGGGTGGACAAACTGACAAAGCCGACTGTTGCGTAGAGAGGAATTTCCGGAGCAATATAGAAAAACCAGACGACATACATCCAAAACTGGCAATAGAAATTACATTTGTAATTCAGATATTGCACATATAGTATTTTTTAATTTTTATAGATTATAACTTGTATGAGAAAAGTAAATAACGTACCTTTGTTGCAAGATAAACGCTAATAGGAAATATCGACATAAATTTGTCGTCGCATACAACCTTTCCCACTCCTCGGAATGTTAAGTATACAGCGAAAAGTAGTAGTAACTTCCACCCTAATTCAATACTAGCAGAAAATATCAATCCTAAGGCGTAAATCACGACGAATGGTAAGGATCTGGTAACCCAGGTCTTCAAATCCTATAATTTCATTTTGTTCAACATGATATTTAAAGTCGTATGCCAATTGAAATTGCATGAAATGGTATCAATAAAAAATATACCTCATCTTTGTGATAGTCATGGAACCAACTACGTTTCCCATTACGCTCAGCTTTATTTAGGACATTATCTACAGCTCGTTTCGATATCCAGTCATATTGCTTCATCTGCTTGAGCATATTAAAAGCTGTTTCTCCCGTATCGTTTGGAATATCTAGGCTAGCATTAGAATTAACTAAGAGAAGAAATACGGTTGAATTTTTTGATTGGATGGCCCAGTGTAACGCAGTATTTTGCTTTATTCTGTCTTGGATAGAGGTGCTAGCACCAAAAGTTAAGATTAGTCTGGCTGGATCCGCACTATTATATAAAGCAAGGTTTAGTTTATCCCTAATTCCAAGAATGTTATACCAATATTTTATTATTATTAATTGTGTACCAATGGGTGCGACATGCCGCCCACATGATGGGTGTCATTCCACTCCTATCCTGCATATCAGGACTGATTCCCTTCGCTAGGAGGTAAGCTACAATGGACGTGTAGCCAAATTGTGATGCGAGATGAATAGCAGAACAACCTTCTCCATCCCGTAGCGTTGGGTCGGCCCCGTGGAGCATGAGATATACCACGACGTTCAGATGACCCTGCCTCGTCGCCCAGTGAAGCGGGGACGAATTTAACTCTCCTCCAATGGAATCAACAATTGCTCCCCGTTGAATGTACAGCTTGACGATTTCCATCCGACAATTGATCGCTGCCCAGTGAAGGAGGGTGATATTCTCGGCGTCCCTTTGGTTCACATCGAACCCCTCGTTCAGTAATTGTTCACAACGGGCGTAAATTCCATACTATGAAAAATCAGTAAAAAAATCCTCAACCTACGATCAAAATACTTTTGATTATTACTTACCTGAGTCGCTTTCACAATGTCATACTCTGGAACGCCCGAGGAGTCACCTCGACCATTGTTGTTTGGTCCCAGAGCGGCTTTTTGTGGCGAAAGAAATTCAGATGAGCTCAAATCACTCCCAGCGACATCACCCCGGTCCATGGACTCGACAAGCTTCGTCATGATGATATGATGAGTTTTATTTTTGTGTGTTATCTGTTGACTAAATGTTGTTTCTGAATTTTTCCTATCTAGTAAATGCTCGTCACTAGTACATTCAGTAATTTCTAAAAGCAAAGTATGAGAAGTGGAAAGCAAGCCTTGGCTTGATTGATTTGATTGGTTATGTTTGCTTAATCTTTCCTTATCTCTCTGGAGCCGTCATTTCCTCTCTTTCTCTCTGACGACGACGATGACTACTAATGACTATGTGACGGGTTGACTACTTATTACTTACGATTGTTGTTGAAAAAAAAATGTTTTGTGTTTGTGTATTAAGTTGAGTCGTCTATGGGGAAAGTAAATCTTTGTGATGTGAAACGGAAGAAAGTTGCTGGAGTTGTCGAAGTGCCGAAGTGAGAGGAAGGTTCATATCACAGAGTTGTTTGGCTTATCAACATTGTGAGAGGATAAGTGGTTTTCGAGTTGTGACTTGTGAGGGCGGATATCGATAAGACTCACTCAACTATGAACTAACAACTTCATGGATTTTCTATCCAGAGATTCAACCCGTCCGCCACCGACAGTTATTAGTATGACTTTCCACTCCTGAGACAGGTATCGATCCGCTATTAGTAAGTTGCTAATGCGGTAATAGTGGTAATATTGCTGCGGTAATAATGTTGATAATGATCTGTTCCTATCAGACGTTGGATTCTAGTGCTTGGGCCAAAGATTAGCCTTTCCAAGTTTTTTTTTCTAACAGTGACAAATTTTACCTTGCAATACAGAATCCACCCTCTGATCGGGTTGATGATTCATGCAAGTAGTAGTGAGTAATAGATGTGTGCTAGTGATTCATAAGAATGATAATTTTTGGCTGTTATGGAGGACATGAAAATAAAGTCTTGTGGGGAACACATCCTGGGTTTGATCAAGTTTGATGAGAATAGTAGAGTAGAAGCATCAACTTATTTGGCCTGTCTCATTTTCCTCGTCTCATCTCACTCACCGTCAACCGTCTCATCTCTCATCATCAATTCACGCAATAGTGTTCATATTTTGTTAAATTGTTTCATTGCTTTTCAAAGTTTGTATTAACTTACTTTCAAATAAGAATTGTTTGCCAGGAAAGCCTATATATTTTGATGCAAAACTTTCCCTATGCATATATTGTATAAGCTTGGGTTTCATAAGACTTGCGATATGGATAACTGTATGAAATACGAGAAATTCAGATATCTCTATCACATTGATTGGAAGGAAACTGACATTTTGTAGAAACTGAGGTGAAATGGATAGGATTTATTATCTGCGCACAATAACAATTAGCATGCAAAGGAAAATTTGCCCTTTCATATTATATTATGATGCTGTATCGGAAATCGTTACATGACGTAAGTATGTAGTGACAGCGACATGGGTGAAATAATTGGGATCAATCTGCTGAAGTTTGCATGTTTATTGACGAGTCGTCTATACATTTATTAATTGAAACTATTGGGTCATAATAATAACAGTAATAATCATAATATTGTAGTTAAATAATTAGTATTATGCAAATAACGATCTAGCGATGAATACACGTTTCGATCTTGTTCATATATATATTGAAGCCATTCCAAATAATAATAATAGTAGTAATATTTTATTATGCTAATTTCTGAACGCATCATCTACTATTCCCTTATCATTTTATTCCTCCTTAATTCCTGATTCCCTTCTCCCTACCACTTATCAGCTTGGAATCGTTCATTCTCAAGCTTTTATTATGATAGTACATAAGTATGGCTGATATCATTAATATATCATCATCATCACATGATAATAATGCATGGATAATGGATAATTTCTTTATTTCTCTTGTCCCTACAACTTCGTACATTCGTATTCTCCCATATTCAATATTCATCGGTGTGTGTTGTAATAATGTATATTTACAGCAATCAAACTACACTTAATGTTATACATCTTAATAATAAAAATCAAAAGTTTATGCACTATTATTATGTTGTAGACGTACATCTAAAATTAATTAATTATCGTGCGCCTAGAATGATGAAGTGTGTATGTACCATTATTTTTGAAGACTTAAGTGTTGTATATCCATGAAAATGCACGATAATTATGTACTCACTTACGTTACTGTTAAATACTTACTACTCTATATCTTGTTCGATTTCACGATTTTTAATAATATCTTTGTAAAAGGTCAAAGTTTAAAACCTATGTATTACATGTCAAGTCTAATTTTTTACAAGGTTTGGTAAACACAACGCAATATCGGTGATATTTACATGTAAAAACTTACAACTATAACGGTATATCACAAAAATTAAAACTCAAAAATACGTGGTTACGTACGTGGAATATAATATTTTAGACATTTAGCCATAATTAGATTTAAGGTTTGAATCAATATAATAATAAACGTCAAAATAATTAAAATTATAAATTGTGGAAATTAAAACACATTGCAAATACTATCGTAATTCATTCTCTTAATTTCAATTGTTCATTTCATTTAATAGTTGGTAGTGTCCACTTGTTCCAGAATTGAAGTATAATAATCCTAGTATTATGCGCTGTCCTGCATTATTTAATTGTCTGCCTACCTACCTACCTACTTGCTGCCAGCAAGTAATATTTTATTTCACGAGGAGAAACTGCTTGTTTTTACCTTACACGTAGAAGAAGATCATACAAGCAATTAGTTGTAATTAGTCCAAGTAGGTGAGAACGCTAAACGTATTTCTTATTTGACACGTATGAGAAACCGCATAATATATTATTTTAACAATCAATAGCGTTGCATCACTTAACACTTTAGTATGAAGTACGTTACTTTGTAGTAAAAGTGCATGGGGTTTTCTTTTTCTTGTAGGTGGGAGCAAATGGGGGTCTTCGTGCTGTGTGTGTGGCGACACGTGCATGTTGCAGTGACTTCATCAGAAAAAATCAGTTTTTCAACAAAAGTTCTCGTCTTCATTTGTACGTAGTAAGTAGTACATGGTAAACTTGCCCAGTAGTTAGTAATCAGTTGGAAATTGTTCAAGCTGGAGACGCGAGACCAAAGACAGAGAACTAATCTAAATGTAGTATAGAGAAATATGTAGTGCATCATACAATTATTTGTCAGTAGCCAGATTCGTAAGAGGTGTTGTGTAAAACATTCTTTCATGCCCACTCAATAATACATAGTTCGACATCCTTAACATGAAACTATCTTCTTCTGAGTCATAATTAAATTTTAAAATGATATTTTATATTCAAAGGACTGCAACTTACAAGGAAACATACCGAGGTGTCCAACGAGTTAAGGGTCGACACCTATACCAAAATCACCACAATGCATGACTTATTAAACAAACTGAAGGAATTTCCGTGTAAAATTCACTTTTCGTCACGTTGTGACGATATTTGTGACGAGCGCTTGACCATCGGGTTGCCAGTGGGAGAGATCGGCCGCTGAACGATCAGGTCAAACATAAAGAAGCGTCGTCGTCTTCAGAGATTTCAAATTCTATCAAATTTTGAAAACCACTTGAAATTTTGAAAAAATTTCTTCAAAATTTCAAAAATTTCTTCAAAATTTCAAAATTTTCTCAAATTTTTAAAATTTTCTCAAATTTTCAAAATTTTCTCAAAATTTCAAAATTTTCTCAAATTTTCAAAATTTTCTCAAATTTTTTTTCAAAATTTCAAGATGTTTTCAAAATTTGAAAGAATTCAAAATCTCTGAAGACGACGTGAAGACGACGACGCTTCTCTGTGGTCGACCTGATCGTTCAGCGGCCGACCTCTCCGGCTGGCAACCCGATGGCTCTGCGCTCGTCACAAATATCGTCACAACTTGACGAAAAGTGAATTTTACACGGAAATTCCTTCAGTTTGTTTAATAAGTCATGTATTGTGGTCATTTTGGTATAGGTGTCGACCCTTAACTCGTTGGACACCTCGGTATGTTCCCTTGTTAGTGCAGTGTAGTAGTAGCTGCAGTGAGTGATGTTGACTAATTAAAATGGTCTGATCGTCTATGTAGTGGTGCATTGGCCTTCATAGGAAAGTTAAGCTCATTTGCCGCACCGTGTGAACAAAACGTGAAGAATATAAATTCTTATAGTCATTCATTCTGAAATTTGGTTGCGTCTTACCGGCAAGAAATAGTGCTAAACAAAACTAAGTACTGTCAATCATAGTTATAGTCATACATATAGTACGAAAAAATGACAAATTTCCGTAAAGGAAGCAAGGAGGTAGAACTTTTGAATGGAAATCAATTCACATTCAGAATTCACAGCAAAGAAAATTGTTCGTTTACACAGTTAATCGTAAACATTGCTATTTGACTTGGATAGTACGATATAGTATAATCATAGTATGTGTAAAGTGCTGGAATTTGTACTCTATTTTCATTACACATTATTATATCCCCTACTAATTTAGCGATATTTTGTATCAAACTGATGGCATGCTTGTTTGACGACGTAACGATGAGAGTCAGTAACTGGAGATGAAGAGCAGATTTCTAGTAAATTAAATGAGAAGAAAATCCTTTAGGTTTGCAAGATTTGTTTGTTGCATGAAAAACCCAAGTGACGAAGAACTTAAGTAATAGGTGTAGTAGTGGACGTTGAGGTCAGTTAATTGTATATGGGAAGATCATTAAACACGAGGGCAGCCTTTAAGGTAACAGATAGCAATGATTTCGAGAAGACAGGGGAAGGGGGGTTGTCAGCAAATGGTCACCGAACTTCACAGCTATCAGACTGTTTTGCAGGGGCTGGTGGAGTGTCAACGGGGTTGCAATTTTCCTGCTTATTTTTTAATGCATACCCTTCAAAGCACCTGCTCAGTTTGAGGCGGATAGGCATAATTTTGTCTGATTGGAAACTACAGCTCTCGGGTAAAGGTTTTACATCAGGTGGTAATTCTTTGGAAAGTTCAGAAAAGCTGTTGGGGCGGCCTAGTATTTCAGGTAGCAATGTTGCTGTCGTTAATGCAGTTGTAGGAGGAACAAAACTGGCATCAGAAGTCGTAGTCGTAGTAGTAGAAGTAGTAAGAACACTCAGACTGGAAGAAGTATGAGGCTCAATTTTAACTAATGGGGTACACATTGAAGTTGCATCCGCTGCTGCGGATAATCTCTCTTTACTAGCACCGGAAGGTAGCTCAATGATGCTCCCACTACTCCCTTCACTACCTGTAAAAAAGATGATATTTTGCGTCAGTCAAAATCCAGCGAAAAGAAGTGTGAATTGATGGCACTTGGCCTTGTTCATTTTGAGAAAAAATGTACTTACTCCCCGTGAAACCCGAATCATTTTCACCTTCACACACGTCCTCCATGTTATCTTTCTCTGAAATTTCGTCCGCATCTCGAGATTTTGTTACATCTCCTCCATTCCCTCCCACCACATTTGCCCGACACTTGCCGAAGCGCAGGATGAGTTTGGTCGACCCATCTGCAATCACTTTCACTTCGGAGGCAGTTTGTTGTTTGGAACCATCGTCTGTTTCACTGCTCGCAGCCCCTCCTTTACGTTTGTGTTTCTTGTGCCTTCTGGTACCATGAAGTTGGAGGATTTCTTTTCTCTCTTCCACTGCAAAGTCTTGCATGACCATCTCACGGAATTTCATGCTCTCTCGTTTCAAATCTTCCATCGTGGGCGGGGCTGCGGGAGTTAGGTCAGAAATGCCACGTTTTTTAGGAGGTCGGCCCTTTGCCTTCTTGTTGGGAGCCTCTTTGTCCGAAGAGTCGCTTAGAGCATGGTTTGAAATTAGAGAGGTAGAGGAAGCACCGGTCGGACCTCTGGACACGTCTCCAAACTTGATCTTCAGTTTGGGGGTGGGGTGATTAACTGCAGTAACCACAGCAGAAGTAGTGTTCTGCGAAAGGGAGGCTGACGAAGATGATGAACCACCCGGAATTTTGGAACTGTTACCTCCCTTCTTGTCATTGTTGGAGTGGTCCGAATCTACGAGCGTGGGTGGGATGAAGGTACTTCGAATGGGTTTCTTATTCGCCTTGGCACGCTTCTTGCCCATTTCAGAGGAAAAGTTTGATGTGTTGTTGTCTGGTCGATCGCGACGCCTTTCTCTAATCGGAGTATCACAGGTTATAATACCCAGGGCAGCCATTTCACGAATGCCCCGATTACGCTTCCTCTTCTCCGTCGTGCCCCCTTTGCCAGGATAGTTGTTGGGTAGCCCGGTTAGATTTGTGGCAAGCAAGTCTTTCAAATCCTCATTCGGCAGACTTTCCCGATAGTCATCCTTTGTTGGAATTATAGCCATTGATGCCACGGCTTTGGGTATCGTTATAATGGATCGATGCACCATGGAACTGTGAGACATTTCTGCATCATGACTTGGTCCACCATCCATGTTCATGTCCTGATTCCAATACTGCCGGAGCAACTCTTTCTTCCGCATCCTTCGTAAGTTGGATGTGTTGGATGCAGGAACAACAATTTGTGAGGGGCCGACAGGATGGTGCATAGAGTTCTGATAGTGTGGAATACCACCAGAATCCCCCATGGAATGTGATCCGTAGTTGGCTAAAAAAATCCAAGGTTCATTAATTCATTAATTTCACACTTTTAGTTAAGTTTTTTTTATTAAATTACTTTGTCTCACAAGCCTACTATATTAAACTTTCAACGCAACTTATTGGAACTTACCGTCAAGGAATGGACCCTTAATTTTGACTTTGAGTTGGTTTCTGGAAAAGTCGGTTGTGCTTCTCAACTCCGACTCCGCACCTGAGTGCTGGTTCAACTCTCTGCTTGCTAACAGCATAGACGGCTGATGATGAGCATCCGTCAAGCTGTCGCCACCGCTACCTTGTCGCCGGATGTGAGCAGGGTCAATAATTCCAAAGTTTGGAAATTGTTGTTGTTGCGCAGGTATAGGTGTGCCTTTGGCAAGAGTTAGGTAAATTGGTTGCTCTTTCGTTGGGGCTGATGAGGATGAGGTGAAAGCGTCAAGGGTGTCGTCCAGATCGTCAATTTCATTAATTAGAGAACCTTTCGAGTCCATTCCACTCGAGTAGATAGAAATACGAGGATGGTCCGTCTTTTCGTTTCGATTTTCTGCTGAAATTTCCAATAGACTTCCACCACCAGCGCCACCAGGTATGTTGTACGTCCTCATATCCACTGGCCCTGGAAGGGTTGAATGTGGTTGAAGGATAGGAACTGTATTCTCATTTGCAATGACGACTTGGGACTGGTGCATAATTTTGAGATTTGACAAAGGTCGCTGATTAGAATCCAAGTCTCTGTACTTTGGAGATGTCATTTCCAAAGATCCCAACCTACTTTCACCGGAAGGACTTCGAGAGTGTTCCGATCTGCAGGTTCTGTTACTATCCGTGTGCAAATCACTCGATTTTCTTCGCTCTCTCAACATTCTGAGGTCCATTTTCTCATCCACATTCTCTTCAAACTCATCAAAGTCAATATCATATACCGTTCCGGCGAGATCCTTCCTCGTGGCGACCATTCCTTTCCCTCTCCCCTTCCCACGACCTCTCCCTCGACTGGCGGCGGGTGCTTTTGTTCGAGGTTGTGGTGAAGTATTGTTATTTGCAGTCGTTGCTGCCTTCCTCTCGTTCCGTCCTTTTGGTTTGACACCGTTTGTCTCACAGTTTGTGAGGATTTTCTCATTCTTGGCGGACCCTCTGCGAGGCGTGGTTGCTCGTCTACCACGACCACGCGGACTTTTTCCCGCAGATACGTCAGGTTTCATGTTGACTTCAACCGCCGTTTCGGGTGCAAATGTGTTTGGAGGAGTGGTCACCGGCTGCACAGAAGATTTTCTCCTCGTCATCATTTCAGATTCAGCAATTTCGTTGCGGACAATTTCCGCTGCAAGTAGGGACGGTGATGGTTTGAATGTTTCAGAAGTTGGAATCATATGATTATTTGAAGAACAGGAAGAAATGGCATTAAGCCCCAACATGACGTTTAACAACTCGTGGGCAGCCAAAGTACTATTGTTATTGGCATGGTTGTTGACCACATTTTCAATGATCTGAGCCACGGTTGACTGTGGGGGTGGAGGTGGTGTAATATTTTTGACATTGTTGGCTGCAAGAATCATGGATGGTGAGGCGATTGAGGGTTTTGCTAGTGGAGGCATTGCAGAGGTCACGGAAGCAATGGAATCCTCATCGAGGAAGGGTGTGGAAGTGGAAGAAGAAGTAGGAGTTGTAGTTCTCTGGTTGTTTAGAGGTACAGGAGGTGATGTCGTGGGGGAAGAAATAGATTCCTTATTTGCACTCTGTTGTTGTTGCTGTTTTCCATGAATGATATGATGAGCACCAGGAAAATTTTGTCTGGGATAACCTGGAGAAAGACTAGATGATGATATTTGTGGGTGTTGCTGATTATTAGGAGCTTGGTGATGGAAAAAGGAGGAGGATCTAGGATTATTTGGGTCAATAGTAGGAACAGCCACATTTTGCTGGTGGGCGGCCACACTTGAAGCACCGGTAGATGAGAGAGGATACATGAAAGAAGAGTTAGACAAGGAGTGGGGACCTGCTGCTGCTGAACCTGTAGTCGTCGGAAATCCTGCAGAGGAGGAGACTTGTTGAGGGAAGAGAACCCCACCAGGATGTTGTTGCGGCTTCATTCCAACAGGTGAGGCCATCGGACTCATTGTCGGAGATGCCAGCGACACGGACAAATCCCCAAGTTTGTTGTGAGCATCACCACTTAAAGATTTTTGCTCCGAGAGAGGCTGACGAACAACGGCAGCTAAATCTTCATGATGTAAATGGTGCCGAGATGACGAGGATGCTGAATATTGTTGTTGGTCGGAGTTTGCAATATTATCTTCACTTCGCCTCAATTTGTACCGATTATCAACTAATTCTGCCGAGACAATGTGAGGAGGTGGCGGTTTGATGGGATGATGACGTGACCTCCCCTCTGGAGAATGAGAGGAAGAAGATATTTGTTGTTGATGTTCTGGATAATGATGATGATGGTGATCTAACGATGATCGACTGCTCGGTGGCACCCACCGCTCGTCCCCTTCTATCAATTTGTCTCGGTCAGGACTAATTTCAGGATGGTTCTCTTGGTTCGAAACATCACAAATTTTCTCATCCTCGTGAACCGAGGTGGAAGAAGGGTCGGCTAGTGAGCTACCGGGTTTGGAAGTGGGAGATTTTGGTGGATCCTCTGACAAACTCAAGTCTGATCCGTCAATGGATGACCGAGGATACCCTGACTTTCTGGCGTGTTGGAGTCGTAATTTTTCTACCAGGTTCAGAGTCGCCTGTGGAGAGTCTTCCACGGTTTGTTCACGGGAGAGGAAGGACTGGGCAAAGAATGGGAGCGAGGAAGCTGCCGCACCACCCTCTTCATCCACTTGAGAATAGTCGGCAGACACACTTCGAGCAAGATCATATAATTCCGAGTCAAAATCAACGAGATCATTTTCGTGACCGGCTCGTGGAGAAAAGAGAGATTTGGCTGAGAGGAGACTTCCAGCTGTGGCGGCGGCAGAAAATAATTGTGAACCCGAATTGGGACCTACTGGAACCTGATTATTATTAGCATGGCCACCAGTAGCGGTGATCGTGGTAGAATTTTCACCAACACTTGCTCCAGAGTCGAATCGAGCACGTTTAACATCTGGTTCCACGTCAGAGGATTTTGAATCCTTTTCCTTATTTTCAGACGAGGGTGTAAGTGGGGAAAGTATGGAACCAGCAGATGATGGAATCCCTTGTTGTTTGGGAGTACGATTTCTTGTGTTGGTTGATGGAGATTCATTAACGCTTGGTGGAACGACTGTAGCTCGGCAAGAGTTTTCCTTCTCGTCTGCAAGTTCAGAGTCAGAGTCGGACAGATTACTGACTCCACTCTTCTTCTTTGCTCTTGCAGTGGCTCTAAGATTTCTCGAGTCCGTGCTGGATGAGGAAAGTGGAATTTGTTGAGAGTGAGAATTATTCTTGTCAGGAGATAATGTTGTTGGTTTTGATGATTCCTCTTCAGAGTCGGAAGATAATTCTAGAGTGCCGCTCACGCTAATAGAAGAAGCAGTAGCCTTGTTGGCAGCCGCCTTGGAGGCGGAGGAAGAAGTAGCCGTCAGACCACTTAAGGTCTTGGCCGCAGCTCTCGCTTGATTAGACTTTGCATTCGACTTTGATGGTGTTGTTGGGGTCGCCGGAGGAATGCAATTTTTGTCCTTTTCTCTACCCCCTGCTGATGATTCTCCCTTTCCTCGTTTCCCTTTCGCTTGCGCAGGTTTATTGTTCTTCTGGGTGACTCTGGCACTCCTCGATGGTTGTGGCGAGGGACTACCACGATCACTGGAACTACTGCTTCCACGGGAACTGGTCTTTGTCCGCCGGACGCGGAGGGGATCATCATCTGAGCGTGTGCTACTCGCTGGTGCATCGTGCTTTGTCGAATTCTGGTGTGCATTGCCAACTGTACCTCCCCCTGATCGAACCTTTGCGGGTCCACGACTTTTGGGGGCAGGTTTCTTTCCCGTAGCAACCTCATTGCGGGATCCACCGTCTGGGCTCCGATCGGAAGTTTTAAGCTTCTTACTTGGACACCTAGACGTGGTGGTGATGGTGGAAGAAGGGGTGATGGAAAGCGGTTTGGTGTTAATTGGGGGTGATGTCTTTCTGGGGGTCGTAGTAATGGAATCGGGGGACGCAGACGCAGGTGTCGGCTGAAATTAACAATTTACAGAATGAGAATTGGTACAGTTGTATCGATAATAAATGTATGCCAATAAAATCTTTCAAGAACTGAACCTCCTGCTGCGCAGAAACTCATGACAGTCGTCCACCTTTTCTCCTTACCTATCCTCTCATTTTCCTTTCGGGTTTTTCTCTCGCTTCTACTTTTTACTCTTACTTATCTAATTTACTATAAAACTGGTGACAAACGCTGATGGTCACGATAAAATAAGGAGGTCACTAACATTGCTAGCAGAATGCATAAAGCAATTTTTGGTTCAATCGATAAATTAAAGTCAAAACTGGCATAAGAGCACAAAAAGTTTTATGAAAATCGAGAATAGAATTTTGAGAGAAAATGGAAGCCAAATCTAAAAATCAAATCATGTCACCTCCACCAAAAATTAACAGAGTCGTTTAACTATTAAATAAATCCATTTTTGTTTTATATATTATCAAATACACATGATGCGAATTATTTATTTAATTAAAAAATATGGACAAGAATGAAACTCCTATTACTACCTGTGTAATCGCAGGTGAGGACGAGGTTGAGGAGCGGCTGGAGGAAGAGGACCCCGATGAACTTGATGAACCGCTTGAACTTGACGAGCTGGATGAGCTGCTTCGTTCCCTGCTTCGACGACACTGTGACTCCGTCCCCCTGATAAGAAAGGGCCAGTCACTGTGTCTATCGGAAGCGGAAACTTCAGCAGTCGTGCTGTTCGTCGCTACGGCTGCTGCCTCCTTCCGTCCTGTTTTGACTGTGCCCTTATCTTCTGCAAAAAAGAGCAATAAATACAGTTAAAATTTGCATCAACTCTCAACTTTCTGACTGTAAAAGAACTAAGAAGGTCCTCCTGTTTTAGCATTTGGCTATGATCATGAGATGATACGATATACAAAACGCCAAGTCCCTTTTCGGAAATTCATTATCATCATCATAACAGTACACAGGTTACTTCTCGACTGAAATGAATTAGAAGCAAGCACGTACCACCTAATTTTTGGTATAGGAAAAAATAAAAAAAATACCCAAATTCAATTATGAGCAACTACATATCCACAGGAATCATAAAAATAATAATGCCAAGATCGCAGTTAATGTATGTTATATTTTGGTAGAAATTGGTTGTGATACCTTTAGAGAGAACTCGCTTTCTTGATCTTTGTTTAGAAGAAGAAGAATCTCCAGTCTGGAGAGAGGAGTTTTCGACAGCTTTATCAATAAATGGAGACTTTCCCCTGGACCTGTTGGGTTGTTTCTTGCCTCCAGTCGTTCCTGTCGGTGGTGGCCCAGGAGAGCTGCTGTCCAAGGAAGTTTTGTTTGGCTGAGTGGTCCTATCTCCTTTGCCCTTCCTGCGCGTGGCTTCCATTTCATCCTCAATGATAAGACGAGCAGCAACGATATTGCTGAGCCCACTCCGTATATGCTCGGCAGCCTTCTTCGCCGCTTGTCTTTGGGGAACAAAATTTGGCACATTCTTTGAATCATTGCTACCATCAAATTCGTATTGATCCCGCAGCTCGTCATAATGTCCATGAATAGTAGATTCAGCGTCCTTGTTGCCCCCGACGCTTTCGGATTTAACAGATTTCTTGTTAGCTCCTCGTCTATTCTCAGCTACTGTTGGTTTAGATTTGTCATTTCTTTTCTTGATTTTGTCTTGAACCGAGGCAGCAGCAATGTCTTTGAACTTTTCCATTGCCGTCTTTTCAAAAGACTCGCTTTCTCGGTCGTTGAATGTTGCGGGTGAGGCAACAGAGCCGTCCTGGCCGGACGCGTTGTCTCCTACAAGACCATCCTTTCGTGATTTTACGGTCCGAATGCTCTCCGTTGCCTTTTTAGCTGCCTCTCGTTGTGGCACGATGAGCTGTTGCTCGGCACCCTTCTTTTTCCTACCACCTTTGGGGCCTTGTTTACCTTGTTTGGGGGTAACTGTCTTCTTCTGTTGGGCAAGAGAAGATTTAGCACCCAACTCTTTCTTATTGCTTTTCCTGGTAAATTCTTTAACTGCGGCTTTTGTCGCCACAGGAGATCCAGGACGCTTTTTGAGAGATCCATCAGAGTCACTGTCCGAGTAGATGGGACCCTCGGATTTGCTCAAGTTATTATTGCCAACAACCTTTTGCACAGGGAGTTCTAGATCATCGGAATCTGAAGTTGAGGATTTCTTTGTCGCTTTCTGACCACGACCACGCGGATTATTGGGAGATTTCCCTTTGGTTTGTTTCTTATTATCCTTGGTTGTAGTGCCAGCTTTGCCTGCTAGAGCGACCTCATCAGCACTCGAGTCCGAGTCGAATAAGTAAGACAGGGGCTTGCGACCCGTACTGCTGTTACCCAATTTCTTCTTTAGGGCGTTGTTAACCGTGGCATCACTAACACTGGCTTCACTTTCACTCAAACTGGAGCACTCACCTGTAAAAGTTAGAAAAAAATGTTATTGACCACACTGTAGTGAAACTTATGCCCATGTGGTAGAGCGAAGACCATGAAAATTGTTAAAAAGTGAAGAATGGGTAAAAATTGACAACTAACAAATTGAATTGAATTGATACTGCACATACTATACTTTCAACTATACATTTTTGTGTAGATTTATAAAATATACTTACCAATGAGATTCTTCCTCCGTGCACCGTTAACAAATTGCTTTTTGAAGGGATTACTACTTGCACTATTAATCATATTGCCAAGTCCACCGCCTGAGGACTTTTTAGGTTTTATCACACCATTCACAAGTTTTTCCTTTTTATCTTCACCGGCTATTAAACTGACTAATGTGTCGTAATCCTTCAGTGTATTATTATTGGTACTTTCGAACGACGAATATATCTGATCATATATTGATGTTCCACGATTTGCTGCTACTATTGCACTTTTTTCTTCTGGGTTAAGCGAATCGATAGATTTTTCTCCAAGAATTGCAACCTGCAATTACAAGAATACACGAACTCAGTATCCAAACTCTCAAAAGTCAAATATATCACTTGTATCACTATAGAGCTAAATAACAGTTATTGGAAATATTTTATAAAATTCATTAGTAACCTGTTTTTGAAAAGTCTGTTCCCGGAGGCGAAAATATGTTCTTGAGAGTTTCTCCCTTCTGCTGACCATGTAGCACAAATTGCGAACCTATTCACAAAACATTTATTATTGTTACTACTATTATTGACAATAATCCAAGGTTCATTCATCCATTGAAATTTGAATCGATAATTTGTCGATTTCATTTATGACTTTTTATGTAGCAACAGAGCAAAGGTTTGCTTACCCGTTCCAGATCTTGGCGTAACTGAACAAACATTTTCATTTGCTCTAAATCTTGTTCCTGTTGTTGAGTTAAAAGCTGTGTTGTTTCAGGTCGGGGTGGTACCAATGGCCGGTTGTTCAATGACTGTAAAAAAAATTCCACAAAAGTATAAACAATTGGAACGAACAATGCAAACTCGATAGAGGCCAATCAAATTAACAAATAATCAACAATAGAAATAAATAACATATAATAATAACACTATAATTCAAAGGAATGTTCAGCTCACCTTGCGTTTCAACTTCCAGAAATTAAAGACAAGCATAACAATGTCCATGTCGACAGCTAGATTTTGTGCAACATCCTTTAATCTGACGTATTTGTAAAACTCGGATTCGATCAATTGCAATCTATAGATAAAAATATGAGCAACAAACAGAATTAATAATTAATCACGATTACATAAGAAATGATTATATTAAACATATGTGGTAGATTTGATTTCAATAATATTACTTTTCGGCACGAGCTTGATTTCGTTCCTCGGCTGTCATCGCCTTCAACTTTTTCTTCTCTAAATCTTCTTCAGAGCCAGATTGAGGAGATTTGTCTTTCTTTGGGTTCACACTGTGCTTTTGGCAGTAGCTCTGTGCATAATTTTAAAACAACACATTACTTCAAACATATATACAAAATAGTGTACACAACTAACACAAGTTGATATGCTATTGTGGTAGCATACCCTTAATTTGATTCCGTCTTCTGCATTTTCGTCAACAATTATGGGTTTCATTTCTAACCCATTCTTGAATGCACAGGTCACATGATACGCTGTTTTGCATGTCTTTACAGAACACTGGATACAAGCTCCAGCTTTGTCCTTGCATATAACACAGATTAGAGACCAACGGCTTTGCTGTAAAAACAAAATGTAAAACAAAGCCATATATAAAATACATTTAAATAAATAAATAAATAAACAAAGTGAAATATCAAATATTCTCACAGGGATCGCTGATATTTTAGTAATTGGTTCCATTTTCTCGACAGAACCTATACTAACTTCTGGAATCCATATAGCGCAAGCCACATGGGCCCATTTTTGACCAGACCTAGTTGCCTTCATGGCGCCACCCATGTTGGGACATAAAACGCAAGGAGGACGAATACTGAGTGCTGTAAAATTACAAAAATAAAATTAATAAAAATGAAACTGATTCATTGAAAATAACTATCAAGTTGTAAAAGAATTAACAAACGCGACAATATGGTTATAATATATATACGTACTGCACGTTCGACACAGCCAGGATCCGGATGGGATAGTTGTGATACCGTAGCAAGCCTGATGAACGCAGATGTTGCATGAATCGCAAAACACCATCTCATTCCCTTCTTCAGACTCGGGCTGGAATAATGATTTTTGATTTATAGTTTTTCACGTAGGTTGTACGACATACGACGGCAATCTCATCAATTTAATATTAATTAATTAATTCCTTACCGATCGACAAACATCACAAATGACATTTTCATCATATTCTATTCCTAGTCCTTCCTGACTTTTGAGTATCGTTTGTACTTGCTCCCAACACTGCAACTCCAATTCCTCGATAACTTGTTCCATCAAGAACTCCGAGATTACAGGCAAGCTTTGCATTCCTCGATCGGAATTTGCGCAACTTAACCAGGACGCATCAATATCATCCAAGTCATAGCTGCAAACCTTTTCCGCTCTAGCCGCCGTTGACACTAATTCTAAAAAATCACAAACGGTATATGTTCTTACTTCTTTACTCGATAAATTGGTTCCAATAAAAAAAAAGTTTACTTACGATGGTAATCGGGGTTAAAGAAATCATCATGCGTCACACGAATGTATTTCTTTTTCGGTCTGTAAACAAAAAATAATTCAGAGAACCCACAATTAATATTAAACAATGATAGTCAATCATCCCGAAATAACAACAATGGTATATATTAAATAATATACTCACAGCCTGAAGTCGTGACTTCTTTCGTTCACTGGCGAAATGACTACGACTTCGGGTTCAGGAAGGGACTCGGGATTTACGGGGACTTGGACTCCCTTTTCCCATTCCTGCTTCCAAGGGTCGGTAATTAACCAATATTCTTCAGGGGTAAGGGGCTCACTGTCAGCAAGCTTCATTGCGCTGATTAAATCTTTTCTGTACAACTACACACGCAAACAAAAGTAAAACATTAGTGCTAATTCAACATGAATAATAATATTGTTCACGTAAATAAATTTATTTACTTCAGCAGGAGCTTCGGCGGAGTTGCGATTGTAAATTGAGGAAACTTTGAGGTCGTTGAGATGTCGTGGGGTCCACATTCCTCCAAGGGAGGATGGAAAAGGTCCATTTCCACCAGAATTAGACCCTGCATCCTCCTCCCCTCCCACTCCACCGCCACCTCCTCCTGCTCCTCCTCCATCTGAGCCGCTGGGACGTCGACGGCGACGTTTCCCAACTGCGGCTATAGATTAAAATTATAAATCAAACATTAAGAAAGACATTTATCACAGCGAAGTAAGTACAATTTCAAAAAAAATATGCATACCGTTGCTATCCTCGACTTTGCCAGACTTTTTAGTTCGCTGTGACATGCTGGCATTTATTAGTTCACAGCATCCGCCATGTAAGCATCTACACAGAATATAATAATAACACTTGAAACAAATTCTTCATTTTTCCAACAATTGATAATTCTTCTCTCCAAAAATGCACAATGACACACACAGCATGTGTAACATAGAAAAGAAATTGAGCAAATTAATCGATTAATCAACAATCACTGATATTCACTTTTCTTTAACTAAAAATGTGCACGTTCACATGTGCAATTTGGTCGAATTACATATATATAATATCTTTCTCTCTCTCTCTCTCTCAATATCCAAAATCTAGTTTAGTAAACTGTAGTATTTAGTTACACAAAACGTAATTTTTATCATCCACGTATTTAGTTAGAAATTTATATCAATCTCATTACTGCGTCACATCATGTCACATGCATTAAAATAAACAATATTTCCTCAGAATTGCAAAATTCCATTCTACTATACACACTATATTCCCACAACATTATACTCGTCGTTTTTTTGCAACTGCGGAATATGGATTTTCACCCACTATCACTGCCCCCCCTTCCCCCCACTCACTCCTTAGCCGACCCCATCACCTCTCGATGCCTAAAATTCACGTCGCACCCCTCTCAACACTTTAATTTCCTTGTTTTTCCCAATATTTTGGCACCTTTAAAGAGGAAATATTTACAGAGGGCAGCACCTTCACCTTGGTTAAAATCTGTTAAATTGTCACTTTAGAGGTTGTCCCAAACCGTGAAATGATCAACAAGACCTCCTCGACCTCGTCCTTGGCCTCTTGACGATAACCCCGTGTGGACAGGGGGGTTTTAACGGGGGGCTGCCCTTCCAATTTGGTAGTCGTTGTAGTGTATTAGAGAGAGTGAGAGAGGGAACTTTTATATATGAAGGGATTACACTGCCCAATTTCTCCGTGCTTGAGGAACGATTTGTAGGAATTTTGGAACCTTTAAGGCCCCCAACTACTTACCAGTCACTGGTCCATTAATAGTGCTTCGTCAAGGATCCTCTGTTCCTTAACAAATTGGGATTAATACTTGGGAAATGCTACATTTTGGAGTTCTTTAGTTAAGCGACATTTTAAAGAAGTATATCCTTACAACACAACAAAGATAGCGCCATCTGTGGCCAGGAGGGAAAGTCGTCGAGTGGTTCGATCCAGTAAAGAGGGCCGTTGAGAGGGAAGGATGATGCCAAATTAACAGGAATCACATCACACGAGAGAGAGAAATGCATCACCGACCGACCGACCAGTACTATAGACGGTATTTTTTTACTACTACATTAGCCCTATAGGAGCAGGACAGGAGCATAGTGGCGAGTTTTGTATATAGGACTCATGCATTGTTGTGGGCATTGGTGAAGTGACGTCGGTGGTTGAGGTCGAAGCAACCCGATCCGAAGAAGGAGAAATGCCCGGAAGGAATGTGTCCTCAACGGAGAGGATTTCTCACTCCCAGACTGAGATCAAATCGGCGTGTCGAAATAATATATAGATGACTTTATGGGTGTGTGTGGGGTTGTTGTTTGGGTGGTGGTGGTGGTAATGCACGTGTTTGGGATGAAATTCATCCGATGAATGTTGATAACCGCACCCACTGCTTTTAAAATCATGTCCATTTCCGAATAATATGGTGGCTTGTTGTATTTTGCGAGATTGCATGTAATCCGTATCGTTGGATTGGAATGCAATAATTGTATTTGTATTATGAACTTGAACTTTTTATTGCATCACTGTAAAAGGACACTACTATATACTGACGGATGTGGGATGTGGGTGACAACATTCATAAAGTATAAGTTATATTTTTTGTAATCACAGCCCTGAACAGGGTTAGACCACCCACTCCTGGAAGGAACATTGGATTATTTACTTAGGTCTTGGGTATATTATGGTTTATGATGGAAAGTAATGTTACAATGCAGATTCAGTTTTTTTAAATAAAATAAATTAAAAATATTACGGAGCACCACACTACTACAACTGGGTAGTAACATTTCTTTTATTTTTATGTATATAATATATGATTTGTTTCACAATCTATTTTTTCCATCACGCACGAGTATACTTAACAATAAGTAGCATATCGAATGCCCTGCCATACCATATCTTTTTTTCAAATGAGACCATCCATAATATAAATAGTTTTGTAAAAAGAAACAAGAATTTTTTTCCGAGAGAAAATATTATGACGGCATAATACTAATGTTCAAACTGAATCGTGCCACCAATGACGGTTTTTAGTAATGTAAAAGTATTTTGATAATTTTTTTTTGTTTTGAAAATCGAAGTTTCGCGAAATCGATTCCGTTGTTGCTGCTGCTCTCGTTATTAGTTTAAATTAAGTTACATAGCGCTAAGATTTCTGCTGGGCCTATCCAAAAATTGACTCAGTAGCCCGTTCAAGATCCCAATTTTGAGCCGACAAGACGCTGTACGCAGTGTTCGTTTCTACTCCCATGTCAACGAGACGACGAGCTCGTGATTCATACTCTGGCTTCCTGTTAGGACCTAGAAATATAAAGTGTACATGGCAATTATTAGTTGTTACTTTATTGGTCAATGAATATCGTGTATAAGTAGCGAATTTAACTAACCTCCAGCATAGATCGCTGACCAGTGTTGAGCCGTCATTTTAAATACAGCTGGGTGATCCTTAAATTGTCGAGCAACCACAGCGTCTTGTGGGTCATCAGGTTCAGCTGCAGCCAAGAGTGCTTGCAGTGAAAGGAGTACAGTACGTAAGGTCATTGCAGCCGCCCTGACGAGACAATATTACAAGTTAAAAAAAATTAACAAAAGTCAAAGTCGTCAACTTAAAAATAATTGTATTCTTGATACGTTACTATATTTCTTACCACTGATCTTTCAGAATATCAAGGCAAATTGCTCCTGTGACCGATGAAATGTTGGGGTGCCAAATTCGCGTCAAAAATCGAACCTTTGGTGGATTGAATGGATACGTTTCCGGCACCACAATCTCCAACTCGAAATTTCCCCCTTCATAGGGCGTATCAGGCGGTCCTGCAATCTGACCTCGCAACTCGGACCAACTGTCATTCACCAAATCAATACGAATCGCACATTTCGCAACCTGAATAAATGTAAAATGATGAATTAAGCTCAACTTGTAATTGTGCATAGTTCATAAATCGTCATATATGAGCGATCTTGTATATATACACGACTAGCCACTAGACGATCTGACCCATGTTAATCTACGACCACCGCTGCCGGCACTCCACCACCACCAATGCCTCTTCCCTGCTCAGTGTCTTACTAGTGCCAAGTGCACCTCTTTTGGGTCTTTTCTTCCCTCGGGACCAGACCCCTGGAAATAAAACTGGGTATCCATCATTCCATACGGATTGCTATTCCATGATAAATCGTAAAATAATGCGCATTTGAGTCTAGGAAGGGGGTGGTGAAAGCGGGCCACCCAGCTAAATGACCTCCTCTCCAGGAAAAGTCAGGAGAGGCGTACTCTTCAAAACATACTACCACCCCTTATCAAATATAAGCCCCAAACTAAATTACAAATGGCAAAAACTCCCAAAGCAAAACAATATATTTTCTGCCCTACTTCCACCCCCTTCTTACCTCCTCGCTCTTGACGACCTCCTTGAACTCGCGTTTGATCCTTTGCGACGCGATATTCGACATCCTCCTTTGAAAATCTGTCTGATTTCTCAAAAAAGAATGTTCGTCGACACTTTGGAAAGAGAGCTAACTGATTTGAACTGCAGTACGGAGAACTTCAATTTCTCTGAACTCTGCCCAACAATAATATTTCTTAGGTGGCTGATGAATGAAAGACAATGAGGAAGGTGGAAAGGTGGAAAAAGGTCGTCAGTCCAGCACCGTAGTCGTGGCCACTAGACTGGACTCCCTGGGTTCGGAAATGTTCAACAATTTTGGTACTTCCTCCCTCCGAAAAGGTCGGAAACCTTGGAATTGTGAAGAGAAGGAGGAGGACTTTGAGAAATTCTGAAAATCTTCGTCTCAGTGGAGAGAACGAGGATGAGAGGAGAGAACAGATGAGACTGAAAGAGTGAGGACGAGGAAAGTGCAGTTCACGATGGTGGTGGTGGTGGGATCGTAGTGGTGGTGGCATTTGATAGAAGATTTGAGGTTCATTTTCTGTTCGTGCTCTATGATTTCGCTCATGCCACTGACCGGGTCTCGAAAACTGGTCCAAAAACCCTATCTCACTCGTCGAGAGGATGATAACACCGGGTAACTAACCTTCACCACCAATCTTGCAGCCCGACAGATTAATAAGACAACATTAGAAAAGGAAACCTGTGACGTTTGTGTGGAACAAAAGGTCACTGGATGAGTGACAGCTTTGTTGTATGAGACAACTAATATTACGCCGTATGTAGAAAATGAGACAATTATTATTAGATTTGTTTTCAATTAGATTTGTTGCATTATTTACTGCATTATCATTATCATTATGATAAGCCAATATTATATTTTTTACTGCACGGGTTCTCCGTCTTCTGCACCGAGTTGGAGTTCAAAATGCGTGAATCAAAAGATCTTTTTGTCTTCCTTGCTCAGATTACGTATTTGTCAAGCAAGCAGAGTTACGAAACCTGAGACACATTCTAGTTGATCTTGTAAATTAAATATATATAATTCGGTCTATCTTTATCCGAACAAGTTGAGCAACCCGAGAGTGCGGATTTGTTCATTTGTCTCACGTCTCTCATTTGTCTCATGTCTGTTTCTTCGTCTGCTTACTTCCCTTTGGCTTGCGTCACATTGATGTATTTTTACGAAACATGAAATAAATCAGTAATAAAGGGAAAAAGTGTATCAATTTTCATGAAAACAGAAGACTCGTCTAATTTTTGAAAGTAATGCAAGTCTTAGATGGACATGGATACAAAGAGAGAAAGTGCTTTAGTTATTGACGAGCGGATTTGTCCTCCATTTCTCCTACCTTTCAATCTCGGCACGACTTTCTCCCTGGTTATTAGAGGTGATCCATCCAATCTCTCTCTGGAGAAAGTGGGAGGGTTTTCTCCCACTCCAATCTCGCCGTCTGGTGTAAGCTCCCCGGAATGATTCATAGTTGAGAGAAAGGAGTCCACATTATTGGTGGCATTTTGATGAGAGGAGGTTGTGTTGAGACTCCGAAACAGAAAGGAGAAAGTCGGAGAAAGTTTGTGTGATTCTTGGGACCACAGTAGTTACATACCTGGCTGGAGAGTTGGATCTAAATATTTTCAGAAATGGCGTGCAAAATTTCTGCCTACTTTGGATGTTATATACATTCCATAATTTTATAATTCGCCAAAACAAAAACATTTAAGGAGACAACTAATTGTCGCATTGGGTTGGTTATACTGAAATTTATTTTATCCATTTTAGGACTGGTGTATCTAGTTGTTGAACTATAGAAATAGATATTGTTGGATTATTTGGCACACATACGTAGTTATTTGATTTTTTAAATAATGCGATTGATTGATTGGTAAAGTGTATAGGATTGAATAAATGAACAAGGAGTATAAGTTAGCATTTCATGTAGCAATTTAAATCTTGGAGAACCTAGATGTTTCCTAATTTTAATTAATTTTTGCTCAATATGTGTCCTGGTTCTATTTTTATTTTTATAATTGTATTTTTACGAGTTATTTTTTGTGATACTTTGGGTACCATAAATTTTGGCGTAAGATTTGCTTAATTCTTTATTGATGTCTTTTGCGGCATGCTCTGAAAGTTGGAACCTGTTGCACTAAAAATTAATTTCAACACTTTCATTACTCTTTGTCTTTGCTAGCGAATTCCATTAATTCATGTCAAAGCAGGTTGCACATTATTGGCTATAAACATTTAACTGATCAGTTTACATCTAATTTCTTCTCATTAATGTCTCTATGCGGTGAAATTAATGCATGAAGCACAGAAGGACTACATGCTTATATACAGTATGCACTCAAAGCAAGTATGAAGTAGAAAATAGATGAATGAATTGCACTTAACAGGAAAAAATTGGACTGCAAATAATATTCTGGTAAAACGTTGTTTATGTTCTTCTGTTTTCCTTATTAAGCAATCCCGAATCGATGACTTTCACCCTAGTCTATTCTATATCATTTTCATTCCCAAGATTTTTAATATTTTTAATATCTCCAGTATTCTACAACCTACACTTTATAGAGGCCAGGATTCCATAATTTGTTGAGTGTCATTACACCATAGATCATATAGATTAGTTATTGCCGTGCTTAAGGTGCAACATGCATCACATCACAAAGACGACATTTTTTCATATTCATATTTTGTACATAGATCTGGCCGACTGAATCGACAGAGCTGATTAGTAACAACACTTATAAGCCTTGAAATTCTTTACCATCATGAGTTATTCAAGCACAAAAAACTCCGAATCCACAGCATCTCATAATTCTATGTAAGTTCAAATTTCCAGTTTATTTACATGACTTTCAAGATAATATGAAAAACAATAATCTTACAATTAGAGACACGGATCCAATTGATGAAGAAATTGACGAAGAGAGAGACGACACGAAAAGAAAGTCTAGGAATTTATCCGAAAAAAGGCGAAGGGATCAGTTCAACGTCTTAGTAAACGAGCTGTGTTTCATGGTTTCAAACTCTACGAGAAAACTGGACAAGTCCACCGTTCTAATAGCTACGATCAACTTTCTCAAAACTCACAATGGTATGGAATTCAGCATGCAAATGTCATCATTTGGTTATAATTTGCGTTCTATTCTAAAATATATAGAACGTTCTGCCCAATCTCAGTCTCAAGTTGAGGAGACGCAAGAGAATTGGAAACCATCCTTTTTATCCAGCGAAGAATTTTCGCATCTCATGATGGAAGTATGTAAATACGCCCGACAAGTGAAATTATACAGCTTGTACAAATATATTAAATGACCAATGTTTTGAACGCGCAGGCTTTGGACGGGTTTATCATTATCCTATCAAGCAATGGGAAGATATTATATTTGTCGGAAAGTGTCACTTCACTACTTGGATACTTGAGCGTGAGTGATTCAATTCTAAATACACACTTGCATTTGGTGCACATGATACCCAAAACGGTCAAATGCATTGCTATTAACAGAGTGACCTTGTCAACTGCTCAATATACGAGTACGTGTGCGACGAGGAGAAGGCAAAATTGCTAAATGTCCTCTCCAGTAGGAACGTCGATGACAAAACACGAAATAACGGGGGTGTTTCATTGACCGTAAACTTTCGTGTTGGGGACTTTGGATCCATGGAGGAAAATCATAAGTGTCAATTAGTCAAACTTATGGGTTACTTTAAAAGGTGGACTTTGGCAGATTGTGAGTAGTTTTTATCTCTAGAAATTTGGTTGCTCTTAACCCTTAATTAAATATGACTACTGGCTTGAAGGCGTGAATGCTGACATGACTTCTGAGAAAAATGAGGGGGAGGAGTTTTCCGAATCCAATGACTCAATCCATAGTGCCAACTACATATTCGTCGCCACTGGGAGATTACTTAATGCAAACCTGGTGCGAGAAATGTCCGTCGTGGTGGACACGGAAAATCACGAGTTTTCTTCAAAGCATTCTTTAGAGTGGAAATTTCTCTTTTTGGACCCCAGAGGTGACCAAGAATTTAGTAACACAAACTAACTAAATAACTTCTTGCTTAATGATTTTCTACAATGATCTATAGCGGAAGTGTCAATTGGTTACTTACCATTCGAAGTGTTAGGCACTTCAGGGTACGACTATTATCATGCTGACGATGTGGAGAAAGTTGCCCTGTGTCATGAACAGTGTATGTGCTTAGGATAAATTGAAACGAAACTTTTATCTAAATGAAGAGCTTATGTATAACTTTTATGATAGTAATGCAAAAAGGAGACGGGATCTCTTGTTTCTACCGTTTTCTGACGAAAGGACAACAATGGATCTGGTTACAAACAAAGTATTATGTAACGTATCATCAGTGGAACTGTAAACCAGAGTTTATTGAATGCACTCATCGGGTTGGCAGGTAGAGCGATATTCTTAAGCATATAGAATTTTTTAGAGCATCTTGCATATAAAAAATACTTAATTTTTTCAGTTATTCCGATGTGATGAAACATATTCGTGGAGACAATGCATTTTCGTCAGCTCCCCAGTTGGGCGACTCTTCACCGCTTCCTAGCAAGCGTCAAAAATTAGAAACCAAAAGGTCCCTTCCTGCTGCATTACAACCCATGATGAAACCTAAGAAATCGAATACCAGTGTAAGATATTCCTACAAAGAGACAAGAATTTAATAACCGAATTTAAATTTATTTCCGACAGCACCAATCGAAAGCTGGGGTACAAATAAGTTCTCGTCAAGAGTCCCCAGCATCAGTTATAGTAAAACTAACGAGTTCTGAAACAATGCCAAAAAAAGCTCTCTCACAAATGTCACATTATAATCCTCAAATCATCCAACCGATGGAATTTTTTCCCGTTTCTTCATTCACCACGCTCGATGATGTCCCAAACAAAGATAAGTTTATACAAACTTCAATTCCAAGACATGCTCCTCCTGGACATGTTCTTCATACTCATTTTCATGACGAGGTGAAAGTTTCAGAAAAAGTTATGCATTCGGGTAAATTTCAGTATGCTTCCTTCATAAAATTTATGTGAAATTACAGGTCAGTTATATTTTACAGATAATCTCCAGAAGCAGCTCCTCATGAAACGTGAACAGTTGCAGCGACAAATCATACAACAACAAGACGAGCTACGCCACGTTTCCGAACTGCTTATTGCGCAGTGTGGCTTTCTTCCTGACCGTGTCCCTTCCCAACAGACAGACGCCACCCGTGACGACGAGCCGCCTGTGGTGACACGTTTGTCGTAGATGTATGCATACATATGCAAATACACTTGGTTATTTAAGTCCGGTCAAGTATATGTGCATGTATATTTACATACATAGCCGTCCGAAAATGTGAGCTAGATTCAAACAATTTTCATGATTCCCATATTTGTGTATATTTCGAAATTTTCAGTCTTATTGTGATACCAACGAGTAAATAAATTGTCATTACTTAATAACAAAAAATATCACTTGCACAAGATTTGTGTCATTTGTATAGGAAATTTATTAAACTCTTACTGGGTAAGTATGCATAAACAGAAGAAACTGACAGAGGATGAATAAGGTCAGTTTTTTAACAGTAATTGGTATATTTATGATACTTTCCCGTCATTTATCATACTTAACTTGTTTCGTCATATTTGCAAACCAGATAACACAAAACACGTGTTGTTTTTCTACAATGTCATAATACGAAGAAACAAAAACCATGATATTTTCCTTAGCTCAACATTTTTTCAGTTACATATTTAAAAACTACTCAACTGATAATTATTAAGGAGTCTATGTGTGACATTGCTATATGATTATTACTGAATTTTTAAATTAACAACATTTTTGCATCATATTTTTTAACATTTGAAACTCAGCAGCAGTAACAGCAGATTATATGAATCATACCGAATTTTGCAGAGACTTCTAAATTGGTTAATAATAAAATTCATACGAATATTATTAAATTACGCCATTCTTGTCAACTACCCTGAAAAAAAATCAAGAATAATAAAATCGTGATGTGAAAACATTTTTCTTACAAATTGTACGAATTGCATGACCTGACAGCAAACAGTGTTATTATTTAAGACAAAAAATGATATATTTTGCTGTCATAAGAAATAATCAGGGTTAAAAAGATGATTAAACCATCAAAGTATAAGGATTTTTTGGTAGGTAGGTTTGGCTTTTCCAACTTTTCAATAAATCAGGTTCAACGTATAAGGAATGAGGAGGCATGATACCTAAATTATATATGTAACCTTAAATTAAATAAATATAAGTTTCTCATAATAAGTAAAAATTCATCAGTCCTCAGATTTCCTGTCGAACAGGTACTGCTTCTCTCATCCTCAAAAATCCACGCACTTTACGTACATAAAAAGAAACAGATTTGGGGTGTGGTCTGGGTGTGGCCAGATCTAGACGACTCGTTCCAATAATATTATTACTATTATTCGCCAACCCAACAAGCGCTATGCCATTAATGCTACTTGTATCAATTTCAGTTCCACCACATAATAAGGAACTGAACGGGATTTTAAATACATATTATTATTACATAGGTTTCCAGTCCAGTTTTTACAGCATAGAGGTTTAAAGGCATCATCTTAACGACTTTCACAACATTTTTTGAACGATACTATCATCATACTATACCGCCTTGATCCTATTTAATTATTAATGTTTCTGTATTTTGATTGAGGGAATCAATGCTGTGTACTTATCCGTTTCGTCAAGATAGATAAGACATCATATCATATGTTTGCAGTGGCTGCATACATTCACTTTCCGCAGTTACATTTGTTTTAGTGCATTTAATACTTATTTTTTAGATGGTGGAAGTAACTTGAACCGGTAGATATTCGGCGTCGTCTATATATGGCAGTGGCTTTTGGAATTAGATATTCAAACAATGTTATTTACGGAAGACATATCATCAACATCATCAGGCTACAAGAAATATAACTCCACGCCAAACAACATTTCCGCTAATTCTAACCAATATTTTGGGGTGCAGAGTAATCAAGGTGATTAAATTTCACTTCAACGAAAGCTGTGAAAAGAGACCATATTATAGTAAATATATATGTATGTATATATCTATGTGTCTATTATGTAATTATACACAATGAATATAACGTAATACATGGATTGTTTCAAAATAATAAATGCAGCCACACATAATTAACTGGCTTTACTTGTAGTTAAATCAGATCTATCTCCTCAAGCGTCACTTGAAAAGGGCTATTTCTGAGCTAGTCTCCAATTCTGTCATTTTTATAGATTATTATTTTTTTATAGCTATATGGCGTTAATAGTAGTTGAAAATATTTTGAAATAATAAAATGGGTTTCTTTCAAATGTTTTGAAAAATAATAAACAAAATTATTTCAAGGGTTCAGGATCAGAGAGAATTTTTAACCTACACGCAAAATTATATGAAACTTTTTAACACTCCAACACGAGAGAGGTACATAAATAAGGTTACATATTGCGGTGTGATTTAAAGTTTCAGGAGTGTTGAAAAGATAAATTTTGTTACATTTTTTTGTAAGAAATGAAAAATGGATGTGCTAATTCATAGGACAAGATTATGTAACGGAAATTGACTAGGGCCATGAATTAACCAAAGTGAAAGTAAAATAGAATTTCTGCTCAAACCATAATAGAGCATTATTAACATGACCGTAAAGAAAGAGGCAAGTAGTATTCATCGTCACAGAATAATTTGCCTTTCTATTTCTTACTTGTAACTCGCTCGGTTGGGAACAGCCAGAGAATAAGAAGTAATTAATCATATATTACTATTTGTAGCTCCAAAGTGTTCAAAGTCAGTTTCTCAGTTCAGCAAATGTCTAATTTAGTAGTTAGTTATACGTAAATGGTAGCTGCAAACTTCATTATTGAAACTCTAAAAAATATCCTATATGATGATTTCATTCGGGAATTAGAAATTCTGTACGAAAATGATTGTATTAGCACAATCCAGGTCATTAAAGCTTTCCATTTGCTACAGGTCGTCATGGTGGTTAATTAACATAACTCTCAATCATTTATTAAGCTCTACAGGAACCGACGATGTTTTAAAGCAACTTCATATATGTAACTCCATGTCTTTTTGCAAAAGAACGACAAACGTGGCTCACGCGTGGGTGCGATGTCTGGTTTCATCCCGGGGGGCAAACGGGGGGACAAAATCCCTGAAATTTTAACACGGGCCTTATGGAAAAGGTCCTGGCCCCCTCTAGTCCCGGCAAACTCCTTCGCGCGTTTGCAGGGTTTTTCAAACCCACGCGTGGCTGTAACAAATCGAAGTTACGAAACGATCTATTTAAAAGAAACCAATTATTTTGGTTGGGTAACTGCTAATTCTTGTTTAGGAAATACAAAAATTAATCATCGAACTGAAACTGGGTGGGTGTGTATCTATCTACTATGCTCACAATATGTATCACTACTACATACTATTACATACCTTACTATATGTACGCCGAATTCTCTGTCAGAAAGAGACGCAATATAAAATGTTGACGCAGTGATTATAATCTAAGTCTAACCAAATACCGCGATATAGTCAATAACGAAAGCATATGTAATTAGTAAAGAGAGAATACATAACAGAATAAGTCACCGTGAACACTCAACAGCCTCTGCTGTTAAGATAGTATAAACTTATGAATGCTTCACAACAATTACTCCGGGCCGGAGTTGTTGTTGCTGACAACTTGAAGGTGATGTTTGGTTATTGAATGGTGATGGGCTACGTGAAAGACCAGGCCTAAACTCGAGATTTATTGGCTGATCCTCAACTTCAACAATACGAGAAACAGGAGGTGTAACTACGTGTTGTTGTTTCATTATTATAGCTGTAGGCGTACTTATCGTCCCTGGAGCCACTCCAGAAGAACCACTATATGCAGTCGCCATAGGTGAGGCCTGACAAGATGTTGATAGCGTAGCAGTCAACGCAAGGGGGACCTCAACTGTGGTTTGAGAACAATTTGGCGATGCAGATGCCGACATGGAAATGTCCATTCCGCGTGGAGAAGCAGAAGGAGGAGAGGACGAACGAGTGAAATTTATGCGGTCATCCGAAAACAAATGATCTCCTTCCAGATGTCGAATAGCTTCAACTATAGTCTCCAAATTATTTCTAATGGTATAACATCTGGAAAAATAGCAATAATAAAAAAATCATCATTTAAAAAATAATGTTGCGTATAAGTTATTAAGTGCTTTAATAACAAGAAAATTTTCATATTCAAATATAGTATGTACACACCTTGCTGTCTCTTTGTATGCGTTCCGGTTGGTCCCTTGAAGAGATTCAACCTCTTCTGATGATTGCATCCTGAAATATTAGTTAACATTTTTATTAACTGGCCAAATACTGAGAATATGAAAAAGATTATTAAGTCTGGATGCAAACCTCTCATTGTCGAACTTTCTCGAGTAAGCATTCAGTTGCTGTTGTAGGATAGCAATATGTTCTTCCAATCCTATGCGGTGTCTTCTTTCTCTTTCTAGAGCGTGGCGTAACTCTAACGTTTCCCGACGTAGCTCTAGCATTTCGGCCCGTGCTTCGTCGCTGGTTACACTATGTTCAGGAGACATACTCCCAATCCCTTCATCAGCAGACTCTAGTGCGCCTAGATAATAAATATAAAGACAAATACAGTTTAGTGTAAATTTAACATACAAAGATGAGATACTCATTAATTTCAAGTCGAGCAAGTACGTAATAGCTCACCATCAATGGTCTTCCGTCTTTTCGTTACACTTGGTACATCAACTGCAGGGGACTGAGGGGATGAATAAGTTCCAACCGTTGCATCACCTCCGTTCTGATTCACGGCTCGTTTCAGCTGATTATTATAACTCACCACTTTATTTTTTTCTTGTAATAACTGAAATATATAGTCTGACGTTTGTTGTAAAATTGCCGCCTAAATTAAAACAAATCATCCGTAATTAATTTCAAGTAAATTATTGCATATTTTTATTATTTTAATAAATTAAATAAATCAAGGGTGACCAGTATGTATGAATGGATAAATGAATATGTACGTACCTTGCTCAATTTTTCACCTTCATGGTTCGGTAAGAGATTTCGTAGTCCTGCAAAGCCGGCGTTTATACTTTGCATGCGGCGTCTTTCATTCGAATTGGCGATTTCTCGCCGCATCCGCTTCTCGTGCTCCATACCCTCGCCGTCCCCCAGTGGGTCGTCTAGGCCCTCAATTTTAGCAAATTAAGTCCACAAGGACCAAAAACTCCGTCCGGTATAAAACCCCCTGAACTCCCTGCACTCAGGCAGGGACGTCGTCGTCACTTATTTAAGAATTGGGAAGAGTCCTAAAATTCAAACAATAATTTAGACTTGAACGAGTACTTAATATTGTTCATTGAATCAATGGCAATGCTATGCCCAATGTTTTGTTCTAGGTATGGAAAATTTTATCAACGCAAGGTGTTGTTCTTGATATTTAATGAATTTCTAAAAGAAATAAGAAGTGATGAATGAGTAAATGAGTTCTCTGAGTTGCCTTTTCACCTGGTTCTTAAATCCAGAAAACCGATAAGATCTCTCTTTCTCCCAATAATTTATAATTTCACACAAAGCAATGTGTTGAAAGACCTTATTAATATTTAATCAATTATCAAACCTCCATATGTCATAAGATCATTCGATTTTGATTAAACTATGTCGTCTAGTAATCGTATCTACAATCTGTTCAATTTGAAACCCATCTACATAATACACACGTATTGCCTTCTTCCCAAACTTGAAATTACTAGTAGAGGAGACGACGAATTTTATTTTATGTGTCACTAACAACTCGTCGATGCCTATTATTGACCTGCCATCACACTCGCCACGTTACTCTTAAGCACTTTCACAAAACTTTTTTTTCAAATATTTCCAACCCACCAAACCAAGATTACTTGAATCTACTATTATTACGATGCTCCCATTTTCGCCTCAGCTGGGTCGACCAAACAGCAGCCAACAACCAACTTGCCTCGCCGGCTTGGCATCTCTCATTTTAACCACACACATAAAACCACCACCACACTCAACCTATATAAATACCTACGTACCTATATCCCAACAAGAAGCCAGCTGTTATTTCGCCTGCCTCTTCCACCACCGATTTCGTGGGTGGAGATGATACAACCACCGAAAAAAGGTCGTCACCACAGTGACCACGTACCCCCCAATTCGACCCGTCTCCTCCCCCTCCTCCAAAAACGATAACAAATGTGGCGGCGCAGAAAAATAATAAGGAGCTTGGCCCGGAACACACACAGCAGTGAGCAACCAACCAACGAGTCACCTTAGCAAAAAGAGAGACCGACTACTACCACCAGCCAGCAGAAGAAGACACACCAAGAGGAGCCGACGTAAAAGTAGTAAGTAGAATCAAATAGAATGGTGGAGAGAAAGTGCGGTGGTGGTGATGGTGGTCTATCTAGAATACCAGCCGATGATGATGATGCTACAATGCATCGCTCGCTGCTGTTGGTGGTGGTGGTGGTGGTGGTGGATCAGCATCAGCCGCTTGCTCATATGGTGTAGTATGGAGGCACAAATAGACATGGACGCCCAGCTGACCCGGATTTCTTCCGCCAAACTACCACCACCCACCAGCCCCCAGCCAACAGCAGGTCAACAGCCACTTCCTCCCCCTCAATGCAAATCAAATCCACTCCCCCTGCCGAGCACGCCTGTCCCCACACCATATGTGGATACTGAAGCAGTGCTGTGGCGGCACGGTGTGGTCCTTCTGTGCCTCCAAAAAACGGAGAAAAGACTCAGTTTTGGCAAATTCTTACCTTCAGAACTTTGAGTTTCGATTGCGATGCGTTTTTTGAACTTGATGACCACTGTTTGTCACTAAAAATGCGGTCACAGCACTGCAAAAGCGGAGGGGAACGAATGGTGAAGCGGCCAACTGAGAAGTATACACTCTACGACTGGTGGTGATGGTGGTGGGTCGGCTGCTCTATGCTCCTCGCTTGATGGTGGTGGAGGAGACAAAAACGAGAGAAGAGCAGCCAGCAGGCTCGCAGGCTGGCTGGATGAATGAAACAACTGATGCGATCGTCCGGGCGTCTAAAAAAATTGGGTACTTCACACCCAGCGTCAATTTACAATAATGTTACGTAACAATTATCCAAAACTTGGTAATTATTAGGTTACACGGATGATGTAGAAGATCAGCATATTAATGGGTAAGTAATGGGTAACATTAATAGCATTCTTTTTGGGAATTTTCCCAGCTGCAAACAAGACAAGTCCAACTCCACAAAGACTGCACTGACTCCGATGTAGGTTGCGTTTTCAAGCCAAGCATATGAAGAACATGCATGCACCATCAAAAGCAGCAGTTGTAGTATAATAGTACTAGCAGTACTACAACATATATCGCCACCACCACCTTTAGTATCTTAGCCGCATGCCTCGTTCTCCGCCATCATCACCACCTCCGTCGCAATTGTTCGCCCATCGCCGCCAAGGGTCGCTTTCTTCGGCATCGCATCACCTACCTAGCAAACCTACCACTTCTTCCTTGGCTCCTGGATGTAAAGGAATGGAATTTCTATACTGGCATCATTACGAAAGCCAACCGCAACAAGAGTGGTACAAGCGCCGTGAGAGCGGATGACCTTGTCTCTCCCACTTCAAGGACAATGGAAATAATGAACCCTGTGGCATCGAAACCTTGGAGCTTTATAACCAAGAGCGTCCTCCAGGGACCCTTATTATTATTACTCGTAATTTTAATAGGAAGCTACACATGGATGGTTTTTATATCTTTGTCTGTCTGGCTGGATTTTGTTTTTGCTCTGGTAGGCTGACGATTTCTAGATAAAACAAAATTTTTAATTGGAATATATTACCAATATGATTTTCCGGCCAAATCATAAAACACCGGTGTACGCGGTTAGCAAGCAAGCTGTTTTTCCACAACTTTGTGTTTGCATTGCCAAACATTGATGATGATAAGCTTTCTCCACCACTTGGCTTGCATAATGCTTATGTGGTGTGTGGCGTATTTTCTTATCATGTTGTTGTATGCAGTTTTAGTTTGTTCTTTCTGTGATCCATGGTAAAATAAATGGTGTGTGGTGAATGGTGATGGTATTTTATTCAACTGAGTAAATAATAATAGACTCGTAGTGTAAAATATCCCTCTGTACTATGACTTGGGTATACATTTGTTGCATGTTCAGTGTCTATTGGCTGGATAAGAGGACACACTTTTTAGTTGGCAACAAGCAATGTGCGTCGTAGTAAAGTTGGTAAACAAAACAAAAGCTGAGCTGGCCTTAGCAGCTGTTTCATTTACATGCAAACTTGTATTCTACACCATAATACATTTAGACGTCGTGGTTTTTACTATGTTCTTACTCCATGAAGAAATCTCACTGTATTGTGAAGATAAAAGCTTGTAGTTTCATACAACATAGTGATAACAATATTAGATTGATAAATAAATAATAATTATAGGGATGGACGGCAAGGAAAGCCGGCGTCCCTCCCACAGGCGATAAAAAATGAGGCAGAAATTGATATAGGTGCATGTACACTCAAAATAGTGCAATCATGGACGTTGAGATTCTGCAAGTTTTGGTTTTGTAGTAATCCTAGTAAACAACGACGCCAGCCAGACAAGGTTTAAATAATTATTTGTTGCCATCAGTTACTGGCGTTACTGCTTATGCATGCATGTGCATATAGATGGATATAGACTGCTGGCTCCTGGTTATACTTGATTTTAGTTGTTAATAGCTGGTTGTGTTGAAAAGCGGTTTTCCATGACCTTGAAATACGAGTTCATTCAATTCAGGCATCCACAACAAGTCGATGGGATGGAATATAAATATTGATACACTTCACATGATCCAATCTTTTTGGATTTGTAATGTAAACTCTAAGTCAATTAAGACTCGTAACAGGTTTAACAACAACAAAGCCAATGTGCATCAATTATGACATGCGGATTATGATAGATTACTATTGATGTTGGTGGTATACCTCGGAACTGACGGGGTATCTAATATGATGCTGCTTATAATTGACAGGAGAATTTGTATTAAAATTATAACCAAACCTTAATCCTCATCCAGCTGGAGATCTTAAGAAATGCATTTTAATGGAGATGTATCTGAAGTGTGTATACCAGAGCTGGACATGTAATATTTTTTGCTAAAATTATTTATACAAGATTGCAAAATTTTATACCATGAATCAAGTTAAATTCACTATCTGCAATTATACTAATTAGAATCATTCCCTTTTATTATTTCACCAAATTAAAAAATTAAATTTCAAACAGCACGTTGATAACAGACTTGTAACTTTTATAGCTTAATCATAGTAAATTTGGTATATGTGATTTGTTAACATTTTGACGCCTTGGTCGTCGTCAAACTGTCAGCAATACTTGGAGTTTACTAGTAAATCTTCTAAACATAAATTCCCACCCATAACAAGAGAAAGAGGAGTCCAAAGCTCATAAAGGTAGCGGCGACGATAGAAATGACGAGCTCTTTCATCACGGCCCTCGTCTTCTTTGTTGCGGTCACCTCGTACACAAAAAACCAGGCCGTGAAAAAGACGCCGATCCCGAGCAAAATCATGGTCAGGTGAGGAAAGATGGCCGGATGGACTGGAGAAACATATCTCGGCATGGATTCAACATCAGCCTGAATTAAATATAAATAACGAAAATTAAAACTAATAATCATTGATTATTAATCAATGAGATTTTAATCTTTTTAATTAATGAACTTACCATTTTGACAAAACAAATAGAAATAGAGTGAAAAGATAATCAAGTCAACGAAGTATTAGAGAACCGTGTAGATGTTACAATAATTTTGCAGATGAAGTTAGTCCTCTCCTTTCCAAGTAATCTATAAAATATTATAAAAGATGTCAATATTTCTCTAATTTACACTCTAATTTAAAACTGAAACTAATTTTATTAATACTTTATCTTTTTTACGAATCCAAAATTAACGAAAAACCACCTGGTTGGTACAATAACTAATCTATCACCAATTTTATGGTACCATTCAAGTACCTAGACTACAAGTTGTACCACTATTCAACAATACCTTCTTTATCCTGATAAGACCTTACCTTCGTAAACAGCTGATTTGAAGAAGTTTGAAGTCTGATTAAAAGTTGAAATATTGACAGGAGGAGGATTGTGAAGAGTTTTTTCCATCCGTGCCGGTTTCACAGCGAAGCGTGGAGAAACAAATAGCTCCAGCTCAACTCCGTCCCCGTCATGGAAACCCACCCCCGACATCTACATCCCCACAGCGATAACTACTTATCTCACGAACGGCTAGGTAGGTGGTGCTGGTGGGACAATTACATTTCATACACCCACATTTATAACTTTCTCCATAAAATCTCTGTACCAACTTTCACCTCTCTTCTGACAATGAGCTCGGAATCTGAGAGGTTTTTGACACCTCGACTTGCTGAATGGCCATATTAGCGTTTTTATTCTGATCTATTCTGGTGCATTATGCAAGAGTAAGGAGCATAATCCCAAGTCTAATCCTTTCACTTTCACCCCTCTTCTCATCAAAGCGAAACCTGTAAAGTTGGTCTGAGTGGCTCAATTCAATGGCTGGATGTGAATATCTCACTCGTGTGAGTAATTCGAGACGAATATTTACTGGCACGTCGTCAATCCGAACTCAAGAAGTAGAAAAATTGTGTAATATGAGAATGAATTGTTGGCAGGTATGCCAGATTGCAGATGACTTGACTTTGACCTTTGTGCGTTTCTAATGAACAAGGTTTTTATATTACTGTTTGACTGCTAACCTGGTTGAAAGAAAACGAAATGCAGATACGACATCCGGCCTCCATACGTTGCAAATTGGAATTTACAATTTAGCCTGTTCATGTCTTCATCACTATCTCTATCGAATCCGATTTGTTATTCGTTGAATTTTAATTGCTTTACCCCTTAACTTTTTATAGCCAATCAAAAATTTGATGACGACGTGAATTGTTGAGCAGATTATATTTTAGAAGGACATTGAACAAGACGTTGTTACTAAAATGATATAGATATTTAATTTTAGACGTAAACCTATGGCTTCGGTGGTTCTGTGAATTTCTTAATGTCATTTAATCCCTACATTTAATCCCTACATGACTTGCATTATCCTGATATTTCAAATGAAATGCAGCAAGACAACTATATCTAGCTGTCACGAATATTTTGCATACATATGGAAAGCGTATTAATTACGTAGGTGAAGGTGAGGTGAAAGTGGTTCTGAATTTTTTCAAGATTAGTTTCAAGATTTTTCCGTGACAGGCATCCTGTCACGGAGTTAAATGAACTGGAAGGATTTGATCCTTCTTGGCAATGAAATTATGACCAAAGATTCGAGTTTCGTAACCATCTCGCACATTATATTTGGTAGGTACGTTCGCACGCTATATTCCCGTATAGGTGATCACGTAGGCCGTATTTCTAGCGAAAGATGAACCCAAACTATAACACAAGGAGTATTTTTTTCTTCATCTTCCTCCTGCTTTGATGATGCGTGTTATTACTCGGAGAAAGTGAAACAGAGGAAAGCAGGCAGGCAGGCAGGCAGGGTGGCATTGGAGACACAATGAACAAGATTATCCCCACACATACAGTGAGAAAACATGAGCTGAGAATTCGCGTGGGTTGAGAAATGCGATTATTTTTTTGATTTATTACAACTTGTCAAACACAAACTCCCCCGACCGCAGCACAACTTGTGTGGTGGTGTGGGCACACAAGTTGTCTCCCTCATCCTCCTCCCTATTTATTGCCGAATGCTAAGGAGGAGGTGACAGGTGAGTGACTTATCTAACTTGGCTCTCAACTTTTGATTCAAAACGTGTAGGCTGCACAAACGCATATTTTGCTACGGTGTGAGATGTAAGTACGACAAATCAGAACGACCGTCTTTAATTTTTGACTTGTTGATGCTGCGTGATATGGAAAAGGCATGCACAAACTTTCACTAGTAAATGATAAGAAAAAGTGAATTTTGGAGGAATGTGAGACAACATACTAATTTCTTCAAGTATGCAAAAATATATAAACTGTTGTATACGAGTATGTTCCCAATGTCCTCTACGCATTGCACCTCTCTTTCTAGGTGGGTGTTGATGACAACATAAATTTACACAGTTATTCTCCTGTCCTACATGTATTTGTATTAGTACCCGGATTTTGGTGTTAATAACGTCATGAGAAACTAAGCTGCATTATGTTTATCTGATAACATGTGGACGGATGAATGAAGCCAATTCGTAAAGTAGACATTCATATTCGTTTCCCCTGCATAAAATTAGCCATGTTTGGACAATAATAAATAGTACGCAATAAATGACTCAGGATGATATAAACCAAACAGTGGTGTAGATCATTCCTTGGGTTCGATTTGGAGGGTGTTAGGTGGAGATAAGGAGAGTTAATGTTTGCCTTTGGTAAGCTAAGCTTGTGTGAAATGTTATGCATATTCCGGTTGTAGATTCAGATAACACACTACTTTCAGTTCTAACACCACTACGACCAAGATACTGGGTGGACGTGCCTTAATGAGCTTCTGGCTAACTGTACTACAACGTTAACCAACTTTGTCCTACGACCACCGGTAGCTTTGTTCTTCCTCGTTCTGCACTTCCCTCCTTCCTTCCTCACACTTTCACAACAACCACCCTGCTTACACCTTGAGGCAGTATCTTGTTATTAAGCTATTGCATTCCTGCTGTTGCTTTTGGGTGTAAAAGTGAAAGCAGTTGAGTGAGGCCGACAGAGTGATGATAGCGAACAGAAAAGAAGCATATGAATTCACGTTTAGATATGTTTGCAATGATATAATTACATTGGAAAACCTGCGAGTTGAAGAAGTGGTAGAATGCCCACGTTTTGTCTTGAGGGGAAACTGTATCAAGTGCGAATGGATGTAATAATGATGACGTGCAAGACATCAGCGTCAGCGTCATCAGAATAATGTTAGTATATTTATTATTCCAAAATTGGAGCAACTAAATATTTGCAATCCATTTTTGATACACTTTAATTATTTAGTGAGACAGTTCTTTTTTTGGTGTTCATATTTTAGTAAGGGTCGCTTTCTCCAAAGAGATAGATATGTACATTCACGAGTTCAAATTAATATTCGTTTTACTTTTCCGGAATAATGAAAGAAAGTGATATTGACGTTGTTCATCTTTCCAACAAGCCTCGTCTCATCAATTGTCTGATTATTAAAAAATGGTAAACTGATGACAACTTTCTCCCAAATTAAACATTTCTTTTTTAGTAGACACGTTGCACGCAAAATAGCGTCCTCCCACCAGCAGTAGTCACCTATTTATATACGTATGTATACGTATAAGTAATATCGTTTCCTTCTTCCTACTTTGATCCATCCATGCAAAATCCTTCTCGCCCACTCGATGAAATCCAAACATTATTGAATTAAAAGTTCAAGTTGAGCAAATAACAGGAAAAGCCAAGATCTCGGGACGACGCAAGGGAAAAATTAGGGATGGGTAGGTCCGTCGTGCGACATGAATCGCATATACAAAGTAAGGCTGCTTCTCCTTTCAGTCGGCGATTTATCGAGTGAGTGGGCACAAATCAAATCAAATCTTAGAAACCCATTAAGAGTTGACAATATTTTATGTTATTCTAATCCTCATAAATCACATAGTGGCGAAACTGACGAACTCGGTGGGGTATAAAGTTCACAAGTTTCGGTGGGAATTTTGAATTTTTTTGCAAAAAACTGCAAATATCATCTGGCATTGTTTATGTTTTTAGTGGTTTCCAGTGGGAAGAGTATGTGTGGTGGTGGCTTCCCACCACGCATACTCAAATTACGCATATGACAAATTGAGACGAATCAGGAAAAAATGCAATTTTTTGAGCTTCTCAATCTTATACCGAGATTAAATGTGCACTCAAAAATGTGAAATTTGTTGAATTACAACTATTGATAGTTGGGCAACAAGGGAGCATGCCCTTTAAGGAATTGATATGCTACTTTTATTTATATTAAATGACCAATATCAATTTCCATCAAAATTTTGTTTTCCTCGAGATTAATTGATTAATATAAATAAAAGTAGCACATCAATTCCTTAAAGGGCATGCTCCCTTGTTGCGCAACTATCAATAGTTGTAATACATCAAGTCTCACATTTTTGAGTGCACATTTAATCTCGGTTTTCGAATTACAAGATCAAAAACCTGTGCAAAAAATAATGCATGGGGTAACATACGGGAGAAATATTGAGCGAGAGACTGTATTGGCTGATAGAGCGGCCAGAGCAAACTATTACGCCCCGTTAACACCCCGATGCACACTCGCACCTTCGTCATCGTCGAAGGTAATGGATTTCATTAAATACAAGTATTAATTCGCCACGAGGGAAATTCTGTTGGTTCCGCGAGCAACCAAGAGGCAAACTTCCAAAAGTTGTAGATGTACATATTTATAAATATAAAACGGTTATTTAATTATTTTTGAATAATATTCCACTCTCAACTTGCAGTTGAATTTGGATTCCACATGTATTTGTATCTCTTTTCGACAACTGTCTTATTCGGAACGACGAGGTGTTTTAGAACAAGAAGAAGAAACCATCGTTGCTAAAAAGATCCCGTGGGTGTTCGTGTCAATTGTTAAATTTGGAAAGATACAGAACGCCCGAAATAAAATATATCCCTCAAAACAAGTCTCACCGGAGGAGGACAAGTGACAAGTGAAAATCTTTGAATTTCAGAATATTTTATTTTTTCTTTATGCAATGACGGCAACGAGAAGACGTCTGCATATTTTATGGTACGTCATATCATAATGAGCGTTACTTGACATAGTCGACATTGTTTTGCAGATTGCTTTATTTACAGGCTGAACTTATTTATGTATGTATGTGCGAATTTGATGATGGGGTAATCAGCAGACGAAGTAGACTTAATTCTTGTGGGCGAGGATGATGGTGAGGAAATGCGACACACACATGCAATGCCAACATATGATGATATTTTGTAGATCAGACAAATCTATGAAGACATATTTAGTTCCGTCGTCGTGAGAAGCAATTTTCTAGAGTTTCAACCTTGGAATGAGAAATTTATTGAATCGAGGAGAAAGTAGTCAACACTTTCTCGCATGACAGCCAGTTTCAGTAGGGATGAGAAACCCACCTCTTGAGAAATAAGAATTATGATTACGAATCCGAGTTGTTCGAATGCGAAACTTGTCAACCCAGAATTTTCTCAGCTTTGTTGTGAGAACATGTCAAATATAAAGAAGGAAATAAATTGACCAATTGTGCATTGGGAGTATTTTCTCGTAGAATGCTCGCCTGCTTTCACCGGATGCCCCACCTTCTCACCATCTCCGTAGGTGAAAATAATAAATGGGAAAACAAAAAAACTATCAAGTCAGCCGACAGTATGTCGGATGATACTACTTGGAAATTTAAAATTCAAATGGTTCCCATTCGTCATCATCAGAATGGATGTGCCGGTGTCTTGGAGGAATAATTTGTGTGCGAGTTTACAAGGCTTCCCCAGAGGTTCCGTTTGACGCATCTTTTGGAAATTTCTCTGCTTTGAAGGTCACCAATGTTCATATTCGTATGTACGTACGTAAGTAAATGCAATATATCCATCTGCATATGTATGTATGTCTCAATATACAACATAATCTAATTTTAGACGCTTCTTAATTGCTCTTTTCTCAAGAGCGCATAGATAATTTAACACTACGCAAACAGTAAATATGTAATGACTTGAAATCAATCCTACCCTTACATCACCGCAAATTTAAATTGCCCGAACGGAGAACCAGACAGATTGCATTGCTCGTACATACACATTATTATTGGCACCATGTATGTATTAAGTAGTCACCGTCGTCGATATCGAATGAACATGTCGCCTGACGTCAAGCCAACTTAACTCTGCTTCCTCACCCCTCCCACCTTAAGCCTCCTGCAACATGGTTGATACACTTGCAACTAGTCATCGAGAGCAGATCACGACCGTTCTTCTCGCTTGATTTGATATTCCATCCGTGTTTGGTCATACGACTGACTACGTGTTTGTATGTATGTAGGTTATCCCACAAAGTAACTGCCATTGGCCAACATCATCATTCTTCTTCATCATCAAACAGTTGGTTGGTTGGTTGGTTGGGGTGCAAATATATAAAGCAATGTGGGGTACGTTTGAGGCGCACAGTGCTCAAAAGCGACGCTCTCTCAACCACCACTGACTCAGGCGATCGAGGTACAAAAATTGGGATAGCTTTCTCTCTCAGAGTTACTTAAACTTGGAGACTGACGGGGATCGGACGGAGCTTTCTCTTTCACTCTCGAACCCGCTTTCACTCCACCACCACCACCACCACCACCACCACCGACCACCACAGCCAAACATCAACGACCCACCGACCACCACCCAGAGACAGCAAAGCCAGACAACCCTAGCTAATATCACAAATCACAGGTCGCCCCAAACCCTCAATCATCTCATCTCATCTTGTCTCAATTTGCCTCATTTCATCCCCATCTTGATCCTCTCTTCTTCACTTTCTCTACTCTTGTTCATCTTGTAAACGACAAATTCAGGTGAGTCTTAAGTTTTTGATAAATTATTTGGTAAGATTTATAAAATGGTACAAATTAGTAGGGTTTTTTACGTATAAGTAAAAGTGCAGAATTATATTTGACAATTGCCTGTATTTTTAATATGTTGAATCATATTAGACAAGCATAAGTAACATGATGAATAGTTTCAAGAATTTAATCATAAAATACAGCAAAACTCTACAATTTGATCATAGTTCGATTATAAAATCATACATATGTGTAAAACAATTCATAGTTTCTCGACCTGTGACCAGTTTCATATGCATAACTCGCTATTTCACGTTTACTATGAGTCCTTTAGGGGAACAACGTCTAAAACTTTGACATTCAGGATCGGCGGAGAAATTTTGTGACGGATAAATGACAGCGGTTTTGTTTGATGTATGTAATCAAAAGGTATTTCCTCATAAATAAATGAACTAAGATTGTGGTTGAAGGTTCCCTGTGAAGAACGACATATACTGAATGAACGAGTTTCAGACCAAATACGTACTATGACATATTTAGTCTGAACTAATTGATTATTTTGAGGTCTTTGGTCGACAAAACCAAATGTTTGTGTGGGTGGGAATTGGGAAAGTCTGATTAACTCAAAAGTTTAATCCTTCATCTTGTCTATTTATTTCAACAAATCAATCTAAACTTCCCAAAATAGTAAATTAAGAAGAAATGAAGTCATTGCATGCATTGAATATGTGGGCGTACATAGCAGGACGATTCAACAGGTAACCAAATACGGTCCCACTTGATGAGGCAACTTGAGAATTCCTTTGATCTTGTCCCAAAATATACCCGTCGCATAAATTCCTTTAAGTTATTATATATCAAACCAATGATCAATTGGCTTAGCAAAAGGTTATTCCATATTGTCACCAACCAGAGAAATAGCGAATTATCATACATACGAATATGAGACATACAAATGTATAAATATTCCGTTCTGGCACCCCCAGTGCCCACTTTACTTACACTATTCTGGAGTCCATACGTACATATGCACTGTACATTTTCTCATGCAGTCATCCTGATGACGACGACAAAAATGAACACTGAAGCAAAAATAAGTAAACTCATACCAGTGGGACAATCGGGTTCTAAAACACTTTAGATGTAACGTAAAACGTATCACGGGAGTAGGCGTGCATAATGTTCTGCTCATTATATCATTTATTTCCGAAACTTGTTCAACAACTAAAATAATAACACAACAACAACCATCGTTCTATGTGCTTCACCCAACAAGCAACAATTCATTGCATTGTGCCATCAAAAACTTTTACTGCCCTTTCTATTCAAAACTTTCCCTTTAGAGCACGAAAGGAAGTGAATTTGGGACAGGAAAGTTTTTGATGGTTTTTCTTGGGCGGATTATTTCTTAAGAAAATCTGCTCATCTTAAATAAGTGCAATGCAATGCGAAACAAAATTGTATCTGGACCTGCGGTGCGGTGGTTGGGGATATAGATTCAATTGCTGTCGTGCTGTGTGTGTGGGACTATTATTTTTTATGCTCAAAATTTCCCACTTTACTGGTCAAATATAAAATAAAGAAGTGACCGGGTGCGACCTTCTTTTTCTGAGCAGCGTCATGAAATGATCTATGCCAACGTAAATTCACGAGAGAGTTCAAATAAGGCCGTATCTGTATCTGGCTAGATTCACGACCGAGATAGGTCACGAACCAACGGTTTGCTCAAGTTGGTACAGTTAATTGAAAAAGATAATCGCGTGTAAGTTGATAATTCGGTGGAAAAGGGGAAGTAGTAACGAACGAAGAAAAAAAAGCTTTCATTTTCACTTCGTCCTAGTTTTTATAAAATACAAAAAACAAATTTTTTCACAGTTCATCAATCCCTGACCACGCATATGTAGCAAACTTAAATTGTTAATACTAATATGCAGGATTTCTGCATTTATTTATCCAGCATGAACATGAATGATCTTAAAATGCATTTTACGATTGTCTCGGATTGTGAGGGATTGCTTCATAATAATTCTATGTCATAACCCTGCAACACGGCATCTGACAAATATTAATTACATGCTATCATCCTCCATCACAGAATATCGCAGCTTCTTGCTAGTTATGTCGCTCTAGGCTTGTTTGGCAGCATCAAGTAGTCCTCTCTTCAAATTATCACGGGAGAAGGGTTTCCTCTTTCGCTCTCCTTGAGGATGAAGTGACAGTCGATTGTACATACAATACCATTTTGACTAGCTCATTAACGAAATCACTAAAAATAACTTGAACAAATTTTCCGAATATGTCAAATGACGTGTTTTCATCATGACAAATTGGCGAAATATTATTCTGTTAGTAAAATTGTGTCGCATTGCACACAAGTCGGGAACGCAATATTTCACTGCAAATTTATATACATACACGCGTTTAGGTATGTTAGGAAATGCTGACTAAAAAGTTTTTGTTTGTGGTAAAATTTTCAGTCATGCGAGTACAAAAATGTGTTGTTTTTCCTGCTTCTAAAAATATGCAATTTCCTCGCCCGAAAGACGCAATTGTATGAAATATGTAATGAAATCCTGGTGAGCGTCAAATGTCAACCAGGAGACGTTATTTAGTGTCAAATCAAATTGAATTAGCTCAAGCTTATCACTCACTCTCAAATTGAAAGGTCAAAAGCAACGAGGATTGCAAAATTCAATAAAAAGAGGAGAAAGAAGCGTGATTATGCAAATTCAATCAATCTTTCTTTCTCGCTCTCCTCATCTCAATAAAAAATCCACAGGTGGATGATTTATTATTTGGCGTGTGACACCATTACACACGTGTAGTACATACTTTCAAATAAATAAAATTGGAGAGTCTTTTATCAAATTAATCAAGAAGGGGACGTTGGTTGAAAGGAAATCAGACTTGTCTCGGCACATGCTAATTTGATAACGCTATTACAGCGTTACCCTCCAAAGAAACTGTGTGGCGTCTGACAATAAAATAGCAGGTGTGGATTTTCTCTAAAACTAGAAGTTTTATACATAGGTCCGACACATATGGATGCATACATAGCTTCAGTTACCATATGTAACACTTTGCTTTTTTTAAGTAATCTCTTTGTATCTAATCTCATAGTACGTTATGCGTCATTTGTGTATGACGCATAATTGTAAAGTATTATGCTTTTACTTTTCTGACAAATGAGTTTGACGTGGCTGACATATCAGAAGAATTAATTTTATCCTTCTAATGAAGAATGAGTCAATTGCTACAATCTTAACAATAGTTAATTGAGTTAACAGAAAATCTGGCAGTTGAAAGCAGTTTGCATTTCCGGCTCATGGCATTCGTGACATTTCCAAACAAAGTTTGACACATTAATTCCCAAATGAGATTTCGCATCAAAATCTTTCGAGAAAACATTTCAGTTTTGAAGTTCAATACCATGAAATATTGTCGACGTAGATGTTGCATAGCACTCTTCTCGAGTGTGGAGAAAGCATTATTTAGCAGAATAAATGTAGAAACAGCCGTTTCCGTCGCTTTACTACTTTTGTTTGAAATTTTATTATGATAATGACATCAAAGCTTAAACTGTTTACAGAGTTTGGTAGTTTGCACGAGTGGAAAATATTATATAAAGTGAAAATTGCTGACATTTTAGGTAGCTACGTAAGTACTTACTTTCACTTATCGTTGAGTCGATAATGTAGTTATCTGGCACAAACAATATTGGACTCAAATCTTGTTTGGCTATAATTCTGGGTACGTGTGAAGTTTTCAATGTCATTGTTTTTGAAAATACTTGAAATTTAGTATCATAAACGTGCAGGGATTGGTTGATGCTACAAATTAAACTAAAACCTTGGGTAGAGGTGTGTCGAGCCAATATTGTAAATCCCAAAATATACATAAATTCGAAATGTTCGTAAAATACTGGCATGTGTAACTTTCAAAAAAGTTTGAAAAGCCATTATTTTACTCTCCTTGTGTAGAATTTTCCGATTGATGGATAAAATCAAATTGTACATTCGCATGTGTGCATAATTATGTTTACTAATTCGGTTTATCAAAACTTTAGGGAAACATTAGTTCTGACGTACTGTTTTTGTTTGTCGAGTTCATTTTGTTCCATTTTTCGAAATAATTTCTTACTTGGTCATTCTGGATTACAATCTTCCTTGGGTCATATAGTTCCTTACAAATAAAAACATTTAGAAAATTACAGACTTGTACCTGTCCAGAACTGAATCCTACATTCACATATGTCCAAATTCTGCGTGTTTATCCTAATTTCATGGCATACATATGTGCAGAAATTTAATGAATGATTCCACATTTCTAGATCACTCACTATTAATTCAATTATTCTGGTATGTAAACAGTTTAGTAGCCGGACGTACTTAAATTATTAAGTATAATGACAAAAGGAAAGAAGAATTATAGGAAACTTGATCCACAGTAAAATTACTCTGTTTTGAAGTTCATTGCAACTTTCCCCAATGAAACTTATCAATTGGATTTTGGAATTGACGTAAATTTTTAATATGCAATTCTATATGATGTATAAATATATATATTGCACCTTTTTATGCATGGAATCAAAATCAAGTGGGCAAATGTAAAATGAATGTCACGACATGAAGCTCGATCGACCAGGACTAATCCTGCTCTCATGGATTGGTTTTGTCTTTCTGCTAATTAAACATCAATTTCCGTTGCATAACTTAGTGTCTCTTTTGCCCTTTTCTTTCCAAAGGTGAGAGTGCATTATGCTCAACCAGTCTGCCATGCTTGAAAATTATTACTTTGTCCGCGTACGTAATTACTCCATTGGCATATCCAACAGCACAAAATTCCACCAATGTGGACAAAATAAAACTAATTGTAAGCAACTCAAATAATTTAGTAGTTTCAACTTGGCACTACTAGGCAGCAACAGGAGTTCCGTTTACCAACGCAGCTTTCACATTTAGTTTAGCCGACTTATTTATCGAGAGGTTTACTCGCAAAGTTTACTACTTACGCAAGAAGTTGAAATGTTTTTGGGTTGGTGGGAGTTTCTGGAAATACTTTTATATACGACCTGATTTAATTAGTATTAGTTTCATTCATGACATGGCAGGATTGAAAGCTGGTTGATACATGCATTACTACTAAACGTGCGGCATGTGCTGGAGAAATGTGTGATCTTTCACTTCCCCCCACTCATTTTCACACCAAATGCTAAACAGAATAATAGAAAGTGTCATTTCTATTTCTGTTCTGCTATGAATTTTCCACAACTTTCACCCACCAACTTTTGCAAGAGTCAACATTAAATGAAAGTTCAGCATTGGATGGAGGGAGGATAGCCCAAGAATTTTCCGATTTAATGTAGCTCGACATATTTAAATGAAATTGAGGCAGTAAAGTGGAACATGGTTGAAATTTGGGGACGTGAATATTAAGGCTTTGGTAAATATCATGGTAAAACAGTTGCAAACTTTCTACTTTAGTATGCTAATTTTTCCCGATGTGTACTTTTCTTAACTTTAAGATTTGGTCGATTCTGCATGCGTTCTTTTGTACTTTGGGAATGAAACGCGGAGATAATTGAGAAACAGTGTTTGTTCTAAAGTGCTTACGTAGATATTGTAAATATGTACATACGTATTCATGTGTAAGTTGGACAAGTAATTTAAAGTTTTCATGTCGTCATTTTATTATGGAATGTCTTCTTACATGGAAAATTATTCTGAAAGTGGATCGTTCTATAATATTGCGCTGTTCAGCCAAAACTAAATATTCCAAGTGATAGGTTTTTATGAATGCATTTTATGAACCTTTTTAAGCAGCTTATTAAATAGCACCTGTGCACACGTAGATAATTATAGTTGTATCTATCTACATACATACTTGGGATTGTAAATACTACTGTAGGATGCGAGGGCTAATGGCCGTAATGCAATGAGTTATCTACCTAGTAAATTACTATCTAGCTATATATCCGTACTTGCCTGGGATTTGAATTAGTAGAAATTCCAACTCATTATAGTTTTGCATACAATAGTCACGGATTGAGCGAAATGTGTTATGGTTGGTGTAGCATTGCCAACTTTCACAACCCGGTTTTTGATTGAGACATGGACAGAGAACAATAAAGGAGGGCAGTATTTATTAAACAATTTATCTAGCCATGAATCATCCCGGTTATGCAGTAGCGAACAAAAGTACTTGTTGCAAAGTTGATATTACATCGTTTTTAGGTATAAAGTACGATATGAAACCATTTCCTTTCTGGTTGATTGCCCGTTTTCCTTTGCTGACAGTGAGGTGTGTTATATACAGTCATCCATTGCAGGACAGGTTGCATATTAGTATCATCCGGACAATGTGGTTATGGTTGGCTGAAAACAATTGAATTCGTCACTCTCCAGCAATATATCCCTCTTTTCGTGATGGATTGAGAACCGAATCAAAGCTAGTCGCTCTTTTATGATGGTTAGAGATAAACTCAAAGTCGGATTTAGAACTAAACCAGTAGAACCTTATCACCTGGCTTTCGGCTCATGAAATATTAGTTTTTAACCGGAGCCACCTGGTAAGACTCTGATATTGCCGACTTTATAGCGACCACCAATGTCAATAATAATTTGATAGCTGTTTGCCACCATGCACTTTGTGACTGTATGTCCATATGTACGTTCATACATATAACTTAGCCAAGCAGTGCGACTTAATGGCGGAATCACAACTTCTGCGTGGGTGACTCCGTGGTTGATGGAAAGAGTGAAAACAATTTTTATAAAATGAAAGCCACTTCATAAACTCAGAGTGTTGTTCTTCCTCCGCTTATTATGAGAGATAAGTGCAATAATAAATAGATTTCTGACAGGCAAATTATGCACAACTAAGTACGTATCAGCTATGTAATACGAGGACGTATGTATGTATGCATGGTTGAATCCTTTACCCGCATAATTTCTGCCGTCAAGTTGGTTCTGATCGTTATAGACTTTCTCCAATCATTATCACCACAAGTACACCATTATTATGGAATCGTGGGGGATCTCAATTTCCCTCTCGCTCTCTCTAATAAAATAAAAGCATACTTTCAACTACTTTCCAAACCAAGTTTGTCAATTAATACCTTTAGTGTGCTATGTGCTAGAAATGTATATATTTTAAATGTGTTGCACAACTTTTGAGGTTTTGCGGCATCGTCGTAAAAGGAAAATTACTGCCACAAAAGACAGTCATTATATGTACATACATAATATGCAAGCTAAACGTACTTATAAATGGTTTGGAAGTTGCCTGATAAAATCCCAACATTTATTCGATGCAGCCTTATATACAGCATGAAAATATGTGCAGGATATTTCACAGAAACATATTGTTTGCATCAACAATTGAGGGCAAACCAAGTCTTTCGCAAACATTATCGTTTAGAAACAGGCTTAAAAGTCTAGACCAATGAATGAGACAAATCAGGAAGTAAAGGGTTGACACTTTCCTCAGCAGCAGAATAAATGGTAATGACCAGTGAACAGCGATGCAATGCATGTGCAATTGTGCATGCAGTCAGTTGGTGATGCAGAGTTAAAGAAAGTCGTGAGTCGGGCAGTCTGAGAATTTGAGACGTTTCCATTACACGCCGTCGTCCCATACGGCTGCCCATGACTAAACCCTTGAGATGCTAACAGCAACACTCAACACTGTCTCAAGTTTCAGTTCAAATTTTAAGAGTTGAGACGGATCTTGATGCTGCTGGAAGTAATTATGTTTGAACTCGATCCATTCGTCCCAATTTGATTGTGCAACTGGACTGGAGTGTGTTGACATTGTTACAATGGGGCGATCGGGTGACGTGGAAAAATTGCCTTGGATCGACAGATATTTAAGACAGTTAAGTTAGATCGCGATTTGTCAGTTGTCAGTTGTCTAATGACTCAAAAGAACCTTTGGCGGCAATTATTCCTCTGCAAAATGGCAGTAAATTTGATCTAGCATTTTTTTATCTTGTAATAAATTTGCAAAAGTTTTTGCCTTGCCAAATTTTTCTACTGCCACTACTTTTCCAACGGTAAAACATTTCACGAAAGAACGAAAGAATTTTAATAAAAATGAGTATGTAGATAAAGTCAAAAGTGGAATGAGTGACGTAGACGGACAATTATTTGCACACACAATTGACGTTACTTACAATTCCATCCTGAACAAAGTTGCATATTCAGAACACTCCGTTTAATTCTGTCTGCAGAGAGAAAAGAATAAAACTGAAATAACTTTCCTCATTCATCTCCCACTTTGAAGTCCAGGGCAGAATTTTATCTCGGACTTGGAAAGATAAACCAAACGTCAGTCATTCATTTAAAGAAAGGAAAACTGCGAGGAAATAAGATGAGTAATTGGGGAGGAATAACATGAATGTGGAAATGAGACGTGGGAATTAGCAGTCTAATATCTAAAATTGTATGTAAAAGCGTAAACAAATTTTCTAAATTTCCTTTTCCTCTTTTTATGTCCTCCCTGCAGACTTTAAACGATGAAGATGAAACGCTCAGGCAATATGACGACGGCTGCCCCCCAAGTAATCCTCCTCGTCTTGGCCTCTTGTGCCTGTGTGTGGGCTGCCCAAATGTCAGACAACTATGAAAAGATGAGGTTGCTCTACAACTACCCCTCTGGCTTCAAACGACTCCCTTCTTACGACTTTGGGTTGGGGAAACGGTCCTTCGGTGAGTCGGACTTGGCATCAGCCTCGTCGTCATCATACGAGGAGCAGCTGTCCCCACTGGACGCTCTGCTAGAACAGCAGCAGCAACAACAGCAAGGGGGTGGTCAACAGCTCGCTTACGTGTACCCCAACGCCTTCGGGAAAAGGACCCGAGCTTACGGATTCGGACTTGGCAAAAGGTTAACCCAGAATGAGAATTGGAAATTGGGTGGCTCTTCTTTCGCTGCGCCCACATATCGGTTTGCATTATTCGCTTTCTTCTCCCTTGTCGATTATCTTCCTTCCTCTCCTTCTTCGTATCTGGCCACTACTGCTTTTACCAGTGAATTGAGACACATGTCATGCCATTGAATTTCAATTTGCGAAGCTTTTCATCAGCAGGGACTAATATCTATGTGGACGATGTTGAGACACTACATAATCTCGACCCAAGTAGCAACAGCGTATCAGATATATTAGCAGAGTTAGTTTTATCGAGATGATGATGAAACATCACAAGTTTTCTATCCCAACTTATTTCACAATCTAATACCAACCATGAACCAATCAACTTTCACTTTTCTCACCGGGACATACACGAATGCACGTATTTCCATCTTCTGTATGTAGTGAGAGCAACAGGCTTGCTAAAGTATTATATTTTTTGCCTCATGCATGCAGTTCTTTTGACACGCATGCATTCTCATAATGGTTCTGAGGTGATTTTAATACAATTCTGGCGATAAATAAATATGATAAGCAAATATAAAATGAAAGCGTGTATCAGTGAAAACCATGCTGAAAGTATTCTTTAGCAGTATTTTCTATCTCTGTCTGTGGCTTTCACTCGTCATCATTTCCTCCAGAATTTGCAATTGGAAAAAGTCATTTTCGATGTAGAGTAAAGTGAGACAAGAGCATAACAGTCATAAAAAAGCTCATTGTTGCCTCTGTTTCTGCTTTCCAGGCAAGAAAGGCGTTCAAAGATTTATTCCTTTGGGCTGGGGAAAAGACAAAGTCATGACGGGATGGAGGATTACGATGGAAATGCGAGTCCACCGACGGCAGAAAGGAGAGCAAGTTCTCAACGACAATTTGCCTTTGGACTCGGGAAACGGGATCTCAATGCTGCAAAGGAATGAGGAAAAATTGTAGGAAGTTGGCAATTTGAGTCCAAAACTTTCACCATCACCAAACCACAAGAAATATCTTCAATCCCACCAATACCATTACTACTACCATTACCATCACCAACTACTACCAACAACATCGCCACTACAGTACCATCGCCAACGCCAGTCCGTACTGGTATCATGCACATCAAAAATATCAGCCATGACAAAGAATGACGACGGTCGACAACGACGACGACGACAACAACGATGATATTTGGCTACAAAACAGCAACACCACACTTTCTCCAGTATAAATTTAAATATGTACCTATTTATAATTCTTTAGTCGACTAACAATTATGTAGATTTGTACAATCCTCATCCTTTTATCTCGATAATCTCAAGTTGAGATTCTCAACCACTATTTTCCCCATCCGTTCGTTCCTTCCTACGGCTTCTGCAACATCTAATTATTGGATCCCGAATAAAAGCTTGTTCCTTTGCTCTGTAAGTAAGTGTCGAGTAATCATCAAATGTTACCAAATATTGTTGCACTTCCGGTTCCATGCACCTTCTAAACATGTAATTCTTTATCTGTATCGTCAGAATCGTGTACTTTAAAACTACTAGTTTAGCAACGTTTCCACCAAAATTGTCCATCCTGTAAGATATCCACTTGTAATAAAGGAAAATGAAAATGTAGAAATTTAAATCCTAAAAAAATGTCAATCAAATCTATGTACTCATTCGCCTGCTACCTTAATTTGCATAATTATCATGACTTGTTGTTATTCCCATTGTTGTAATCTTTCTAAATAGCTGGCTTGGTGGCTTATTCTTACGCAGTATTTGCAGCAGAAGTATTTCATGTTCTATGTCCTCCGGTAGTGTATAAGTTTTGTGATTTCAGCATGTAATTGTTATGTATAATATTGTATATGGAAATATGTTAGTTGTATATGTAGGCTGTAGTTTTAGACTGGTTATCATATTCCCTTATTTTTGTCGTCCTATCGCTACTATGCTGTAAATAGTTTTAGTACAACAATTAGCAGAAAATTGTATAAAATATCAAATGAAAGTAGATATTCGGAGTATATTAGTTGTTGTTGTTTGCACCTGTAATTCACGAAATTCAGTTTGTATTATTAATTCATAACATTTACATGAGCAGTGTAAAGTGCACATTATTCTCATGAAATCCATATTATTAATCAATCAATCGATCGATTAAAGAAATCGGAATGCAGCAGAAGCAGAAGCAGCAGCAGCTACATTAGACTAAACTGCAACTATAAAATTTAATTGTGCAACCTTATCCAATATGAGTCATAAAAAGATTTAATTAATGTATGAAATTTTTGCTTGGGTCTAAATAAAAATGACCGAATGGTTACCTTGTTAAGATGTCTATATGAATTAAATATATGGGACATTGTGCATCATATCTAAACTTAGTTGTTGGCTATTATTCCGTGAGTGTGATTAGAATAGTTCATGAATGAAGGGAGGGCCTGGCAATAGGATGACTGAATTGCATACGCGAATAGATGGAGTATTGCTAATAACTAAAATGATGATTTTTTGTCGAGGTTGAAAGAAAAAGAAAACAAACAAAAACTTATTGAACAAATAGCAAAAATTATAATTACAATTGCAATAGAATTACAAAGTTCAAGTAGTTCATTTTTTTCTCCTTTAATATCAAAACAACTTTTTATTAAGAATACTTCTCCTGGTACTTAATTGAAAGTAGTGGAAATCGGCTATACTAAAGAAAATGCTAGCAAACATTCCGTATGCTAACATTACCTAATATAGTTTAATATATAGGAAATGCTACTTTTAAGGATTAATGTACGCGTGAAGAAAGTTGTTCGGGACGGTGGGTCGCTCCTCCAGCTTGTCGTACTCCAGGATGAACTCCTTGGGAATTTTTCGGAAACTGATCGGATCAAAAAAGTAATACATTCCCCTTTCAAAACTTCCTCCCTTCTCCACCGTGCTCAGCCCTGGGGCCCTCGTGATCCAAATCTTCTCTTCCTTGTGGTAACGCCAGTCTCGGTTGAAGAGTTCTCCTGCAGCAAGGATTTGTAAAACATCACCAGTATACGTGTAAAACATGTAGAATAAGAGCTCTTCCTTGTATCTGTTCATTTTCAGAGGTGCCAACTTCTCTCTGCAAAGATGACAATAATTATTTATAATCCATAATCCATCGTTATTTTGATCCAATTAAAATTTAAAGTTGGGCTTACCGAACAGATGAGACAAATTCGTGTCCATAGCGTAGCTGATCACTAATGTTGTACTCTTGAGGAACTGGAAATTCGACATCCTCTGCCCTGACAGGACCTTCGCCCCATGGTCCCCCGAAACTAGGATACAAGCTGTCAGTCGCGTTCAGATTCAGTCCTAATGCCGTCAAGTCGAACCCCAGGGCGAGTGATACCAAGTTAGGGTCCGTTTCAGCAACTCTTATGAATGTCAATAGCCCAACCATTCCAAATTGGTCGTTCACCATACTTGCCGGAATATTTGTGACCTTCCCTGTAAGCACCACAAGCAAAAACAAAAAGATGAGAAAGTTTACAAGCTAGTTGTTTTTAGACAAGACATTTACATTTTAAGTTTTGTCTATAATTCGATTTTATAATTATTATGTATATTACCATCTGGAGATGTGACGATTCCCCGTTTTTGCAATGAGTCCACCGTTTGATTGTTGATTCTGGGCTCGGAAGAAGAAGGATCAATTGGTTGAGATGCGTTGGGTGCTTGAACTTGAGCTCCTGGGTCATTGCTAGCTCCACCTGCCCCCGTAGGAGCAGTGCCAGGAAGTGCAGGGAAATCTTCCGAACTCATAGTGAAGGCGCTCGTTTCTGAAACAGGTTGCTTGACCATACCTTTAATAAGAAAGACACAATTTATAGGATTATTTTCATTACTGCTAAACGAAGAGATCACTTTGATTCCTATCAAGAAAATATAGAGCCTTATTTCTTTAAAAACCATATCGCTTCCTCCACCCAGAGTACAACAAAAAAACTTCTAAATGTTTGAGTGTTCACGAAAATATAAAAAATGAATACTCACCATAAGGCTTGGCCGGTAAATTTTGATGATAGCCATCCGCCCCCTGGCCGAGATTTCGATTTGTCAAAGATGGGAATTCAGATGGGTCCAGAATGGGTGGGTAGTGGTCCGAATTCCCCGGATACCCTCCAGGAACTTGCTGCCTCCCCAGGCCCAAGACCGACATCCCACCCGCACCACCTTGCAAAGGTCTACGAAAAAAAGTATCCCCCATTAATTCCCATCCTACCAAAAACATCCCATCAAAAGCCAACTTACCCCATTCCAAGCCCCATCATTCCGCCTCCACCCCTCCTCCCCCCGTGTTGGGGAGCAGAGATGTACGACGAGGACGAAGGGGGCCTCTGGTTCATGGAAGCAGCCACCGCATTGTTATTCCCACTTTGTACAGGATTCATTCGATTCGGACTTAAGGGTGGTCCTTGCATGTTACTCGCGGCCACCACCACGGGGATGACCGAACGGGGGGGTGGTTCCTGTCGAAAAAAGGGGGCCAGAATTTTTTATTCCTTCCTTCGACTCGCACTCGCTCTTGTCTTGTGTCGTGCTCTTCTTGGTTTGTTGTTTGCTTGGCTGCAGTATAGGTTTCCCGCACACCACCACGTCCACGAGAGCCACCTACTTGCCCAACTGGGGCACCAGCCTCGAACACTGGGCACGTTGTGACTCGCTTGCTTACTCTTTCTCTCTCCTTCCTCCAGCACAAAACCACTCGCTCACTCACTCACTCACCCACCACGGCCGAGGCAGCGAGGAATTAGTGCTCTTCTCTTCCCTCCTCCTCCTCTCTACTTTGGATCCGGTAATCGCTCAGTACCATCGCCCTTCTCTCTTATCTTGCTCCTCTTATCATCGAGACTTATCATCATCCTCACCCCTCCTGCCCGCCCACTACTCTGCAACAGCAGCAGGAAGAAGGCGCACTTACCCACCGATTGTGATTTCACTACTTCGACTTCTTCTCGTAAGTTCTAAACGATTTTTTCCATTTCTTTTTTTTTGCATTTTGAGGAGAAAAAAGTTACAAGTTGGATAAGTAATTACTTACCGGTGCACCCACCCATCTAATATATAGTAAATGGTTACGTTGGAAAGGGGCGTTAGAGGAAATAAATGTTTTGGATGTGACAATAAAAAAAAGTATTATTTTCTGACGAAAAACGTGACAATTTTTGCATTGCTGATTGATATAAACCGCACCTGTTCCTCCCCTCGAATCTAATCATACTTGATCGCGAAAGATAGGAATAAAGTAGGATTGTCAGGTAAGGTCTATCATGGTGTGGGCGGGTGATCAGTTTTCGAGAGGGTGGGTGGTGGGGGTGGATAATATAGAGCTAATGATAAAACTCTATGTGTAGAAAAATGCCATCAGCAAACTTGCAAGCTGAAAAGCTTGCGGAAAAGCCTAATGACTTGGATTACGTTAACCAACCTATGAAGCCTGCAATGACGATCGTTGAACACAAAATCCGGAACCTGGAAAAAAGAAAGGTAGGTGTTATCCAGTGCATCAAAGGTACATTAGTCAGAGATTGGGTTTAATGTACAGTTGGCTAATGTATTAATTGTGTAAAATTTTAAGGCGAAGTTGGATTATTACAAAGCCAAACAGGATTCGGGAGAAGTACTCAATGCAGATCAGTTAGTTGCAGCTGCCAAGTACGATGAAGTGGTTCAGCAGTTAGAACTCTCTAAGGATTTAATGAAACAAATCACCCAAGCCAATGATGATACGAGGAAGGAGATTAAGAAACATCGAAAGGCTGAACTTGCTGAAAGAGCGGTGCAAGAGACTGAGAAACTACGAATGCTGTTCCTTTTTCATTTGGTTGTCAAAGACTTGGTACGGTATTAATTTGACACTTTATTCGCAAGTAAGAAAAAGTATTGTAAGTTTTAATTTGTTTAAATAAACTAACAGGAGAACTGTGACTTGAGTAACGAAACTGATGACACCGCTGATCTCAACAATGCCGTCCTCGTCATTAAGAAACACGAGTTTGTTCGCTACTCGGAACTTTTGAAACTTCACGACCCCAACTTTCAGGCCACAGTGGAGATGTTGGCAACAAACTGGTCGCAAGTATTGGGTAATTTAAATGCTAACCTATTCATTCATTTCAATCCGTTTTTTGTATTTTGTAAACTCATCATAATATATAATGTAAATGTAGATGGAAGTAAAAAGTCTGTGGGCGCTCAATCTGGAAAGGACCGCACGACTTTTAAAAATATTCGAGATAATCTGCTCACTGTTGCCAATTCGGAGTTTTTTGCTAATCGACAACGCAAGGAGCCGGTGGTTGAGGAAGAGGAGCAATTGCAACAAGACGTTATTGGGGAAGCTCCCATTTCCGAATCTGAGTCCATTCCGTCCTTAGCCCAAAACATTGAAAACTCGGCCTCCACACCCCAACAAGAAGAGACTCCTCGAGTGGAACAAGTCATCCCGACGCCGCCAGTGGCCCAGCAACAACCACTTACTGTTTGCCAAATGATGGTTCGTACCATTCACCCAATTTTGTATACCAATGTCATACACATCCTAATGTCCTGACTTACTGTAGGATTCGACCTACAGTTTTTTGCAGGAGTCTCAGATTGACTTGGAATCGCCACATTTCGACCCAGCCGTCGTAGCCGTCTCATCATGCCTTCCTGGACCAATAAGTGCGCACATTGATCATCGTCAGCAACCAATTAGGGACGGTTACACTACTTCTTCGGCTTCTGTTCCACCGTACCAGCAACTGACGTTGTCTATGTCAAATGGAATGAATGAGGGCACATCAGAAGACTACTGTAATAAGCCGATGCCCTTGATTGATGATAAGCTAAAAATCACTGAGTGGAATTCCTCCGAGTCAAAACTCGTTGAAGGAAACCCCAGTGACGACAATGAACTAGGTAACGAAATGAACCACACAATTGAGATAGCATATGTCGTGTGTATGTATGTCGCCAATTACGTGTCATTATTCTGTCTTTTATGTGTTTGTTCGTAAATTGATAGTTAAATGTAAATCCTTAAATGTTCTACGACGGTGACGGTAACATTAAGTGTATCAAGTGCTGTACTTGAGTATTTCCCAAAATCTGTTTTACGAATCTATGAAGATGTTAAAGATAATCCGGAATTTAAACCAACTCAATATTTGTATATCAAACTGCATGACGTTCTTCCTATTCCCGTTAAGTTACAGACCTAGAGCATGCTTTCTTTCTATTCTATATTTTGTTTCGTTATATTCAGCTTGCTTATTTTCTTGTATGCATGCAACAACAACATTTCGTCACTGTTTTGCTTTACTACATTTTGGACGGAATCAATGTTACAAGTCTTCTAATTGCATGGCTGGTAAGAAGTTTCTTTGCATGATACTTTTATTATATTTTAAGTTTATTTTATTCAAGTAATTGGGCGGTTTTTTTATTCTTTATGCATGATCTTGTGGGTGGGTTGAATTAATTTTTGTCTGGTGGTGGACACATTTTTTCTTGTGGATTTTAACAAATTTCGTATGACTGATGCTGATGGTGTTTAGCTGTATTTACTTATGCATAATATTATGTGGGTACCCTAGCTCGTTTGATTAAAGATTTCAAAAAGTTCCCCCGAACATCTGTTCTATGTGAAAAAAAGTTTGAGGGCTACTAACATTAAAAATCTTTAACCAAATAAGCTGAGAGGTACCCCTGATTGTATCGCCAAATAATAAGAAACTTGCTTAGCTTGAAAGTAAATCACCAGGTTTAGCGCTGGTTAATCACTGATTGCAATTTTGTTATGAATGAGTAGAATGAAAGGTATGCTTGCGACTTAGTTAGTTTACTAAAAATGCCTTGGAATAATTTTCGTCTGTTTGGTCCGTAACTAAATTGCACACCTTTTGTTTTGCTATGCTGAATAGGGATTTTTTCCCAAACTCCGTATAGGGATATTCCCAGTTATTTGTTGAGTTGCGTTGAGCCGTACCGTAACCCGTATTTATTCTCGCCGCAACATAGTTTGTACTCTTCACAAGACAGCTTGTTTTTGGGTATGTGAAAGCTGTAACCGTTCGTAAGACAGACCACAATCCCTCCCTTATCTCTCAGGGGATCAGATCTCAACAGTAGGTGTGGTGTTTTTTCAGGCGGGACTCAACAGTATGGAATGAATAATAATAATAATAACAACAACAACAACAACCGAGCAGGACGGGGGGCCCGAGGAAATTTCCGTCGTGGATCCTCTAATGGCTTCATTCCTCGGGGTAGTTCCCGAGGACGAGGGGGATTTTCTGGGAACCGCATTGGATATTTCCGCAGCGATCAACAGCATCAAGACTATGGCTTTGAAAACCCCCGAGGTATTTTGAATATAAATATGTATAAATTGTGTCCTTGTTTGCTAAAAGTTTTATTGTCAATATTAATTGTAATATATGTAATGATAATTGTATTGCTTAGACTTCCGAATTGGAGGCGGGTATGGCAATACTGATCGGAGCAACTCTGCCGAACGGAACGGAATAGGTTACGGGATCAGTGGTAATGGATTTGTCAACTCAGGGGGTGAGAGAGTTGGGAACGTTTACGACCGGAGCGGGAATGGATTCAATAACAGTGATCCTTTCTACAACAACGGTCGTGGGGGCTATCGTGGGCGTAATGTTTCATCTCAAGGAAACAACGGCAATGGAAATAACTATGGTGGTGGTGGTGGAGGCTACCGTGGGGCTGTTCGTGGAAACAAGGCCTCGTCTCCTCGTTCTAGTGAAAATGGTCTCATGGCCAAATGCTATTAATGTCATCATCTCGGTTAACAAATCTTGCTTTTTATACCAAACTATGTTAGGTAACTGTAACGGGACCCCGCTATTAGTAAATTTAAGGTCAGTATGAGTCATACAGAATGAATGTGAATTAAGAGCGAGTATTGTTATCCATTTCTTACTAGCGATGTCAGCAACGAAACGTTTTCAATAAAGAATTTTTCATACAGCATAATTCTCCACTTTGTATGTTGTAAACCATTCATTCTTTCACAAATTCTGACTGACGAAATATCAAAGAAATTCAAAATTTTATTCCACAGTTATCATTAGCACAGAGATTCATCAAACACAATGAAATGAAATTAATGCAACGACGTCATGTTTATAATTTTAGTAACATTATAATATTTAGAATTCCATATTTACCATTAGATGAGTATATGTAGGTTTTGGCTTCTTCTCTTCAGTATGCCAGTTATACAATTAGTACACTTGTGGAATGTTTTTTACAGCGTTAAAAATCTTATAAAATGAGTATTTCTGAGTTGAGTAAAAAAGATTGGCATTTTATGTCTAACCTCGACCTAATCTGTATCATGGAAATGTTGACAACTATTTGATAATGAGTATTTTTGCGATTTAATTAACAATATCCGGCATGGCAGGACAACAATTGGGTTGTCTAATGGTGATAAATAAGGATTAAATTTTAGATATTTAACCTTTATCCAAGAGATCAGAGAGAGAGAGAGAGTTGTTTAGAAATATGATGAGAACAAGTAGAGCACAAGTACTGGCCAGGATGGAGGTGACATTGCCGATCTTCCACCAAGATCTTAATAGCACTTTATAATTATAATTACTTTGGATAAGTTCACATATTTTACGATAACTATGGATTCTGTGAATGTGATTTCCTAGTAGAAAATTTCTACACTCACAAATTTTCAAACCAGAACATTAAACAATTAACAACCTTGTATATAGAATAGGAATGCAAAGCTTCTTAATTTCACACATCGAAAGTACTTACATATATTCCTCATGGTTCTACTTTACATGTACATAAGTTTATAATTATATTATTTTTTGTTTGTTTTTGTATTTGGTAGTTTATGTAGTTTGTGCACCTTTAATTGTTTCCATTATTCTGAGAGTGAACACTGGACACTGGGGATTGGCTAGTTGTCGCATAGCTGTAGTGGGGTGTAGACTGATCCTCCCTCCCGTACTCTTGCTGACTTGCAAAACTGGGATAAACCGGACTGTACTGACCATCACTGTCCCCTTCTCCTCTCCCCCCTCGCCGACTGCTTCCTTGTTGGTGGGTTGGAACTTGTTTTCTATTTCGCCCAAACCCATCTTCACTTTTTACCGGTGAAGATGCATCGGAACCTCTTGGACTTGGGTGACCCTCGTCGTCTTCTTCCTCTTCTTCATAGGCGAATTCTCCACCGCCTGCATTGTCCTCTTCCTCTTCGTCACCCTCTGCAAATTGTTCTTGGAAACCACCCATGGCCATGCCGTGACCGAATTCGACGTCATGTTGTTCCAAGTAGGAGTGTTCAGGTAGCATTTCATCCCCCGTCGGAGTCTGGTCGGCATCTGGTTGTGGGTCGAAATCTGGGTTGGAAGCGTAGAATTCTTGTTGATCTTGTTGTTGGCTGTGGTGCCCATTGTTGTTGTTTCTCGTGTCATAATTTCCGTTCGTCTGCTTTGTCAGGGTGGTCTCGTCGGTGGTATCTTGTGGCGGAGGGCTATCTTTGCTGCTCCCATTTAACGTTCCGTAAGGATTTAGCAGATTTTTGGTGCCTTTCCCCTCTGGGTAAACACAGCTTAAGCTGCGCTGATGCGATTTGCCATTCCATTCGTTGAGAGTTTCAAAGCCGTTCTCTCTACCATTTCCGTTCCCATTGCTCTCATGAACACGAAGGCTCAGGTTTTTACCAAGTTTTAGCTTAGTAAGAGGTGACCTATCTCGTATGATGAAACTTGCTCTTGAACTCATACTGCTGATGTCGGACCTGGAAAAAAATCATGATTGGAGTTATGACCTCCCTTTCTCATTCGTTTCTTTAGCTAATTCATACCCAAGCGTTTCCGAACTGGCCAGAGGCACTGTGCATTCATATAGTTTAATTGGGCCGAAAATCTCCTTCATCGTGGTGCCAAGCTCGGAACAGGTGGAGCTCCCGGAACTGGAAGTGCGAGTATGGGAATTCTTCCTCGAAAGTTTTAACGGGTGCTTGCCAAGCTCTTTGAATATGTCCCAGTTGATTTTGAGAGAGAAGAGTGTTTCCGTCGAGTGAGAGCCAGCCACCGAAATGTACTCGTCGACATCTTCGTCCGCGGGGAGAACGTCGTCCTCCAACATCATCTGCTTTTGGGAGGATGACCTTGCTGGTGGGGATGGTTTTGATACTGAGACGATGGCTGCTGTCGTGGTGGTGGTGGATGTCATGGCTTTGATTGGGGGTTCGTCATGCCTGGCGCAAGAGCCGGACGCCTCACTGGCGAAACTAGCCCCGGAATGTTGTTTGGAAGAATGCTCAATGAAATCACCACCGCCACCAAGAGAGGATTCGTTGATCATGGGCGATGCACTGTTGGTCATGGCTCGGTGGGGTTTAGCTGGACCCAGGCTTGTGGTGACCTATTAAGATAGGTTACAGTATGAGACATTAATTTCCTACCTTAATTTTCTTAATTAAATGGTTAATCATGTATAAATACCCGATTCAACGCCTTGAGTACTTTGTCCGGCAAGTGATCCTGAATCATTCCGGGAGAAATCAGAACCTCGTCATAGTCGGTGTTGTCGGTCCAGATGGCCTGAAAGACTGGCTCTCCCTTCCCAACGATCCTTCTGTGAAAAATGAATTTAAAAATGAGATCTAGCCACATAACGTCACAAATAAGGCACAACATATATAAATATATATTTATTTTGTGAACAACATATATACGTGAGTGTACAGCAGGATAATAACTTACCTCCAAACTGACTCGTACTTTATCCTGCGTAAGACGAGTGCAGTTACAGTAACAGTGATAACAATTAGTTAGCCATACATCGTCAACAATGAAAAGCAAGCTGAAGCAAGGGTGCCTCGATATCTCGACTCAATTACGTGTTTTGCATGAGAAATTAACATGTTCTAGAAAAGTATACTTGAAAGTAAAAGCTTGAACAAAGCAGATAATTGTTCCATATTTGTAAATTGAGTAATTTTAAGTCCAAGTATATCGAGACACTTAATTTTTTCACAACAGAAGTACAACACAATAATTTTGTATGGCAATTACTCTACGTGCTCACAAAAGCGGTCACTTACTCGTCTTTCTTGGGATGGTGGCGGATCCAGCATTCGAGCGAGATCCTACACTTCAACAGGCAATTTTTTATGGAATTTCCAATTTTGCTATATATTGCGATAAGATAATTTGGTCACATTACGGAGAGGTACAAGATATACAAAAATTGGAAATTTCATAAAAAAATTGCCTGTTGAAGTGTAGGATCTCGCTCGAATGCTGGAATAGGGTTGATGGTGGCGGAGAATAAATATATGCATATTAACAGTCCCCGGGTCAAGCGGGAATTCAGCACAACCTCTGACCTCATCCCCGTTTTCACTCTCACCACTCCACACTCAAGCTTATTTTTAACTTCATTTCTCATAATTAAAATTTCTATTTTTAAATTATTATGGAGGAGGAGGGACACTCATCAGGCGAAGATTTTGTAGTGAGGAGACCACCCGTTGCTCCAATGATGGAGGGGGAGGAGGAAGTGGCCGGTCCGTCTTCCAACAAGCGGTTAGTTTTTTTTTAATTCCTCCTCCTTCCAGTAATTAATTATTTAATTAATGTACGTTGCAGATCAAAGCGACAGTCTTCCCCTACTCACCAGACCCCATCTGTCAAATTGTTGCCAGTGGAGAAGAAAAAGCACCCCCTCGCTCCCACTGGTTATCTCAACCCTCCCGGGACAAAAGATACGGAAAAGAGAAAGTCGGTCACATCAACAAGTTCAGCTAGGGAGGATGACGATTTCGAGCCAATCCCATGGTACTACTTCCCAGAAGAGGAGGGTGAGATACAGGACGAGGGCAGTGGGGGGATCTACATTCGAACGGGAGAATTAGCTGAAGAATTTGAAGTCAGATATTCGGGAGGAGCGTCTGAATCGAGAATTGGAAAAATAAAGACAGGTAAATGATGAATCATTTCTTTAGCCAATCAAACTAAAATGACACAGTATAATAATAAAACTGTTATTATTATGCTATGTAGAAGAAGGTGTAGATCTCATTAGGAAGACGATTCTACAATTAGTTGGTAAAGACTCTCCCTCCGCACCTGAGCTGGATATAGAGGAATCATCCCCCGAACTAATTTTCACCCAAAAAGAAGAGGGTTTAACTGATGACGAGAGAGAGCTGCTCTTTACAAAGATTTTCGAAGCAGGAGGACGAGTTCCCGTCGTCGATAAGCCGGACTGGAATCTTATCATCCATAAGGCACCAACCACTGGAATAATTCACTTGTGTATAGAGTCGATGAGACGACAAGCGGGGGGAGACTCCGAGTATAGAGCTTATAGGTTATGCACAAAAGAAAGTAAGAATATTTTAACATTGTTTCTATTTATAACCTGCGATATGTGTCTACCAATGTTGCTTGACTTTAATTATCATATTAATTAATACGTTACTATTATAGACTGTTATCAATACCAACGTACAACGGCGAGTGCTGTATTGCCGAAATGTTTATCGCACAAGGAGACGCTAATAAACACAGTAATGGGAGTGACTCCCTATGAAGAAAGAAACACTCTCGTTCGTATACACGTGAAGTTTCTGAACTCCGTTCGGCTGAATTCATCAGATTCGGAGACAAAACATGAAACAAAGTTGCATATGTCCAAGACAATTTCTACTTATCAAACATGGAAGGATTACTGTGCCACAAAAGAAGTCCACCCCATACCAAAAGAGATTTCCATGCACCACTACGACAACGAACAGGATGCGTTAAAACGACTGGCACTAGAGTCGGTTAGTTAATCTAATTCTAAACTGTATATTGTATTTATTGAGACTTGTCAATTGAGCATTATTATTATTTATTAGACGATCGGCATGATGATGAAATTGGCCCCAGGGACTATGCCCTTCATAAACTTGGATGCTGTCATTCCATTCAGCTACGGGATGGAGGACGAGATCGATACGCGCCTTAAGGAACTGGGCATGCATCTCAAAATCCTTCGTAAGTTGAAACCGGAAGAGAACGTGGCTTATCCATTCCCCGGACAATATTTACTAGGAACTCCGGCAGCAGATACACAAAAGCCTGAGAAAGGGACGGCGTTTTTATACACCATAACATCACGTGAAATGTGGTATTTTGGGTGGAGTGACACCCCCGACTTCAAGATTCGACTAGATGGAAGAAGGACTGACGGTGCTAGTGAGTATAAGCGGATTACGGAAGCTAGGACTTATCCACCAGGGATCAACGCCCCCACTCTGACATGCTCTCTCCTCGCTAAATGTGCCGACAAGGATAAGGAGACGATTGAGGCGAAAATGATCATTTCCGGTTATATTGCCTATTTACTAGGACTTCGAAATCCACTTCGCCCTCAAAATCGTTCTGCTCGTTGTTACTCGACCAATAAATGTGTCCTTCTGAGCCTTATTGGCCCTGGTGCATGGAGTGAGATATGTCAGTTTATCAAATTATTTTGGAGAGTCGAGCCAATGTTGGGAAAGTTCGAGAAGCAGCTTCGTTCCAAGAACCGTGTCAAAATGGTAAACTTGATTTGCAGATATCTCGCTTTAATTTACTAAAGTTTTTGCCTCTTTTTCTTAGGACGAGGCTGAAGAACAGAGTGACGGTGAGGACGAGTCTTCCGAGGATGAAGATTACAATCCAGCCAAGGATATGCACAATCAGAATGAGAGCAGGTATTATAAAAATATCTTTGCATTTTGTAATTAAGCATACATTAATCCAAAGCTATGTCTAGTGAAAGTGATGTCGGTCTCTTCACTGATGCGGAATCAGTTGCGAGCGGAAGTAATGGGAGCGGATCTGACAGCTACTGAACAACACAACCTATTCTCCAATCCCCACCCCTGTCCACCTACTTTATTTATTTAAGAGTTATTATTGATCACTTATTGTTAAAACTTAAGGGTCAGGTCAAATCAATTATTTGCCATTGAAAATAAGCTTCGGCTAACAAACAATACATTTTTAAATCAGGGAAATTGTTATCATCATCATTTTTAGGCCTTTTAAGATCTTTTAGATCCTTTTAAGATCCTTTATAAAGATCTATGACATGCTACTGGAATGCTATTCAAACCTGTCATTGGGAACATGGTGGCGGACCACGTGCATGATGCGGCCGGGTGGGTAGAGGGGTCGGTGCATCATCATCGACACGATCGAGTCGTTCGGACCCAGAAGATCTTCATTAAAGGAGGCTGACGAGTTTTCGTTCCCACCAGCAGGAGAAGAGTTTCGGTCGTTGGGTGTGGCAAATTCCGACTTTCCGAAGCATCTGCAACACTTGACTCCAGCCATTATGGTTCTCCACTATTAATTAGAAACACGTAAAAACATGATTAAAAAATATGATTAAAAAACCATAATTTCAGAAATTAAAGATTTTAACCTTTGGAGTATGACTCTTTTTAATGGCGTTGAGTAGATCGGCTCGAAGCGCTTCCATTTGTGAGAGACCAATACGAGGGACCACTGCAAATGGGGAGCAAGTGATTTAATGATGCTGTTGTTATTTTTGGTCAACTTTCATCTAACTTACGGTCTTTCCCGACAATTACAGAAGTCACAAACTCCTTGGTGTACTCGACAGCAGGCATGCTGTACAAGTTTATTTGACACGTTTATTAATCATATTTTTTCTCAACCTGTTGACATACATGTCAGATTATTACTGACCTTAGAAGACCTCCAGGTGGAGAGTAGGCGTAGCAAACCAAATCAGGGAATTGTTCCCGGAGCAAAATTGCTAAAATTGCGGCTGCCCCACCCCCAAGGGAATGTCCGACAATAACCACATTGAAAATCTCATTTGAACGTGCTTGACACATTTCGAAAGCTCTTTCCAAAATGTTTTCTCCAATAAGTTTGGACTTTAAATAGGCAGCAGCTTGCACCATGCCCTGAATAATAGGACAAATTATACCACGTTGTTAATCACCACAATGATTATTTTATGCTATACCTTGTGGCCTAGCCAGTCTTCTTTCACTGGATGAAGGGGCAGAGGCTCAGCTTCGGCATTCAGGTCGGTCATCAAGTCCTGATAATCCAATAGTTTTGAGAAATAGAGTTCAAGAAGAGAATCATATATAAAAAAATCCTCACCTTTAAGGACAACGTCCCTCTAATGGACACCACAATGGCTTGTTTCTCATAGTCTACGACAACAAAAAATGGAGTTTCCCCAACGTCAACGTGGTATGTTGCATAGACAATTTCGAATGACGAGGGGTCGAACATGGTTGGAATCACAGCAACCTTTCCAAACGCATATGTATTAAGTAAGTATGTACTCCTGATATTCACTTTAATGTATATGTACAAGTAAAAAAGTCTTTAGCAAATATTCTGTACTCACGTTACAAAAGCAACAATTGTCCTCCACGACTCTCTCCGATAGCTCCTGCCCCAGAGAATTGCACAGGTATCGATGAAAACAGCATCTAAAATGTCATTTATTGACACATTAAACACCGAGTCATTACTAAAAAGAAGAGCTCATATAATTCTTCGAATCCCACACTTACTTTACGTTTGAGCACAAGTTGAACAACCCCCTGAAGCCGTTGGGGATCACATACCTAATGTAAAAGTGCATAAGAAAGCTCTAAATATGAGACACAAGATCGTCATTGGATTCACTGGTTGCATTAGAATTTACCAAAGCCATCCATAAGCTGCAGAGGAATATCTCATGTAATAAACGACGTTGTGATAAGCCTCCAAATCCTGAGCATCATTCATTGCTGTAGAAGAAAAGAGGGTTATTGAGCAATTTATGTACAGGGTTGATATCCATACTCGTTACCTTACCCACAAATTTTGTGTTTGGCGTTATTGCGATTCCAGATAGAAACTCGTACGTGTTATTTCGCTTCTGAAATTGCATAGGTTCAAAGAAATAATAAGTGCTTGTAGTTACGTATAAGACCAGCTCCAATCCGATGATGATGACGAGAGCCCATACAGAATGGATAATACAAAAGGCGTCATAAAACCAAGTTTAGTGCATAGCATACGAGTTGTAATGCTAGAGAAGGAGTTAGCATTGCTGTACCAATCTCTTGCCAGAACACAAGAGCGAACTTTCACTACTCGTTCAGTTATGAGTAGCAGTAAATATATAGAAAGCGACAAGACGTCATATATAATTTACCTCATTTATTATAGACACTTGCTCCAAACGTTGCAATTTTCTGAGCAACAAAAGTCCCACAATTATATCTGATGGCACCACATCTGCAAAAAATAAACAGAATTGAGACCAAGAAAAAACCATGTAAAAGTGTCCTGTTCATTCTCCTCTTAGAAATCGCCGGCTATAGAATCTGAAACCTGAAAGAAGTACATTCTTACGTACCAAGGTCACGAAAAAACTCGGAAAGCAGCTTCGCCAAGTCACCGAACGAGTCCTGTAATTCAGATAAAATAGAAATCATCATCATCATCACCAGAGTCAGAGGTAAATCTGACTCAGCAAAAGAGTTTGTTAGTTGTCCTGCTTTTATTATAAATTGTCTTACACGATTGCTTTCCGAATTGTGAACACAACAAAAGAGAAATCTGCACCGATTGTTCCAACTGCTTTCATACTGTCGCATCACTTTTCTGTTGGTCACAAAAGAACCCAATTAGAGAAAATTATTTGCATATTCACAAGTAAAAAAGTTTTCTCAGATGCGTCCAACTTTTCCCAAGCTGTAAGTAATTAAGGAATAATAATGACTTTCTCTCCACTCGACACCCACCAACCTTTGTCTCCAGTTTCGTTGTGTACTTCCAGACCGTTTGAAGGATGGGTGGCGATGCTCCTGTTCCTTCACGTTGGCCTGATAGCGTTTCATTTTGACCCAGGACCTCCCAGCCACGTCGTACACACACCACGCCGTCATCAACACGGACCCCAGAACAAACCACACCCAAATTGTCAGTCCTGCACAAAGCGTCAAGAGTTAAAATACTTATCAGTGTTCCTACGCATAATGTCACCTAGCTTCCGTGTATAAATGCATAATATGCAAATTAGTTATAAATATTATAATAGTAAATGATGATTTAAAGGAGGATTATTAAAGGGGCAAAGCAAAGTTTGTATTTGTATTTCTTCATTAGTTTCCAATAAGAAAGATTCACTCGATCAGATTAATAAAAAAATTACGAGTCATGCATTTGTGTCACAGTCATTAAACTACTCGCGACAATTTAGTTAAGCAGGGGAAAGTTTGTATGTGTTTTTTTATCAAAAAGTTTTCGGGGTAGCGGACTGACATAAAAATGGGAGGATAAATTTCGTACCAATCATAACTTGCTTGGTTAAAACAAGATCGCACGAGAAGTAGAATTTTCGACTCCAAATCAGTGCTACAACCGACCATACGATCTCCAGGATCAAGGCAACTGCAAAGTCAAACGGTAAAAAAATTGGCTGAAACGTGGTTGATACTTTCCTTCATAAAATGGCATGCAGTCCTCATTCAGTATCAATATAGCAAAATTGATTCCAATCACATTCAATTCATTTGAACCACCACAAATCACACACTTATGAAAAATATGTCTGGACATAGATAAAGAGTAAAGTGAAAAAGAGAAATAGATTTGCATTGCATAAAAAGATTTCTTATATTGAAAATCACATTCAATCAAAATCACACACAGAATTTTTTCACAGTTACATAGACATTGACATTTTTGGCACGACAATATTTCCAAAAAGGAGAAAAAGGGGGTAAAACGGGAGGAAATTGGGGACGCACAAAGTCTGACGTAGAGGAGGTAAGGGACGCCATTCCTGGGCGCGTCGTTGAGAATGGATCCTCGGAGGGAGACGATGGCGAGGGCGATCTCCAGAGTCCCCGATAGCAGCACCAGGCTAAACATGGTACACAGAATTCCCAGTCCTTGGATTTTGCAGTCAAACTGCGACCATTTAGACTTCTCCCCAAAGTCCAACACAATGGCCACCACGATAAAGATTATCCTGCAATTTAAAAAAAGTTCTCCCTCTAATAAAATACCTTCTCACAGTTGCCGACAAGTGTGGTGAAAGGTCGTAAAAGTGTGGTATTAAAAAACCAGAGCCTTGCCCAACTATATATTTGAGGAGACGAAATTGCCTACCAGCTCGTAAAGAAAGGGTAAAAAACAACACAAAGCTGGCATCATCGTGATCGTCTCAATTTATCAGCAACCCAATTTTCATACGCATCAAATCCACTGTCGTCTCTCGTTACAAAGAACCATTTAGATTAGAAAAGGAGAGAGAAAGCGCAAAGTTGTTGTCTCGTGTGGTTTCTCCTCTTGGTCTTGTTGCACAAATGCTTCCTATCTTTTATCGTGTGGTAAGTATGATGATATGCACCATCTCACTCACGCAACCATCAATTCCATGCTTATTGTACTGTGCGGATTTGTGGATGCGGGCCAAAATGAGGTGAAAACAGAAGAGAAAGTTGGTGGCAATAATGGAGAGAAAATCCTTGTTTACTTGAGAAATGAATAGTCGAAGCATGAATCTAAATCACCTTGGGTGAAATTGGAAGATTGGAAGAACGTGTAAAGCGATTAATGAGGTCGGAAATTTGAATGTGGGGCAACTCAATTGATGCCCCAAGAATGATGGGTGGTTTGTCCATAAGGTGTGCATGTAGGCATGCTGGATGGATGATGAATGTGATGTGGAAATCTATCCAGCCCTATTTTTAGAAATTGTCTCTACCTTTCGTTTCGCCCACCTTGGTCGGGTGGGTATAGATATCTACATTTGTACGTCGAGTTTGATTATAAGGACGAGCAGGGAAGGATTGATTTAAAGTGGCACTAATGCATTCCGCTCCGATATTCCAATTAATCAAGGAGGAATATTGAGTGGTTGGTTCGCTGGGAGAGAGGCAATATTATTCATCCACTAACTATAATTGACAGAGAGCGGAGCGTGTGCAGGGCTGAGGATGAGTGCTGTGATTGAAGCTTATTTATTACATTTTGGATTCATGGCTCATTTCCTAAGTGGATCAAATCAAGTTGAGATTAGGTATTATTATTTTGCCCTATTTCCATCTGCCAAAATGGAAAATAAATTGATTTATACGGAAACAGGATCCAATCTCACTTTGAACATTTATCAGATAATAGCAAAGTAATGGAGTTTAATTAAAATTATGAACTTTTCCATGCTTTCTATTTAGGGCTTGATATATGTACAAGTTGTTATACATATGTACATACACATGTGTCTCAATTGATGCGATATCTAATTACAGGGTTGGTCACCCACCATATGCAAATTGCAGATAATTTGGGGTGATTCAGCTCAAAGGGAATAATTTTGGGTCAATTTCGTCAAGGATGCAAATTAGAAGACAAGTATCTAGTAGTCAGACATGTTAATTTAAAGCATTCATACCAGATAATGTGGACGGTGAAGAGTATAAAGCTTGGGATTAAAAGGTCATCACCTGAAAAAACATATGAAACGTGTTATCCATCTGTGCTCTACAACTGCACAACGTGACCACACACACAATGGCCATCGAAACTAAAAATATTTAGCATAGAACAAACCAGGAAAAAAAAGAACTTACTTCCTATGCTCCACCGTCGCCCGAAAGCGACTAGACCAGGCATCTCGGAGACAGCGTTTAGTTGACCGTGCCACCAAACACCATAAATCTCCCTCCTCTCCTCCCCTCTCGATTATTTCTACTATAATGTCCGCTTAATATTATTACTTATATGAAGCACCACTTGGCAAATGGTATCACGCTCTGTTCGGTAAGTGTCAGTAGTGGAGGAGAAAGTTTAGAAGTTGTGAGTTTTGCCTTCACATCTTGGTCAAAGGAGGTGATGATAAGTCAAAGCTCGACCTGTGGGGACAGCCCCCTCGTCGTCCTTCTCCTGCTTCCTTCCCCACCGGTGGTGGTGCCAATGTCATGCCGCTCCTGGCGAGGGTGGCGACTATCCTCTCACTAAGTGGGCTTCATCGGAAAGACTGGTTATTTTATGAGAGATGAGGGCCACCAAGTTTTAGAAGGGGGGCCGAGTGGAGGAAAGAAAGACGTGAATGCGACAGTGCAGTTGGATGGGGATCTTTCTCCTCGCTCTCCTCCTTCGTTGTGGTGCTGCTGGCTGATGCTCCTCTCTGCTTCTGCTGTCTCCGGAGGAAGATGAGAGAAAGCAAATCCGGTGGCATGGGAAAGAAGACTTTAAATCTGTTCAATACATAGGACTTCATGTTCCTTTCTCTCTCCGCTTTCTCTCCCATCCAGCAGCATGAAAGGCTCTCTCCTCCGACGACACGGGTTCCGAGTCGACTCCTCTCTCAAGAAGGAGCAGTAGTCGTCGTCGTAGTAGTAATACTTGGTCGTCTCGTAGTAGTGGTATTATGCCAGGAGGAGAGTGTTGAAACTCGGTAAATCCGGTGGTGGTTTGTAGGCCTAGTAGATATTTGGCTCAACATCCTATTATGTTCCTCATCTCTCTTTCTCCCCCCTTTAGCAACCATGCGCTTCAATTTCAATCATCAGAGAGGAGGCTGAAGGAGACAATGAGCAGAACCACAAACACCTTTCTACTTCCCCACACACTGCCACCACAATGATGATGAAAATGAAATATCATCAGAGACGAGATGAACGATTCAATCCGCATAAGTCCAAATCTCTCGAAACTTAATCTCACTGTGTGTGTGTGGATGTGTGGGCGAGTAGTCAAGTAGATTGGAAAGATGTAGGAAAACTATAGATGAGATGAGAGAGACCACCCCAGAACCGTGTCAGGATTATTATGTGGGTATGGAGATGACGCTTTTGGATGGAATAATGGAGAAAGTTGTCTCCCCCCTCACACCACCACCACTTGAATATTGGGTGGTAGTGCTGGTGAAGAATCGAATTTTAAACACTTGGATGCGTCCGGTATTGGATTTACGTAATTGAAAAACACTACAAAGTCACCTTGGAGAGGGAATCTGATCTGATATATTGGCTTTCCTCACTCGTACTTTTTCCATCTCTGACTCTCAATCTTAGGTTTTAGGTTGGATTGTGTAATTCACTGAAATTTAAACTTTTGAGCTTGTGAAATCCCGTATCACCACACCACCGAGACACGGAAACTTTTGCAATCGCCGGTTGCTACACGCGCATTCTAAAAATAGAGTAGTAGAAAGCAATAAAGTTATTGCACAGGATGTTTATTTACGCGGAATTGTTTGTTGCAAAAACACGGACATTAGTGAATCACGGAAGATGAGTATCACCCATGTAGATTAATTGTATAGTAATCAAAATCACCTATAACTAGTCTGAAGTATGTAAATGTATGCAAATCATGCAATAAGAAAGTCTCATCTCCAGCAGGGAACTCTATCTTATTAACGATTTTTTATTTAGTTTATTTAGTTTATACAGCTTTTATAAATTTTACAACCTTAATATGTCATGGTTTTCAAACCAATTTTGTAAACTGATATCCATTAACACTCGAATAAACGTTGAATTGAATTGAGCAGTGATTTGTCTGGGCTGAAAATTCATGTAAAATGGTGTAATGCAAACCAATTGATTATTCCAACCATCTCATTATTTATCTTTGTACATGATTAACTTAACTTATTGTCTTCTTGACAAACTAAAGAACAGATAAAACCTTGGGTGACAATATTTGACTTAATGCATAATTAGATAGTAAAATTAATATCCTCTTCACATTCAAACTAAAAACATGATCCATTTTTATTACATGGAGAGATTGAACCGAGTGCATTTGATCCATGTCGTGAATCCATAATGATCACACCAGAGTCAGTCGTAACTCGTGCATTACAAGAGATCGACACACATAAAACCGGATACGATGCTTTCTCAGTGATCCCATTTTCTCGGGCATGTTTCGACATTTGCATCCTATATGCAAACACATGGTGCTTTACTTTTATCGCCATAGGGCCAACTATTCTCATCATTCTTATGTCTATAACATCAGTAGTAGTTTCTCGCATGAATCCTCTCGTCCGTACGACAGGACGCATCCTCTCATTAATTACATCTCATGAATTGCGAATTACTATTAAAAAGAGGTTCGTGATTCTGAATACGACTTGATTAAACAGGAAGAAGAAGAAGAAGACGGAGTTGCAAAATCTGTAGCTGAATTTTTATCAGACTTTCAGACACTATTGTATCCATTCAACAAGGCTCAATCCCTTTCTTGTCCTCCAAGAACATTTTCATTCGCCGGATTCGCTGGCTGGCTGGGGATCGATCGTAAAAATTCGGGGTGTTTTACAGAAACCCGTGCTACGTTTCCAGAGTCAAAGTATGAAAATATTTCTATACCACGGAACTCTGGATTTCTCCAGGTTCCTGTAATATTAAAGGAAAGGCAGGGTTTTTGAACTCGTGAATGCACCAGATGATCTTAAAAGCAACTCTTTCTCTATACTTTCCCCTCTTGTACATGCAGAACTGTGATGTTTTTCCTGACATCCGATCATCTTTATCATTAACTCATCCAACCAACTTTCCCGACAGGACGAGTCGTCATCATGCTTTCGTAATCTCGTCACGAATACACCAGCTGCCAATTTCTTAACATCTTCATCATAAATATTTTCGTGTACGTAATCCACCCACAAAAAAAAACACCTTATTATACCACCGAGTCACCGTCATCCTTAAATTCATTCATTCATTCATTGATGAAGCATGAGGAATCAGTGTGTGTGATACTATTATTAATCGCCATGTGCCACTCTGTCCCACCACAGCAACAGGAATTCATTGTTACGCCAGCTAATTTCATGTGACGCAGTGGTCATGGTCAATTCGTTGTTGGTGGATTTCATCCCATCTTTTACACATTTATTGCGTCGATCTCTAAACAAACTCTGACTTTGTTCCACCACAAATTTTGGCGAGATTATTTTATTGGTGCGTTTTCGTTGACAATCAGGAAGTGAGGACAGTGAGGAGTGGAGGATTTTGTGTAAAAGTGAATCATCATCGCAATATCATCATCATCGTCAACCAAATGCACGGGAGAGTATTATTATTACATCAACTCTTTCCCACAACCCTTTACTTTTAACACGTTAACATACTATTCATTCTCAACTTTTTACCAGTCACCAACAACTTTGTATTCTTTTTTGTACTACTGCTCCGTATTATTATTAGCTGATTCAATCCGACCCACCTGAATCACGTGCTCTCTCACGTAAAATCAGTTGTTCGAAATGTTGCTAATTACTAAATGTGTTCTAGTTGACCGTTAATATCTACAAGGAAATATATAAATATTGGGAAAGGAAAACTTAAAATAACTACATGTTAAGCAAATTGCGTTGCACAGCATCATTTTAAGGTCACGGTTTCACCTAATAATATTTAACTTTTCCTGAGGGAGGAGATCAGTGGTGGTGGAAATGCCATTGACATATAAAAGTGACAGAAGATTAGGTGAATTCTTCTCTGGAAACGTGCTAAAATATCGAGAGGCTAAAATTTCGCCAAACTTTGGCATTTAATAATACTCCACCCTTCCCTGTTATCAAAAGGAGTAAAAAATTTTGACTCAAAATGGAGCACAGGAAGGAGGCGGAAGCTGTCTACTTTGCACAAGAAGACTCGCATATAGTCATGTCGGAAAAGGTAAATAAGTAATTGATATGTTTTTTTTTGTAAATATTAAATTGCAGTACAGGTATCATAGTTTATTTACAATGTTATGGATGTCGTTTTGATTTGCGTAGGTGCAAGCCTTGGCAGGAAGCATTTACCAAGAGTTTGAGCGGATGATTGGCAAGTATGACGAGGAGGTGGTGAAGGACTTGATGCCTTTGGTGGTCAACGTGTTGGAATGTCTGGACCTGAGCTACACAGAAAACCAGGAACACGAGGTGGAGGTGGAACTGCTCAGAGAGGATAATGAACAATTGGTCACACAGTATGAAAGAGAAAAGGCCTTGCGTAAAACTTCAGAACAGGTTAGAAAAATCATGATCATAAGTAACGCATAGTTTGTTAAATTTGAAATTTATGAAAATTTCAGAAATTATTAGAACTAGAAGATCACTCGGAGGAGACAAATAAAGATCTAACTAGCAAAATTGAGAGCCTAGAAGCAATTTTGCGCATGTTGGAACTTAGATCGAGAAATGGGGCAGACCATGGTATGAAAATTTCGAACAAAACGAGCCAGCAGTGAATAAATCTATAATCATTTATATTATGTTCTGTACAGTTTCACGCCTTGAGGAGAAAGAGAACGAAATGAAAAAAGAATACTCCAAGTTACATGACCGATACACCGAGTTGTTCAAGACTCACATGGATTACATGGAGCGTACTAAAATTTTAATGGGAACTGATCGCCTTGAAAATTTCGGCATATCCGGAATGAATAGAAAGTTAAACAACCTAATGACAAGGTCGGCTGGTCCGATGTCATACGGTTTTGAATCACTTGCAAATAATTCTTCAATGATGAAGTCATATACTAGTCCAGATGGGTCAAGTGGCTCAATTCCTTATCAGTCTGGCAACATGCGGCCTCCAAATATACAGGAAGAAATGAGTATGGACGACGTCTCGGAAGCTTTGCCCGACAGCGAAGTTCCTAATGGGACTGATGACGATTTTGATGGTATAGATTTTTTTAAGTAATTAGTTTTCTAGTAAGCACTAAAGTTTGGATTAAGACATGGTCTGTAATTTTATAATCGACAGAGTTATCAGAAAGCAGTATCCAACAACTTCAACCAGCCAAAAGTAAAACTAAAAAGTAAGCCAAAACCATGATTCAGTATTATATACCGTTTTTCATTTTGATTAGTCAGTTAGTCAATTGGATTTTTGTATCTGTTTTCAGGGAGGAAAGAACAAGTAACACACGTGAGTAGATGACTATTTTCATTAAAAGTTTGATGGAAAATCATAACGATTTGAGAGTAACTGATTCCACTTGGTGAAAATGAAGCTTTTCGTCATCATTTCATTGTTATTCAATGGCAATCGTTTTTGAACCATAGAATACCAAATAAAATTAAGTACTAATTAATTTAATTTAGATGGGACTGATCGAGGGCGTTCAAATATCCTGTATCAAGAATGCATTTTCCAAGATCCAGAACTTGCAGAAGAATCAAGTGAAATCACAGGCATGGATATTACATTACTGAAATATTACATATTTCTTCATTTCCTTGCGTAACAATAAGTGGTCTTCTTTTACAGGAAGCTGGGTACACCCTGGAGAATATGCATCGAGCGGTAAGAAGTTCCATTATTCTTGTTTGCATAATATTAATGAGGAACCTCATATCATTCCTTGGAGTTTTAAGAACAAGTCTAAACTGTTGTACAGTATTTGTTAATCATGATAATAGTAATAATGTACATACATATAGCAAATTTAATGTACTAACGTCTGCTATTAATTGTTTTTCGGTGACCGCTATTTCTTAACACTAATCCTACTTTACTGGTGGCCTTCCCGTGTTTAGTCAACGACAACTTTTTTGGTGAGTGTGTGGCTGATCTACTAATTATTTCCTTCCTTCCTTTTACTAATAATGTGTCCAAACAATGTGTGTGTCTAAACCTGATTATACTTAAAACTAGTCTTGCACGTACCATAAACCTTCTGAATCCTTTTAACATTATTCTTATTGACGTTGTAATATATTTAGTATGAAAATGAAATGAGTTAAATTTTGACAATGACATTATTTCAGGAATGGGAAAAGAGGTGGAGAACCTGATTTTAGAAAATAGCGAGCTTTTAGCAACAAAAAACGCTCTCAATATAGTAAAAGATGACCTAATCGCAAAAGTTGATGAATTGACAAGGTTATTTTTCAAATGTTCTTGAAACGTATTAACGTGTCTAGATTTGTGAACTAATTGTAGTAATAATGTTGCAGTGAACATGAAATACTACGGGAAGAAATTACATCTATAAATGCATTAAAAGCCAGAATGAAATTGCGTAACACAGAGCTAGAAGACGAAATAAAAAAGATCAAGGAGGAGTATGAAAAGAAGTCACAAAACAAATCTGATGACGAGGACGATGTCCCACTTGCCCAGAGGAAGCGATTTACTCGTGTGGAAATGGCCAGAGTTTTAATGGAGAGGAATCAGTACAAGGAACGCTACATGGAACTGCAAGATGCTGTCAGATGGACAGAAATGCTTCGAGCTGCAAAACAAGACCCCTCTTTGGAAAAGCGAAACAATCGGGGGATTTTTAACTTGTGAGATAATTTCAAAATCTATATAGTTTTATTCGACCACATTCTAGTCATGACTTTTTTTACAATTACAATTCATCTTGATTATTTTAGCTTCAGCAACTTATTTAGCAAGGGAGCCTCCCCTGCCGGCCCCATTACGACGGATCGACTAGTGTCCACCGGTGGGATGGTGCCTCACGTGTCTCCCACGCGCAACCCTACCACCATGAATCAACCCGGTTCCGACACTTTTCGACCAAACCGTACCTCGGAACTGTAAGTTTGTTTCTTGGACCTGATAAACATGTGATTCAGCAATACGTGCGTGTATACCTACATATGTATTACAAGTAGTTTTCTTCCATCCCCTTTGTCCGGGTATTTTTGGAGGCCTTTTCTTGGCTTGTATTGCTTTTTTGGTTTTAAAAACGACTTATTGTTTTACTTATTATTTAGTTGTTATTGTTCTCGACTGCTGTTAAGAAAGCGTAATGTTCAGTTACAAGGTTGTGACCTACTTTCAGTATTTCTGTATTATTTTCCAAAGTTTACGAATGTATGAATGGGGGGATTACGAACGCATTAAAGATTACGCAATAAGTTATCGCATTATGTTACGTTTTATTTTGTTTGTTTCTTATTTATTCGTCATTCGCTTAAATCCTACTTAAATACCTAAGTTGCCAATTTCAACATCTTGGTGGATTTGTCTCAAGAGGGAGAGCTTATTAATTCTTTCCATCACATTATTCATACAGTAATTAGACCTTGTAGAAAATGAATTTAGAATGAGACCTCCATTTTTGTTTATCTGGCGTAGCTCTGCCGATAAATTGCAACTGCGTCGATTGGGGGAACCACAACAGCGGCGTGATACTGCGACCTACAACAAAATCAAGGCCCATGTGCGGAAGGACGATGGGAGAATGCAGGTATACTGGCATTCTAGATCAATGAAATTATAGGATTTCCGTTTAAATATTTCTTACTCCTTTAAAAAATCGTCACGTGGTATACATATTTTGTACCCAGATTTTAATTTTTGGCCGCTTTTAGTCATTACACAGGGCGAATTTCCTATATAAAAACGGCAACCAATCAGTATGAATCTAATTTAGGCTTACGGATGGAGCTTACCTGCAAAATCCAACCCACCCAACTTATCCAATGCAAGCGGTTCGGACAGCTCTCAACACTCGAGAAGTCAATCTTCAGACAGTCAAGCTGGACGTCATTTACCAGTACCAGTCCCAATTTACTGTAGGCCTTTCATGGAACAAAGTCCTGGGATGCGAGTCAGTAACACACAGAGATCCGTGATTAATTAATCGTGATTAACGGATTAAGGATTGGGATTAAGGATTAATAATCCTTAATGCTTAATCCCAACAAAAAAATGTGTGAAATCAATCCTTAATCCTTAATCCCGACGAAATATTTTTGCTCCATTAATCCTTAATGCTTAATCCCGACGAAGCATGCCCAAATTATTAATCCTTAATCGTGATTAGGATTAATTCTCACGAGAGATTAATACTGCGAATGAGCAAGGTAACAGTTATTCTCAACCATGTGATATTTTTCCATTCTTTCTACTTTCCTCTCCTGAAATTATCTAGCATGCATTATATTTTGTAACTTTATATTGTTGCTTCCATAAAAGTACTGATTCAATCGTTAATCATGGCGAACAGGAATCTAACTGAACTGAAAGGTTTGCCATTCGTTTTGACCGGCACATTTTTTGATGTCGAAGAACTTGACAAGTCTTGTGGCTCTGTAAAGGCCAGGGGCATAGCTTGTGCACCAAAACTTGCCGTAATTGGCGGGGATATTATTCCAACATTGATTTTTATTACGTACTTAACGCAACACTACTATATATTGCACGTTTTGTAAGTATTTGAGATTTGACACATTAATATCGCTGTGTCGATAATTCTGTGCAGGAAAATAAAAATTATATTAATCCTTAATCATGAATTAATCAGGATTAATTAATCCTTAATCCTTAATCCCGAATTCAAAAGCATTGTGAATTAATCCTTAATCCTTAATCCCAGCAAATTGAATTATTTAATTAATCCTGGACTAATCTAATCCCGGAATAACATTAATCCTTAATCCTTAATCCCACAAAAAAATTCATTAATCACGGATCTCTGGTAACACACATACTTAATACGTGGAAAGTACTATATATGAATATTCACCTGGCGTATGCTGACAATTGTACACATGGATTGCAGATCTTTTGTGCATCCGGAGTCAATTTATGTCCTCCTGCAACTGGGGACAGACCGAGTTACTTGTCCCATGTTTGGGTTTGCACAGCTACCCATTCGACCAGTAGAGTCAGTATCATAGATGCCAATCGACCTGCAGAAATTTTGTTAAGTTTCGAAGTCTGCTCATCTCATCTTTTATGCATTTCTTCGGTACCTGGTACGTACGAGAAAATATATAACCAATCCATCTCGATATGTATATTATGATAACTAAGCTGAATAACCTTAAGTACTGTCCCATCTCGATTTCCTTTCGGATGGTCCTTAATTGCCTTAGTTCCTTAATTGATAGATAATTTAGTGTAACTTAAACTTTGTCATAGAACGTACGGTGCAAAATCACGTTTTCGAGAAAAATTTAGCGAAAGCTGCACCAAAACGTGCCAGTTTTTCAATGCTAGATAACAGCCTTCGGAATGATGAAATGAAGTTTATAAATTATATGCCTGTCCATAATTTCATGCTGATCACCAATATGCAAAAAACGATGCAAGCATTTGCCAATTTTTTTTCGAATTTAGAAAATTTGCAAAATTTTCTAAATTTGAATTTCGTCATTATTTTAAATTTCGACAAAATTTTATGTGAAACTTCGTTTAAGTATTACAAAAAAGTTTTCAAGAAGGACTTTTTTCTTATTGCAACAAGATGGACGAAAATTTTCAAAGATTGAAATTCACAATTTTTCATGAAAAAGATAACATGCCAAATGCTAGTCTATTTTACGTATTTTTCAAAAATTGTTGGCGATATTTAATTTTTGCATTGGAAAACTGGCACGTTTTGGTGCAGCTTTCGTCAAATTTTTCTCGAAAACGTGATTTTGCACCGTACGTTCTATGACAAAGTTTAAGTTACACTAAATTATCTATCAATTAAGACCATCCGAAAGGAAATCGAGATGGGACAGTACTTACGCCCTTGCGAGGCCTTAATATGGATTGATGTTTATCAGGAGCGACAACAGGGGACTTTCACGGGGATGAAGGGATCTCTTCCGCAGTTGCAGCTGCAATGGTGGATGGGGTAGTACCGGATGGAATAAATCTAGATTACAAGACCGTTATTGCAGAGACTGATAGCAAAAGTCGGCCTGAGGAGGTTGGGGGTAATAGTGATTCTCCGGAAGATGCAGAAGGTGCTTCTTTAGCTGTTGAAGCTACTGCTGAAAACTTATCAGCTGAAAACCAAGATGAGTTGAATTCAGAGTTAGAACCAAGATCGACGAGTCAATTTGCGACAATGTGGCTTGGTAAGGATACCGAGTATCCGATACTCGTTTTTTGATTGCAGCAAAGTTGTAAATAACTCCCCTCTTTATAGGAGCTCAAAATGGATATCTCTACATCTATTCTGCAGTATCTCAGCGAAATGTATGCCTTCACAAAGTTAAGTAGTTTACTTTATTGACATATGTACTTGAAAAAGTCTAAACCTTCACATTATGTATGTATGAAAAGATGAGAAGCCGGTTTATAACCATTATTTTATTTTTCATAAGCTATATTTTAAATTTACAGTTAGACTTCCGGATTCTATACTTGCCATATCGTAAGTTTGTCATGTCAAACTTTTCAACTCAATGAAGTTATTTTTTTAAACATTGTTCTAAATTAATGATTTATGATAGGCATCATCGTGGTCGCACTTTTGTTTCGATGGCAAATGGAACAGTTGCCATATTTAAGAGAGGTACAGACGAATCATGGGACGTGTCAGGTTATCATCTTGTCGACTGGGGCCAACCACACCATTCCATCAGATGTCTTTCTGTGGTGCATGAAGAAATATGGTGTGGTTTCAGGAACAAAATTTATGCCATTGATGTCTTGACGTTGCAACCGAAGGTATATTCTCGTGTATTGCATTCACATCTGAAATATCATTATAGCTCGTCTCTTACTCATTTCTGGTATAATTGTTTCGCACAGAAAACATTTGAAGCTCATCCCCGCAAGGAGAGTCAAGTCAGACAGACGGCCTGGTGTGGGGATGGCGTCTGGATCTCAATTCGGCTTGACTCAACCCTACGCTTATACCATGCTAGAACCTATGAACACTTGCAAGATGTCGATATTGAGCCATACGTTTCCAAAATGCTGGGTAAACAAATTTAGCCTGAAAGTTACTTTGGACTCGCACTCGACGCTTGATATATGTACAACTTTTAATTTTTTTACAGGGACTGGAAAGTTAGGATTTTCATATGCCAGAATCACAGCGTTATTAATTGCTAGTCAGAGGCTTTGGATAGGAACCGGGAACGGAGTCATCATCTCCGTTCCCCTCTCCGAAACCAGCTTTACGAGAACAAATCCATTTAGTAGTCAAAAGACACCTGGGACAGTGATCCGATTCACTGGAGATGACAACTCTAGAAACATTCCCTACTGTTCCATGCCCCAGGCTCAGTTGTCCTTTCACGGCCACAGAGATGCAGTCAAATTTTTCGTGGCCGTACCTGGTGGTAAGTTGGTCAAAATACTAATTTACTTAGAATATAAAATTTGTCTAATGTATGCACATACGCATATTTGTAAATGCCAATACATAATTTGATCCAGGTGGTAACACGAGCGTCGATCCTGTACCGGATGGAGAAGTCGATCTTGCAATTCGCACCTTATCAGACTCCATGCTGGTCATTTCGGGGGGTGATGGATATGTCGATTTCCGTGTCGGTAAGCACTTCCAGACCGTTAATTTTTTTAAAATTAATCAGGGGGTGAAGCGGGGCGAAATCCCTTTAAGGAAATGTCTTGTCTGTCCGTTTGTCTGTCTGTATCCACGATAACTTTAGAACGGATCCGAATTTCCACATGCGGTTTTCGCCAACGTGTTTCTAATTTTTGAAGTACTGATGAGTTCGAAGATGGGCATTGTAGGTCATAAGGTCACGGCGCTACGGGGATGAGACCAATGGTCAAACGTGTCGAATTTTTGGTTTCAATCGTTTTAGATATAGTTTGGGGCGAGGATTTCAGAAATCTATATAGTTTTGACGTGCCATGACCGCATGACCGTGTAGGCGACGCCAAAGTCGAAAATGTCGAATTTTTTGCCTGGATCGTTTTAGACGTAGTTTGGGACGAGGATTTCAAAAATCAACATGGTTTTGATGTAAGATGATCGCGTGACCGTGTCGCTTCACCCCTTTGCTACATTTCGTTTGCAACGGTTACACGATGCTTGTTTCTGAGAAATATGCAGCAGCAACATTCATTTCCACCTTCTATCGTTCATTCCTCTTATTCACTTTTAAGATGATAATGCACAAATTAGGATAGCAGTAACGCCACGAGACATGACTTCCCCATAAACTGCACAATTATTTACCCAAATATTGTAGGGTCGGTTATGAATGTGGTCACCCAGGAGAAAACAATCTGGTGTCTTCTTATCAAATTTTTTGTCTCAATTTTACAAACACTTCCACCACACCCTTTTTCTGTCCCTTCACCCATTACTTGCTTCTTGATGAAAGTGTTTGTCTGAAATTTGCAATTGTCCAAATTCCATTCCGGCAATCCTCCTTTTTTGTAATTGTATTACTCTCTTTGTCTGTCTATTATTCCATTTTTTGGTTTAATACTTGGTCATCTTATGGTGTTTTGTGTTTGCAATTGTGTACGAATGCTGCAGTTGACGAGACCGAAGGGGACACGGCCAGTCATCTCATAGTGTGGAAGCTACCCTGCTCTGTAGACGCATCTCCCCACAAGACCACCACTTTCACCACCGACCGTCCCAGCATTTCACCAAGTCAAGAGGACTTGTAACTTAATTTCACTCCATACAATCCTTGGCTATCACACGTCACTAATTTAAATGGTATATAACAAAAGGAGTCATTTCCAAGTTGTGAGTCAAAAATGCTCTTTCGTAATTATTTTCGTAACATTTGTGCTTATAAATTGCCTTTCAATAACAAGACCGAAATTATAAATGTCGGGTCAGCATTTCAGCAATAATAAAAGATTAAAACAGACTTGCAGCTTTTGATTTATTTTCATTTTTTGCTCCTGCAATTTAGTCGAAGTGATGCATAAGTACGAATACATTTTGTTTGTATGGCTTTTGTGTAGTATGGCGTGTGACATTTCTTTTTTCAACGGTATTGAAAAACTTCTTGCCATCGTGTGCCAGAAAAATCTGAACAAATGACACTACTCGTTCTGCCATAAATATAGCAGCATCCGAAATTCATAATTCCGGATTGGTTTGTGTGCATGAATCATAACCACTTATGTACAACTTTGTAGAGTGCATATGTACATAAGTAATGTAGCATTTTCTTGATATGACTATGAGCTGCTGTTGAGTTGAGACAAAACTAATATAACAAGCATCTCGTTTTGTTTGTTGGATTCCAAAACATCAAGTTAATTAATTATAAATGACAATTTTCAGGTGATGGTGACGACTCTTCAATGAATTTGAAATCAATGTCGGACCCCAACCAGCCAGGGGATAAGCCACACATCATCATTTGGCAAATACCGTCTCTCACGCCTTCCCCACAACCCCAACAACAAGAACCCACGAAGTAAAATTAATTATTACTTGTCTAAATTAATACTAATTTCATTGGGTTAAATGAAGAAACAAAGTTGCTTCAATGCTACATATTCACTACTGGATGGATGATGTAAAAAGTATTGAAATTTGATTTGAACCAGTCTAACAAAACCCATGGCCTTTTATTTAGTGGCACGATTATAGAGGGACTGATACCATTAAGACACTTCTTGACACTTGACACTGCTTGACCAAAGTGAACGATTGAAAGTCGTACATATAAGTACTGACTTCAGCGAGGTGATAATTTTACGCAAATGCAAATAGCAACAATTTTATTATTTTTCAACTAAATTCCCTTAAGACATGAGAAATTGCAATTATTATTACAACGAGAGATTCTTGATACTAATAGTTTCGTACATGTTACGGATGGATTGTATGGAATCGTGACAGCTTGTTTGTAATATTTATTGTATTTAGTTAGCCGATAACTAATTGCGAATGCGTAACAAGTAAAATCAAAACCAAAGTGTAGAATGCAAATTCAACAAACCAAAGAAAGAAATAAGTGACTTGTGGTATTATACGAACTCGCCTAACTAAAAGTAAGATAACATAAAATTAGGATTTAGTATGACATGCAATGCTTAAACTATTGCATATTATTCGTAGAGAACGCTAATAATGTACAGCTGAAATTTTATCGCAATTATGTAAGAACAATTTGTGATCATTGTTGCATTATGATTTCTTAATTAGGATTAACTTATTGACACTGCAATTTGTATGAGTTTAAAAATTACAAAATATTGTTTTATTAATTAAACTGACCAGAAATAACTGATTGATGGCTCCACCTTCTTCCGCAATCGAAATTTAAAACGAAATGAAAAACAGACTGATTGATTCAAGAATAAATATTTACGTACTTTTTATTTGTACGTGAAAACAAACATTGACGTTGGATATCTGTTGATTTATTGTCATTTTTGAGTATCTCAGGACAAATTAATTAACTAATCCTAGTAATACATAGTTAGTTGCATTCATTCATTCAATAAAATACTCGAGGAGCAGATATAAAAAAGACAAAGAAAGACGGCTCAAAATAATTTTCTACACAGACAAATAGCCGTCGCTAGCGTGGCCATTTGTAGGAGAAGAAGCGTCAGTCCCATCCCCACCAAGGTCAACGTTTGCTTCCTGAACCACTGGTCAATTGGAGAAAGGCAGCCCTGGAAAAGTTATTAATTTAAAATTAGGCAATTTTTTACATGCACATTCCGAAAATATTTAATTTCGCCACGCACCTCTCTGTATCTGTGTCGGAGAGGAATACTTGACGGGGATTGGCAACTGGACAGGTTGAGGGGAACAGGATTGAGGAAGGTGGGCGGGTCGCTCAGCTTGTCGTCTAAGGGACAACATGTCAACGGGTACAAGAGATCCTTGCCCAACCGCTTTGTTCTCCACTCGGATCTGTCGTAATCGACATCGGACTCAACACCGCAGCAATTGAACTGCAAAAGGAGGACGAGGAGGATTACGTAATCATACAAAGTGTTTTTGTGGCTTGCTTTGACAGCATCATGAATGACACGGAGTATTAGATTATGTGTAACGAAATCATGAGCACGGACAAGTTTGGGCGTAATAGGCTTACCCGAGATTGTGCAAAGTCAAAGGATTTGGTGAAGGATTGCTCAAGCCCGTACTGCGTTTGAAGTGTTGCTGTCAATTTCGTGTTTTCAATTTCACTCCCAAAGTTGTTGTGGTACATGAGAAATAAAACCCCCAGCCCGAGTTCTGCCAGAAGGACTAAACATATGCAGGCGATGTACTAAATAAAACACGAGAGTAAATTATTAAGTGACGCATAAAAGCTTTCCAGGAAATCTATCCTTTTCTTTTACAATACGATTTTCTGAAATGTCAACCAAATTTGTGGATACTAAAGTATTTATAAATCGTATAAATAACGCACCCATCCAATGGAACACCTTCTGGCTGCCACAGAACATCCGATGATCGAGCTGCCAATGACAGAAACTCCGATCCCGAGCATGGAACTTGCAATCTGAGTCAAAATAGCGGACCCAGGAGAGATCAGTCGAAAGAGGAGGTAGCGTCCCGTGTCCTCAACGACGTACACGCCCAGAATGAACACTCCTATGCCACATGCCTAACACGAAGATTAAATTATTTAGCAAACTTCAGAGAGAAATACTTAGCAGTGCTATTTATGAATGATTGATAGTTTTACTGCAAATATCAAGTTGATGCAGAAAAGCATGGACCCTCCAGAATTCTTTGTCCGCTCGGGCCTCCGGTGGTAATCATTGGCCATTGTAATTACAAGTTATTGATAAAACTGACCGATTCGTCACAAAACTTCCACATCACCACAATTAAAGATTATTACTTATTAAACACTCGAATTAAACAGTATGATTCGTAGAAGCATGACTACGGTCAAAACGGTGTATACGATGTTTCAAAGAAAAAAGTCACATTTGCGTAGCCATAAAAAAAGGACACCTTGAACAAACTAATATTTTTGATTACATGATTAGTTTAGTTTTATAATTTCTTGTTAAAAGTGGTCGTAATTTTAGAGGTATTCGCATATGAAACGAGGAGGTTTTTGCAAGTATGTAGCCCAGTTGTGGTTAGCACACAAAGGTGCTTATTATTATTACACCGTGAGAAATTCAACCTCATTCAATCAACCCCTCATTCGTCTTCTTCACCATACATCACATCGGGGCGTCTTTAATATCTTCAATTAGGGAAACAATAATTGGGGTCACTTTTTTGCACTGCAACCACGTTCAAGAATAACAAATTCTATACGAATTTCCCCAGTCCAGCACTTATATGCATATTCCAGGAATACTGTCGAAAGAGAAATGAGCAGAGTTAGATGGGCTTCCGATTACATGCGCATTTTTGTAACTGCAAAGTTTCAACAATTTTAGCAACCAAATTATTCGTCAAATTTGCTCTTGCGTCACTTCACTTCAGTTCACTCAGAATGAAACGTTAACATAAACGCTTCACATTTTAGCTTCTGGACCAGGAGACGAACTCGTATAATTTCTCCAGTGGTGGTGTCACTGTCCTGGCTATTCTGCTCTGGAGTTAAACAAAGACTAGCCAAACAGACGCTGGGAATCATTGTGGCAATAAAAATGCATTGAACTTATTTAGACTACGATCAAATTATAACTGCACCTTGGTGATTGTTGTGCTAAACCTGTAGCGTTGAATGCTAGATTTAACACCCATAATCCGCATTACGTCTGCAAACAGGAGCGCAGCCTAATAACTTGCCAATGGGCTCGTGATGTTGTTTAGTGAACCTAATGAAATAGCAATGGTACTTATGCATGCTATTTGAGATACTATGTACAGCGTCGTAGGTAAATACGTACGTTTGTATAATATCTGTTGTGTAGAAGCTTCACCATAGTCAAACAAACACAAAGGGCGAGGGTAATATTTCCGGTCAAAAATCAGGATATTCGCTCTGATGAGTATTTTACATCACGCCGTCTCCTCCTACATACAAACCTGTGAGACAGATACTTTCATAGGCATTTGCTGTAATAGCTGATTCATCTCGCTCAATTTTTTGGGTGTAAAATCCGCTTACGTCATAATAATGGACACTGTGTAGTAATCGTGTATGAGTATAAAATGGGATATTATTATGTTGCAGGCAGGAGTTATTTTCTCTCGGGCCTCTCACCTTATCGACAATGTGGGTTGGTTGTTGGTCGAGGTTTTTTGGCTTCTCGTTTCATGCGGGACCATGTGTAGGCAGGTATTACTTATTATTGTTGTATTTTTTCTGCGATTTTTCCAGGTGATATGCGTTTTTAGTGTAAAATTGTAGCGTTGCTGATGCTAAATTATATTGATTTGTAAGGCCATGGACCTGCGGACTTTGGAGTACATGAATATGTATTTATTTATATGGTACATGCCTACGTATGCAATTACTAATACGGTATTACATATTAGCAATACTGTTAGTAATGGGAGTAAAATGGAAGGGTTACATTTATTGACTCACCCGACTCACCCCTTGATATATACCTGTGCATATATAATAATTTTAATAAATAGTGGTTATCATAATTTGCATATAAATCTATCCGATTATAAATTATAAACATGAAATTATGCTGCATAATTTACCATGCGTTATATGAATCATATTCATAAAATAGCCTTTGATTAATTACCGATTATACAATTGTCATTACTTGAAGGAGTGGATAAGAGTGGATCACACACGCTGTTGTTTTACCGTATGCACCAGCATAAAGATTTATTAGCGCATGCATCCATATGTACACTCCTTGCATCAAGATGCGAATTGTTTTATTATACAAGCTAATCCCTCTAAAACAGTTGTGAGTGATAGCAATCCTTTCCTCCTCCTGCTGGAATCCAATTACTGAATCAACTCAACGAAATAATAATTGGATCCTAGCATAAACTATTTATTTGACTCGACTGTTATTGCTACTTGAAATGAACTAACTTTTGCCCAACCAGCCACCCGAGTACCATTCCTCCATTTAAATAATCTCTCATTTTCATTCTTCCCCGGAAATAATTCCACTTGTCGGGTTTTATGTCAAATTGTGACATTTCCACTCCGCCATGAAAAGAGAGACGAATGGAAGTCAACTGGAAAGTTTCCTCGTTAAACCGCACTCCTACAGATTCGTAGCATAAAATCATGTACATGAAACCACGCCGAGGCCACCGCCACCCACTCAATTTCCTGAAAGAAGAACGAATCCATACATTTAACAAACAAACCTCAGCTTGGACCAAATTTCTCCAATACTTGGACCACAACTCATTACTTTTGGATAGATATACGTACAAAACGGCCTCAGGAGTAGTACATACATAGAACTAATACGTACTTAATAATGTGACGGGCTGACGTTTTGTTGAAAGTTGTGCTATTCCCCGTCCTGAGAGAAAGCATGAGAAGTGAAAGGTAATTTGAGTCGCAAGGGGGATGAGCTAACCTAATAACTAAAAGTCTGTCTCCCGGCGATGGAGGATTACATCTCAACTCTCCTCCTTATTACCAACCACCACGTCCGCCTATCCTATTCTGTGTCCTTTTCCCGTCTCATCTTCTCCATCTCATCTCTCCTCCGCATCCATCACTCATATTCAATTATGCACCATGCAAAAAGCCATATAGCCGCTTGACATTTAAGTCAACTTTTACTTTGTAAAGCTAAACAAGGCTTCTTCCTCCTGACGGGAGAAGAAAAGTTGCGGAGAAAGTTTTTTTATGCATATAAAATGCATCCTTCCATCCATCCATCCATCCAGTGGCTGCTGCTGCCTTGGACTTTGGAAAAGCAATTAAATCTCCAAGGAGGACCGGGAGCCTGGGAAGACATAAAAGGACCCAGTCAACCGACCAGTCCTCCTACTTTGATGATTATCATTCATACTCCAACCCTATATATGATTCCATTAGTGTTGATGAAGCATGGATGACAAGTTTGTCGGATGGATGGATGGATGAATTCCCTCTTCTTGTTGACTAGATAGAAGAACTCGTCCGTTTTCGTAATTGCATTTCCCTTCAGAATCAGCATGATCTGTTCTGTTGAGCTACGTTGTTATGCCGTTGGAAACCAGAGCGATGAGACGACGAACATGAAGGAAGACGACCAAAAGGAAAGAAGAAGAAGAAGAAGAGGAGCACGGGAAAGTTGGATATTTTAGTATAACAAACTCATCGTTTGAATGTGAATATCTCTCTCCGGACGACTTTCTCTCTCTCACTATTTAACTCGCTCAGCACTCGCTCGCTTGTTGCAGTCTGCTCGTGAACAAGGTTCAAGTTAGTTGCATGTTGGCTCTTCTTGGAGAGGATTGCTTTGTGTGTGAGATACATTGATGATAATATTTAGCAGTGCTTCATACTCACTACTCATATATACTCACAGAGAGTTTTATAAAGCAACTATTTCATTGCGTTCGCTTTATGGTGGAGAAGGAGGCGGAATTGTGGTGAACATCTGGGGACTTTTCCCACTAGAAGTAGGTGAAGAAGGGTCTCTCTGTGTCAAAAAAGTAGCAGTGTCAAAGTACAAGTGGTGCTAGTGAAGCACGACGGGGGCATTAAAGGCCTCGGTGTTGTGGTGTCCATCTCCGGCGTAAAGGATGGAGGATATTAAAACACCAAAGGTACAAAAAAAATTAAAGATAACAAAGTAGTTAGAGGGGGTTTTAATGTAGAGCAAAAGAATTTAGGTAAAAAAACATATTTTCGGTAATATACACCCACTCGTTACACAAGAAGAAGGTCGTTTAAGCCGTTATGTACATACTTATTTCATTTTACAATGTGCAGTAGAAATTCTAAATGGCGTTAAAGGATTGCAATTGAGATTGTGTTTTTTTTACTGTCATTTCATTACGTGACGTGTTTAAACATTATTCAAGGAATTTAGCTGGAAATATAAAAATGGTGTGACATTGAATTTAACTGCTGTTTTTTAATTCATGTTGAACTCCCATCATCAGCTTAATGGAATTGCTTATCAGATTTGTACATATATTCAATAAACAAATGTTATCAACAAACAACAAGTGATAAACAAGTACTTATTGCACAGTCTTTAAGTTCATTCATTCATGTGTGGACTAAATGTAGGTTCATTCACTATTACCCGATTTATACCATTATGTCCCATTATGTGCCATTATGTACATATGGGCAACACACATTTTTCTCATGGGTAGAGTGGGTAGTAGGACTTTAAAAGTTATTTATGTGTATACCTACTCTAATAACACAACACAATGTGTCTTGTTAGCTGCGTCAGAAACACAATTTCACAGAAATATGAGTTCCCAGCGGATTCCATTACGGATTCTAAAGTGACAGCGGCGCACAGTCTTTAAAGATCTCCAAACTTGGAGTTTTCACCAGATTATTATACTCACATTCATATTTCATTGCAGTATTATTGCATGTTTCTCTGCTGGTGGTAAGAAATGCAATAATCCCAAGGAGAGAATATATGCACACACATTTATAAATCACAAAGTATGCAATTTAAATATGCATGTCTCGTATAAATCAGAGAAATTGTATTTATTCCTCGCACAACACACAGCCTGTTGCTACATATTCCGAGGGCAACGGAGAAAAGTTGTCAATTATCCAGTAATGAAGAGAAATATTTCTGTTTCATGTTTTTTTGCCGGGTTGCCCCCTGGCTTTTCCACGAAAAGCGTTAAGCCCTCGATCTCCTGTACTTCATTGTGAGATGAGAAGGCCTGCTGAATTTTTCAGACGGGAAGCAAGAAACACACACCTCCGACTTTCCCTCGACAACTTACGAGTAAGAGACGTGCATAAACTTTCTTCGCAAAAACCAGCCAATGGAACCAACTCTGTTCATGTTTCACACACAATGCACCATTTCTCCCGTCAGACCGTGCCACCCATCTAATCCACGCACTGGTTCACTTATCATGTCGCTAGACCCCCCTTGAACGGTGAACCTGGTAGATTGGCATCTGGTCACAAAATATGTATGCTTTTTTCTGGGTGGCACTACTACATATTTTTTTTGCCAATTAACACGCTCAAGTTTTTGCGAATTTTTCCACTGCTGGTCATCATAAATGCCCACTCCGAGCAATTATCTCTCGTTGTGCAGCAGCAGCAGCAGCATGACATTTTACTCATGAATGATACTTGCTTCCAAGCAATTCACACACAGCAGCATTTCGTTTAATGTGAAGTGAGCCGAGTTTTCGGTTGACAACGAGCCACAAAGGTTTCCACTTGATTAAAATCAACGAGATAGGAGGAGGACAACCCACCCAGGCAGGCAGTAATATAGTCGGGCAGCTTTCTTTCTTTCCTCCCTCTGAGAATGGTGAAAGGCATTTGTGCCCGTGGGTGGAGAAAGTTTTGAGCAACAAGGATTTATTCGTCTTTATGGCCCGGGATAGGCTCATGTCCCACTTTGCGTCTTACTTACTCCTAGTCAATCTCTTCTACCTCTGGCAGAACTACTGCGCCTTTTCTGCTCGACTTGTTCACGAAATTCGACGGCCTTACATCACTTTTTTTAAAAATAGTAGACTAGTTTGGTAGCTAGCTAGATATATAGAGCATTCTACCACTACGGACTATTAGTCTTAATTTTTGGGGTTGTTCAGACGACGCTTATTAATGATTTCGACGAATCCGCCTCAATTTACTGAGCTGGACAATACATTTAAAACCAGGAGCCTATCTCAGTTAGCTGACGATAGAAGAATGCATACGGCTAGTGGAGTCTACTCCCTTTTTCGGGGATGGTTTTCTCTGGACCATGGGGTCCACAGGATACACGACATTCCCTTCCAAATGAAGGCAAATTAAGACAGTTCTAGTTCAAATTTTTGTTCATAGTTATAATTTTTCTAATTTTTGTAAAAGTGAAACAGGAGCATTTGTGCTAAAGGGTTTTCTCCTTGTTTTGAATTTCAGGTGGACAATGTGAGTTTGGTGGAACGCTTCAGCTCCCGTCGGAACGCGGTGGGGTCCCTGTACTTGACTGCGACCCACCTTATCTATGTAAGCAACTGTCCTTAAGCTAATCGTATCATGCTTATTTAGTCAAAATTACCAGAAATCAACATCATACATTTTGTGAAATTTCAGGTCGACCATGATAATAAGAGGGAAACATGGGTAAGTTTGAGATTCCTCTGGGATTAATTTGAGAAATTTTTTATTAAATAAGTTTTTTTAATGCCTGGATTTTTCAGATTCTTCACTCTCACATTTCCAGTGTGGGGAAACTCCCTTTGTCCACGACCGGCTCACCGTTACAAATCCGCACAAAAACGTTCATTTCGATGACGTTCATTGTGCCCAAGGAGAGAGACGCACACGATCTGTTCACATCGCTTAATAAGATGTGCCAACCTGGTGAGTTGCAAACATTAGCAGTGAAAGTTATTAATTCCACTTAACTCACCGACTCCATTTTCAATTCGCTCAGAAAACATTGAAGATCTGTACTGCTTCCGATACAATATTGGACCGGATGAAATGGAAAAGTCGTATGGCTGGTCATTTTTCAATATTCGGGAAGATTTCGAGCGCATGAATGTGCCTCCTGAGTCGTGGACCATGACCACTCTTAACAAAGATTATGATGTAAGTGAGCAGCAATTTAAATGGGGAATATGCAAATTATTACAGCAACGAATAAATCCTAAATTAACTAATTTCATAATTATTTTATAGCTCTGTGATACTTATCCGCGGCACCTGTTCGTACCAACAGGTCAGCATTTATTTAAATCATTAGAAAATACGAGTACTTGACATACGTTAAAACAATTTAACAGCTGCAGCCACGTCAGTCCTCATCGGGTCGTCGCGATTTCGCAGTCGGGGTCGACTCCCCGTCATGACTTACATGCATTCCAACAAGGTACGCATTACATAATAGTTTTACGTCATGTCATAAACTCCAGTTGACACTGTTCCGGGACTAATTTTCTTGGTCCACCTCAGGCCGCACTATGTCGATGCAGTCAACCTCTCTCCGGATTTAGCGCACGTTGCGTGGAAGACGAAAACCTGTTCATGTGCATTCAAAAAGCGAATCCGAATACCGCCCAGTTAGTCGTCGTCGACACGAGGCCGAGAATTAACGCCATGGCGAATCGAGCAGCTGGAAAAGGTTACGAGAGTGAGGCCAACTATGAAAACACGCGATTTATGTTCACCGGAATTGATAACATTCACGTTATGCGATCCAGCTTGGCAAAAGTGGTGGAAAGTGAGTCGTTTCCTTTGTAGTAATAACATATAAATAAATAATGTCCACTACCGCCCAATCTTTCTACGATAAGCATGCCAATAAATGCATGCACATAGCTGCACGTTCATTCAAGGACAATAAAAAATATTGACTGGATTGCACGCATGCAGATAGTGCTCCATAAAATGAGAGAGCGACTTTCATTTGGCCGAGCACTTTTTACTAGCACTAAAAGTTGTTCTAATATGAAAAAGAGAAATGTTTTTTAATGGCGAGCAGTTTACTGTGTTCACGCTTAACGTGACGGAATAAATCTGCTTGATGCCTTCGTTCTCTCTGGTCTGTTGGTCTTTATAGATCGGTTGAGTAGCAAATTGTGAGGAATAATTGATTATTTTATGTTTTCTTTCCCTCTCTCAGCTTGCGACCTCAAGTCTCAGATGATGTCCGCATTTCTTAACGGATTGGAAGGAAGCGGGTGGTTGAGACACACAAAGTCGGTCATAGATGCTGCCTTATCTGTTGCCAGGTTCGTGGATTGGTTTTTATGTACATGACGTAAACAGTTTGATGGATTGTGATGGGATGAAAAGAAGAATATTAATGGGTTTACGATTTGAATTATGTATGTAGAACGTTGGAGGAGGGCTCATCAGTTCTGGTCCATTGCTCTGATGGTTAGTCCTTCATTCATTATGCATTTAATCCTTCCTTGTTGAGTTAATTTTATAAGTTTGATAATTTGTTTTCGGAACAGGATGGGACCGAACAGCACAAGTTTGTGGACTTGCTCAAATAATGCTAGATCCTTACTATCGTACCTTTGATGGGTTCCAAGCGCTCATTTGTAAAGAGTGGTTGGAATTTGGTCATAAATTCAGTGATCGAAGTGGACATATTCAGGTCGATCCGAAAGAAGTTTCTCCAGTCTTTACGCAATGGTTGGAATCTGTTTGGCAACTGATTCAACTCTATCCTTTCGTTTTCGAATTTAATGAACGTCTCCTGCTCACAATTCATGACCATTTACACTCGTGTCAGTTTGGAACCTTTATTGGAAACTGTGAAAAGGACAGGATTGATCTTAGGTGGGGTTTTCTTTAGAATGAAATAATCTGTTTAATGATACTTAATTACTATTTATTATCAGAGTGTCAGAAAAGACCTATTCTCTGTGGGGATATTTAGCAACTCATAAAACCGAATTCTTGAACCCACTCTATCAACTAGAAGAAAATAAAAAGTGTGTCTTCACCAAACCACAACCTACTTTACAGCTTCCACAATCAACTTCACAACCTCCACAATCACCTTCACAACCTCCACAAACTTTTAAGTAAGATAACTAGGAAGGCGCCAACTGTCACTGCATATCTTAATTATTTGGTGAATCATGTAGATTTTGGAGAGGAATGTACTGCCGATGGGAGAATGGGCTGCACCCAAGAGAGTCATTGATGGACTTGGCAACGTCCTACAAGGACCACATGCACTCCCTGAATGACCACATAAAACTCCTCAAAAAGCGAATCAGACACCTCGAGAAGAAGAGCAGTGATGACGCCGATATCCCGTACATTAACGGAAATAACACAGAATTGCAACTGGACGACAATCGTCTCAACTACAAGAAAGGGTTAAATGAGCAGGTTAGATTTGATTGCGACTAGACTCACGCATTTTGTAGGAAATCAAGAAGTACCTTAATTCACAAAGGAACATTTGTAATCAGGTTAATCTAAAAGTACAACTTCAGGAGAAGGATGTTAATGAGCACCCATTGATCGACGGGGAGAATGCTTGGAGTAAGAAAGAGGCAGTAGTCAGCAAGCCTAGCCATCCCCTGGAATTTGCATCCGAACAATTTTACCCAGGGCTTTCCGAGGCCGATATTACGATAGAAGATTTAACGGAAGAACTCGAATCCATCGCATTAGATTGGAAATCTGTCAGGACGGCGACAGAGTGTCCTTGTTCTACACCACTCGACTTTTCCTCCTTCAAGGTAAGTTCGTATGACAGCAACGGTAAAGTAATGTGGAATTATTGCCATCATTACTACGCGTTATGTGAAAACCTATAAAGTTATTATGACAAAATCCATATCTTCTCCTCTCCTTCAGAGACATTGCTCCAGATGTGGTGGGATCTTCTGTTCTCGCTGTCTCGAGAAATTGGTGTCACTCCCTGGACACGTTACGCTTCAACAGTCTCGTGTTTGCATGGTTTGCTACAAGGCGTGTTTTCCAAAATCCATGGAGTCGCCGGAATGATTCCTTCACTGCATCATAATCTGTGATTGATTATCTTTTCATGAAAATGTGGAAGCTTAGCCAGCTCAAGGATACACTTTTCGTTAATTTGCCAACAAGAAAAAATGTGATTATAATATTTCAAATTTTTCAGTTGGACTTAAATTATGTATGTGTGGTTTATATGAGCAGCAAGTTAATTGCCAGTTTTTATGAATTCCCTAGTGCTTAGTTCGTATTAATTAAATATTTTGCATTCAAAACTAAGTAAATTTTTTCAATAATATTCTTCCCTTTATTCCTCTTTGTTTATCAGAATTTTCGTAAATTTGTCATAATTTATATAAAATGAACAAGTATTCCATTCAAAAAGATAATAATAAGTAAGATATTTTAATGTCCACTTTATAACATAGTAATAATGATCAGCAATGACTAAATATGTAATAATGCTGCTAAGACTTGCAAATCGCTATATTGAGCATTCGCTACAAGAAATAAAGGGCAAATCAAAAACTAACCTGGGTCTTATTAAATACAGTAATTCTCAGTTGCTATATTAAATGCATAGTTTTTTGTATTTTGATGATTATTTGTTCCAATACGGGCTGAATATTATGCGTATCTTTTCCGTCAAGCCTATCCAGGGCTTAGGAGGGGAGCTTCACCACCTGCCCTTCACAGATCTCGATGCCCTTTGGATATGTGGTAGGGTCCCATGAGTGTACTAAAACCCTGAAGTGGTTTGACTCCATGGCCACATTTGCGCCCGCCACACCCACTCAAAGGCGCCAAAAACACGAAAAAAACCCTGTTTTCATGTGCTTTAAATGTCACCAAAAATCCAATTTTGCTCGGCTTTGATAAAATTTACATTTTTGTGATCCCAGATACTTGTGTGATCATATCCAGTAGATATCTCAACTTTTTTGAAATTTTGAATTTTTTCGAGTAATTGATCAGCTCGAAAATTTCGAAAATTTCGAAAAAGTTGAGATTGCTACTGGATTTTATCACACAAGTATCTGGAATCACAAAAACGTAAATTTTATCAAAATCCGAGCAAAATTGAATTTTTGGTAGATTTTTGAAGTTGGTAACTTTTGTGGTTTTCATCCCTTTGAGTGGGTGTGGGGGACGCAAATGTGGCCATGGAGTCAAACCACTTCAGAGTTTTAGTACACTCATAGGACCCTACCACATATCCAAAGGCCATCGAGATCTGTGAAGGGCAGGTGGTGAAGCTCTCCTCCTTAGTTTAATATCTAACAATATTTGCATGATATTCCTCACCCGCAGTGTTAACACACAAGAAGAAAGCCTCGAAATTGCCTCACTTACATAAATATAAAAATCCAGCCATGTGCATTTCAGGATTGCACAACTTCTTAATATCAAATTAGATCGATGATGCGTCACTTTACTTCATATCATCAGAGCCATATACATATTTACATAGTGCAGTGCAGAATCAGTAGCAGCGATGGCATGATAATTTGACACTGTGACAATTACACACACAGTCGTAATTCCAATTAGTACAACGGTAACGATTATCTCATCTTATGCACCCTGTAACTTATTGATAGTGATTTCCATTATCAAGATGTGAATAAATTTTCAGAATTACAATACGTAGAATTTGCATCAGCGTGAGATAACACTAACACAACATAAACATGTAATACGCGTTAATTAAGATTTCCTCATAATCATACGCAGACAACTGCACTGAAGACAAGTTTTCTTGTTAGCGCATTCCTAACCTAGGTACATTTACCTACCACAAATTCCGCACTAACCACCATACAGTAAACAGAGTGAGATTGAATGAATGACGAAGGCGATGACAATTAAGGTGCAACCTATGTACATATATATGTACATACATTCTTCCGTTTGGACTGTAGTTTAGGTAAGAGTACCCTTTCAACGAGTTTTATATGTCACAGAGCATAATATTACTGTTATTGTGCGTACTACAAATATGTGGATATCGCTTGCACTTGTATAGAATTGGTATTCTGGTCAAAATAATAAATGTTGGAAAAGTACTGGGACAATCTAAAATTGTAACAGATGCATTGTACGCATTCTCCTCTGCGAATCATTATTTTTAACTTAATGTGTTATGACAAAGTACCCAAAATGTATATCACCCCAAAATTTGTCATGTTGCAGATTCTTATTAACAAATTGGGAAATATGCACATATTTATGCGTATATTTCCACTGATTTCCACACAATTCCGCAAATCATTTCAAACACTTGATCATTCACGGCAGCAATAAGAGCCCTTGGGGTCAACATGAACTATTCCAACATTTCAGAAATGTCTCGGTTACTACAATTTGACGGAAAATTGTCCCTTGACACTCACAACTGAATTCTTCCTTGTATCCCAGCAATTAACCTTTAATGCCCTTCCTCTACCGTACGTTTAACGAGTAATCCTATTAGAGACGACCCCACAAAGTACAACGACGTGAACATAGCAACTACATAGTAAAATATGACGATATTCCCTAATCATGCATGATGGTCACAAGCAAAAGTATGGGAACAATACGTTATACGATGCATGAAAAAGTTGTTTTACTAGCCCCAGCGCTAGTTTTAAGAGCACATATCAGGTGAAATCTGTCTCTCTTAATAAAGAAATGTATGAATGTTATGTGTATAACATAACTTCTTTGAGAGCTGTGATGTCGAAATACAAAAATCGTTACTGCAATACAATACAAAACTACTGCGACTACTCCTTTCCTAACCTTTTACTTGTTTATCCCTTATTACGAGTAAGGAAATCATAGAAATATTCTACCATTTAGTTGTGAGAATGCTCTGTAAGTCAAAAGGTGTAGATCATGCAGTGAACGACGGACAGTACACTTTAATAAAGATTCTACTTTTACATGAATGTGTGTTACAAACTGTATTTCAGTTCAAATTAAATTTCACTTTCGGTGCTAAGTGCCTTTAATTGAATGTGACAAGTATGCTGTTTAACCTTTGAAATCCAAACCAAGTTCAAATAATTTTAAGAGGTGCATAAAGCAAGTTGTTAAATTTCAACCATTTCGTCTTGGAAAAATAATTAAGCTACGAATTAAGTTCGCATATAAGGCAATAATAATATTTCTCTTGTGACAATGCTGTCAAATTCCTGATAGCGGCATTAGTTTAATAAGGTAAGTCAATATGTTGATACATATGTCACTAGGTTAAATTTATGGATTCCTTAAGAATAATTATTATAAAAGAAGTACGGACCAAAATGAGAAGACAAATATATCTTAAAAATATATTGCAAGAGACTTGTTTACGGTAAATTTGGTACAAATCTTAAGACACGAATGGAGCCCATAATTGATTGATGTGGAACTTGAGTATGTACCATTTATGTTATGACTCTCGTGAATAACCGTGGGAAAAGACACATTAATTGACACCGTGAAACAATGGCCTATAAATTCCGGAATCGAATTACCACAACATAAAAGTATTTAGTAAATGGAACGCTGGGAAAATTTAAATAAATTGTTGTGTCTACGCAATAACACGCATGGACATAACCAAGACAATTTTGTTACGTATTTATAAATATTGCACTTTTTCTATGAGTGACACAAGGACTTAAATTACACGAAAAACCGTTCCAATTTTTCCAGGAGGACATTGTACCGAATTATTCACTGACAAATTATTTAGTTTTATATACTATGAATTTATGAAGTGGGTCTGGTACGAATTTACTCAAAATATGTACATTAGATTGTCCACACACTAATTGCAAGATCAAATCTCTTCAGTGAGGACCTGATGCTGAGTGTGACAAAGTTGCACAGCTCTTTTAGCATATAAAGTATCATTGGCATTGTTGCCAGTCAATTGTATGTACATATGCTGGCTCAGCATGAAAAAAAAACTATTTAAAATTATCTGCCTTATGCTCACACCTTGCATCTCCTTTAAAGCTTCTAACACGTGTAAATCATCTTGCACTTGTCACAATTGCACACACACACACACATAAATACATAATCATAAGTAGCAGATTATCTCAATTATACTTGCAATGAAATCATCCATCGATTACATAACATGCAGGCAGTGTAAGGTTGGTGGTTGGATAATGCTTATTACGTATGTACGTATGTATATATGTATGTATGCATATATGTATATAAGCATGTTGGAACTATATATAGGCCACTTCAATTTGCCAGGATCATGAAAGCATGTGGACAAGCAATGCAACTTACATATTAACTTGTCACGGATATTTTGCTATAAAATATTTCGCAAAGATATTATTTCTCAAATCCTTATTCATTATTAGCCATCTCACTTTAGCTTGATTGGAATTACCCAAGTTAATCGAGTCAATTCTACGAGAATATAGTGTTCGTAGGGGAATCACGTAGAAGCGAATTTTCCTTGATGACTGGGCACATCTTCCTTCTTCATCTTCTTCATGGTACTCGGCTACTGGTACATAGGTAACGCCGCAGCTGCAACGAAAAATGGCGTGCTGGAGGAATCATCTTCTTCTCGTAGCAGGAGTTTGGACATTTTTTTGCAACCTGGCGAAAGAAAGGATTCCTATGATTAAGAGGAAGCCATAGGAAGGCTGCATTAAAAGAAACTCACTAAATTTATCAAACTCATCCTCGCACGCATAACTTTACAATAAGAATGGGCACCCCGACTTCTACGCCAAAAGAAGTTACATGGCCTGACTTGGCTGCAGCAAATCAAAAAGCCAAGTTAATTGAGCCTCGCATGGCACGATGGAAAGTAAGCGAGGTCGACCTTTTCACGTAAGAGCAGCATGTTGGATGCTGAAGATATTTACTTGGCGATTATTTGAGTGGATCATGATATTACCATGCATCGGGTGGTGTGGTGGGTGTACCAGCACTATCATGGACAGCAGCACCAGTAAGTTAGGTAAGTACGTAAGGATATGAAAACAGGTTGTTGAGGAGGATTCATATTCATCCACGAATAAAACAACCAGACTTAAAGCCACCAACATGTATAGCAGCATAATAGCTGGCATAAGCAGCATCACACTTATGTACACTCATATATGCATGCATCCATGGGATTGATTCAAGATCATGGTCAGTCGGTTAAACGAATCCCCGGTTGAATTATTTAAGTTCTTTTTAACGGCGTTTAATCAAAAGTTTTCAGTCAGTTGGTTGTTAAGAGTCGTCAGTGGTTGTACGTAAGGAAAAAAGTGGTGAATAGTTTATGTGGTGCTGGTGGTGCATGGAGTAAAAGTGGCAATTCTTCTTGAGGTACAGACTCCATGCTTGTGCTTCTTCTACTTGTGGGGTTTTTTGTCGGAACTTTGGGGATCTACTTAAGTTGGTCCGTGTGACGGGTTCCGCTACCAATTTCCAGTTGTAGTCAGTCGTAACATGTACTCACTTTTATCTAGGTGGCTTAACAAAGTGAAAACAAACGAAGAAAGTGAAATGGCCGGTGTAGAACAAATTAACAATAATGAACAGCCAGGTAGTTACACGTAAATATCTTAACACATGCTTTCATCACGTAACAAGGTCGTATTTCTTGACTCTCCGGACTATTAATGGACATACGTTTATTTACTAAATTAACAAACTTACTCGCCTTGTTTCAAGGCTAAATTAATGAAAAATAGTTAAATATTATACATATTTACATATTATGTTGTTATTTCCTAAATACATAACCCCATAAGTTACAAATTGACTGAATTTGTAAAATTATTTCAGGTGAGGTGGAAGGAGAAGATCGAGTGAGCTTCATCGTAGGGGATGAGGACGACAGCCTAAGTTTGGTCGAGGAATCGTCCGACAAGGCCGACGTCCCCCACGACAAATTCGGTGGTTCCTTCAATTTGATGGACGGAGGGGGATCCACTGGAGGCAAACACAACATGGAACCTGCCGGGTTTACCGATCGTCGGAGGAGGCTCAGGTACAAAATTACCTATTGGAGACTATGCATTTATCACCACCGCTTACAAGATCATTATTTCATACTACATATGTACATCCGCTCATATGCTTCTTCATCCTTTTGGGGAATGCAGTTTATCCATAATAAATAGTAATAACCCCTCTCGTCTACGTCATCACCGTTGAGACGATTAACTTTTGTACACCTGAGTAGCAATAATTCAGTTAATACTTCTCCCATAATTAAAGCAATGGATTATTTCGGAGCTGGTATGAAAACTTGCTGTACGCATATGATGCGGGAAATTCTTTAGCCTTTTTGGGGATTATATGTACATATTATGACGGGTAATTGTGCTATTAAATGCATGCTTGGGTTCCCATTTTCCCATATTAAAAACAAATAAATTTTCAGTTCTCACCATATTTTTTAGTCTGAAAACGGAAATATTTTTCACCATTTTTCACATTTACATTAGACTTGAAATCTCTCTGTATTAGTTATTATTTCCTTCACTATTACGTATGTAGCTACATATGATGATAATTATTCTGCTCTCTGCTTATCACACTTTCTACTAAAAACCATCTGTTTATAAAAGACTGAGTGTTTCATCGTAGATAACGCGACACTCTTTAACAAACAAATCCTCGTTAACATGCACCACGCCACGTGAAGCCGGCATTAGTTTTGCATAATAATAATGTCGAGTTAATAATAATTTGACCGATGGCACGAGGCAGGTTGCGAATACTTGGCGTGTGAAATCTCACACACCACAACCACCTCCTCTCACACTCTTTGAGATTTTTGCCTCCACCAAAATAATAATGTTTGACAGGGTAGCAATTTCCTTCCATGCATTACTTTACTTATTATTATTTGGCTTAGTGTCATCCATCACACGATGTACGTTTTGTTACTTGATTTTTTGTTGCTAGAGGAGAAATGTCATCTCATATTTAGTGAAAGATGTTGCTAACGAGTGACGCTCAGTTAAGTATAAATAGTTGACAGAAGCTCGTCCTTGTCCAGTACTATTGGTTAGATAAATATCGAGTAAAACTAGCTTAACCGAGAAGCTGTTCCGTCATCCACTACGTAACAGAATGAAGCAATAACCACCACGCTTTTACTTGTTACTTAATCTGCAAAGATTTGGCCATGACTTTTGGCAAATATGATTTCACTCGTTGACGACGACGAAAATTATATGAATTGACGAGATAAGAAGGAGCAGCTATGACCAAGTTGGTTGATAGATAAGAGGGAATTAATAAAATTGATTTGCTATTGCACCACTTTGCTAATAGTAAGAGCAGCTTGGATACAGGAAGGTCGCCAGTGCAAATTCTTGAGACAAAAAATATATCTGACCCCATTATTATTGCGAGACGATGACATTTAAGATAATTTCTGTATAGGTCTGTGCAATTCGAACCATAAAAATGCTTAATTCATTTTGTGAAAATAAAAACCGAGGCCAAAAATCTAGATTCAACTAGAGAGAGAGACACGTCAGAAAATTGGCAAACTTATGCAAAAGCGTGTATTGAATATTGACATTTTGAAGATACACATACCTATTATGTCATTGTTATTATTTAAAAGTCCGCCTGACACCTGGTGGTGGTATAATTTGATTAAGAATTTTAGCAAAAAAATGATAACTTACCAAAATTCGCACGACCTCTCCATGACAATAATATTAATAATTCGGTCGCACAGCCGGTCGGTCCATTTCCCTTCGCACTCGACTCTTTTGACTCCTACCGACTGATCTTATTCTTTTACCATGTCCGACTGATTATTAGATTAATTAATAATTACTATAATTGGAAACAAGTGTTAAATAAATTTTTAGTCAAAATAGTAAAATTGTTAGTGTTTTTACCGTAACAAGATTTCTCTCTAGTTTTAAACATGTCCATAAATTTTAGTGTAATAATTCCTGTGATTTGACGGCACTGGGGAAAGGAGAGATAGGTGAGAGCTATTGTGTTGTTGGACTTTAATTGATAATAATTTGATGAGAGTGACTTATCTTATTAATGATTACGTATGATAAGTTTTCACGTGGTGAGGGTCATCACCATCATGTGGTTCTAGTTGCATGTTTAAATGCACATTATCGGCAATTAGCGATCTAGTTATAGCGAATTAGTTCATGTCAAAGGTGGACTTAATTTTTCTGCTGCACCCACACACACCACCAACCAACACGCCACAAATAGTTTCAAAATCACTTTAGGAGGTGATGATAACAATTTAGCATAAGTTTCAATACCTTTCACAACATGGTGCACGAAGGGGACACGGGATCATTGGGAAGGTTATTATGTTTTCCATTATTCATTATCCTGCACAAAACCCAGCCTGCTTTTTAGATAGTTCGGAATCATTGACCACAAGTCAAAGTCGTGGTTGCATTTGACACCTTCTCAGATTTTACATATCAGCAACAGAACTCGGGTTTTGTTGCTCGGTTGAGACGGGAACTTTTTACAAAAGACATTTCATTATGCGAATAGCGTGATGACGACGTGCACATAAACTAGATTCGAAACATGATACTGGTTAATACTTCGTATTTAATTATTTATTTATTTATTTATATGTACTTTGTCCCTCCTATCACCAACCCCATTATTTTTCACCCGTATTATTTATTTATTTATTTTTATGCCTTAATTTAATTGCTGTTATCCAACTGCTTCTCTATTTTGCTCTCTGCTTTACTTTTTGCAGTCCACTAGCAGTGAAGTGGTGAGACTCCCAGGAGAGATATTTGGACAGGAAAAAGGGGGCGAGTTAAGGGAGCAACACCACCACGCACGTACCCACTTCCGGAAAGGTTGGACATTTGCTTTTCACTTTTCTTTCTCTTCTTCTTGGTAGCTTTCTCTCTTAGCTTGTAGGAATATGTGGTAGAGGAAAGTTAAATAAGGGGGGATTTATGTTACTACTACTACGTATGCATTGATATTATGCGGATGTTTTACAATTTGTTGGCTCCGCTTGATGAAAGAGAGGTGTTGATGTAAGTAATACAATCAAGGAAATCATTTCCATACAGGCCGAGCATGTCGTACGGCACAATGCTGAACAAAGATGGACGACTCGTTGATGGGCCAGGAATGACTGTGGCCTCGACTGAAGAGCTGGTAAAGAAACTTGGGGGCACGAGGAATATTAATAGGGTGAGTTTTTAATAAGTAATCATATCATGTACGTAGGATTAATAGAGTATGTAATTTATAATGATTTGTGCTGCATACTTATTGTCTCGGTTATGTTATGTGTAGGTTCTTATTGCCAATAATGGAATTGCTGCCGTCAAATGTATGCGATCAATCCGTCGCTGGGCATACGAAGTTTTCCGCAACGACCGTGCCATTCGATTCGTGGTGATGGTCACGCCCGAGGATTTGAAAGCCAATGCAGAATACGTGAAGATGGCAGATCACTATGTACCTGTCCCGGGAGGAACGAACAACAACAATTATGCAAATGTAGAGCTGATTGTCGACATAGCGAAAAAAATGCAAGTTCAGGCAGTTTGGGCTGGATGGGGACACGCTTCAGAAAATCCCAAACTTCCCGAACTCTTGTTAAAAAACAATATTGCTTTCATCGGACCACCAGGTAATTAAGGAGAGCATTTTATGTGGTAGCACCAGTCCACAAGAGGTTAACAAATTGGAATTTGTGGTTTCTTTACAGAGAAAGCTATGTGGGCCCTTGGGGACAAGATTGCTTCAAGTATCGTCGCACAAACGGCGAAAGTACCCACCCTGCCATGGTCGGGAGATGGTCTTATTGCGACTTCAGTTGGGAAGGACAAGAGAATCAAGATTTCCAACGAGTTGTTTAAAAAGGGATGCGTCGAAACTGCGGAGGAAGGATTCATCTGTGCACAAAAAATTGGATTCCCAGTCATGATCAAGGCCAGTGAAGGTGGTGGTGGAAAAGGAATCAGAAAAGCGGACGCCGGAGACGACTTTACCAGTTTGTTTAGACAGGTTCAAGCCGAAATTCCAGGGTCCCCCATTTTCATCATGAAACTTGCCAAGTGTGCTCGTCATTTAGAAGTGCAGCTTTTGGCTGATCAGTACGGAAATGCCATTTCCCTCTTTGGAAGAGATTGCTCAATCCAGAGGCGTCATCAAAAAATTATTGAAGAAGCCCCTGCTGTCATTGCACAACCGGAGGTGTTTGAAGAGATGGAAAAGGCTGCCGTACGATTGGCGAAGATGGTTGGTTACGTAAGTGCAGGGACGGTCGAGTACTTGTACGACAACGATGGCAACTTTTTCTTCCTCGAGTTGAACCCACGTCTCCAAGTGGAACATCCCTGCACAGAAATGGTAGCTGATGTCAACCTTCCTGCGTGTCAACTTCAAATCGCGATGGGAATTCCTCTAAATCGAATCAAATGTATCCGAATGTTGTATGGCGAGAATCCTTGGGGAGATAGTGCTATCGACTTTGAAAACCCGAAGCGTAAACCTCAACCATGGGGACATGTCATTGCTGCTCGAATCACAAGTGAAAATCCAGACGAGGGTTTCAAACCTAGTGGAGGGACTCTTCAAGAACTGACTTTCCGATCGTCCAAAAATGTGTGGGGATATTTCAGCGTGGCAGCGTCTGGTGGACTCCATGAGTTTGCAGACTCCCAGTTTGGTCATTGCTTCTCTTGGGGAGAGGATAGAGAGCAGGCAAGAGAGAATTTGGTGATTGCTCTAAAGGAACTCTCAATCCGAGGCGACTTCAGAACCACGGTCGAGTACTTGATCACCCTCCTTGAGACGAGAGCATTCCAAGAAAATACGATCGACACGAGCTGGCTGGACGCCCTAATTGCGGAAAGAGTTCAAGCGGATAAACCCGATATCATGTTGGGCGTGATTTGTGGAGGTGAGTAATAATTGTATGACCATGACATCAGAGGTTTTGTTTTTCTATTGTATTTTAAGTTCCCACCTGCATATCATTAATTCCACATTCCCACATTTGTACAAGAATAATATTAGAATGTTTCGGTTTTCAGCCCTTCATGTTGCGGATCTAGCCATTGTGAATGCTTTTCAAAATTTCCAATCCTCGCTGGAACGAGGTCAGATCCTTCCGGCCAACACCTTGAAGAACATTGTGAGTGTGGAACTAATCAACGAAGGAGTAAAGTACAAGATCGAAGCCTGTAAAAGCGGACCCAATCAGTATTTCTTGGTTATGAATGACTCTTACAAGGAAGTGGATGTTCACCGCATGTCGGACGGAGGTCTTCTCATTTCAGTGGACACCCAGAGTTACAACACCTTCATGAAAGAAGAGGTGGATCGGTACCGGGTCGTGATTGGGAATCAAACTTGCATCTTTGAGAAAGAGAACGATCCAACACTATTGAGATCTCCATCCGCTGGTAAACTGTTAGGATATCTGGTTGAAGATGGTGGTCACGTCTATGCAGGACAGGCATTTGCTGAAATTGAAGTCATGAAAATGGTGATGACATTGACCTGCTCTGAGTCTGGATGTATCCAATACTGTAAACGACCCGGTGCTGTTCTCGATGGTGGTGCCTTAATTGCTCGCCTAGAACTTGATGACGCTTCAAAAGTCACAACTGCTCAAACCTTTACTGGCAAGTTTTCCATCAGCGAAGACACCGTCGTCTACGCTGGAGACAAACTCAACCAAGTTTATCAATCATGCAAATCTAGTTTGGAACACATTCTCGCCGGGTATTGTCTTCCTGATCCACACTTTGCCATCAAGTCGAAGGAAGTAATTGAACAATTTATGAAAGCTCTTCGAGATCCCAACCTTCCCCTGCTAGAGTTGCAAGAAGTCATTTCATCAATTTCTGGCCGGATTCCACAACTGGTGGAGAAGAAAATACGAAAACTTATGATGCTCTATGCCAGTAATATTACGTCTGTCCTTGCTCAATTCCCCAGCCAGCAAATCGCCAGCGTTATTGATAGTCATGCGGCTACCTTGCAAAAGCGGGCGGATCGTGACGTCTTCTTCATGACCACGCAAGGAATCGTCCAACTCGTTCAACGATACCGGAACGGGATCCGTGGACGAATGAAGTCTGCCGTGCAAGAACTTTTGCGCAATTACTTAGCTGTCGAGACACAATTCCAACACGGACATTACGACAAGTGTGTATCCGCCCTGAGGGAAAGACATAAGGACGACATGGCCTCCGTCACCTCAGCCATATTTTCACACTACCAAGTTGCCAAGAAAAATGCCTTGGTCACCGTTTTGGTGGATCATGTCTGGAGCAATGAAGCTGGACTCACTGATGAACTCGCCCCTATTTTGAATGAACTGACGACACTCAACCGTTCTGAGAATTCTCGCGTGGCACTTCGAGCAAGACAAGTCCTCATCGCGGCTCACCAACCTGCGTACGAGTTACGACACAACCAAATGGAGTCCATCTTCCTCTCCGCTATAGACATGTACGGACACGACTTTCACCCGGAAAATCTACAAAAACTCATCATGTCGGAAACCTCCATTTTCGACGTGCTCCACGATTTTTTCTATCATCCCAACCAAGCCGTGAGAATGGCTGCTCTAGAGGTTTATGTTCGAAGGTAATTTCAATACAAAAATTGAACCTTGTTAAATTTCACTAAAAAAATTTCTTGGAATATTTATAAGTAAATATTTTACTATCCTAAAATTATGTCTTTTAGAGCCTACACCTCTTACGAACTGACGTGTCTTCAACACAAGGAACTCCCGTCGAGCATGTGCATCGTCCAGTTTCAATTCCTCCTCCCCTCTTCCCACCCCAACCGAATGCCCCACAACAAGGCTAGCTCCCAACTCCTGGCTCATGTGCCCTCCTTGGACGAGATGCAACTCGGAGAAATTCCACTCCAATTGGACGACTGTCAGAGAACAGGAATCATGATCGCTTTTACTAAGATGGATGAATTCGAAAATTATTTTGATGACCTCATGGACCTTTTCCTGAGTGACTCTAGACCCGACTCTCCCACCGGTGGTGGAGACGACGAAGTGTCAAAGGGAGGAATTTCATGCTCTATTAGTTCCAGTTTTAGCGATATGGGAATCAACATTAGCGACTACGACCTTAAACCAAGCGAACCCATCCATATTCTGAACGTCGCCCTCAAGTTAGAATCTGAAGTTGACGACAACATTTTAAGCGATAGATTTGGAGAATTTGTCATTAAGAATCGCGACACACTTTTGGAGCGAGGAATTCGAAGAGTGACGGTGATTGTCTTGAGCCGACGCCAATTTCCAAAATATTTTACGTACAGGGTAAGTTAAATAAATAAAACGTGGATATGTATTGGGGACAAAGGAGTCGAAAAATAAATAGGATTGAAGAGGACAATGTTATATTTATACTAAATTAATTTGGTGACTATTTTTTTTTGCAGTCGAGAGATAACTTCGTGGAGGATCGTATCTATCGTCATTTAGAACCCGCTCTCGCATTCCAGTTGGAGATCAATCGCATGCGAATGTATGACTTGGAAGCACTCCCAACTTCGAATCAGAAGATGCATTTGTATCTTGGGAAGGGCAAGGTACCCAAGGGCCAGGAAGTGACAGATTACCGGTTTTTCGTCCGTTCCATCATTCGTCACTCTGATCTCATTACGAAGGAAGCCTCATTCGAATATCTGCAAAATGAAGGGGAGCGTCTCCTTTTGGAAGCTATGGATGAGCTCGAAATTGCATTTTCTCATCCCAACAGCACAAAAACTGACTGCAACCACATCTTCCTTAACTTTGTCCCAACCGTTATCATGGATCCTGGCAAGATTGAGGAGAGTGTTCGGAATATGGTGATGCGGTATGGACCCAGGCTTTGGAAATTGAGAGTTCTTCAAGCCGAACTAAAAATGATCATCCGACAAACTCCAAACAGTAAAATTATCCCGATCCGTTTATGCCTCGCGAATGAAAGTGGCTATTACCTCAACATCCATCTCTACAAGGAAATCAATGATCCATCCTCCGGACTCATCAAGTTTGAATCTTTCGGATCCAAACATGGCCCACTTCACATGTACCCCGTCTCAACACCCTACAAAACCAAGAACTACCTGCAACAAAAGAGGTTCCAAGCTCAAAGCAATGGCACAACTTACGTCTATGACTTTCCCGACATGTTCAGACAAGTGTTGGAACGTATCTGGAAGGAATATTCTGATTCTCATGAACAAGTCGAAACTCCGGCTCAAATGTTGCAATACATCGAATTGGTACTAGACAGTCAGGGCAATCTCGTGGAGCAGAACAGGACGGAGGGAGAAAACGATGTGGGAATGGTGGCATGGCGAATGAAGCTTTTCACTCCAGAATTCCCCGGAGGCAGAGAAATCATCATCATTTCTAACGATATTACTCATTTTATCGGATCATTCAGCGTCCCAGAAGACATTCTATTTCAAAAGGCTTCCGAACTGGCGAGACACCTTAAAATTCCAAGGATTTACATCGCTGCCAACAGTGGAGCACGTATCGGGTTGGCTGAGGAAATCAAACCATTGTTCCGAGTGGCCTGGGAGGATGAAGCTGATCGAGAAAAAGGTTATCGTTATGTGTACCTGACCCCAGAAGATTACTCCAAAGTCGTCAACCTCAACTCGGTTCGCGTCCAACACATTGAGGACGAAGGAGAGTCTCGCTATAAAGTGACCACTATTGTTGGCGTGGAAGATGGCATCGGTGTCGAGAACTTGCGATATGCTGGAACAATTGCGAGTGAAACTTCACGAGCGTACAAGGAAATTGTCACAATGACCATGGTCACTTGTCGAGCTATTGGAATTGGAGCATATCTAGCCCGGTTGGGCCAACGAGTGGTACAAATTGAAAATTCGCATCTCATTTTGACCGGATATGGTGCTTTGAATAAATTGCTCGGAAGAGAAGTCTACACATCCAACAATCAACTTGGTGGCATTCAAATCATGTACAACAATGGAGTGTCTCACAAAACGGATCGGCATGACATGGAAGGGATTTACACAATGCTCAAGGTGAGAATCAAATTTATCCGCAAGACGTAGATCAGACATGCATACTCGTAAAATTATATGTACAGCATTATTACACACTTTAGAAATTGTTTTCCCTGTATTTATTCAATTTTTTCCCTTTTACAGTGGTTGTCTTACATTCCCGCACACAAAGGAGGTCCTTTGCCAATCATGACGCCAGTGGACTCAATAAACCGAGAAATTGGTTTCTACCCTACTAAGGCTGCATACGATCCGAGATGGATGCTGACTGGGCGACCAAGTCCAAGTATGTCAAAACCTTCGTAATTTTTTGAATACCCATTTATGCGATTATTTCTTTTTCTCACCTTAATTTTTTTTTCAAATCTTAGCAAATCCAAACGAATGGGAAACTGGATTTTTCGATTATGGAACTTTCGAAGAAATTCTTAAACCGTGGGGCCAGACCGTGGTGACTGGAAGGGCTCGACTTGGAGGAATTCCTGTCGGAGTTATTGTGGTTGAAACAAGAACAGTAGAACTTAACCTTCCTGCAGATCCTGCTAATTTGGACTCTGAAGCCAGGGTGAGCAGTCCAGACATTTTTAAACTTATTACGTTAAACACACATTGTAAATTTCGTACAATGTAATTTTATAAATCGGATTTTAGACCGTGTCACAAGCTGGGCAGGTGTGGTTCCCAGACTCGGCGTATAAAACTGCTCAAGCCATCAAAGATTTTGGCAATGAAGAACTCCCACTAATGATATTTGCCAATTGGAGAGGATTTTCTGGTGGAATGAAAGGTAATTTAATCGAATGAATCACTAATTAATATCAATTATATCTTTCAATGCATAAAATCATTATTTGTTATTTGTTTCAGATATGTACGAGCAAATCCTAAAGTTTGGTTCTTACATTGTTGACCATCTTCAAGATTACAGCCAACCAATCTTAGTTTACATTCCTCCATTTGGTGAACTTCGTGGAGGAGCATGGGTCGTCATCGACCCCACAATAAACCAACGCCAGATGGAAATGTATGCCGACACCGATGCTCGGGGTGGAATTTTAGAACCTGAAGGAGTCGTAGAAATTAAATTTAGGATGAAAGACTTGACCAAAGTTATGCACAGGTGAGATTTCCTTTAATTTGTAAAGCTACGAGTTTTGTAGCATACATACATATGTGTACTTACTCAATAATTTTGTTATCTAATGTCAGATTGGAGCCTCACCTTATCGACCTTAAGGCCAAAATCGCAGCAACTGACAAACCAGAAGAAAGATCTGCATTGGAGAAAAAAGTGCATGAGCATGAACAATTCCTACGCCCAATTTACCAACAGATTGCTATAGGATTTGCGGACTTGCATGATACACCTGAACGCATGTTGGAGAAGGGAGTGATTCAGGTTGGTTGTAATTCATTATAATAATGTTGGATAATAATTGTTAGATTTGTATTAATTTGTTTCATGTGTTTTTTTTAGGATATCGTGCCATGGCGTACCGCTCGTACCACTCTGTACTGGAGACTACGACGAAGACTTTTAGAGAATACGGTGATCACGAAAATACTAGAAATTCGTCCAGTTTTAGGATACGGACCTGCTGAAGCAATGTTGCGTCGCTGGTTTATGGAGGACAAAGGTGCTATGGCTGTGTGGGAAGATAATCAGACCGTCGTAAATTGGCTATCATCAGAATCCGTAATTGATGAGAACCTTAAGTCCATCTTCCAAGATGCGGCCGTTGATCAATTGAACAAATTATTGGAGGTATGCAATTTACTAAACACTATGATTGATTGATTTTTTATCACTATTGCAATTTGTATTTTTTCTTATCTTCCAGCGATATCCGGAACTCTATTCGGACCCCCGAGTGATTAAGTAACTGTTTGCTGTTGCTAAATGTTGCCAGTGCTTTAAATATACTATATGTACACATGGAATTAGTCCCAATATATCATGCCAATTATACAAATTATAATAATCGAAATCTGCTATATAGTTTGTTACAAAAAAGTGATAAATAGTCGTGATCAAATTGTCTATGCAATTATTTTTTTAATAAATCTCGCCATGTTTAATATCCGCACATGTTTTTATGTGAAAATCGGGTCTGATTCTTACTTATTTCATTATCATTACCAATCATTATCATAACAAAATCTAGTACCAACGTGCTAAAGTTGCATTCAATCTCCATTTCATAAGAAAAGAAAGCAAAGTTGCGTATAACTTTATATAGTTTGTACACTTTTTCACCAAATTGTAATTAAATAGTCCAGACTGTATGGTCTGGAAGTAGCATTGTTCAAGAAAATTGAAAATTCGAAATAAAAATGAGGATAAACTTTTAGAAATTAAAATACAGCAAAATTTCTCTCCGTAAATCATAGATTAAAGCACTAAATAACATTCAGTATTAATAAAATGAATGCATCGGCGAGTGCATATCTTTGTAGAGAATTGTCATTCCTCGTTTCTATTAATAGCTGGTTTATGATGACGCTTTCCTTTTGACGCGTCCCTTCTCCCAAGCCGCGGAGCCTATTGTTCTCCTTCACAGCGCGACCTGCCTGGAGCAAAGCGTCATCAGAGCCAAACGACGCTGCCTGCCAAACACTATGAAGACTAGACCAATTCCCTTCAAATTCGTCATTCTTCAACAGCGACTCGACCTGTGATCAAGTCTCTCTGGTCCTTCTCCCCCCATCGCTTCATGCAGAAGGATTTTCAGAATTTCAAAGCCATTGCCAAATTTTCTGTCATTTTACAAGTATCTACTAGTAGCAAGAATTTAAATTTTTCGAAAGTAAAAGAACATGGATCACAACTTCAATAAAAGATTCATCCAGCCAACACCATCAAATAGAGTTATTGAAACAAGTCCACTTTCTGATCAAACATTTCAAGAAATGTTGCAAGCGTTTGGACCAATTCTACCCCCTGCTCAAGCATTTCGCCAACTGGTGTCCATTCGAGCTTCCGAAATAAGTCCACTATCTAATTATTCATCATCTTCAAATACGCCGTCGGATGAATTCTCTGACACAAGTTCATTCTCTGATCAAGATCAACCATTCCTACGAATGCTGTCCATCGGAGTCTTCGGAACAAGTGAATTTGATCTCTCAGTTCCATCTACTTTGGAGAGTTCTTGGCCTACGACCAATGTCGAACTTCTTCAAACTTTAGACCTAAAGGCTGGAATGGAATTTGAGGACTTTGGCATTGACTCATTCGACAATTTCTCGATTACGATGGACGATTTAACGCTGGACGGAGGAATCAAGAAGCAAATGATGAAGGAAGGGACTGGGACTGACCTCATTCCCCCCGAGGGCTATATTTGGCTGCACTACATCAGCTTCGCGGAAGGAAACGACGAACCGATCGACGCTACAGGAAACATAGACGTCTTGAAATGCCACAAATTAGGCGATGGCGAACTCCTCCTTGGAGTAGAAATCGCTGTGAAGACGATGAGAGTGGGTGAAATATCTTCATTTCTGTTCGAGCCTGAATATGCCTATGGAGAAATAGGAAGTCCACCTAGCATTCCGCCAAGTAAGTCGCAAAAGTTTCGGATCACCATTTTTCAAATCATATTTTTTTCTAATCTAACTTCTCATATCGTATTATAAATATTTCAATTCATTTGATCGTTTCAGACGCTAGAATTCTGATGGCGATTGAAATGGTTAAAGCCTCCATTGAGCCCTTGAATATGCTAGTTTTCCACAATCTACAACTGGTCGTGGAGCAGAGCTATGAAGAAATATACAAATCTGTTGTCGAGTTGGAAGAACTTGGGAATTTGAAAGTCAAATTGGACATGTATCCTGAAGCTATTGAAATGTAAAATTTATATACCTCACTAGTTTCACACTTCTTAATTTTAGCAATAGATTTCTAATAGATTTCCCGTGCAAACTCAAGGCTCGTACTAAAAATTGACTTTCTTTCTCCACAGATATGAGAAAGGGTTGGAACTTTTGGAAGAGGCGACTGTATTCGAAAAGGCCCAGGACGACGCGCGCCATGAACTGATGTACAAGCTGCTCTCGAACACTGCTCTCTGTCACCTTCGCATTGACCAACCTGCTCAAGCCGCTGTCGCCTGCAAAGCAGCCTTGATGCCAAACATGCCGTCGCCACAAAATGGAAAAGTGTACATTGAGTGCGTATGAAATCCAAAATAATTACATAACAGAAGATATAATGCTCCAAATTTTGTGACTTGCCCTCTAAAGTAACCATAATTTCTCATTTGAATATTCCAGATATGCAGAAGCAAATTATCAATTGAAGAAATACGAAGAAGCTTTAAAATACATCAAACTTGCTCTTCAATTTGACTCCAATAATTTCGCCCTCTTCACCTTCTACCAACAGGTAGCAAACAAAACGACATAATATTTTTATACCATACAAATATTTTATGCCAGAACAATGCATAGACAGTTTTGGATTAAAATTTTTCAATTTAATTTTCAGGTGAAAGAACACATCCGTGAAGACCAGAATGAATTGGACAAGTTATACTGGGTGTATCCGACTTTTCAGTAGTTCTACAACGTTTGATAGTTGTAATAGTTTTTATTTTATTTGATAGCCAGCCGGTCTGAATCTAATAGTTTATGTGTATTTGTCGTGATATTTATGTGATTTGTTAATTTTTAAATGAGTATATATCTTGAACTTGACGTCGTGAGAAATAAATATGAGGTATTTATATAGCAAAAAAATTCTTTAGTTGTGCACAAAATTTATAGCATGAGTTTAAAGAGCGTTATTGTCGTGACGGACCGAGGCCATATGCTCTGACTCTTGTCAGAGCGTCGTATTCCATGACGCATGAAAGCTACTCCAGACTTTACCATTTCCCAAATCTTCATATTTCCACAAATTATATGGTCAATAAATACCAGTCGAGATCTTGACTATTTTGTGCATATTTTATTATTTTTAGAAACATTGATATCAAAGTGATATATAAAACGCTGGAAATATATATAATAGGTTCAAAAATCAATTGAGCAACAATTCAGTCGAATTATTTAATTACTCAACCCCACTATCTCCCCGATCTCTCTCATCATCGTTGCCGGTCTTCATATTTCCACCCCTATTGACCCTGCCACGACCATAGTCGCCTTCCTCATATTCAATGCATTGAAGGTCTGTTGAATCAGGGATTCTCCCATAAACTAAAATTTTCATCTTTAATCTATATACAGTTGCCTCAATTTTGATCACACTTGCTCTCATCACGCTCATCTTGTTGCGAAATAATCTATTTTCTGCACAAATCCCAGCAAATTCTGTAAACAGAAACAATGCTTTATAATATACTATGAATATATGAATATGTATGTATATTTGCATCAGGTGAACTTACGAGCGTATATTTCACGAACAAGAGCAAAGACCTGATAAAGGAACGAATGCCATTTAGGTTTGGTCAACGTGGGAATTGCAGCTTTCATCAGTTCTCCCGTAAAATCACAAATTCCGAGCATGTAGTCTGTGAGGGATAATGGTACGGTCAAGGTTCTGCTGCTAGTAGTAGTAGTACTTATTTCTTGTGGCTTGTCGCTTCCATCATCATCATTTGCATCCTTCTCGGTAGCAGAGGGGTCTGTGTTGCACTTTTCATCCTTGATCACCCAAACAAGAAAGGATTTTACATCTTCGTAGGTTGGAATTTTTCGATGCTCTATAAAATGAAGGAACATCATTGCTTCGATGCATTCTTGTACACCTAAACCGTAAAAGAAACAAATGTTGACACAACAAAATAAAATAAAAATTACAATATGATAGATAAGACAACAATTACAGTGTGTGTAACGTCGATAATGCAAACTCATGTCTTCGCCTTCCAAAGCTTTTGCCAGTCCAAGAAAATACCTGTCGCTGTCCAGCAACATGTTCAACTTTCGTTTCGCATCTCTGCAAGCGTCATCATATCTGAAATTTAAGGAATTATTTGTACATCAATACTCTGGATATGGCTTTTAACTGACAAATTTTAGTCTTACATGAAAAAACGATGCAGCACGAAAATAATTCGCTTGGATTCATACGTTATGTCCTTTGTTAGGTGAAAGATTTCGTCATCTTTGTTCCTTTTCACGTCCAGGTAAGCTTTCGCCTTATCAAACATTTCTGCAACTTCTGTCGTGTACAGGACAGGAACGGGAGCCGCTTCAGGATTTGACGACTCCATCATCATCATGTTGAATTTTATTTAATACAAAGAACGATTTAAATCTTAGAATGTAGTGAAAATTCAGCTTTTGATTTATACTGAGTGAAATAGATTTGTTGGCAGGTTATTTAATCAACAATATTCTGTTTCTAATGAAATCAAGATAAATTAGTTAAATATTAAATAGTGAACAGCATTTTATGATTTTACAGCTTTAAATGGATTCTCTCTGAAAGTGGACCCGCCGGTAACCCGTTCAAAAAATGGACCGACCAAGTCTTACGCCTCATTCATGCATTTTCTATGCAACTTACAATTTGATAATAAAAATGTCTGAATTGAGGCCATTTGATCTATTTAATAAGATTTCCGTTAAAATTGCTTGTATGTTCCTGGTCTTAAACATGGAAATTTTCAAAATTTCTTACGTAGTATGCGTATCTATGCTTTTATGCAGAGCTAATGGAGAAAGCTCAGAAAGCCCAAATGTTAAAGGAGAAGTGATGGAAAATAGTTGAGGCGAATCTCTAAATATATTTTATTACTTTTGAATGTGAAACATTATAAATTTTTCATCAACACACACGATGGTTGATGTAACGATTAAGGCAGGGTTATGATAATAATAACAATATAAATATCTAGTTTTTTATGGGGTGACTGTCAAGTTCCCCAAAATAAACGTCTCAGTAGTCTCTTTCTCGAGAGGAAATCCTTTTAATGGGATGGATACGCCCCCCAGGAAACTGTTTTCTTGCAGTGGGTCGTGATGCCATACGGATAACTGGAGAATTCTCCGAAGCACTACATCCAATGGCAGTCTGTACTCGATCTGGGGTATGAAAATAATTGTTCGTTTCAAAAAATTGACAAAATAATAATCCATCAAAATTTGTTACCATTTCCATAAATGTTGGATGTTGAGTACGTTTTATAACGCGAGTTTTGCGTTTCGTAAGTCGTGAAGTGTCTGGTTGTAAGTAGCTTTTAACGTAAGCAGATGGTGGCTGTCCGTTTGGACACGCCAAGTCGAAGGCGTGAAGTACTAGCACCAACAGAGCGCCTTTTGAATACTGAATACATGCCTTGATCCGACCGTGGATTTTGACGGGACTAAGTAAACTTTCCGCTACATTTCAATAAAAAATGTCATCAGCCTACATAAAAGTCATACAGGGTTTTATATTGTGCATTTACCGGCTAGAATATCTCGCTCTTCTTGGCCGTGATATTCTTCATCTTTAAGTAAAGGATGGAAAAAAGTGTATACTAGATCAGAATGAGCAATTTCGTCAGCTAGTAAAAAGAGAGACTCGAGGAAGGATTGTAAGAGTGCCGTCCGTTTCTCTGCAACTTGTTTTACGTTTGACCTTCCAATCCCTGAACTTCTTGGAAGAACGGTGAGAGAACGCATGGCCATGGGGAAATTCATGCACAGTTTCGAATACAGTTCCAGGAATTGTTTATAAGTTCTATTGACAAATGATGGCTGATTTATATCCTTTCTTTTGACCTGTTTTTATACGAGAATATAGTTACAATTTTATCCGTAATAAATCTATGAAAATTCGGAGTAAATATTAATGAAGTTGATCTATACCTTAACCGAGTATGAATAGTATTTTTCTGGATCGTATTTTTTCTCAAAGTCTACAATCGTCACTGACTCAATCCGGCCTTCACTATCAATGTTATACATTTTTGGCATAAACGTGAGTGTTGCAGGATTATCTGTACTGTCAGAGGCAAATCGTAACTGGGCAAGGCTGTGGATGAAGAAGTTCACAGAAGTGAACCAGTTTCTACAACCAAAATCAATGTCAGCATAAATGTCGTAAATAAATTCAAAGAAACATAAGCTTGAGTAAATCTTTTATGTACGAACTTGGAAGAATCCTCGATAAATCGTGTAAATCTTGCAGCAGCCTCGACATTTGAACAATCAGGTAAGAGTGCATTCTGGATGTAAGCGACGGATTTGATGTCCACGCCAGGAATTCCTGCAAACCAATTTTTTAAATATACGGGTCAAAATCGAACTAACAAGGAGAAACAATAAAATGATCGCCCATTTTTTTAGAGGAATGTACCTGCAGTTGCCATCATTGCAAATAGATTCATCAATACGTCCCCATTTTGTCGCACTATCTTGAAGGCTTGACAGCATAGTTCCACAAATTTGTGGAATCTTTGTGACACCTTTTCTCCATCGTTGATAACAAATAACATGTCTGATGTAAGCACAAATGGTGCTCTATCTCGTTTAAAACTTCCAAACATTTGTGCATCGCCTAAGAATTTCCCAAAGTCGATATGAAAGAGGTGGCCTTTGGTTGTCAGCATGATGTTGTCGTTGTGTCGATCACATATTCCTAGAATGTATGTGAGGACACAATATGCAGCACACGAGCGGGTGAAGTTTTCAACGGCTCTTCGGTAATCCAAAGTAGAAGGATTCATTTTTGCAAGCCATTCTAAAAAATTTTGTAAAAGAAAGAGACTAAATTACTCCATCCCTCACGCACCTAACAAATATTCAACCTTAACAATGCTTAATTTAAACAACATCTTATCTACATACCTGAAATCGGACGATTTCTGAAAGCTCCGGTAACACCATAGTCGGCTTGAATTTTGCACAATGTTTCAGCATTTGACACAATCTCGACAACACCTGTCACCGAAAATATCATTTGTGTATAATGTCCTTGGTTTGTATATATTAGCGAATTTACAATGCGTATTTGATTGATTGTTTTTATCCTTAGTATAAGATTGGAATATTTTAAGAGTACCTTGCTTAAACCCTGTTGGGACGCAGGTAAAAGTAACTACTCGTAGATCGAGTCCTTCTTTGAGCCACCAAGTTTCAATCATACTAAAAAATATTAGCAGTTTATGTAACCTTATGTATTTCATATTGTATTTAAGAAATTTATTCAAAATAAAATAAACTGTTACCGTATAACTTGGATGGTCAACATATCTTGTCGAATATCATCTCCTTGCTATAAAGGCAAAAGGCATATTGGTAAAAGATTTCCCTATAATTCAGCAATTAATTCTTTATTACAAGTACCTTAAATAAGACTGGGATAATGCCACCTTCTGGAAGTGCACTTTTAAAATTTATTTTGAGCGGTACGGAAGCTGAATTATAGCAGATGCAAGTCTCTACGTCCATGGAAGTGACCATGTAGGTAGGAGAAAGTGGGAGAGAGTATGTCGTCTGGCCCCCAAATAATTGTACGTCCATCCGTTTTAACTCTTGCAACATGGTGCAACTTCGTTGAGAAGGTTGGGCCAATTTAACCAAGTGGGTGACGTCACACAGCCCCTGTTAAACATTGATACTAAATTAATTTTTGAATGAAATGCTTTAGGAAGTACCCAGTAGTGATTCACATAAAGTCAAAATACAAGCATTGGAATTTTAGTATCAGTTTTACATAGGATAGTTTCTACAAAGAACAAGAAGGTGTGTACCTGGAAATAAATTATCAACAATGCAGCAGCAAAGCTCGAAATTTGTCATCAATGTTTACAAGCAACATAAACCACCACCCAGACCAAAAGTCGAGAAATTATAGCGAAAACAACCTTTGGAATAGAAAATAAATAAATAACTTATGGAAATAACATTTAAATGCGTGCATAGCATGAAGAAGCTACAGAAATGACATAAATTGTATAATTCTATGAATTACATCATTCATTATCATTATGTGGAGATGGTTGAATATATAAGTATAAAATACCTGCATAAGTTTAAATTCCGAAATCAAAGCCGACCTCCATTTGTGGTAAGAAATTGTCATCAGCGAATTTCTCATCAGTTCTAGTCGTCTCCTTCTTGGATCCGTGTCATCATCAGAGTGACGAGGGTTTATAAATTGCACTGTAAAAACTTCAGAATCCACGCCCCATTTACCCAATCCGACTTCAGAGACCAAGTTCCAAAAGAGAGAATGAGCTATTTCAAACCGGAAGAGGGATTTTTTCAAAACAAATTCTGCCAAGGGAGACAAGTCAAACGTTTCGTAGGATAGGGCCTCGACTAGTTGGGGGAGAACAGTGATCAAATCTTCATCGGACATTTCGTTTATCCATTTGATTGCAGTATGTCTCACTTTTGCATCTGGAAAACTACACACGACATTGGTTGGTTTTGATTAATTCATACCCAGACTTAAATATGGAGAGAAATAATAAAATTTGAATAGTTTATTTTACCACGGCAGAAGAAGTTGTAGTGCTTCTAATGGTGACAAAGGAGCCCAGTTTTCCATCATTCTATGCAGTTCACTCAAACTGGCAAAGTCCCAAAATTGTGCAGATAAAAGAACTTTGGGAAGAGCTGTGGGATAAGTTTGCAAATAGTGCCGTTTCTCCCACAATACTTCCCTCTCGTCTGCTGGAAACTTTGTGAATGTCGTTGTCTCAATAATATCCTTGAGTTGAAGTTGCGTGTTGATGTCGAGTGACTGGAAATCTCTGGTGACATGATTTGATGATGGAATTTCTGGAAATTTTAGACTGCGGCCAAAATCAGGGAATTCAATTGCTGAAATAGTTAAAAGAACAATAAGCAAATCAGACCATGGCAAATCATAGATAAATTTATACTAAATCAACATTTAAAAATCATATTAATTACTTATTAGAGGAACGTTGAGATCATAAGAGAATGCAGAATTCGGAGCAGGACCTAGAGGAACAAAATTCAAGCAAAGTTAATTAGATAAACTTTAAGCATTTTTACTTGATTCATACCCAAGCGTTTTTGAGGCATTCCAACAGGCCAAAGTGGTAACAGTTGATTTCCTCTGATTAGAAAACTACAAAACCAGATAAAATATATAAGGTCCCTTATTGACAAAAATATCCATTTCCATATCTTATCTTCTTTTTAAAAAATGGTAGTAAAATTCTCACCCTTGGAAATCAAAACATTGGATACTTGCCCATCCCAACTCTTTCGTTTCATGTATATCCCCACTTTCGTTCATATGTCTCCCGTACACTGTGAACACTAATCTGCACTCTCTTGGTAAAATACAAATAGGCAAATGTTCGAAATCCACCCAAACATCAAATATCACAGTGGTAAAAAACAAATGATCGTCAACATTGGTCAAAGTAGAAATTGGCGAGGTTTGCTTTCCCATAAGACGCGTTCCATGAAAGACTTCAATACCGACAAAGAAATCCAAGTAGGTTGAACACCATTCAGGCTTGACTCGATGGAGCGTACTAATGCGAATTAAGAATGGTTCCAGCATTTCTGACATTGTCTTAGGACCTGATGAAGAAATCCAGCAATCTCGTTAGAAAACGAATCAACAAATACAAAATATGTTGGTTACTGACCACAATCTGCCCCAGGAGTTGACGACTCTAACAAAGAGTTCATCTTAAAACTGACTGGAAAGGATTTTGAGTACATTTCCACCAACATCCTCACTGAATCTATAACGGTTTCTTTGGTACTATGGACGGATTCTTTCCGAGTCTCTAATGGCGTTTTCTCTTCCCTCACTATTTCTACGTAGGAATGGCGAGAACTTAAATCGTTTCCTATCACCGTTCGTCGATTGGATTGCAGCGTTGGACCTGCACTGAGTTTTTGAACCTCTGCATTTAAATTATCACATGCAGAGATGAAAGCCTCTAAACTTCTTCGTATTTCAACTGTTTGTACATCCCCGAGTAGAACACAAATTCCTTTTACTGTTTGCATCAATGGCGTTGGGTTAACGACGGGTCCCGTGACGCACTCGTTCACTTTATCGTTCAATTTTTCCGATTCTCTATCAATAACTTCTAAAAACTTGGCAATTTCTGTAAAAGTAATGACTTTGGAGTTGCACGTGGGCATGATTTCTTCCGGTAAGATGATAGTTTCCACGCTGTCGTCCACCTTCTGCAACAATTAGTCAAAAAATTAGCATGGCGTAAGAGGTGTATGTACGGTGGATAGCCTTAATTAGGCCACTTACTGGACGAGCCCAAACTCCTTTCGCCAACGAAGATTTTTTTACCAGCACCAATCGGACATCTTCATCAAATTTTATGCATTCTTGGATATATCGGAAATCGATGAGGTAATGTCCTGAATCTAAATATTCGTCGAATCCCTTCACACGAAAGACATGATTCACTCCGCCGCAGTCTTCTTCGATTTGCATTTTTGTGAGCGCTTGAACCACAACGACTTCTACCAAGGCGGAAACCACGTCGCACGTGAAAGTGACGGGCTCCGTTGTGAAAGTCTCGTTCCATACGACGATTTTCAAGCTGAGACCTTCAGCCCAACATTGAGATGGGGCTGTAGGGGATTTGATATAAGAGTGTCTATCCTTTGTTCGAGCCATTCTTACAGATACTGCAGCATATCAAATGGATTAATTAATTAATTTTGTATAGAACCTATTTTTCTTTATGACTGGTATCACTTTTGCTGTTACATTTTAAGCGTTGGAGCATGTCGACAAATGCAATGAGTTCCCCATCGTTTTGAGCTATTTTCTTTAAACTTGTAATATCTTCGTACAACTTGCTGCATCTTCCTTTAACCTAAAAATAAATGCGCATTATTTTTACTCCAATTTTAGCTCTTGGGTGACATTAAAAATTTGTGCATATATTAATGAAATGTTAATTACACTATCACTAGAGCGTCTCCCAGCCTTGGCGGCCCTTACTGACTGCGAGGACACATAATCGGAGGGTCTTGAGGGGGACGGAGGGGCCCCACTTGAATAGGGGGATGCATCATTAGGATGCCAGTAGAAACTTGAGCTTTCGGAGGAAATGGAAACTTGGTACAGGTACTCAAACTGATTGTAAGCGTCATATAGGATTGAAGCGGCGTCTCCAGCATCAGACCCCACCCTGGAGGACTGGAGTGTGTCATACGAGGTGGGAGTGGATAAACTCGGGTAGAGCGAAATGTCCGATTTCCACCCATACATTGATTTCGTCGACATAAGGCTGCTAGGTCCACCACTTTGGTCGGTTTCAGGAGTAGTGGTTGAAGTCGTTTCAGCTAACACGTTACTACTTCTGGTAGTCATATCATCTCGTATACTGGTCGTCCCTTTGTTGGCGGTGGGAGGTTGTTGTTGTTGGGTGGTGGATGAAGGTGGTAGTGGTGGTGACAATTCAGGGACAATTTGTGGCTGTTCTTCATGGTACTGTTGTTGTTGCTGCTGCTGCAGACTTGGTTTGTCAAACAATGGATCGAAAGCTTCCAAAACATTTCTTCCATCATCTTGCCCTAAATCAATGAGATCGCGAATTTCATCCTCCAAATTTTTGTACAAATTCCCATTTCTTTGTCCACCCTTCTTGTATGAGGGCAGTTCCACTGGAACAGCAGGAGAGAAGGATGAGGAGGAGGATGAGCAACTATTTCGTCTACTGACATTATCATTATTCTTAAAATATGAAACTGGCGGAGGGGGAGGAGATTGGTATTTTTGCTGATGATTGTTTTGGTGAGGCAATGTAGGTGGTGGTCTGAAGGTGGAAATGAAATTAAACCCCACATTGTTACTACTCATTGAACTAAAAGGTAACTGCTGTTGACTCGGTGGGATCTGCTGTTGTGGTTGATGGAAATGATTAACATGTTTGACGGTCGTCGTTGTCGCATTATTCTGCAGCGTTGAAATGGGCGGATATAACCCATAAGTTGGAACTACACTATTATTGTTTGCCGGTATCTGAGGAAACCCCAGATTTTGTTGCACTCCCCCAAATTGTCCAAATGGATAAGACTGGCTTCTAGTCACAGTAGATTGCTGCGGAACGTCAGTACCAATGTTGTTCCCGTTATTTGCTAAAACTTTGAGACATTGCGGCACCATGAATCCGATGGGCGGTGGGTGGAGGGCAGGAGGTGTGTAAGGCTTCGACATCACGGAAAATGGCCCTATCACAAAATTTCAAAATATTAATAATCAGCTGGTGATGAACACGTGGTTATCATCGTGACATCTAAAACTTTGCATTTCCATTTATTCTGAGAATATCTTCAAAAAAGACTAATATTCGACCACCCATGACGATACTTCCGAAACGAACATGTGATTTTTTTACACCTGCTGATCATTACTCACCTGCCGCAGGAGGAGTGTGATCCTTTGGGGATGACCACCTTTGCACCTCGGTGCTGAAAGAGTCCAGACTTCGTCGTTTCGCTTCCTCCAAATCCTTGAGGAATTGAATGTCGTCGTCCTCCTCTGGGGCGACCTCCCCCGTTCCTCCCCTGCTCATCCTGCACAACAGAACCTTCAGTCCTGTGGCTGATTATGTATTAAGTGGATCGGATGTTGTGTATTTCTTCTCTCTTATTACATACTTTTTACATACTCTTCTCTTACTAAATTTACGACGAGGAAAACCTAAAGTCTGCGCATAACAACAAGTAGTAAGTAGATTGGATGATTATTATGTCACGTAAATTCCCATTCTTCGCAATGAATGGTACTGCTCCGTTGGGGGCAGAATGATCCCAAGTTCTAGCCCCACCTGGTGGGGGCACAGGATGCTGACTTTTTGTCATCAGCCGGCTCCTTGATGTTTTGAGGGGGAGGAGTCTGCGCGCAGAGAGTGGAATCAGCACCCTCACTCACCCTCTCTCTCTCACATTTCATTATGAGATAGGAAATAGAGAGTAGTGAGCAATATTATGAGTAAGAATCGTAGTATCTTTAGCATAGAGAAATTGTGAATTGTACAAAACTTATCGCGATGACAAGCAACAACATCCCTTCTTTCTAGTGCTAGTCGGTGGTGGTGAAGTAATACCAAAAGACTATATTGAATGAAGTAAACTACTTGTGCTCTGTCCCACTACTGACTGACTTAACTTTGAATTGCATAATATTTGTTCTCTGCTGTGTGTGCATGGGGATTGTTGCAATAAGAGGAGTGCGTAAGTGGCTTCCCTTCTTGGTGGTGCAGTCGTGGTGGTGGTGTTTCGAGTCGTAAAGGGAATGCACAGGGAGCATAGGAGGCCTGCTACGAGACCAAATTCGCTTCCTCTTCCTCTTCTCCATCACTTTCTCTCTCCTCGCATCCCAGGTCAGTCCGTCACTCGTGTCACTCCTCCATGTCACTTGAGGAATCGCTGGGTCTCAAAAAACCACTTCTTTCCCCCCACAGCGACCCCACTTCCCCCTCGAAATACTGGGTCCTCTACGCCCCGCAACAACGCCCCGTGAACAATAGGGGGGTCAACGTACGTCCCCGTCTGCTGAGGGGTGGTGATAAGTTAGTGACATAACCATCAGCCTCATCATCATGAGCTCGTCACCAACCCCCTCGAACGAGTCGCTGGGTGGGGGCAGTGGTGGTGGAGGTCACCACCTCCCTGTGGGAGTTTTGTTGGGGTCACTCATGGTGGAGCCGGAGGTGGGAGGAGGTTTGCTACAGTCCAGCTCCAGCTCGTCGACTTGCAGTTCGTCCATCGCCGCGGTGATGCGGCCTGCGGGGTTGTCATCGTCATTTTTGGGCCCGATTGGAGGACCTCCAAGCAGTCAGTGTAGTGGGGGCAGCAGTGGAGATTCTAACAGGCCGCTGTCACCTCCAGCTGGAGTGGGTGTTGGGGTCATCAAGTGTAAGGTTTGTGATGAGACGTTCCAGAGGCCGAAAGTTCTCCCATGTTTGCACACCTTTTGTGAGGATTGTCTTGAAAAGAGTTTTGAGGATGACCATATTACTTGTCCTACGTGCCGGATGGAGTGTCAACTCAGTGCACAGGTAAAATTCAACCTAAAGTAAAAAAAACAAATATAATGGTTGTGATAGTGAATTTACTTGAGGTGTGTGTGTTTTTTTGCAGGGGGTGGCAGGCTTGCTTCCAGATTATGGGGTGAGCAACTTGATTGAGGTGACTCAGATTGGAGAGGATGAAAATGGAAACAAATGTACTGGATGCAAGTCAGGAGAGTCCATGGCCGTGGCTCGGTGCTACGATTGTTCCAATTATTTGTGCTCTAACTGCGTTATGGCTCATCAATTTATGCACTGTTTCGAAGGTCATCGCTTGATTTTCAACAGCACTGAGGTAGCGCGTTCATAATTATCTCTATTATTTTGTAGTCATCTTTTAGTCCAGCGAAGCATTGTTGAAAAATGTAACAGTATTTGACTTATTTATTTTTTCCATAGGCGTACCCAGAGCCGGTGGTCAAAACCCATGTGCCTTGCACCCAGCACACTGAGGAAACTTTACAGTTTTATTGCCGAACTTGTGCAATTCCAACTTGTATTGAATGTATTGATGCAGAACATCCAAAATCGCATCATGAACTTGAAGTATTATCTGACTGTGAAACCAATTATGTAAAGAACTTGGCCCAATATGTACATGAGGTACAGTAGAAATTAAATTCAGATTGTATGCTAGTTTGCATACCAAGATATAGTAATTATAAGAATACATACATTGTAAATTTTGACACAGTTCCGTCTCCGCTCTCTGGATCTACACGAAGTTTTAAAGTCGTTTGAGTCTGCCAACTTTAGGCTGCAAAATCAATATGCAAAAGCACAAACAGAGGTAAATACATCTTAGCCCAGAATGGCAGCAGCAATATTTAAATATTAACTTTACACTTATTCTAATTTTGATACTCTTGGTAGATTTCTGAAGCATTTACATTCTACCAAAATGTGTTGAACGAACGAAAAAATGAACTGACCAGGGAGTTGGAAAGCATATACATTTCACGTCAGGTAATAGAACTCATTTCTGTTCATACATAGGTAGGTACCCAATATGTAATGCATATAATTGCAATTTTCCTTCTTATTATTGCTTGCACAGGTCGCTTTGTCAGTTATCACTCAACGAGTTCAAGAGACATTGGATCGTATGTATCAGACGATTGATTTTAGCGATCGTCTACTCCGTCATGCATCACCTCCACAAATTCTGGTATTCAAAACCCTTTTGGAGACACGATTCCAGGCGTTGTGGGGAACCGTTCCTGACCCCAATTTGGCCAAAACTGCTGCCAGTGGTGGTGATGTGGAGTTTAGTTCAAACTACTCTGCAATGCAGGTAAGACGACGGGTTTAAAAAAGTGTAGAGGTTGCTTTTTTCTATTGCCACATGAAAATATTTTCACGAGTGTGTTTTATTATGACTCCATCATATTTCTATGAAATTGACTTCTTCATCTGTCCTCCTATCAGACTGCTGTGCGCAATACATTAGGATACATAAGGTCTTCATCTGCATCTGAAATCGTTTCTTCCTTCAACAAATCTGCAATAACTCGTCCGTCTGTGAACAAACCAAATTCTATGTCCCTCTCTGGTCAGGACGCTAATCTAAACTCGTGCAATGCTGTTCTTCACAATTCTGCTGGTATAAATAACCATGTTGAGTTGTGTCAACCCATCAACAAAGTCGTGGACATCAATGGTGGACCTACGCTGGGCCCTGGATTCAACTCGGGTGGCATTTTATCCTATGAGAAATGGTCAAGTGCAGGGGATGGGATTTCACTCTCAGGTATTAATACTATATCATGCTAAACAAGTCACAAAAGTTTACGAGATTTGTCGTTTCTCCTTCGACTTGTTCTACTTTGCCTGTATTTTTTCAAATCCAAATGCTTTTTTCGCTTAATTTTTAAAACTTTATTATGTGATTTACAACATGATTGATTTTATATGAATTTGATGGATGAAATTATTGATGATGCATGGGTGATTGATTGTGAATCGTTATTGATTGACGCCTTGGATTTTTAAGGGCAAACTGATTTCATGCTGGATAACACCAATGACTTTTTCTCTACAAAATCCTTGGTCACTTCGGACTCTGTCTTAGAACAACTCACGTCAAAGTTGATGACTCCACTCAATATAAAAGGACCCACCATTAAGCGTCACAAGATGATTTATCACTGCAAATTTGGAGAGTTTGGGACGGGAGAGGCCCAGTTTACTGAACCTTCAGGAGTATCCGTTTCAGGAAATAATGAAATAGTTGTCGCGGACACTAATAACCACCGTATTCAGGTATTTATTAATTGTAGTGATAGTTGTTTCTTCACACAATCTGCGATGTAATCCGTTTTGAATCTATATAATTTTATATATATGTATTTCAATCAATTTAGATATTTGACCAAGAAGGCCGCTTTAAATTTCAATTTGGCGAATGCGGAAAACGAGATGGCCAATTATTGTATCCTAACCGAGTTTCAGTAGTAAAATTAACTGGTGACATCGTGGTTACAGAACGCTCTCCAACACACCAAATCCAGATTTACAATCAGTATGGCCAATTTGTACGCAAATTTGGAGCAAATGTACTGCAACACCCTCGCGGCGTCACAGTGGACAACAAAGGACGTGTTGTTGTTGTAGAGTGCAAGGTATGGCTTATTATTGTTGCGTACATAACTGAATTTTGGACTAAATTATCCGTTTTTGGAATATTCTAGGTTATGCGAGTCGTAATATTTGATCAACTTGGATCTGTTCTTAATAAATTTGGATGTTCAAAGCATTTGGAATTTCCAAACGGAGTGGTTGTGAATGATCGAGAGGAAATATTCATATCAGACAACCGTGCTCATTGTGTCAAAGTTTTTAACTATGAAGGTGTTTTTCTACGGCAAATTGGCGGAGAAGGAATTACCAACTACCCGATCGGAGTTGGGATAAATTCTAAGGGAGAAATTTTGGTTGCAGACAACCACAATAATTTCAATTTAACCATATTTACTCAAGTGAGTTTACAATTTTCATTTCTTTGTGATTGAAAATTTTGATAAAATGGATAAATTGCTAATTTTTATATACATTTTCTAGGATGGACAATTAGTGTCCGCATTGGAATCGAAAGTTAAGCATGCCCAATGCTTTGATGTTGCGTTGATGGATGATGGTTCCGTAGTGTTAGCTTCAAAGGTATGTGTTTATTATTTTTTTAACTAGATAAATTATTTTATTTTACACCATTTATTACAAAGAACTTGTTACTAATCTGACTTTTTTTATAAATATTATTTGCAGGATTATCGTCTCTACGTTTATCGTTATACTCAGACTGCACTTGGACTCTAGTTTATACCCCTCGTAATAATAATATTTCCTATACAGTATATATAGTGTGCTCGTGATATCCAATTTTTATTAAAAACTCGTCATTGTCCAAAGTTTTTTCTTGTCTCTTGCGTCTTCGTGGCAATCTAAAATATATAAATACTCGATTAATCCTCCTCCTCAAATAATAAATGTTCCGAAAACAATAGTAATTTAGAAAGTAATATTTTTATACCAAATACTCGTACGAGGTTTATTTTTTATTTTTATACAGTGTTTGTTATGTCAAAGTTCGTTGATAGAATAAAGATCGTGCCTGTTACTTGAATCTCATAATGAAACAAAAAAACCATTTTTGTACCTATATAATAATAATATAATAATAATAATAGATTTACTCAGCACTCGAATTAGTCAATGATTTACAAGAATGATCAAACCCTATCTGGTAGGAAATAACTTGATCATCTACGCTATTCAGAATTACCATGCTCATCGTAAGTAAATACAAAAATATTGTTCTACAAATATTTCTTAGACTGTTCAAATTATTGCATCAGTAAATAGTCCCTTAACTTATTTTTGCACATAACCTAACTTATTGTTAGCTCATCCTAAATGTCATTAGGCACTGCATTCCATAACAATATTCCCTTAAAAAAAGGTAAAAATATTAACTCAATAATTCATGATTCCTCTCCTGCTGCTGCCATTGCACATGTTTTTTTGTAAAGATTCTCAAGATATTGTCATGTCAAGACGATGACGACATTGTTTTTGAAACGCGAGGATGAAGGGGTACAAAAAAAGTGGCGAATGTTCTCTTTGACGTGCTACCACTTTTTTCCTCCGTTAACTTCGCAACGCTTGGCCACGAGCTTGGAGTGTGTGTGTGTGTGGGCGACCTGTGACGTGAGCTTTCTCTGGCTCATTCCTTATGAGGAGAAAGGCACGACTTTCCACTCGCTTTATTTACTACTTAGAAAAACTGGAGGATAAAAGCTTTGTCGCAAAAAAGATGCTTCTTCTTCCGTTTACTTCCTCCATTTCCTCATCTGCATTAATTCATTGGGACTTTTGCGAGATTGGCAAATATCCAATTGCCAACAACGTCAAACTTAAACGGATTTTGGCCTTGTATGTAGTCCGCCATAAAGCAATGCAACTCTGATTTAGAGGTTGGTTGTTCTAAATGGTGCAGTGTTTGTGATGTACAAGTGCTCTCAACCCCATAAACAAGCTATCATCACATGCCATCCATGCTCTCTTATGCAACTATCCAGAAGTTTGAATTATTTTATTCTGAAACTCCTGCAAAAAAGTAGTGAAAGGAATCATGGATAATTTAGACTGACACCCACATTGGCCTTTGCGTCAATCCGAAGAACAATCAAGGGCTAACTGTCAACCATTTTTTTAAGTTTATCAGTTGACATAAGACAAGAAACGACTAACTAAGTACTTCGTCTCTGATTTATTATGCTGGATCGTAACATTCGCTTGCCCGATGCAGTATTAAAATTTGTGTACACACTCTGTACACACGTACACAGAGATTTACATCATTTCGAGCATTGTAAAAACCGTACTTGCAATAAAGTAAATGGTGAAATCTTGTTTGATGCGGAACAATTTGCTGGATATTCAAAGTAGTTTTGCAAGAAGGAGCATTTTCAATTTTCTTATTTCTTCTCCCTCTTTGTTCGTTTCATGTCGTTTGTGCCAAAAAGCGGAAGGCATAGTATTCTTGGGATTTGTGTGTTTTGCGAAGCAGCAAACTATCACAAACAAAAAGGGAAAATACGAAGAATTGTTGTTGCTGGAAGTATTTAGGAGTAGAGCAGAGTAGTAAATAATGATGAATTAGTTTGATTAACCAAGTGAAAGAATTTGAGAGACAACATCATTGTCAAATGCAAATTGATATCGGAAACATTAAAGTCCCACAATGGAAAGGGTTTGACCTTGTTAAACTACGATGGGATGACTGCTCTCATTCATATGAAGCATGAAAACGGTATGTTGTTCTCAAACTTTGACAAATTTTCTACGTTCGAAGTCATGGACATGAAAATAATGAAAAACAAGGAACAATGTTTTCAAATTAATTTGAATACTGATCATTTGAAACAAAATAGGTAGCCTTGCATCATTACATTTTTCGCTTATTTCGTTTAAGATTCACATGAATGCAAGTTTTTCGCAAGAAAACACAAGAAAACGGTTCAAGTTCATATACAACCGGTCAATTAGTTGAGATGGTAAAACTTTGATAAAAACTTTTCATGCCGCAAAACAAGAAAAAACAATACCTGTAAAGTCTCATTCTCTCGAGGTGAAGGTGAAATTCTTTGCCAACCCAATTTTGCGTTATTCGATCTGGATACAGAAAAAAAAACGGAGAAAAGGAATTTCACAGATTTGGTCGGGGTAACAAAAACCAATGGAAAAAGTTGTAGAAATGAACTCCTTGTATCTGACAGAGCAACTCTAATGTTGCGTGACGAGGGAGCTGCCGAGATTTCGAAAATGCTCATCTTGATGGAGGCAACAAGCAAGCAAGCAGAGAAGAAAAGTGTGAATTTCTTCGATATGATACATAAAACATTTCGTGCTACAAGGACGTAACGAGCACGAAATCGGATCATTTTATCCGAGAATTGCAAAAAGTTTGACAGAGTCAACACATTCATCAGTTGCCTACACGCAATTATACACCGTTAGCTGCATGCTCATCCATGCATGTAATTTTCTTTACACGAACCACCCATACATTTGCAGCTACAAGCAAAAGTACTCCAATCGGATTATGCACACTTGGTTTCAGGGAATGTGTGGGATGTGCGAGTCTCAACTTGCCTCATTGCTTTCCCTTCCTCACTAAATTTCTCACTTTTCATCCCTCCCCTTTCCAGGCCTTGCATGTCGCTATAATTAAATTATGTTTATTCTCAGTTCTATCTATTATTTCATGGTTTAGGAAATTTTTAAAAGAAATTTATATGACTCATCCAAAATTTTTTAATCTCGATGAATTTTTCCATGCATGAAATAAAAATCCTACATATGTAGATCTTGTATAAATAACCGTAAACTTTTCTTCACCAGCCATGCAAAAGTGCAGTCAGACAGAGAAGAGACATAAAAGATTTCCCAAAGTTCCAAAGTCCTCTGCGACTTCCTTGACATCCTGATTTATCTACGTTGACGAAGATAAGGCTGATATCAGTTGTAGCATCTTGTACTAAAAGCTCAGGAAATATTTATGGTTGTAACATTACAATGACATATCAATTAAATCTGTCTAACGTCCACTTACAATGTCTTAACGTTAAGCGTAAGTGCATCTATGTATGTACGAGAAACAATAATAACGTTGTTTGCCTTCTGGTAACTACACATTTCACGTCTACGCCGTCCTTTAAATTGAGAATTGATTCCTTAACGAAACCGTTTCCTCGTCCATCCAGCCAGCCAGGAAACTACGATTTGTTCCAAATGCAGTAAGAAATGGGGGGAAAAGGATGAAAGTATTATTCTTATAGCACTGCACAAAGGGGATTTAATGCATATGAGACCGAGGACTGATGATATGTCCCATTTTGCCTTCTTTATTTCATTAGGTCACTAGCCTGCCTCCTGCCTGCCTTTCTGCATCACACTTTCTCCCTCGTCCGTCTTGTGGAAGTTTTGCCAAACGATTTAACCAGAAATCTCTTAAGGGAGAAGTTAAAGAGTCGAGAGTCACTATTACGACTATCGTCTAAATCACAATTTAGTATAAAAGAGACAAATAACTACGTAGATTCAGTTTTCATTTGCTCAATTCATTTCCCTCATTGTTCTGTCCGGCGACTTGTGTGATGTGATTTCATGGTACCTCCTCCCACACAATTTGCGACAAATAGGGTGGAACGACTACGACGACCACGACGATGACGATGACCACCACAAAAAATAATCATGGTGGCTGGGTATGGGACCCAAACATAACTAACGAACGTGTCATAATTCTCTTCGAGACCCATGTATTGAAACCTGATGGCTAAAAATTGGAATAGTGTAATTCACTCATTATGCACGATTACTTGTCATTATTGTTATTCTTTTCCATTTCCTTATCACACGAATAATTCGAGACAACTTAGAAATTCGTAAATACGTTTAAATAGTTTAAATAGTGGTTGGTAAATACGTTTAAATAGTTTAAATAGTTCTTGTGAATTTCAAGTGGCGTGGTTTCTATTCTACCCCTTCACAATTTTCCTGTAAGATTTAACTTGATAGTTTGAATTGTGAATGTCATTTTTTCTTAGGAAAGCGTTTCCCATGTTGATCCAGTAAAGCAGCACATCTTGAATTAATTTCTTTCTGACCCGTCCACTCGCTTAGTGCGGTTGAGCTGGCAACATTATTCCCCTGACACACCCCGACTGATAGGGATGACAAAGAAAATGGAACGACGTCTCAGGCTTCAAGAGGCATTTGCTTAGTGGTTGTTCGTATCAGTCGTGCAGCAAACTTGAGGATTTTTAAGGATTTCATTTCGTTTTACTGACCTCAAATTCCAACGGCAAACTACTTTTTCTCCTTCAAGATTGCTCAAGAGTACTGATTGCAGGCTTGGGAGGGAAATTAATGGCTCGAAAGAGAAATTTAAGTTTCTAAATGTTTCTGAACAATGCATATAAAAAGATTCGAGTGCTATTACCCTACAATAAGTTTCTCGTTTGATGTTGTGCGTACTCTAAAAGGACAACTGTCATGCCGCATCTCGTGGCAGTGACATTTGTTTCACTCTTTTAAGTTGAACTAATTTGTCCCCCAAAAAATCAGGACGGCACCAACAAATAATCTGGCCCACATTACACAAATGGCTTCTCTAACTCCTGTGTAATGTGTGTACATACATATGTACATACATAGACAATGGTTATTATTGGGCATGATGCCCACCCCGCGACTAATGATGTAGGCTTTAAAAGTGATAACCACCACCAATGCCCCTTTGATGACGCAACCACTGGTGGGCATTCCTCGACAGACGTCACGTACTTGTATCGTTTTGAGTTGAAGTAAGCACTGAAGCATACAAACATATGCTTCCTTAGACTTTTTAAGTGCAGACATATGTACATAAGCAAGTGCAGTGCATGTAACCGGAAAGTTTAGACTTTTTAAAAATTTTGCATGAATTTCACCAGCAAAATATCTCTAAAGTCAATTAAATTTAGAATATGTATGTTTTAATTGCTCGTCCCACCCCACAAACAAGTCTTTCGTGCACATGACATGGAATTGTGTTACGGGTTGGAACGAAAATGAATCCACCTACGATTAAGGGGAACAAGGGGACGATAAAGATTTTTTCTACGTCTTGATCTTAAAGTGGGTGAAAGCAACGTTGGGTTAGACAATTATTTAGTATCTGGCAACCCACTTCTTCCATCCATGGGTACGTAGTTTACTTTCCTGTGGATGAGCTGGTTTGAATCTGGTTGATCTTTGTAGTCCTTTCTCGTCTCGTATGCACAGCGACTCGATGGGAGAAAACAAGAAGAACATTATGGAAGCCAGGTCCGTGCGCATCTCATTCAACAGATAGATAGGAGAAGAGGAGTCTCGAAGAAAGAGTATAAAAGTGCAGAGTTTCCACTGCGAGGAATAACAGTGAGACGGTTGCTTTCACCCCTTAAACCCAACTACTTCTGGACGACGACAACGCCGACGACGACCACGACGACTCATCATTATCTCCACTTCTCGAACCGCTCACTCTCTGAATAACTATTTATACTATTTCATTTAAGCGAAGCACTTTCTGTAGAATATTCTGGACTCCATTTTGCGACTGCAGTACAGGAAAATTATTTCTCAATTCTCTCATTTATCTGCTGTTGGGAAGGTTGAGACATCGTCATCAGTACTACCTCTTGAAGGTAAGAGACGAGTTTTATTTTGCTTTTTTTGATAGTTGAAAGCTTGAAATGAATCATTTTAGAAATACCAATATGTATTTGCATACCTTGTTGTTAAATCATGAAAATGCGACAAGAGGGACACATTCTATTCTTCCACATAGTCCAACCCAATCTAAGGACTGGTCTCATCTTTCATGTGAATTTTATGGGGTTATGAGACTGCAAAAATTCCCCCTGACTTTCACCAGCAGCATGACGTAGAGTCAGGGGAGCAGATTACAGTTGTTTCCTGCTGGCGCACTGGCGAGAATGGTTGTGGGACAATATCTCAAACATCCTTCTAATGGACCGCTTTAGAAATTGCATTGTACTGAGAACACACCACCACACTCACAAAGAGCCAATAAGTCAGCATGCTTTTACGTTGTACGAAACGGACAATGTCGCAATGTGGGAAAGGAGGGTCGGGTGGTTACACAACTTCCGGTCTCAGATTCGTCGCCTCTTAAATCGTGGTGCTGGTGTGAAGGGTTAATGTCTCCCTCTCTCTGCATGTGCACTTTGCTTGGTAGATTAGGTCAGGAGATGCTTTTTTCATCTCTTTCTTGCATCGAGGTGAACCTGATATCTTTCCTGTTCATGTAAGAACGAGGTCATTTCTCGTTATTGTTAGCACTTTCACGTAGCCCATTTTATGCAATACGTAAGGTTTACTGTGTACTTGTGTCTGATAATTAGATCAAAGGAATTGATCAGCCTGTTGTGTCGTAATAATAATGCGGTTAAAATTAATACCCGTGTTATGAAACTTTGATTGAAATTGTATCTGACAGACTCCCATTTGAGATTCTCATTTGCCCCCGTGCTTTCAAATCCTAGTTCATGTTTGCATAATTTGTTTGTAAATGAAACTAAATTGGTACATAAGTCAATGCATTACATAAAGTTCGTGCTAAGTAATTTTAAACCGTTATTTGTTTCGTTTATGGCATAATTGTATAATTGTGACTCGCTTAATAAGAGCGAAATTTAGACGTGTTGCATACGTAAATGGTCGCATTCATGTGTGTCATTGGCTCTCGTTTATATGGCGAATAACAACCTTTGTTCGATTCCTATTTGTCAAAAGCATTGATCACGAATGAAAGGAATATTCATAGTAATGAGGAAAGTCCTCCAAAACCTAATGATTCCTCCTCTGGTAGCACCAAAGTCGTTTAGAAAATTTGCAAATTCTTTCAAATGCAAGTATTCAAAAATTAATGGTTACATGAAAGCCAAGCATATGTATTCGTCCAATAATGGGCTTCCTCCTTTGCAAATCGAATCTTAATGATTATTACTTTGAACTCTGATGATGCAAAGTGCGAATTGAGAGCATGAATTCTATTGAATAAAAGATAAGCTGGGAGAATATCAGATTCTGAAAATGTCGCCTTTTATTTGCTAAGCCATATTAATTGACTCTCATACTGCACACTTCGTCAAATGTTTGTATGGAGAAATTTGAAGGAGACGTCGCAGTAGGGCACTTCCTTACTTGAGTTGTACATATGATGTTTATTTTATTTTATATTGAAAATGTGATTTTAAGCTCACATTAGCAATTAAATCTAATTAAAATGGCAAAAAGCTGTTTTTGAGTTTCCACCAACCTGCACTTGAACCACATTTTCGCCCTGGCCTACCATTTTCCATTTAAGTAATTAGTAATTAGGATTAGGAGAGAAGAAGGGCTGCATACTTACCTGAAATAACAAGTTTGGCTGTTTATCCAACTTATTTAAGTTTAATAAACACTTATGGGGAGGAAAAGTGTTTTTGTGTAAAAAGTGTTCTTGAAACGGAGAAGAAGGTCTCATTTTCTCATTTTCTCAAAATGCCCATCCTAGATAAATCTTTCCTCTTGAGAGTTGAGTACAATGCTGCTGAGCACTTTATTTGCCACTCATTTCTTCTCCAGAGGACATGAGAGCTTAATTAAGGAAAAGCTTCATTATGAGTTGAGACCATGGAATTAGATATGTGTAGACTGCATATAGATACGTGGTCGTGACAATGTGTCATGTCAGGCATAAGTTGTCTTGAGCCTACTTATCTCATCCGCACGGCTATACAACGTATATCTGTATAAATATGGTGTCAATTTTATTAATGTTGGTTGATTTTTATATGCCTTAACTGTGGCTCATCTCCTTCTCTTCGGCTATGTACTTGCATGTCTTGTACGAGTGGGTATGAAAAACTGACTGACATTTTTCAGATGAAAGTAGATATACGTGACTCACCAGAAATTGTTATGTTGCTAAGATTTTAGAAATGGACAACATTAACAATCGGATAATGCTGCCAGTGATCGACTTTTTCCATTTTATTTCATGTGCGCATATATGTACATGAGCACACAAGTAACTTTCTCTGACCAGCAGACATTGTCAAGGTTAATTGTCCAAGGGCAGACGCTGCATTACATGTATGTACATAAATATATCAGATTACGACCAAAGTCAGCTAATCCTAAGATTAACTTACTCTCTTTTAAGATGCACGTTTGCATGCACATCGTGATAGATTTCTCATCAACTTCTACGATGACAATTGAGATATTCGTGGGATTATTGATAATAACGATAAGTGAAAGTAATTACAGGAATCTATCGACTAGGATTACAGTACTTAGAAAAAATAGATCATGTGATTGCATCTAGTTCAGAATGTAATGTCATCATCGCGTGGAACCATGCCACATATTCTTCGCAATTCAAAGCACTTATCTTGCAGGAAATGTCTCAGGATTTGAGGCAATGTTGTTTTTCGCTCTTTGAGTATCCATTGCTTTTCCCAGCAGTACGAATTGGCTGCGGCCTTATACACGTCGTCCAAGTAGAGGACAGACAACCTTCTTTTTTTACCATCTACCAACGTTGACTCGTTCCAGTGTTCATTCTACTTACTTCTTGTTCCCCAGTTGCATCTAAGGTTTCCTTAGCTGCTTCTTGTGACAAAGGAAGAAAAGTTCTCTCGAGTAGTGTGGGTGTCAGTCCGACCAGAAATGTGGAGATGATCCTTTTATCTCATCAAAACCATAAGTGGAGTGGACAGCAGGAAGCGGGGAAAGTGCCAAAAACAAGTCGAAACAATATAAAACATCAAGAAAATTCTTGAGCAAATAATGCGACAAATTAGCACGCAACACTGATTCGTTCATATATAAATTGGCTAAGTGATAAAGCATCACTTGTGACAAGTGGTTTGTCTCACATTTCAAAAACTGATTTATAATTTCCAGGTGACGAAATCCTCCAGTGTCAAAACTGAAGTGTGGTCAAAAGCATCAGTGAACAGGAAGGAATTGGGTTAACCTATTCAGTCATCAATGTAAGTTTATTAGTCTAATTTACCCTTGTAGACCTTCCAGAATAAGCACGCTACACGAATAGATTAACAAATACATGCTCAACTGGATTAGTTTGCTTTCATTCTTATCAAACATGACTCTCTGAGGATTTGGCAAAACGGTTTGATTGTATAACAATGACGCAAAAGAATCAAAATTCCACATGAGTCGTCCTTTGCAAAATTTATGTTACTTGTTCCATTGAATGCACAAAAAGTAAAAAAAAAGCTGCTTCCTTTTAAAATTTAGATATAAATATATTTAGAAAACATGGTTGCAAAATATTCAGAAATCGCGATTCCGGAAATTCTGACTTTCCCAACAGCATTTCCCCTTAAATTTGAGACAGGAACCTGAAAACAACACCCACCACCAGCACCACTTTCAATCATCAAATATGCTTTGTTGAGCTTTCTCCTTCATGTTGGTCGGCGTGTGTGTAATGAATACATAAATATGTAAGCGATACGAGTGTGATACCTCCCAAGATAAATATGCAGAGATGACTTTGATGAGTGACATATCTGAAAAATGCGGAGGGTCATGTTCGTAAAAGTCATAGCTTCACACAACATCTCATCTCATTATCCATATTTTGGTGGATCTCTCAAGTCAGCAATAATATTTCGAATAAGGCACGAGTAATATATCCATTTCAAAACGGATATCTCCTCATGCCCACGACTCCTGCCAACAAGTCGTTCAAAATGAAGTAAACTGTATTCCAACCACGAAGCTGGCCTTGTCAAAAATATGCAAAACAGCAACTTTGGTCATATTTGAGCATATACCGTACAACTGCTGAAACGCATTTGTTGTTCAAAGTGCAAAATTATATATAAACTGCTTACTCCGTTATGCTTGGTGGACATGCAATTAAGAATGAGTCAGTCATGAAAGTAAGAGAGAAAGTTATTATTATTTCAGATGCATAAGACGTCAATGTGGATGATTGTGGGCTGCATTTCAGTAATGGCTTTCCTACGGGTAGCGTTTGCCTATCCAAACTACCAACCAGCACCCGAAGGGTTCAGGTACTTACGTATTTAATGAATGTTTTTAGCACACGTCGCAAGAATAAAATAAATATTTTCAACGGAACGCGTGTTTGACATACTTTTTTAAAAAATGATGAAATAATGTGTAGAGAAAAATGAAAAAATTGACCATCCAATTTCTGGAGATGTCATTTAGACCATAAATGTCTCAGCCTCACGGTTTTATTCGTTTAGATAACGATAACAAATGAAGATCGTAATGCACGATATAAAAAAGGGTAAAAATATAAATGGACGCTATTTGATACATTTTTGCAGGCCAATGGTGGAAGTGGAAGATCCAGAAGCAGTTCTTGAAATGCTGGCTCGACTTGGACAGAGCATTTTGAGAGCGAAGCATGACGGCTCAAAGTAATTGTCTTTTTGATTTCATTTCCCACGCCCCCTTATTTTCTGCTCTGATTTCATAATCATCAATTATGCAACTTGCCTTGATTGTTCCAAATTAAATCTTATCAACCCCTCATTCAGCAGACCTTTCAATGAAGCTTTCAATAAACTGGGAGCCTCAATACATAAACCACGCCACGAAACAAGCGACCAATGAGGAGAGATGCGTTGTGGTTGTTGGCAGTTTGGGGGAAAAAGCCACTTGAAGCAATTTTGTGGTCATTGAAACAGATTTGAGTTGGTTGCTCTTTCCGTTCGGCATTTACAATTCTATAAATATTAGATGAACTCGATTTTAAATTTTCTATCAACTACAAACCGCAGATGTGCACACACAGTCAGATTCTACTCATGTACATAAATCTTCAATTGGAACCTATCTACGTCACTTGTCCATCTCATCATCATCCTTGACGACTGACATTTGGAAAACATTGAGCAAATGTTTGTTGGTCTTTAATGTGATTTCCATGTTGAGTCTTATCGTATTATTCGTAATGATGGGGTCGCAAAAAGGGAGCTGACTTTAGTGTACTTTGAACGAATCGCTTTGACAGGAGATAGAATCACAGAAATTCTGGGAAACCATTGAGTGTGTGGGAACGTGGAAGATTTTGTAACTTGACATCATCACGGTCATTCTTCCACTATTTATGCTCAGCTCTGAAAGCTATTACATATTTAATCTCCAATTCGATAGGTAAAAGGCATATGCACATCCATTAAAGTAACTGATGCGTAGTTTCACATATATATGTATCTACAGGGTTGTTATGCATTTTAGTATTTGATCAGATCTAAAATTGGAAGCACTACCAAAGTGTTTTTCTCCTTGGAACTTATAAGATTTCAATTTAAGGTTGGAGGATACATAGATTCAAACGTTGAGTTATGTAGCAGAAAAATGGGAGAAATATCAAGTATCCGAGTGACACTTGAGAAACAATTCTGAGAATGCATTTTGTGTCCTCTTTCTCTCGAGAAGTAAAATGAATTCAAAATGTGACATGAAAACTGAAACTAAATTCGAAAAGCTGTAACGTTTTGTGCATATTCGAGTATACTTACGACGTAGGTACTTGGGACTTGATACCTTGTAGGAGAATAAGCTGAAAACCTCTTCCACCCACTCGAAGTGGGTACATGCATGCAAAAACCACTAAATTAGTAATTAAAACGCTACGTGTATAGAATTGGGCTAATTGAACAAATTAAATTTACACAAGATCTGCATGAACTTTATTAAATCAAATTCATTAACAAAGAGTACTCATTATGAGATATTTTATGCTGTGAGCACACAAAATTTAATATCATAATGAATAAGAAAACCATGAAATCTCCCCAACTTTCTCCGCCTCCGTCTCAACTAATGAATATAATTTCCCTACTCAAGTTCCTAAGTGCGCATTTTAATTGCAAAGTTGACCAAGCATTTTGAAACAATTTTGCACGAATCTGCCCAGGCATTAATAGGAAGGAACTGTTTTTCTTCGCACAATTAACTGATGCCAAATAGTGTGTGTAGCCTCTAAGAAAGGCTCATTTTTGAGGACTTGAGCACGATTTCCTTGTTGAGAGTGAGAAAAAGAAAATATCCAGAGATACGATTCCAGTACTTGACTACTTCTCGGATTGGTGTTGGGTTACTAAACGAAGCTCTCTGTTGTTGTACATCCGTGGGCGGTGTATCACACGTAATAAATAGATTTCGGTATAAATGGTTAAAAAACCATACATTTTATAGTAGAAGTGAACTTGTATGCTTGTCGTTTATTTGGTTCATGTCCCTGAATTTTGTAAACTATATTGATGACCCAATTATCACAAGAATAAACAATTTGTTCACAATTCACTCTTACTTTTTCGTACAGTGCCAAACGTGGGCTGGATCTTGGTAAGTAAAAATAAACTGTTTATTAACAAACAAAAAATAGATACTAGTTGAACAAGTCGGCTTTCTCGAACTATTTCAACTCTTCCCTCCAAAAACCTCCCACCAAGATAACCCCTTCTTATCAGTAGTTCGTAGTATTTATCACACTTCCGAACCTCTCTCCAACCAAAGGAGGAGAAGACCCGAGGAAAAACTCTGGCACAAAACAGCATGACTGTCAATCACATAACAAACCGACTCACCGGGACCATTGACCTCTACCAGTTTTTAATTTTTCAGGACTTGGTCGTGGATTTTCTGGAAGCCAGGCTGCTAAGCACATCATGGGTAACTACACAATTTTAATAATGCCGAATAAACTGAATGATCACATAGTTATGACTGGATTATACTTTGCCATCTTAACAATCAGTTGCAAAGATGAAAAAGAAGTTTTTCGAAAAACTCAAAGCAAACTCGCCAATCGTTAAAACTTTATTGTGATGACGCAGATCAATCGCGACTTTCACTTTTCATTCAACTAGTCGAACAAAACTGCGCAGTTTATACTCTGGTCATAACGAAGGCAACATGCCTGACTTGTTCAGGGTAATGACCAATTACTCGTAAATAGGAATGACTAAAATATAAAAAATTTCAGGCTTGGCTGCCGCAAACTTTGCATCTGGTCCAGGCAAGAGGAAGCGGATGGAGGGAGCCTTAGATTACCCAGTGAGCTCTTCAGGCCTCGACGTCCCCCCACTTTCTGGATCAGAGTGGTACAACAAGAGTTAATTTTCCTTCATGTCCATGCACAAAGCATTATTCTGGACCTGCTAAATCATTTATATGGTTGGAGGAGAAGACAGAAAAAGAAGAAAAATATGAAAACTCTGTTGATACAGACATCCAAAATCTTACCAAGTCAACAATTTCACCGCATTTAGTAGTACGAGATGTTAATACTATTGTTATTATTATTATTATTAGATTAGTGGATATAGTAATCATCAATTAATGTATGTATTAGTCCTATCAAAATTATTAATACACTAAATACTACATGTAACAGTAGACTTTCACCGTAATATGAAATCGCTGAGAGTGAGTTCAGTATTCCTGCAATATAAATACATACACCAGCCAACCATAACTAACCAACCAACCAATAAATTGCAAATAAAATGCTTGTAAAAAGGTCTCGTGGAAATATATAAGCACAGTTCTTCTACATCTATGTACCTTCCTTACTAGGGCTACAGTTGAGATTGGAATATCATGAATGTGTAATGCACACATGTTATGTAATAATTTAATATATTGCCATCTAATAAACTGTTGTAGTCCTGTTAGTTGCACATTTAAACTTTCAAATATGTCCATAGATCTAGTATTTTAAATGTCCACAGATATAATCCACGTCAATCAGCTATCAACTAATTACTACTATAACTGACTAACTATGTATTTGATTATTTTATTGGAATCTGAAAATGAAAAGTTGTATTATGCATGCAAACATACATACTTATTCTATATAATCATCACTCTAACAAATTGATACAGGTAAATTACAGGAGGATTTCCAGCGTAGAACTTGAATTTCTTTATATATCTATGAACAGATTGATAATTCTTCTCAATAAAATTCACCCACTGTAGCGTTACGTAGTTACTAGTTGTGCATTCAAATTCATGCATTTCCTTTTTATTAACAGCAATGACACGATGTTCCTCTCATATATTTCCTACAAGAAAATTATGCCCGAACATATTACAGTCAAGGACGAAAAATCTTTCCTTGAACAAACATGAGGACTATTTTCGCGAATCATTAAACTTACATTACATACAAATCAGTAAATTCTTTATGTACATGTATGTATGACAGGTCCACTGCTTTTACTGCATGGCACGTTTGGAGATATGCCCGAAAATTTGGCCAATCCTAATGAAAACTTAAAATTATCATACAAATTTAGTACTTGCTTTGCATACCCCAAATGAAGTTATCATCTGTGTAAAGTCAATTTTTTAAGCTTATGAAATTTCCCCAAATTTAAGAAAATCTCGAAAACTTTGACCTTTAATTTATCTGAAGCAGATTGGAGTAGTTAGATTTTTGTGTAATCTAGATACTATTCTGAATATTTTGAGCTATCAACCTACCCAGAGAACCAGGAGAAAGTTTCCAACAGAATTTGCCAAATTTTTCGCAATATCTCCCAATGTGCACTGCCGGATTCCAAAAATATGTCAAAGGCCAGATCTGATCGTGCTTACTAATGTGTAGTTCGTTTACACTTGGTTGAGCTGGGCTCAACACCTCTGATTGTACTTCTGTACTTACACGAGGCTGTGTATAGTTATGCTGAACAGAAATCCTGCATGTGCAGCGCAGGCAGCGTCTTTCTTCTTCCTCTAATCTAAATTATATCCAAAGATGTGCTCATGTACTTATTTTGAAGACGGGCAACAGGTATGTACATGGATGCGAAAATGTGTTAGATTGCTCTACAAGCCATGCACGTCGGTATGATGGAAGGTATGGATATAAAGGAGACATTTGGTGGTAGTGGTTTCCCCCCGGAACGAGAGGAGAGAACATTAACGGGATCTCTGTATTGAGTATTGATTATATTTTACACGCATGTAAATCCCTCGGTGAAAGCCAATTTTGGATAAGTCAGTTTTGGATCGTTTCACAGCCAGGAACAACGCACAGAAAGGTGAGTCCAAAATTCATCCCCCAAGACCCTTACTTTCCTAGTCTCAAATGCACCCCTTACCACGGTAATCAATCAGGTCTTCTCATAGCACAGCCAAAGATAGCACTACATAATATATTCATCGCATTTTTAAAAGCAGGCTGATGAATCAATGTAAAGAGAATTTGAATTTCTAGCCAGTTCAGCTTTTTAACGCCCCCACACTATACTTACTTTAGGCAATAACTATCACATATAAAAATAACACTTAAATTCTCTCTCACCCAAATTTTCCATACAAAGTTTAAAGGTGAAAGTATTTAGAAAACTTTCCCCAACATGAAACCCACCCCACCACCACCACGTCAAACCCTCATGCAACCCCCACGTCTTTAATGTGCATATGCACCTACTTAACTGTGCACAAACATATGCACATCATTCTTATCAAAACCATACCACTTCATCCACCCCCTGTCGATCTCTGCCTCCCTTCCCAGCGGGACAACACACTTCTCTGAGTGGGTGGGTGGGTAGGTGGGCGAAGGTCTCTTCAGGAGAAAGTTGCAGGCAAGTAACGAGAGGCATGCTCATAGAATTGGCTGGTGGCCGTGGTGAAAGTAGCAGCAGTAAGCAGATCCTCTCTCCTACCATCCATCACGCACACGCTTTTACAGCCTTTTTGAACTAACTTAACTGGGGAGAGAGAAAGCCCAAGGAGAGATTGTGCCGTGCTCTTCCATCCGATGAGTACTCAAGGCCTCCTCAACTAACATTCCATCCACTACTCTCGCCTAGAAATGGGTTATGTGTCCCACTGCGTTACTTTGATAGGTATGCAGAACAACCCATGCACATTTATGATGGAGAAAGTCGTGTAGGAAAAGCAATCCAACAAAACTCAGTGGTGGTGGTGGTGATGATGCTGCGGGGTTTCAGTCTACTTTTTTGTCCTACTCTTCTCTGGAGCGAAATTCGTACATGTTTCTTTTCCAATTAGTTAACTGCTCTTCTTCTTCTCCACTCGCTGTAGGATTAACTAAACTATATTTACTATAAACTAACTAACCAACTAGTTGGGTTGGGGTGATAGACGACAGGAGAGGTTAAATAGCTCGAGTCTTGTGTTTATCAACACCACCACGTAAAAAAAATTGTGCCGTGGGTGGCTTTTCAGTTAGGAGGAGGATTGAAGTTGTAATCGTTGAATGAAGGAATTGTGGGAATTCAACAATCAATCTCTCGTGTAACGTGACAGATAAATAATTCAACAACAATCCACCCGTTGCAGTAGATAGAAGTGGTTGTAAACTAACGGCTTAGGATTGAACAGTGGCTCAAGGCAACCTCAACAGGTAAAGTTGACAATCTGCTCTCTGTGTTTAAAATACAATGATATAAATTCTTGGTGCACTACTCTTTGAGTCGTTATCATCATTATTATCATTCATTACATTACTGTGATAGGGTTAAAGAGGTAGAAAAGGTTCAAGTAGAAGAGTTGGCCAAAAGAGAGGAGACGACGAGACTAGAATGTTTAATTAGCTGCGAAATTATTTTCAATTTATTCGCTTTGCTCTTCTATTCTCTACTCGTCGTTGTCTCGCTTTTTACCATAAATTATTAAGGGATCGTTCAGGTAGACAAGGAAACAAGTGTTTCGGTGGATTGGTTATTGGGTTTATCAGTCGCGTACGTTCATATTTTTCAAGTAGTATACAATAGAAGAAGGTAAGCAGCACGAGAATTCTTGTATTTTTATTTTAGGAAGTTACATTTATTTAGTAAACTGATGGCAAAAGGTGATTGAGTTTATGTAGTAATTAGTATAAAGGTGAAATGACAACAATGCATAATAAGATTCGAGAGGAGAATCAAGACCGGTTATTTATTTAGTTCCTTCGTCGGTATTGTACTGTACGGTTTGCCACTGTTAATTGTTTTTTTTAAATATGTTTTTTTTTACTTTTCAGTATAAGAAAGAATCGTTAAAGATGAAGATAACAGAGAAGGAGAACAGTGGTTGTAATAATCAGCAATCATCATGATTCGTGTAAAATTCAATCCAGATGCTCCACTACTGTTCTTCACATTAGAAACTTGGACTCATCATCATCGCGTCTGGGAAAGTAGTCCTTGAATTTGGCATTTTTTGAGACTGTGCAACTAGGAAAATTGACTGATTTTATCTTATTCACTTATTTACACCGTCGTCCTCCTCAAATATATTTTCTATTGGATCGCTACAATTTTTAATTGGATGAACAAACCGTCTTTGTAAACTCAGGCCTGATATTTTACTTTCCGAATTTCTGCAATTAATCAAAAATCATCATCGTCTCTGGAAAATGGACTACAGGAATAAGTATAATTGTGGATGTCAAACGCACAACAACGACGACCGGCTGGTCTATATTAATTCAGTCAAAATTTAATGATCAGAGGTATTGCAGGATATTCTTATCACAATTAAGTACAATCTTGAAGTTTAAATATATATCTAAATACCTAAATTTATATTTACATGTAGAGGAAAAAATACTTGTACGTAGTTGCTACTACTTTTACTGCGTCCTGTACCGAAACACTGCACACATAGACTGATTGACACTCAATTGCAATATTTCTGTTAAACGCACCACTAGGATATATAATTATGGGCGATGTTGATGACTGGGTTGACAAAGCTGAGGAAGAAAGGTTGGGAATAATCGGTAAATACGACAAAGGCCGAGAAGAAGGAGCAGAGATAGAACCATGGGACGACCCTGCGTTTGAAATTTATCATGTAACCGACCACTATGGATTCATTCAGTAAGAATAATAATACACAACCTAATTCCTATTAAAATATTTGTACAAGATGAAGATATTATTAACTCTATAGAATACACACAACATGACTTATTGATGTTATTATATTGCTTTTAGTGACCAACGTTTCCCTCTTAAATTCAACCCTGAAGAAAACAAGTTTAGATTCGTTGAAGCAGAGAGAGCAGACAAGTGGGTGAAGATGCATGCGAGCTGGGATAAGTACAAAAGCAGTGACAAGTTGAGAAACAGAACGTTTAAAGGAATTCCGAATAAAGTTCGTGGCTTCTTCTGGGGATTATTTCTAGACTTGCCAACAATTAAGGAACAGCAGAAAGGAAAATATGAGGTAGTTAATGAATTGAGATCTAATTGCGAGTTCATTTGGGATTAATTTTTTGGTTGGTCCGTAGGAAATGTACCAGCTAGCAAGACAACATTCCTTAGATGTGCGTCAAATCGACCTGGATGTCAATCGAACTTATAGAGATAACATAATGTTCCGAGAGAGATATGGAGTCAAACAGCGTTCTTTGTTCAACATCCTTTGTGCATATTCAATATACAATTCCGAAGTCGGGTACTGCCAAGGAATGTCGCAGGTAGCCGCACTGCTCCTGATGTACATGGACGAAGAAGATGCATTTTGGGGGCTCTCTCAGCTTATGACACATCACAAATATGGAATGCACGGTAAGCCAAAACAAAAGCGACAAATTTCAGCTAAATTAATATCTTTCATTGGTTTTGTTTTTGTTAAATAGGATTTTTCATTGCGGGTTTTCCGAAGTTAGTGCGTTTTCAAAAACACCATGATAAAGTGTTAAAATCAATGATACCCAAGTTGAAGAAACACTTTGACAAGCACGGAGTCGATGTAGGCTTATACACATTGAAATGGTTTTTCCAGTGCTTTTTGGACAGAGTTCCTTTCGAACTTGGCCTCCGCTTGTGGGACATATTTTTAATGGATGGTGATAGAGTCTTAACGTGTGGAGCGTATTCAATACTCAAAATGCACCACAAACAATTGCTGGCAAAAAAGAATATGGACGACCTGCTCGACTATTTGCAATCGTCAATTCCGAACGACCTAACTATCAGCAACGACAAAGCAATTGAAATCTATCAACGCTGCTTAGAGGATTTGCAAAGAAAGAAACTTGACGTTGCAGGAGACGTGGGCGAGGATGAATTACCAAAAAAGCCGTTTGGATTGATTGAGAACATTGTCAAGCCCATCCCAGTCAGAAAAGAGCAGCGAATTTCTATGCGATTGAATCGAACCCCACCCATGGCACAGAAGGAGCTTACTGACAACAGTGAATGCGAAAGTCGCGAAGAAGAGGATGAGGATGCATCGTCAGAGAAAGCTTCTGCATCTCGAGTGACGGTCACATCCGCTGCTTCTTCTTCAATGGCAAACTCTCCTAGAAATATTAGTCGTCCACTCTCTAGTATTTCCAACTTCTCCTATGCTTCTGCTATTGAAGATTACAACTCTTCAAACAAGTCAACCCCATTGAAGATGAATGGAGTATCATCGTCATCTAATAAATCCAAAAGCAGCACTGTCCACAACTCGGATTACAAGGTGACATCCGTCGGATACGGCTGGTATGAGTCTAAACCGGAGCGAGAGGAGGAAGAAGACGAAGAGGGATCAATGGAAAATGGGTCTGTGGAAACAGTCGAGTCAGTAGAGTTGATGGACACCCAGATAATTAGCGTGCATCAAGGTCCTCAAGGAGACTACTCTACCGGATACTCTGAAGATTATAAAGTTTCTTTTAAGACTGGGAAGGGCGTACGGATAAATAATGAAAGGAGTGGTCGGACGCCTCCGCCCCCTCCAGCACGATCTCTAGACCCCAAACCACACCCACCACTTTCAAGCATAATTCATTCGACCACCATTCCAGTGGTGGAAAGTAGTAGTAGTATGGGCAGCAGTAGTCACAACGGTGATAAAAGTATTATTAATAGACGGGAAACAGCGGTCGTGTCGTCGGCTAGGCTTTCATCATCATCATCATCTAGGTCAGCCGTCAAGGAGCACTCAAAAATTTCCCCCATATCAGACGCACCCTCGTGGTCGTCATCTTCAATAAGCATTCCAAGTGGTGGAGAAGCTGTTAGAATACATGTGCCATATAGCAACTCCAATGACATTTCAACTATCCCTGTTTCAACAACTCCTGTTCCTGTCACCCCAAGAAGCAACTTTGATACTCTAAAAAACGACCCTAACCGTATCAAAATAGACATATCTTCGAAATAAATAGATCTATATACTCCGAAACATACATACATAATAACAATATGTAGACCGTACAATAACCAATATGTAAATCTATCATGCTAAATACATTTTACCTCAAACCTGAAGTCTATGACCTAAATTCCTATTTCATATTCCAAATGGCATCCTGCTATTACCTAAAATACTTACTTAAATTTAATCCAACCAATGCTTATGCTTAATTAAAAACATTCGACATATCGTGATTGAAACTTACATAAGGGCCTCGTCCGTTTTATGTTAATTTCTATAAGACTAGGAGCTATCTCAATTTTATGTAAATTTCCCAAGGAACCATATCTTTTTATGTGAACTCCTCAAGGAGACACTTCAACTTTTAACGCAATAAGTTATACTCAGGGTCCTTTGACTGTTTCCTTGGAGGATTTCTAGACAGGGTCATGTCAGTTCAAAAATTCTCCAAATTTTTTTTTGCAGATTTTAAAGTTTGGGAATATGCGCTATTTTTGCTGGGAGAGTTTGGTTGTCAAGAAAAATAAAATATTTTATAAACCGTCGTAAAATGACAACGATTTAATTTAATTGCAAATTAAAATAGTTATAAAATAATTGAACTAGAATCGGTATCAAAAATGGTACCTATCAATTTTTCACATGCACTTATGACGTTTTATAGAATATTTTATTTTTCTTGACAACCAAGCTCTCCCAGCAAAAATTGCCGTATTCTCAAACTTTAAAATCTGCAAAAAAAATTTTGGAGAATTTTTGAACTGACATGACCCTGTCTAGAAATCCTCCAAGGAAACAGTCAAAGGACCCTGGTTATACTGATATAGAGAATTGGACCGAATAAAATTGTCTGTATCGGCGTAATTATAATCTTGCGCTTAATTAAATTATTCTGTTTGTTACTTTCCTGAAAAATTGTTGGTTTTTGAGAGATGTCCCGAATTAGAAATTAAATTACACCAAATGAACGAGGCACCTATGGAAGCCTCAGTAACGATACATTTCTATTGATGAACTACTAACTAGACTTCTTGATGATGATAAATCTATTTACTATTAAATACAAGACGCAAAACTACCTGGATTACATGATAGAATGAATAGCTTAAAATTTATATAGTATATAAATTTAACAAGGTGCTCGCAATCGTGTAGATCCAAATTTACTATTATTATTATGATTCATGTTAATAAGTACTTGAGTGTGTAGAAACAAAGAATTATGTACCAGTCATATTGCAATAAGTATGATTACACATTTATTTCAAAACACTTTGTATTATTTATTGATTTTATAGCAATAAAATACACCACAATATCAATAACGAACAATATATTTCTGTACGTTTTCATATCATTGTAATAATAATAGTACAAAAAATCAATATTCGTTAAATTATTATAAGAACTTGAAAAATGAAAGAAAATTCGAAAAAAAAACTTGGAACAGAAATTTTAAAACTATCTGAATCAATCAACGGATAACTCGGACTCAAGGGATGGGATCGGCATACACTCGATCTCTTCACATATTACATTGTCTACAAACTCAACAACATGAGCAGTAGGCTCACAATTTTCATCAAATATTAACAAAATATATACACAATCTTTATCATCAGTCCTGAAACAAGTCGAAAATGCATCGTAATAATATCAGCCGTAAAATATTATAATTTTTTCGTTTTGGAAACCAGCGCAGATAATATGATAAGCTGCACCAATTGCGTCTTTTCGGAGTTATGTAGACTGCTCTGCTGACCTACTATGTGAAGGAAATTAAATATTCCTTCCAATGGTTACAAGAGTTTTTTTTATTAAGTTAAGGACCCTAATAAATCCAGTGGTTCAATTATAGGAAGGGGATATTGTGGGGGCAAGGCATTTGTAAACATGGTAGTAGATTAATAATTTGCTCTATAAAGTTTACGGAATCATTACAGTTGTTGAAGCTCCAAAATAAAATTATCCTTACACCGTTGGGGGTGTGTTACTGGGTGACTTGGTAGAATGTCTGTGTGTAAGGAGAATGTTATCCAAGACCTTCAACCAACGTCTTATGATTCTTTTTCTGTATTACAAAAGGAGTCTGGCAAAGGTATAAAAAATTTAATTTCAGCAGCGTACGTAATTTAGCGTTTTTGATTGATCAATCTCGATAAAAATAACGAACCCGGGTTTCGTTAAAAATGTACACGGAAAAAATACAGGACGGAAAATATTATAGATATATGTGTATATATATACGAAATAATAAAAAATTACATAAGTGACCCCTCTGTTGGATCGCTACTGGCGTGATGTCCGCTGAGATCATCCTCCTCATCGTATCCTTCCCCTTTGACAGATCCTGAATGAAATCTTCCACCATCCCCTCGAACTCGATTCATGGCATGCTTGTGGCGAGATTCGTGAAGGTATTTCTACAAAGGTTGGCATAAAATTATTTACTCTCCAAAGCTTGCACATTATCTTGTATAATATTAAACAAGGTGACTAGCTTACTGGTCGCTCCTTTGGAATTCTTCCCTCCTGCTCCAGTCTTGCTCTGGCCTGGCGTCTTTTTAGTATTCTATGATACTGTTTCGCATTCACATACAAAGGCTCCTCTTCCAGTAATTCTGTAGGAGTTTGAATAGGCATCCGCGCAATGGGCATTCCTCCCGTCGATTGTACCATCTACAAGATTCATCATCATTTCTTGACTTAATTGTTCAAGTTGTTGTTATTATTATTCTGAGGATAGTTATTTCTTACAATATTTGAGCCGCCAACCATCGAGGTTGGTAATGTTATCGTAGACTGACCCCCACCACTTGACGTATTGATTGGAATCATAGATCCGTTAATTCCAAGTAAGGTATTTTGTGTCGCTTGTTGACTATTTGACCCATCAACATTTACCGGCTGATAGATATAAGCTTGTCCGTCCGCCGTTTGAATAATTTGTGCTCCCTGCAATTAAGCAATGAATCATAAAACAGTCTTGACAAGATTTCCTTCAAATATCAAATAACAAACCTGTATATTCGTAAAATTTCCAATCGGTAAAACTTGAATAGCTTGAGCTAAACCCGGCTGACCAATTGTTTGGACCATTATCGGCTGCTGTGACTGACCAGTCGAATTAACCATCTACACACACACCATTATTTGAATGCTAATTATTACACATAGTTCCTCAACATAACCACAATCTAACAAAAATCACAATCAACTCTAAATATTACGCTTATTCTCTCCAAACATCACCATCAAAACCCTGTACCTGTACTTGCGGCGACGTCTGAACCACGGTCAACTGCTGACCGTGCTGCTGTTGCTGCTGCCCATCCACGACATGACTAGTTGTCGTCGTCGTGTGTATATTATTAGTCGTCGACGCCATTTAACTTACTTCTAAAGTATTTTAAATAGAAGAAAACGGATTGTTTTGGAACAATGAAGAAGCACACGGAGGAAAAATCGGACATTTGCTCAGCAGATATTATTCAACAATTCCCTTCTATCGTTAGTTGTCAATCACTCGACTGCAAATACCAAAACATACCACGACCGACCGACTTTTTGGAACCCGGTTCAAGAGAAAACCCAGCACCACCACCGCTTCTACAACAACCCGCTTTCCCAACTTTCACTGCTTTCTAATTCACTCGGACAATCGGACGAGGTTCTTCTTCTTTCAACTAAAAACCGTCGTGGGGCAAGAAACTACTAAAAATGCTGCTGCCACTTGGGACCATCCATCCATTCCGTGTGGTTCCCCCGGGTCCAAGGTTATCATGCCCAAATGCGACCAAGATTTAAGGAAGGTTAGATTTCGACCAGGCCGTGGGTGTGGCGGAGGGTGCGTGTGAGCCCTTGGGAGACAGTGGCGAGGTTGAAATAGGCGGAGAGGCGCACCACGTGAACTGCAGTCAGAGGATCTGGAGGCAATTTTACAGTGTGATATGTTTATTTCACTTGGGCAGCAGCAGGAGCAGCAGCAGCTCTTCTGTCTGTGAGAGTAGTGTGTGATTGGGATGGAGTTTTAATTTTCAGTGTGAGACCGAGAGAGAGGTCTCCGTCAAGAAATCATCAACATCCATCCAACATCCGTCCAAGGGGATGGATTCATCAATAAATAATTATAATAAGAATAGTAAAAGTGTAAATTTGCCGTGTGTGTGTGTATGTGGACGGAAAATAAGATAAATTTTAGTATTAAAGACTAGGTAAAAGTGGGTGGACTTAAAGACGGAATTATGACACTTGGTGGCCAGCACTCCCAGTCAGAGTCCGTCATGTTGGCTTACAACAAACGGAAAGCGCAGTTGGACCGATGGAAGGAATCGGAAACGGATAAGGAGAGTCATGAAATCAAAAATCGACCTAAACGGGTCAAGTTCGCGGATAAGTGTATTTTCCAAGCGGCATGTGCAGCCAATGATAAGTTGCAAGTGGCTAAAATGATCAAAGATGGGTATGATATCAATGCCGTGGATGAGGATGGGATCACTGCGCTTCATCAGGTAAATTATGCCATTTATTTCCTCTCTACGGATCCCATATACTGCATATATTATCGTTATGAATAAGTGTGTGAGATCCTCCGGAGAAACTTGTGAGAGCGGAAAGGAAATATTATTCTATCAATAGGGAAATGTGCTTGAAGAACAGACGTCTCTAAATTTAGAGTTCATGTTTAAACTACAGACTCCTTTTTCTCATTCCTCCTTCCACAGCCAAGAAAGAGAGAGAGAGAGAGCGATGATGTTATCCTATCTTGGTGGCATAGAAAAGTAGGAGCAATAGTTTTCGAACTTTCTGATGGTGAAAAGTGTGACAGTTTAGTGGTTGCTCGTCATCGTTGAAAGAAGAACAGATGTATGTACTCGGCGTCGAATGCGTTTGGCACATTTTTTAGCGTAGGATTTTTATATGCATAAATTCTGCAATTTTAAAAGAGGACCTGAAAGTTAGAGTGGTACCCTCCGAGTATCTGGTCACAGTTTGATTTTTTTCTTGCGAAATACTTATTTTTCATTAAAAAATTATTTTATTTACTTATTCATTTTCTACAGCGAGCAAAATAAATTCAATAAAACAATGCATAAAAAAACCTCTACTGCTTTTTTATGGGTCAAAAAAAGTTTTTTAGGGGCCTCCTCACAAATTCGGATTTGACGGGTGACTCTCGGATAGTATGTACATTAAATGTACATCTCTAGACTCTCCGAGAGTATCTGCACATTGCAATTTATTGGTCCACTCCTCTACAAGAGAGCAGACAAGTGTGATTCTATGCAAATGTGGTGGGCCTGTTGTGTTGTTATCTCATCATGTTGGCAAGGAATTATTCAGAATTAGCAACAAATATGCAAAACTAAAAGTGTGCTGAATGCATGGTTCTTATTTGTTGGCGAGTGATGATGTACCCGGGCAATCACCGTAAGCAAGAGCTGGAGTCGGAAACCGGAAAAGCATTTCTGCATTGAGCACTCTGAAATTCAGTCGGACAGACTTTCATTCATTCTGGTGTTGCATTGCACTGCGTCTCCTCAACTCGCCTCCTTTGCACATACACGGTACGCAACATGGCGTGAAAGAAGCTTTGAGGTTGAGCCTCAGTGAACTCTTGGCTATCCCTTTGTATGCCAACCAAGATAATGTGTCGATGATAAGCACTTGCCAAAATTGCATGTACGACTAGCCATTTCTCCCCGAAAGACGACTCCGTGTACACAATCCTTGAGGCTGGTTTGTCATTGGCAATTAGTAGATTCGTGATTGATTACTTTAGATGCAAGTTTAAATGGAATGAGTAATGAATCTAGAACTATGTGTCTAGTTTGAGACGAGAGTAAATATATTGCTCTTTTTCCATTTTCTAACTTTTATTCGGAATTAGGAAATCTTTGAATGATACCGTTTCACCGAATGATCCAAGTTTATCGTCATCACGAACCTTGAAGGAACTGACGCACGGCTTCATTCTGATTGATATTAAAAACCCGAATGTCATGTTTATTAGAAAGCAGCTGCGTCTTCGTCGTCAATAAGAAGACAGAGGCGACGTACGAAATCTAAGCTTGGTGTACATTCGTTTTTGAGACTTGATTTGATAGGATCTTTTAAATGCCAATTACAATAAGAAAGTTAAAACACGGAGCACATATTTACTGTTCCTCTGTACTTATCTTGCATGGGCGGAACCGTTTGATGTGATTCAGCGAAAGAGTAATTGACACCTCCCGATCGCAATGTGATAAGAAAATGTTTTCTTGTCCTTCTCACCACTGCATTTGCATCTTATGATAAGCGATACATAAATAACAGTCAACTTTACGATATCCCCAATGATTTCAACCTTCGATTCATGTTGTCAAAGCACATTAAAAAAATGACATGGGTGTGAAATATGGCAATATTTTTTATTGCGAAATTATTGCAAACAGTTGTACATTATTTTACAGCAAACTTTACAAGTAAACAAAAATGCACATGTCCTTTTTGACTGTGCCTTTCAGAATTACATAAAACTTGGTGTACCGCGAAGCAGCCTGGTTATCAGTTTGTAATCTTTTCTAAAGCCAGTTTAATTTTTATACGTAGGCCTGTATTGAGGACAACTTGGAAATGGTTGAGTTTTTGCTCAAGCATGGTTCCGACGTCAATATAAGTGACAACGAAGGCTGGACTCCTCTCCATGCTGTGGCTACCTGCTGTTACGTCTCTATCGCCAAGTATGCAAATTTATTTATTTGACCGATAAGCCACATTTCCATTGAGGTTCATGTTTACTAAATACAATATCTTATCTATTAATCAACAGAGTGCTACTTGAACATGGCGCGAATGTCACTGCGCTAAACAACGACTGCAGTATACCGCTAGATATTTGTAAAAGCGACGAAATTAGAGAAATATTCATCCAGGACATCAACGCCAAAGGTATGAAGCAGGGTCAATATTTTCAATGTTGTATTGGTAATGTTCAATAGTGTATGTTTAGTATCGCAATAAAAATATTTATTATTGTGTCGTAATATACAGGAATCGATTTGAAGGAGGCCAGACGAGGTGAAGAACTGCGAATGGTAGAAGACGTCAAGCGCTGGTCCAGCAATGGTTATTCCGAAGAACCCCATCCAATTACTGGTGCGACGGCGCTTCACGTTGCCGCATGCAAAGGTTACATCAAAGTTCTAGAGTGAGTTATTTAATTGAAAACAAAATTGCAGATTGAACAATATTTAACAATAAATTTCTTATGTTTTTTTAAAATTTTGCACAGTCAAATTATCAAAGCCGGTGCGAATATCAATGTAACAGATGTCGATGGTTGGACTGCATTACACGCTGCGGCACACTGGGGTCAGAAAGAAGCATGTGAAATTTTATTAGAAAATAACTGCGACACTTCAATTAAAGATAGCTGTGTAAGTAGCAAGGAATGTGTTGAGTTGGCATTCATGCACCATAAAATTTTCTAATGAAACACAAACAGAAATTATTCTCATTACTACAATACAGGATCAAACAGCGCTAGAGATTGCTGATAGTAGTGTCCTTCCAGTGTTTGAACAGTTCAAAAGAAAGCGTGACATTAATAAAAACTTGGAAAAAACTACGACCAATATCCACTTAGTCGGCCCAGTGATTCAAATCCAACGGTAATATTTAATTGGCTTAACAAATTGGTACGATGGCATCTGTTTATTCACGAGAGATTCCTGTCTGTCTGTTTTAGAAAACCAACCGAGAAAGACAAACTTCGAAAGGAAGAGCCTGTAAAAATCATCCAAAGCGATACGGAAATGACCGAGTCAAATCAAGGTAGTATATTAATCTTACGATAAATATGTTAACCTCGATTTGCCTAATGCTGATTATATATCTTCTTTCTTTCTCTACGTAACATTAAACTTTAATATTTCATTCTTATAAATTTAAAATTAATTTCAACTAAGCGCATGAGTGAACTATAGAGTGAAAAAGCTAACCTCCTTTTTGCGGTTTGTTCTGTTAGCCCTTCTACCAGAACATAAATCTGCTGCTGATTTTGGAGAAAAATCGAAACCTCTAGCAGCCAATTTATTGCCTCCTTCCCCGATTTCAACCTCAACAGCCCAAATAATACCAACGACGTCGTCATCAACTGATACATTCGTTACCACTGCGCTTCAAACGTACCCTACTGGACAAGGAGAGGAGAGTATGATGACATCAGAAGAAAATTCTCCATCCTGGCGACGCACTAGTTCGCTGCGTAGTAAAACTATAACTGGTAAGGTTTAATTATTTGTAGAGATTTGTAGCGGTGGAGTTGCATTGATTGGAAGTTGATTTGTTGTTTTGAATGTGTTGTTTCTGAAATTCAAAAATATCAATCTATTATGAGTGACTCGGATCAAGTGTTGTATTTATTGAGAAATTATTATGATTCACTGTTAATACTTAGCATCAACAAAATATTTGTAAATGATTACAGTCCCCGGTGAAGAAGTTGTAAAGGAGAAACTACCTGTGCGGCGAACGAAAGCGGAATTAATTTCCACGACTGATACCAGTTTAAGACGGGCGTACAGCTTTGAGTCTGATCCCAAGTACGTTGACATTTCAATTTTATTTTCTAATCTCTTAACGTATATATGTACCATTCTAATAATATATTGCGTTATGGTGGCTTTTATCATGTGGGAGGCGTTTAATACTACTATCGTACTTATTGTTTGTGTGGTATTGCTGTTGCTTGATAATTCAGTGATTTTTAATTCCGCATTAATTAATTTGACATAGATTCTATACAAGACTGCGAGATGCGCGGAATCGAATTAAGGCTAGCAATTCCTCTGCATTGTCTACTAATACAGCGATTCTCGAGCACATTCCAACCGTAACCTCTCCCACTACTGCTAGTCGCATCCTTCCACCAACAATCCCTACTCATCCGAGTTCCCCACTACTACCAACGTCTTTTAACGAAATAACCTCATCAACTGATCTTTGTACTACGAACAATAATAACCAGTGTGCTCTAATTACCTCCAAATTGCAAGAAGGGTTCGAGGGGGGAACTGTGCCCACTCGCTTTACTCAAAACAGGTACTATTACCCTAATCAAGCAAGAAAATTTTCTTGTGTGCTCACCCCTTCGGCTGAATTAAACATGATATTTAATTACGCATTTTTTAATATCACGAGTTATTTAACCTTGCTTATTTATTATGTGTTGCCATTAAATTTGGACATTACATTTTATTTTATGATCCTCTTGCTTTTATAACAGGACTAAGGACGCAGATACTGTCAATGCAACGACTACCGGCTCGCCAAGTCTGCCAAATCGTGGATCTCAGCAAGATGTGAAAGTCAGAAGGTACACATATTTACATACTTGTAATAAGTACAATATATACTATTTCTTTAAGTTCAAAGTTGCAAAGATTTTGTCGACGTTGGCGACATTATATTATAGATACATAAGTAAATATGTGTTGACATACGTATGGGTATTAATATGCACACATCATCATAATTTGCTAACGTTTTCTTCTGCTATTTTGTTGTACAGCAGCAATGATGGGCATATTGTATATGGAAGTGCCAAAGTTCCTGGTCCAGTTTCCAAATTCAAGCAGTTTCTATTCAAGTTCGTCGGTTGTTTTAGAACTTATTTCTGTGAAATGCTTGTGGTAGTTTTGTAGAAAAATGTCGCCAGACAAATTTGACATGGGTTAATTTTTCTTGTTATCAAATTAATCTATTTAGTGATTTGTTTGACATGTTCACCTCTTGTTTTATACACCTATGGCGATTCGACAACGCTGATATATGAAATGAAATAGGTTGGGCGATTGGGATGACTTAAGTCAAAACCAAAATCTAATTCTCGTATCAGGGTACGCATTTTCATGCTCAATATAAAAATTGTGTACGTGATTACCGTAATGCAATCGACCCCCATGTCATGTTTTCTTGCGTTGTACATTTCTGTCTTGTGTCTCGACAACTTCTTCACCGGCCCTGTTTCTAGACTAAAACAAGTAGGTGCAAGTTCGTAACCTATCCATCCAAAAACAACAGTGTGTTACTGTGTGGCGTGTGCTTGGTGGTAATGGTAACTGATTTGACAACGAGGAGGAGGAGAGAGATTTCTGAAACTAATCTTGTGCATCTAATTAATTAATTAATTTTGATATGATAATAACATTTTGATGTGCCGTGTCATGCACGACGTGGGAAGCATCAAGTTATGGAATTGATTTGTGTTTGTGTGTTTGCAGATCGTTTGTTCCTCCTACTCGTGACGAAGAATCAGAAACACAGCGAAAAGCCCATGCAAAACGTGTTAGAGAAACAAGAAGGTCGACCCAGGGCGTTACGCTGGAGGAATTAAAGTAAGTCCATCATGAATTGATGTTTTTGTTTGCGGTGATATAATGTCCGTCTTATGATAACCGAATTTTATTACCAATTGATCAGATCTGCCGAACAGTATGTTAAAAACAGCTTATTAGGAACCGCCGCCGTAGCATCGACGGAGCAGGTAAGTTTCGAAGCACCACGAAATACCTGTACCGAGTTTTGCTTTTAACCAAATATGCACCTGTTATTAGGCTACAACTCCTGTTCCTACACCAGTACCTGCAATTGTACCCACTTCTCGTAAAGAGGATGAAGCCAGCGTTGAAAGACGCCCGTCCTGGCGATTACGAATTGACGAAACGGATCCCAGTAAATTTTCTCTCGAGGACACGAGAAGTTTGCCCCCTACTAAAAACAGTGGCTCTGGTCCTGATATGGCCGTCCAACGCAGTTCCTCTCTGAGAAATAGAGTGGCGAGTAACCGAAGTGAACACGGCGTTCATGGCAAACCTCCAAAGCCTCCGGAAGGCACTGAAATGCAAACCAACAAGAACGTGACGGAGGATGAGAAAGAGAAAGACATGAAAAACTCTGGGGCTCAAGGGGCAATCCTTCGAAAGAAGAAGACAAAGCGACGTTCGACCGGAATTGTTCAATATAATCAGGATGTAAGTGTTTTAATTCACTATTTAAAAATATGAAATTTGTTACACAATGTCCTCATGCCGCATGTCGTCAACACAGGGGACCGAGATCTCTCAGGCAATATCTAGCAGTGACATTGAGGTTTGTAGCATAATTTCTGCACTTGCTTATGCACATATTCCATTTTGCTTCTACATATTGCTTAAATGGGTCAATGCACAATAGCTAATGATGGAAGTAGATGATATATATGGATATATATGGTGGTATGACTGACTTATTAGGAGGCGTCGGAGTGTAGTATGGTTTTTTCTGCGTTTATTCCAAATCCAGCAGTAATCCATGAAAATGATGAGGAAGGAATGCATACTAAATAACAGCGTGTGCGTGACGGGCGCTAGAAGCAAGACAGGCATGCTTCTCTTGTCATTTATTGCTGGCTATTTTAGTTCAGTTTAGGAGATTATTATTATGCTTCTGTTGAATGTTTAGCAGATTTGAGCATGTTTGGTTGTCTAGCAGTAAAAGAAGAAGAGAGAGTCGTCAATTTTCAAAAGAAAGCCCCTCCGCTCTCGGACATGTGTATTCTTTTGTTGCTGGCGTTCGAGGGTAACATCAAGCAAGTGATGATGATACCAAAATAGACATTCATACACACACGGGAGTTCTTATGTGTATCAGTATTATCTGTACGTGTATGATCCTCCTCTGGCTCTCTCTCACCGGAAACCCCTATAACGTTACGTAAGCAAATACGAGAAGAAGTTGTCTGACTTTCCTTGAGTCCCAATATAGAATACTGGCTGATGATTCCCCCACGGTCATATCCAAGTTGTTAATAGAGATAGGTGGGTAGGTGGTAGGTCTGACATTAGACACCACGGTAATTGTTCACATTGAGAATGCAGCACTGTTTTTCTTCATCTTTCGCCTATTCATTCCTCGCTGCAGTTTTCGCCTCCTCTCAAAATTTCCTTGAAAATCTCGGTTGCTCTTTATTATCGAAGGCGGTTGTGAGTTACGGGGTAGACGGTAGCGCATGTAAGTAGAAAGCTCCAATGCTCATCGGGGTGACCAAGAGGCTGCACAGTCTGTGATGCTGTCTTGAATATCATCACAAGTGGTGCAGCAGCCTTTCATAATTGCTTCTGATGTACACACATATATAAACTTTGTGTCGCTATTTATATCGTGGGTTAAGTTATATTTGTGCCGTTGTTGAGTACGAGCCTCTTTACATTATGATATTCGAACACATCTCTTGATCTAACGGAGAACGGCAATATGTCAAATCGGACAGACAATTTTCTCAAAGGAGTGCAAAGTTGTTGGGGACGGGTTTCTAAGTTCATATGTGACGCCACGATTCTAGTGATCAAGTGTTTGGGGCCTGCATAGCTCTGTGTGGTGTTGCTGGCGCTGGTGCACTTCAAAAAATTATTTAGTGGTGATCATATACTAGTCCACATTCAAAATGTCATACTCTGGGAGTAATTGGTCCAGATATTCGTCGTCATCGTCTCCGTCGTCCTTTCCGTTCATTTTTTCTTCTGATCGCAATTCTTCCTCTTCAAATCACAGCAGCCGAGATCAAGACAGTCGAGTTATCCGAGACACTCGAGGTGCTCATGACCTATCTGCATATAATCGGCACCATCGAGTGTCGGGGTCATCTAATTCATCCAACTCCCCCTCAACATCATCCAGCTACTCAAGCTTAAAGTCACATCCAGCCTCCTCATCTTCTGCATACTCATCAAGAACGAGTCCTGCCAGTTCTTCATCTGGCTACTCGTCCTCCTCTGGAAATGGGTACATGATGGGTCATTATGTCGTGTCCCCCATGAAATCCTCTGGAAGAGACAGTAGTTCATCTGGTAGGGACGCTACTGACTACCGTTCCAACAGGGCAACCAAACCAAATGGGTCCTTGCCATCCCAATACTCTCGGCTTACCAGCCATCAAAGAACATTCAGTGGTACATTTGATAGAAAACCAACATCATCTCGCCCTTCTTCACTGTACGACACTAGAGCTATGCGCTCTTTTGATTCCGAGTACAGTCAAACCCCCTCTGGTCAGCACGCTGTTGTTCATCAATTGACCATTCGGCCGAATGTGGACGACTCTCGCAATAATAAGTCATCAAAACCCATTGGTTCAGCCTCAGCCCGAATAGAGCGCCAAGGGAGTATTTCCAGTATGAAGAGTTTAAGTACGAGCAACGGTACTGCTCGTAGTAGCCCCAAAATGTCCTCTAACGCCTCCCAAACTCCGAAAGAGAAGAAGGGGTTGTTTAACCTCAAGAAACGGCTCTCGGCAAGTTTGAGTTCTTTGGTCTCTTCGCTGGGCTCCTTGTCCTACTCGATGCAGGATCTTTCCACCTCTTCGGCTGATATCAGGGGGATATCCACGCCTTCCCCTTCCATGCAAAAAATTAATTGTCCTTTTGACAACGACGATGATGATGCTGAATATTCCGATAGTGTAAGTTATAAGTGGAGTGCACATTCACACATATCATGTATAACTGCGTGCATGCATTTGTGGTGTAATGGTAACATGGCCATGTAGCAGAATTCTATAAAAGCATAGTAGTTTTTAATTAAATACAATATTGCATGTATGAAACTATAATAATCTCGTAATATTTTGTTGTTGCAGGTTGGGTCCGGACCTTCCAGTGACCTTGATCAGCCACAGGATTCTTCGAAAAGTGAGAACGGCGTCAACAGCGCTATCAATTACAGAAAGGTATAGTACATTAGTATGTCTGTATGTATGGTTAAGTTGATTACACCAGTATTAATTTTATACTATTTCAGTTATACGAAGAGGTTCTGAAGGAAAATCAGTTGCTAAAAGGCCGTCTTACCAAAGCAGAGGAAGACATGACAGATTTAAAAGTAAAAATGGAACGCGTATCTCTCGTGAGTTTAAATGCATACATTCTTGTGGTTGTGTGGAACAAGTGGAAGCCTCGCAAACAAGTGGAAGCCTCGCACATATTTAGTATTATTACTAACTATTTGTTCATTGTTTTCTTATAGACACCCCGAATTACATCCGAAGATGCTGATCGAAGAGAAAAAAGGGCGTTGGAACGTAAATTATCCGAAATGGAAGAAGAACTCAAGGTACGTATAGGTGCATCATTATAATCCTGTTGTATGAATAACTCATCTTGCCCATGATACTGACGGATAGAACTTGTAGTCCATAACTATCTTATATATTGCGTGTGCACATTAAACATAATTAAAAATATATCATTAACCCACCATATTTAGAAAACTAGACATTTTTATAATCCAAACAATAATCCAGCCCTTCACGTTTGTAGTTATGCACAAATAACTCACTTATTGTGTTCAGTTATTAAAGTGACTTTCACATGATCGTAACTTAACTTGTGAAATGAAAAAAAAGACATTACATTGGGTTAACTGTAAATTGTTATTTGTACTTGAAGCAAATTCAAAAGTTGAAGTTGGACAATGAGAAGTTGAAAGCAGAGAATCGGGCCTTAACCCGAGTAGTTTCCAAGTTGAGTGGTGCTAGCGCTGGCGCTCGACTCAACTCCGACTCCGCTACTCCTACAGGAAATGGTCCAAAGGGATGAGATTTTGCAGCGCTGTTAACTTATTACTATCTTCAACAGGATTGCATTATGTCCAATATCCAATAGGTATCCATCCATTTATCTGTTTAAATTGGTGTGATAATCCTTCCCCTTCATCCGTGTAGTACTGACTCGTGTGGTGTGCGTTGATCATTAGAACTTTAGGAACTATGTATGTATAGTGTGCACAATGTCTCAGTGAATATTAAGTTATGTAAAACAGTTGTAAAATGCATTGCATAAACTAATTAAGTACTTATGTTTTGAATTTTCAGGAATCCAGAATTTTCAGGACAGAAAACCAGAAGCTTCGAGATGAGAACGGAGCACTGATTCGAGTCATTAGTAAACTATCAAAGTAACCTATCCCTGTATTGCGAATGTGTTAGATAAACGTATCACGAAGTAACCTTTAGGAAGGAGGAGAGATGGCACAAAATTTATTGTGAGATTTACCCAACAACCAACCAATGATCTACCTTGTATTACTTAAACTAAACCTAACTAACGGTATTATCAGGTTTTTATCCATGTTTGCCAATTTCAGGATCAATTTCATGAATGCAACTGTTTTTAAGTAAATTAAACAAATTTTAGTCCGTGATTGCGATCTGCGAGTGTTTTATTGTGAATGAAATATGAAATGAAATAATTTTTGAATGTGGTAGACTGATTTTAATTTATCTCCAGTTCTTCCATATATAGTCCATGTCCACACATGCACACACATATATATACATGATGTGGATGTATGGTTTTTATAATAGAGACAGAATACCAAAAGCCTTCAATATGTGTGCCTACCTACAAGCAAAATGGGGCCCAGTAACGCATTCTTCGTGTCTTCGTATTTTAAAAAAATCACTGATCTTAATATTAGTTCTTTTATGCAAAAGAATGTCAACTTTTGTACAATATTGGCTAGTAGGATATTTATGTTTTTAAACCACCGAGTACTAATTTTAGCAAATCAAAGTTTCAAACCGCAATAAAAAAAACTTTGAATAAATAGTTTACAGTAACTCCACGAACATAAAAATGAATTATTTTTTACTATAAGTAAATGCACCGAGCATTTATATGTATGTATGTACCATTTAGGTGTAGGTATGTATGCACCACTATGTAATAGTGCCGTCACACATTGCGCTAATTGAACGCAAATGCTAATGAACTATTTAGTGCAAATACGTTAATTGAGGCAGTACACACATTACTGTGGTGTTTTTAAATTAGGAATTACAAACTTCTCTTGTCAAACATATTCCACATGCCATAACGATTCTTAACACACTTTTATGGTAAACCGGTCTCCTGAACCTCATATTCATCCTGCTTGGCTAGCTTTGTGTAACCAACGTAATCAGAGAATGAATACAGTATCCATATTTAGTACTTTCATGTGCTTCTGTTTATAACCAAGTTTAATTAAATGTTACATCGTGACTACAATTGTCCAACCTCCACAAGTGATAGCGACACTGAAATTTGATTGGCTGGAATTGTAGGATGGTCATGAATGCCATCACGCCGTCTGCCTGTGACTGTGTTTGTGTTCCAGTGGAAAGTTATTAAAGTCAAAGGTTGCATAATCATTCGGATGATGATCAGACGCTCGTCGTCGTGGTCGTCGTCACCCACTTCACTTATCAATATTAACATCCTCCTCTCCTCCCGTCTCATACATTCATATTACGTGAGAATTAGTCAGACACACTCATCTCGTCTTACACCACTACGACAGATTACAAGAAAAAAGCTGTAACAACAGATGCAGTGTATGACGTTGAGCAATGAAAGTCAACATTTCTCAACACCAAGAACATTATTGTCACATTGTACGCGAAACAATGGTCAGACACTGAGGATAATACATATTCCTGAGAATACTCCTGAGATAATATTCACCGTAATGTTTACATGAAATAGGAATAATTTGTAAAATACTTGTTTTTACATTTCGGTTTACATAACTCGGTTCCATAAAAACCTTCCATATAAAAAAATTGTATACAATACGAGTGGAGCTTTTGTACATGGAAAAGCTTTTTCGAGGGGACATTTTGATATTTTGTTGACACTGATTCAATTTTTCATGTACATATATTTCATCACGTATGTACATACGTAGCTGAGATTTACGATAGAATTATGACAAATCCGTCCTAATCAGATTGAGTGATTTGACTGCTTATTAAAGGAAAGAGAATGGTGAAATATGAGACTCGATGTAAGTTTATTGGAAAGAAGTAACATTCACGGGACAAAAAGTCATTAAAGCGATATTACACTTAACCCTTTACCTCTTATCTTAAGATGCGTCATCATTAGGCTAAAGTCCTTCCAAATTGGTTGAGAAATCAGCATTGAACCAGAAGCAGAAAAACAAGTGCAAGCACAAGACTTCCAGAGCTGAAGATGAAGAGGATGAGAGAAAAAAGAAAGCAAATAAACACTTACTTATTGATTGAATAATATTTTTCTTGTCTTTTTGTCCCACAATCCGCAACATCTCGACAGCATTGCTTCATTATCCTATCCTTTCCCTTGGGGGAATTCTCCAGATGGATTTTGGAGCTGTGTATGCAATTCCCAGGCCCAATTTACGGCGGAGGACATAAAATGAGATCACTCAATTTTATAAGATGCTCTCCAATTTCTTGTCACTCCATAAATTTGTTGAGTATTATTAAACCTGGCTAAAACCTATCTTATTTTGCACAAGGATGTAGCACTCAAATATCCAAAACGTGTATCATTTCATCCATTGTGTTTAATTTTATTGCTTTCGTGTCGATTTGTTATTATAGCTTACATTCATATTATTGTTGATGAGATTCATGCTGAGAAACCGTCAACAAGATTATGAAATTGAATAACTGCACATCCAATGACATATCCAGGACTAAAATTTTCATGGGAATTTGGCAAAGCATGATTCACACGGATCCACATGCATTTTAATTACATACATTAAGTCGTAGATACCTTAAAATTTCACCTCTAGTCTTCTGTAATTTGAGGACACATAAACTTTATGTTCATCCAATTAGCCTGCATCCTGATGGATACATGGCATGGGCCTCACATTCCACTGTAATCCACAGGATGGGAAAAATGAGACCGAACGCCAAACGACTTTACATACATGCCTAAAGACATGAGAAAGTTGCGCTTTAAAAAGTCATCATTCCAAGAAAAACAAATAAAATTATCCCTATTTTTGAAATTTTACCAAAATTAGCACTTCCATAATTCCTACCTGCCCCATTTGCAATACTCACAAGTAGATTATATTAAGCACGGTATGCAACTAATGACACGACAAACCTATAACTAAATACAAATTCTATTTATACCCGACTTTTGGGAGTAAGCATACGAAAAATGTAAGCATATAGTCGTCGTCGCAGTTTGCGAGATCATGTGTCATATGTCATACAAACTTCTTCTTCCACTATATACGCCGACACATGGACCATGAGAGAGGCACCAAAGACGTGTAAATAGTGGCAGTTGGCGGAGGAAGAAGGAGCAGGAAAGAAACCAAACAGTAGATTTCTAAAGGTTCCAAGTAAGTAAGTCTCCAGAAAAGAAAAGGTTTTCAAGTCCGTGGTGGCGTGGCGTCGTTTTCCTATTGTTGAGTGGCTCCTTTTCGTCACAATTGCGGCTACCTGGCTCGCAATTAGGTCAACCTGGTGCATATTTTTTGAGGAATTTCTCGGATTAGTGTGGGTGTGGTGGTGGTGTTGGTGTGAGAAAAGGGCTCGTGATGGAGCCTACCAATGTCGGAGGTACTGGACGAGGACTGGAGGCGACTGGCAGTGGTGAAGCTATCGTCGGTGGTGGAGGTGGTGGTGGTGAGGATGAAAAGGAGCAGGATGGCTGGAGATTTGAGTCAGTAATGCCCCGACCAGATCCCATTAGAGCACGGAGTCTGTGCAGCAAACTTGAAACTCCGGCTGTGTTTGTAAAACGTGGTGGAGGAGGCAGTGGAAAAATGCCCAACATCAAAGTTTTCTCGGGAACCTCCCACCCTGGTTTGGCCCAGAAGATCGTCGACAGGCTGGGGATCGACCTGGGGAAGGTGGTCACGAAAAAGTTCTCCAATCTTGAGACATGGTAAGTCTTCCAAACCCTCATTTTTAAGGAGCCAGGCACGTGGTGGGTTTTTGCAAATAATTATCACTTGCGCGCCTTCATATATTAATTGTCATGTCGCGTCATGGTTAGTAGGGACCTTTGAAGATAAGGTGTGACCCCATCCATTGAACTCGCACTGATATTTGATAAGCTTCTCTTATCGGGGACTTTTATTTATGATGATACGGTAGTAATCTGGTGTGAAAAAATAGTGACTTGACTTTCACTGTGGGTTGATTGATTGAGTGATGATTAATTGTATGAAATGAAATTTGACCGATATTTGGGATGAAAATTACAGCGTGGAAATCGGGGAGAGCGTTCGGGGGGAGGACGTGTACATCGTGCAAAGTGGGAGTGGCGAGGTTAACGATAACCTCATGGAGCTTCTCATCATGATCAACGCTTGCAAAATTGCGTCCGCCTCCAGAGTCACGGCCGTCATTCCCTGTTTCCCATATGCCCGACAGGACAAGAAAGACAAGGTAATGTCCAATATTTCCTCCTCCTCAATGTTCCCACTATGTCCGCCGCTATTTTTTAAGCTACATCTCCTCTTCTTTGTACATTTATTCCTGTCGGTCAAACCGAACTACGAACCCTTTGTTCTTCTTCTTCATTCTTCTTGTGTGGGGTGCATGACGCATAGCATGTTTTTTTGTTCTAATACATTATATTTCTTTGTGACATAAAAAATAATAATATTGACGACAACACAACAGTCGTTGGCATCGTCCCATCTCTTGGTTTCAATAATGCGTCGTTTTTGGGCTTCGCCCCAACAAAAGCAATACTACTGGGACTGGATGGACGATGTTTCAGATGTTTGCACAATTTTTCATTCATTTCTTTCTTGATTTAGTTACGCAGTCTGTCTACATATGATGTCTTTTCTTTCATCTTGTTCGACTTTGTCCATCCATCCTGTTAGAATAGGAGTGTGACTTGATGTGGGGTTCCTTTGTGTGAGGATGATGATGGGTTGACTCATTGGTCGTAAAAATACAATATTTTTTCAAGATATTTTGAGAATGTTTTTTTGCTATATTTGAGTGTGTGCCTCGTACTGTTACTCTTTGTTGCGAAATGGGATTAATTGTTGATTGTGTGGAGTACTTATGTATTTACTTACATCACATCAATAAATTGCTTATCAAACTGTTCTACCTACTTTGGTTGGTGCGAGTTACATGAAAAGATGGGTCAAGGTAGTTTATCATTGATTTGACTTTATAACGATAGTAGTTCGTATGTGATCGAATGTAGTAATTTTCACCTATTTTGAATTCTATTATTATAATAATTTACTTGTGAAATGCTTTAGAGACTATTATAACCCTTTACTTATAACCCTTTGTTGTGATGCGAAAATTAAGAATATTGATTTTTAAGCATATTGGGCTAAGCCAACGGAGAAGGGTTTCGCCTTTCAAGTTCTCGAATTGTAAGCAGTTACAACTGGTTTTTATATTTTTATACAAAAACCCTACCTACTTACTATCAAAAACAACTCTTGGAAAAGGGTCCTCATTGTTATTGGTTCGTAATGATGATGAATATTATGCGTCTTTCTTCTTTGGGGACTCGGTGGAAAGAGTCAAGTAAACAAATGACGGCTTGCATTAGATTTTGGTGGTTACAAATATTTGGTTATTCTTTGCCACTCCTCTTTAGTACTATGTAATAAGTCATACTAAATTCTTCAGTATGGAACAAGTTAGATGCGTATAAGCATGTGTTCTGATTTTTTTAATAAATCGAGTAGCAACAATATATTACTGGATAACTTCCACATGTTAATAAGGACAATTTTGAAGTTAAAGTGACGCTGAATGGTCACACACTTTCTGGACCTTGCTGCTGCTTTTGGTTACGTGCTGTCATTCATGGCACTAATAAGAGGATGGTGTTCTTATCAGATGACTTTTGGCTTACCACACTACTTCTGATCCAATATCCAGAAAGTAATCAATAATAAATTGAAGGAAAATAATCCTAGATTAGTTAACCAGCTCTTATGTAGCTGTTTGTTTGCCTCTCATGACGAATGGCTCGTTAAAATCATGTTGACTGTTGGGACAACTTGAAATACCTCTCATTTACAAACTGTAGAACTTGTAAATTATAAGTTATATCATACACAAGTAGACTCTCATGCAATCGTGGTTCCCTATTTGCTTGCTTATTATTTATACATATTCACAAAAAATATGCAATGGTGAAAGTGGAAAGAACATGGTCAGTTAAATTAAATGTTCAAATTTGAGATATTCTATTCCTTTGTGCTATTTTTTATTTGGGTGCTATCTTAAAATTAATGACAACCATGTATGTGTGGCCTGATGATTGTTATATGTTGTGGGTTGCTCAGGTAAATCATAGTAGTGCAACTAGTTGCAACTGGTTTTTTCATGTGTAATAATAACTTACTGCAGCAATGTAATAACTCGGGCAAAAAAACCTGACTTTCAAATATGAAATATACTTTTTTCTTAAATAATGAACTTATTTTTTGAAAGGTTGGGTAGTGTAATTGTGTAAATTCGATACTGCTCCTCGGTTTTCGACCGTCTCTTTGTTACCAGATTCTTGGAACTGGTTCATTTAGAAAGAAGGTTAAGGTCGGGGCCACTGGTTTGTAATAAAAGTTAAAATTTTAGGATGAAAAGAAGAAGAAAATATTCTTAAAAAGGAAGGAATTTCTACCTTTCGATTTGGTGAAGTAAACACGTAGTCATTCATTCCAAGGTGGTTATTTATTACTCCACATTTTATTTTCTGCCTTTGTGTAAAAAGTCACGTATGTATTTACTCATTGACTTTTGCTACCCTGTTGACCACTCATCAATACTACTTTTATACATACATCCGGCAGGCCTACGTGGTTTGTGGCGAGTTTAATAGGACGAGTAATAAGAGGGACCAACTACTCAAAGTCCAATATAAATATATATATTCCAGGATATCGACGTTCTTTTTAGATTAAACAGAGAATCGAATTCTAGATCGGTTTGTGCATGGCACCGATCAAAATTTTGTATAAGATATAAGACTCCTGTTACCCGGGCACGACGACGATGCATGCATGGAAAGTAGGGTGGCTTAGGTTGGGCCCACTGCTCCGACCGCTCTCTTCCATCCCATGCTTTCTCCATCCACATCGGCGGTGGAGACAGAGAGAGAGGCCTCGTTCGACTGGAATTGATGTAGTGAAAGCGGTGGGGTGAGATAGCGGTGAGAAAAATGAGGTTAACAATAGAATTAGATGAACAGCATGGTCATAATGCTTATTATGACGTCGTCGTAACTGGTACGGGCAATAGTAAGTAGTTTGCCATGCGGTGAAAATACTGTTTGCATGGCTTTTCTAATTTACAGATATCCAGATTATTAAGAATATGACGCAGAATTATTACTTAATCTTCTGAGTGCTTTTAGTTAAATTTGTCATTCCAACATTGGAATCCATTATTTTTGTACAATATGCATACAAACATCAACTAACCCTCTAAACCAAATCCTTGCTTATTGGTGTAAGATGGCTTAGCTTCTTCATTGATAATGATTTTTGATGCTGTATGATTTTGAAAACCAACACCTGGTTTTACGTTTTTATTCCACAGAAGCACGGACTTATCATGGCGGTACGTACGTATCACTTTTCTTGAGTGATCTCTGCTGATCAATTGTTCTTGGCATGTCTCACACCCATCCATCCACCACCCACTCACACCCTCTGAGGGAGTCTGATTAGAGTTGTCCTCCCTCCCTCCTCCCCCTCTATCTCTCAGCCAACACTGCGAGAAAAAAGCTTTGTTTATTTTTTTATAATTCTTTAATCTCACGTTCACATTATTCACGTGTATCTTAACGTTCACGTTTTACATTTTTGTTTAGTAGTATATAGCTTTAACCTAACGATCCAAACTGCTCCAAAAAAGCAAAGCCAGCCACCACACGGAAACATAACATTACACCTATTGCACTTATGGCCAAGTAGAATGAACGACCTTTCATTTTCTTCTCCCTCCTCCCATCACACACGTTGACAGCAGTTAACTGGAAAATTGAGGTTAAATATTTTCTGTTAATTGTTTTTAGAGCCGGGCTCCAATTTCTGCCAAGCTTGTAGCAAACATGCTGAGGTAAGTTATGCAACATGATTATTTACTTTAAAATTTCTAATTTAGCTAATTTTATGAGTGACAAATTTTGCTTGTTCCAATAGCGTTGCTGGAGCCGACCATATAATTACGATGGACCTCCATGCCTCTCAAATTCAAGGGTTCTTTGACATCCCTGTTGACAATCTCTATGCCGAGCCAGCAGTCCTCAAGTGGATTAAGGAGAACATACCAGAGTGGAGGAATGGTATTATCGTCTCGCCAGATGCTGGTGGCGCTAAGCGGTAAGACGAAGTAGATCTGCATAGTACTTTCTGCGTCAATGTGAACGCATCTGCATTAGTGAAATGCCTTTGAATCATTTATGATATACACTCATATGTATTATTATTATTTTACAGGGTTACGTCCATCGCGGATCGCTTAAACGTAGAATTTGCCCTGATTCACAAAGAGCGTAAAAAGGCTAATGAAGTTGCATCAATGGTCTTGGTTGGTGATGTGAAGGACAGGGTTACTATACTAGTAGATGATATGGCAGATACATGTGGAACGATTTGTCATGCTGCAGAAAAGTTAGTATGCATAAATTATCGGCACATGATATATCATAATTGTGTGGCTAAATTTTGTCGTGGGACTCATTTTAAAGTTGATTTTATTTTATTACAGGCTTTTGGAAGCTGGCTCTACAAAAGTCTATGCAATACTGACTCATGGAATATTTTCTGGACCTGCTATCTCAAGAATTAATAATGCGTGTTTTGAGGCCGTAGTAGTAACTAATACTATTCCTCAAGAAAAACATATGAATGAGTGTCCTAAGATTCAGGTTGGTTGGAATTTTATATTTTCAAGCTATATTATTAGCATTGGGGTAGGGATTTGTTAATACTAAATTCTTTTTTTGCTCTTGCAGTGTATCGACATATCCCTCATTATTGCAGAAGCGATTCGCAGAACCCACAACGGAGAATCTGTGTCATTCCTCTTTGCCAACGTTCCTATGTAATAAAGACACCTACACTACCATGCACATTATTGGAGAGAACATCTTGATTTTGGGTTATCATCATCTGGGTGTGTCTATCCTTCTCTCAATTCGACCAAATTAATGGAGTGTACCCTTCGGAATTTTTAAACAAGTTTTTTGTAGCGCTTCCAATTGTTTATTTATAACCGAAATAAAAAACCTTATATGTCAAGACGAAGCTCAGATATGATTGAAGAACAGTAGTTTTATTATCTAGTATACAATTCTTACGGGCATACATATACTCACTCCCTGCAATCTGCATGGTGCATACTTTTTGTAATTATTATTACATGCATTTTTCAACAACATTACGGAAATGGCTCAATGTCACCCCAAATCTCTAAAAGTATGCATTAGATGCATCGGCAGGGCCAATTATGCAGGAATAAAAAGACCACTTCAACAATAACAGCATAATATAAGTTGCAATAGTAATTAATGTTGCATGTGCTGCATATTTATTCAGAGAACGAATAGTCAATTCAATTGGACAAATGTTTGTTTTACAAGTTTCAATTTCTACTGCGCGTTTTCCTGAAGAGACGAGAACAATAAGATATCGACGTGTCATTTTGATATAAAATTTATACAGGTGAGAGACATTTATCGTTTAGTGTAGACTAATGAATTTCACTGGATAGCTGACTCGACAAGAACAAGAAACGTTTACTAATTTTTTGACGATTCATGATTGGTTTTTCACAATTTGATTCATTTATAGTTATAGATCAGTTTAGAGACGTGATGATTATGCGACGAGTTTAAAATGACAAAATGAAATAAATTCCCTAACATACATACATGTAACAGTCGACTAATAGTGAACAATAATAATAATAATAATATAATATTAGGCATTGTTGTTATTTAAAAGAAATTTCTCGTCACGAGGCGTAATAGTTGATCACTACTGGACTCACTTAAATATAATATAATAACCGAGCATAAGTGTAAATATTGACTAAATTTACTAGACTCATATATGAACGTCAGTAATTTTCACATATATGTTGATAAGTGAGGATGCGATCTACTTGAGTACACTACAACTACAACTGCGCGTATGTCTATAGTTTTAGTGTTACAAAGAATTTTTGGTTAATTGGCAACTTCACCCAAAGTTTTTTAAGCATTTCATAGATTTCATAGATTATATTTTGAGGCAGGAGGAGGAGGAAAGATATCATCAGACTCACAGACACCAGGAGGTGGTGATGGTGGTGTGTAATTAATTGTAGAAATTGTAGAAATTGGAAACATCTGAGACTACGACTAACTACACATCACTTATCAACTCGTTACTTATTCGCATTATACGCTGCATCATCTTTTATAGATATTTCTACATACAACGCCAACGCCGACTACTAACACTTTCGCTACCATTTTCTCTACAGCTTTTCAACTATGTATACGGCGGCGGCGGCGGTGATGGTGGCAGTTTACTAACCATTTCCTGTGATGGCATATATCATACTAAACCTTAGCTTATTACTTTATTAAGTATACAAGTATTGTTTATTACATGGTGTATAACGACGCTATCATGATACGGTAACAGAATAGAGATGATGGACACCGAGAGCAGTCTATTCGATTGAATTTTTTCATAGAACTTATAGAATCAGTGGCATAAAGGTACTTGTACAAACGCTGCTCCTTCCTTAATAGTAGTAGTAGCCCCTTCATACATTTAACTAACGAGAACTACACCGTCTTCAATTACATAATATGATAATATTTGATAGCCTGTTGAATGGTCGAGAAATGTTCAAGTAGTAGAAAATGCTGCGAATAACAATCTACAAGTTGCAGGAAATGTATTATTTTGACCAATTTTGTCCATTTTCTCAATTTCCTCATCTAAAAATCTAGGCCACTTTCGTGTGCTAACCAACTACATGCGAGAGAACTTGCATGCTTTCTCCGCTCCTCCGCCGTCTCCGCTCTCTCTACCCTTAAATATTATCTATTTACGTGTCTAAATATCTATGTAATGCGACGGTAAGAACGATGAAGAATTTTTTAAAAGAATTATTTCTAATTTCTGAGAACTATTTCTTTGAAAACAAACAACCGCTCCTACTACTGATAAGTTACACGATAAGTTATTATCCTACTACCTATTCCAGCCTGGAGTTAATAATAATAATAATGGAATCATGTTAGAATGCTCAAGTTGTCATAAATACGGATAAGGAAGCCTGCAACCAACAACACCTTACATAACGGACCAAGCTTCAAGTTATTGTTAGTTTTAGTGGAACTTTATCTCTCTCTCTTTCTCTCTATTATCGCCTCCCTGCCAATTAATAATATGTAACAACACTTGTTCAATTGCTTAAAACGTTCATCATCACAAAATTGTATAATATATAAATCCATCCTTTGATGTAAGATTAAAATACAGAATCTAAATTTTCTCCTCTCTTTCTCCTACGCTATAAAGTCTGTGTGTGTATAAGCAAGAGAAATCTTGGTAGTTAAAAGTGTGATGATGCCATTCATTAAATATCATAGTTAAAATTATCAAGAGTATAATAATAGTGAATGTGATGATCAGTTTCAAATAGTCATCATCAACAATAACAAAAAACAGTCCTTGTTGTATTTAAGCATACAGTAATATTAAATGTGAAACTTTCTCTGAGATTTTGATTTTAAATAACCAATAATCCTCCTCCTGCGGCACACTGCGATGTATGTAACTAATTCATTAACTATTATTCCGGTGGAAGTCGTATCATCACGATTGTATTGGTAGTGGTAGTAGTAATAATAATGTCCTTACACAAATAATCGATTGGTAAATGTATATAAATTTATAGTGTTGAATTATTATTTCTTAAATGTTATTGCAAGGTCAATTGCAACATCAAGTCATACAGCGTACATTTACAGTTCGGAACTCGTTATATAATACACACGGTGACACAAAATTAAATGTAATAAAGAAATTAGCAGATCACAGTTATTGGCTCTCGTCGCACTACGTTTAAATAGTTTTTTTTTTTACTTGAACTCTTTGAACCAAAACTGGTTGCCTTGCCTTGTCGTATTAAGACTGAAATAGAGAACGGGAAAAAGTATGATAACAACAAGTGGAAGTATAATGGAGAGAATGCATGCATATATATATTTGCATAGTGTTCGCAGTATTTCAAAAACTAGACTTGCATAGTATACTATAGCAGCGGAGTGTGTAAAATGGTTCACCTCCAACTCTATTGCGTCACAATAGACGAGAAGTTATTACATGATCATCACCTTATTATTCATTGCGGATAAATACGATCCAACGTAATAGGAGTTATTTACTAATGACCTACATACATGCATGCTTATCATCGTTGCTAAACATTTCCTTCATTATCTCTCTTTCTACTTGTACCGAAATATTAAACATTTATCACGTTGTCGAACTAATGGAACTGCGATAGTAACTACTTATTAACACATAATGCGAATCTTGTACCCCTATCTCTATATATCTAACAATAGTTTAGCTTCATTAGTACACTTATTGGTCAAAGTTTATTATTATTGGTGAGAAAGTTGAATAACGGAGCAGCTAATAACAACTATATAGGCATTTTGCATAATATGATTCTCAAAACCTCAAAAGTTTTCATTATTATAGTTTGTTGCGACTTGTTCATCTTATCCAGATGGGAGTGTGGCCCAAGTATTCAAGATTAACTAAACAAGTGCAAGTCGTTGTTAGTATTCACAACCTTAAAATATTATGAAGGATAAAGAGGTAAGGGATTCCTACCTCTTATTCCTACTACACGCTCAGTATTCTGGGGGATATGTATGGAAAAGTGAACAAGTCGAGTGAAGAAGCACTTAAATATTATTATTAATTTTGTGTGATGCAACTAGCAAATGTCGTCGGTATAAATTGATTTGACGTAATCTTCAGTATTTCATTAACATTATTATGATCAGTCCTGCGAAGCATTTGATGCGATGCTACATGCATATGAAATAATATTAAAGCACAAATAATGTATACAGATAAAACAATGTTTCATCAACACAACGATAATTACCGGAGGGGTTTTAAATATTAAATAGTACATAATATCGTCAACTAATCTATTCAAATGGTAAGTCCTTAATCCTGAGCCTCTTTCCTTCTAAAACATAATATACAAGCAAAAATTCAAACACATGCAACAAGGAACGGCTATGTTGACATGCAAGTCAATTAATACGTAATTACTATGGGGTAGATATATCAAAAATGTTCTTAGTGCACAAACAGCACCAACAATTTAAACGAGAATTTAAGGGATTAAGTTGTTTCACATTAGTCAACTCCAACAGTCACTTAAATCCACAATTAAATTCTAAAAAAACCAACGACTTGAGAGTCATATAAGATAATGTTGTTGTATGTATAATATATCTATTCAGATTCATAAATCAACCCAAATTTGTCTGAATCCTTGCAAGCAGAGGTGGTAGTAGCAATGACTGAGTTAACTACTCGGCGAACCACAAAGGTTGGTAAGTGGCCTTTGCAGGGCTCAGAGGACCAAATGCCATTGCCATTGGTGGATGTGTACTAAACACAGGTGGCAAGTGTGCCGGCGGTGGTAACGTATGGGGATTGTGTCCATGATGAGACGCGTGGGCGTGCGCGGCATGAGCTGCCAAAACAGACCTTGCGCTCCCGTGATGTGCTGGAGGAGGCAGAGCCCTGAAAAATAAACATCAATTATTGTCAATTATCAAAGTATTTACAATTAATTTTTACACTAATGTTAAGGTTGTAGTTAATTCATAATTGCTTGAAATCGAAACTTTAAACTTACCCTGATGCAAACGGATTCAATTGATACGGGCCAGCGGGTTGACCGCTTGTCATGTATACTGCATTAGCTCCGTCTAACAAAAAAAAACATCAAGTTATTACAATGAAGACTATGCATCATAATTTCTCATCAAAAAGTTCAAATCGGTACATACTATGATTTCCTCTACGGAATAACTCCTGTGTAGATGCGGCATACAAACCCGGTGGCGGTGCCGGCGGTGGATGAGGAGACAAACCTCTACCAATTAAAATCTGTCGTGGCGTTTGTGGAGACAGATGCCGACTTCCACTGAAAAAATTCAGTAAACAGAGATAGTTAATAATCACTGGACTAAATACTCAGTCATTCATTTTTAATGTTTTATGAGATTTGAGGTACTCACTTTAAGTCTTGCCTGTATGAATGAGGCTGAAGTGTTCCTGGCCAATTAGTGCACTTAAGATTTTGATTATGAGCTTCTCGCAATAAATGTGCATGAGCCACCATATCTTGTCCAGTCATGTTGTCATTTCTATGAGCCGGTGGTGGGAAATGACCCCCATGCCCGTGCAGATGAACGTGATATTCCCCATTGTTCACCATTCCATTTTGAATGCTAGAAGATGACGATGACGATGATCCACAATTGCCATTCATGCCACTTCCATTGGGCACATTTCCATTCTGAGCTGAAGAGCCATGGTAATATTCTCTGTAAATTTTTTGGAACAACGTAAGTTATTAGAAACTCAAACATATGTTTCCATCATCTACGTCTTCGAAGTATATATTCCACTCTATCTGAAACATGTTTAAACAATTAAAATTTCGTACCCATTGTGATAACCCTTGATTGACTTTGGTGTGTCGTGATTGCTCATGTTATTTGAATGGATGTCATGCAAGCCTGGCTCCTGCTTCATCCCAATGAGACATTCTGACTGCGCCTTTGCTAGTAATCGTTTCTTCTGAGAGGCGTATGATGTTATCACTTCAGGTTTTACGTCACGCATGATGGGTCCATTTCCATTTGTTATTTGACCCATTGCAGAGTATGGATGAAGAGCAGCGTGATACTGATTATTCTCAATATGTTGATTTTGATTGTTGTTGTTGTAGTTGGTGCCATTTGGAATTGTACAATTCTGGGAGGCGTTATGACGTTGGGAAGATTTAGCAGGGCTTCTATGTTCCTCGTCACTATCCCCAACAGTTACGCATGAAACAACGTTACGTCGCCGTCCAGAATTATTATTATTATTGTGCCTCGGAGATGGTCTATGGCTATAAATGGATAGATCAAAAATAGAATATAGTGAAATTTAAGCTTTTGGCACTATTAGCAATAAGAGTAACAACAGAGTTTAAAAAAAATAAAATACCTTCTGTAAGATTGCTCATCTTGCTGTGGAGTGACTACCACAGAAGAGCAGTGAGTTCCCAATGTGCATTGTGGAACTTTCGAGTCTACACAAGCGCTGCAAGTCCGATCTCGACAACTAATTAAAAGAATCATAAATTACCATCTAGATCTTCTAGTAAATGTTATGAAAATTTAAATAATAAAACTAGAAACGATAGTAAATTCCAAACTTAGAGTATTGAAGTATTAAACTATTAGTACCTTGCTCCTTCATCGTCACTATCGGAGATCGTAATGACGGAGACGGCAGGAGACGGTGTGTCTCGAATTGTAATGGTGGGCTGTCGGAGCGACCCTCGAGAAGCATTTTGGTTAGAACTAGAAATGGAAGGTCCTTCAGTTCCTTTCATTTGATGATTCCCATTTTCTACGTTTTCTTGGAAATTTTGATTGTATACAATATTTCCAGGAACTTCTAATTTTGGTTGGTGACTTGTATAAGGAACGTGTCGGGAAGACGACGAAGATGATGAATGCGCCGGTTGATTGTTGTTCCATCCTGATAAACCAAACCGAACCAAATAATATATAAATCCATTTATATATATTTTATAATGCTTCTTTAAGCAGACAAAAGTAATTCACAAATGAACTTACCGTGATTGTTATTACTTGGACTGCTTTCCTTAATTCGTTTCTTGACAGGGCTCAATTGAGTCGCATTTTCTTTTTTGACATGGCCCCCCTCATAATGGTGGCCAATGTGGGAAGAACTATTACCGTGGTAGTGATGCACTTTCGAATGTGCGGGTATAGAATTCCCAATGTTGTTATTTCTATTCCTGTTGTTCCCATTCCCAACCACATTGTTCCCAGGTCCATAGTTGAGGGAGGAATACGTCGTTTGATGGGCCAGTGGGGGTTGAATTGAATGCTGAGGATGCCCTGGAGCAAGAACCATGTGTGATGGTTTCAAAGATGCTGCTGCTGCATTCGAATTGACTCCAAGTCCACCGTTGCGCTTACCCCATGGGCCATCAATTAGACCCTGAGGTTCGTACATCTCAGCCAGTTCAACAGGAAATACGTGCCGCTGGTCCTACATCAAAATTTCGTTTGTTTAAAAATGAAGCTATAAATAATATTAACAATTGGCTTATTGCATGATGCTAAAGTTACCCGGTAAGAATTATTCATTTGGATGATTGCAGCAGAATCAACCAGCAATGGTCGTCCCCACTCGGCGGACTCTGGAATCAACGGTTGTTGAAGTTGTGGTGCAGGAGGATGCGGGCCAGGCCAAGTTGATGGAATAACTGCAACTTGGCGCCCACCAGCCCATGAAGTCTGTACACCTGTTACAAGCATCTGTCGGCTGGCTTGGTCCACCATTGACACTGGAACATATTGCTGCTGCGCTGCGGCCACCTGAAGTGCAATTAGTTTAAAATTGTCTTCATTAGTTAAACAATTAACCATACAAAATCTAAATGGATATCATCGTTTAGCAAATTCTTACATTCGAATAGTTTCCATGATACGGCGGGCACAACAGGGGAGGTACGAGTTGTGGTGGAAAATCGCCACGCCCCCCATGTGAGGAATACTGACGATGATGATTGGCCCTGCCGTACAACTGATATTGGTTTGCAAGTGAGGGAGGAAACGCCAGCGTCACATTTGCACCCGAAGATGGGACTAAATTAGCCACAAGAGAGGCTGAAGGGCCCTGGTTGGACGCGGACACAAATGTATTACTTCCTCGACGGCAAACCTGGTCAATTAATTAAAATTATTGAATGTTCACATTCTCGTCTATACTCTCTCGCATCTATTTTTAGTCTTGTTCAAGTGCATACCTCCATCATTTGTACACTGGCCTTGACGTTGGAACAGTGTGCGTACTCGGCAAGATGTGCGAGAGTTACGAATGAGTGGTTCAATGCTTCGCCAGGTGTGATGCGACGCTCCTGATCCATTGTTAACATCCTTTTTAATAAATCAATAAACTCTCGCCGATCAGCCTTTTCTGCCAAAAGTTCACCACCCTCGAGGTCTGTGGGCACGTTTACTTGACCAATGTCATCCACACAGTTGAAAATATATTTTCTAGCTTCTTTAGACTTGATGTTAGTTTCTGCTTCATGTTCCTCCGGAGTCTATAGCATAATAATTAATTTAATTACTTAATAAATAATTATTACCTCTGTGAACTCCCCATACCAAACAACTACTTATTCGCAATTACCTTTAGTCTCCAGAAAGGATATGTACTATCCAGATCCCTGTAGAAAAACTTTGTAGTTTTCGATGCAGAATTTAGCATATGTTCAGTAGGCAGCCCTTGTGTTTGGCTAATGTAACGAATTTGATCATATTCCGAGGACCCAGGATAAAGAGGCCATCCAAGGAATAATTCTGCTACGACACAACCAAGTGACCACATATCAATTGCTTCGCAAAACGGCAGACCTGCAATAAAACAATTAATTCAATGCATCACAACTGCATTATACAAGCGTCACCTCGCCCAATATTAGCACTTGTTCGTACTTACCCAATATAATTTCGGGGGCTCTGTAGTATCTTGACTGTAGGTAAGTATTACAGACAGCCTTAGAGACATGTGAAGCCGATCCAAAGTCGATAACTTTGACCCTGTACGGTTGCCTAACGGGATCGACAAGCATAATGTTTTCTGGTTTCAGGTCAGCATGAATCAATCCAAGTTGCTAAAAGGTGCATTTATTAACAGCAATTAATTAACTTGAACTCGTCACTTTTATGCTGACCACAATTAATTAAATGTACCTTGAGTTTCAGCAACGCAGTCAAGACTTGTTGCAAGATGGGGCGAATATATTTCAACGGAAGTGGTGAAAATTTGTTCTGCTTGAGAAAGTCGTACAGGTTTTGCTCCAACATCTCAAACACCAGGCAAGTGTGATTGCGATGGTGGAAGCACTCGAAAGCTCGAACAAAATTAAATTCGTCGGCATCTTCTTGACAAAGTCGTGAAAGGATGCTCACCTAAAAAGTTAGTAATTGATGCAATTCTATGCCACTCATGAAGACATTCTATAATCAATTTTATAAAAGAAGTCCTTACTTCAATCTGGCCCTGGCGAGCATACGATGGATGATTCTTGAGGATTTTAATGGCAACGATTTCATTTGTTCCTTGTTTCCAGCACTTGACCACCTACGTAAAAAAACACAGCAATGAGTTCCATTCATCTATCCTCATATTCTCAAACGAACTCCTTTTTCTATCTCGCTCATCATCTCTACTCCCAATTATCACAATATTTAATTTAGTTAAATTTTAGTCAACTAAAGCAATAATTCCACTGATAAAAAAAATCAGTGGAGTTTGAAAAGTTTTTTGTCGTGAAAAGTCCATGGAAAGAAGGTATAATAATAAAATAAAATAATAATAACCTGGCCAAAAGTGCCGCGACCCAGAAATTCCAAGACCTCATAGTGGGTCTGCGAGGTCCTAAAACAAAGAAACAAAGCATTTCGTGAGCTCAATCTGCATTAATAATGAAAGACTTGGTAATACTTATTCACTTACATGGAAAAAAGAACCTCATGTTGAACAAGTTGATAGTCGCCATCGCCACCCCCACTACTGACCCCGATGGCTGCTGCTTTACTTTGTACCGCCGTGGTGGCTGTTGTGTTGCAATTTGTTGTGTGAGATACTCCAACTCCACTCTCCGCAATACCATGCCCACCACCCAGCCCTCCTTCGGCGTCTAAACACTTGCGCTGTACAAAATCATAATGATTTAGCATTCGAACTCCAAAAAATTCTTAAATCTCCATCTCACCTTTCGATTACACCGGTGATAGCTTGACGACGACGATGAAGAGTCGTGATGTAGTTTGTTCGCGGAAGACTGGTTGTGTATGTGTGCTGCTGGAGGTTGGGGTGACACCCCTCTCTCTGACACATCTAGAAAATTATTAAAATTAATTTAACTATGAGTCCTTGACTTTAACGGTGCTTGCTCTTCTTATCTCTTATTTGGAAGCAAGGGTTAAAGATAAAGTTTAGTCTTGAGACAAAGAAAGAAGGAAATCATCATTTAAAGGAACTGTTCAGCTTAAGTGTGGTTGAGACAAAGTAGAAGAAATTAGATCTTTAATACAGACTATTTTTTAAATACTCTGCCTAATTGCTGGACAATCAAAAAACCGCAACTCGAAAACCAGCATTATGCATAACTACATATTAAATTCAGGGGTTTACACTTACTTGGAGCTTGTGACACCCGCCCACCACACAGATGATGCCTCCCCTGACGACACTTTGAGTTACACCGACACTCCCCCAACCAACAACCACCCCCACTACCGCTACTGCTATCAGCTACAGCAGTCACGCAATCAATAGGTGCCTGCAAATCGTACAAAAACACATGAGTTTATAGCACCACAAGCATTTAATTGTATCATTTAATCACACATAACAATCATAATTATGAGATGCCTGCTACTTGTTAACAACTTATCACACCTTATTCCTTACTACCTACCGAATTTGGCCCTCCCCCTCCCCCATTTCGAACGTCGGATACGACTACATTCCTCTGGCTATAATAAAGCGGCGGACCTTGATAATATGAAACGACATCGACGATGGGACAACTAATCAGCCAAATTCCTCCCACGGTTGGAACCACACACCAAATTGTACCCGTTGTTACAGGCAACAAGGAATATAAGTTGTTGCTGAAATATCGGAATACAGGGTGGCGAGGAGGCGGCGCAGGACCAAATGGAAAAAAGTCATCGCCCCAGTGAACCATTTTTTATTCGAATTTTGTGACTATTTTATTTAATAAGATTCAAAAATGCCCAAAAAACGAAGGTCAGCAGTGCAACTGGTAGAAGGAGGGATGAAAGAAGAAACTGCCTCTGCTGCTGCATGCTCTCTCCGACCGCCAGACCGCCAGAACAGAGAAGCCTTGATTTTTTCACTCTATTCCGCGGAGGCGTGGATGCCTTTGAATTTTTGCTGACTTTTTATTAATTAAGTACAATGTAATACTTTGTGTCAATAGTTCATTCAATTTTCCACCAATATTCGAGTCAATTCAACATTTTAATTTCAATTACAAACCGTTGCTATTGTTTTGTACTTTTGTAGGTAATTTTTAATCTGTAGTTTGTTTAAATGGGGTAAATAATTCAACTTAAATTGATGGTGGATGAGTTTGTAGCAAAGTTTTGGCAATTACTAATTTCAAGTACCCACAAAAGACAAGTTGAAAGTCCTTTTCAACTTGTATTGATTTCCAAATCTTTTGACTCATGTTTATACTAAATTTTCGTAAGTAGAATCAAAAGTAGCATTGCGATTCACAATTTGCGAATCACTAGTAAATTAGAGAAATTGGAGTCTAACTTAGACTGTCTAAGTTAAGTTTCAAATAAGAAAGCATAGGAATTAAGAGATGCAAATGCGCAGTGTCTTTGTTTACAAAATATCACTTAGAAAGGTTCAAAATACCACTTAGGACTGTCCGTATAGTGCAGTAAGTATACAATTCTTTGGAATAGCAGCCAAGTGATTGCCTTCCAGCAAGTCATGACTTGTTTGAAGTATGGGTGTATCGATTTTAGTGACCTAACCTCATATTTAGATGTGGTATTTGGTTATGTGTTTTATGGGGGAGGGCGTTTAATGTCGAATTAAAGTTTAATGGCGAATGCATGTATGACATTGCTTGATGATGATAACTAATCATTAGGTTTATTTGTAAATGGCTTACAGTGTGTTCGACCTTCCTCTTTTTTGAAGAGTGTGCTGGCTGGGGGACTTGGTAGCTGTGATGGTGACTTTGGTAGGAGGATGAGGACAAGTTGAGGGTTTTGACACCACCGTTTCCAGAAGAGACTGCTTGATGAAAAACTCCGCCGCCAACTGATGTCGAAGAGAGGAACATGTCATTCTCGACCTACAAATAATAAAAAAACAAGGTCAGACTCAACCCTCGGCGGTGCGGAGCTTACTTTTATGCTCAACGAACATCAAACGGTTTAAAGAAAAAATCCGGAATACGGTGACGCATGATACTTATTACTATTAATATTACGTGAGTTGTTATCAATTATTATTTTCACTTATACTTATTATGGATAATGTATAAACTCTTACACTACAGTGCAAGTGTGTGAGTTTTAATCTAGAAATGTTCAGAAACTTGCTGATTTTCTAATTCCCCACCGAGTACACGAAACAAATCTATGGCTTGGAACTTAAACAAATCCTCCCCTCATCATCATCACCATTGTTCCTGGCTAATTGTACAAGGTTATCATGTTTTTCTTAAATTTTATCTGATTCACGGTGAATGACGTGAGCACAATTTTATTAGCTATTATGCTGAGGTACGACTGATGATGACTGAATAGCTTTACACAATGCGAATGTCAACTTGCGAAACTGGATGATTTATGTTTCGATTTTGTTTTAAATTGCAGACTATTAAACAAATATTTGGACAATTCTGTGGTTATAAAATATTTACCAAGAAGAACCTCCCTACCCCGTAGAAAAAGACCAAGGTATTTACAAACCTCTAAGCTTGTAAACTCTAAACTGGAGCAGCAGACTAAGAAAATACACCTTAAAGCTACAGCTAAGTTTTACATATTTAGTTAAGATTGGATGGATGGATAGATAGATGAATGAATGAAGGGTAAAGTATTAATGGGTTCCATGAAGAAGATAGGTAAATGATATTTTAACCAAATGAACTGCTTGGACACTTACCCTGTGCGAAATTGTACACAGAGATCCGAATGTTCTCGCTCGTCACTATTCTCTTCATAAAATTAACTCATCCCTTACAACCATATGGATGAAAATTAACTTATTTCCTCAGCAAAACTGCCAAGAAGCTAACGTTAGGTCGTTGGATGAACCTCCACTGTTTCACTTCAGGTCAAGTGCATGTTACTACTCGACGGCTGGTGGTTATCTTTAATTTTTGAAACAAAACGGGAGAATAGCAGTCGCAGAGACTTTACTTGGCGCAGAGCTTGCCACTGCTATTGAAGAGAAGAGAGACTTCACTTGCTGGGAGATGATGAAGTAAAAATCAAAAGAGAGAAACCTTGTGCAATATCGTCGAATACAGCAGGATCCCACAGAAAGTAAGTACAAAAAGTAAGCAAGAGTTGTGTGAATGGATGAAAGGCCTCCTCCTGCAAATCCAATGCTTATTGTATATACGGATAGAACCACAAAGGAGGACATCGCCATTCGGCAACAGCGCAACCTCCGACCCCTCTCTCTCGCTCTATGTGGATCGCCATGATATTGTCGCTCATATGGAAGATTATTCGACTACAACAAGTTCATGCAGTCCCAGTGGACCCTCAGTTATAAGGCCTCAATTTCAACCAGAACAGGGCGTCTTATCTCGGGGTCACTTGAATGGCGTTCTTCATGAGGACTTCAAGCTATGCCAAACCTCACAACTTCAGCCTCGCCGCCCCTGATTGGGTTTATTTCGACATTTTGAGCTCGGAGGAGAATTTTCCCATGTAGTTCTGACCCAGTGAGAGAGCTATGTTGCAAGTTTTCGTTCAAAAGTGGTGAACGAAGCATTCATATTACGTTTTTTGGTAGCCAAATGAGATGGCGGAGAATACTCCTCCTTTTCTTCACCTGTGAGAGGACTAATTAACAAAATAAGTAGAATTACTATTGGGGATCCCCAAACCCAGGGCGACGATCCACACCACACTCATATACATACGTATTACACATTCTATTCTAAACCATGGTGGAGGAATATAAAGGTTATACAGGAATGAGAGGAGAGTGAAATAGATAGATGAAGGATTCCCCTCATGTTGAAGTCCAATGTTTAGGAGTAAAAGATAATAATAATGTGAGTTGCCTGGAGCAGTTGGTTGGTTAATTTCTTCTTCCTCCTCTCTTTCGACCACCCTCTGCTATACAAATCCTACTAGTTTGTAGGTTGCACACAAGACCAGTGACTTTATGAGTGATGAGTGGAAAATTTGTTGGAATTTCATATAATATTCTTCTTCACTGGCCTTATCTTCATCACTTGAATTTTTGACATATCCACACCTCGCAGCAGGAGAAAGGCTCTTCATTCATGTCTCCTCATCCTATTAGTACGACAAAGTATTTTTAGTTGCGAAGAAAGAAGCGAGAAATATCATCATCATCATCACGTCGACATTAGCTCTGACGAATGTGATGCAAGTTCTAGACTGAATACCCGGAAGTGAACTTGAGTGTGTGTGAGTAGTGTGTGTGTTTGTGTCGCAGTCGCAATTAATTGGTAAAATTTGAATTCTTCAACAAGGACGAGTTTAATTGAGCTACAGAATTTAGTAATGTACGTTGTTTCTATTTCACCCTTTTGCTGTGAAATTTATTACTCAAAGAGAGTGTGGACCTTTTCCCTTCCACTTTAGCTGATTTGCTGACCTATTGTTTTATTTTGTGTTTCATACAGGGCAAGAAATGGCGACAAACAAGGATCGTCAAGGAGGTTCGTATGAAAGAGATAGCAGCTCAGACACTGAAGATTACCACAACGTTGACGAAAGAAGGAAGCGTGTTTTCAAGTCTCGACTCAGGTTTGTGAAAAGAAAACTACTTCGCAGTTTGCAATTATGTATGATAACATAAACAATGCAGTATTGTTTTGCTTTATGCCACGTTTTGTTTACATTTACAGTTACGCAAACAGCTCCAAACCAAAACCATGTCTGGTTCAAAAGTCGAGCATGACTGCGAGTAGTGGTAACAATACGTCAACACCAAACAGTCCTTCCAGCAGCGTCGAGTTAAGAACTGATCCTCCCGGTTCCACAAACAATAACACCGTGCCATCAAAAAACTCCCCCAAGCACCACACGGGATCACGACACAGGTAACACATCATCAAGGAATTTGTTTTTATTTGTTTTTATTTTCTGCTTCTGGTAGTGTGTAGCTGTGCAAAGCTTGTTTTATTTTGTTTTCTAAAATGAGTGAAAATATAAAGTAGTAGAATGGATAGAAGTAGAGGAAGTCAGAACATATTTAGACCCCATGGACCGCATGTTCATGATACCAACAGGGACGGTGGTGGGGTCGGTGCAGGTGGCGGTGCAGGCGCCACAAACATGTCCAATTTTTTCATGGAGGACAGAATTACGCTTGTTGTGGATAACACTCGTTTCGTCGTGGATCCCAACATTTTCACACAATTTCCAAACACCATGCTAGGAAGGTACGTTTGCATATTATAATGATATATTTTTTCCGAAAGTGTTTGGAAATGTTTGTTTAACATTTGGCGTATTGGATGATTTTTTAGAATGTTCAGCTCTGGAATGGAATTCGTCCACCCAAACGAACGTGGCGAATTTGTTGTGGCTGATGGCTTATCAGCCACTGTTTTCCGTGCTATTTTGGAGTATTATCGCGGTGGAGTAATTCGTTGCCCTCCTGCCGTCAGTGTTCAAGAATTACGCGAGGCGTGTGACTATCTGCTAATACCCTTTGATGCCAGTACTATCAAATGCCAAAATTTAAGTAGGTCATTTTTTCAATTTACTTGTGTAATGTTTTTGTTTTTATTGTATCATTTTTCCATGGTGGGGTCAGTAATTGAGTAATATTTATACAGGAGGCCTTTTACATGAACTTTCAAATGAAGGAGCTCGACACCAATTCGAAGCCTTCCTCGAAAAATTGATCCTTCCTCTCATGGTGAATTCAGCGGACAGAGGAGATCGTGAGTGTCATATCGTAGTTCTACTTGATGATGACACCGTGGACTGGGACGAAGAGTATCCTCCGCAGGTATTGTGGGGTTTAATTGGACAATAATTGAGAGTCTAGCTAACTTCATTTTGTAAAATAGCTTTTTAGTTTGGCAAACTGAACCTAAATAAATTTTCATAACAATTTTGAAATTCAACTAAAACTTTACCTTAATAACCTGTTATTGTTTATTTCAGATGGGAGAGGAGTACTCGCAAAGTAATTGATAAATATTTAATATTTTAAGTATATTATTATATAAAATCTCAAGAGTTAATTACTTTATAAAATGTGTGTATATTGTTTGTTATTTGTAGCTGTGAATAGCACGGCGTTATATCGATTCTTCAAGTATATTGAAAACAGAGATGTTGCCAAACAAGTGTTGAAAGAAAGGGGTCTAAAAAAGATTCGACTTGGAATTGAAGGATATCCAACCTACAAGGAGAAGGTATTTTATGGATCTATTCGTTGTTAACATGTTAAATGTTAACAAAAAACTTTTCTAATAATTAATCGGTTTATTTGCGTTATCCAGATTAAGAAACGCCCTGGTGGACGAGCAGAAGTGATTTATAATTACGTCCAGAGGCCTTTCATTCGAATGTCTTGGGAAAAAGAGGAAGCAAAAAGTCGTCACGTTGATTTTCAAGTAAACCGTACTTTCATTATAAAAACTGAATTTGATTTCTAATTTACTCAACAAGCAACTGATTCATTTTAAACCTTTTTTAGTGTGTCAAATCAAAGTCCGTGACAAACTTGGCCGAAGCAACTGCAGATCCTGATCCTGCCAACGGTCTAAATCAAATAGAAGTTCATCCACTGGCAGATGGTCCCATCCTGAATATGAACAATGACGGGATACGAAACTTTGGAGGTGCTCTTGACCTGCACGCTCCCGCACAAAACATACATCACCACAACCCTCCTGGATCACCATTGTTACGAATGAATTTACATGACCCAGACCCAGGAGGCCCTCCAGACGAGGTCCCATAAAGAATCCGGACACTTCGTCTTACCAACAAAATAATGAGCGACTACGCATCTTATGCGCTTCCACACTCCTATTCCACACTCCTATTCCAATGTGTTTGGCTTTTCAAATAATTCGCAATTGTTGTTAAGAATATTAATTATTAATTTTACTGCATTTAAACTAGTCAACGTATGAAATAATGTGATGTTCGACCGATTACTTTTAAAGCAACGCTGCTCAGAGAACCCAACCCCATATTGCAACATATGTAAATATCAGGGTCACACTTCATGATTTTCTTGATTCAATCATCAACTTACACATACAAGCTCAGTTTTAAAGGTATTATATTCGAAAAAGGGCCACACATACAGCGCATAATTGTTTTATTTCTTCAAATAATAATAACGCTATTACCCGAAAAAGTGTCTGTCTATATATATTTACTCGCTATACATATAACGCAGTAGGGAAGAAGTGTAACTTACCAACAATTAAAACAGATGAAATAATACAGAAGTTATTCAACAGACGGACTTGTGCGTATTATCATGACGTGCGTTTGTGCTAGTTTATAAGAATATCTTTCTATTATAAAAATGTTTGAATTGTGCTGCTTAACAAGGTAATCACAGCTCGAATATGTGTATTTATAAGATTGCAATTTAATGCTACTCATTTTATAACGTTGGTGCAAATAAATTCTGCATCAGTCATCAATCCGATGAATGTGCGAAGTTTTTATTAAATAAAACGAACAATTTTGTTTCAATTTCTTACATGAAGTTACATCAATCTGCTTGGGCACTATTAAGTACATTATGGCAACCTGGTAAAACACAAAAAATGCATTGATGCATGTGATATGACTAAATTGAAACCCATTTGGTAACAAAATAAGCGTAATTACTATTTAACCGGAACACAAAAAAAGTATAAAGGTAAGAAGTTATTATCGTTGAGAGAAAGACAGCCGAACAAGTTATTAGTAGTCCGTCCACATGTATGAATAAGTGTTTTGCCACTCGGGAATGGCTTGAGCAAGAATTCCGGCAATGTTTCCGAGCAGAGGGATTCTTTCAGAGAACATGACCAGGATGCCGAGAAGGCGTTTCTTGGTGCAGGTGTCATAGAATGGCGACCTCATCAAGTAGTAACACAGGGCATACGTTCTTCGCGTCAATTCTTGCTTCTCCTCTCTCTTCAAGGTTCTGGAATTACTATGAAGTCGGAGACTAGCAATGTCCATGGCGAAACTGACCACCCATGGTTTCCATGACCTGGTTCCCCACAATCCCATGCAAGCCAGGTGAGTCACTGGGCGAAGTAAATGCATCATCTAAAAGAAAAGCAGTATAATTATTAAAGATCAAGCTAAATAAGTACCACATTCACTGATTAAAAATTATCATATAAAAATTACTTCTGCAATCTTTCGAACTCCGGTCAATTCTTGCGGAGTGCTTATTGAATCTGTGGTTATTGGGCCAGTCCAATCTCGTGATCTGACGGGTGGAGCTGAAGAAAAGTTTATTTGTTGATATTTAATTAACGAATTTCCCACATAACTCATAATAAAACCCAATAAAACTCCCACCTGAATTTATCTTCCTTACAGTCCTCCCAGAATGTTTCAAAACAAATGTCACATTAGGATGCATCTGGGTCAACGTTTTACGACTGGATCGTCTCTGGTACAGGGTGGACGAGCCGATAAGACCCACTTTAAAATGAAGCAACAATGCAGCCCTCAAACCGGTCCTGTTTAAAGAAAAACATTAATCAGCCCCTTTCTCTCGCCCATTATTAATCACCAATATAACAAATACTTACTTGATCGACTGAATCATGATGATAACCACCCAACGACCAACATCCCCCCACAACTGTCTCGCGCTAACTTCCAGGAAAACTTCCAAATAGTCGATGACCGTGAGCATGGTTCGAATCCGCTGAATGTGGCGTTCACGTCCCTCCCTCTGCCTGGAATGTAACTCCGCAGAGCGGGCAGGACCATCCTCCGCTGGTAAAGGAGAGGAGACCCCTCCTCCTCCAATTATGACACCATTAGTGTGACGACCGTTGACGACTCCATTGCCATTCGATGACGATGATGACTCCTGTTGCTGCTCTCGGTGCTTCTGGATGAGACGGTCATGCCAAAAAGAGAGAATGTTCGCACTGCAATACAACAGTTCGGGGAGGATGGTGGAGGACTGTTTGAGACGACCGTGAAGGAGATAAGATACCAATTTGATGCCAGACTCAGTGTCACTAGCTCGGCTTGGATGTTTCACGATCCATGTTACGTAATCCCGTTTCACGGATGACACCAACTCACCCAACTTCCCCACTGACTCCTGCACTTTGTCCATGACATAAAATAATTTGGGCGATAATTGGTGGACCAATTATGAATTAATTTGGAATTTGTAAACCCAAGTTGACTAGAAAAAAACTTCACGGATAGAAATAAAAACCCGACTACCGTGCTTGTAAATAGACAATAGAGATGGACTTTATGATTATGCTCGAATTTCCTGCAGTCTCAATTTCCCCAATACAACTCAATACTGTATTCAATATACTCCATTTATTTTATGGATTTCAGCAGTTACAATTATGATAACAAGGAAAAATGATACTTTAGACATCTGAACTTCCCTAATCTAGTAACGTGTCAAGTTTTCCTAGACTTTCAGCAATGGTTTGGTATGGTGGTATAGTGTGCGGGTCTTGGTAATTAGGGATCACATAAGCATCGTCAAGTTCCTTGAGATCCGCAGCAAATTTCATGATTTGACTTCTTAACACCTTCACCTCCCTCCACTGTTGAAGTATAAAGGCCAGATTTGGATGCTCTAAAAAGTCTAATTAATTACACGCAGGAACATTGTAAACTTAGTGTAATAAATGATACCAAATTATAACACTGCAACATGTCGAAACTACCTTCAATGTCTATATCATCAATGTATGCTTTATGAAGCGCATTCCATCGGTTCATCAATATTCCGATAAGAAATGGGACAGCTTCCTGTTTTTCTGCATGTTCATCATAGAGCATGGCTAAAATATTCTAGTATGTCACATAACTTATAATATTTACGAAATAGATGTATTCAACATCATTAATTTATATATTCTTATCTCACCACTTCGTCGAACATGCTCCGAATTCATCTTGATTTCCTAAAGAATAATTTTTTTTAGAGAAATTTGTGGGTCTCACTTGAATAAGAATGCATCTTATGAAAAAAATGATATCAGGAAACAGTGTCTAGTGACAAGATATGAGAAATACTACATTAACTAGTATATTGAAAAGTAATACAATGATACTCGTCATTAATTTTAATTACCAAGCTTGTTGGTCGTTTGAGGCCCATTTCTTTTATTTGTCTTTGTTTCTTCTGCTTTTAATACTTGGATGGATAGATTGTTGTAATCTTCAAGGAGATTCGATTACAACTGACCATTCATGAGAAAGTTATGCTGATTCGTGTAGTGCGTTTAAAGTATAATGTAGCAAGGTACATTTGTCTTGAAGGGTCTCAAGCCTATTTATAATTAGCCGTTAGGTGTGCAGTTCACTATGCAAGGTCAAGAAATGCATTGGTCGAGTTAGGTAAACATGAATCCAGTAAGCATTTTACTGAATGCCTTTGAAACTCAGGGACTTAAAGGGGTTACCCTCTGAGTACACACGTCAGTAAGGCTTTTGCTGAGGCGAGAGGTCCGTACTTTTTCATATCTGCTTCTAGCGTGCTATTGGTAGGTTTATATTGGCCCATCTTTTTGCATAACCAAGCAGGCATGAAAATTTTAGTAGTTATACACAAAATCATTAGTTTTTCCATTACTTGAACATCTCTACATGATGGAGAAAGGTGGTCAGCCTTCACTCAAAATTTGGCATATATACATAATAAATGTTAGTTGAAGCATAATTGTCAACAGCATGAGTTGATTCACTTTGATCTGATTCTCCAACGTCCAACCAGGTACGCAATCATGCATTTCTCCCGTGCTGGTGTGGTGCCCTATATTTATGCAACTATATGAATATAGAGCTACTCCATGCATAAATATTGACAAGATGTCAGTATGGCATATGACATTACTCTCCCAGCGAAGAAGATGAAAGTCCTTGACTTGGCTGGAAATAACTTTGGATCGTTACTTTACTTTTAGCTGGCATACATACATTGCACCACACACTAGATATTCTACAGAGAAAGTAGTCACACAGAGTTATCCTCTACACATTTTTGCAACAAAACATTTCTCCAATTGTCAGTCCCAATCAGCAACAAAGAATTGCATAGTGAAACCTGACTTCCACAGAACACAACCGGCATGTGAATAAATGAAAGGCAAAACGAAAATTAACAGGTAACTCAAGTACTGGACGATTGCATGAAAATACTGATGAGACGACAGCCCTACGTCATCCAAATTACCATCCATTTGTCATTTATACTACCTCCATTAAATGCCCTTGAGGTTAAAAATTTATCCGGCAAAATTATCCACAAGAAGAGATATTTAGCCTCACCACCACAAGTATTTCCACCAATTTCCTTGTTTCGTCGGGCTGTGAAATGCATGCGTGCTCTTCGCTACCCACCCTTCATCCCGATCCGAAATCTCGGTCTAGCTCTCGGTCTTTCGGCCTTCCCATTACTCCCGTCCATCCATGCACCGTGTAAGTATATTTATAAGGCTGCTCTCTACTTTCTCCACCACGTTTAGTGGCATGTCCTCATAACGTGGAGAAAGGCTGGTGATGGTGGCAGTGAGAGAACCGGAGAAAAGATCAATAGTCCAACATGCCAGTGAGTATGGGTCGGTAGGTATCAAGAAGTGCACTGTGGTAAAGGGAGGAATGGTATAGCTTTCACAACCACTCACTCTTTCACCACCAGGCTAAAAGTAATGCAAACTACTCCCTGTGTGCAACGGGTGAAATTTCTAATTTGCTCCCGTCAAAAAAATATGTGTTTCCCACTTGGTCAAAATTTTGCCGTGTTGAGGATTCTTTAAGCTGAAAAGTTTGCTACACTTTTTAAAAAGTTGTACCTTCCGGTGATATCAATTACGGGTATTACTTTGTTCGAGGAGTGTTCCCACGCCTAGTTAAATTTGGTTTATCGGCGATATTAGCTAAATAAACTGTTCACATTTTGTTGCATACCGGAGATATCGTTTTGGATCCTCGTGTAGCTCAATACCATATCCGACATGTCATTTTTATGGATTTTGTCGACCCATAATTAGTGCTTTACCAGTTCCTTAATTACCATAGTTCTTGATAGTATAATTCATCCAGTAATTCGTACCACGTGTTATTGTTGAATGTGTCAAGTAGTTTCATAGTTATTGGATTCAGAGATAATAAAATTAGTCCGCCAAGAAAATGCAGCCGCCGCCGATGAGAAAGGTGAAAGAATTTATTCTGTTCTCTTACATAAATGAGGTTTTATTGCAATTTAATACGTATGCAATTGATAGAAATGATATATTTTCGTGTGTGGGGAGCCTAAGGTATTTCATGAATCGTAACATACATAACATAGCATGCATATCACTCATTGATTGATTTTATTGAATGGTTTAAGAATTTCGCAATTTTTTAAGAGTTGAAAGTCCAGTTTTTATTCCATCCGACTTTGCATTGTTTATTTGTTTGCATTGAATTATTGACAACAAGTATTTCATACATTCAATTGTTATCCATCCATTGTTTTCAATTTGGTCGGTTGGGATATGAAATTTCTACGGCTAGCTGGGTCAAGCCATTGAAACCTGTAACAATTATCGCATTAATAAATAACAGACTTGATATTAGCGTTTGCGATATATGTACATAAACATATGCAAGAGGCGTTTTGCATTATAACGAATCCGAACATAAGTAAATTTGAGTCCATTGAATGTGAATGGGTGGTTTTCCATGTCTCAACTTTCATCCATGCCTCAAATTACATACTTATGTTCCTCTCATTTGTTAAATTCCGGATAAATTCCTTGAGTTGATGAATATGTAGAAGTTCACATTTTTGCAATAACTTAAAAGAATTGTGTACACACAACAGCGAGGAATGAGAAATCTCAACATTGTCCTTTTCAAAAGTGCATATTACCAATGGAAAAATGGTGCGATCTAATAGGGCTTCGTGTGAGATGACGAAACAATTTATTTTTACAGTACGAAATCATACTTTTCATGCACCTTTTCAACGATAAACCTGTCTTTCCCAGGGCCCCTACCTGAAGGTTCTGACAAATGTTCATAAGGAACAAATCGCTCGACTTCAAGCCAAAAATCAGCATGAGTGCGACTTGTTGGAAGACATCAGGTATGACGCTACTCGTCGCATTCTCTTAAATTTAAAACTTACACTCTTAACTCTATTTGGTCAGGAGTTTTACAAAGCAACGATCTGCCATTGAAAAAAGCTACGCAGAAGTAAGTTCCCATAATCAAGAAAATGTTGATCAGTCGAAAATGAAAATAAGAAACTAAGTTGACATTGCTCCTTTTTCAGGCTCTTTTAAAAATTTCCAATGCCTACCTCAATAAGAAAATTCCATCAATTCCCGACCTGCGGGACGACGATGGCGATGAGCAATGGTACTATAAATATCATAATCACGTAAAAATATTCATGTCAGATTTGAACAATTTGCAAATTGGACGAACAGGAATGTCTGGAACGTTTGGCGAACCGTTCTTGAGGAGAATGAAAAGTTGGGAAAGGCTCGCTTGGCCGCAGTGGAAGTATTTCAACAGCAAATCACGGACGATGCCAAAGCAGTCCGACAAGTAAAGTTGTCCTCAAGCAGAAAGTGTTTGGACCAGCTTTCCGTGATTCAGAAAGAAGTGCAATACTCGGTGGCGGAGCTGGACAGAAATAAAAAGCTGTATTTCGAAGAAGAGCATCTCGCACATGATGTCAGAGACAGGTAATTTTAGAGACACGCGATGTCCTGGAAAAGTATGTGCTGGAGAGAATTGGCTCAATATATTTTTATCTATCATTCATGGTCAGCCAGAAGCTGTTGTCTAGAGAGAGACAGACACACAGAGAGAGAGAGTTTTCCAATATCTGAGATTGAGGTCGTATGTGATACATATAGTTTAGTTTACCACAACCCACCAAATAACCCATTTATCATTGCAACCTCATCCCATTTGCGAATTCTCGCATAAAAAAGTTGGAATTTTATTCAGGGAATAATGATCCCTTTTAACGAAATTAGTCCTTGGAGTTTTATTTTTAAGAGTATTAGATTTTTTTACACGACTCCGACGTGTAAACTTGCTCTACAGGTTTTAACACATTTCGAACCCAATTTAATAGCTCAAAGCGTGAGAATACCAACTATAAAAGCTTTCACCACCATATAAAATCGTATATGATGATCACGGGGTCTCTTACTTACGTACGAGCACCATACATTATTTATTTATGTAATGACCCACCGATACTGCTGGGGCAATAAGTATAAAATATCACTTCTTCCCCAGGATGAAGAAGAAGAAGGGGTCCATCTTCTCTTCCCTCACATCCCTGAAGAGAGAAAGCGTCAAGGTATGTCTGACCAACAAAGCAGAAATTATTCCTCCAACCGTGAAAAAATTACATGGCAGCCAAGAAAAATATGCATATCGTTGCTTTCTTTATACATAAATACAATTTTGTCATCATCGATCCATTGTTTCCTTTCACTTTCTCCACCACTATTTTTCCCATCGCCCACATCACCACCACCTCAGCTAAACCACTGATCTCACTCATCCCACTTTTACCGATACTCACTCTTCTCTTTGTCCAATGATAAGCTACTCCTGCTGCAATTAGGAAGAACATATATCTAAATATACACACAATCTGTTCCCCCGGTGCTGCTGTTTGGCTGCTCGTTTTCCTCACTGTGTTTTCTCTACGTGGCCTGATTTTATTCCAATCATATCTAAATATATATATATTTATACGCTCTTTTACGTACTACATACACACCAATGCTGCCGCTATTTCCGGAATGACTAAATTCATGTTGTTGATTATGTATATGAGATGTTGTAAATATGTACATACATATTTGTGTCATTTTGTGTGAATGAAATTGAATGACTTTCACTGACAGAGAGCCAAGGGGAAGGAAGATCAAAAAGTACTTAATCCAAATTTTTATCACACTTTTGCTTCTTGATGTTGTTGGTTTGGTATGGTTTGCATGCTTTTGGTCGTTAATTGTTCTTTTTTCACTCACTCCTCTTTCCATCACCACTTTGCAAAGTATTGCGACTTGGTGTCTGTGTAATATTGTTTTTTTGTGAAGGAAAACCAATGCACGATAAGAAATGGGGGGATGTAAATGTTGTTTCTGTAAATCTGTGAAATGGATGGATACGTACACATTACGGCGTGTATGGAGCTTCATAATTTATAAATATTTATGTTTTTTCATATATCCAAGTGAGCTTTTAGCCTTTATGTTCCAATATATGTACGTATTTATAGGCTGCACAGTGACGTGCAGAGAAAAGTAGTGGTTATTACTTAATTTTCACTCAACTCCCTGATGTAGAAAAATACATGGCAAACTTATGAATGTATGATTCAGATCGAAAATCAATAATTCAGAGGGTTGATTGCAAATTGCCTGCATTTTATGATAAGTTCGTACTGTAGATCGTAAAACACTGAGATGCCTTTGTTTTCAAAATCCGACATAAAAACGTAATTTTCCTGTTGAAAAGGTGTCCTCAAAGAAGGACGCGTGCGAAGAAAAGTCGACTGGGGCGAGGAATGACTACTTGATAGCTCTCGCCATCGCGAATGCGCATCAAGATCACTATTACAACGTGGACTTGGATGGAACTCTGAAAGTAATAACGATTTTTAAAGACGTCGTTAACTAATAATTGCTCAATATTAACCTTTGTCTTAAATACAGAGTTTGGAGGCCGAGGTGTACAGCAAGTTGAAGGAATATTTGACTGTGCTCAGTCGAACTGAGCTTTTAACTTGCTCCGCCGCCCAGAACTCCTTTTCGAAAATCCGTGACCAAGCTCAAAGGGTGAAAAACATTTACATGGGTTTATCATTGCTTATAGAGTGCGATGGACTTATGATATGTCTTTTTCTATAGTTATCAAGGGAGTACAATGTCATGTGCTGTGTGCAGTATTATCCAGTTCTCAAGCAGCATATCCGCTACCCTTTCGAACCCTGTGACGGGGATAGTTGTACAAAAATTACTTGCGATCATGGTGCAGGGGCCATTTTATCACGTGAAGCGAAACGCTGGGCAACCAAGATAGGAAAAGAGGTCAAAACAGCGAAAGAAAGTCAAAAGAAGCTGAACTCTCTTCAACAAATGAGGGATGCGGGCAATAAGGCGAGTCTTATATAGCGATTGAAGTGATGAAATAAGTAAATATGCAAAAATTTAACGCATTTGTTCTTCTACAGGCGGATCCGGATGATCCAAATGGGCCCGACTTGGAAACAAAGATAGAAGAATTACGCGACATTATTCGTAGAGCACTGGCGGAGAAAGCGAAGGCGGAAGGTGTAATTGAATGTCTTCGAGATGGTGACGTAAATGTGGACGAATGGATGCAAGATATTGAAAATTTGACCATCGACATGGCTAGATCTGCGAGTTCTACCTCAATTAAGACGGAGGATGGGTCTAGAGTCTGCTTTATGAAAGTCGGAGGGGTAAGCGATTTCTACTCTAGACGAGATTTGAATCTGTATCTGCTTAATAATTATAAGTCTCCGTTTGGTGTCCAGGAACGAGTTGAAGCCTCGTTCGATAGCGACCTCAACGATACATCAGAGAATAGGGAAGGCGAGACCTCATCGGCAGAACCACCCGAGAGAGAAGAGGATATTGAAGGTTAGTAGAAGCGTTTTCATTTCTACTTGCAAAGTTTTAAACTTGAGTTTGAATTCATATTATGACTGTCAACAGCACAATTTGAGATGGAGAGGAAAAAGATCGAAGCGTTATCCGCCATGACGTGGGACGATCCCATCGCTGTGGACTGGGGTGATGCTGCCGCAGAAGAACCTGAGCCAACCCCACCACCAAATGTGGAAATTAGTCAAGATCATAGCCACCCACATTACGAAATCACTCAGGATGTGGCTGGCATAAAATGTGTTGCAATATACACATACGAGGTACATATAATTGATCTCAATTTCTGTGTGTGACGTTAAAAATACGTACATATTTAGAACGCATATTTATCTCCATGTTTTGTGGCGCAATTCCGCTAGGCTGCCAATCCGGATGAGCTGAGCATCGTGGAGAACGAGCACTTGGAGCTGATGGGTGATCCTGGTGACGAGGAGAGTGGCTGGGTCCGGGCTCGAAATTACAAAGGCGAGGAGGGCTACGTGCCCCAAAATTATGTCGAGGTCGAAGCTGAAGGTGAGGGAAGTACCACTGCGTCAGGTTTCCCTCTCCAACCCCAAATTTCCTTTTCCTCAGTGGACTATCACGTGCAAGAGAAGGCCGTGCCAACGACGGAGGATGTCACAGAGGAAGGCAGGATGAAGGCGAGCGGTGCCATTTCAAACGGCTACATGATGGATCAGAATGAGGATGAGAATCAAAACTTGCCCCAAGACGGTACCCCAACTGTTCCTACGTCCGTCTCTTCAGGATTGACCACCCCCTTCATTAACGAACTTCGACATGGAGGTGCATAGCTAATCGTCACCTATTATGCAAATATTTGTAGGTGAAAATCATAATCTCTACTCTTGTCTATAGACGTTGGAGAATTTTGCCGAGCGTTATACGACTATGAGGCCACAGCCCCAGAGGAAATCTCATTTAGCGAGGGCCAGATAGTAAAAATATTGAGACGAGTAAGCCACTCGATATTCAAGTGTTATCATTAGGATACAAATTTGCACAAAATCAAAACTTTTTCAAAATGACAGGATTACGACGGATGGTGGGAAGGAGAGTACGACGGAATGACTGGAGTTTTCCCTGAAATTGTAGTTGAAGAATGCCGTTGGGATGGGGAACCACTTTCACCAATGGCAAGAATCCAGTCTATCTCACATTGAATTTGGAACTGTTTTTAAATAAAATTACCAATTTCAGGACGAGGATGATGAGATTGACGAGGACGATATTTCCGACTCTGGAATTTTACCTCCTTGCTACACTCCACCCGAAATTCCGTCTCATCTGCTTCCTCCGGAAAAAGTAGTGGTGACCCAGCCCACCCCAGAGATTGAACGTTCCGATGAGCATCAACCTCATTCTGAGGATGACATGGTCGAACCACCTCGGCAAAGAGAACTAGGTGAGGACACGGACGAGGAGGAGGATCAAATTAAGCAACCTGTGGAAAAATCGGCATCCTCGACAAGTACTCAAGCCGCTCCACCCCCTCCTGTCATAGGTAAATATTTGACTAATTAATTTACCTCCTGATCATCATGAGCTAGTGAAAGGTTGGCCTCGTAGAAAAAGTGAGAGAGAAAGAGAAAGGCTTTTTATGACTTGTTGCTGCGTGTAGAACCGCCAGCCATTGCAGTAGAGAGCTCGTCTTCGTCCTCTTTTGGCTTTGAAATGGAACTGAGTGGGGACCGACAGCGACAATACCAGGCCAATTTTACCTCTGACTCGACCAGAGATCCAGAAATTGTCGTGACTGAAATGCCAGGTGATTATTCCTTCCGGATGTTGGGCACTACTCACCTTCTTAACCCTTCTGCACTACACACTTCTCACAAATGATTTAATAATGACACTAGCTTTTGCATTTCTGCTATATGCAAATTAGTACTAATTCCGCTTTGCTTCGTAGTTAATAGTGTTTCGTGAATTACTAATGGTATTAACCAGTTATTAGAATACTGATTATCTAAACCTTACTTTTCCTTAGATTGTAACTAATTGTTCGTGCCTACTAATTGTTCATGTTTGTGTGTGCGTACCACAGGTCACTAACTTATTTGACTACATTTATACAGGGATCATGGTGACGATGGAACCTGACGACCCTGACCATGAGGAGGAGGCTCAGGTAATACTGGCACTTAATATACATTTGTAAGTACTGTTTTAAGTGACCAAAAGTAATATTCATGTTTCAATTTTTCCATGCAAAGGGAGGTGACTCAGGTTTAGACGTTGCTCAAATCGTGATAACGGCCGCAACGCCCATGACCGACGATCATGTCCCACTTCCCGGCGAGTCCTCTGACAAAGGAGTCGAAGGTGAAGGAGCAGATCCACCCACGGCAGAGGAGGATGTCGTTGACCATGCCACGGCCCCGGCAACCACCGCTGCTGAACCTGTCCAAGCAGACCAAAGTAAAAATTCACCCTCCGATGAAAGCAACGAGGAAGAAGAGGTTCCCGACTATTTCCCCCGAGTTCCAACCCAACCACCACCACCTCCTCCTCAAAAGGAAGCAACTCCCGAAGAAGAGGAGGAAGACGGTGGTGGCGGGGGAGGCGGATGGGCCGCGTTTGACGACAACTTTCCAAAAGATCCGATCTCCTCAGTCCCTCGAGTTGTTGAGGTTGAGGTTAAAGAAACAAAAATTGAGCCAAAGAAAGCCAGTCTTGACATCGACGAGAAAGAAAAGGCTCGAATTTCTTTAGGAGAAAGTAACGAAAGTCCAGTAACACCGGAAGAATTGGATGTTCAAAACCTTGCAAAGTTGGAATCTCTCAAGGAATCCGATGCTTGAAGATGCACCCTCGTAAAAATCTATGTAGTATTTATCATCACAATCACATCATTGATGGCAAAGTAGAATGCGGAGGAGAGTGAAAGCTGCGCTAATGACGACGAACACGACGAATATCAAGAGTAGAAAGTAGTGGCTGCATATAAATAGCTCACATATTAGCAGACATACCTAGAAGTCATCCATAAATTAGCTTACGCCCTAAATTATTATCCGCGTGTCTTACTATGGAGAGAAGAAATTAACCGTTGTATTAATAAATGCATTATGGGCCAGCGAATACGAGTACGAGTATAATAAATACAAACATTAGCTGAAAACAACATCAGCAGAGACATATGTAGCTGCAACCCTTCAGTAGATTAAGATTATACACAAATTTACTTTTGTATATGGTGACCAGAGAAAATTAAGGTACATAGAACCGTATAACTAATGGTACATATGTAACTAATTTACTACTAGTAAGCGACATGGGAAGCAGAAATGACATAGTATTCCTGATACTTAAAAATATCCAAGGAATCTAGATTTCTGTTGAATGTCTAAGATTTATCTCGATAAGGAATTAGCTGTTTGGTTGTCGTTTCTTGAATTGACTTTTGATGGAGATCATACCAAATCTTGTGTGCTTCCAAGATTTTAGGTGGTTGCGACCACTGGATAGTTCACATTTTCTCATTTTTCTTCCTTCCTTCATTCCAATAATATTTATTGCTCGCCAAAAAGGGAAAAATCAGGCAGGAAGAGAGAGTTCCTTCATAATCATAATCAGATCATTTATGGTGCAAAGAAGTTCGACAAAGCGAGTTGGCAACTGAATGTTCAAGCAAATATGTATTTACATAAATACGATACGTTCATATTTTTATTAATCATGTACTAGTTAATGCACAATATTTACGCCTTTATTCCCATCGATAATCAATCAAATCACTTTGTGGTTGATTTTCACAATAACTTTTTCCAATTGTGAATCAGACCTGTGTTCGAAAAAAATCTCAACCATTATCACAGTTCAACCATTGTCACCTTATATTGCTTGACATTAATGAATATGTACATACATTTTCCCATTCTTAACTTAATTATCTTATCTCAATTTAATAGAGAGATTATTAAGATTGTCTCATAATTTGCATCACAAGTAACTGAAACAATCATTCATAATAAAGCACAGTCTTATTGTTCTTAGTCAAACTCCAAAGACAAAAACTCAACAAGTCCCTGGCAATAGTCTGCATAATACATAAAGCCTTCCGAATTATCATCGGATTGATAATTCACCTTTTCAACCTAGCCAGACAACTCGGTAACCAGTACCAGACATAGCAAATAAATAAATCTATATATATGTATACATAGCCCTAAAATAAGATAAATTTCCTTTACGTACAGTAACATTGTCGTTGCACAAACAAATTTAATGATATACGAGCCTTTGGAAGTATGTAAATGAATATATTTAACATAAAAAGAGGCTGCGGTCGGACGACTTATTTTTAAAAGTCGTCTTTACAAGACATCAAAAAATTAATCGCAACCACCAACAACACCAAAATCCATCTCTATTTACCTAGAAAATAAAAAAATAAATTTGTGTACTACTCATCCTTACAAATTTAGTGGCATTAAAAAAAGTAATTCACAACAAATTAGACTGGTTCATGTAATACTAGACACGTGTATAAAGTGGTGAATGTATAACCTTGTAAAAAGTATGCAATGATGATTACCATGAAATACTACATTTATTGAGAATATTTAAACCATTACTTAGAAAAGTGCTTAGTTGGTAAATTTAAATTGTCATCCATTGTCTTATCGTTGGTCGATACGCTTCGTCAAGCTGGAAATATATTTTTGATGAATGGTGTCATTGCATTACTTGTGAGTTACTAAATTGCAATTTTATTCCTTCAACCTATTATAAAATTATATTATAAGTCAGACATACTTACATACCTGTAATGTTAATTGAGGCAATATATACATACATATGTACATCGCCACAAACTAGTTATATTGATACAACTGCAATACATATGTAAAGAGGTATCTGCATTAAAAGACTAACCATTAATATTACAAGAAGTAAAGTGGACTCGCATTTTTATTGACATACATATTTAACACGCTGCATGAGTATTATAATTTAATTTTTACTATATATGTACATATGTACATGCATTGCATTTGTGCATGGGTGAGAAATTTGAAAAATTACGTAGAGCTGAATCTACGTTTTTGACGTATTCCTAACCTAGGAGAAGAAATGTACTTGTGATTAAACCACAGTTTAATCAGCCCTCACTGTAAATTCAGTGCTTTTACTATGCAAACTCCAAACATTCTGCCCACGTATGTACATAGATATTTTATTTCAAGACTTGAATTTTGCCTTTCACATGGTTCATCCTTTCCCGACGGGTGTGAAATAGTTGCAAATTTTAGATCAGTTAAATGTTAAACGGTTATCTCCTTGTGTGCGTCATTTGATTAGGAACTTGATATTTTGCGCAATGATGCCTTGCTGATGGTTTTTCTCACTGGAATTTTGCGACACTTGGAATTGAATACAATTCAATACCCGTGGCCTCTCATTGCATAAATAAGTAGCTGTGTAAGGTAGTTGGCTTTGTAGGCTGGCAGCATTACAAAAAGTTATACAAATAGATGGGCATTGGTATGCGCAAGCAGACCCCCAATAATTGTGAACCACGATTGAATTTGTATCAAATAAGGAGTATTGGTTATATTGTAACATGAAAAACTCAGAAATGGACAGCTTGGTAGAACTGGAACTGGAGCATTGTCATGTCACACTTATCAGTCTTGGAGCACGCCATCATCATCCCCATCTCCACGCAGTCCTTCTCGACGCTTTGGTCTGTTACGAGGTGACGACGTACGCCTTCGCCTACGACCACGACAAATCTTCGGTTTTTCAATTTCAGGAATTTTCTCAATATTTCCAACTACTTTGTTCAGCTTGTCTCACTTTGCATGAAAAATTTGAACTGAAAGATTACAATAATGGGAGGACGGGGGACATTCCCTTTTCTGAAGGGTTTGTCAGAGTTTCTGACTTCGTTCGGATTTTTCTTACTGTTGCCGCAGATTTTGAAAATTTCGTCCGTTTCTGGACAAGAACTGCAAAATGTGAACATCGGTAAGTAATTCTTGCACAAGTTGTCTCAAGTCGAGTTACGATGGGAAAAATGGGAATTTTTCAAATTGCCCCGTCATAAAAATTCTCTTCAACTTTCCTTAGCTATACATAACTATGCTAAACTATTTACATCATTAAGCCCGTGGCATTGAGCACTTGAAACCAGCTTCATCGTCCTGCATGCCCCGTTTCATAGATAATTCGGTACCATAATTTCATCTACATAAAAATATTTTCATTACTGTCCATTCATTTTCATGGCAGTGCTGCATCATTTTATTTATTACGCATCCTTACACTCGACTATTTTATGGAATAATGTCCAGCTTGTCGAAATTTCATCAGATAATCCACATTAAATTCGCGACAGTGTAAAAACGTCACGCCTCTTTTCACTTACATAAGGCGTTGTCTTTATCTATCGAATCGCAACTCCAATTTAAAGCCAGAGGTGATCAATACCCGAATAATTTATGTTGACAAGAAACTTTTTAGTGGAACAGGGAAATTAGACTTGGGCTGGAACTTTATTGTAGCGTGGCAACTGATAACGAACAACATTAGACTTCAAACCCGAGAAAGAAAGAACGCTACAATGCATGAATTGTTTATGAGTTCGTGAATCGAGACGATAAAGCGATCGAAATGAATGTTCACAAAGTAAAACGAACGAATAAGCTATTTTGCACTTAAGATAGTTCTTTTTCTTCGCTATGGTTTGGCACAAGTGGTTCCTTTCCTTCCTGTCACGTCCGTCCAGCGGAGCAGCAGCACCTTTAGAAAGTGCTTGACATTGAAGGAAGTAAAAATACGTAGACATGCCAGGCGAATCGAACTTCTGAGACAATAAAATATCATAATGTGTGCTACATGCATGACGATAAATGTAATGATGGAAGGTTTTGAGACTGGTCGTTGTGCTAATTAGCATATATGTATCTACACCGGAAGTGGGATGGATTGGTGGGATTAAGAGTTTTAAACGACATTATTTTAAATAACGTTTGAACAGTCTCATATTCCTTACAAATTGGCTATTTGTTCCAAACACTGGCCTGCATGCGTAGTAATTAATGCATATTCTCATTCATCCCAAGGCGCATTTGGGAAATTGTGTGATGGCAGAATAAATTAGGTGCACGAGACGGCAATATATCTCGTTCACTAAATTGGAACAAGCTTATGGATCCCTATATTATTCAAGATGTTGTTTGAGAAGTTGCAATTTTTGGCAGAATTCGCGAATATTGCAAACTTTGAGGTAGGAATCAATGTGTATGTATATGTATTATTGTCCTAACCAATCGACTAACTAGGTAGCCTACACATCATTAGCGTAATTGCCATCGATGTGCATTTCATGAGCATTGAGCTCTCTAATATTCATGTCGACCTTTTTATTGCAGTGTTTTTCTATGAAGAATCGGAAACTGTCAAACATTTTGATGCGGCTGTTGACTACATCAATAAAAATCCTGTGGCTGGTGTAAAACTGGGAAAAGTTCATCGGATATTTTCAAATGGATCGGATGCCAAAAATTTAGTGACGGATAGTATGAAAAGCTATATTCATTTTATGAAAGCAATCATAATTTTAATTGCTTCAAAATTTTGACCTTTCTAAAATTTTATTTGTAATTTCTAAAATTCCTACGTATGCAAATGAACTAAAATATTTAAAATGTGTATGTATAATTAGTATGCATGCAAATGGATGAGATCAGAGCAGGCCCAGATAAGCCGGACATTGCCATCGACTTTACCAGACATGGAGTTCCATCGGAGGCTGTCAAGCTGGTGGTGAAAGTCATCAACTTGCCCACCGTGGCTGCAACGTTCGGTCAGGAGGGCGATATTCGGTACTTTCTGTGAACATTGTTGGCTAAAAATGTATCTAGGTATTTTCTAACGATACTTCCCCATTGTAGGAGTTGGCGTGATCACGCTAAAACAAATTGGGATGGCTACTTGGTCCAGGTTTCTCCCCCGGCAGACCTCTTGGTACAATCGGTGCGATCAATTGTGGGCAAGCAGGACATGACCAGTGCCGTTCTTCTGTTTGATGAACAACAATACGGTGAGCAGTGGCATATCATTTCAAGCGGTCATATACAAATATCTCACTCATTAGCATAATTAAAATTTACTCACTGCACAGAAATGTACCACAAGTACAAATCCCTCCTGCAAAATATGCCGACTAGACATCTTCTCACAAAATTGGAAAAAGATAGTGCCGGAATTCGCAAACAAATTGATAGATTGGTCCATGTCGACATTGTCAACTTTTTCATCGCTGCTACTCCCAATGAAATTTCTAGCGTCCTTGCCGAAGCCTCCGACAAAGATATGAAGGATGGGCCGTACTTTAGTGATGAATATGCTTGGCACTCCATGTCCCTGGTACATATGTATTCTCACAATTATTATGGCATTTAAATCGGAAATTTATTTACTAACTAACCGGTACGCATATTACTTTGATCATGAAGGAAGAAGGAGTTCCAAGATGTAATGCTTGTCGGAGTAACGTAACGGTGATCCATCTAAGTCCTGATTTTACCGAAGTTGGAGAAAAGCGAAGAAGTTTCCTCGCGTCCAGAGGAACGGTAAAGGCGAACAGGTTGACGGACATGTTCTATTTTGACATCACGATCAACACGATCTTGGCAGTAAGGTGTGTACCCTCAATTAACAAATGGAATATTTAAATAAGAGTGAAGAGTATTGTGTATCATTTATCATGAAAGATTTGCCTTTGTAATGTGTATTTTTACTTGCCCGAAAGGAAAATGAAGGCCGACGGTAACTGGATACCCCCACCGATGGATACTAAATGCGTCAACACAGATAATTTCACCGACACTTATAAATTGGACTTGTATGATGCCCTAAAAACAGAGGGGACGGACAACATTCTAAAGAATTTTAACTGGGGCAGAAACGGAAACAACTATCCCATTTTTACAATGAAGATTGAAAGATTCGTTTTCAAGGAGCATCAAGCAGAGTCTGAGACGAAAGAAAAATTAGGGGTTTGGAGGACTGGTTTCACCGAGCATCAATTGATCACACCCGAACCTGGCAAGGACGCCTTGTGGAAAGTTCATCAGGCCCTGACCGTCTTTCGAATCGTCACTGTCGTGGTGAGTTTGTGTATGCATTTCAAAATCTCACCGTAACTAGAAACTCTCTAACAATTCCTGTTAACCCTCATCAGCAACCTCCCTTCGTGTATAAAACGCCTGGCTGCGTTGAATCGGCTGAGAATAAGTACAGCCGATGCTTCACCGGGTACTGCATCGACCTTCTCGAACGGATTCAACAAGATCTCAAGTTCAACTACACCATCCGAAACGTTTCCGACTATGGCTACATGGGCAAAGAGGAGCCCCACGAGTGGACTGGCATGGTCAAAGAACTGAAGGACAGGGTACACAATATTCACTCGAAGGCCAACTAAAATATTTGACAAAGATGATTGAGTAATAATTTAATTCACAGAAAGCTGACATCGCTCTCGGAGCAATGTCGGTCATGGCGGAACGAGAAAGTGTTGTTGACTTCACGGTGCCATACTACGATCTTGTCGGGATTTCGATTTTAATGCGAAAACCAAAAACAACAACGTCTCTCTTCAAGTTTCTTACTGTGTTGGAAAACGATGTGTGGATGTGCATCTTGGGTGCTTATTTTTTCACCAGGTAACAATAATCTCTCTGACAAATGTATATATCTTTGTCGACAATTAGACTTTAATGTGCTGGTCTGGCTGTCTCCATTAATGAGTCTGGCCACCCTATAAAGTACATATTGTATCTTTTGAGAGATCGCAATTCAAATAAAAATTCATGTGTCACCTTATAATTTTTAGCATTCTGATGTGGATATTTGACCGATGGAGCCCATACAGTTATCAAAACAACCGAGAGAAATACGAGGACGATGAAGAGAAGCGAGAATTCAATCTCAAAGAGTGCTTATGGTTCTGCATGACGTCTCTGACCCCACAAGTTAGTGACTGAAACAAGTTTTCGGTCAAATACCCAGGCAAATCATGGTCTTTCTTATTATTTTTTATCCCATTTTCTCACCAGGGTGGTGGGGAAGCTCCTAAAAATCTATCTGGTCGTCTCGTCGCTGCAACTTGGTGGTTGTTTGGGTTCATCATCATCGCCTCATATACCGCAAACTTGGCCGCTTTCCTGACCGTGTCTCGATTGGACGCTCCCGTCGAATCCTTGGAGGACTTGAGCAAACAATACAAAATTCAGTATGCCCCCCAAAGGGATAGTGCAGCTTGGATCTATTTTGACCGGATGGCTCACATTGAGCACAAGTTTTACGAGTAAAAATTGGCATCCATAAAAATTTCTATTACTTTCAGTTTCATTCCTCACTAATTGCTATCATCTACATGCATTAAAACTAATTCAGGATTTGGAAGGACATGAGCTTGAACGACAGCATGTCTGACTATGACCGTTCTCAACTCGCCGTGTGGGACTATCCTGTGAGTGACAAGTACACCAAAATGTGGCAAGCGATGCAAGAAAATACTCCTCCACTCACATTCGAAGAAGCAGTGGTTCGTGTTCGGGGGAAGGAAGAAGTGAATGCGCAGGATGGTTTCGCATTCTTAGGTATGCGTCTTACCCATGATTGTAGAAACAATTCCCAAAGATTTTCTATAAAAAAATATGAAACGGTACTAATTTCGTAAATTCCGTGATAATCTAAGTTGAAATTCAGTTGGTTAAGATTAGTCCGAGCCGAAAGCTCCTCCGCATTTCCAATAAAGTTTACTTTTGTGTTGATATAAATGAATATGAATATCTGGCCAACAACAGGAGAAGCCACGGATATAAAGTACCAATACAAAACACATTGTGAATTTCAACAAGTCGGGGAAGAATTTTCGAGGAAACCGTACGCCCTTGCCGTCCAGAAGGGTTCGCCTCTCAAAGAGTCGTTTTCTCATATGTATGTAAGGCTAGCGGACTCAATAAGTTGAGACAAAGTTAAATACTCCACAGTTACGCATGAAGGATTTTTTAATTTCTTAAATGCTACCAATGTCCTGATGGTACTTGGGCAGATACATGAATGTTGTGGCATGGTTTGGTTTCCGTATAAATTAATTGGGATGCCAACTCTATTGGTCCAATGCTTAAATACAATTGCGCAATAAGGCCATTTTAAAATTGGTACTAGTACGAATAATTACGACTTTTCGTATCATTTACATGTGGCTGCTTGTTATAATTACTTATTAGGCGATGCCACCGATATCAGGTACGAGGTTTTGACAAGCTGTGATGTTCAAATGGTGGGAGAAGAGTTCTCACGAAAGCCTTACGCTCTTGCGGTTCAGTGAGTATTAAATTCCTCAATTTTTCTGTGTTGAGTTGGAGATATTTTTTGTTACTTGAGAAATTATAACAAGAATTAAAACCATCTCGAATTGTTCTTTTCGCATTTTTCCAGACAGGGATCTCCATTAAAAGATCAGCTCAATGATGCGTAAGAATGCCTGATCTACATCATTTTTATACGGAATGATGCCGCTTTACATGTTGTGGTTTTAGCTGTCTGCACAAATTGCTTACATATTGATTAATGATGGTCATATCTACTTTGGTGTTAAGTGATTTCACTGCACGTCTCGTGCTGCACAAAAATTAACAATCTAACTAAATTAAAATTATGTTGAGTATGTATGACATTAAAAAATACGCACTAATTCCTTAATATCTCACAAATGATGCTCAGGATCTTAAAACTGTTGAATCAACGCCACTTGGAACAATTGAAGGAACGTTGGTGGAATGAGAACCAGTTTGCCAAGAAAGATTGTCCCAAAGACGACAACCAGTCTGACGGGATCAGTATTCACAACATTGGTTAGTTTCTTATTGCCTCGCATCCCATTCCATTCGTATACTTATTATCGTCCACAACTTGTAAAATGTTATGCCATGTTGTGCTAATGATGATGGAATTCTTGCAATTAGGTGGAGTGTTCATTGTTATTTTCGTGGGAATAGTGATGGCTTGCTTCACCCTCATCTTTGAGTACTGGTGGTACAGGAAGAGAAATATTGCCGAGGAAATGGCAGAAATGGCATTACCAGCACCCAAAGAATTCGGGTCTACATTTGGAGCCGCGTCCACGGACAAGACCAATTTCAACACCCAATACAACAAGTATGCACGGCTCAATTTTCACCATCCACTAACTAAACAACTCGTGTCCACTTAAATTACAATTCCACTTTTGTTTCACAGACCACCAGGGGCTCGAGCTGAGTTGCCGTCGATTGAAAACTCGTGGTAGTAACGGGACCGAGGAAATGCGGAATATTTAGCTAACTAATAATATTTAAATAAATAAATAGCATTTAAATCTTGGATCATGAAATGATGATGATGTGCACAAATCTAGCGTGTAATATCATGTAGATCTTGTGATATCTTGTGATATCGAAGGCATGTATTATATGTATCATAGGATAGGGATAGCGCCCATTATTGTGCTTATCGCTTACTCTTTCACAGTTATTTGATCTTAAATGATTTATATATGCTGCTATTAAACAATAATTTTAATTAAGTGGGAGTTAAAGTGCACCCAAGGAAGAAGGGTGGTCGAAAGAAATAAGGGTTGCAAAATGATCTCTACTTTCCAACTAAAAACTTACATTGCTCTATTCGAAATCAATAATAAATATATATCTATACATCTCACAAGATTATTTAAATATGTGCATTAAAATGTTTCCTTGTAGCAAAACTATGCATATCGCATAGCATCAACACCACTTGCTGTCGTGTCTCCCCATTTTTTTCATCTGTCTGCTTAAAAGGATACGATGGGAAAGAAGACGACTCGTCTTCTCCTTAATCCGGGTGAATTTCGAAGGAAAACATTCGAGTCGAATGCTACAAAAGTCTCCAGTTCTAAGGGGCATTGATTTTAAAAAAGATTTGAACGTGAGTGACTTATGGTCCCTTTGGTCTATTTAAAAATGTTTCACTCGGTTTGTTTGTAGAAGCAAAGGTTACACTCGGGTTGGATTGTTTACAAATACATGTTGAGACGACAATCAGTATTTTGTAGTATGCGTTAGGGTTTCTGTATCTCGGAAAATGAATATAAATTCGTCATCGTCATCATCATAAAGTAAATTCAGTTTGCATAATTTTGATAATTTTATCAAACTCTAGGTGCGCATTTCTCATAAATTAGTTGTATCAATCTTCTTGAAACAACATTTGCCTTGTGGACTTCATGCGCGTAGGTGTCTGTACGTATGATGATGGGAGCCCTTTCTCAGTTTTAGAAGAAGTAGGAAAAAAACTTTCAATATCTGAAATGAAAACTAAAAAGCTTAATTCCTTCCCTGCCACGCTGTCGTCTCCTTCAATTGAGTTAATGTAAACAAAAACGAAGCTAAAGAAATAAACAGAGAACGAGATGAGTAACTCTTTGAAAGTATTTTAACATTTTTTTACCCCATCACATTCACAACTCGCGTTTCCCAAACAGTGACACTTAAACAAACTGTTTCTTGTATTTCACTCACTTTTCATACATGATGCCAGCAAAGGAGGAGGACTGAAGTACAACATTTCCGTTGATCTTTATACGTATGAAAAATTCTATCAAAATTTCATAAATCACTCTGAAAAAACTTGTATCTGTTTCAATACCTGCTGAAATTGCGTGGTATTTTTTGTATTACATACATTATTACGGTTTCATGTGGTTCACCGGAATTCGGATTTTTCATAAACATTGATATTTTACATCCGTTCCTGGTTTAATTTTATTGAGTTCTGTTCCGAGTCTCTAATGGATTCCGTTGCTTTTATCATTTTCCAAGTCAAAAATGAGTTATTGCGTTGAGTCAACAAGGATAGTAATAATAATTTTACACGAGACAACAGAAGTAAAGTAAAGTAAGTAGACGAGTAGTGATCTGTTTTTCAAGTTGGATGCTCTTTTGCAGGCAGGTCTTTCGGTTCTGGGAGCAAATCCAAAGTTGAAGATGAGTCTAGAAGGAGGAGTCGATGAATCCCTTAATCCGCCCTTTGTACGGATCTCGTTTGCAACATATGAGGAAAAATCATCCCAATTGAATCTCTGTGAAATGCACGCATGGAATCTCTCTCTCTGCCTGCACGAACCAAGATTATCTCTTCTTTTCTGCTGCGCCATCCTCCCAAGTAACGAAAATACTCATGCTTTTGATGATATCTCTTCCGCAAATTATGAGAAGTGCAATTGGGACGTTCAAGTGTGTAAATTTGATGCAGTATGTATGTACGAGCTCTCGAAGGCGAAGTCGAAGTCTCTGGCATTTTACTACGATTTGAAATCTGAGCCGTGCAGGTCACTACGAATTGGTCCTAGTCTTGTTTGCAACTAATTGAAGGTTTCCCAACCCGTTACGCAATAGAATAAAGTATACAATGCGAACTTGAGACAGTTTTAATAGTTGGGTGTCAATATCAAAGCTAAAAAATCGTTTAAAGGGATGGTTTACATTTGTGAAGAAAAATGGGTGGAAATGAGAACACAACAACCAGTGAAGTTCAAGTTTCAAGTCCAAATACCGGAGGAATACTACATCATAATAATTTGGAATAACTTGAGACTGTTGTTACCCAAAAAGTATGCAACTTGGTGATAATTTTAGCGTGATTATACTGACTATTTAAAAGTAGCTACACACACAGGGTGTTTATAATATTTGAGGAAATTGTTCGTAGTGGAATTAGTAGTGAAATCGACGGCTACAAAAACATAGTCCATCTTTATATCACAATGTATCCCTTATCAAACGTGCTGGGAAATAGTTTGACTGACAATTATGGTGAAGCTTATCACTACGAAGTGGTCGATGGGCCTTTCCCTTCAAGAGTCACATCCATCGGCGTGTGTGGGGACTTGGAGCCCGAACGACCAATGCACCTCGCCTACAACGACATCACTGACCACTACACCACCCAGAATCAGCCACTAATAAATAAAGAGTTTTCAGTAGACCACCCAAATTTGGAAGAGTTTGTCCCCTCCACCGCCCTCGTGTGGGACTGCATCCTCTGCGGACTGGGGAAGGTGGAGGAGGGAACGGGTTGTACGACTTCCGGGTGCGAAGGGTCTCGACGGCCGGTCAAGAGACGAAACACGGCGAACAAGAAGGAGCGACGGAGGACGCAGTCCATCAATAATGCCTTCACCGAACTTCGAGACTGCATCCCCAACGTCCCTGCGGACACCAAACTGAGTAATTTTTACTTTGTTTCTAAAATTGTGTTAACACTTTGACCCGTGAGAACTATTCTCACAGCGAGGAATAAGGACTGACAAGATCAAACTTGCATAATATGCTAATTTTATTTACAATATAATTACGCAATTAAGCCCGTAAATACTACTACAGCCAGCTGTATTTTCTACAATACATTCCTATTTTACAAGTTTGTTGGCTGAGCATGACTATGTGACACCACTTATTTACTAATGTGTAGCAAGTACGTAAGGTATAATTTTCTCGTTTAACTAATATTTACCATCTCAATTGTAACTGTCCCCCCACGGAACGAATAAGCATCATTATTACATTCCCCGTCTTGTCAACTGACTGTGACAAGTAATCATTCTAAGCCGACTCTTTTTTTCTCCCATGTCGAGATTTTCCCATTGTTTCCTCGTCCTCGATTCAATCAAGGGATACATAAGTTTGCATCTAAAAGTCGTCTGTCTTCGTATTGCGTGCGATGATGGACACCTACTCGAATTTCGGTAGATCATGTCAGGATGTCACGGCCCTGTCACTCACAACCATTTATTCACATTCTTGGCTATATACCGTCTCATTTAACACTGTTTGATTTTGCGTCTCGTTCTGGTCCTTTTGCTCTCTTTTTTGAGATTATTTGAGGCATTATAATTCATTATTTTGACTATTTCCGTTTTGTGATTTTCAGGTAAAATAAAAACCTTGCGTCTTGCCACGTCCTACATTTCCCACTTGTCCAGCATTCTGACCAGCGATGACCCTCTCCGAACCCCACCCCCGTTCAATGCAGACTTATCAAGGAGGATGACGAGAGGAGGAGGTGGTAATAATGGCGAAGATAAGAGGAAGGAGATCATGGAGGTGAGTTTTGTACGTGGAAAAACAAATTCTCTGAAAAAAAATCCTCAATTCTTTTCTCTTGACACGAATTACTCATGCCCTTGTTCAAATTAGGATGGATTTTATTTTACGTCGGAATAAAAAGTTGCATGGCTAGAATAATGGGAAGAATGGGGTGAGAAATTAGGTCTCCCCCACTCTGTTTTGGCACGATAAATCTCGCTAATGAACATGAAGGATGTGCTGTTGTGACTCGGGCTGACCTCACACTCGGAAAATGAGACCTTTCACTCCCGTCCTCCAAACTAAACCAACTGCTTTCCAAAACATCCTTATTAACCAAACAATGCGACAACGTATCCCTTTCCGACTTGAATTTATTCTGCACATTTCAGTCACGTTACTCGATAGCATAATATATTCTAATGCATTATATATACTTATCTGGTAGAAATATTTTTAAATAATTCTCTCCTGACAAAATGAAATCAATCAGTCGTGCGTTAATGGGCATGTGAAAATTGTGAGGAATTTGTACTTAATTTAAAATATGACTGCTCATAATTATTCTCACAGTGCAAAATAATGGGTTGAATATGAGACGAAATGCAACGAGTCGAGTGCCTGCCTGCCACACACTTATTAAGTTTTATGTAAAAGTCTCAACCTGCCTCACTGCACGTGCAAAGGAGCCCAATCGAGTTAGACGTTATTGGGCTGCAAAAGTCTGGTTTCTCCCTTTCTCTGAAACATGGAAAGTCTATTTTCTAAATTAGATCCCGATGATTTTATCACCACAAACGACACACTTGCCTCGATTCCTGGAGGGGCTTGATGATTGTTTATGTGGCTTGATTTCAAATGTTGGATGTAGTTGAAGTTTCATTATTGCATTACGTGACCTAAATGAGTCCCTAATTTTGGACACTTTTCCATCTATATTTGATGCTCGTGTTTGGTGGGTTTTCTCACCAGGAAAAGTACAATTTAATTGGAAGGGGTGACTTGGAAAATGAGATTTTATTATTATTATTATCACCATTATTATCGCGATCTCGAATAATACAATTATACGATAATGATGAGATAAGTAGTTTGATAACTGTGGTGGGAAGTGTTTATGAAATTTTTAATTGTATTTTTGCTAGATTGGAGAATCTGTTCCTCGAACCAACATGCGGATGGACTCTCGACGAGGGAAAGGAAGGACCGGATGGCCGCAAACTTGTTGGGCGATGGAACTACAAAAATGAAACAAGTGACTTCCAAATATTGCTAAAAGATAATTTTACTCGAGCAGTATTTTCGGAAAATATGATATCACACTCTCTCTCTCTACCTCTACGGTATTTCATCTACGTTCCTTCTCTCTCACTCTCTCTCCTTTTCTCTATTTTTGAAAATGTCTCAATTTTCACAAATTTTCACCTCGATTAATGGTCAAAGTATTTACACATCTCTCTGTATTCATACATGCCTACATAAATACAAGGACTCTGTCAAAATGTAAAAGTATTCTACTCGTATTACTACCTCTCGTAGATAGATTTCACTGGATAACCCGTTGATTAATGTCGTCAGCTAAAACTTATTATTGATTTTTATAAGCAATCTGCGTCGTGCATGTATCAGTATTGATTGTTAAGTCTCGTAAAATGTATGTAGCGTCGTAAAACAGTAATAATATTTAATAGTGTACCGTACAACTCAAGCGTTGATATGTCATATGTATTAATTGTAATTTTAACGAGTGTGCCAAAGATATACGTAAAATAAATACATAATTATACACAAGACACACCACAAGATATCATTTCATCACGTTTATTATATATGTTCACTCATTTGATTCCAGTTCTAATAACTTAACATTGACATTTATTTGTGGATGATGGTAGGTTGAGGTTTGTATTTCTCTCTCGAAATTAGTGGACATTTAGTCATCACTATATATTTGTATAAGTATATATTTATATATATTAGTTTGCGACAAAGAGCTTTCTTTTTATACTCAATCGATCGATGCGTCACGTGATAACTGTGCTAGGTCATTTTTAAAAAGATACAGAGTTGTTATCATAATCATCGTCATCATCATTTTATAGCGTCTGGACTTTTTTTTTGAAAAGGCTGCTTTCTAGCTGGGGCAGTTGCTCCTCATTATATCCTTCTTCTTGGTAGATTTTGATTCAATAACTTTAAAAAAATTTTCCAGAGGAGGTAATAAAAGATATAGTGTGGTAATAATGATTTTTTTTACAAGAAAGCAATCACAAGCTAGATGAATATGTTACATGTTTTTTATCCAGTTGAATATATACGCAATATTATAATAGGCACATATTGTTCTGCTAGCCTCTGCTTCTTACTTAGTAATAGTAAAGATTGCCTGCCCATCCACAACAACACTTAACTCCGCATGCATGATAGGATGACTCTGTCTGTACAACCAAGGAACGAATGACGACAAATTGCTACAATACAACTTATTACATTTATTAGAAACAAATCAACCCTCACGACAAAAAACTGAGAATTAAAAAAAATCCGAATCCTGATGATGATGGAACTATAACTGGTAAATTGCAAGCTGCAATAATACAGGCGGCTCATAAATTTGGGAGCAATTAACGGTGCAACGTCAACTCCATGGATGATGGTGTAACATGACGTGTCGCAAAGGTTATCAGGTACGCACAATTTCTACATCACGATACTATGAAAATATTTTTTGGTTATTTTTTTAAACCATTAAAAGTTAAGTCGTCGTCTACTCAGAGGAAACATAATTATAATATTAACATCATCCCTCTCTCCCCAACAGGAAGTTTTAACAATATAGAGATTTAGGTGTGTTTGTCAATTAATTATAATACTCACACAAAAGTGATTTATGTATGTATGTACAGTATTCGCCTCTGGAGAGTAAATACTGCGTGACCAGAAAGAATTACAGCAATAAGCTTTATGGGAACAGAGAACCTTTTTTCATTATCTTCTTTTGTATCTCCGCCAATAGTCTTGATTATTTATAAATGCTCCGAATCATCTGAATTGATTAAGGCAGTTGGTTTGATAAGTGAACCTTCTGTAATGGAATCAAATCCCGATCCCGAAGATGACGTGACAGCGTCGGGCAATCCTTGACTCGAGTTTGCGGAAGGTTGTGTTACACTAATATTTTCTTTGTTAGAGTCGTTCGGAACATCACTTCTGCTTAGCCTCATTGCTAATGAGAGATCCTGTAAGAAAAAAAGCATTGGTTAGTAATTTATCAAAACAAAGGCACTCAATAACATAAGCCATAAAAATTGTGTTAGGTGCCAGTCATTAAAGTTAGTCAAGGCAAACTATACCTGTAATATTTCAGTTTCTTTGTCTTCAACTAGTTTAAAGGTTTCGTTAAATAACGTGAAATGCGCAAACACCAAGTGAATCAGGGGTGCTGGGAGTGGATCTTGATTGTCCTCCATTGAGGTGGTAGCGGTGGCGGAAGGACTATACCCGTATCCACCCTGAAAGATCATTTATTTATCATAAAGTCAATATCAAGAGATAAGAAAAAGGGGAAATGGTAAACGTTAAAACTAGTGAGTAATTTACAAACCTTAAGGTTAAGGTGAGCGTGAAGGCTGAGAAGAACGACTTCTTTAAAGTGACAATGGTATATGTGTGCTATGACATGAAAAAGTAATCGACAAATCTTTTTCACGATCGGTTTGAAGGATGGAGGAAACGCATTGGCTACAAATATAAAAAATAGATGATGTTAAATAAATTTTAAGTGCCATCAGCTCGTATAAGTTCGTATATGGCATTGCAAATTATATATTGACTTACTAGTCTTTGTGGGGAATACGCACTCATCTGCAAATTGAATAACACACAATAATAACAAGAATACTTACAATTAATTAGAGGAATAATTAGCACAGTAAAAATGCTTATGTATATATATTTGTTTGGAATACCGTTGATTGTTTTCTGAATAAAAGTCATCACATAGTCGACTATGAATAATAATAAAAAATAATAATAAAACATACCATTGCTAATATACCACTTATATGTAAAACTATATAACTTACTATACTGCGGAGCGGCTACTTTCACTTTCTTTCCTTTTTCATCAAACCACAGATACGTTCTGTAAGCAATTCGGCAAAGAATTAGAAGATTCATTTATCCATTTTAAATTGTTCAAAAATTTCATCACATAACACTAATTTAACACAATTCTCACTACACTCACCTCATGCACGGACCATTCATATCAGGACAGCTTGTTGACGTACAAAACTCTGATATGGTTCCGTAAATCAAGTTAACGTGCTCAAACAAAGCTATAGCTGTAAATTAAAATTTTACAAAAACATGATTAACACTACAGTGTCATGACAGATTATTATTTAGTATTGATTAAAAGAACAAAAAAGTTTATCTGTACTGTGAGAAGCCATCCACTCATTTTCTTCTAATCCCGTCGGCATTTCGACCAGATGCTTTAAATCAGTCTCATTCAGATGTCTTTCCAAGAGTGCAGTTTCGAGGTACAGCTTCCCCAGTTTTCCGTCCTCATTGCTCCCAAACCCACCTACACCCCCATATCCAACTCCTGACACGGGAGGCCCGCCAGTTGAATCCTTCTCTTTTCGACGAGCTTTCCTATTTATTAAAATATAATAAACAATCATCAATAAAAATAATTCATGACCGCAATATAGCATCATCACCCCCATTCATTTAATTGTGGGTTGCCAACTTTATTTGAGACAGTGATTGATGTAACTCAGTCAGAGTGAGAAATGAAAAAAATGACTGACCATCGTCCATCAATAAACCCAACACTTAACTCGTCTCAAGGCTTATTGAGCATCCCTCACATTTTATTCCGCAACAACATGCATGAATATAAATGTTGTCATCAGTCAATGGAATTATTTCATAATACAGACAGACCAAGAAAATTTCTAATTCAGGAGCAAGTCAGTTGACAAAGGAAAATACCATCATCTAACACTCCCCTACTACAAACTTATTGATATCATTGATTTTCAATGCCCCTTTCTTCCTGTCATGGATTACATATGTATGGCTATGCTATGTCATAGAAATTGCAAGTCAAGCAAAGCAATGAACAAGTCTATTGATTAATTCTTCCTCCATGCGACATACTACTCCTCAATTACGAAATCCAATAATCTTATGGTAAAGTCAAGCAAAGAAACAATATCACCTCTCTCGCTCTCTCTGATACGCACTTATATATAATATATACGAAATGAATGATGGCCCATCCCCACGAGTTCAATTTACTGTCAAATTGGTGGGGAAAAAATTTGTATGAAAAAAAAATTGGCTCACCCCATAAACCAATCCACGGTGTCGCGGAGGTATTCTGGTAACCTATCCAGCTTGAAGCGATTTTCGTAAGACGACGATTCACAACTTAAAATGAATTCCGACGACGACGGCGACGACGAAAGTATTCGGATGATGTGGTGACGGAAGGAAGAAACAAAAAGTCATGATCCTCCTCCCCCTCTCCCCTCCGTGCGTGTCGCCCTCAAACTATTTCCCCCTTAAGTTATCCTACTATACGATTTCCTTAGTTTAATAACTATGTTATCCACCGAGACCGTAAAATAAACGACAACCTTGGCGTCAGCTTTATATCTGACTTCTTCTTCACGCCAAAAAAGAGATTTTGTTTCTTATTAAGAAGAAAATTAATTATTATAATTACATATCACACAAAAACCTTACTATACTTAACTGATTGTTTCACTTTTTCCTTGTACACTTGATTCAATGCTCCACCCTTTGCCTTTCAAAATAATCACTCTCTTTGCTTATTTTCTTAGGACTAACAAAAAATTAGATTAGATTAAAAGCAGTAAATAAATGCTTATCGTGTATTTTTAGATAGACAGATTGAACTGACTGACGAACGGGTGACAGGCTGGCTGGTAAATATTTTTTACAAGATTGTTATTTAAAAAAAGTAACTAGACAACTAGAATGACTGCGAAGTTTTCGATGTGTTACGTTGTAATAATTAAAATAATAATAATGAGATAAAAACTTGGAGCAATAAGTAAGATATTATAAATTCAAGATGATGACGACCCAAGCAATGATATTGATTCGGAATAAAAATCCATACGAAAATGCTGTGTCGTTGGTTGACAAGAAGTTAAGATCAATAAAAGTTTACGAAAACGATGACGGTAAAATGGTAATAATAATAATAATAAGAGTAATAAATTAATTAATACTGCTGACCAAGCAAAAAGACAACATAGATTTTTAAAAAAGTTGCTCAGTCAGAATTTTAGTGGTGGATTGAACTGGATTACTAAATTTTTTCCTCACTAATAACTTATCAGTTGTATAAAAAGAAAAAAATACGAAATGCACAAATAAATTAGGACCTTGTTTTTGTCAAGGTCGTAGCGGATCACACTATTGTTACGATAAAAGCCCAGAGGTCACCACTCCGTTGCGACCTCCTCCTCCACACCCGTAATTCGACCAAACCCACCCCACTCACAAAGAAGTTAATTGAAAGTTTAATAATTCAAATTGTGTCTTGCAGCAGTTTTAGTTGTGTGTGTGTGTGTGGCTGTGCTCTATTATCTGACCACTTTTTACCAGAGTTGAGTCATTCTTTCTGCTGCTGGTGAGTGTGCTTTCACCACGAATCTCTCTACTACTACTCACACACCACTACTGTAATACCGTTCTCGATTACTTGTACAGTACACATAGAACTTTACAAAAGCCACACAGGAACTACGGCTAGTCGTGGATATAAGAGAACAACAGAGTGGCTGGGTGATGATCAGATGTTGCAGCAGCAGCAGCAGCAGCAGTCGAACCACTCACTCTTTTCTCCCTTTTTGCTGCTCACTTGCTTTCTACTTTCACTCGTCGTCCTTCTTCTGCGTCTGTGACAAGTAGCTGACAGGAGCGATACCGATCAGAGGAAGATGACGGCTGAGATTCACATCTTGCCTTTGTAGATTGCGAGTTTTGTTGGCTACTCATTCAATACGAGGATGATCATGATGAGAAGGAAAAAGCTTAAATTATTATTATTCCGCTCCTCCTGCTTCTCCTGCTGCTTCTTTTTGGGAAAGACTTCTCCTGTTATTATTATTGGCTCCTCCATTCGAGAGGAAGATGAAGCAAGTAAAAAGTGATGATCAAGTCAAGCTCAAGATTCTAATAGCTTCAAGATGAAGAAAAACTCTTTCCACCACCACCACCACGAACCATGAGTACCGCTGGTTGCCTTTTTTAATACTACTACGCTTCCTTTTTATATGTATTCTGCGACTGGCGTAGGTTTCTTGGTCTGCTGCTGGTGACTGATGGGGCTTATTACACACAGGTAAAAGGAGGTAGGTAAGCAGTGGATATTATTATACCCCATGTGAGTGTTATATGGGAGAGAGTAGAGTTCTCGTCAACTTGCTACTTCCTTCTCTGGACGGGATGGATGGAGCATTTGATATTATTATTACGTTACGTTACGTGGTGGGTATCTCAGTAGTTGGCTCATATGAGAGAGTCGTCGTCAGAGCAGTTTTATCGTGGCGTGGCCTTGTTCTTACGGCAGGAGGAAATTCGAGATTCGTTCGTCGGCCTTTATGCAGAACATACACATGCGCTAGTTTAGTCGCTCTCTCTCCGACGTAAAGTCGTCACCAAGAACAACTCACTCACTTGCTTTCTCCGGCAAGAAGAACCCACCCAAAAACTGGAACAACCTGGCTGCTAAACCGACTCATACATACAGAGTAGCCGTAATAATAATACATCACGATCATCATCATCATCTTGCCGTTAGAAAAAGGGAACAAAATGTAGAAGAGAGAGGAAAGAAAATGATGAGATGACAAGAAAGGGAGAAAAGATTCATGAAAGGGTGTTCGGATGTGGACTAATAATAAGGGGCAGTGAGGGATAAGAGAAGCGTATGTATGAGAGCTTCACTATTATTAGGGCTCATCATCTATCACCAAAAATGAGAATTTGGGACAGGAAACACTTTTGCATACTTGGGTGGTGTATGGAGTAGATTGACGATGGGATGGTAATGATGGTGATGATGATGATGCGAATGTGAAGGCTCAAGTGTTGCGAAATGAGAAATAAATTAAGTTACGTCGTATCATATTTCCCGTTGAAATTAGGGCAATCAAATTAAACACACCTGTGTGAGTATTGCAAATATGAGATGATGCGCCTGCTGCTCCTTGAGTTGGGAGGATTTGTGAAAGCCGTGTTCAAATATTCATATGCAGAATTGAATTATGTATTCTCCATGGATGGATCGGGAGGATGTGTACATATGTATTAATGAAGAGTGTGTGGAGCCTGTTGTTCCACATAATCAAGGTTGCGTTGTTCTACTAAACACCTCGTGATAATGTTTCAGATTCTATTTATTCCCTTATTTATTTATTATCAAAGTGATCTGTCGATTTCAAAATTTCGAGCGATGAACATTACACATGGTACAGTAATAATAACGTAGTAGTAGTAGTAATAATAATAATATAATCGTAGTAGTAGTGTAGTAGTAGTAGTCGTAGTATAGTAGTCAATTATTCATCGTCAGATTCTGCCTCAGATTCGTTTGCTTCTTGGAGGAGGAGGAGCCACTGGTTTACTTGAAAGAGAGCTTGTCCTTTGCCTGGAAAGTCGTCTCTAATGTCTTCCTTCCATTTTAAGAATGCGTCCTCTTCAATGATGTCCAGTTCATAGAGGTTCATAAACCATCGCAAAAGAACCACTGAAAAAATTCAAGCATTTCATGGCATCAAGCTTATATAAAATTCATTTCATGGCCATGATTAAATCCTAGCCGTCGTGCTACATTATTTATTTTAAAAGGCACTCTTTAATGGGATGGATTTTTTTCTTTACCTTTTGGAGACTTCAAAGCGAACCAAGCAGCTTGTAGAGCATAAATGGAAATCACTTGCAGATCAACGTGATCGTGCAAGTATTTGTAGAAAATGGGTTTGAAGTTTTGCAACAGCTCCAGCTCCTTCTCCTTTACAAGCTTCTCGTTCACTTGATCTTCTGTTCCGACCGTCTCGGCTGTTTCCTATATACATTATGTTAACGTTTAGTGATTTTCTATCAACTAGTTTAATTTCAAGTTGATTTGTGAAATACATGTATATAAATATGTATATACATGTACACATATATATATGCTTACCCCATATACGTATTTGAAAATCACGGTCATTAAAGCACTGATGAACCCATGGGAGGAATGATATGTCGGATCAACGTGTTCGTTAATCCAATCGGCAAATTTGTCAGCGTCAGTGCTCACCTAAAATAAGTTATATTCATGTATTCATAACTCGAATAGCTAATATTATAGTAATAACTAAGTAATTAATGTGGTGCGTACTTGAAGTTGTTTTGCCATATCTTGTTGAATTTTCATTAAGGGAAATAAGAACGACAATTCTCGTTCTTCCAGGATCTCCGTCAACCTATCCTTGCTACGATCTGCCTTGGGCAACATATTCAGAAGATTCACCTGCAATCACATGAATTAACAATATACGAATGAACATATATAAAAAGTTCAAAGATTCTCAATATCAATCAATTATGGCTTACCTTGCTATCTTCAAAAAGACGGCACAGTTTTGGTTTTTCCATTTGTTTTCCCAGTTGTTGAAACACTAAAAGCAAAAACGGGTAATGTCTCCCATTTTCAGTACATTCAGCTACTTCTCCCAGAGTCATCACATCTTCACAGATGGACCCTGCAGTAAATGCGGCTACGTAAGTCTTAACGCGTGGGATTCCCGCTTCCAGGTCACCCATAACGTCCAACGTATTGCGGAAGCAGTCCAAGAAATGAGCATGAGAAAAGACTTCCTCTTTCACCAGTTGCATAATCAGAGAATACAAAATCATTCGTTGGGATTCTGATTGATCCATGGCCTTATTTAGGATGGAAGAAAGGACATCAATGTAATACTTTTCCTGAATTTTCATCTCCTTCAAAGAGTTGATTGCGACTTCCAAGTCATTTGCGCCCTCAATTTTGTCGGTCACTTCAGCCACAGCTTTCAGGACCGTATCCTTGTTCACTCCCTGTAAATATTTTCAAGAAATAACATTTTTTTAAAAACAATCTCATTTTGATTAACAGTATGTTAATTATTATTCTTTGTTATTATTAGTCTTACCTTGTCTTTCTTATTTTTCTCCAGACTATTTTTGTTATAATCGGAGGATGAGCTTTCCATTTGTGGTGGTGGAATAGGCTGAGGTGGTGAGCGTTGATTGAGTCTATTAGGTTCGTTCATCGTTGGACCAAATGTAGGCCCTTTGAATGGAGCAGGAGGCATTCGTTTCATGATCGAGCTGGGTGGAGGCCGAAGGGACAACTCCTCGTTAACTTGGTTATTTTGTTGGTGAGGTCCAGTAGTGGGTGGAGGATACATGCTTGTCTGTTTCATAAATCGTGGTGCAACTGGTGCTTTCTCATAGCCATTGTTTGCATTCACTGGAGTCACATGATTTCCTCGGTTTTGAGGGTGATGCAGCTGTTGATTTGGATATTCGTAGTGTAGTGGAGCATGGTTAATCTTTGAATTCTTCTGGTGATGGATAAGAGGACCATTTCCATGAGGCTGCATGTGATTTTGCCCGTTGTTGAAATTGCGAATACCTCCAGATGGGCGGTAGTGATTATTATGGTTGTTGTAATGATTGTGCGGATTCATATTCATGTGGTGATGATATCCATTATTGTCGACTCCCATTTGCTTTTCTCCGCCGGGAGTGATAACACCGGGACCAGTGCCTAAGCTGGTCATTGAAAAGGGAACTGGAGCGAAGACTTCTTCCATCCCTTTTCGATTTTTCTTTAGACCTTGCATCCGGCCATTCCGTTTGGGATCCGCGCCGAACTGAAGAAAATTGAAATCTTCTCCACCTTTCGGATCCACAATTCCCAACTCATCACTTGCCTCCCTCCGAATTTCCCCAATAGGTTTCGGACTCTCCTAGGATGACAAAAAAAAACACTTTGTTCGCTTTTGGTTGTTCATAACTGTTAGTTATGTACTAAAAAAGATAACAAACTGACCTTGGATGACGTGTTTTGGCGAGGAACCCAACTGTTTTCTCGCAACTCAATCACGTCCTGGTATGCAAAGTAAATATTATATTATTATAGCTGCCCATTTACCTCTGTTTACCTTTTACATTGCATTAAATCAATTCCATTTCATTTACCTGCAACATAAATCGGATTCTTGCCGGAAGGTTGTCACACTGCGTCAATTCTTTCATTCGTGTGAAATATTGGTCCTGTGAAGAAACAATGAACATGTTAATTCTTGTAAACTTTTATTAATTTACCAGAAAAAATTATAATTCACTAACCATCAGGTATTTCCCCTTGTCGTTGTCTAGAAAAATAATTAAAGCTGATTAATGATTTAATTTAGGATCAGTCTACTAGTATACATCAGAAATGGGTAATTTAAGGGACAAAATTATTAACATTAATATGGTATCAGGTACAATTGATCTAAATGGGATGCATTTATGGAAAATTTGCTTCTACTTTTAATAAACAATTTGATGTGATTGCTTTATAATTGTTTTACTAACCTAATAAATGACCACATGATCTCATTATCTGACTGAGGCACTCCAAATCTTCCGCCTTCGTTTTCTTGACTGTAAACAAAGAGCAGGTCATTACTCCCTTCTTCTCGCATTTTCACTCGGGTAATTTTATAAATATAAATATATAGATAAATTTAAAATATTAAAATTCATGTTACCTGTCCGAGTTTGGCGACACAACAGTTCCTCGCAGCATTTGTGCAGGATCGAATGCGTGAGCATCTACCAAAGGACAACAAATAATTAGTTCCAGTTCCAATTTTAACACTACGTTGACAGCAGATGAATAAAAATTGTTTTACCTCCAATTTGCCAAGTTCACCGATAAACTGAATATTGCCAAGCATCTTGCGCTTTGTAATGTGCTTCTCCTCTTCTTCCTCTGGAGTGAGGCGATCAGTTCTTTGATCATACATGGCAGAGGCTATAGTCAAAATAAAATAAAATAAAATACAAGTTCATTTCAGAGTGAAGAAAATTTAGTATATTTTTCCAAAGGTAATGGATGCATACCTCGAGCTCTGTTAGTGTACTCATCTTGACACTTTAAAGTAAAAACATAAAAATGTTACACTTATGGTAGAAGAATTAGCATAATATCTAATATGTGCATATATTATTATTACCTTGTTAAGAAGAAGTCGGCGAAAAGTGGTTGCACTGTCTGTATTTCAAGGAAAAAAATGAGTTAATAAATGCACTTTCTTCAAGAACCTATGCACATAGACTATGTGCCAAATGACAACCACACCACAGAAACAAGGATCAATGAAGGAAGGAGGAATTAAGATTTAGGTAAATTAAAATCATAAGGAGTGTTATAGCTTATTGCAGTTTACGATATTTGATTCTTTTTGTCAAATTATATATACAAACATAAGCAATTACAAAAGGTTATGACAATAAAAGCATACCTGGATTGGGAGGGTCAAAATTCGGAACTTTCTTCGATAGTTTCTTACATAGCTGTGATATAAAAAAAAGTCAATAGTAAAGGTCATTGTACTCCCCAGTGCAAGAGAGAAATAATTATAACTTATTTTTTAAATACTATAAGTATTTGCATTTTAATATTCATCGTAAAGATAACATGAGGCGTTCGAGGTATATTTATAAATAAAGCAATAAATGATTATTGAGATTCATTTACCTGTGCGTACATAGACACGTACTTGGGTTCTGCAAGAAAAATGGCATATGACAATTAGCATTGTTTGTTATCTCCAGAAATAACGGTTAGTATTTTTTTCAAGCATTATCTTACCTTGCAGGGCTTTTTCGAAGATCTAGGCACCAAAAATATACAAATCAGATAATGAAGCATAAATATTAGATTTCCTTAAAACAACTATTACTCACCAAGAGGATAACACCTTTCAGAAGTGCAGGTGAGTCCAATCCAACCCCGATGAGTTCATCGCTATGATTAATTAAAAAGACATACATTGAGTGAAACATTACATACTAATAAACAAAAAAGCTCTATGAACCCGAGTTGAGTTAATAAAATACCTTAGTCTGTCGAAAGTCTGGGGAGTAAGTTTGTTGAGAATGCCGCGGACCTAAGCAAAAATAAACGAACAAATCAATAAATCTGGTATTTACAGTTCATTAGAAAAATACGTTATTATTTATCTATCCTCCCGTACTTTTCTGAATTTAACATCGTCGCAGTTTTCTGGAAGTGCATCTCGTTTAAAAGCAGAAGGAGGAATCCATTTATCCTTGCTGGATTGGGAACGTTGCTCGTCCCTGCAAAATATAATATCAAAATAAGTAAGAATTGTGATTGTTGATAAGTACGTGTTGTCCATCATCGACAATTATTGAGTTCAGAGTGTTTATATCATGTTTTACGAGCGACACTACATACCTGCCTCCTAAACCACGAGAAGCACCTCCTAATGCTTTCGGCCCTTCCGTTGTTATTTTCGAGGTAGAAAATTTGGGAGGATCAAATGGGCGGTACACTCTTTCTCTTTCAGGAGAATGTTTTATTATGTTGGAGCGGTGTATACTCGTTCCTTTACTGTCTCGAAGCAGTTCTGTGAATCATAAATAAAATGACTAGTTTGCAAGTTTTATTCACCACATGCCCGACAAGCTACAAAGAGAAAACCTGGCTTACCTGCTGGTTTGGATTTTTCCACGAAATACACCATAAAACCGACTTTCGTAAACAGATTCCCAAAAAAATGTATATCTGAAAAGAAGGAACATTCAAAATATTCATTAATACATCGTAAAAACACGAGGACAGGCGAGTCTGCATATTTATACACGTGTAAGCAAATCAAACGATAGAATATATACATCTCTGTACTTTTAGCTTATTTGCATCACCATTGGTAAATATATATTCCGAAAGCAAGTCTGTCTTCTTGTCGCTCAATTATCATTTATTTCTACACAAAATATTTTTTAAATGCAAACTACTACGAAGACTATGCTAATAGTGGGGAATATGCAAACAGTGGTGTGTTTTCTTACTAAATTATGAGCTACACAAAAGTATGATCTGTCTCTATACTATTTCTTAGTGACTAAGGAAATCCATATGCATACTACTGCCCACATGTATCTATTTTGTAAACTTTTGCCTTTCCCTCTAATAAATCTGCATATTTGCTGGCAAATACTGTCAGTCTAAAATTATCATACCAACATCCGCTCAGTCCATGAATTAATCATAAACAATCATATTTCCATGCTCTGCATCCTAATTGTTTTGTCTAAATCCTGTCATAAAAATGCTGCGTCTGCCTGCCTGCATCATCATCGTCCGCATTTTTTCTCTTCTTGAGACACGGTCGGTGATGATGACGGTTATTAATTTGATTGTATCAGCCAGTAATGCGATACCGTGGTTGATGATGCAGTTGGTTGCAGCAGCAAACACTAAAACTGGTAAAACACTATACTGACTGAGCAGATTCCATATAACTAATTCTATTACTCATCCAATTATACAATAACTTCTTATTCATAACCTTGTGAGACATGACAAGCTCACACATACTCAATGAACATTCAACTAACTACCACTAAATACTCATCAAGTCATCAATCCAACATCCAATCCATTCAATGTAATCCAATCCTGCTAAATATACTGCTACACACACATTACATTGCTTCCCATCGTCATGCATATAATATGCACGGAATACTGCTATGAAATAGCGTGACACACTCGTTCACCCGAAATTATGATACGTTTATTAAGCCCTCCAATGACAATAAGCAAGAACAAAGGCAACTACTACTATATGTATAAAACAAAATGAAAACTCTCTAATTGCAAAATCATACAAAAAAAACTTACAGGTTTTTTGGGGGTGGGAGTGGTTGGCGTTGGTGGTCTTCTCTGTTTTTTCAAGACTGGTTTGGGCGACCTGTGTCTTTCTAATCTGCGATTTTATTCACAGAAGAAACTTTCACGAACAACGGATAGGGAACTTTACTACACGTAAACGTAAAACGGTCACTAGCGCTCTGATTTTTGCTGACCAAATCCCAAACTCACTGTCACACCGTAAAGGAGGAACAATCAGAAGGCGTTAAGAATGTGGCAACAATATCCTTATTATTTTTCAAACTAAACTCGGAGTGTTTTAGACGAAATATCTCGCCGTTTCTTGGTGACGTTTGTTTGCGATATATAAAATATCCTCTTCTTCCCCGTGAACTAAATCACTCTCCCTCAAAGAAGTTTCTGTAACCAACACGCAGTAGAGAAAGTTGATATTGGAAATGGTTGAGTGAAAACAAAACCTCAACACAACTAAGAACAATGAAGATAGAGAAGGATAGGTTTATAAATTCAGCAATAATAATCAATCAGTGAGGTGCCAAATTAACAATTATTTTTATCCCCTCTTCTTCAGTACTTTACTTACAGTTTTTTTTCGAGTCTCGCAATTGACGTGACTGACAAGCAAGGTGGACGTTGATGATGATGCTGATGACGACGACGATGCCTCTCTCGGGTTGAATAATTTTCCCTTTGGCCGAAAAAACGACGACGACGACGACGACAATTCCAACAAGCAAGTGAGTAAGGAGGGTTTGAAATTGCTTTCTTCTAGTAAAAAGTTAATGGTGGTGCAGTAGAAGTGAAGCAGGAGGAGGAGGAGGAAATGTACGTCGTTAGTTAGTAAATTGGGGTTGAGAGAATTGAGAATGGACTTGGTTGTTGGTTCCTCGTCTGGGCTGTGAGAGAAAAATGGAATGCTTGCTTGGGTCGCTCTTCTTGGTAATGATGATCAAGTTGGTGGTTGGTTCGTCGTAGCAGCGATACGTTACCATGTAGTTGGCAGTGGCGTAGTGCCGCGGTGGCGCTACAGTCCTCCTTTCTGACTCTATAGGAGGAAGTTAGGCCTAAATGGTTGGAAGGGAAGTTCAGAAGGGAATGCATTGCATAAAACAACAAACAACACCCACACGACCCTTCAAGGATGGTGGGCTGATTGGTAGGTTTTAAAAGTATGACTCATTGTTTGTGGTACTGGCAGAGGAAGATTTTGTAAATCTAAATGCATTTTGTAGAGTCAGTCATGAAGACTGGATGAAAAGGGCGTTGGTAGAATATAAGCATTTTCATGATAGTTGACTGTACTGCAAGATTTAATACATGGTAGAATTGAGCCTTGTACAAGTAGATGATACGGGAGAAAGTCGTAAAAAAATGAGATTTGTCCCAAGTACTTTCTTTAGGTGGAAAAGTTTTAAAGAGATTTTGAAAAAAGCCTGGTTACGCCAACCAGCCTGTTAAAACGCATTCTTCCCCCTCTTCGACTTCCTCGGCATATCTGTCTGTCTGTCTGTCTGTCTTTGTGTAAAAAGATCCATCTCGTTTAATAAAACTTTTGGTGGAAGAACGCAGCAGTAGTGTTATATGTTGAAGCTTTTCTATCCGTCCGTGGTCGTTGTTTTAGTGGTTAGAAAACCTCGGTGTAAAAAAAGTGGCCAAAATCTTCCTTGTATGAACAGTATTGGATGGCATGGGAGTGCAAAGTAAAAAGCATGTGGCTGACTAGGGTTAAAAAACAACGCGCATCCTCTTTGCCACCAGCAGTCATCTAAACTACCACCGACCGACTACTACTGGGATCAACGACTTTTCGGTCCTACTACTTTACACTGAGGTTCACACACAAAGGTCTTCCTCGATCCGACTGCACATTCCCGTTTGAGCAACAGGGTAGCCGTAGGAGTTTAACCCAACCAGGAAGAAGACTTGTAATCATAACATAATAAAATGATTTTTAAGTACCACTGACAGCCACAACATGCACACATCGTATGAAACTGAGCATGCTACATAAAACAAAGCTGAGAGATAAGCAGTCATCTACATGACACGTTTATTTGTAGGCACATTTTTCTGACTCACATGCATTTATCAGGATCCACTTGAACTCATTCATGAGATCGATTCGAGTATGAAACGATTTTAGGGACGTGGAAAGTGCAGATGAGACAAACAGATTTACATGTCCGGGTACTCTTTAACATGGAAATTTTGCTCAACAAAGTTTGCATATGCAGATTAGATGAGATTTGAAAGGCGTCAGTTTTGCTGGATTTGACTAATACTAGTAACTTATTCATTTCTTTTCGTACTCGCTAATTCACTAGTTTATGCAAATTAAGGCGTTTGTAGTTAGGAATGTGCATTAACATTTATAGCGATGTCAAGGTTTCACTTTTTTTCATTGCTGGACAGAAACAATAAAAATGTGAATCTTAAATAATTAGAGGCACCAACAGCAGTATGCAGTATTTTGTTATTTCGTGTAATAATTGTATTGCGACTTTCTCCATTGTACATAATGGATCTATTTATCAATTTTGTTGGCTTCGTGAGCCCTATTGTGCCCACTCAAGTTGGTTAAAGTCCAATATTGTTCGAAAAAAGTGGCATCAAAATCAAAGATCACGTTTACCGTCTTGCAAAAAAACAATATCGCAATGTCAGCATCGCTCAAATCTCAATTTGCACTGTACAGACAGCAAGTAGAAGAATACTGGAGTCGAGTCTCAACTTATTAGGATTAGAAGTCAGAAGACGAAATGGTGTGAAATGAGATTAATTCGTTTAAATTTGGGTGAAAGTTTTTGATAAAAATTTCAAATAAAGACACAAAAAATAGACCATTATCATTTTGGAAAAAGTCGTAATAATTGCAAAACCAACGATTTAAATTAGTTATTGAATTTAATAAATGCTGCCTAACCTAATATTTCTGAACAATAACGGAGCATTTCTATTTTATGTATGTACTTTCTCCTCTGAAAATGAGAGGGATGAAGTGAAAGTGTTTCACATGAAGTACCCCTCGTTACATATGCATAAAAAGCATACATATCCATACAGATTAGGAACCAACTAAGGAACGCGACACAAGAAATATGCAAAAATAATGCGAACAACGAGCAGAGCGTATTGTAGGAATTCAGTAGTCAAACAGTTTTTACTATTATTTTTGATTTTTCAAGACAAAATATTCCGTGAAAAAAAATGCAAACAATTCGTTAAATGTTACCCAATATTTGTCAAGTCCGGTAAAACTGGAGCACAAAATTTTATAAATATTGACAGCAATACCACAAACATGGTAGTGAGTGATATCGACCGAGGAACCAGGTCACTAATACTGACTGAAACTGAGAGATGACTTAAAATTTTCAGTAATTCAATTTTTCTTGTCTGTCATTATTTGGTTGAAAGCTGAGACTCTTCTTCTTCAATGGATTCACATCACCACATTTGCTTGACCCCACCGTGTTCTTTTTAGCGCAGGTGGTTGGGAGAAAGTGATATCTTTAGACGTCGTTCGTCCTTGATCCACCATGTGCTCAATTTTTAAGTCACATTAAACGTGTGACCAAAAAAGTCATTATTACGATTTCCCAACCATTTTATAGTTTTGAACTAATCATAACCGTCTTAATTTACTTTTTTAACTGTTACATAAGTATGACCCGTTCTAGAGTAGTATAAGAGGTGGGTTGGTTGTCGGGTAGTTTACTTATTACGGTAGGATTATCTCTCCCTTCTTTTTTCATCTTCTTTTACTTGTGGTGGTATTTGCAATCAAGGTTGTGATGTGTGTGTTTAAGGGAAAATGGTGTGCATTTTACTGGGCTGCCGTGTGAAAACACCTAATCATCAATTGTCGATATGATTATCGTCGTCATCTGCGTCGTCGTCGTAGTAGTTAGTAGTCTGCTTTCCAATTAGTGGAATCATTCAATCAAGTCAGTTTCGGTCCTTAGTAAATATCAATAATGATACAATATTATGTCCTATTCTTAGACTTAGAGACTTTCTCTTTGTTTTTTGGTGAGGTTGAAACGTTCACTGTTGAGTATTAAGTTACACCAGCTGCTTCGTATTGATTTGGTTTTATACTTCGAGAACCTTCATTGGTCAAGATGACATCTCTTGTGGCACGACTCCTCTTTCAGCCATGTTAAGTAGCCCTTGAAACTCATGTTCCAATACATGCCTTGCCTAAAAGGAACCAAGAGTAATCTCGTCAATTTCATGACCTCAGTCTCTGAGAAATTCTAGCGAACAATAATATAATATTCCAAACATACCTGAGTGTTTTGCGTCGGAATTTGCAAAGCCAAAGCCATTAGATTTGGATCAAAAGTGTCGTCAAGTGCAATTAGAGCTCCATGGACTCCAGATTCTTGAAGATTCATAGCGTATTCCTAGCAGACGAAAAAAAGAACCATTTACTTAGAATTAGTTTCTCTCACAAATATAAAATAATTAGATTCACGATTTCAACTCACTTTTAGACCGATTGATTGAACCCATTTCATAACCTGTAATGAAACAATTACATAAAAAATATTCCAAACTTGCATGTTCAATGATTGAGAAGAGATTAGAATGAAATTAAAAATCCAAAACATACCCTGTCATTCGACCACACTAAGAGATCAATAAATGAAAGTATTATTTTATCTGACTTTCTAATTATCGTTAAATTATTCAGTTTCAAAAGTAAATAAATTAACGTCTTTACCCAAGAGATCAATGTTTTCATTCTCACAAGCTCTGCGTCTTTCTTCCAGCATTTTGCGATCATAATTTAGTCGCTTTAAGCATATAATTCCAAAGTGGAGGCTCGTTCTGTCATTACACAAATAAAACAATAATATGTGTAATTAATGATTCAAGTAAATATTTCTTAAATTAGGTCATTAAAATATATTTTCTTCACCTGTGGGCACCGTCGTGCATTTTGAGTTGTGTTCTTAAATCTTTCTTTGTTAAATGATCTAGCATTCTGGCATCAACTAGACACTCCATGTACGTCGTTCTGTATTGCGGTAGGCCTAACGATGGTAACCAGTAATTCCCAACCCACTCATGGTTCATGTCTCCAAATGCTAAATGTGCAACTCTGGATGCCGTGGGGGCGGATGGGCTCGTCAATGAAACCATTTCCTGAATTGCTAGTCTCAATTTCAATCGGTGTAGAGGGTTGCTGCACAAATTCAGAGCATCCGTTATATTCAAATCCCAGTAATTCAGGAGATCAAATATAATAAATCCAATAGACTAAAACCAAATTAGTCACCTGATGCCAATTTCACGTTGAATTTCAGTATCGCTGAGTGCACTCATAATTGCTCCCGACTTGACGTTAGCACGACAGGCTGCAACATACCAGGCTGGCATCCCCACCCATTGTTCCAACCAGGCGTCAATGGTTGGTCCATTCCACAGGGCGAACGGCGTCCCCGCTTTCATGGCTTCCGACAAAAGTTTCGTCTTACGCTTTTTTCTCCTGTCGAAATCCGCCTTTGCTGACATGTTTGCCATATTTATTTGCTGTCCTGCTAGTGGTAGACTCATGCTACTGACTGATGTGGTAACTGTGGGTTCATTAGTTGCACTACTATCACTGTCAAAACCGCCGTGGTCATAAATTACGTCTTTGCCTTTGCCCTGTTTAAGAGAAAACAAGAAAAAATAAGTACAATTAAAATAAATTTGCGGAAAATTCTTTTAGTAATAAACACATAGTCAATCCGTACCTTTTCTTTCTTGCTAAATAATCGACCTAGAGAAGATTTAATGCCTTTCTTCTTCGCCGCAGCTGCCGCCATTTGCATGGCGGCGGATGAGGTGGAGTTCATCGTGCTCATTCCAGATCGTGGATCGTGGCCATAGGCACCTTGATTCATGAGAAGTGGAAGCGTTCCTGACATGTAATCCGAAGACCCGGCGTGTGACATCATGGACGCATTCCTCATTTCATCGTTGGACTGACCCAACATAGGTCCGGAAGCGCTGTTAATCAGAATCAGAATTAGAAACCACTTTATAACCTAATTTTTGTCTTTGAAACAAATAATTCGCAATAAATTAGTGGGAACTCTACCTGTTAATCAGTCGTAGTGATCTTGGCGTGGGAGGACTAGCATCGGATCTGTTTCCCATCATCATACTCATGTCTGAAAACAAACAAATATAAATTTGGCTTAAAACCTTAAAAGCATGGCACGAAAATATTAAGCAACGGCTGAAATATAAAAGTTGAATAATAATTTTAGCCCATACCTGGCATGGTAAGATTGCTCTGATGGTACATTTGGTTCATGGCTTCGTTTATGGACCCAGGGGATGAGTAATAATTACAGGGAGATAGTGATGCTGGGACCTACACAGCCAAGTATACATAGAAAATGCATATTATTTTTAGGTCGTGCGTACACTTAGAGTTAACATTTTAAAACAAAGGTGCATACCGTGTGGAATTTATGCAAATAATCCAACTGTGGCGACGGATTTGACGAACGTGGCGTAGACCGACCGCTTAATGGTGGTGATAAAGGCCGATCCAAACCACGACCCCCCATTTCAAGACTGCGCCCACTAAGAGGAGGCGACATTGCTCGATCATAGGGACCTCCCCTTCGAGATATGATGTTGACATGCTCTATTGATCCCACTCGCGACTCCAACTGCTCCGCCCTCGCCTCCGTGTTTTGCTTTTCTTCTTGAATCAACCGGATCTCGTTGTTTATTGCATCCAATTGTTCTTGAAGCATTAAAGCCAAGGTTTGTGCATCCGTTTGTTGCGAAGGGGACAAAACTTCAGCCACGGAAAATATGCTCTCGGAATCATCCGCCTCCGCATCACTAAGGTCAAATGCTTGCTGGACATTGGCGAGAACTTGGGCTTGTTCTACTGCATCCCACTCGGCGTCAACCTGAACCAAATCGTCGTTACTTTTCACTCATTTAAACGTATCATATATTATGCTTTTACCGAGTGTTTAACAAGCCTTCTAGGGAGCGAGTGGGTATCGAAGCTGGAATGACTACTTGTCCTTACAAAAGATGCTTCTGGGTTAGGGCTCAGACTTCTGGAAAAATTCAAACAAAAACCGAATGTCATCAGAAAACAAGTACACATTTTTTTAAATTTCATGTTCTTTCATAATTTTTTTCAAACCTGGTTAGGGCCTCAGTTTGCTGAATATTATACGCTATTTCTTGCTGATACTAAAATTACGAGGAAAATTACTTACAATTTTATCAACACAAATTCTACCATCATACATATGTACTACTACTAAATAATATACTTATCATTATGTTTAACTTACCAGCTGTCTTTTACAACTTTCCATTTCCAGTCTTGTCTTTGTCAATTCTTTCATTAGTTCCGTCTAGAACGAAATTCACCAATGTCAATTATATGTTCATTATCATAGTTGGGAATCTGAGTTTGCTCGTGGTTTTAGATAATCTCATCGTGCATACCTTATCAGTCTGAAGCTCCTCAAGTACTTTTCTAGTCTTGTCTAACTCCTGAGTTAACTTTTAAATAGGAAAATAAACAATATTAATAATAAATTAATGAGGAATTAATCCAGTGTTTAAATAATAAATACATACCGCATTCTTCTCGTCCAAGGCTTGCATCCTTTCTTGCAAATGAACTTGCAACCGCTCATTTGACTCTGCAAGAAGTTTATCGACGGTGGCAGATAGTCGAGAATTGTGATCCTCGTTAACACGCAGCCTCTGGTTTAATCTCACAGTTTCTGTGTTCTTCTCCTCAACTTGTGCTTCTAGTCGTGCAATCCGCTCTTCTGCCGATCCATGCCGTTCTTGAGCCTGCAATTTAAGTGGAACAATAAAGTATATGACGAAATATGCATTATGGGATAATTTATACATCCCAATTTATTTACTAACCTGTGTTAACGCTTGCAGTCTTTGTTTCAGTTCCTCTTCCATGTCTGGCATTTTAGAAAGTTGTGCTAATTTTTGATCTGAAAGTTCTAATTTTTCTTGCAGAGCTCGACTTTTTTCTTCCTGCAATTTCAACTGGGCTTCTTTGTGCTGCAACTCTTGCTCTAATTTGTCGTTGAGATCGTGCAAAGAGGTAGATTCACTAGAATTACAAAAATGAATGATTTATATTTTCAGATTATATTTTCGAAAAATTTCATAATTTTTGTTGTCGAAATACGTACCGCTGTGCGTTCAGATATCTTTTTTCTAATGTGGCAATGCGTTCCTCCTAAAAGAATTAAATGGTTTAATAGTTGATACAAGAAAATATAGTATAAACTTGTGAGCAAATAAGACGGCTTGGACGACGTACTTGATCTCCTTTTTGAGCGTCATTCTCTCTCAGATCCATTTGCAGCTTGGCATTGGCTTCTTGCATTCTAACAAAATCGCGTTGAGTTCTGGACAATGTTTCTTCAAGATCCGATATTCGACTAGAAAGCTCGGCCGATCTTCTTTGTGCTGAATTTAACTCAGACAACTGCCAATAAAAACAGAAATGTGGTTGATGACATATGTATACAACTGAACATTAATGTGTTAGAATTCCTCAATTTTTCACATACGTGTTTTTCAAGTGTGCTTTGTAATTCGGCTATTTTCGATTTCTCCATATCGGGGTCCGTTATACCGTTGGTAGCGCCCTGCAAATTCAAATTCAATTGAGTTCAAATATAGGATGGGTTCTGTTTGCACAAATCTGGTCCAATTATATTTTCACCGTTAGGTTAACCACTGAAGAACTGTTCTCCATTGTACCGTCCATGGTTCCGTTGATTTTCTCGACTTTCTTCCCACTCTTGTAATCGGTTAACTACAAAAATGTCAAATTACCCGTTATAATTATTATTCGGAGTGTATAGTCTAAGACTTCTTTTAGTAATTCAATCTGCGTACCTCATCTTTCGTTTGGGATAACTCATCTTCCAACTGGGACACACGTTCTAACGCAACTCTCAATCGCTCACGAACCTAGGGCAACCAGAAAAGAATATATTATAGCATGCTAGCAGATTTATTAGGCAACATGTAAAGGAACATCGCCCACGCCACCCACCTTCTCGTCTAATGCTTTGTGATGTTCGAATAAGGATTTCAAGGCCTTTAACACCTCCACTTCTGACGATACTCCCGATTGTGCGGCTGCTTGGCGTTTTACGACCGTCATTCTGAGCGACCGTTCGTGCCGTGAGACAAGACATTCCAAGTGTTCCAGAAGAAGCTATCGTTGCAACAAGTGAATAATTTTAGTCGGGGTTCATGCGATGAATTCATTTTTCTGCACTTACACGTGTGTTGTTCCTTTCTGCTTTTAATTCGCAGATTTCTTCCTCTCTTTCAAGAAGTTGTTCCCTTGCTTGGTTTAATTCCTTGTTTAACGTTGCAAGCTCCTAAAATAATGGTCATGATGTGGAGTGAGTGATACTTTTCCCACATAATATTCATGTAATAATACTGTGTTCTTCTACCTGAGGAAGACTAGCGGACAACTGCCTGGAGAGAGAGTCTCGTTCTTTTTGAGCGTCCGTAAGCTTCATTTCCGTGTCCGTGAGTCGTTCCTGATTCTCACGAAGACTGTCCATCAGCTTATCCCTCTCGTCCAACATGGTGACCATGAGCTGCTCAAAGTTGGCATCTTCAGCAAAAGACTGCAAGAACAAAAATTTCCAGGTTCACGATAAACCAAGAGTGCAAAAAAGTGCATAGGTACATAAAAATAATTCTATACGCATAATGCACAATTCAGAGAATTACATACATTTGATTTCCCGTCCTCCGAGATTGTTGGCATCACGTCGCAGAACATCATCATGATTTTAAGTATACGACAATTTGGAGAAAGTATCCTTTGTTTCCGTATTTTCTAAAAATTCATAAAATAAAAAGTTTGCTTTTATTTTATTTATATTGTCATCAATATTTTGTAAATATTTATACGATCATTATTTATGAACTTTGTTGTAAAGACGCATTTTTTGTGAGTAAATGAAGTATTGCACCACAATTTGTGTCCTCCTGACTAAATACATGATTTATGTACATACCTTTGTAATCTCCTATTCGATCATCTCCATCACGTTACACCTCGTTGATAATATTTCTAATAGACTCAATTAATCAGTCCGTCGTGGCACAAAATGTTCCACATTTTTTTGCATAGAACACCCGCACACCATGAATGAATTGATCCGATAGCCGGCTTAATTTTTGACTATTTTTATTTGTCTGTGTGTACGCTTTGTATGTATGTTACGGAAGTCTATTAGAATCTACACTGTGGGTTCGTAGTCATCATCATAATGAGAGTTCAATCAATCATCACTTCCAACTAGTTATCTTCGTCGTCTTGTATTTTTATCATTAATCGTTAATTATATTATTGTAGTGGCGTCTTCTGTCTTCTTTGTAATTTTTATTAATTGCTTGTTGAGGTCACTCAGGTTACTTATGTTTTTTATGTCTGGACACTATAATGATCGTGTCGTTTTTTAAATACAAAAAGCCGACGAGCTATTATGTACTTCCTACTTATTAAGCTTGACCTTAAGTGTTGTGCAATGTATAAAATTAATACAAAATGGTGAACACAAGACGTGAAGAAAAAACAAACTAGAATCGGGTTACTGGTTTAAGCAGTTACTTAGAAAACTTAATTCTTTGGGCACTTTTATGGCGACATGTTACTTTCTTTCGGTTACTCCTCTCCCCCTATTTTCAATAGTTTCCTACTTGTTACAGAGCCTACTTTACTATATTTTAATGACGATGAGCACCTACATAAATCTAGCTACGATTTAAAACTACCAATTTAAAAACTAGGACCAGGTCTGTACATTTATTATTGGTGTGCTAACTATTATTACGGATTATTATTATTATTGTTATTATGGCTTTTTAGGAGATCACTTGATGATGATGGTGATGAGGAAATGTATACTCGAATTATAATTTTGGGGACACACAGTCACATGATATAATATAATGGTCAAATGCGATGGTTGGTTATTGGTTGTGGTGTATAACTTTTTTGGCCTTCTCTTGGGTTAAAGTTAATTAAACCTGTGTTAAAACATCGGACAGGTTTTTTAGTTTCACGCATTTCCATCCACACTACTACACCACCACTGTGTTCATCCTTTTATGATGGACGATGATCTTTTACTGAGAATCGGAGCAACCCTTTCCATTTACACATTTTTCTTGTTCGTCTCTTTAATGGTTGTGACGATCCTGCATATTCCCGTGGCGAAGAGGATTATATTTGGAGTAAAATGCATGGAGGAAGCAGTGTCTCACTCGTGATTTATAGTCAGTTTGTCGAGTAAATCCCATTTCACTGCTCACGACTCGTTAAAAGAGTGAGTGGGTGTATGGATGGGTGTGTTAATATTACGGTTCCGGTTACTCCTGCCCAGTTGGTTTCGATATTGCTCGTCAATGACATGTCAAAGTGTCATTTCCTTCAAATTGATGGACACGTGAAGAGGAGATTTTTTCTGATATCTAGTAAAAAAAATAGTGGATTATTTAGCAATTTCTAGCACACAAATGAAATGAGTGTGTATTTTGAGTGGGCTCAATTTTCAACCACTAACACATCTCGTCTCGAAATATGCATAGATATCCATTGAATGACTAGGAGTGGAATCTGGAAGTGTGCACAATTGAGTAATAAAATATTTACCTCTTTAAACTAACGGAACTTTTCCTCTCGTCCTATTTGTCTCCTATCCTAATCTCATCCCGTAAAGTGTTGGGTGTTGTGATGATGCGGTACTCTGGATTATCGGGATATGTGGGAGAGGAGCCTAGCTCTGGGGAGTGGTGGGAGTGGGTGGTCCGGATTTAGGCTGGTTTGCCAGCAGCCGGGTCATTGTTTATTGGGACTAGACGGCAGAGTCGACGGCAGGGTTGCTGACAGGGTCGTCCGTGGGTCGGTATAGGCTGGATACACAAATCCATCCGTCCATGGGTGTAGTTGTGGTAATTACTTTTGCTCACATCTCCCTCTAAAATGAGGATCTAGCCGAGTCCTGGTGCCCGAGAACTGACATTTTCCGTCGGTACTTCTACTCACCCTATATTTCCTCGGAGCTGGAGACTGGAGAGATGGCAACACGGTACGTTCGCCCGTTCTTCTCTAAGGCAAAACTTGGCGACCTCACCACCACCAGCAGCATCACCACCACCCTGGCTGAACGGGAAGTACGATCCGCCTCCGGGAGAAAGTTCTCCCTGCAACCCTTTCCTCACCAGCAGCACCAGCCCAACCAAACCCACTCTCCAGCTAGAAAAACCCAGCCCAACCTTACTTCTACCAGCAGCAAGTCATAGCTGAACTTCTCCACTAATCATCCTGCTGCTTTCTCCAGCACGCCTACAAATTCTGTTAATGTGCACTCATTAAACGCATCCTCGAAAGTCTCACTTATCAGTAGGCAAAGAGACGATAATGCGCATATTTGCAATACGATATTGGATCATGATTACATTTACGCAAGCAATTTATGTTACGTTTTATACTAATGGAAATACGTAATGAAACAGAAATTGCATCGGATTTGATTGTGAATTTGTATGAAACTTCAAAAATTACAAATCTTGAGTGACCTTTTTCATAATTGTACATTTAAGCGAGTTGATACTGGACGAGAAGGAGTGTGCGGAGGCGAGATGAGACGCGACGAGAGAACACAGGATGCAGATTTCGTGTATGAGGAAGCGAGTCTGGAGAGAGCTGATTGATAACGGGGCATTCTGCGACAGTTCAGGACACGGGAGAGAAAGCATATCAACGTCACAGTTTCCGTCGTTAGCTAATCGATTCTGTAATTAAATAAACACAATATGGCTGTAATTGTTGAAACCTACTTTTTTATTGCGCATTTAAATAAACGCACCTCATCACTCATTCATTCATCGCCAACTTGATAAACCTTCATTTAAGACAACGACCCACATTATGCATGATAAGGAGCATGTGAAAGTGACAATAGAGCAAAATTCAGAGTAAATCCAATCACTCATAAAAAATGTGTCAGAAGGGTAGCTGTTAGTTCAACATGCAACAACCGACCAACTGACATGCCATGCACTGCTGCTCCTAGTAGCACATTAATAAATTATTTGGACTCATTCTTAAAATTATGATTTTGTTATCTTTAGCACAAGAACTTATGGTTACGTGACTGAGGAGAGGTAAATAAATGAAATCACAACCGCCATAACCTATTTTGGCTGACTGGGTAAAAGTGCAGGTCACTAGTGACCTGCACGATAAGAAGTAAACTCTTCCAACTACGACTTTAACCTTTCTCCATCCGGTGGGGCTTTCTGGTTTGGGAGTTGTGGGTAACCGATTGAACTTCAAAATGGGTCGTCCTCGTCTTAAACTAATAAACCTTTTGCACTCTGGTGGCCGTTAGTGGGAGTGGCATAAAAAATTTAAAGCGCGTGCTGACAGTATCTGAGACGAATGAAAAGCCAGATTTCCTTCTCAACCTTTACAACGATGATTGTTGGACACGTCAAATGAGAATCTTTGGACCACTCTTGTCTAAATAATTCATCTCCGCGTATACGTTCCGTCCTGGTTGATGCCGCTTTTTTCTTCGTAAATTAATCCACCCATCCATCTACGACACGGGAAGTGAAAGCTTTCTAATTCAACTCACCGCTCTTATGACAAATTTCAATCGCGGTTGGCCTTTCGAAAAGACGTGTTCCGGTGACGCATTCTGACATGAGTTCTGGATTAGCGATGAAGATTCGGAGAAAGTCCCAAAATTGTTGGTCTTCTTTGTAGGTCTTCTTCGTTGATTTGTCGGAATTATATAAGTGACAAAAAATACGGATCTATATGTATAATTACCGTTTATGAGCTACTGTACTTAATAATTCGTAACCTTCTCTTATAAACCTAACCGAATTTCTCAAATTTATAAAACATGAAAAATATAGAAATTATACATGCATACGAAACTCCTAGTCATTTGGTAAAAATAAAACCGGCACCTAAATATTTATATCATAACTTGCATGGCGTGGAACAAGTTTATGCTAAAGAAATAATGAGTATGACGCATGCATAGGCGACGGTGAAAGCGAAATTAATGTTATTCTTTGCCATTTCCCCATTTAATTAGAGGTACAACATTTGAACGCAAATATTGTCACTTAACTTGATGAACCCCTGAAATAAGACAGCAGCCGTGGCGTACAACATGGTGATCATATTGATCTCAGAGAATCAAGCTGGAAGCGAAAGGAGTGAAACAACCCGCTGACAAAACATACTGAAACATTTCTGCGTCACGGAATCACCAAATGCAAAAAGTATCTAAGGCCAAGAAGAATCCCACGCAAATTATTGCCAATGATGATGAGCTGGTTAGAATGGGTGAATTGATGGGGGTGAACACGTAGGCAAGATCGAATACACACACATGGCCGCAAATCTCCCGTTCGGATACCCTCTCTGCCTTTTTTAAGGGATCTGCGTCAACTTGGTAGCAGAATTGGCAGGCTGTTGGTAGATTTTTAGCAGACGAAGACCAGGGAGAGGAGAGTATAAAAGGGCAAATCCTCCCTCACCCATTCTCACATCACCTCTGATTTGAAACGGTTGCAGAGACAGATCAAGGATTTGGGACAAGTCGTCGTCGGGGTTGTTGAGACAATTCCAACTTTTTGTTTCACTTTTGCTGCAACCATCATCTGACGCGGAGACGACAGAGACGTTCCTCAAAAGAACAAAGCAACCACCAAGAAGCGTCATTATCATCGTCATCATGGTTGGTTGGCAATTGGTAAGAACCTTCTGATTCTTTTAAATACGAAAGATACGGGCATTAGCATAGCATATTTCTACTTCCTTGGTTTACTTCTTTTTTGGCTCAGCAAATATAGAAATAAGCGGGGGTTTCATTGCAATGTTTGACTGACCATTGTCCACAAAACTTACATAAAGGTTTCTGAACTCTGGTCTGTATTCATCGATCACCATGACTTTCCATTCTAGTATTTTCGAGTGTTTCTTTGTACAAACATTAAAAAAATCTAAAAGGCAACATCTCTCCGAGTATGTACATATGTAGGACAGGCAACAAGTCCCCAAAGACCGCAAAAAGACGACTCGTGATGCCTACGTCTCTTTCCAGACGTTTTTTCAGACTCAGTGAAAGAACGAAACAAAAAACAATTGATAGAATTCAACATTTAACGAAAAGGTTAACTCAATCCAAGTCGGAGAAAATTCGATTTGGTGCAGTGGATCTTGTATTTAAACGTGTTCTGATAATGTGATACAGACAGAACACGAGAGGGAAAGAAACTGTAAATAACTTTCTTTTATTGTAATTGAATCCAATTATTAAGGCATGATATGCATACAAGGCTTTTAGTTTCTTTTGCCCCCATGTGACTCTTATCCCCCGAGGTTGAGAATGGAGTAAATGTCATACGTCATTGGAGTCATTCCTCTCCTGTACAAGATTGATTCCACGCTGGTCTTTTCTTATTTTAAATGAATTTAGTCACTCTGCATGTCCACTGTCACGGGAATTTCCATCTGTTCAAACGGTTTCTAAAAATTTCACTTCCTCACAACCGTAAGACACACAACACACTTTTTTTCTAAGTACTGACTGACTGAAGAAAGAGTAAAACAAAAAATGTCAACTTGGAATTTATTTACTTGGTCTGGTTCCTTGTTCTTAAAAAGAAGCAGTTTTCAGGTTACGAGTTTATATGCAGATAAAGTTTGTCAGCTCAGGGGGAAGGGAAGCCCCCACAGAAATAATTCGGAGAAAGGCCTCACATCTCATCACCTGCTTTTGGTTTAAACTTGAGACGTCTCACATTTCTCGTCTTATTATGCAATCGGAAGCTTTTACGGATAAAATGTCACCTTAGTACTCCTACATAATTCTCAAATAACCACTGTTTATAATATTGTTTTTCCCTCTTTCGTAATCGGATTCAAACTAATTTCACAACCAGTCGAGCTTGTTATATGTTGGCATCGTTTCATAGGCTAAGAATCCAGTCATGCAATATTTTTGGTGTGAAAACTTTATCCTTTAATTAGGAAATAGTTGGGAAGATCAAGCACGCCCAAACAAGCACACGATTAACATTTCCTTTGTTTTGTTATGTCCACACAATGACGCGGAAAACAGAATCTGGGGGAGAAAGCATGTACATACAAAGCGTTTTATTGTCGAGTCGCCCATGCTTTTGTTGCCATTTTACAACATTCGAAAGGGCACGTAACATTTACTTTGTTAAAGTACTTACAAAGGCGAAATATGTATGTATATAAAAAGAATTATGACGGAGACAATTTGTGCGACACTTTTTTGAACCATTATAATAATCATCATTATTCATCAGTTTATGTATGTGTCTCAAAGTGGGAAAGTTTGACTTGTTTGATGACAACTGAGAATGTATTTTTTGCTGTTGGCGTTGACTGTCATTATAAAAGCTTAGGAATAAATAGCGTAATAAGAGTATTCAAATTTTGTCCGTTTTGTGCATGTATATTATCAAATCCACTTTGAAGAAAGGTCACAAAGTATTCAAAAGAATATAGAGTCACACGTTTTTGTTCTTAAAAATTCCGCATTAGTATTCTCCTCATCGTAAAATTGGCTTAGTTATTTATGGCTGTAGTTATGCCCCCAAGTCCTTGAAAGTTTGAAAGCTTTGCTGAAATTTAAATTCCTTGAGAGAATTACCAGGATATGATCTTGTAAAATGTAGCATCTTATTAGCGTCAAAAAATTTACATCCGGTGATTATGACTCGATCAACAAGATCAAAAGTTCGACCAGACTTGCCTCGTGTACACAGTTCGTAGTTCACACTTGTGTTTTCTCAATTTTATCCACCAAGATTTTATTTTTTTGGCCCACGCATATCAGGTAAAATCTCAATTGGTGACAGGAAATAGGACAGTTTTCAACTAAGCTTTCCACGACAAATTTTGCAACACCAATTAGTCCCACTAACGAAATTGCAATTTCATCAGCAAATAAATATTTGCATCAATCCGACATTTTATTATATCGCACGATTGTTTTATTCCTACTCCTCTAATCATATCAGCTAATTTGGCTGACATTCTTTATCGCGTGTTCATAATTTTGTGAATGTTACCTGTTGTTCGGAGAATTCGGAGCAATAATTCTCCGCTTAAATAATGATATGACGTGACTCTGGATTTTATTACGATTTGACACAAACATGCGACTAGGATGTGATTCCAATTATTTTTTAATCATAAACGTGGAAATTCTAATGCTGATGACGAAATGTCCTGGAAATTCTATTCTGCGTCTCTAAAAATGGCAGAAAGTGTGGAAATTTTTTTATGTAACTCATCAACTTTGTGCTAAATTTGTATAATTGCATACATGTAATGGACCCCTGTTGAGATTATTCATTTCCATAATAAAACAAACATACTTTCTACTTGTCGAATCAACAGTTTTTTTTGTTTGCGTAAATAATTTTTAGGTGTGTCTCTTCTGTATGACGTTGTGGAGGATGGAAGTTTGGGCTGGTCCTACAAATCGTCACTACGCCGAAGGAAGAATAATTTACAACCCCAGCCACCTTTTAGATTATCCACAAGCCCATGATAACACTGAAGCCCAAAACTCAACACAACAACTTCCTGTGGAAGAATCCGGATTCTCTGGTTTCCCCGAAAAAAGTGAGACACATTTGCATCGGGTTGTTTTATAGATATGTGCAAATTGTCATCCGCTCCCATTTCCTATTGACCCTTTATTATCGGGGGTACAAACAAGGCTATTGTTACAGTTCAGGGAAGGCCTAAATTGCAATTGCCAAGTTGTTTTTTAAACATATGCAGATGTGCCTTCGATCGACTAATCTGCTTGCACTGAAAATTTAAATCGCTTGATTAATTTATTTTGAAGTTGGGATGCAAACTCGCCTTTCAACTTTTGATTTTTTCTTTGTTTATTGCGTCTCGAATTAAAACTTATGTTGCCTTATTGCGTTTTCTTCACTAGATGAAAGCAAAAGAAAATCTGGAGCTATTAAAACGACTCGAATCAGAAGGACACCAACGGGATTTTCTGCTCGAGGATTTCATGAAGAAGTCTTTGATCGCGGTAGGGTTTTACGAAATACAAGCGTCTCTGTTTCATATTATGCGCTTATTTGCCATGCGAAATTATACATGCAACTGTTCTTCGATTCTAGACTTTGGTCACTTTTCTCCAGTCAAGCGAAGGCCAGAATCCGATGCTTCAGGATTTTATGGAGGTTAGTTTAGCATCCCTCTCGTGCAAAACTATGCTGCCAAACTTGAAACAAATTCAATATGTTCGCCTCACTGTTAACCGACCATGCGAAATAATTCTTACTTTTCTCTCTATTCCTTAATCAGATACTTTCTCTGGAGGATTCGGGGAATTTGAGACGATGAAGAGGAAAATGCCTTCATACGGATTCAAAGTGAGTACAATGGTTTTTTTCTGCTTCATTTTGTGGATAAAGTTTATAGACATAGGTAGGATCAAAAAATAGTTTGAAAAATTTCCAAAAATACATTTTCCTTATTAAATTACATGACTCACTTGGTTTCCAAAATTGTTTATCTAAAAATATTAGTCATTCGCCTACCCACCCACGCATAACACCCACTCAATAAAATTCTGCTTTCTTTCCCCTTGTAAAAAGACGGAGATTTGGTTTTCTCAAGATTTGCAACCCTTACTGTTTTCTTTACCTACCCATTTTCATTACTGGGGCTAAACCAATATTTATAACCAATCCGTGTTTGTGTTGCTCTCATTTCACAGGCCATGAGTAAAATGGATCAAGGCATGATGGATCCCAGATACCTTCTGATGCCCCAACAACGCCTCATGGACGGTAAGCGGAGCCCAGAAATGACAAAGTCAGGTTTCCACTCGGACGTTTTCAACAATGGTTTTGGGGAATTTCATCCCATGTAATTAGTTGAAATCAATTGCGTATAACGTACACACTTGTATTATCTTATCTTGTCTAATTAGTAGCGAAATTTGAAGTTGGGAGACGCAACTTGAGACGAAAAAGAATTGTTAAGTTACTGAATTAGCAGAGCAATGTGCGGCTGCTGCATTTATGTAGAATTATGGAATTAAAAAGTTTATTGATTAATTTATTAAAGAGTTGACTGTAGTTTCCTATATACATAAATATGTATAGAATATATATGTAGTTACGAGTACATGCTAATTATTACTGTTCTTATAGGATATGTACGTTCTTATAAATTATATAAAGTTAAGCTTACAGGCTCTACATTATTACGATGTCTTAAATCATTTATTAGCTTGAAAATAATGTCTCATAATTTCATTGTCACTTTCACTCGTTGCTTTTGAAAGCATGTGTGTCGCATTTGCTTAATTCTTCGCTTTCAAACTCCATATTTCCTTGACACATATGATGATTAGAAGTAAGTCAAATATTATACAGGTCCCATAGGTAAAATTGCATATATACATAATTATTATACTCACTAATAAATAATTCCGCCACGTCATTTAACATTTTAAAAGTATGTCAGTATGTGAAATATAGCTGATGACAGATGAAGAGAGATCCCCTAATCAATAATAAGGCATGTATTGTATGAAGTAGGTGAAAGAGGAGAAAGGTGGTTGGCTCATTATTAAGTTGTCGCGGTTTGACTATTGGAGCTGATGAGCAATACCTGCAAAATTGTTATTGGATTGATAATGATAACAATCTCCAGAAATTCTGTCTGTTAACCTTCGGCCTTTGTCAGTGTATGAAAACTGTTCTTGAACAAATTTGCGGTCATCAACCAGTTACAAAACCGACCGAATTCACCCACCCTTTCATTGGATTGATGCTATTTTATTATTACTAAATGTGTATGATCTTAATATGTATGTAATGTTTTGTGTCGCCTATTGATTAGGTTATGCGACTCCCTTATCTTCCTATCAATGTATATTCAATGTTGTAGATGTCTGATTCGTAACGTAGTAAATTTGCCAATAAAATCACTTCTTCGACTTTAATGGCTATCATGCAATGCACATTTTTGTCTCATTTGAAGCGAAACAAATAAATTAAGATGGTCATATACTTATCACCTTTCAAATTCTTATAACAATGCATCGTATAGCCTCAAAAAACATCGATATCCACTCAATCCAAACTAATGTAATAAGAGCCACATACTTGGATAATTTAGTTTGATCAATGTTTAATGTCACTTTTTAACTACGTTCTTAATTTAATAAGGCTCGCGTTTAATTTGTGGGCATTAAAGTCATAGTTATTCGGGATATATAGGCCAAAGCTTTTTTCATAATTATCTTACACGAAAGGATGCATGTAGATTGAGAGGAACTTTTCAGCCCGAGAAATAGATAGGTGAGACAATTGAGTAGATTTATATTCTACCAAATGTATTACCGCACCTAATTTATATGTGCACAATTAAATATGATTTCATCCGAGACATTAAAAAAGCTCAACAATCATGATTTAACAAATAATAGTACTAGATAACTCTGTCACGGTACATGATCATTGATCACCAGGACAAATGTGGACTTGTAGTTTCCAGTTTCATATTTGATATGAAAGACATTAGTGATCCCATGATTTATTTCGCTTATTTAATCAACCCATATCTCAATATTTTGATATTCTACCCCATCAAGCAAGCGGTGTGAGTTTCCTTCCATAAATTAACGACCTTTCGGGAATCAAAACTACATGCACATTCATTTTACGCGTTTATAATCCTTTGTTATTTTATGGTACAAACAAACTTGAGAACTTGCTATCTATCCATCAAATATGCAACATGAAATAAGAAACGTCACCAACTCGAGCATTAACCCACATGAGTCATGTGACATGACACAAGTAACAATTAATTTGCTAATGTACACCACTGAAAGTGAAAGCAGTCACAACTTTTACTCACATCAAAGTTGTCCAGAGTCCAACTCTTGCGCTGGGAAAATAAGTAAATCCCAAGAAACATGACCAACCAACCAACAAGAATTACTTTCTTCCGCCCAATCCTCCAAGGGTCACAACCTAAAGGTCTTCCATAATACCTGACACAACAAAACTAGCGAAAACCACCAACCCACCGCAATACCTGAGCGACTCTATTACTATTATTATTATACTTTCTCTTGTTCACCTACATTTTCCTCCAGATCACGTCATCTCATGTCATGATTGAAATCTCAACTTTCTCCAGAAAAGAAATAATTGAAGAAGCCATATTTCAATCTGCGCTGCTACTCTTTCCAACATTTTTTCCTCTTAATAACCTTATCCAATTATTTCCTGGTACGACACACTCTGACGAACTTTGTCCTCTCTGAACCTCCATTGCTCGAAGCATATAGCAAATGAGATGGCAAGTAAAAATCGAGCTGAATAATATTTGTTATCGCCAACAAACAAGGATGATGAGTTAGCATACGGGAAGAAGAAGGCGAAGATGGCCCAATTTCCTGCTCTACTCGCACGGCAACAACGCTCCCCATCATCTGTTTCATCAGCAGCAGCAAAGACCAAAACAAAGTACTCTTAAGCTCACCACCACCAAACCAACACCAAGAACCACGTATAACAAGTTCAACGTTATTATTATTATTATTAATTCTTCTCGCATATCCTCTCATGATAAGATAAGTTAGGTAACCCCACTGCTGACACCCCCTGGTCTCCTCTTCTTCCAGCCAACTAATTTTATAACCACCACCACCAGCAGTTTTGTTGTTATTGGGCAGTAAAGTGGCCACCTTAAAAAACGGACGACGTACTTAATGTTAAGCTTCAGTTTATTTATTTGTGCTGGGTAGTTAACCTCAAATATAATTATTTTGATGTGGGTGCAGTTTTATACGAGTTCTGAACAATTGTGTGAGGTGTAGTAAATGCGTGCAATGAGCTGTGTGGTTTAGCTGCAGATGATACAATACTCTTTGGTTTTTAACTACGTCGCAGTATAAATAAACGTTAAGGATTTATATTGTTATATTAGTTGGCTTATCCATTATTTTGCCCTCAGTCAGCTGCTGGAGAGGGAAGGATCGTTAGTAAATCTTGAATTGTTAAAGTATCAAAAAACTCTACCTATCACGCAAATCGTATTATTAGTAGGATTCTTTATTATTATTACGCGTTCCTTTGTGTCAGAGATTTCCACTGAAATTGTTTCAAGAGAAAACTTTGCATGTGGATTTCTCGATTTAATGTACAATATATAATTAACTGTAAGAAATATCGAGAGCCAGAAACGTATATTAAATTGTAATTTGACGTTTATCAATTTTCTTTAATTATACATTGAGCAATAACATTGTGATTGGTGCTAAAAGTATATATTATATATATAATACAAGCAAATAAGTAGTATAAATTTAGTAAGTTAGTTAGTTAGTTGTGGGGAACATTTTTGGTGCTGTTGGGGATCTTGGAAATTTGGGAAAGTAATAAAAGGGGTAAAAATGTCGGCGGACAGTTTGCGAAAGGGTGTTATCATCACGAACACGAAGGTGCCTGGGCACACGGTGAGGCCTCAGCCCGTGAGTGAGAAGACCTTCATGGAAAGTGTGGCTGGGCTTATCAACGAAGTCGGACTTACTCCCCAGGTAAGAAATTGTGGCGAGCGAGAGGAACTAATTAATTAGACTTTTGTGGGATGGGGTGGAAGTTTTGTTTGGGTTATACAGTCTGTTTTTATATTTTGCGTAGGTTTAATTGACAATGATAATGGTTGACTCATATGGAAATTACACTGCGTCGCAGAAGCTCTTAAACTAAACATTCATTGTCACATTAATTTGCAAAGTTTAAATATAAGAGCTGCCTAAATCTCTCCATGAATTAACAATTTGAGTACAATGAAGAATTCTAACTAAACAGTAAAATTGAATTTGTTTTCTAGCCATATGGTCATGCGGAGGACGCCGAGAACATGGTCACCTGGGCAAAGTTTGAAGTTCTCAAGGTATCGGATTTGAAAGGTCTTCATGGTGGACAATGGAAATCGGACAACCTTCAGCGCCAAGTGCCCCCTCTCCTCCTCGCGGTTGGGTATCCGAGTGGGGTTCAAATATGGACAATCAACGTGACTGGAGAGGCGAACGAGATCTTATCATGGAAACGACCCCAACTAAAGCAGTTTCAACTCCTTCCCACCCCGAAGAATGAAGAGAGAGATCATCACAAGAATTCCAGGCCGATAGCTGCAATTTGCGAAGGATCCAACTACCTCACCTTTTTCTCACTCAAAACCGGAGAGTCGATAAAGAGTTCCAAGTTTATTCAGTGTGTGCTGGACATTGTGGTCAACCCGGTTGCAATTGCGGTGTCATTCCTTGACAAGATCATCATAGTGGATCCCTACACGCTGGACACGAAGGTTACCATCTCACAGTTAGGAACAGTCCCCACTGCTCCCACGCATAACCCCATGTCACTAGGACCCACCTGGTTGGCTTACACGGATCGACGACTATTCCCCCGCTATCAATCCGGCGGAGGAATGGAAATGTCGGGAAGTTTGTCGTACACTGCATCCATGCTTTACGCAGCAAAGAGCTTGACCAAAGGTTTGAAAGGGTTGGGAGAAACTGTTGCGAGCAGCATTACGGGAAATCGACCTGCTGGACGGAACGAGAACGTGGCCCCAGAACCAGGAATTGTGACCATTATTAATTTAACAGAGTTGAAATCTGGAGAGTTTTGTTTGAGTGATACGTCAACAGGCAACTCGGCAATGCATGCTCCAGTTATTGCTCACTTTATTGCACATCGACAAAGTCCTGTAACCTCTTTGAGCTTTGATCCCTCAGGAATGCTCCTTGTGACAGCGGATAAGCAAGGCCATGACTTTAACGTCTTTCGAATTCACCCTCACCCACTAAGGTAACGAATTGCTTTAATTTTCTACTACTTTTACTACAATTCATAACCTATGTATTTGAATTTATATGTGGAAAATTAACAACCATACCCCATTATTTCTTACAGCTCAGCGCTTGGGAGTGTTCAACACTTGTACATTCTCCACCGAGGGGACACAGTGGCAAAAGTTCAAAATATTTCCTTCGCACCAGACTCCAGGTGGGTGGCTGTGAGCACGCTTCGTGGGACTACACATGTCTTTCCAATCACTCCCTACGGTGGTCCCATCAGTGCTCGCACTCACAACTCTCATAAGGTCGTGAATCGGCTGAGCAGATTCCACAGGACCGCGGGTCTAGACGATGCTGGAACGTCGGGACGACACAGCCCAGTTCCAGTTACTACCTTTGGAAGCAACCCATCTTCGACAACCGTGGTCACCGCAATTAAGACCACCGAGTTGTCACAATCCACAAATTCATTCTCACCCCCAACCAACCTGGCTCATCCCATAACGATTCCCCCCATGGCACAGTTACGACAAGACACCTCCGGCCTGACTTCCACCTCCTCACCAAGATCTTCTCCTCCAGTGTCAAAGGCAAAAACTTTTCTTCAGGAGGAACGGTCCATCGTGGTTTCAACATTCGCAGAGGCAAGAAGTCAACCACTCTTCAACCCAGCAGTCGTTCCGGGATGTGATAAACGGAAAAAGTCTGCTGTTGATTCTCTATTTGTGATGACGTGTTTTGGCAACATGATTGAATATTTGTTGGATCCCAAACCCTGCATAGGTATTTAAAAAGACATTGCACCCATTACATATAAAAAAATACTAACCAAATAACATTATTATTTTGAATTATCGTAATTGTTCATTGTTCTAATACGTACTTTCTACGTAGATGCCCTTCAACGTAATAGCTCACATGGGAAAATTTCCGATGATACGCCCATTGAGTTGACCGTTCATGCCAAAGCTCAGTGGAAGCTGAACAAACCATCCTTCATTAAAGAGCTTCAGCCCCCGCTTCAGGCGAATAACATGCTGATTGTCATGAAATCTGCGTCGGATCCTCATCTATCTGGCAAAAGTATTCCCAAGGATGAAAATATCGATGAGCGTTGGTTGTCTCAGGTTGAAATTACTACTCATCATGGTCCACATCGACGTCTCTGGATGGGACCTCAATTTACCTTTAAGGTTTTTAACCCCTCATTGTAAGCCAACAACCTATTTACCAAAAATATAATTTGACATACTACTTAATTGTAATCAGGACTTTGTGATTAATGCTTAAATGAATTTGTTGTTTTAGACTTCCTGGCATGACGAATAAAACAGGTGTCCATGATATTGAAACGGTAGAAGTCAATGTTACGAATCGGCCAGCTAGATCTAACCCTGTAAATATGCCCGTGTACTCATCTTTACTGCCATTCGTTATTGAAGATAGCTCAGGAAGTACGTATTTATGCATTATTTCTCATGTTAATTGATATTATAATTGACAAATACATGTTGCTCAAGTGTGTGTATATAATTAATCTCGATTGTGACATGCTTTTCAGGTAGTTTAGAGCAGTCTCCTCGCCTTGTTGATCCCTACTGTCAGTCCGATGCAGTGGTTGTGAACAATGATTCCCACATTAAAGAAAATATTGCCGAAGCAATGATGGAAAATGCAAACCTGAATTCACGTGAAAGCGGTGATTATAATTAATTACTTCAATTCTGAAAGTGTACATCAACATGTGCATCTTTTAACAATTCTACATAATCATTGTTTTTAGGAGGCTGTCAAAGTCAAGGCGGGTTGGTTGGGAGTTGTGACGACCTCAGTTCAGGAAGTAGTATTGATTCTTCGAGTCAAACCTCTGGTGACGCTCCATTAGCATCTTCATTCTGTATAGATGCTGGATTTCCATTTCCTGATTAAGAGTGATAACTTTACCTATTACTTTGTTTTTAGTTTAATCGATTTCTAAGATTTAATTAATCTATTTTATCATGCGCAAACATGTCAGCCGCAGTCCTTACTTTCGGTCAAAGTAATAATGTGAATTGCAATGTATATCTACATTACCAATTCTGTTTTAGCAAAAATAAGTCATGAAAAATACAGCAATGAAACAGTAAACCGTTGTGATTTGATTTGTTCATTATTGTAATCGTGCCTTGATTCATGTTGAGTCTATGCATGCATTATATATGGGACCAGTGCATATATTTTTTACCAAGTAAAAAGAAACATCCTAATTTCAAAACTACATTGTTTTATAGTTTGTTTTGCTGTAGTTTCTTATATATGTACGACTAGCTTTTGCAGCGTTCATCACATTTTTGCAAAAAACAGTCAACATTAATTTTCCGTACAAAGCATACATCTAAAATTTCACTGATAATTAAATTTCCAATTCCACTCTTACTCTTTGTATCAGTGTTAATTTTCTCCGATAAATAATTAATACTCTCTCCTCATGTTAATTTAGTGTTGATTTTCCACATATAATTCACGTTGAAACAGTTAATTTCAGGTTCCATAATAACCAAGCAAAAGGACAAGGACAAATTTTCTCATGTTTACAAAGTTTGATAGAGAAACCTTAGAATTTGGAAATAGCATAGCACCTCATAAAATATTTCGCGAACAAATGTAGTAATTTCCTCAATTTCTTCCTCCACTTCCACCTCCAAACAAACAAACACACATTTATCCACCCCACGTTCATGCAATCCGATCGTATATACTGGATAAATCAGAAAGTTTGTGAATTTCTGCAATACAAACTCTAAAACCAAAGTACATACAAGATTTTATGAGGCTTGACGTGTCCCAAAAGTGATCAATTTTCCCCAGTAAACCTGAACATGATACCGAAATATATATCAAAATGATATATCAAAATATGAAGAAAAATGGGTAGAAATATTTTCCTAATTTCAAACTCATTATACAAGAAGAAGGCGAAATTACTTAATTGTGTAGCAGCAGAAGCAAGCAAATCATATCGCACAAAGAGAGGAACGACGAGAGGAGAAAGAAACCACTGAGGCGACTGCGAGTGACTACTGTCATTCCATTTCCACTCACACAGAATTCCGCACACATACAATTCTCAAATTCCCATCGACTTTAAGCCAGCTTTCCCATTTTCTCATCAACATCATCTAATACTTTCCTCTCTTTGAGGTCTTTATTAACTCTGCTTTGAAATGTATGGTCTCAACACAAAAGCCACCTTTTACTTACCTTTTACTCCCTTTGTTACAATTCAAACCCTCATTTTGTACAAGATTCACCAATTGAAACAAGTGTCCTAAAATCTTTGATGAATGCAAATTTTAGCCAGCTACCTATTACATATTTGTTCGTATTTACATATTGTTTGCATCCTCACGGTCACTCACTATTCCATTTTCTCCTTCACAATATATTTATATTTGATGATGGAACAGGCCGACGTCATTGGACTTATTGTCACCTGACGACCATTGTGCTTTTTAGTCATCATGCTTAGTTATCCGCCTCGCTTTCATCAAAATGTGCTGAATGGAAGGATTTGCAGCTAAACATAACGGAATTCATATCCACTATTTTGGTACTCTTCGAGATTCACGGAATCATCGCATTTATGGAATTTTGCGACAAGAAGTTGATGGTTTGGTTGGGATTTGCATTTTATTTAGTTGAATGGTGAGTGTAGTTGGTTGGTGGGTGGTTCGATGATGAAGGATACGTGACAAAAAAGCCCATTATTGATGAAATGCGAGCGGATACAGAGATTAGATAGAGTATATTTGGTCGCCTGTGTGGAGGGAGGGAGGACAAGAGAGGTAAGCATGACTGACAATACTCCCGAGGTAGTAGCCTCTGCTGAACTAAACGGATGCAGGACATATCCTCCTCGACACTTCCGTCTAAATCTAAAATCCATAAACCATTGTTACCAATGTCCAATTACGAGTCTCATCAAATGACCTTTTGCGAGCATTCACTTCAAAATCTACTGATTATCATGAATGAATGGGACGACAGGTAGTAATAAATAAATATTTATTTCGCATGCAAAAGTAAATCTCTCTACACGATGCGAAATATCTAGGATACGTTGTCGTCGGCTGGTGTATGCTGTCCGTTGCCAGCTTATCATATTATCGAGCAGGGAAAGGTCTCCATCTGGAAAATCTTACGGGTTGATGCGAGACGTCTTTTTTTAGACTAAAATCGAATTCAGCCAAAGATTTGTCCAGGGTTTTCTCAACAACTGAACAAACAAGGTTTATTCCATTTCGTAACTACAAATATTTTCAATTGTGTGCTCTACGTGTTCTACGAAGAATGGTGGTCAATCTTCTTTTCTGCGTTCTCATCTCAATTGCAAAACTGAGTTAAAATGAAAGCATATTGTCAAAATCCATGGGATGGATCAAAAGCTCACACCAACAGCCTGGGACACGAACATACATGAAGCGTAATGTGGAATATAAACAGCAACATGCACCACTGAGTGTGCACAAAATTATTACAATGTAGACATACATACTCCCATTGAGTATGATAATGTGATGTCGTTGGCTATAAGCTGGAGCCTACTGAAGAGCTGTAAATGCACACATTCGTCTAAAATGCACTGGTCTGAGTGACCCTTTGCCTTCTTCCGGGAGCGAATCGCTCGACTGGATGACATGAATTGTATTTCTTTTTTTTCATAGCTAACACTCAGCAGTCGAATCCATGCATGCATTACAGGATACATTTCCTTCCCGTTTCTTCTTCCTCTGCTGAACCTCGTGATCAAATATGTGCTTGGTTGCGAAACTAAAATAATTTATTACAACAGGTTGAAGAGAATTGGATTGAATTGAAACAATGGTGTGGACGCATTTGTGCATAAATATGTACACATGCTCGTGTTTTATGATGCATTAAGGATTGATTTGACATTTGAAATTGTACATTTCCAAATTTTGTCAATACCAAAATTCGATCCGTTTTACACATGAAGAGACGCAATTACTAATCCATCCTCATCAAAAGATTAATGCGAATGTCATTTGAAGAGTAATCAAAAACCATATGCATTTCCATTTAATTTTCATGCGATATTGATATTTGAGTCGATTTTCTATTTACCAGTGAACAATTCCTTTCGATGGCTGACGGCGATGACGACTCGACGACTCTGATACATATTTACAATTCGCAAACGTAATCTATCCCAAGGACTAAGCTTTCTCTTTCAGTCGACAAAACTCAGCACATTACTACGTATTTGCTAACTGGAAAACCGTGTTGAATTCTGCTGCTTGATTACCTCCAAGCCACGCCACGAGGCGAAGAAACACTGCTGTTTCCTCCCATCTCATATTAGCACAAATCAATAGATTTTCACTCCGTGAAGGAGATTTCTCAAGCCCAAGCTACAAACAAAGGTGGCTGTGCTGATGTAAACAATAAAGTGCTTTCTCCGAGTATGACACAAATTCAGGTGCTGCAGGTCCAAAACCCAGTTTAATTTTGGAGGTAGCAGAGAGAGAAAGTAGGAAGAAATCAGTGATTGAGTGCATTGGGGAACATGTGGCCTGAAAAGCAGTGTGTGCACCATATTGGTGGGTGTTCCACCAAACAAGTTATTTGATTTTGAATCCATGTTGTGTACGCTTTATAAAAATCGTTCATCATTTTCTCTGTCTGATGGTGGTCTCACAGCCCACAAAGAATATCGTACAGCTTCTTCGTCGTTTTTCACCCTTCTCTCGCTCTCGTATACGTAAGAGTAGACTAGAATCTACGTGTGTCCTCATTTTTTTCAGCCGAAAGTAGCGTCGGGTGGGGTTAGTGATGGGGAAAAGGAGACCAAAAGGAACCAGAACTATAATTGTTTATGTTGTGGACAGATTCACAAATCAATATATGAAGTGGTGGTTCCCATCCCGTGGGTTCTACAAACTCGTAAATGCACACACGTAGCTCGCAGTTCATTCGTGCAACTAACTACGTACGTACGTACGTATATGACCCCTCAGCAATCTTCTCCGCTTGTTGGTGTGGTGAAAGAAATCTAAGTTGCGGAGACCGTGTAGCCCAATTTTCTTTTTCTTTTTGATGGTCGGTCGAGCCTTTCAGGTTGCTTGGTTGAATCTGTCGCTCTAAGGCGTCAGCCGCAATCAGATCTCACAACAGAGTTACTTGCTTAATGAATGCCGGAAGCTTATCGAGAACTGGGTTAGGCCTGCTTCTCTTTTGAACATATTAATGTTTTCCTCGTCATTTGCAATGGGAAGAAATAATGAGAATGGAATTATAATGATTCCCCTTTACCACGCAGGGCGCCTGTGGGTGCAAATAATAAATATGTATTGTATTCTTCTAGTTTGTAGGAAGAATGATGTTTTTATCGAGATAAAATCTGACCTGGTTGACATGAAGGAAATCATATTTATGAAAATGGTGGACATATTACTTTCACCATGTATGTTCACCAGTATGAAAAACGGGCGAGAAGATTGCGACGGAGATGACATTTCCGCTTTAGTATTTTCTAAAAATTTCACCTCATATCCGCCACAAGTGGAGTGGAAGGAATAGAGAAAGCTCGAGAGTGAAGGTCCAACAGGTGCATATGCTCTCCAACTTTTGAGGGAGAATTCCATGCCTTTTTCCATAAGTGTATTCGATTTGTGGCTTTTGCTTCACGCCAATGGAAACCCCTAGTTCAGAAGATTATAGAGAGTTTCATGCTTTCACTCGGATTTTATTCACACACCCACCAAAAACCGACCCGACTTTTCACCACACCTTTCTTTCACATTTATCACTTGTTGCTCCTGTTTACGCGATACACCTTTAACTTTAAATCCGACTGATCGACCCGGATGGAAATAAGTGCACGTGAAAAGGAAGGGCCACAATATGTAATGTATGTATAGGTACATATCAAATATTCCCCTGCTTAAATCTACCACATCGTCGTCACTCTTCCCTCAGCAGATTCAAGTCTGATCCATCCAACCAATTCCCAATTCCATAAACTTTTCAACTACATGGTACCCATTTCACCAGGTAAGCTGACGGATTCCATTTTATGTGTTGAGAAAACCTGAAATCTAACCGGATTAAGGTTTCAGTATTTTTAGCCAGATATTTCAAAGTGACATGTTTCCACTTTCAGAATTTGCAAGTCTTTATTCTCCCTTCAAATCGCACTTTTACCCAACAACCTTTCAAGTAGTATGTATCCAGTATATATAAAAAAGATGGGCAACATACATAGGACGGAAATTCTACATTTCCACTTTTATGGAATAATTCAGCTTAGCACCCCACTTGTATAAATTGTCATAATTTTGAACGTCGTCTTTCACCAACACGGTTGAGGATTAATAGGAGCAAATTTGTCGGTGATGATGACAGTGACAATCCAAGTAAATAATCACCGCACATTAAACCCTCAAAGTGGTGCGGTGGGGGTTACGACAGAGTGAAAGCTACCACCACCACCACCACCACTTACACTTTCCCTTTCGGTTCCGACATAACGAGAGGTACGTATCACGTAATAATGCGGAATGCATGCTGATGTGATGCCAAGTTAATTGCAGCCTTCAGGTAAGAAACGATTTTATTTTTCTCTCTTTTTCTACTTTAATTCTGCGACAAGATTAATAGTCTGTCATTCTGAGAAAGAGAGAGAGTGAAAATGCTGAGAGGAGAAGGTGATAAAATCCAAAGGTGCATTAATTTCTTCGGAGGGGCGATGCAAGGATCAAAATTTTTTACACTAGATATTGTCCTGCTCTTCATTGATAAAGAATCAAGTTCAAAGATTGTGAAAATCGGTCGAGTAGAATTTATAATGTACAAACAAATATTTATATTATAAAATTGTTTACATTTGCTGAATTTGAATTATAGAAATTTTAATAAAAATTCCACCAAGAAAAAAAGTTAACCCTCCCTGAAAAAAAAACCTCACCAAAATTCACCAGCAAAGGAAGGAAGGAAGGAAGGAAAGCAAACTCTCCTCTAGCCTGCCACCTTGGAAAACTCCACTTCATTTATCCCCATACCTTCTAGTATATGCAACACATGCATGCAACATTTCGTCTCATCCGTCCCTTTCATCCGAAAACAGAAAAGCAGTGGAAGAAAAATCAGCCTTTTTCACAGGAGCTCCGAACTCCTCCTAGAATTACTCCAATATTCGACGACGACGAACACAACTTTTCCTCCAAGTAGACCGAATTGACTCAAAAAAATAGAACCTAATTTGACGTTCATCAGCTTAATTTTTATAAAAAAATCATCTTCCCCTCCTTTTTCCCGTGCTCAATCAAAGGTTTATTTTCCTCATTAGATGTGGGAGCAGGATGGCGGAAAAGTGGCGGAAGTCGGAACCAATCTACTCGGGAGAAAGGAGAGAAGACGAGATAGAGATTGTCGTCTTGGTCTTGCTGTTGATTCGCTCCTTCTGATAATGCTCATGGTCTCCTTTATTTTTCCTGCCTCCTCGACTTGTTGGAGGACGAAAAGAGGAGAGTGAGATAGTCAAAGTAAAGCTTAAAAAGAAGACATGCACACTGTTACTGTTACGTCTTTGCAGAGGGTTCGCCATGATTTCCCAGAACGTGAACACACAACGCATCCAGATTACTGCTGTGTGTTCCGCGTGTGTATATATACATGGACGGATGGATAAATAAACATGAGTCACATGCGTTTGAGTTTCGATCGTTTTCAAACTCCTAGCAGGGTTTGGAGCAACCGTGTCTCAATAAGCGAAGGAAAGACGAAAAAGAAGAAGTGGAAGATGATGAAGGTATGATTCCCTGCTTGACAGTTTTTATGGACGACACATGTTTCATGTCACAAGAGTACGAAGGCTTGTCAGGATTCATAAGAAGAGGTTATGCCATGCACTTATCGGGGGTAAAACTTACTAATACTAAAAGTCGAGAAGGCTTATACAATATGCATACAATAAGATTTCGATATTGGTGGGAGTGGTGGTGGTGATGACGATGGTTCACCTATTTTTCACAGTGGTTGGATTTTGAACAAAAAATAAGAATATCTTCCACCTCACATCATCATTATCGCGGTGGCACATTTCTTGGATGAGGAAGAAGAAGAAAGTGAAAGCTTTCTCCCAAGTGCTCTCCGTCTTTCTCCACCACCACCTCTCGCTTTCTAGTGGTGTGTGTGATAGCAAACCTCTCTCATGAACCACATAATCTAACCACCACACTGACTTTATCACCCACCGTTCGTCTTCTCGACTTGTGTGGAGCAACTTGGGACTTTAGAAGACGAAGACGCAAGTGAGACACTTATTCCCTCCTATGCAGAACGGGTGGCGTTGCGTTGCCTGAGTTGCCTCCTCTCTCCGGATGTAATAAGTGTGAAAATTTCATCGTATGTCAGTGTATATTAAAACTTTCATCTCCTTGTCATACAATAACTTTCATCTCCTTGGGTAGTAGTGGCATTACGTATACGGAAGATTAGGCTGGGTGGCCTGGCCTGTGAGTTGTGTGATTCTCGAACCAAGCATTCGCAGGGAATAACTACTAGTTGCACCTCCAGGTAGGTAGTCGCCGTGGTGGAGAAGAGCAATGATGCGAATCATTTTAACTTGTATCTCTGCATCGTGGTGTGGCCAGTGATTATGATATGAGGTGAGTTGTTGGTCTCGGTCGTGTTGTTGGGAGGTGAGACATCCAGAGAGGCGCACGAGCAGCGACGACGAGATGAACCCAAAGACCAAGCAGCAGAAAACCAGCAACAGCAACATCATAAGCACAGACTAGAATTTAGAGCTTTCCTTCTTCCTTCGTCTTTCGGGAACTGACAGACACCCTGCCGACTTTCCCAGCTCTCTCTCTTTCTACCTCTGCCTCTGCCTCTCTCTGGCTGGCTGTGTCTCGGTCGGAGAAATATAAACTGTTGCTCACCCATCCATCCGGACATTCCACCACGACCACCAGTTCTCTCTTCTCCTACCTCAACCCAGCTATTGGAAAACAGCATGTGTAGCCAGCTCAGGAGAGAGAGAGAGACGAAAGACAAATAGTGTGGTTTCCAACCTGTGTGTGTGTGAACTTTGGTTCTTGGAGCATTGAAAACACAAAATAGAAATAAAGCATGGGACATCCCATCGAATCGATTATTTCACATGACGACCTCCCGCACTGTCTCTCTCTTTCGCCTCGTCTACTTTCTTGGTCGTCTTCGTTTTCTTCTTCCACCCTCTCGGCAAGCTGAGATGAGGCAACCAAGGACAAGAAGGATGGCGACCATCTAGGACTTGAGCAAGTGTAAGTTGAGATGTTGGAGTTTAAACTGATTAGCAGGCAGGAGAGAGAGAGAGACAACGCTTCCGACTGACTATTTGTCTATATGGCGTGGCTGGCTGCCTGCACTTTCTGCTCAGGTGAGTTGGTTAGGTTTTGGAAATTTGGTGGGATTTGGTTGAGATCTCGGCTTCCTGAAGTAGCAGTCGCACTGCTGCTACTTCATGCGGCGTAAGCCAGGAACGATTACAGAGAGAACAAGCAATATGTAAGAGTAGTAGTCGTTGTTTGTTCGTATGGCGTTGGTCGGCTTAGTATGGATTCGTCCGGCCAACGGAACGTCTGGTTTGGATTTTTCATGCATGACGGAGTCTATAAATGGAGAGGGTTTGGATTGGATTATTATCTCTGGGAAATTGTATAGAAAGTGCAACTAAAATAAACTTTATAAACCCATGCGACACCACCCTACTCGCTCCAATCCTACTGCTGCACCACCATCATCATCGTCATGATCATCATCCTCATCCCTCCATCCTTCGTAGATATTTAGCTTGGTTCGTGTGTGGTACGGACGGTGTGCATGTGAGAGGTGAGGCAGCTTCCTTCACTGTGAGGGAGTGACAGTCCACTGGCCAATCTCTAAAAGAATTCGCCAGCCTCAATCAGCTACTTCCGGGCAGCCTTTGTGTCCCGTTTTGCAGGAATCTCCTGAGTGAGTGAGTGAATGAGAGCCAGGCAGCTTGAGCTTGAGTGAGTCCAACAGGCAGATTTAGCTCTCAGTTGACGCCTGGAGTGACCCATGATCACATCGCTCTAGTACCACCACGACTACTTCCACCAGCCTTGTGACTTGCACCACTCTTTTGGCTATAATACTACTCGGGAAATAATATTATTGGTTTGGTTGGTCGACGTCGCTGGGGATTTACGAGCAGTTTTGTAAGCCAGCTCACGAGAAGAGGCCTGACTTTTCCTTTTCATACTCGTCTCACAAATGAATATCTGCTACTGCTTCTCTCACATTTCTCTCCTGCCTCTGGTGTGAAATCCATATCCGCTCAATTGGCCCTTCTCATCTAATTACTTTCTCCACTGGGTCCATACATCGGATAACCATCGCGACGGTGATGGGGTAAGTGAAGAAGAGTGGTCTTTTTTCTCTAATTTATTTACCTGAGTATACATAAAGGATGATCATGTGTTTGATTTAGGTGGATTTTTTTTCCTGCTCGTTCCCTTGACGCTGACAAGTAGTTTGCCCATTTTCTCGTATGCTTCGGGTTTCTCGACTTACGAGCTGTACTTTTGACGAGTTCGTTGTCGTTGAAACCTGCATGATACAAGATAAACGCCACCCGAGATATGTAGCAGTGACGACCCCGTGGACACCGTGTTACCATGCACGACAAACACATACCTCCTCGATTGTGTCACCTCATGTCGTCTCAATATCGAATCGAGGGTAGATTTCACACGTGGTGAGTTGGAACCCGTCTCAATATCCTCAACTTTATTGGCTACATACGTATGTTACATGTGGTAGAAACGGGTGATGAAATTTGGAATTTTACGACTTTTTTCACTCGATTATTCATTACATCATAAATTTTCTCGCTTCATTTATCTTCTCTCAAAAGAAAATTATATATTATTTTCATCAAAATATTCATGCCAGGACACCAAGAGGTAAATTATTACAAAAATACATAATTAATTAGTTATTCTCCCAAAAAACATTTTGTACTTGGCTTCATAATCGGTATTATGTCATTAATAAAAAATATATATCAACGAATCCACTACAAACTAACTAACCACTTTAAAACTAAGAATAAATTTAAACTAATTTATGACGTGCTCTCATACGCAGATTTCCATATGTCGACCAAACACACGGAGGAGTGGAAGCGATAAAAGAGCGTGAGAGGAAGAGTCATGTGACTCAAAAGGGTCCACAAAATGCTCCCATAAAATGAAATCTGCTCGTGTTGAGCGTACACGGATTTGATTTCGAACGTCTCGATGATCCACATTGCCAGGTTGCAGACGATGAGAAAAGTCACCAGCTCCCGGCCTGGCTTAGCACGTCGTAACTCTTCAGAGTTGCTGCATCGTCGCAAACCATCAATAATACATGGGGTTTGAAGGATCACTTGAATCACCTGCACAAAACATAATGCATTGTTTGCTGTCACATTTCATGGATAGCGAGCTAGCAATCTGTCAAGTGGTGAGAGACATTTTGGAATTTACAGTCTCGTCAAAGGAAGTAAGTCGCTCCTTTGTGTCAATTACTTTGCCCTCAAATTGTCACTGCTACAGAGTTAAGCTGGCTCTCTCGAAATATGAAATGCTGCTTACCTGCAAACTGCAAACCACGATGGCATAATAATCCTGATGTGCCATGGCGGGCACGACGGTGAAAATTGTGTAAAGAAAGAACGAGGGTAGACACAGGAACAGGAGTAAATCGTCCAACAAAGACACAGCATGAATGTTGATGTCCAACTTGGTAATTTGGCGGTAGGCGCACAAAACTGTGATAATCATGATGACAAGCAGTACGGCTTGTGACGTTAAATTGACCCACTGGGCGGCAAACCCACTGCGAAATGAAAGTAAGTAAAAGTTACTGCGGTTAATATTACTATTTATTCGAGGATTAAGACATTTACCTGCGAAAGTCGTCCAGAGCAATGTAAAAGATGATGACACTGATCACAGTTCCCACCAGGATGAGCAGACCGGCGAAGAGACCTATGGATAATAGATTTTAGGACTATTTATGTATTTGCTAGCACACAAAGATGACACCAAATATTTGTACAACAAAGATACCATCCGAACAATATTTTTACCTTTGTTGGCCGCGTGACAATCGGCATGAATGATGAGATGGTTGGTAAAACTGGTGACGGGGGATGGATGGGAGGGCCCTTGGTTGGAGTCGCGAAATCGCGTCCTCTTCCTCATAATGTCCTGCCCCTTACCTATATTTTGCCACATAATGAACAGCACGCCGACTGAAATGCGGGACAAAATAAACATATTGGAAGCATATTTGAAACACATGATGATAACACAAAATTGACATTTTTTTTAGATGCGTACCGATTAAAATGCTATACTCAATACTGAAGGGGTAGAGATACGGGGACATCTTCACAACGAGCTCGGATATTGAGGAGAACTCGACGCAGGGATCATAGAACGTTGAGATTGCAGATGACGCGTTTAGAAAGTCAAACACGCTGCTTTGAGAGTCTGAAAACTTGAAAAGGTCAATATGAGCATCATACAAGGGCTAGTTGCACAAATGAATTTTGCAACTACGAATATGGCAAGAGGATTGAAAAACCATTTGACCTGCTTCGGATCCTAAAGGAAGGGCGTGATACGGAGGAGGAGCACCGTGTTTGCTTGAATTATTTGTCGGAAATTCCAATGGCAATCCATTGTGTGCTCGAGGATAGTGATAGTAATGCTTTTCGGAGGAATTCCCTTCAGCCATTTTGTGATGGGGAGGCTGAAAAAAGGTTTTGCGTTAGTGATAAGATGATACAAGATGAGACGAGTACGGATTTACTAGTTGCACAAAATCCTTGTTCCGGTCAATACGTGTATGTTGAGCAATATTGCAATTTGTTCATAATATAGAATAATTACAGATCGATTTTTTTAATTGACCGTTAATTGACGAAAGTTACGAAAGTAACTTGATAACTTACTTCAGAACCTAACAAGAAGGAACGTTACTAACTTGTATATTAAAAAGATAACGAGACGAACACGAAAAAAAGTTTATCTAATTTTCCGTGCAACTGGGGTGAAAATTCGGGAGGGGTTTCAGAGGGGACGATATATTACTTCTCGCGTCATATTAACAAGGTGCACAAATCAGTGTATGTCGCAGTAAAAGCAGTATCTTTTTCGGAAAGATTTAATGATTCAACAAATCTGACAAATGTGTGGATGAATCTGAAAGAGACTTTCCTTACCTGTGCTGGGTGTCTACTTTTATGCATATTATTTACTCACCTTTAATATACTTTCAGCAGTTTCTCTCAGAATGCTCCAAAACCAGAAGCACAAACTTGACGAGATGCAATGCATGAGTGCAAACCTTGAGAGCTCCTTATGGCGATTGATAATAACCTGGAAAATATGTCAGAGTGAGCAACATCGGCCCGCAGTCTGAGGGATTTGCTTAATCATATTTAAGTACTAGTAGGGCTTACATTGGAATATTTGAAGATTACAAAAAGTAACAGAAACGAGTAAATAGGGAAAAGCACATCCAGCGTTAAGTTGGCCAAATTTGCACATCGATTATAGACTCTGTCATCGTCAGACGTAAAGAAGATTATTTGCCGACACAATAGAAGTCCCGAATGAATTAAATGTCCAAAACAGAATCCTGAAATTCAACAGACAGTTGGACATTTAGACATTTAGACATTTACCAGGAAACGTATGAAATATTTGAGACGCAGAAATTCTCGGGATCCACGTATGTACTGGGAAATTTTCACTCCGGTAACAATGCTAATAAAAGGATGGGAAGGTGGTGGAGGGCAAATTGCAATCCCACTTTTGATCAATCATTTCTCAGTTGACAAATCCCTTTGAAGTCCATTTATTTGGACCATCAATTCCATGTGTGAACATTGCGAAACAAACAGGCAAGAAGAAATACATGAAAGGGGGTGCCAACCTGCTGCGCCAATTTTTAAGTAGAAGGATCCCGAGTGTCGGCTGTGACAAAAGATGTAAGCATGACGATTGAAGGTCGACTCTTGAGCAGCATTGGAGCCGAGTCGAAAAGCCGCTGGGTTGGACGAAGATGACGACGAACCGTTTTGTGCTGTTCTCTGCTTCCCGTGATTATTATTACTGTTGTTGTTACTCGGAGTCTTGCCATTCTGATGGCGCTGTTGCTCCGACGTTGGTTTACTCGTTGGCACGGGCTTATCTCCATGGGGATGAGGAACGCCGCCCCCGCCGCCGCTGCCTGCCTTTGTCTTCCCTTCTGCAGCCTGGTCCCGAATACGGTTCTGATGTCGTCGAATGTCACAGTACAAGAAAATAAGCCAAGATAATCCCAGAGCAACCAGGTAGACGCTGAATACCTAAATTTTTAAGAAGTATTAAACATTGAATATCGACTACCAAAGTGTTTCACTCTCAAACGTTGCATAATTTACAAGGGCATAATCACTTATGCACTTATGTACCTCGGCAAGTATGGCTGTACGTGATATAAGATCCGCAATGTAGACGACGACTCCCAACATGAGGATAAAAATGGCATAGATGCAGCTTAAAATTATTGTCAAGTAGCCCCTGTAAGATTTTGAAATAATATTCATATCAATACCTTACGATTATTATGGACATTATTATTGTCCTGCCGATAAATTTAGTAAAAGTGTCAATAAAGCCGACTTACTTAAACAGGGCTCTCTTCTCCGCAGTGGTTATTGGATAAATGTCAATATTTAGGCGTCTGTCGGTGGGGGTGGGTGGTTGTTTGTGGCACGTTGGCATTTGAACACGACATTGTCTTGGGCATGGCTCGGCATGTAGCGGGGGCTGCTGTGGGTCCGGTTTGTAGTCTGTTTTCATAACTTATAATTATGAGTCATCTATTACAAAAAATTTGATTTTTTCTTTCAAATTCTATAGTTTAAGTAGTACCGAAATTACAGAAACGTGGCTCATCCATTCTGGCGATGGTTTCCACAGAAGTGGGTCGTGTGAGCCATAGTTTCTTATTGCAGTAGAGCACCTTTGGCGGAGCGTCTTCATTGTCTGGATTGTGGTGATGGTGTTGTTGCATCCGACTTTGAAGTGGCTCTGGAAGCACTATGTGTAGTACCATGATGATGAAACGCCAGGAGCTGGCAGCTTCATCTTTCCAGCTTCCTCTCCTCACACACGGTGACGCCTCAGTTTCCTCGGTCCACTTTTATCCTAATGAAACCACAAAATTTTGACCATCAAAAATTTCTACGCAAATTTGAGTCTACATATATTAAATTTTGCACAAAAATTCCGAGTTCAACCCAATATTATCGGTAGTAATTGACATAACAAAAGGGTCCTATTTAATAACTGATCATAATTTAATACTTTTTTCCACCATAATTAATACCTTTTTCCTGAATACTACCTCACACCACAAAATTTGGCTTTTTGTACCGTCGGAAATACAACAGTCGGTGTTAAATGTTGCTAAAAATCCCGAGTTCAACCAAATATTGTCGGTAGTAATTGAGACTCTCAATTTGAGAGGTGGGTGAAAAGTGAAATCTCGGGTATCTCACTAGATTTGCAGATCTGGCCACTACTCGAACGTGCATACTCCTCCTTATTAAAGATCAGTTAGAGAATCTCACATTTTTTCAAATAGATAGGTCAACGGGGTGTTGTTTATATTTTTTCTACTCGACGCGAAAGTAAAATTGCTGTTTAGTGGAGCATCTGCTTCTGTTTCCTCATATAATTAGCAAAGTGAGAAATTTTTCACGCTCTGCGCAGACGAGCCAATTTAATTTAATAATAAAAGGAGGCCCAGCACTTTTAATTTTATTTGTAATAATAATAATGCTACTTGCTTACGTCTTTGGTGATGCTATATCATAAACTACCCTTGTTGTAAAGAGTATCATTCTCGTACCCCTCATTTTTTGTAAATAAGGTCACACCAACTGTCGTCACCATAATCTCATGTGTGGGATCTCTTTAAAACTCTGTCGGCATCCGACCAAATAAATGATGACCTTGCCCTGACATGTTTATAGGTATGCAATTTAATTAATATTCACTCAGCTAAATATGAAAACTGCATAAAATGCCGAAACCTTAAAATATTATTAACTCGAAAAAACCAGCCTCGCAAAAAAAAACAATTACAAAAACGACAGTTGTAATAAACGCTGCAAGCCTTTCAATTTCAATCGGAAGAGGTCAAGCGCATTTCAAAATTTTCAGATCTTCATACTCCGTTAATAAATAAGGCACTTACACACTTGCTGCCTCCCTCCCTCACACGTGTGTAGGTACACATACTTATGTATCACATACTCACTTATCTACGCAGATACATGAACATATTTAGCATCGCCCGAACGAAAACAACTTATCGCAGCAATGATCGCTTGCACCAATTAATTGCACGCTGACTGTGGCAAATGGTTGGCTGGTTGTTTTTTTAAGAAAAACTGAACCACTGCAGATATCTCGATTCGCATGACTCCCTCTTCTACACCAACTCTTCTTCTCGTTCTGTGCGATCTAAATGGATGATGCTCGTTGTTAACCTACTCTCAGCAACAATTACAACTAATTGCATGTGGCCTGTAACATTAAATTCTCTTATTTTCAAAACACCGCTGATGCAGTTATTATTTTAAGTTCCGTTTTTTATACTTTCAACAAAACCATCATCATTTAACACGGTTTCACTACCGAATCGATGACGACGATGAGGTGAATAATGTTGACGAGGGAGAACGCAGATACACAAATATGTATGTATGCAGACATTTTTATGTATCTATTCGAGTAAAAGCCGTCTTATTCCATTTATCTATACGGGTTTCAATCGTTCCAAATGATCAACTGTGTGTACAAAGGAAAAAATGTATGTATGCAAAATTTGCATAATGTGCAATAAAGGTTTGACGTGAACTAATCGGCTGACATTACATTACAAAGTGTTGAATTGACAAATTGGTAAAGCATATAAATAAATACTAAATGCAGCGAAAAGTGTCTTCTGAAACGTGCTGTGTATGCAATCCGAAACAATATTTCACACTGATTCGCATTGAAAAGTAGTTATGCGTAAAGTGACCGACCTATGTGCGAGATATTACAATAAATCAGTAAAACCAACCACTATAAAACTTTGGCAATCGTACTTTGTGGTAAAAAATGAAACAAAATGAAGAAATACATTTTAGTAATCGCAACCGATTGATGGGACATATGGTACGACGACGATGAGAACGTGCTACAGCAATTACGCGCACAACGGCAGAGATTGCCTTAGTTCATGAACATCTCGACTCGACGACGAACCAATAGAATTTGAAAATGAGCAAATCTTTGGTGATGTCAGGCACTCGTCGTCGTCGTCATTGTGAAGAATGTAGCCACGGGTATCGAGAGTGTGGACTAGTGTAAAGGACGTTGTAAACACCTCATTAAACAATAAAAGACTTCTCTTAGCAGCGAATTCAAATTGCACTGCGAGACTGTTGTTGTCACGCACTGCAGTTTTCTGTACAATGAATAAGAACATTCTTGCATTCCTTCGTCACCTACCTGCACCTGTAGCACCATCACTGTGATGCCTTCTTATTTAGATCTTCACGTAACAGCAGCAGCAGCAGCGGTTGATTCTGATTTTAATGAATTGTGAAGCGAACAAACATTGCATAACTATTGCTGCCTGGCACTCTTAGAGTTGAGCCTCACGACCTGTCTCAATTCAAGCCAATCAAACCCAATGCGTTTTATTTCTCAATTGCTGGGCAACAACAACATGAGTCAACCATCAACAGTTCGATCTTTTCCTTCCTACGAATTCTAACAATAGCTCAAACTTGGCTTTAGTAAGTAATAATGACGTTATGGAAAAAATTTCATTCCCCAGTTTCCAAACTCATTATGCTAAGAAATTTAATCTCCTTATGCCATACGCAATATTGGCAGCAGACAAAGATAGAGACCTGTGCAGATATGTACGTTGTTAGTGACGGGGTTCCATACATACACATGGCTATGTTTATTACGTATTCACGCTTATTAGCATGATCTCGAGCCATGCAGAAAATAAGGAAATTGGATTCCTACCTCTGTTTCAGAACACCATCCAGCAGCGGATCCCTTAATACTGCAGGGCTTGATTTTTTATCAAAACAAAATCTTATCAAAGTCGAGAACATAATATTCAAATCATAGTTAAATAGAATTATAGGTCCAACACCAGCACTTTCATGTAGTTTTCCTTTAAATCACAAAACCAACACGTACACAAATCACCACATACACAAAATCTTATTATTTATTTGTTCCATAAATTCTGGAAATGATGTCTTCTATTCATAAAGAGCTTGATTCAAACTTCACTTCGATTTCGATTTCGTCGACGGAACACCTTTTCTCGGCTTGTTCAAGCACTTATCTATTATAGCAGTCTAAACTTATAATTCTTTAAAAAAAACTGTAGAGCTATACTCTCGTGTGATTTAGAATTTGTCAACTTGCTTTTCCAACTTCCTCAACAATAGTGAACAACAAAGAGCTGACATCCTCTCTTTGAATCTGATTCTGGCCAGCAAACCAACACGACTAATCCAACATCATCTTAAGACAGGAGTCAAAGTTGTTGCAAGTTGTAAGACAAAATTTTAAGAATAGTAGCCTTTAGTAGTTTGTTAAATATGCGTTTTTTTACACAGTGTAAGGGTAAGTGTAAGGTATTGAAAATAAGTCTCCCAGAGATGAACCACTGTTCTGTGCCTAAGTTAGTACACGATTGTGGGGCTGTTGCGTGGAAAATTCTGTATGCAATGATAAATTCTCTGATATCTTGGGTTGTGGGTTATACCAAATTTTGGTAAAGTAGTTGAGTAAGGTGATGTGGTGGTGAGATACAATTAAGCGGTGTTTTACATAAGCTCCCATGTTTTCTGCTGCAGTATAGCGCGTTGATCTTAGCAGAAAAGAGGTAAATACAGCATGAGAGTACAAATGACTATTTCCTGAAGCATGACATTTGGATGCGTGAAATGCAGAAAAAAGCAAAATCATAGCGTCGAGATGTGCTTGGCTCATAGAAGATGAAAATGTAGGTTGAGTTTAAACAGGCGTTCAAATGGAGGAACGAGTAGTTTTTAGCTGGCAATTTTGTGTGTGTATATGTACATATGCATGTGAAATGTCTGCAATTTTTCACTAAAAGGTACAAAAGTGGATGAAATGGTCAACATCCAATTAAACTTGGATTCATGTATGTGTTGACTTGTGCTAATTTGTTGGTTGTTTGACGGGCCCCTTAGTTCTGAAGTTGATAAGATTGCGAAGAAGTGATGGATTTCAGGGAAGGATGCGTAGAAAAGTGGTGTATACGTTGGTTAATTGACAATAGTGTGATCTCGAGCATCATAAAAATTAGCTATTAATATAAATACTAAAAATTCTACAAATAGAGAATTGCTGATTTAAAATCTACTACTTTCTAATGCTCGCATCTTTGGGTGATTAAAATAATAAAAGGTACATATTTAACAGCACCATTAATTAATCTGTTAAAATGCTTTGGTAAGAGCTGAACTAAGACGGAAATGGGAAGACCGGTGTAATGAATGGTACTAAATACTTCTTGTACATGGGTACATAAGTAAGTACAGTGAGGACTGTACTTACTGTCACGGACTGTTGCATGCAATTCACCTTGAAGCGTATTTTTTCCAGTTTTCGATAAGTGCGAATCTGTCTCGAATTTGCAAATCCAATCAAAATTCGCAATTTGACGTACCTTTCGTGACACAAAAGTAAGCCTGCACTTTAGTGATATTGAAATAAAACATTTCTTATTGTTGTGTCCCTAATATGCTGAGTTTGCCATGAGGTGGAACAAATACGACTTTCTCTTCATCTAGTTCAGTCAACAATCATTCCTTCGTTTAATAATATACGTAAGGGTGCAGGTGGGACAGCAAAATTATAACATGCCTCCTCACCTTCCACCAAGAAGAAGAAGAGTGGACATGTACCATTCTTTGCAGAAGATGACGCACATTTGCTAAAATTGTAACTAAAAAACGCTCTTTTGGTCTGTCTGTCTGCTACTACTTTACTTGCAGACGAGTTTCTGCATGGAGGCTTGACAGGTCTTCATTTATCATATTAAAAATGTTCTTTATATTAAGCATTAATTTGTTTCCGGTTGATTTATGTATGCACATATTTACTCATACATGTTACTTATACTATACACGTTCCGATAAGAAAGATGTGCCGGGGTTTCGTAAAAACGAGTCCATATTTTTATGAAAGTCGAAATTTTGTACACATTTTTTGGCTCCGAACAAATAATAGTTTGCATAAAGTCCGCCCAGTCCACGTTTCGTTCCCACGGTTAACTTGCTGATAACATTTATGGCGGTGGAGCGAAGAAGTACGTATGTAAGCAAACAGTATCAGGGACAAATTAGATATTTGCCATGTCGTACGTACGTAAGCAAGTTGTAAAAAATGATCTAAATGATTGCTAATCCTTCTCCTCTTCTGAATTCTGAGCTCTCTTCTCATCGTACATTTCGGAAAGCCCCAAAGCCAAGAGTATGAGTTTCGGCAGCCCAATATCATCATCACCTCGATACATTTCTTACTACTTTTAAAGGATCCATGGGAAAATCATGAAAATGTTTCCTCCTGATGTTTCTTCACTTCCCGAGCAATTAATAATTACAAAAAATATGCACTAACAATTAAACAAATAAATCTAGATTAAGCTGCCAGGACAAGGTCACGCTTCACAGACGGATGGAGGGTTATGAGAAATTAGTCGAGTTATAATAGAATTAGAATTCCTAATTACTAAATAAATCCAAATAGCCAATTAACATATGGGTACGCTTCACTTTAATGATTTAAATTCTAATCAAGCCTCCAAGATTTTTCACAAGTCCTCACAAACAAACAACGCAACAACACTTCCCGTCTCAATAATTATTATTCTGACGTTTTACTAAGTATTCTGTACGTCGATTTTATACATTTTTAGTACATATTCTGTACTATTGGACCAGGACGATAAGTTGGTGGGTGGATGTATGCATACATATTATTCAGACTGATGAGCAAATAATATGTATGAAGACGTATGTATCCACATAACGAGGCAAATTCTGAGACGACGTGATATAATTGGTCTGAAAGAACGGTTTCCAAATGGCATCAGTAATAAAAATTCCAATAATAAGTACGAATGAGTGCAACATGTAGCAAAGGTGATGGGGAATGCGATAAGAGTGCGAAATTTGCGAATAATTTGTTTCGTTTCCCTGTTGTTGATACTTGGCTGATGGATGGGAGAGGATGAGACCTGAACACAATAAAAGACTGCTCTCATATATGCCCAACTTTTGGGTCCCACCGCAGGAACAACGACGACTGGTTTTTTATCGTGTGAGAATCTTGAGCAGACTTGAGCTTTAAACCTCCCTTGCTGCTTGTTAAATCAGCAAGGTTTTAACTTAAATGTCTCACCAAACTTGAATCCAAATCAAAACTACCTCCGTCGGTGGGTCGTCGGATTATTGTCGAATGGCTCGAAATAAGTTAAGACGACTCAACTTGGTTGGGAGGAGGTGGGTGCTGAAACAATCAACAGGAAGGAACTTTCTTGTTTAGTGGGCCTCATTTCGCATATATACGCCAATCCGTCACAATCCTTAGCATACCGAATCTCAACTTGAACAGTTTCTCATTCCTTTCAAAAGTAATTTATAAAGGATAGTGTCGCATGGAAAACATTGCAAAGTTTTCTTTAAAAAAACTTGAAGTTATCGTGTCGCCGATTGACAAAGTTGGAGTATTTTGTTGACAAAAGTTTGTGTATTTGACTGAGAGTGGAAATACGGTGATCTAAATCCCTGCGTAGCGTTGTTATTGGAGAAAGCTCGCTAAAGTGGCGTCACTGTTGTCAACGTTGCGCAGATCGCTGGCAGATCAGTTTCTTCCCTACCTTTTGGATTGGATTGTGAAAGCGGAGTCTGGATTTCTCAAGGAAGCTCAAGATGAATAATGGTAGTACAATTTGATATTTGCTCTTTCAAAATTCTCATTTTAATTCTAATTCGGCTAGTTCTATGCATATGTAAAGTGCATGTAGAAATATTACGCATATTTCACAATGCTCCGATCCGGATATCACGATCCCATAAGACCCAGATCCATAAGAACACACTGATCGAGACAGATATATTCTTCTGGAATCAGGATATCCCTATCGGAGCACTAAATTATTTCAACCCATGCATACAAATGTACAAGGTAGTCTTAGATTGCAAGTAAAATTTACTCATAAATTTTGAGCTGCATTTTCAGTCCTATTCGGGTTGTTTAATTAGTTGGAAAAACTTTGTGCATTAAGTCGTGTGCTTCGAGGAACTGAGGAGGATATATATGCATGCAGATGAAGAGAGTTGTAAGGAAATATAAAATTTAGGAAATATATCCCACTTAAATTTTACAAACTTGTGCAATGCAAACTATTATAAAGCTGGTAGAATAATTAGTCAACATATTTTATTCTGACCCAATTAATTAGCTCAAATTAAAATTTCCTCATTCTAACGAAACTGCATAGAAGGAAGCATAAAATAAACACAAAGTTATGACTTTTCATAGCCACACGAATGATAGTAATAATTCCGTAAATCGCATGTAAACAATGCACATTATTATTATTTATTACTTTTAGAATGTCAGGGTTCAGTTGCATAATGACTGCTGCTGCTGCTCCTGGCACCGATTTCCGACATGCCAACATTTCTAACTTTTGACTGCACATTTTCCACTCATAATTTTAACTATGAGCATTTTAACCACCAATTTTGGAGCGTAGTTAAATTTCGATGGTGTGCTCACTAAAAAGTAACAAAGCGCAATATACATAACGGGAACGAGACTCCCGTATCAATTTTTGCGTGCGACCGGATAAAAGTTAAAAAACTGAATCCGGTTGTTGGAGCAATTCCTTAATTTTTTGGAACAAGTTCATCGAACTGCATGTGAACGGATGTGACACTGAATAGCAATCTTTGCTTTACAGAATGTATTCATTCGTACATAGCTCGTATCACATAGTGGAGCATGTATAGTTGGGCAATAGATTCGTGTATTTCTTCTTGGGTCAACCTAAAGCATTGTTTTTACGTATTCAGTGCAACAAAATTAGCACTACTGCTACCACTCGTAGGTAACGCCGGATGCTTATCAAGCAATTAATTTCTTATCTCTGTGTCCTCCTCCGGTGTTTGATGCAGTGTGGGCTGGGTAGTCGGTGGTGCTACCAGCCATTTAAAAATTAAAAGGATACAAATAATCTTGTTAAGTCTGACAGACAGTGGAGTTCTGTCTCAAAAGTCAGATTAATTAGCCGTTATTGTCACTATTTTATATGGAGCACTTTAATGCCTCGTATAATTAAAAGGTCTATTTGATTGTTAGTTTCAATCGAGTTTATATTCCTTTTTTTCATGCTTTTCTTCATATTATTATTGCCATTATTTTCATTCACAACGAAATGGAGGATGTTGCAGTTGAAATTATCAGGTTTATAGATCCCATTGTGAATTGTATGTAGTCCTTTCTGATTTGTTTCTTTCTTTTAAAAAACCATGTTTTTATGCTGAGATTAGCCGACAAGTACTTTTGAAAGTAGTCTAAAAGCTTAAATGTGTATTTAGAATGCTTGATCAACAACAAATTTACCTAAATAATAAAGAAATCATTTTCACACCGTATCATTACAAGGATACATTTTGTTGTGCATTCACATCACAATTTACTGCATTGACTTCACCAAACTAATAATTGTGACCATGAACCAAGTGTCTCACAAGGTTCACGTTGCCCCCGTAGGTTCAGACAATCTCGGAGATGACGAGGCTTCCGTGGATGGATCTTACACTCACCAGAATGACATCGGAAATCATAGCGACCAAGATCGCTGCCATTCTGAGGAGACGGACAGCAACAACGACAACGAAATTGTGTGCACCTATTTATAATCTAATATTTTATGCAATGAAGCCCTAAAATTGAGCAATTTCATTCACTATCTGATTAGGACATGACTGAAGGGAATTACATGAAAGACGGCGACAGTACGGAGGAAGCTGCAACGAGCAATGGTACGGAAATACATGTGATGTCGTAATTTGATTTGTCTCCTTGTGCAAACATTTAAAAGGACTTGTTGAATTTCTCAGAATCCATTGCAGACTTTTTCAAGTTATTGCCATACTTGTACCTTATACAAAAGAATTACGGGGTAAACACCTCTCTCGTGCCTGGCTTTGAGCTTACAAATTCCCAACTTTCAAACTCTGGAGAGTTTTCAGACTCTCCAAATTTCAGAACTTTGTTGGAATCGGACCACTTTAAACATCTTCAGGTTGGGAAAAGTCGACTGATTTAATGATTTGATCATTATTGATGTTGCAAAGCATTTATTTTGCTCTGCTAACGATGTGTTGCTCAACAAAGTTGTTATTATTTTGACCTTTAGCAACTTCTACCTTATGGGAATTGCTACAATGGTAATAACAATAACAATGGCGAGATTAATTTTAACGGGAATAATGTTGGAAGTGATGACGAACTTCATTGCAACGACTCATCGGAACACGATGAGCCACTAGATTTAACTCAAAAGACAAAGTAAGGACATAAATATATACTTTTTTGAACATTGCAATATTGGAAAAAATGTTGCTTTTCAGAGATTTTCCAAGAGCACTTAGAGACGAAAAATCTAACCGTCCAACTCAAAGGGCAGAGAGAAGCTATACAATTCAAGACCTTGAATTGGCACTTCAGGACATTCAGAGTGGAAAGTTGGGAACTCGGTGTGTGTCAACTTACACCAGATATAAAATAAAGTAAATAATGCCCATGCACACATTAAAAAATATTTTGGTTTGTTTGCAGACGAGCCGCTGTAATTTATGGAATACCACGTTCAACCCTGCGAAACAAGGTTTACAAGTTGGGGAAAGCGTCTCAACTCAAGTCCACCGTCTACAATGGTGTTCATGACAGAGAAAGGTAACCATGATGCAGACATGTACATCAATTTTTCTATCCAACGAGTCTAAATATACTTATTTTTTAATGGTAACTGAGTATGATACATATCCTTATTTGTCCAATTCGTGATACAGGGATGATTTTGAGATGCCGCATGATGACTGCAACCGCGAGTCACCTAATGCTTTGGACAATCATGTCATCACAATGGACCATGCCAGGTTTCTGAAAGAAAATCCCTACTCGTTGATTAGGTAAGACGAATTCAATGGAAATATAATGATTGGCTTTGCCCCGTAGTGGTGGTGGTTTGGGTGACTTCTGCTTTAGACGCTGTTGGGTTACATATATATCAAAATTGTGATCATATACGATTTTTTTTCTCCATTTTTTTTCCTTCGTCTGAACCTCGAGCAGCCGAGGAGGAAGTGACACACTGGCTGTAAATCAACAAGGAAGGATCAATGATGGCCATAATAATGATGGTGGGGAGAGAAATCAATTGCTATTCATGGGCGGTGGAAGAAGCCATAATCAACGAGGACGACACGGTTCCCGTCCATCGCTTTCTCTGCCCAATTACCCACGTGCTCAGAGCTCTGGTGCAGCTTACGAAAATTTCAGTGATTCCTCCCTTGGCAAGAAAAGCAGACCCAAGAGGGGAAAGTACAGAAACTACGATCGAGAGGCGTTGGCAAAAGCGGTTCAAGCTGTTCAAAATGGAGAAATGAGTGTCCACAGAGCAGGTATGTAAATGCATTAATAAAACCGGGCTCATCTTCTGAAAACTAGTAGCGAAACCTCTCCAATAAAAGAGCATGGTTCTCATTAATTTGTGTAATTTGATATCGGAACGAATGAAGTATGCTGACATCAAGGGAAAAATAATTGCAACACTTGTAAAAAAAAGTTGCAACTCGTTAGTTAGTCTTTTATGTTTATATGTTCGTCTCCATATATTTACACTACACGCCCACTGAACCCTCCTGTTTAATCAATCATTAAAAAATCTCAGTCTTTTTGATTTTCTCCCAATTTCAGGCAGTTACTTTGGCGTTCCACACTCGACCCTGGAATACAAAGTAAAAGAACGTCACCTCCTCCGTCAGGCGAAGTTCAAAGGAAAATCGACAGCAGCAGCAAATAAGCCCGTCGTCATCTTCAATGGGGGCGAACAACAATCTGCCAGTCTCAGCCTGGCTCCCTTATCTCCCTCTGCCATGGTGGATTCAAATGATTCTTCAAATTTTCCAAAGACTTTGCCCGACATGGGAAAAGGCAGCTTGAGTCATTTCGTGAGACACGGCTTGTTGAATGGCGAGACCAGATGGAGATCTCCGCTCCTCGGATTAGGACTCACAAATGCTGGCGAAGACTCGTCCAAAAAAGAAATCAATGCTCCATTACCAAAGATTTATGATCCGAATGAAAGTTTGGAGAATAATCCTTCTGATCTTTTGGATTTAACAAGTAAGTAGTCGTCGTCGTTGTCGTCGTCGTTGTGGCAGTCGACAACGATGAAGAGGAGGAAGGCCTGAAACGACGACTTGAAAAAGAACCAAGACTTTTTTTTACTTAAGGCTCATACATATTGTACTCAGACTGGTCAAGTGATGATATTATTTTACTCTGCTTTTATTCAACTACCACCCACCAAAAGATCGAGCTCTTAGTTCGTCCTGATGCTATGGGTGGTACTTGAGAAAGTGAGTGGAGATGGAGGGAAGAAAGCGAATGTATTGTGCCCAAACGACACGCCAGCAAATGGTTTTATTATCGAACACACCCTCTTTTTTGGGAGAGAAAGAGTTGTAGAATCATTCGTTACTTACAACTGCTTTGTATCTACTGCCATGTAAAAACTAATTCTTAAGTCAAAAAGTTGTAAATGTTGGTTGGAATGAGATTCAATCTACTGCAGGATAAAAAAGTTTGTGAATTTGGAAAGAGAGCAAATGTAGTTTTCATTCTCGATTCAGCGAGATTATTATTATTATGTGAACTGGAATTGTGGTCTTTTTATGCTCATAAATCACAATAAATAAATGCGAATCAAAAACTTTGGACGAGTTCATTTGCAAAATTTCATTTCAAAAGTGCATTAGCGTTGGTTTTGCATGGTAATGAAGAGTGGTTGACAAGCAGCAGTAGCATTTGCATAATTATTACTCTCTTCATAATTACTTGATCTAAGTGTTTTCCAGAAGAAATATTATGCTTATGGAGACAACGAGGAGGAGAAGGCAGAAAACAATGGTGGATGCAAATCTTAAAAAACTTAATCTCGTAACTACTTAGTATTTTTAAACCATTTCCTGACTCTCTCGAGAATCTTATCTCTTGATGTTACCTCGGAAAAGAGGAGAAAATCCTTCCAGTTCAGAAGTATCTAGTCGTAGGCAGCGCGAGGGAGGAGAGATGAGATTGATATTCATATTTTATAAGAGAAATGAAGGGCTCTCAATATTTGTATCGAGTAAACAAAGTATAAAAGTGGGCACACACAGAGAGGCAAAACTCATCCTCGCAAAAACAACCATGCATATTTTTTCCTCTTTCTCTCTCCAGCCGCAGTATGAAACTAACCTCTTGCGAAATTCTTCCAGTTGAAAGAAGTTGATCTCCATCATCATCATATCATCTGCTGCTTCATATTTATGTATATGTTTCATCCCAATGTTGGACACTATGAATTCAGAATTCGGCGGAGCACAAAGCAGAAAACCAAACAGAAATGAATAATTCCGTAACTCTAATGCAAATGGGATGGATGGATGGATTCTCTGCTGGTGGAGCTGTTGTACTTTCCTCCCTGGGGACGTTGTCTGTCTGTCTGACTCGCCTGACATCCTTGCCACACGACGACGACCAGGTATATCTACTTCTGGCATTCGCAATTAGCTTATTTGAATACCTAATTGAGATTATGAAACCTGCCTTGAACTGGACAGAGGGAGAAAGCGGAGAGGGATGTTGTTCTTTCCAATTTGTTTTACTCGAGCAAATAATGCATTAGGAGAGAAGTCAGTCAACTTCTCAACTATCTATCCGTTTGAAACGCCACTACTTTTCCGAACGGACGGACGACCTGGTGTTTGCTGCGATTTCCTCAACTGCAAGCTGCTCCTGGTCTGGTGGCTTTTAGCGTAATTAGTATTATACATACCAGCACCAGCAGCAGCTGGCCTAGCGAAAGTAGAAAAGAGAAAGAAGCCTCGAGCCTCTCAGTGGTGGCTCATTCTTTGCCTGGAAACCTGTCTCTTCTGGTTTTGACTTTACCACTCGACTTTCTCCGAACAAGCGCCTCTCTTTTTTCACCATTAGTTAGTGCTCCATGTTGTTCAATAACGTGCATCATGCCAGCCAGACAGATCTGGAAATGAGGGAAAAAAATGTATTCCTTATGAGCAGACCAGCAAGCTTTATCGAAACCTATAAATTACTTATTCCTCACCGCCACCCCAATTACTTTGATGGTTTAACTAATCACAGACATGCCGTTTGTGTGCATCCTAACTAATACCACAACAGTCGCGGGTTGCACAATCTTTGAAATTGCATAAGTCGGAGGAGTTGTTACATTCCCGACTCCATGGGAAGTCTGGCTGATGGGAAGCTTTTGTAACAATAAACAAGCCCCCTTCTTCTTTCCACTAGGAGACGACGAGAGGCTCGAGGAGATTTAATTTTAATGTATTCATAGGTTAAATTCATCTCCAAAGTGGTTCAATTACCATACGCAATATTTTTGAACTTTGAATGCGAAATGAGAAGGCGAAGTGGTGGTGGTTGGCTTTTGTGATGCAGATTCTTCACCACGAGGGGAGAAAGAAGGAAAGAAAGCTGCTGCTGCATCAGGTGGTTCAGTTGGCTGGATGCTTGGCTGGTGATTCCATAAGTAAAATCTTTCGTGCGAAACGAAATGATTTTTAGTGTTCACTTACTCAACACACGAGAGCACATTCCTGGAGGCAGGACATGCGGAGAGGAAAGTCCAGAAAGTCGAGTGAGAGGTACACAAGGCGAGAGATAACAAATGGATGGAAAAATCGTGAATGGAAAGCTCAATGCAATGCTATGGATGGATTTACTTGAGTTACTGCAACACTTTTACACTCTCGACCATGCTGCCGCTTTCCTCCAACCAAACATTATTTACTACTTTCCATTCCTTTCACGGGAACATATGCAGAGCAAATTTGGTGTAAATTCCCTCTCGCCTTCCTTTCTCCCATTTTGTATCGTGGGCTGCTTTGGAAATGGCAAAAATAAAATATTCCTCTGGAGGAAAAGGAAAGGATTTGGATGGTTGGAGAGAAGAAGAGAGAACATAATGGACCATAGTGCCAGTTGGTTGGTAAGTTGTAATCCCAAAGGCATTAGAAGGAGATGATGGCCCATGGTGGTTCTTCTACGGCGGTGGATTCCTCGTGTATGTACTTTTGCAACTGTGATACGATTCTGGGAGAAAACAAAAGAAGTTGGTCCGTCTGTTCTTATTATGTCAAAGTTTCATCAACCAACCAACTCGGGTTTCCACCGAGAAATTGTTCTTTTTCAGGGAATGCGTCCATATGTCGTGTCCTCCCACCATTTCAACGCATGAAACTACAAAATAAGGGCCTGGTGACAGCTTGACTCGACGACATGTGCACATACATATTATGTAATCGTTAGGGTCCATTCATGAAATCGAACCCTGCACAAATTTGATGATGATGAAATAGGGTCGCAATGCGAGAAAGGTACCAACGGCGGCCGGGTAAATATTTCGCAAGGGTGGTGGAAGGGAGTCGGATGAGGACAAGGGAGCAGTGGTACATATGGCTGTTGAGTGCCCCCATAAAAAAACAAGCGAGGCTGGCATTGTGGTGGTGATGATGCAAGCACACACACACACGATGTCCGTATCGAAAATGAGAATGGTTATTTGAGCCAGAGCTTCCTCCCCGGGTACTGAAGAGAGTGAGTGAGTGAGAGTGAGAGTGGTATGGAAAAGTGGGAACAAGGGAGTCGAAGGGAAGGGTCGGGTACGAGAAGCGGGTTGAAGGTGGTGGTGGGTGAGAGCAGAATCGGAGTCTCTACCCGTTTTCTGGGGGAAAAGAAATTCAGTCGGATCGATGGAGAGCGGCTGTGAGATGGGCGACATCCACAACTCCTGCATTTGCACACACTTGCACTTTCACCACTTTCTTCCACAAAAATTCACTTTATTGTCTCTCTTCGTCGTCTCCTTCTTCTCGTCCTAAGTGGTGGTGGTGGTGATGGTGGTGGTGAGGACAACATAGGCAGCCAACCCTGTATACCTCCCATCATAATTCAGTCCAAGAGTGGAAGGAAAGTGAGTGCAAAAAAGAACCCTTCCTCACTCGTGTCCCCAATGGAGCTGGAGAGAAGAAGTGCCCTCTTATCACCTCCAACCCCAAGTGTCCCACCACTCTCTCGCGTGGCACCTTGGGCAAAAAATTAAAGGAAAATTAGCATTCCACTCTCCCACGCACTTTCGTGACTTTTTTTCTCCTTCAGAATGATGGTGGTCGTTCATAATGTGACGTTTACCAATTTCCAATCCAAGTATGTGGACTGGATAGCTCTGCTCAGTGCTTCCCTCGCATTCTGTGTTTATCTGAATACTCTCAACGCAGGATTCGTGTATGATGACAGGTAATTACACTTTCATAAATCTAGTCGGCACACATATTCGGTAAATATTTGGATAATTGTAATTAGTGGAACCAGGTGGAATGGTGATGGCATTTTGACTGGTTTGTGTACATGTGTTCATAAATAGTTCATGTATTGATCATGTAATTTAGGCTGTATTAATGAAATCATGACCAATAGAAATACGTATTTAGTGACTTCTTCGGCACACTTATGTAGCATGTACAGTTTTTTTTAGACCACGTCTAAAAAAAAGTCTGACTAGATTTTCACTTGATCCTTTCAGTCGTGCAATACTTACCAACAAAGACGTTTTACAACAAGAGACGCCTTGGCAGGAGATCTGGAAAGATGATTTTTGGGGGACACCATTATCTCACTCCGGGTCCCACAAGTCTTTCCGCCCCCTCACAATCCTCTCCTTCCGAGTGAATCGTTGCTTCTCAGGCTTCAATCCATGGTCTTATCACCTCACCAACGTTCTCCTCCACTCCCTCGCAACCTGGCTTTTCGTACGGGTTGCCCGGGTCGTGTTCAGCTTGTCCGACCGCAGCAGTAGCATCAACCTTCATGCCCACGATGACGACGGTCATCACTCCTGGACGTCTAGTCAGAACATGGCCCTCTTGGTGGCGTCTATCCTCTTTGCGACGCATCCCATCCACACGGAAGCCGTTGCGGGGGTCGTGGGTCGTGCGGACGTGGCTGCCACTGCCTTTGCTCTTTCCTCCTTCCTCGTCTACACCTCCCATGTTAAGAGTAGAAACAGGCACAAAACCTTCGCCACCACTCCCACCGTTTGTCAGTGCGGTGAGGTCACTGGTGGTGGTGGTTCAGCGCAGAGGAAGAATGGAAGCATGGGCATATCGAGTAGTTTGTCGTTTCTTCACTTTCCAACCCTGGCTTACTTCGTGATATCTATTTTTCTCGCGGCAGTGGCAATGTTGTGCAAGGAGACCGGGATCATGGTCATCTTCATATGTGCAACTTATGACATTATCCTCTCCCTGATTCGCTATCGTCGAAATCAGGTATGTACCTTTGAAAAATATGGTTGTTTTTTACGCTTATACTGCTTTGGTCACATATTTTCAAGATGTCCTTATATCACACCTGACTAACTTTTGTTCCAGGCCAAACAAATAACTTTTCGAGAGTTGGACTGCAGTACAAGTGTTATTCTGCTGGGTCTCTCATTCGTGGCCTTGTTTAACTTAAGACTGAGCGTGATGGGAGGATTGTCTACGCCACAGTTCGCGAAAGCAGATAACCCCACGGCTCACCATCCCAGCGTGTGGGTGCGAATCATGACATTTCTCTTCCTTCCAGTTTTTAACCTTTTCCTGCTCCTCTATCCCCACCCTCTCAGCTATGACTGGTCTATGGATGCAGTTTCCAGAATAGAAAAACTCAGCGACCCCAGAAACTGTTTGACTCTTGTGTTTTACGTGTCACTCTTTCGCAGAATTTACCAAAGTGCTCTCAAAATTAATGCTTCCCTCACACCAGATATAGATTTTAAACCTAGTCCTATAAAAATCTCGTGCAAAATATGCCGATTCAGTATCGCGAATCAAAAGTGCAGCAACAATAATTCAATCGTAATTCCATGCCAGTTTGAAGACGGGCAGAAAAACGGCAGTGGTGGTGGTGGCGCCTCGATAACCAATGGTGGTCATCACATACAACAAGCGTCGCCTCATCAGCACACCACCCTTTCGACGCCCATCTCTAAGACGACTTTTAGAAATGGGGTGATTTTGGGGAGTCCAAAAAATGGTGGACCATCATCAAGTGGTGGGAGAGGTTCCAGCCAGTCAGTCTCTCCACAAAGACATACAACACACAAGAGTTGGTCAGGACCTGTGTGGCACTCCTCCTCAGGATCACTGGAACATGGAGCCTTGTTGCTACAATTGGCATTTTTGGTGCTCCCGTTTCTTCCCGCATCCAATATATTTTTGTACGTGGGTTTCGTAGGTAAGTAACAAAAAATCACATTTACTTACTAAGAAAAGGTCCTTTTCATACAAGTGTTTTTTAAAATGTGAATGCGTTTTGCATTACTTTTTCATATGATTATGCATTTCATGACAGTTCTGTAAATTGAATCTTGTTTTTGTTTGCTTTTTGCAGTGGCAGAAAGAGTGTTGTACTTTCCCTCCGTGGGGTTTTGCATCCTCGTGGGGCACGGGTTTTCCCAGTTGTACACCAGAAGCGAGCATGTGAAAAGGGGAGGATCCATCCTCAAAGCTATGCTCGTCTCTGCCTTTATTGCCTCCGTGGTCATGATGTCACTCGGGACGATAAGAAGAAACGAAGACTGGAAAGATGAGGGGAGGTTATATCGAGCTGGAATTGCTGTAAATCCACCGAAATCTTGGGGAAATTTGGGAAATGTTTTAAACAGTCAAGGCAGGGTTATCGAAGCAGAGGAAGCTTATCGTCAAGCACTTCGATTCCGACCAAATATGGCAGAAGTGCATTATAACTTGTAATTAAAAAATGTGTCCAATTTTAAAATAAATCGTGGCTTTATTTATTTATATAAATGATTTATCATTGTTTGCAGAGGGCTAGTTCTGGAACGCCAAGGAAAAGTAGAAGATGCTCTGTCATCATATCGCACTGCAATCCACGTTCGTCAACAACTTGCCTGTGAGATACTCATATTTTCATTAAGTTGAATTTTTAACAATATCAAAACTATTCAACGACATTTTAAAAAATAACAATTTTTTCAGCCGCCTATGTCAACGCGGGACAACTATTGACCAGACTTGGAAGAATCAACCAAGCGATGGACATGTACCGAAAATGCTTTAATCTTCACGACGAAGGAGTGAAGGACCTGAGGACACACGTTGAAGCCAAAGTTTCTGCCTTGTTGCGATTTGGGAAACTATTGATAGAAATTGAGGATGCTCCAAAAGCTGCGGTCAACGTGTATCGTCAAGCAGTGAGGATCATGCCCTCAGATTATGAACAGAAACAGGTGGGTGCACATTTATTTCGTTAGATCCTCAATTGAAGATAATAATCAATTATTTTTTTTACATAGAGCGTTTACAATGCAATCGGAGAAGCGTTGTTTCGAATTGGGGAAATAACTGAGGCAGAAGGTTGGTTTTTGCAAGCGTTGAAAACTAAGCCGGATCACGTCCCTGCTCATTTGACATATGGGAAAATGTTGGCCAGAAATGTAACCAATTTACATTATTTTTTTCTCCTAATTTTTGGATAATGTTGTGACACATCTGAATCCCTGCTTTTGATATTTAGAAAACGAGACTTTTGGAAGCGGAAAGGTGGTTCAGGAGGGCAAAGAAAATTGCCCCACAAGACTCATCAGTTTATCATCATTATGGTATGTGTCATACCTCCAATTGTTATGAATAAGTGGTCTCACACAAAGTATCATATCATTTGATTCATTTTGGTGTTCAGGTCAATTTCTAGCAGTGCAAGGTCGGCACGCGGAAGCAGCGACGGCTTACGTCACGGCGGCAACGTTGTCTCCAAATGATTACGATATCGTGGTTGGTGCTGCAAATGCTCTACGACAGTCTGGCAATAACAAAGAAGCCGAAGTGTACTACGAGAAAGCCGTTGCCCTTCGATCACAGGTACACAATTTAACATGACACTTAACTTTTTGGTGAAAATTCGCAAAAAATACGATGTAAAAATGTGTCCTTGTGTTTATAATTAGGAGGCTCGAGCTCACATGAACCTCGGAGCAATTCTTCACGTGAATGGAAAGTACCACGAAGCCGAACAAAGTTACTTGATGGCACTACGACTTAAACCCAGCGACGACGTTACATTGTTAAACCTGAAAAAATTACGGCAACTGCAAGCGAGACGGAATCAATATGCAATGTCGTGCAAAAATAATAAAAATAAACAAACATCACAAAAACCTCAACTCCAACACCAGCAGCAACATCAACCACATCGGATAGAAAAATCCTGAAATAATTGAGACGACCAAAAATATCCCGAATTCAAAACATTCCATTTTTTAAAAATCACTCCTTATCAATAAATCGTAGCTCGAAGTTAAGTAATAATAGCCTACTGAAATTGACCTCAGTCAAATATATTCTGTGAGCGATAAGTTTAGTGATACACCAGGCACTAGGAAATGATGGTTGTTAAAAATGACAAGTTTTAATCACCTTTTAAATAATAATGATAGCTTTCTCCGCATCAATTCAACTGTCCAATCCAGTAATAACCTCGTCTCGGTAGCTTGTTGGTACATATACCCCCGAAAATTATACTTGGCCCGTTTTAACTAACTTGTTTTCATCTTACATAATCCATCAGTCAATTTAAGGACTATATTTACCCGGCAGCAACAGCTTTTGACCCTGATCTCTCAAGTATTTCATCGCTATTGTTACTCTGCAATATTTACTTCGTCCCCCGTTCGTCTCCCCTTAAAACTTGTTGGAGAGTCAGCACTACCAGATAAATTGGGTGTAGAAAAGTTACCAAAATTTATTCAATCATGCACAAAACTGAATAAATTTATGAAAACTTTCGGAATTTGGAAATTCACGGAATTTGGTAGTGCTTGCTCGATTGCAAACTATGTGTGCCTGATAGTTTATGACAGATTTTAGCCATAACTGTAATCGTATTCTAAAATGTGTGGTGTGGGTGAAGTGCAGCATAATAATATTGAAATTTGAGCATTATTATATTCCACTCTGCATTACTTCTGGAGTGAAATGGTGGGTGGGAGGAGGTGGTTGTGTATAAAATTGGTTAAAAATGCCTTGCCACATACTTAGCACACCTCTACAAAAGTAAAGTAAGAATTTATCTGTCATCCATAACCATATCCAATTCACTCTCGATAAATAATTACTCTGAATAGTGTTTGAGCCTTGCATTGTACCGCTGCAAATGTTGTAATGTACGCAAGTGAACCAGAGAAATTTTTACGGCACGAGAGAAAGGAAAAGAGCAGAAAGTGTAACGAAATTGATATTGATTGTGTCTCGTAGAATTTTATATACTCATTAATTAATTAATTATAGCTTATTCCGTTGTTATTCATGTGTATTGAATATGATGTTTAATAAAAGCTTTACACGTGATTGCACGTCGGTATAAAGACATTCATTGAATTGACCATGGCATGACTGCGAAACGGGGGCAAAAAAGAGATATACGGGTGACATTCATATTTGAGTATTTATCAGGTACCGCAAATAAGTGCTCTTAAAGGGGCCGCATGGTCGCAGAGTTGGGTGCTGAAGTTAGATCCCGGAGTTGGATCGTGGAGTTGGGTGCTGGAGTTTGACGGTGGGGTTGGATCGCGTAGTTGAGTTGCGATGTCAGATCGCGGAGATCGGTGGTGGGGTTGGATCGCGGAATTGGGTCGCGGAGGTCGGGTTTTGTGCTTGCGAATGAGTGAGAGGAGGAGAATAAAAGGGCTCCGTCCACCCCACTCAGCATCCACACTTCTGGAGGACCTCGACCGGACAACACCTTCACTGGACCTGCTGCCTGGACTCCCCGGAATCTCACCTTGCCTCCTCTGCCTGGACCTCCTTGCCTTGTGGACTGGACCTTCCTGCTGCCTTGAAGACTACAAATTGGGGATCCTTGCTGCCAGGATGCATCTCAACTTGCCTCTTCTGGACCTTCCGCCCCACTACAACACGGATGAAGATACCTCTGTGGATTTTGGCTATGACACGGCCGACTCATCTTCACCGACTCTGGATCTCCTTCTGACAAAAATAGCCGTGGGTCTGGCCCGCTTCCTGGACTACTCGGCTCATGCCAAGTTGTTGGATCACATCAGCCTCGTCCTGCCATTTCAGTCCTTCCTGACCTCGGAAGACGCCATGTTCCTGCTCACCGCCCCGGAAGAAGCTACTCAGGAGGACCTTCAACGTTTGGCCATTAACATCGTGGGACCCAATAACGTAGCGCTTCCCGTTCACACCAACACACCCATTTCCGGAAGTGGGAATCTCTACACCTTTCGACCCGTCATCCCTGGAATCTACACCATCGATGTCTACCACAGTGCCACACGCCCCGTCCGTGGCTCTCCTCTCAAGATTATGATTTCCAAGAATTACCAGCGTCGGCCCAATATCGTCCACTGGGATCTTCCCTACAAAGCACCATGCAACATGTTTACCCCGTGGGGACTCTGCTACAACACCAAGACGGAACAACTCTGGATCGCTGACCGATTCAACCACACGCTCATCATTTACAAACCGGATGGAGTTCTGGATTTCACCGTTGGATGGCTTGGTGCTGGACCAGGAGAATTTTTCCGACCCACCGCTCTCGCCTACGATGTCCACTTGGATCGGATCTTCGTCTCGGATAAGGACAACCACCGCGTCCAGATCTTCAACGCCAAGGACGGCACGTTTTTGGCCACTTTTGGGAGGAAAGGAGAACTAGCTGGAGAGTTCCTGTATCCGTGGGGAGTGGCTGTCTCTCCGGATGGACTTCTAGTTGCAGTCGCGACACATGTAACCACAGGATTCAGTTCTTTGATGCGGCTGGGACTTATCTTCGGGAGTTTCGAGTAACTGAATCTGGAGGAAAGGATTTCAAGTCGGTGTTCAACTTTAGTCCCCGTGGACTGGCCTTCAACCTGACGGGGGACACTCTCTACGTCTCGGACTTCAACCTCTACCAAGTCCACCAGCTTCAATTCAAGGATTCCGAGCTGACCTTGCGGCCCTTCATCTCACCCGGAATCCTCTATCGCCCATCCGGACTTGGAGTCGACGAAGCTGGGAACCTGATTGTGGCCGACACAAAAAACAACGCCCTCCGAGTCGTCGCCCCCAATGGAGTCCTCCTTCGAACGATCACTGTCATCGGTAGTCCCCCCCACGCCAAGGCCAACATCTACCTCAAACTCCCAACCGACGTTGCCATCCTCCCCAAAAAAGGATTCATCGCCGCCTTAGACGACAAAGGACGCGTCACAGTGTTTTAATTTTCTTTAGTTTGTAACCTAGTCTTAAAAATTGTATTTGACAATGTAAAGATTTCATGTGATGTATATTAAATGCTTTTACTTACAAGCTGCTAAATTTAATTACAATGGTATTTGCCACTTTTGTGTTTTTGCATGTAATTTATTTGGCATAATAATCTTGCATTCATCATTTACCTCGACGTAGCATTATTTCATCACTACATCAGAACTCTTCGTGCATTATGATTTTTCACAGCATTTCAATAATTAGGACTGAAGCCTATCTAAATAATAAAAATAGTAATAATTTCACGATAAATATATAAATATGTGCTAATTATTATACAGAGATTAAAAACATAGAAAAAAGAAAGTATAATTTAAATTATACTTTCTTTCACACTTTGCACATAAGCATCTCATCACAAAATTGAAATCTGATCTCCACAATTAACCCAAGCTTGATGCCTTAATAAATCATATTTTTATAAAAATGCCCTCCACTAAATTGCGACTTTCACTAATATTTTCAACGTAGCTACATATATCTTCATGCATTTGGTGATCTACATATTTGGTTTCTTAACAAATCGTCTGCCACTTTTTCCGAGTGGGGGCAGACCCAGTGCGAGCTGATCTGCTCAAGATTACCCTTACCAAGTTGTTTACTTGGGTAAATAGCACAGGAAGCTGACAACTTTTCGACTGTGAGAAACCTCTCAATGAGGAAATCTAACACCAACAGTAATTAACGCATTTGCATAATATGTTTTCAACGACATTGTTCATTAAGGTTTTATTTGTAGCTTATGTATAAAAGCCGTTTTCTAACTCGCACATTCCGACGACGCAAGAACAATGAATCGTCTCATTTTATACTATGTTTGCATATGCAAATGTGCATTATGAGGCCATTTTATTTGCCAGTGTTAAAATTTGGACCCAGTCTTATTCAAGTAATGCTAGGTTATGATTATTATTATGCGACTACTGCACGGTTGGTTGGCTCAGTCGGCAGAAATATTTTCGAGCCATGCACAAAAGCCACAACAATGCTGTAATATCACATTAACAAATTGCCAACCGTTTCGATGGTTCATAAAAACAATTCCAGTTCTCAAGTTGGGCTTAAGGGGTGTGATTTTCTGTAGTTATATGATTGTGAAGCTGTAAATTCTGCCGGGGCATGTAAACCGTGGGGTCATAAGTTTTCTGAGGCTAATATTCAACATATTTAAGTATGTGTAAAAGGTTACAAACAAAACTCTAATGCGACCTTATTCTCTGTTTATCCGTACTCACAAAAATATTGTAATGTTCTCTCGAGCTCTGATTGCAATTTGATTTTTAACATATTTAAGGCTGCGGCTAATGACGACTGCACTCCGTGTAATAACACGAGGACAGTGATGCATTGAATTTTTAAAGAGTATGATTTTCATTTTAAGCCTGCTCAACGCATGTTGTATAATAAATCCATAAATCTATTTCAAACTGAATCCTGGAAATCCATCAAGTTGCCAAGATACCCTTAAGGTGTACTTTGTGTGAATCTCCCAAAATTGCCTGCAACAAATCTCTGAGGAGGTTTCGGTTGATGGGGTGTGTATCGGCTCGGCGTAGACAAATTGGAGTAGGTTTCACCACAGACAAAGGTGGACAATGGGGAGCAGCATCATCAGCAGCAGCATCAGTGTCTTGTTTCAATGTTTGAGTTTACCGAAAAGGAGCTTTCATTAGACCATAATCATAGCTTGGGATTTCTCGAGAAGAAGACGACTTGAAGAGTAAAAGAGAGATTTCAGATGTGGAAATCAGTGAGGATGGTCCTTTCGTTGTTGGTGGATTGTTGGGGCCGAATGATGATCACTGCTGCAGTGCAACGAGACCCCCCACCTGAATCAAAGGAGGGTGCAATCAGGCTCATCAAGTGCTGGGAAGAATTGTTGATGGCATAGCCTAATTCTCTCCGCCATGATGTTGATGATGATGATGATGACGACGACGATGATTGTGATTGCGAGGAGTTTGGGAAAGAATTTTTGCACATTTTTCATACCATCATGCATGGCTTTGCCTAGTAGTAAATACACGTTAAGAGCTTGCTTATTAGACACTTTTGATCGGCCGGGCACTACGTAGGCATAAGTACTTAGCCATCGAATGAAGATACTCGATTTTGCAAATTACTTTAATAGAAGTTGATCCTACTGGAATCCAAATGAGGCTGGTGCGAGTTATTGTTGAATAACCGGCTCATAAATTGACATGCATAATTAAGAGAGAGATTGAGAGTGATGGGTCTGGTTGACAGGTTATGCTACGTATATCACTGCTGCTCCTGCTGGAGTGAGTGCTTTACGCTGTTGGATGGAAATAAAGACGACTCTTTACTCTTTTTTCTTTACTGGTATGATGATGGCATTTAGTTCGTGGGCAGCAGGAGCAGCAGCAAAACAACAACACATTCACGTAACATGTATCCATCTACAATGTATGTGTGTAATGGAGGAGGAGGTGGATTTTATGCAGGTGAAAATGGGTCCAAATCAAGTTAATCTCTCTCCGTGATTCGAAACAGGTTGACCATCAGGAGAGAGAGAGAGAGAGAGGAATATTTGAGGTATAATTTGGGAAGATTAGAGGAGGAAGAAGAAGACGGACGAAGAATCTTCGCATCCCATCCGTCGGTCCGTCCGCCGGTCGGTGTGGAACCTCTGGCTCGCTCGCATGTCTCGCCTTTTCTTTTAACTCTTCTGTCTCAAACGGTCTGGATGATGGATAGATTTAAGACGGAGCAAAGTATGTATGTGGCTGTAGCAGGGTTGGCAAATGACATGTTTTTGGGGAGAGAGAGTGATTTGAAAAAATCTCATGTTGGCGAGCCTTCTTGTACGCCTTTCCGGCCGGATCTCATCACTTTGCTCGTTTACTCGTTGGTATTCTCCAAATACCACTCACTCCGCACCAGCTCAAGAGTGAGTGAAATAACAACTCAGATACCATTATAATGATGATGGAGCTGGGTTGTTTGGGGCAATTTTTCTTTTCTACCACTCTCTTTTCTACCTGTGCCGGTCTCTTCTTCTTCTTCTTCTTCTTGGTCTTCTGCTCAGGTAAAGGGGAGAAATGTCTCGGAGGCAAAAAGCAACAACCAACGCACCATTACCACTCTAAAAGTCTTTCCTATGCAATCTCTGGGTCGTGGATAGATAAGAATAGCGAGAGAGGGAGAGGATCTCAAGTAATAATAAGTGGTGGTACTGGTGCTGGTGGTGGTGGTGGTACCTGTTGCTGATGATACACCTTAATTGTACTGACCACGAAGGTAGGAAGGTAGGCGAAGACGAAGAGTGGATGGATGGAGGAAGGAAGGGCTCCATTATCATTACACGGAGAGGAGAAAAAGTACTCTAATAAGAAACTGGAATAAAAACAAGGTAAAGACAGAGGAGGAGAGAGAGCGAAGGAATTTGTGGTCTGCTGCTACAAGGGGTTTTCTTCTTTCTTGAGGTTCTCTATCATTACCTGTCTTTTTACCTGCCTGGCTCATTATTCCACCAACAACCAAGGTCCACATACCTTCCAATCTAACCAACTTCTCCCTCTTCTTCTTCTTCCACTACTTAACTTCACTCTCGATGTGTTGTGGATGAATGCGATGTGGTTCATCATGATGATAAAACTCACTCTTCGACTTGTCTTTAGGCAATTTTTTCCTCGTCCATACAAGTATTACAACAAAAGTGAGTACGCCAGAGAGTTAAGGCCACGGACCCATGTGTATCTATGTACCACTGTTGAATGCAACAGGACTCTACAGTATATTCATGTACATCGCTATGTGGCTATCTATGCATGCATGCAACACCTTATTCCTACATGGATCCACCAACAACCTGCTTTTTCCTATGCTCTCATCCATCCATCCATCCATCCCTCTTTTCTCTGCTCGTCGTCTTATCACTTTCAAAAAGTCTCTCAGGAGGAGAAGAACAACAAGAAGTGGAGGAATTGACAATGAGGACACATTATCCAATTCCTCGCCACCTCATTTACAACTCGGGCTCCCTCATTGCCTTATTGCTACCACAAATCCTTCTTCTCAGGTGTGAAGCAATACCCACCAAAAACCAAGTGACCACTTCATAACAGTCTGGATACCGCTCCGAATCAGAGGTGCTCTCTCTCTCTGTCCCACACTCTAAACGATGGGAATATTTAGAAAACAACTTGGTGTGCACGAACCTCTAAAAAACATGTGTCATCTCTGACTTTGTGTCTTGTGTCATTATCTTCATCGTCGTCGTAATATAATAATGTGTCAGTGGTAGTGTATTTACGTGTGTTCATATGTAGCCGTGTGTGCCGGAAGATACCGTGACGCCGACATGTCCTCCTACACGGAAGAAGAAACTGCCATTATTTTTAACAAATTGACATAATATAGTGCGCTGTCAAGTAGTGACGAGGCGCGCCTTCGCTGCCGGTATGGCACGGACGACGCTTCCCCCATTCACTTCCTGCCGCTCGCCGTAACCATTCTTTTTGTGGGGTTGGTTCCAAGCAGTGGAGGTGAAGTGATCCAAGAGTTTGAGATTTCAGAGGGTGTGCCTGTCGGTACGAGTATCGGGTTCATCGGGAAACCCGTGCCAGGCTCGTCGCACCCCCCACCGCCACCACCCTACTTGATAGTTCCCAGTCCGGGGAGTGCGGTGGACTCGGATCTCAACATTGATCAGAGCAATGGCGAGATTCTTACCCGGATTCAGTTAGACCGTGAAACCCGGGATTCGTACTCCCTCGTCGCCATCCCTTTATCGGGGGAAAATATTCGCGTCATTATTCGTGTCAAGGATGAAAATGACCACTCTCCCGAATTCCCGAGGTCCTTCATGACGGTAGAATTTCCAGAAAATACGCCGCGAGATGTGAAACGAACCCTGCAACCGGCAAGGGACAAAGATCTCGAGAACTATAATACGCAAAGATACACAATTTCGGCTGGAAATGTGAACAACGCTTTTCGCCTCTCATCCCATCGGGAAAGAGACGGCGTGTTGTACTTGGACCTGCAGGTGAACGGCTTTCTGGACCGAGAAACCACCCCGTCGTACAGCCTTTTGATCGAGGCGTTTGATGGAGGAGTGCCCCCTCTCAAAGGCCAAATGACAATCAACATTACCATTTCGGATCAGAATGACAACGCGCCGATATGGCAATTCCCACGGTAAATGAGCGTTTCACACATTAACAATCCATTATCTTTTCTCTCACTCTTAATGACACTTGCACTAACTTTCTGCCAGTATGACAGTTCTTCATAGAGTTTGCATTAGTTTTAGGTTATTGCCATGTGGGAGGTAGAAGTTTATCAGGTATGCAAGAGTAGCCAGCCATCAGCAACTATCAGCAACTACTCACACTTGCATAATACTTGTACCCACGGCATTCCACGGTATAAGTGTTTTAACACTTTTTCATGCGATACAAATGGCATGAAAAGTGTTTGTAATGACGCCAAGTTGCATGCTAATTAAGTTTATATGTTTATGATAATTTTCATGCAGCTTGTAATTATTTTATTGCATATTGAAATCCTCCTTTTATTTCCTTCCTCTCTTCCTCTCTCTCTTTAATAAGTCATGAATTTTAATTAGTCACCTTGACTCTCAACAGTGTGTCAACCTCTGAGATTTATGCGTCCAGCGACTCTGAGGACATCACTCTCAACCAGAGTCGATATTTTGGAACGGTGCCCGAAAACGCCAGTATTGGAACAGGTGTGCTCCAAGTCTTTGCCACCGATATTGACGACGGTCTGAACGGCCAAGTTAGCTACTCCATCAATCGGCGACAAACGGATAAGGATTCCGTGTTCAGAATCGATCGAAACACGGGAATGATATATGTCAATGGGCCCCTCGATTTTGAGACGAAAGAAGCCTACGAGCTTGTCGTTGTGGCTCGAGACAGTGGAATCCAGCCCTTGGAAACTACCGTTTTCGTGACAATCCGCGTCCTCGATTTGAACGATAATCAAATGGAAATTAACGTCAGCTTCTTCTCAGGTAAGTAATTGGATTTCAATATTTCTTTAAAAAATTCCAAAAGAATTCTTATGTACCTCACTCAATAGCATACTCAACACCATAACAATAATTCATTACACAATCCTTTCTCTCTTGAAAAAACTCAAGTTTTAGTATTGCATTTTATTTTCATTTTATTATCATTCACTCAGAATGGCCAATTTTCACAACATTATTGATTGTTCAAGAAAACCTTTCAAAATTCTACCACATTAAATTTTTATTGCTATTATAGCGCGAGATAAAGATTAATCTTTAATGAAAGTCGTTCCCTCGCAGTATAAATTATTCTCGATCCATGTACAAATTTGTTTGGAAGGAAACAATCAAAAGCTTTAGAGTGGTGGGGAGATTGGATATTGGACGGAGCAGATATTGGAGAAGCATTATAAGCTCATTATAGATTGTTGCAACAAAAGAGGGAGCCGATTATCATAATGTATTATATTATAGTGGTTGGTCCCAGCTCATTACAAAAACCAGGAGAATGGATGAGAAAGTGTTGAGACGAGAAAACCACATCTATTTATTCTGACCTCAACCGACAGGGTGTAGTGACCAACACTTTTTGCCACGTTGATTAACGATTAGTCTAATCATTTCAAGGCCATAAAAGCAGCTTTTTCTGTCAACACATCATTGAAAGTATTGAAAGGCTTTGACTGGATAGGTGATGATGGGACATCAACTATCTTCTCAAACATGAGAATGCCATTTGAACATCCCTTAATCCCTAATTAACTACTCAATGCAATGTAACCCACACCCCGTATCTTGTCCTCAATCTCTCTCTCTCTCTCTCTCCCTCTCTCACTCACTCTCAATGCATATCGTAATCCTTTTTTCAGGAGAATCCGATGACTCGCCTCCCAAAGTCTCTGAAAAAGCGCAAGTAGGCGAGTTTGTCGCCAGGATAAGCATCATTGACCCCGACACGAAGCAGGAGTACAACAATGTCAGCATCTCCCTCGAGGGAGGAGACTCGTACTTTGGCCTCGAGACAGTGAACAGTGCCGTGTACTTGGTCGTGGGTTCTAAAAAACTGGACCGTGAAATCAAACCAAGTTTTACTCTAATGGTTGTGGCCAAAGATAAGAGCAACCCTTATCTCAATGCCTCCACGAAATTCACCATTTACGTCGAAGATGATAACGACAGTGCTCCCACCTTCGAGGTGGAAGAGTATCATGCCAGCGTGTTGGAAATGGCTGAACCAGGTTCGGTAGTGATTCAAGTGAAAGCTCGAGACGAGGATTCTGGAGACAATGCCCAAATTCTGTACGAACTCGTCTCAACCCCTGAAACCCATAATTGGTTTGAAATAAATGAGGAAACGGGGGTGATCACGACCAAGTCTCACGTTGACTGTGAGATTGATCCCACCCCGATTATCACCGTGCTCGCCAAGGACTCTGGGAAACCCCCACTGACAGGAAGTGCAACTGTGGTGGTGCACTTAATTGATACCAACGATACTCCAAGTAAGCCGCTGCTCTTGTTCCTTTGTTGTTGTTTAGTATTATTTTCAGGGTTTTTATTCAACCATACGCACAAAAAAAACAGGTTGATTCCACTCCATTCCGGAGGCAGCATATTCTCATCTTTTTTAAAATTTGTTCGTTCAAAAATAAAAAATACCTCAAAAGACAAGCAAATTTTGGAAAATATGTCAAACTCATTAAAAAATTCAGTATTTACTTCTTTATTTTGTGAATAATTTTGACAAGTAATTCCAAACTCGTAAATTTGCTTTCGTTGATCTACATAATGGGAAAGTTGATCGCTACGAAAATAAGATGCACATATTAAAAGTAAGTAAGTCGGAATATGACTTGAGGCTACGTGATGCTACCATTTATTTAATACTGCTTTTCCTTCTTCTCAACAAATATGCTCTCTCTCTTATTATTCTCTTGAGAGCGAGGTGTGAGCGACTTAAAATGTAAAAAAGCGAACACAAACGAGTGCCGATATTGCCCTGTTTGTGAAGGAATTGTTTGCTTATTACTCCATCCATAGTGTCAACTTTAATAATAATAATAATAATAACTTTGAACTTTGTCGGCACCTGTGACAGAATGGAGTTGTCAGGAAACCTAAGACATGAAAAGTCAATTTGTTCCTTGTTGTTCACACTTTTTATTTTTCTCATTGACCCCTAAAATCGGGAATAAGTAACAGTAGCAGAATCGTCCACAACAACAAGTATCCCTCAAGTCCAGTTGGTAATACGAGTATAACACGAATATTGCATGCATATGCTGGCAGGGTCGTTCTTCCTTCAAGGCTTGCGTTCTGCTCTGGGTGGAGGTGGGAATTACTTGGAAGAAAGCAATTTGAGTGCAATAAGAGCGAGTGTCAAAGGGCTCGGGATCGAATTTTTTACGACTTTTCTCACAGAGCATTAATCTCAATCAGGTGTCATTGGTTTTTTAACACTTGTAGGATTTAGTGGAGCTAAGGGAACAAATTTTCATGGAACCTGCGAGCAACTTGTATAACCACATGAGGTTGTTGAAGCTCCAAGGGTGCCAAAAGCTCTTTTCTTGTGCACAATGGAAGTTGGTGGAACAAGAAGAAGAGGCAGGCACGAGGTTCCATTAGGGTAGGACAAGCAACCAGATAACTGTTCCCAACAAGCGAGGAAGAGCAGCGACAATAAATATTCTACGACGACTAATCTGGAATAAAGTGAGACAACCTTATAGCTTTTCAAATGGCAATAAACCATTTTTACCTACAACTGCGAGGAAAGAACACTCACTGTGTCACGCACTCTCTTCAAAAGTGTTTAGTGTTCACCTGGATATCAATCCTGTGTGTAATGTGATATCAAAAGACTACTTACTCCCTCCCACCCAGCGCACAACGTGGCAAACTTACTTGGGGGCTATTTTAAAAATCACTCTACGCATTTTATATGCATAAATAAATGAGCCAATATAATGACTAAATACGTATCTGAACTTAAATGATGCTCAATTGTCTCTCTATTTTTGCAGTTTTCAACCAAGGATTTTATAACGCCTCCGTTCTTGAGACGGCCCCATATGGCACCTGCTTACTCAAGGTATGTACATTTCCTAGTGTTACTCTTACTGTTATTATGCATGAAATACGTATACGCATTGTCTCCGGCATTTGCAATTAGTAGAAGAAAATTAATGTCAACATGTCAAAAATGAGACAGAAATCTTGACGCTTGGTTATGTCGTGGAGCTTAAGGGCCCGGGGGAAGATTTACTTGATTTTATGTTAGCAACAATAATTGCCAGGGCCCCAAGATTATTATCGCTCTGTTAGGTTACGACCACAATTAATTGACACCGTTTCTATGGGACACTCACGTTCAAAAGCTTTGGTTTTGTCACTGCTTTTGAAAAAGTTTCCCTCAAGTTTTTGAAAAAAGTTGTTTCTTTTGTTCCATGGATACTCAAAATGCAATTCCTGCCATTAATTTGGCAATTCTAAGCCAATTTGTCCTCACTTTACGACCAAATATCTCCACTGCACAAGAGGGCAGATCGTCAAAAAAAACTCAAGTAAAATCTAAAGATATGATTAACGCATTAAACATAATTTAAAAAATCTGCTCTCTTGTGCATTGCTGAATTTTATCGTCAAAGTTGACGTGATTTCTAAGCAACTTCCCCCAGGCCCTTAAAATAGTGACAATTAGCAAAAGGGGGGAGAAAAGGTTAGAGGAAGACAACTCACTTCATCATAAGTAAGGGATGCCATCATCATTTCATGTCATTGGTGACGCGGTGGTGACAGTCTCTCAGTGGTTGGTGGGTTATACGTGAGGTCTTCTTGTGGCATCCAGATATATGCGCCTGCCTGCCTGCATTAAGTACTCTGATTAATTTCCCCCGGAAGAGGATGATTTCGAAGAGGGATAAAATGATGATTTTGGGTTTCTGAGGAGGAGGAGAAGCTGCATCAGAGGCATATTACGTACATGCAGCAAGGGTAGGGTCGTCCAAGTAAAAACCGAAAAGTTCCTCAGGTGAGCAGGCAATTATTGGTTAGGTTGGATGGTTGGTTGGTTGGTTGGTGGGTTTGTTGGCGAGACTGAAAAAGGTGGTTGTGTTGTAAATTCCTCGAAGAAGACGAAGAAGGAGCTTTAAAAGAAAAGGTGGTGATTGCTGATGATGGTGGTGGTGTGGGGATGATGGTGGGCAAGAATCTTCCTCAGGTGTGTAGCCGAGCAAAGTGTATTGGCCATTAGGCAAGTAAGACGACCAAGGAATGAGATGATGGTCTTCTCTCCATAATAATTCCGATGTCTGATATACACGAGAAAGAGCGAGAGTACGTGAGGCAGGTAGGTTTGTGCTCTTTGCGTTCGTTTGGTTTGTTCTTTGCTGGTCAGGTTTGCTTTTGAGAAGAACATTGAGAAGGACTGGTTCCTTCCATTGGCTCCACATAAATATAGGCTTCGCTCCTCTAACTACATATTTACTGGCTGCAATCCGTACAGAAATTACTGGACGAGTGGGTCCTCCTCGATTCACAACAGCCTTTAATACCATTTCTTTTTCTACATCCCTTTCTCTCTATCGTGCTTCGTCTTCGTCTTATGTCTTTGTTTATACTGAGCTAAATGACACACAATCATTCCGGCCGTAATTTCACATTATGCCAGTTCCACCAATTTCTTAACTCTCCTTTCGTGGGAAATTCCTCTGTCCTCTTCCTCCAACATGTAATCATCCTCAATTTCATCATCATCATCATCATCATCATCTCCGTCCCTGTCTGGGTCTGCCTTCTTCTTCTTCTTTGCCTTATGCGTGCACATCCATGCTGCTTCTACTCTTTCGAATAACCTCAACATTCTGATTTTCCATTATTTGCATCATTTCACCAACAACATTCAACTCCTTCGGCTTCCATGACTCTCGAAAAATTAAAGCAGGGACGCCAGACAAAACATTCAACAACCACTTTTCCCAAGGGAGAGAGAGAGATGCTGTGTGTGAGAGATCTTGTAAATACTGCAGGTGACGTACCCACACAACGACGACGACGAAAACTGATGACACTCCAAGACTTCCCACCCTGGGTACACACAAGCATTACATAAAACTGTATAGAATGGGCAGAAGACGAAGCCAGTCAGCCACTTGACTTGGCTTGATGCTGAAAAAGGAGAGTGGGCGTGGTTGGTGGATATAAAAGTCTTTGTTCCCAAATGTCCCAGAAACGAGCAGCATTATTTTCATGGAGACTGCTTATTGCTTATAAATGACCTTTTCTTTATGCATCTTGTGTTCCCATCTCCCTTTTGTACTGGTAAATGCGAGCCAACCTCCACAACAATTTGCCCTCGCAACAAGTCACTCATTAAATAAACTGCATCATTTTTTCTTGTACAAATAGAAAATGACAGACAAGAGAGAGAGAGAGGATATTGCAAAGCATATAATTTACGAAGGATGGCATTGTTTCTTTCTGCATCCACCACACCTGCCTTATTAACTCCATGCAGGGGAAGAAATCTGCAATTTTTTCATAATTGGTTAAGATATAAGTGGTCTGCGCATATTACGAAGACGACTCTTGTGCAAATTAAGATGTTACGTGTGTGCATACCAAAAATAGCAATCTTATTGCGTATTAAGTATAATGCACAAAATAAGTTTGAAGAGTTGACATCATGAATAAATATGGAACTCATTTAGTTTTAAATTTGAATTAGGTATGAATTGCTCAAAAGTTGATGTTAATTTTTCCTCAATTTAATTATCTATCAGGTCTCCGCCAGCGATCCAGATTGTGGGATCAACGCGGAATTATCCTACAACGTCTTGGAGTCTGTCCCTTCTGAATTGCCATTTTCAGTCAACTCGAAATCTGGAGAAATTTGTGTCTCTGGTCCATTAGACTATGAAAAGAAGCATGTCTATCAAATCCTCGTCTCCGCGTCAGACACAGGTTTGAGCTATTTAAATATATTATGCACCACTTTGTGTCATCATTCATTACTACGAAATATAAAACGCGAAATCATTATTTAGGAGGCCTCAGTTCCACCGCCGTGGTAAACATTCAACTTCTCGACGAAAATGACAACGTGCCCATATTTTATCCACGAAGCTTTAGCGTCACCGTGAAAGAAGGCTCCCTCCCGTCCAGTCCGATCGTGGCGGTGGCAGCCACTGACAGCGATTCGTCCAAATTTGGCCACATTACATACTCCTTCGTAGAAGGGAATGAGGAAGGCTTGTTCTCCATTAATAAAATCTCTGGGGAAATATCCATGGTTCGTGAATCGTTCAAATCTCGTAAAATTTATCGTCTCCGAGTCACCGCTCGCGACGGGGATAATCAAATGGCTGATCAGAACGCGGAAGTCACCGTGCACATGCTTGGATCCAATTCTCAAGCTCCCATATTCCAAAGGCAACGCTACGTATTCAGCGTTCCGGAGGATCTCAATGTCCAATCTTCGGTGGGAGCTGTGAGTGCGTCAGGTGCGTCAGGTGAGCATTCACATTTTATTGTTTGTAGCATTATTTCCAAAATATTTTCCTTACACATGTGCTTCCTTAAAAAAATAGGGAGTGGAAGAGTACGGTATTCCATTGTCTCTGGAGATTCTAAAGCATACTTCACAATTGACCAGTACACTGGCAATATAAAAGTTGCGAGCAAACTGGATCATGAAGAACACCCACGTTTCTTTCTCAACGTACAAGCCAAACTGGACCAGCACGAAGTTATTAGCTATTGTCAAGTGGAAGTACGAGTTTCTGACACTAACGACAATAATCCTCGTTTCGAGGCTACCGAGATCAAAATTTGGATTCCTGAAACGGCCGAAGTTGGATCCATTGTTTATGTTGCTCAAGCATTTGATGAGGACAGTGGAGAAAATGGGGATGTCACCTACACCCTTGTGCAAAATCCGTTCGGAATGTTCAAAATTGATAAATTCCGGGGTTTATTGACTCTCCAGAGGCCACTGGATTACGAGACGATGAAAGAATTCGGAATTGTGATCAAAGCTCGGGATAATGGTTCACCTGCGAAATCATCGGAAAGTCTGACGGTCCACGTGGAAGTGCAAGATGCAAATGATAACGCCCCCGTTTGGTTCAAGGTATTAAGAAACAACAATGATGACCAATCTTAATTTTATGCGCAAGTTGTCCGTTTTACAAATTTATCTCATCATTTGAATTTTCAGAAACGGTACACGTTTATGGTGAAGGAGAAATCTTCTTCGGGAACATTTGTGGGTCGGTTGACAAAACAGGATAAGAATCAAAATGGTGCAATCAAGTTCCAAATGCAACCTCCATCGGATGACTTTCAAATCGATGCTGACTCGGGAATAATTAGCACGACGACAACTCTCTATCGAAATATTACCAAACATGAACTGACCATTATTGCCTACAACCAAATCCCAACAATGGTGAAGGCAGAGTTTTATGTGGTGGTTCACGTGGTGGATGTCGCGTCAAGGTTGACACTGCAAATGTAAGAAAGTGATTTTTTTCCATTGATCGTTTTCTAAATTTTAATGCAAATTTTTTAGTACACGATTTTACTAATGATTTTTTTCAAATTGTGTCCAGATCTGACGACAATGATATCATGCAGTATCACGTCAATGTTACCGAGTCGTTGCCTTTGAATACCGAAATCACTCAGGTGTGTTTTAACAACTTTTCTATAGCGTTAGTTAACTACTTATCTGACTTCATCCGACTGAACCCTGGTGACCTTTTTTCAGGTAATTGCACTAGACGAGGACTTTGGAAACAATGCTAGAGTGAGCTACAAGGTGGAGGAATCAGCACTTCAAAACGTGGTTGGCGTTTTCCCCTCAACCGGAATCATTTACTTGAAAGAGCTCATCGACAGAGAAGTTCAGGACGAATTTATTGTCAAAATCATTGCCACTGATCACGGTATACCCGCACTCTCCTCAACTGCCACAGTCCACATTAAGGTTTTGGATGAAAATGACAACTCTCCCAAATTTGAAAGGGTAAGTACTTATCAAATGTGTCTTACGTATAAAATTTCAAATCTAATGAAAACTTGCTTCTGTGCACAGGAAATCTTCAAGTTTACCATGCGAGAGAACAATGAGCCAGGAATTGTCATCGGCCATGTTACCGCACATGACAGAGACACTGGAGAAAATAGTGCCATACGATACTTTCTTCAGCCACAACACCCCGACTTTGTTATTGACGATACAAAAGGTAATGCTGTTATGCATAATTTAAGAGTAATTTGAAATAATATTCGCTAAGCACTATTATACTAAACTATGCATGAATATGTAGGAACTATAACTGCAAAATCATCCCTTGACCGAGAAAAGCAGTCCATGCACGAGCTCCAAGCAGTTGCAATTGACCAAGGAAATCCTCCACAGCAATCCGAAGTCATTGTTCAAGTTATGTTGTCCGATGACAACGACAACGATCCTTTGATTGTTGAACCAGACCAAGATTCCATCACGATCAGAGAACGTCTTCCAGTTGGTACTGAAGTGGTCACCATTGTGGCGACAGACTCGGACGAAGGAAAGAACGCCAAGATTTCATATCACCTTTCCAATGGTAAACTTTACGTTTGTATATTTTTCGTATTGAATTTACTTTCGTAAATTTAAAATACAATTATTGCACAGACTATTTTGAGATCGACAAGGACACCGGTGTTCTCAGAACTAAGAGAATTCTTTCCCGAAGCTCTAAAACCTTTTACAATTTACAAATTCGTGCTCGAGATCACGGATCGCCTTCTCGAGAGTCCATTCGAGATTACAGAGTTGAAGTAGTTGACTCAACCGATCGAAGATCAGAGTCTCTTTTTGTGCCATCAAAACTGCGATTTAAGGTAAATCACTAACCAGTCAAACAATGAGACTAATAAATCTGTGGGATTATGCACATAATACTTTACTAAATGATTTACAGGTGTACGAAAATGCAACAGTTGGCTACACCGTGGGCAAAATTCCTGTCAGTGCAGACCAAACTTATGGAAAACCTCAAGTGTATTATCGCATCTTCGGAGGTGAAAATCACGAGTCATTCGACATTCACGCAACAACTGGTGCTTTGCTTGTCGCAAATAAGCTCAATTATGAAAAAGTGCCACATTTCATAATCAAAGTGAAAGCAACGTTACAAACGCCGTATAGTTTCAGCGAAGCAACAGTGTCCGTGGAAGTGGACGTCTTGGATGTGAACGACGAAAGGCCCCAGTTCGCCGAAGACCCCACAATTTTCATCGTGTCAGAGAATACCTTAGTTGGATCTCCAGTGTGGAATTTTGTCGCCGTTGACAATGACCCAGGACTGAATGGAGTTGTCCACTATGGAATTTTTCACCAAGAACCCCAGCAGAAATTTCGTATAAATATGTTGACTGGAACGTTGTACCTCCAGTCCCCACTGGATTATGAGGCTTGCAGTTCGTACATTCTGGTCGTTACCGCCACAGATCAAGCCATCCAAGTAGAGGATCGCCTCAATAGTTCTGTGACCGTGAATATCGTCGTTCAAGACGAAAATGACAATTCACCCGTGTTCAGTTCTCCATCCTCCGTGGAAATTTACGAATTAGAACCTTTGAAAGCAGAATTTCACACGGTCATTGCCAAGGACTTGGATTCTTTAAAGTATGGCCAAGTGTCGTATAAAATAGTGTCAGGAAATGACGAAGGGATTTTCAACCTGCATCAAGACAACGGACGACTTTCCCTTTCGAAAGCATTGAAACGTGACGTGAAACGTTACTCACTTAACATTTCTGCATTTGATCACGGATCTCCTCCAAACGTGGTGTCTCAGGTTCTTTCGATTAGTGTGAAGGCGGACAAATCTCATGCTCCACGATTTTCCCATCAAAAATATGACGCCAAAATTATGGAAAATTGTGCCATCGGTACACAAGTTGTGACCGTGTCCACGGGTGATTCTGGTAAGAAAAGTGATCATTTATTTTGTAACAATTGAGTGAAAATGTGTTTAAAATAAAATTTGTACTAAATCAAACTTTCAGATCGCAATAGCACAATATACGTAATTCTCGAGGGTCAAGGCGACGGGAAATTCGCGATTCATCCGACCACAGGGAAAATCACAGTGGTTGAATTTATTGACCGTGAAACGCGCAGTGAATACTCCTTGGTCGTTTACCTACAAGACGCCAAGCAGTTGTACGTGTATGACACGACCATCGTACAAATCCACGTACTTGATGATAACGACAACTCGCCAAATTTCCACGATTCTTGTGCTGATTTGACCGTGCCTGAAAACAATGAGTTGGGCATTATTCACGTTTTCACAGCGGAAGATCCTGATGTTGGTAAAAATGGGGAAGTTACTTTCACCATTGCTGCCGGAAATGTTGAGAGCATGTTCAATGTGGATCTTCACTCTGGAAAACTAACTGGAAGACCGTTAGATCGTGAGAGGAGGAGTCAGTACAATCTCATAATTGTTGCCCAAGATCAAGGCTCACCTTCGAAAAAGAGCACGTGCAACATTACAATTCATGTCGATGATGAGAACGATTCGCCAATTGTATTTGCGCCACCAACAAAGTCGGAGGAATTACTGTGAGTTATTCAATTGATAAAAGTTGATCTATTTTCCTGGACTAATGCATTTCTTATCTTAACAATTCAGATTATTACGAAGCGTTAGTCATCCCTCATTCCAACAAGAGTCGCAATCTGGCCAATCCATGTATTCCGCGTCCATCCCTGAAAATGTGCCAATTGGAACGACGGTGCTGAAAGCTCAGGCAAATGATGCGGATGTCGGAGTCAATTCAATTATAAAATATTCCTTGAACAATGAGAGTCACTGGCATTTCACAATTAATAATTCCACTGGGGCAATTTTAACTGCGGGGTAAGTGCACAATGCCCTATGATTTACACAATTTATGTATAATCGGTTTCACATATAATAATTCAATGTTTTAGAACTCTTGATCGTGAAAAAATCAGCAGTTATGTCTTCGAGGTGGCAGCAACGGATGGAGGGTTATACGACTCTAGATCTTCAACAGCATCTGTACACTTAACAATCACGGATTATAACGATAACAGGTTAGAATAAAACCCAAACAGAAACAAATTTAGCGTTATCGACTGCAATATTTTAAACTCATCTAACAATACTTAATTTTATCCAGGCCGAAATTTAAGAACAATCCAATGGTGGTCAAGATACCACCGCTTTCAAAACCTGGCCACAACGTCATCCAAGTCGTAGCAACTGATGCGGACGAAGGAATCAATGCAGAATTGACATACAGTTTGGAATCGTCTGAGCAAGATTTTTCCATAAATCCACAAACTGGTCATGTTACCTCGGTTAAAAGTATGGGTTCCGAACGTAGAGTTTTCCACCTTAAAGTTATCGCCAAAGATCACGGGACTCCTTCTCTGTCATCGACGGCCTTGTTGGTTATCAATGTTGGAGACGTCGATTCTCAAAACAGTCTCAAGTTTCAAGAGAATTCGTATGAAATAACACTTCTCGAGAACTTTGCTGCTGGAAAAGAGGTTTTAAAGGTACAAATTGTTCAAATTGTTGTATGTATTATTTACTTCAATTTAGTTTCATAAAACAATTTTGAATTATTGCAGGTTATGGCCTTGCGAAACGATGGACGAAAATCTAGCATCGAGTACGCAATTGTTGGTGGAAATGAGGATGACGCCTTCGAAATTATGTCAAGTTCCGGCGTGATTCGTGTAAAGGACTCGACGCGGTTGGACAGAGAACGCCAACCGGAATTCAAGTTAGTTATCTCAGGGAAAACGGAAGGTTCTCAGTCTCAGTTTGCTCACACAGTTGTCAAAATTACACTTTCCGACGTCAACGACAACTTTCCTCACTTTACTCAAGAATCTTACATCGCTTCCGTGTGGGAGGGCAATACGAAGGGAACGTTTGTTACTCAGGTACATATTATTGCATTACATTATATTTAAGGAAATGTATTTTTTTTACCCAATTTTCTAATTTCGAACCAAACTTTTGCCATTTCCCAGGTCACTGCTACCGATAATGACGAAGGAGCAAATGCCAATATCGTGTATCACATCATTGATGGCAACAGAGATAATGCGTTCCTCATTGAGCCTCCTTTTTCGGGAATTGTCAAAACTAATATCGTCCTAGATCGTGAAATTCTTGATGAATATCGCCTAACAATCATTGCAACGGATGAGGGTTCACCCCAAATGACAGGCACTTGTTACCTCCACGTCAACGTAATTGACATTCAAGACCAGAGGTAATTTAACATTTGTTAAACACATTATTCATTGCAACACCTTTTTCCGTTTCACATTTAATAATGATTCAAATTCTCTCAAATATGCAGCCCCGTATTTCCTCCACATTCCGTTATCGCAGTCAAGGAAAGCGCCCCGGTGGGCACGCTGATAACAACGATGGTTGCCAACGACGTAGACACGAATCCCACCCTCGTTTATGATTTTATGGATCAGGGAAATCCAGAGGGAATGTTCTCCATTGGAAAATACACGGGCCGTGTGACTTTAATTAAATCATTGGACTTCGAATCTGTGAAAACACACACGGCAAGGATTCAAGTTTCCGACACTGTTCATACTGCGCATACAACGTTGACTGTGAATGTTTTGGATGACAATGATCATCGACCTCAATTCTCCAAAAATGTCTACCGAGTCATTGTGTCCGGTACGTGTGCATGTTAATTTAAAAAATATGTAAATATCTTTGACATGATCCTATAATAACGTAACTCTAATTTGCAGAAGGTGCCAAAATTGGAGGAAGGGTTGGACATGTCAACGCCACAGACAAGGATTCTAGTGTAAATGGTGAAATCAAGTATTCCTTGCGAGCTACAAAGGGGCACAAGACGTCAACCAGATTTCTACGCATTGACGAAAACTCTGGGGTCATATATTTGAACTCGACCGTGTCTTACCACCGAGATAAACCATTTTCACAATTAATAGTCGTCGCTACTGACAAAGGCAAACCGTCCTTGTCATCTGAAGCTACCTTGTGGATAGAAGTCAGGCCTTCACAATCTCACATTCTCAAATTTTCTCAGTCCAAGCACAGGTACACTAACTTTATTATTTATTAACAAAAAATCAACGAAAAATAATCTGCGTCACATTAAATCTAAATTATTTATTTATTTACAGAGCGGTCATAAATCAGAATGCCAAACCCGGAAGTACAGTCACCCAGTTGTCCGTTGAGCGCACAGACCAACTCGTCAAAGGCTTGCATTACCACTATTCCATCGTTTCTGGGAATGACGGAGACTACTTTTCCGTCAACAGTCACAGTGGGCAAGTCGTGCTGGCAAAACCATTGGACAAGAACAGCCCGACATTATTCACCTTGGTCATTTCTGCCGATTGTGTCAACCTGGAGCAGTGCAGCTCGTTTACTGATTTAACAGTGGAAGTGATTTCTCACAGCCAATCTGGCCCAATGTTTGACAAGTTAAACTATAAAGTGACAGTGAACGAGGGTAAACCAGTCGGAACCATTTTGCTCAAACTTCACGCCTCCGATTCCAAATCTAACGGGACAGTTTATTATGAAATCACTTCGGGCAATGATGACAACATTGTGGAGCTGAATCGGAAGTCGGGCGTTCTCATTCTGAAGAAAAATTTAGACTTTGACCAATCTAATAACAATTACCGCATCGTTGTGAGAGCGATTGAACAGCAGGACAATTTCCAAAAATCATGGAACTTTACGATGGTGGACATTTCCATTGACGATGAAAATGACAACGAACCCAAGTTCTTATTCCCGACCTATGTCGGCGTCGTTGGGGAGAACGAACCAATTGGAACGACAGTGTTCACCGTGAAAGCGACGGACGGGGACAAGGGCATTTATGGAAAGTTGCAGTATTCAATTTTGGATGGGGATGGGAAGGACAAATTTTCCATCGCTTCAAGCACCGGCATCGTCACCACGAATGCAGCTTTCGACTACGAATCGAAAAGTCGATACTATTTAATCGTACGAGCGAATGACATTGGTGGGAAATCTTCCACTGCAAAGTTACAGATTGAAATTGAGTCAAAGGATGAATTTGTGCCCCAATTTATCCAAAAGAATTACAAGTTTGACGTCCCGAGAAACGCAATGCCGGGTCATATCATTGGCCGAGTGGAAGCAATTGACCAAGATCGTGGCCCTGATGGCCTCCTAACTTACCATCTCCTCAAACAAAATTCCAACTTTGCGGTGAATGCATCCAACGGATATCTAATTCTGAAGACGGTGCCCACTTCAAATATTAACACGACCCTGGCAATTGTGGCCTCATCGGGGCGAAACGGGTCTAAATCTTCTCAAACTTCTGTCGAAGCCGTGTTGGGCGAAGCTCTGCAGGAACTGGAAGTTGCCACTTCATCCACAACCGACTGGGTTCTTGGCATACTCGTTGCCACCCTTCTTCTATTGTTCGTCATCTGTGCCATTTTCCTGCTAATGCACATGAAGAACAAACGCCAGTCCAAGAAGGGAAAGAGTGAAGGGTTCAACAGCAACTTTGACACGTTAGACTACGCTGCAAACACAACAATGCGGATCGGCGGCAACAAACAAGACAGCATTTACGGGTCCCATTACGGCAACATTATGGACCTTCGAAACAACGACCGGCGGCGAATGAACAATGCAATTTCCGAGTTGTCCGACCAGAGCAACTCTGCCTCGAGTGGGAGGGGGTCGGCAGAGGACGGGGAAGAAGTTGAGGATGAGGAGATCTGCATGATCAACGAGGGGACCTTGGTGCAACAGCGACTTCGAGGAGGAGCCGGGGGAATGGAACAAGATGACGACGATGACGATAATGCATCGCAAAGCTCAGCAAAAAATACTCAAGAATACCTGGCACGATTGGGAATTAGGCCAAATATTACAGAAGATGGAGGACTTGCTCATAACAAGGATAATAATTTACACCTGTACGACGATAAAAACTTGGGTGTTGACATATCCGCTTTAATCTACTCACAAATCTCACAAATCTCGGACGATCTCAACCACCATTCCATTTTAGAAGATAATAAGTCAAATAGTAGCGTCACGTATAAAAATGTTCCACAGCCCTCCGTCACGGGCTCGCTTAGTTCCATAGTTCACAATGAGGAGGAGTTGGCAGGAAGTTACAACTGGGACTACCTCCTCGACTGGGGTCCACAGTACCAACCGCTGGCTCATGTATTCTCAGAAATTGCTCACCTCAAGGAAGGCTCCAACCGGTCAGAGCCCACTTATTGTGGAATCCTCTCCACCGTGACGAACAACATTTCCAGCAGCTCGTCAGACAAGGGGAGCAGCCACCAGAACTTTGGTGGTGGCAGTGCTGGTGGTGGTGGTGGGAGTGTAAAGGGAGGTCGAGGAGGAGGAGGCAACATCCCCACCAGAACAGGACCTCTGCCCCCACTGCCAATTCTGCCACGATCGCCAATTCCAAACGTGATGAGTTTTGCATCCGGTCCAATTTCGCCAAGTTTCTCACCCGCACTCTCTCCCCTCGCAAATAGATCCCCATCAATTTCACCCTTAGGCAATGTCACTTCTAATAAAATTAGACCGTCACAAATTCATCAAAATTACAGATCAGACTCAGATTTAAGTATGTAGCAGTAGTTGAGCAGGAAATAGACACATATTTAGTTACGAATCACCTCGCTGTTGTCCTCGTGTACTTTTTTTTTACTCTTGACCTGATTAACATTTTTTGTAGAAAAGATCGACATTTTTTCAAGCAACTTGTTAGTACAATTATTTCCATTTCTGGTAAAAGCACAGACGATTACTCGTATTCGAAACCTTTCAGTATTAATTCAGGTAGATTGTAAGTGGTTGAGCTGACTCAATTAACGAACTTTTTCTCAATCTGTCCACTTATAACAAATTGCGATTTACAATTAATTTACATGTAACAACACGTACTAATATTACATACGTACGATTACTTTATTAGGCTGCTCAAAAATGTCCATTTAATTTAATTATTCACGCCTGAACCCATAATCGAGTCATTCACCAATAAGTGACGAGTGCCATAAATTAAATAACGCGACGTGTCCATAATTTTCCCACAGAATGACACCACAAACAAGTAACATTTTAAATGATTTTCTAGTCCTGGTGAGGTTGATAGACTTTGTTGGAGAGTTGCATTGCCAAATGCAACGATAAATGCGCGTCTTATAGTTATGTACGTAATACGGCATGATTACAAAAACTTAGAATTTTAGATATTTAATTCCGGCAGTATAGGTATTTATTTATTACTTTGTTATGCATTTTTATTATATTATTTACTTTTTATATTTAATTAATGAAAGGTTTCCAAATATTTGATAAGTTTTTTCTTCTAAAAAATCAGAATCGCTCTCATATATTGCTTGCTCGTTTACGTCTCCAGTTTTTCATAAAAACTATCCAATCTCTGATGTTTTTTTTTAAATAAACAGTTTTCGAATTTTCTGTTGTTTTCCTAAAATTCAAAATTTTTCTCATATAATTACTCGCTAGATTTATATGATTATTACACATTTGTACTGAAGTAGCTGTCATCCCTTCTCAAAATGGGATAACCACTCAATCGGTTGTGATTAGCACGCTAATAGAAGAACACTTAAAAAACTTTCTTTCGTGTTCTCCTTGAAAAGTGCGACGTGTGAATAGATTCGTGTGTATTACGTAGTTTTGTGTTTTGTAGTACTATTTAAATAGCGTAATCTGTTGTTCGTACAATACCTCAGTCATATTTTTATCCAGTCGAAGGACTTTTTTTTATATAATTTTACAACAATTTTAATATTTAATAATGATGGTAAGCAGGTCGGAAATAAGTAAATGGACGTTGTACTCATTGTCAGTATTATTTTGATGGTAAAAATAAAAATAAAAATGAAAAAATAACAATTATTTGTGTAATAAATGTGTCATTATTCATGCATTGTAATTCTGAGGTGATAAATTTATTGACGACGGGCATACACACGTTTATTGATAATTTATTGACGTTTTTCGCTTACAGTTGGATATTTACTTTTTGAAAAAAATGATTGAACGGGATGGAATAAAATTTAGCAATAATAGGTTTTTGTGGTTGGTTGAAGATTAAGATTCATCATCAATAACATAATTTTATCATCGTCATAATAATGGTTAATTGTTATTACTTTTTTTTACTGGCTACTCATAACTTTCCAATTAATGCATCTTATTCCTGTATTTATTTATGCTTATGCCATAGATAATGCTAATTTTGGGCGTTAAGTTACGGAGATTTCGTCATCGTCTCGACTGGGCGTGTTGGAGGAGGGGGAGTAGTCGACGAGCGCGCTGCTCCTGGAGGGCGACCCGTCCGGAGACATTTTGGCCGAATCGTCCGTGTTGGCATAGGGCATGGAGGGTGAGTGGATGGGGGAAAAGTCGCACATCTCCATCTTCTGCTTGTCACCCGATGCGTCGCTCAGATCCGGATGTGGATTGTTCTTGTTGGGCAAAGTTTGCTCCCGAGAGCCTCCACTCGCCAGGAGTTCACGTTCCTTGGAATTCCTCCACTTCATGCGACGATTTTGAAACCAAATTTTCACCTGGGGGAAAGTTTCCAAGGCGTTAATCATTTTGGACTTATTTAGCTTGTAAATTCATATTTTTTCCAATTTGAGACTGGCTTTCTTTCATGACTTTTGGCTTTTTTTATTGTTATGTAATAAGAGCATGGATGGATGATGTGCCGGAGTTGGTGGCAGCTGAATGAATCAGTTTGGCGTAAAATGACTTGAACGAAGATGAAGAGCCAACAAGGCAAGGAGGACGCATTGAGCAGGAGTCCACGGTTATTTGGTTACACAAGAAGAAGGTATAGACTGCTGGGTAAGTAAAATGATCATCGGTGTGTGTGGTTCGGATGGATGGCTATATATTAATCGTGTTATTAGTGTTGAGAGGATGAAGAAGGAGTAAAAATGATTGTGACGGGCCGTGTTTCATTATTTGAGTGCGGCTGGTGAGTGAGAGGATAAAGTAATTAGAGTGCGGAGATGGGAGAAAGTTGTGAGAGTGGCCGAGTGAATAAATGCATATGGAGCTGTGCTGTGGATAGTGGGCTGGATGGAGGCGAGGAGGGTATTACGGGTCTGGTGTGGATGGAATATGAGAAAATAATGGAATCAATGAGATCAAGTTACAGTGTTGGGAATGAAGTTGGTATGAAATGTGGCTGGAGGAACATCTGGAAAAAGGCGATGATGAGGCTGGAGCTGGCTGCACATGGGAAACGTGTTGGAATTCTAATGTGATGGCATAAAATACACTGTCTCCCTGAACGCGACAAGCAGAAGATATGGGAAAAGCTTTATTGAGCTGATCAAGAACAACATGCGCATATTGTGACAGATTGTGGCGATTTATCAAAAGTAATTGCTCAAGTGGAAGAATCAAAGGAGAAAAGGCATCATATTCGGTCGGCGGAGAGCGTCCTGCTGCTGCTGATCCTATCCTGCGTTACATTTTTGACTGTTATGAGCATGGCATGATATGAGAGACGGAGGGAGGAAAGCAGGACGGAAAGAAAGCCGTGAAGAGAGAGAGGGGCTCTCGTGAGCTGCTGCTGCTGCTTTTGGTGAAAGCTTTCCCGCAGTCCATTGGCTACCCGAGAGTCGATAAAGCCTCTCAGCAAGCCCACAAATGAAGATAAGAATAGCGATTCGTCGGAATGTGCGAATGAGCAACGCCACAGATGTTGCATCTCAAATCTTGCACATCACAACCCTGGCAACTGGGCCCATAGATTCATTTGAGTACTCTTAATGATTCCCTATAGCTGCACGAGGCCCGGGTTGCGTGGCGAGAATGACTTGTGCAAGAAGTAGCTACTTGAGGCTAGGATATGGAAAAACAATGGCTCAATCCGCTTTTTTATACACACGGTTCACTCATCGCCCCCGTCAGTTGGCCAGGATTGTCTTTAATCCACTCGGCTGCTCCTCCGACCATAATAATAATAATAATAATACCAATATCCCTTCTTCTCGCTCCTAATCCCCCAATAAAAACATACCCAATGACTTTCTCTTCTCTCTCCACCTCGCACAAATCTCGGCCGTTAAACAACAAAATCCATACTTTCTGCCTTTGCCCCAAACAATCACCACCACCTTAATTGCCAATCGCATCTCCTTTATTAAGCTTCACACACCCATTCTTCCAACTCCAATAATACGGATGACACCATATTGCGCCCCCCATTACTCTTACTTTTGCAACAAAGTCCATGCACACACCTCCGAAAAACGAAGAGATCAAGAATATCGTTTATGTACGCTAAAATATTCAAACTCCTTTCACCATGCATTCATATCTCTCACGCTATTTATGAATGTATACCTGTGAATCCTTCAACCCCAACTTCTCCGCCAGCTTCTTCCTGTCTGGCTTTGATATGTACTTTTGCAACTGGAACCGCTTTTCAAGCCCTTTTCTTTGCAAGTCGGAGAACACGGCGCGTCTCATCATTCCTCTTCTGGGCTTGCCTCGAGACCCTCCAGCCCAAGGGAACGTCCCGGGGAGTGGAAATACCCCACCGTTTCCTGGATGTGGCCCTTCAATGATCAATAAATTAAGCACTTTCCTTACTTTTTAACGAGAGCCACCGCCTGGAGGGAGGTGTGGATCACATGCGTGGACTTCACGCTTCGACGTACCTGTTAAGAAGGCTGGATGACGACATGAGAGAAGCGCATGCAAGTGTGGGTCAAAAACTCCGCCTGGTCCGGAGGATGAAACGGCAGGTCGAGGAATTGGCTTTGAAATGGACCCATTTCCATTGCTGCTGAGTCCATACGCGGAAAAAAACGAGGCCGGGTTCACGAACCCTGTACGAATAAAACACACAAAGGCATATGTACGTTCAAAATTTATTCGGTTTCAGTGGGAAATTATCCCTTCAAAAATTTTGAATTCAAGATTAACGTTATGAAAAGTGGATAAAAAAATTAGGAATTAAGGGAGGAAGTAGGGGAAGTACAGTGTCGGACAGATGTCTACGTCCACATAGTCGCGTCAATTTCATTTTCAAATTGTCACTGAACTACTGAACCAATTTTCATCATTGATATATCAAATTCTCACAAATTTAACGTAATTTCATAGCACATTATTAGTTTTCCGCTAAAAAATTTATTTTAGGCCAGAGATGTATTTTAATTCAAAATGAAAACAATTGGATGGACAAAAATCAACGTCCAGTCAGAGAAAACATACAAAAAAAACTGTAATTTATAAGGAATGTTATAACAATTAATTTTTAATATTTGGTTGGGCCTCCGTTCGCTTTAAGGACGGCTTCAAGGCGTCGAGTCATAGAGTTTACCAAATTCTTGGTCACATCTTCAGAAATGGTTTCCCAAACTTCACGAATTCTGGATTTTAGGCCCGGAATTCCTGAAAAAGATTTTTTTCTTATTTCTCTTTCAATGTGGTCCCACAGATGCTCAATGGGATTCAAGTCTGGAGATTGGGGAGGCCATTCTAGCTTCGGAATTTTTTTTCTTGAAGTATTCCATGGTGGACGTGGCAGAGTGTTTCGGATCGTTGTCTTGTTGGAAGGCAAATCGTCGTCCAAGTCCAAGTTTTCGAACAGATTCCTGGATATTACGGTCAAGTATTCCCTGGTACTTGTATTGGTCCATAATTCCGTCAACAAATTCCATTTTTCCTGCCCCACTTGAAGCCATGCATCCCCACACCATTACCGACCCGCCGCCGTGCTTAACTGTGGGGTTGAGATTTTTTGGATTCAAAGCTTCTTTTGGATATCTCCACACTCTACGACGCCCATCTGACCCAAAGACATTGAACTTTTACTCGTCAGTCCATAAAATATGTCCCAGAATGTTTGTGGCTTGGAAATGTGGTCTCTGGCAAACTTCACTCGTTTGGTTGCATTCCTCGGTACAATAAGAGGCTTCCGGACTGCTCTGTGGGATTTCAAATTTCCCTTATTCAGTGTTCTTTGGATGGTCATAGGACTAACCTGTTTGCCGAACATCTCCTTGATCTCGGTAGATAGCTTTGGAGCACTAAGTGAGGGTGTAACGTTGACTTTGTTGAGCACGTGGCGTACTTCTCGGTGAGCCAAAATCGGTTTTCGACCACTTCTGACCTTGTTTTGGACTGAACCATTAGCTCTAAAGTTCTTAATGATTGTCTGGATGGTTGTCCTTGCTAATTTATACTTGGTCCCTATTTGTCTCTGCGACAGCCCCCCTTTTTGTCCACCCTTCCAGTCCTGAATGACAAGATCTCGAATAGCGATAGGAATTTCCTTGCGTGTCGACGCCATCATATTTTTCTGGAAGAAAATTATTTAAAAATTAATGCGGCATATGTTATTGATAGATTTATTAAGTTACCTGATTTTATAAATTGGAGAGATTTTTGTTGTTGACAATTAAAGTGAAGTGGACGTAGACTTTTGTCCGCTCAAATTTCATCCTCTCTCGCTCTGCACTATGATTCTCAGTTTTCCCAGAATTTTCAGAAATAACTCATATGTTTTATGAAATTACGTTAAATTTGTGAGAATTTGATATATCAATGATGAAAATTGGTTCAGTAGTTCAGTGACAATTTGAAAATGAAATTGACGCGACTATGTGGACGTAGACATCTGTCCGACACTGTATGTATGTATAGATTACCAAAAAACCTTCATGCAAATATCACAAGCTGTTAAAAATTATGGGGGAAAGTTTTGGTATCTGAAGGAGCCTTCTCCAATCAAAGTTTTCTGAATATAAAGCGTTTTCTGGGTGTTTAATTTAAGGCACGGCGGTGAGGCGAGGAGAGTGGAGATGACTAAATCAATTCAACACGTTATTGGAATTTTTCGACATATTAAGACCTCCCAGAGTGCTCTCTCTTGCGCTCTCTTTCCCATTTCTCGACTAAAATGAAATTCTGTGGAATCCGAGAAAACTTTCTGCCTTCTTCCTCCCTCAGTAGCTCACGGAATCCGAGAATATGAATAAAATTCTGTGGCTGCATTTTAATAAAACTTATTTCTCGGATATAAAACGCAATGAACACACACACAAAAAGTTCTTTCACCGCAGATTTAGGAGAAGGAGGAGGAAGAAATCAATCACGTTTGGCTTTTTTTTAGGTCGTGAAATGGGAAGGTCTACACGGCAAAGCTTAAACTAAATTGAAATTAAGGGGACTCAACCAAGGTTTATATTAGTTTTGTGCATGCTGTTCCATTTCGAACCACAATTTTCGATTAGAGGCACAGACAGATAAGTCCTTCAAGTTTTTCGAACTTGATTATGTAGTAGTTTAAGCTATAAAATACGTAAACTACAAAATCTAAAAACTTTGCCCTTACCAGGATTAAAATGCATGTGGTCATCATCCAGTCTACTTTTATCACCCTCTCGGTCAGCACCTCCGAGAATGGCACTGACGCTAAACTTCAGTACCGGCTTGTCGTTTTTGACCATTATTCCATTGTTTCGAGGCTCCGGGGTGGGATCCCTGCTAACTCGCGACTGGGATTGGCAGGAGCAGTTGGACTCACAAAATGTGGGCTTTTCGTCCCCGCTGTCATCAGTGTCCGCGCTGGGCCCTTTGTGAGGACTTTCTCCACCAGAGCTATTGGCACAATGGTTACACACTGCACAATTTCTTTCACCACCACCACCACCATCTCGGCCACCACTACTTTCTCTCATATCTGAAGATGTGGGAACACCCCGGAAGTTGGGCTCTTCCTCATAGTTGAAGGAGGATGGACCAGAGTTTGGACCTGTGGTTATACATATGCAAATTAATTTAAACATGGCCCAGGTATCTGGAATTGTCACGTGCTACTATTTCAGTCACAGGATGAATTAGCATGGAAATATGCAAGTACAATGGTGGAATTTAAATCAGACTCCAACTCAAAAGTACAAAAGTCCATGCTTCATAAAAGCTTTGGGATGACGCATTTTTGCTAGAAAGAAAACGGCCAAACTTTCTCATACCTGAACCAGGGCTGGAAGACGGAAGCATGGCGGAATGACCGAGGAACAGCATCGCATTATTTCTAGCCTTGTCCTTCAAGCTGTTGGAAGACATTGTGGTTGCCAACTCCACTTCTCCTGAAGACTTGAAGACTGAGGTCGTCGCCGAGGTGGGCAGCAAATGTTGAAGGCTTTGTTCATTCACCACACTGTTTGCTCGGAGCAAGTTTTCCATAAAATAGGCCCCTACCACGGAAGACGTCGTGTTTTGAGGGTCCCCCACATTCTTGAAAACGGACGAGTGGTAGATGGGACTAGGGCTGAGGACGTTGGGGAGCATAATAATTCCTCTCCCACCAACTTTCTCCACATTCACTGCAGCAACAGACAGGAAGCGGATCACTTTTACACCACAATTCCACAAAAGAAAACTTTCCAAGAAGTCTAGATACGCAGATATGTACGGAATATGTCTTTCCTCAATATCCTCTCTCCTCCTCCTCCTGTTTCTGAAATGTACCGCAGAAATGTGTCACCCAACTCTAATCGGAATCTTATTTAAATAGAACTCTCATGGGGCCACGTCAACAACATTCTTTTTCCTTCCCTATCTCGAACAATACTGCATAAGTCCAATTTTTCAACAATGATTTTTACCCACTTGGGGGGAAGGTTGAGATTTGTCCGTAAAATATGTCTCCCTTTTTATTTATGGCTCTCGTAGAAGTTAAATTCCTTCCTTTATTAACGAAATTGTTCACAATTACGACTCAAAAATGTAAAAGCTGTCTATTTTCTTAAACCAAATTGAGACCGGAGAAATTTATCCAGAACCAGATCGCCACTAAAAATCCCTTCAACCACTCGTTGTCCGGGTTGTTGAAGGAGTGATGATTTTTTCCTCACGAAAAGTGATGTCGTTATTCAGATCAACATTTTATTAGGAATTCCAGCGTGTGCCAAGAAGAAGACAAAGTGCTTTTCTGGAGAAGACGACGCGACGTGTAGCTCCGGCAGAGGAGGACTGACGAGGGTGAAAGTGGTGGCGGACCATGTTATAGAATTGGTTAACTCGCTAAGGGTTTGCACTTTTGCCTGTTCATCCTCCTCCTCTGGTCTCCAGTCCATTGATTTACTCGGGAATTTAAAGCCTCCCCTCCCGACCCAACCTCTTCTCTCCACACCACCATGCCCACCAAATAAATCTCGCTCTCACAACGCTTTTAACTCCCATCATCATCAAATTATTAGCCCCGTGTGGTGGAGGCCAAACTCTCCTCCAGGGCCCAATGCCTGCTTGCCTGCCTCAAGTGAAAAATCCGTGCGTCTCGTAATACCAAAATCTCTCGTCATCATTGACTGATCTCTTTCTCTGTGGGTGACAGTTGCAGTTCAACATTTGCATAATGTTAGTATTGTTGTTGGACAGATATGTATGTACATACGTACAAGAATCGCATCCGGTCAGTCGGTGTAGGTAGACTTTTATGCCAATGAAATAATCATGGGGAAACGTGTCATTTATTAGTATGTAAACGTGTCATTTGGTATTTAGAGGTATAAATATATCCAAGTAGTAATATTTACCATTTGCTTTGCCCAATTGACATTGTGGGTCACTCACTGACATAAATTCCGTACTGTTTCGAGCATAAGAAGGGCGATCATGGTGAAACTTATTTGGGGTTTCTCTGCCTAGTTTTAGCAATGAGAGGAACAAAGGCCTCATCTTCAATGGTGGAGCGTAAGTACATTTTGGTGTTGCAGCCTGTGTGTAAAATCGGGAAGCACATCTGGAGCATGAAAATCGTGGCGAGTCTTTATGCGAGGAGGAGATGAAGGAAGAAGTTGCATATATATTTATACGATCTTGACGACTGCCGCAAACGGCTACATTGACTCGGCAAGGAAGCAATTAAGGGCAAGCAATTTGTTGTTGCAGTGTTATTTGCGGATTTGAAGGAGTAGATGGTCATTGTGTAGTGTAGTAGGGATGGATTATGGACTCGGATGAGGGGGCACTTTGAGATGATGGTAGCAAAATGATGATGGTTGTGCTGTGTTGCTAATAATTTGCCCAAGAAATACTGATGAAAGCTCATGCTTTTAGGTTACCCATGCATTTGATGCTTTAATATGGACTAGTTATGCAATGCAAAGAAATTGGTTTAATGAAAATTTTTGTTGTGAACTATGACTATGTGAGCTATGAAATTTACGATTATGCCGATATTTCGAAGTAATGAAGGAATGCGTATGAAATTTATGATTAATGGAATGGAATATGCTATGATGAAAAATAAATCAGAGACAACAAACATAAGTTACGAATAACAGAAATCCAATGTATTTGAAAAAAATGATCAAAATATCAAATAACAAAAATCGTACTACAAAATATCGTATTAAAACTGGAATACAATGGATACAATGTTCGTATATAAAACTAGACTATAATATAGACTACAAACTAAGTACGACCAAAATACTGACGCGTCCTTTGTCGTCGAGGGTTGCGATGAATCCGTTTCTGGGGACGATTGAAACGTCGGTTGGGAACTTGAGACCGGCCTTGCTGTCGAGGGGATGGCCAATGGTCCTAATGGTCTTGAGGAGGATTCCGGTGGGGCCGAAGACTCGGACGGAGTTGTTTTTGGTGTCGGCCACGATCACGTTGCCAGCTTCGTCGACTATGATTCCCGATGGGCGATAGAGGATTCCGGGTGGGATGAAGGGCTGCAAGATCAGTTTTGAATCCATGAGTCGAAGCTGGTGGACTTTGTGGAGGTTGAAGTCCGAGATGAAGAGAGCGTCCCCCGTCAGGTTGAAGGCCAGTCCACGGGGATAGCTTGGTCCGGGTATTGGAAATTCCTGAAGGTAATTCCCAGCTGCATCGAAGAACTGGATCCGGTGGTTGCGGGTGTCAGCCACGGCGATTTTGGATCCATCCGGAGAGACGGCGACTCCCCAAGGCATCTGAAATTGTCCGGGTAATTCTCCTTTCCTCCCAAACGTGGCCAAAAACGTGCCATCCTTGGCGTTTAAGATCTGGATGCGGTGGTTGTCCTTGTCCGAGACGAAGATCCGATCCGAGTTGACATCGTAGGCGAGGGCGGTGGGTCGGAAAAATTTTCCTGCTCCAGTTCCACGGCATCCCACGAAGAAGTCCACAGTTCCATCCAGTTTGTAGACGATGAGTTTGTGGTTGACCCGGTCGCCGATCCAGAGTTGTTCCGTTTTAGTGTTACAGCAGAGTCCCCACGGGCTGCAACTGTCGTACCGTGCTTTATCCGAAAGTTCCCAGTCGAGGACGCTGGTCAGAAAGCGGTAATTTCTTGAGAATACGATCTTCAGGGGACAGCCACGGATGGGATGGATGGCGTTGTGGAAGATGTCGATGGAGTGAAATCCAGGGAAGACGGGTCGAAAAGTGTAGAGAATCCCATTTCCAGAGACGTTCGTCCGGGTGAGAATGGGAAGATTGACGTTGTTGGGTCCCACGATGACGATGGCCAAGCGTTTGAGGTCCTGCTGAGTAGCTGGTTTCTGGGCGATGAGCAGGAACATGGCGACTTTCATGATCAGGAAGGACTGAACTGGCAGGACGAGGCTGATGCGCTCCATCAAGTTGACAGGAGACGAGTAGTCCAGAAATCGGACGAGATCCGCAGCGATTCTTGTCACAAGGAGGCGGTCCAACTGCTGTGATGAGGGGCCAGTCGTGTTATATCCAGAATCCACACGTGCATCTTCGTCCTTGGTGTAGCGTAAGCGTCCCGAGTCCTGACGAGGGAATCTGAGATCCATCCTGGCAGCAAGGATCCCCAATTTGTAGTCTTCAAGGCAGCAGGAAGGTCCAGTCCACAAGGCAAGGAGGTCCAGGCAGAGGAGGCAAGGTGAGATTCCAAGAGAGAAGTCCAAGTGGGAAGTCCAGGAGCAGGCAGCAGGTCCAAGAAGGTGTTGTCCAGACAAGGGCTTCTAGAAGTGTTGATGCTGAGTGGGGCGGACGGAGCCCTTTTATTCTCCTCCGTTCACCCATTCCCACATACAAAAACTGGGCTCCGCGACCCAATCGCGCGACCCAGGTCTGCGATCCAACTCCATCACCTAATTCCGGGATCCAACCTTCGCGACTCAACTACGTGATCCAACTCCAGCACCGAACTCTGCGATATATCGTCGCAACCAAACTCTGCGACCATACGAAAACTCATCGGCTTACATTTATTTTTAATTCCCATCTACAATTTCACTTACTCATGTGAAGGCGTGACTTATTTAAACCAGAGTCTAAGATTTTGCAGAACGAGTAGGTATATGAAGTTAATGTATTAAATTAAACTTACTTTAATTTTAAATTTTCAATACGCAAAGTCTAAAATTCATCATTTCATAAATCTTAAAATTTCCTCTCAAAACTCTGCCGAGAAAACGTATTTATTTATGAGAAGACTGAAACTCATCGACGTAACCGACCCAATATGAATTAAGACCATCATTTATTAGCTGTGGGGAGGAGAAAGCACTTTTTATTGAAACAGATGAAGTTAGTTAGACATTCAATAAGATGCCTGGATTTGATAGGATTATGACGATGATGGTTGGTTTTTGAAGAATGAGTTTTGAATTGAGGAATGAAATTAGTTGCTCAAGAAAGCGAAAAAATAGACAGGGGATAGGCTGCTGTGGGATAAAAACTTTAATAAGTTTTGATAATGACGATAAGGGAAAAATTCTGAGCAGCCAAGAAGCGCCCCTTGTTTACCAAGCTGTCCAGCAAAAACATGAAAAGAAAGCAGGCAAGCAAACGCGAAAGCCAAAGAATGAGTTTTCTTCTTTCCACTTTTACTTTTTCGTCTTCGAGTTCTTCGTGTGGAAAGCGTAACCGTCATCTCTTCACCAGACCGAGAAATCAGACCAAGAAATCTTGCGAGAAAAATGAAGCATTCGCACGTATCGTCGTCACCAATTCCCTACTTTTTAATAAAAAAATGTTCCCATAATTTTAGAAATTAATCGCATTAATTCCGAAATTAATATTGGATTAACTCGAAAAACAACTCGGCCTGGCTGGATGCTTGTGTCATCATTATTAATAATCCAACCGGGCATGTAACCAATCCAGAGGAACAAAGTCAGTGCGAGGGATTTGTTGTTTAAACATTTGTAGTAGTCGTAGTACGTCGTGGGTCGTGGGGCTAAGGCTTCATCATCATCATCATGGATCTCCACCACAAAGTTCCACTCTCCTCTCTAGCTTAGCGTATGTAAGTAATCATAGTCTCTGAAGTGCTCTTAAATGCCTCTGAGGGGAAAAATTCGTTTTAATTTAATCGCTTAATGGAATAATTTTTTTGCAAGTTGAAAAACCACATGCCAAAAACACTGATGTTTTGATAATTAGCTTTCTTTTTCTTCTTTAAAGAATTCCACGGGGCCATTATTCAGGCGGAGAAAGCGTCTTATCTAATGATTTATCCGACAAAGGTCTACCCTCCCTCGGCCGCCTTTGCCTTTGCGTCACCAATCCAACCAACTGCTGAGAGACTTTCTCATTTTTCTTCTCTTTAATACAAACTCACTCATTGCTTAAATTGGTCCAAAGTAGTTTTCATTTTTCATCCACCGAAAGAGAGAGCGAGACGTGTAATGGATTTTACTTTCTTGTGCCAGCATCTCTTCTCTCTTCCTCGCTGCTTTTTCTTATTATTATCTCAGGGCTCGAGTCAATCGAAAGTTAATTCCCTTTTATCCCCATTCTTTTATTTAATTATGATTATTTCACTTCACTCCTCAATAACTTCTCACAAACAAAACCAACTTTTCCTCCGAGGAGAGAGTTTTAGAAAGTTGGGAAATTAGAAATGGATTTTTATGAACGCTGATGATTTTAACCGATTGAAATTAATTCCATTCTCCAAGAAGGAAAACCATGTCTGACAAGTCGTGTCAGCACAACTGCATAGTATTAAATGTCGTGATACCTTTACCACTTTTATAACAGGGAGTGGCTCAATAATAGGATAGATTTGCAATTAGATTGCATCATATTGTAATCTAAGACTAAAAACGAGGCGATGCTTAATTGCAATCAGTGCATACAAAAAGAATGCGTGGGTTAAATTGATGTGGCCTAAATTTATCCATCAGAGTACATACATATTTTTACAATTTGTGGTATTTTGGGTGACAACATGTGACAAAATGCACACAGAGTTGCATACGTAATGACCGGGATGACAATGGATTTTGACCATTATTGATTGTTTCCAATATAACATTCATTACTGGCAATTTGAGTGCGGCCGAATCCTGGGAAGAGACGTGTTACGACATCACAACGGAAATCAAATCATAATAAAATGTGCAATACATATGATCGTCACCTCGTTGAGACGCGTTTTTTTTGTTTGTTTGCGTTGTTGTTGTGTCTGATGAGGCGAACCCTTGGGATGGATGAATCTGCGAAAGTGAATTTGTGTGAGTGTCATGAGCAAACGTAACCAAATGCAAGCCACAGGGCAAACAAATAATGAATGTTGATATATTTTCTGAGCAAATTGATTTCATGCAGTCAGTTGTTTCTAATGGGCTCAATCCGTCTCAACCCTCATCCATCCATCCATCCATCCATCCTCCCTATGCACCAGATTCTTCTTTTATTCATTTCATGCTATCCGTTAGCGTCACTTCCATGTTCCAAACCTTTCAGCTTCAGCCGCCGCCGCTCCTCTTCATCAAAAGCCGTATTGTCAAACTCCCCAAATTACTATTCTAATTCCAAATCAACGAATCCTCCAAAAAACACTGATGCTCTCACACACGTTCAAAAATCCAATGCACATCTCTCACTTTCTGACATTTCATACCAACAACAGGCCTCTCCCAATGATGATGATAATAATTCTCATCATAAATAATATTCTTCCCTGGAAAATTCATAATTGCTGCACTGGCTAAAAATAAATCTTGCAATATATTGACGATTAGTCTGGCCTACCCGAAACTGGTTCATATGCAACTATGCAAATATACTGATGGGCACGTTACACATGTAGTTTCGATATAACAAAATTCGGATATAATAAATGTTTCCCCTTTCACAAATCTGACTTTCCTTTCGTCACTACTAAGGAATATAATCAGGCTCAATCTGTTTCACATCAGCTGCGCTCAAACAATCACGTTTTTATTGAATTTTCCCTTCCATGCTAATGAAGAATTTGTCTGGAGAAAGAAACTTTTTCCGTACTTTGTCATCCGTCGTCGTCGTCGTCACCTTTGAAATTGTTTCTACTCGAGAGATGCACCTTTCATTACCTAACTTACCGGCTTCTTTGTCACGTATACAGACTTTTACTTTTAACCAACTTTACCGAAAAGTCAGACTCACTTATGACACACAAAATGGCAGCTAGTGGACCATAAATCTCTCTCCCGACCTGCTCATTTCTTCTTGGATGAAAGTATTATTTTCGGACTCGTCCTCCACCAGCCAAGCCAAGCCACACGGCTCTCTCAGAATTTCTATAAACGAGGCCGAGATGATTATGGGTGTGAGAAAAGGGTAAAACTCGTTCGAAGGGAATCATTCGTTTGAATGCTTTTTTATTCAAGCGACTGGAATGAATTTAATACTTTCTTCAAGTGTGATCAAGTTTTGATAGAGAAACTGTTCCACTGCACATTTAGTTTAGTTTTATTTTATTCAGTCGGTCCGTCGGTGCGATGTGAGACCAGACCACCTATCAATTTATGTCATGCATGAGTGTAAACAACTACTTGGCCGAGTGAAAGGGTTGCGTCGGCGATGAAGCAATTTTTTTTATATCAAAGCACTCCGCAATATGTGGTGACTTCAATAATGGATGGAATTCCGATTGCCCAATAATACTGTTGGCAAAAGCACTGCATTATTGCGACCGCATTCAATCACTCTGTTCCAGGGAGAGGATTTGGTACGTAATAATAATAAAAATAATAATACTTTTAAAGCAGAAGATGACAGGGCCTTCTTGAGACCTTTTTTTACCTTATTTCTCATCCTTTCAGACAGATCAAGCAAGACCACCCGACCTGGCATTCAATCAGTCGTATTTTTGTGGGTGCAAACTCCATTGTCAACCAAGAAATAAACCTAAATCTCTATCGAGCCCACAATCATCATGCCATGCGCAGGTAGACAAGAAATGAACAAGCGCAGCCACTTGGACCACATCAAAGTGGAAATAGTCCGCATTTGGGCTCTGATAATAATCCTTATTATTGGCCATTTGTTATCCTATTAAGTAAAACTCTGGTATAATTCCCGTCGTCGTCTCACATTTTTTTTTGGTACAATGCTAAATCGTAGATATTTCAGTAATATGAGGCCAAATGAAATTATTTCTTCATTTGGAACTTTTTGAAATTAATAAAATTCAAAAAAGTTTCAATAATAATTCTTGTCATACATATTTCAGGATGGATGTCAGGATGAAACATGGGTGGAAAAGGGGGGAAAGTGACACAGCCCATAAGTGAAAAGGGGTATGGAAATAAAATGCAATTAAATTAGAGCTGTTGTGAGATAAGATTAATAACCTTGTTAGCCGAAGGATGAGAAATCAGAGTCATGAACAGCAGCAGCAGCAGCAGCAGAAGTGATTCGAATAAACTAACAACGGCGAAGAATGACGTGCCCGACCGACTGTTGTGGAGGAAGGGGGGACTTGGTCACGTAATGAACCGTAAAATGATGATACTACCTCCGCTGGGACATCCCTCAATGCATTTAATGCTCTCAATTAGTCCCCTGTTTGTGGTGGTACATCAGTGTGAAAATCTCTAACTGAGGAATAAAGAGCGTGCATAATTGCTACATGGAAAGAAAAGGCAAACAGACAACGGATTCGATATGCCTGGATCCTCGTTTTGTGTCCTCCAGCCATTTCACCATTTACACCGGTTCGGGTTTATCTCTCTCACACAAAGAAGGCCCGTTGTCCGATTCTCCGAATTCCTTATTGTGGGCTGAACTCTTTCTGATCGGAAATATATGGATGCGATGCGTAGCAAAACTTAGGTTTCTGTGATGCTTCATGGATTTTATTGAGGCAACCCGACAGAAATAATTACATAAAATTATAATTTTTATTATATCATTTTTTAAGGAGGAAATTCAGAAATATATTTTACACGGAAAACATGTAAACTTTTGAATGACTGGCAGGAACTAAAAATTAGCCAAATTTAGAAACTTAGTCGTATTTATAATCGCCCCTATGCATACAACATGTTGGGAAAAGCCTATCATTGGTTACTCTTATTTTCCTCACAATAAAAGTATCTGCATGGCCATCAGAGCTTAATCCCTTCAAAAGCCTTCGCTATTACAAACCGTGTCACATTGACCTTTGTAAACTGGGTGTTGTTTTTCCTCCTCAATGGGGATGGGATGCCGTTTTATTTATTGTAAAATGTTATTCAATGCCCTTCTCTCTCTTTTCTCTTTGTGCTGACAAATATTAATAAAAAACAAATCAAAACAAGCCAAAATAACAAATTTGCTCTACAATATGTTGCATTCCGAGGACAATGAGCGTTTGAAATAATTCGAACGGAGCAAATCTGCTTAAATGCCTCATTCATTGGGAGAGATTTGGTTGTTGGGTTACGTCTCTCGGAATGGATGGAACACCCAGCATGAGCCTCAAACGATTCGTTCCATTAATCTTCTAATTATTTCAACCTCAGCCATGTACACATTTCCATCACTTAAACGCACACATCTCTACAATTGCCACAAATGAGTAAACAAACTCAAACTTGGGCCTTCTGATCAGCCAGCCAGCCAACCAACCTGTCAACCCACTTCAAAAAGAGGCTTATCGTTCCTTGAAATAACATTTCGCAAAATGTTTCGTAATTCGGAGAGTTACGAAATAGAAAATTGAAACTCTTAATAAAACACAGCTGCGATAATATGACGATCAATATAATGGTTTCTGTCCAATCATCATAGATTCATCATGACATTACGTGCAATTATTAGCGAAAAAGTGTACATTTACTTCGGTACATGCTGGCACTAAACTTTTCATGAGTAGCTTTTTATGTAACATATTTTCTGAGGTAAAGTTTGAGACTGATTATTTTGTAGTAAGTTATGCATATATTAAACGTACTACATCAAATTATGTTACATATGCTGATTTTTTGTCAGAAAATAGAGCTTTCTGCTCAAAATGCCTCAGAAAAATTACGCTCGCCATAATCGTATTCGGAGACAACAGACGACAAATTGCCGTCTTGAGGGATCAATGTTAACGACGAAGATTAAAGAGGCTGTGTGAAGGGGGATTAATCATATCTGAAACTAAGTGACTGACTTAAACGGAGCGTGAATGTCTTATTCAACTCTATATCAAGTAATCATTTACGAAGCAGCGGCATCATGGAAATGGAAATATGTACGACTCAACTTTTACTCCCATGCAATGCACCTTGATAAATATGATCCCCCAAAAACACCCACCGACCAACACACACAACCTCTCAATCCGTATCTCAACCCAACCACGAAGAAGAAACATGCGGATTACGAGAAAATGCTGTTCGATCAGAGCGAATGCAGAGGTAGAAGGTTACTTGGGAATTTTGATCGGAATTGAATTGAGGAATGTTGTATGTGCTCTGAGAATAAATGCAGCTTTTCATTTCATGCGATTGACAATTGCTATTACAATTCTTGCAGCACTATTACCAACTTGACGATCTCCCTCTCTCACTCCGTATTGCAATCTCCTTTGCAATCTCGTCGGACCAAAAACTCGTTGAGAGCTGAATAAAGTACTGGTTGGACTATAAAGAAGGACAAGTTTCATTTTTATTGTCGTATGATTGTGTGTATGGAGTAGTTGAGTTGAGCAGTGGTGGTGGGACGTCGGTTGGTGAGAGGAAAAGGGAGAAAGCAAAACCAATCCAGAATTTATACAAGTCCTTCTCTCTTCCCTTTAAGAGCCATATCTGCGACTGACATTTCTTTATGATATATGAATCAAACCCAGTCCCAATGACTCCAGATCTGGGGTACTTCCCAAAGCACCGACAACGACGACGGCGGCGGCGGCGACGACAACAACAACAAACAAACTGCACCACATACATACACCGCTTGCTTTTCCTGGAGCTCACATTCTCACCGTCTTCAAATCCAATCCAGGGCTGCTTTAATGGGCATGAAACGTATTTGGGAAAGGGGCATGAATAATATGACATCACATAAATTTGATCGTAGTCTCTAAACCAAGAAGTGTCGATGGACGAATAATAAATAGTGTATAAAATTGTCTCAAGGTGTTCTAGTTATGAATTTTATAAATGATACGTGCATTTCGTCGTTGAGTATGCAGATATCTCCAATTCCTGTGCATAGCATTGGAGATGCGTCCGAATGCAGGGTTAAAGTTTTTAATTTGCGTCAGAATGCATATGCAACGACGATATGTGATAGATATGCACACCTCTTGGAACATAATTTTCTCTTAAAATTCATCCCTGTTTTTCTCAATTTCATCATCAAAACCCGAAATTCACAGTAAAATTCTTAAATCATTCCTATTTCCTATAGTACAGCCAGGTAGCAATAGTCGAGAGGATAAGAAGTCTCACATTTCCCAATTCAACAACATTCCCACTCATACAAATTAACTGCTTCGACTTTGATATGTAATAATTAAAGTTTTAATCAAAATCCCATAATCTGTCAAAAACCAAAAATTCTATATTTCTATCAAATTAATGTCCCCGTTTTATGAATGAAGTAATTTTAGGTGGTGACATTGCCTACGAACTAATAAAGAATCCTCGTTTTTGTGGCGATACAAAGAAAACAGCAGCAGAGAAACGTTACACAATAGAAAATAAGTTCCTTTTCACAACTTTATGTAACAAGATTAGAAGATATTTTCGTCTTATAGAATTTCAAAGTAACTTCTTCACTCTGCCATGAAAACTTTCATGTTCTCTGCATAAAAGCTATGTCCGTGTCCTCGTGTCCCAAAGGAGGAAGGAAAAGGAACGAGGACCTTAATACACTTTATATTGACTGCGGCGAATACCTCCTGGATGGAATTCCTGCTGTGCTGGTTGACACGTCAATTTTTCGGCTGCGGTGTATCGTACATTGCTTATCGAATCTCGGTGTGATTGCTGTATGTGCTTCTCTATACGTGCTTTACGTGCCGTTAAATATATGTCATTTCAATTGGATAAGTTTTAAAATAATTGAAATCTCGTTGAGGGAATCGCTCTTGTTTAGATGTTGATGTTGCAATCCAAACAACGAAAATACTGCAAACAATAAAGTGTCATTATTATATCGACCAAATCATCTCTGGTGTCACACAATTTTGGCAGAGTGATGGTGATGGTATGCATGTACAAATATACATAAATGCATAGATTGCTTTGCATGATACAATTAATTTACAAGTCTAATTTGACACGAATATCAATAAGCTTGTATTTAATGAGTGAATGGAATCCTGACTCGAGCTTTAATTCTATTATTCTTCGGGATGAAATGGAATTATATTGCAGTAATAATAATGCCCTGATATCTCTGCGTGATGATGATGGTGGCAATTCTCGACTAAAGTAGATAGTTATATACTCAGTCACAAATCAAGCTGAATTATTATACGGGTATCTGCACTTGTACATTTATTACTTCATTTTACGAGCTTTATTAATGGCCTTCTTCTTACACTGGAGGTAGAGCCACAGCCAATAACTAATCAACCAATCAATTTCAGCCTGTCTCAATTCCACATGCTGAGATGTCATTCAACCAAAGATTAGCAAAATCCATGACCTCGAGGGAACTTATGTAATGCTTGACGGACGACTAAAATAAAATATCAAACCCACGGTTTTTGTGATATAGACGTCTTTTTTACGCGCATTGTACCCCAGAGCTACACACAACATCACATCAAACGATAGACCTCAATGACCTGGCATAAATAATAAAATAACTGCATCAGTCGTGTCTGTCAGAAACACAGATCGAAATTTCATTCAGCTCATGATTTCGGTTTTATTGGTCAATATACTTGAGTATTATTGGATTGGTATCAACTCACACATGAAGATACGCCGACGACGACGACGAGAAATGAGTGCAACTGAATAAAGAGAGACTTGTTCCTTTGTGGCCGGAGAACATAATATTCGGCTTGTCCTGTCTCCCACCATGTACACGAGATGAAGCTTCCCACTACTCTCCATCTTCTCCAGAAGCAAATAAGTGGTCCTTCAAATATCCGCATTATTATTACACTCGGGATTTGAATGAATACTTTTACCAAGCACAATGAGAGAGTGAGTGCGTGAGTGATATATATACTACTCAATCCACAACTTTCCCCATTCATGTGACACAACAATGGCTTTGATATACGGCATATTTTATTATTAACGTAACACAACAAATCAATGGTACCTACGTTATCATCAACTAATGCAATATGTTATGGATCGCTTCTTCACACCTCAAAGCTGAAATTACACCGTCTCATATATTTCATTTTTTGAGAATTAGCCCTTTTACTAAGAAAAAATATTGTTTTTTAAAACAAAAATTACTAAACAATTTAAAATCATTGTTGTCGAAACATAGCTCAAGAGACAAATTGTAATCGTATGCATATCAAAATACAAGGATGGTGACCCATGATGATGAGGATCATGATACGGTTCAGTTCGGTTCAATGGTCACATCAACGGCGGCGGAGGGGAAAGTCCAGGTATCGGAATCGATAAGAGTTGGATCATAATAATAATAATAATAATGTGTTGTATGAGATGTGACATAAGTGTTCCGCCCTGAAGTTGAGTTTTTGAAATGATTCTGCGATGACTCCAATAAGCGTGAGATGTGGATTTGAAGGATGAGGAGGACTTTGCTGCTGCTTTCTCCTCCAGCCTTCTCGACAACGGTTCTCGATGATGATGATAATGATAAGAGAGCAGCCCGGTCCCATTGTACGTCCGGGATGGAGAGAGAGAGAGAGACGGGTGATGTTGAATTGAGATTTAGAGCCATATGATTCGATCGGCCTGGCGTTTAATTTGAGTCAATGTAAGGCGACGAATGTAAATGACAGGTCCTATTAAAATTGGATCGGGGAAGCAGTGATGTGGTCTGAGCCTTGAAATAGGTTTTCTCTTATTCAACCCCTCCACCATCCATCGAGAGAGGCAGCAGCAGCAGAAGCTTCCGTCCCGGACCAAGCAGTGGAACATCCAGCAAATCCGATATAAAAACTCTCTCCGGCCAACAAGCCCTTCTTCTCTGCCCAGTCAGTCATGATTCTCGGATTCCGATTTTGAGCAGCGTAATCTTGGTTGGCTTTTCGGCATGAAGATGTGAGGTTTCTCTCACATTTCTATTCTTTTTTAATCCAAATGTCTCATGGCATATTGATATGAATCATTAATCTTTGAATAGGTTGCCGAGTTGATGTGGATCTAAATACATAAATAAGTATCCCACGATCGAAAAAGAAAAGTTCTCATGCTGAAAGAAATTGTGTTATAAGCTTCCTGGCTTTACAAAGGAAACGATCTGCGATTAACATCAATAAGTGATTTTGAAGAGTTGTGAAAATTCTATTTACCATCAAGAGAAAATAAATTTGTTTTTTATTTGTTGCTCAACCGGATATCGTAACTAGATAAAATAATTTTGTTTTGTTATAATATATTGGAACCACACAATAAAATAAGTATACTCTTCAGTTTCAAATAGGTAATGTATATAGTTGATTTGGTTTTGGTAACTACTTTTTGAAAATACTTATGTTAATCTATTTTAAAAGTTTTTTGGATGATTGCGAGCTTTGAACTTCTTATTCATCAGTAGGCGGAAGAAGAAGACCCCATTTGGTGGGCTCAATCCAGTCGCGAATAATGGTATCCACCATATCATTCAATGTATTCTTTAGGGCGTCCCAATCTCTATATGATTTTGTATAAAAGAACAGGTTGTAATCTTTAAACAATTATAATAAGCATGATTTATGAAGGAAAGAGTATTTACCGGTGTCGAGCCTCGCCACACAACTCGGTATAGTATTTTATCTTCGGCTCAGTCCCGCTGGTGCGCAAAGTTGCCACAAGCCCATTATCAAAATAAAACGTTATCATTTGAGATCCTTTCGATGTCGGAAGTGTTGCCTCCTGATTCTTTTCACCAGAGTCGAAGCCTGTGGTTAGATCTCTCACTCTTGTAATTTTGTACTTCCCATTGGCTAGTTGGGTCGGGTACTGTATTAAAAATATATCAAAAATAATATCAATCAATGACTAACTTCATCATCTTTCCATCCTAAAACTTACGCCGCCGTTCTCCATTGAGCGAAGACCATCAAAGAGGCTCACAATGACTTGCGGCTCATGACAAAGAAAGTAACCGTTACGGGTCGTGTGAAATCCGTATCTAAGAATTTAGAATAACAATTGTCAATTTGTCTAGTATGAGCAAAGTAAAATTAAAAGGTTAATAACTACTTGGATTACTTTTCGTAAATTTTAATAAGTTGTTGGTTAAGTGTTAATCCATCTTTCTCAAGTTGTACGGCCATTTCAGCCACACGGAGACCAGCACTGATTCCGTCCTTGTCCAAAACGGTCGTTCCCACCATGAAGCCAATTGCCTCTTCAAATGCAAACAGAAGATGTCTACCGACCAATTTCAAATCATATGCAAGATTTCCCATCCACTTAAATCCAGTCAACGTTTCCTATTCAATTGAAATAGTTTTTAAAAAGCATATACAACTTTAGGTAAAAAGAATAATAACAAAGAACAAGACTTACATCGCACATAAATCCCTCGATATCTGACATTCTCGTCAAAATTTTCGAAGAAACAGTACTTGCAATCATATACACGAATCTCAAGTCTGTTCCATTCTTACTCTTCCAGTTTTCCAAGCACCACCATCCCAATAGTGCACCAATTTCATTGCCATTAAAGATTTTCCATTCTCCGCTAAAGTAATGCATGGGTTAGGTTAACATAGATAATGAAAACATGAAATTTAAATTAAAAATTAAAAAGAATCAAATTGCGGAACTTACCTTGGCAATTTTTCGGCAACTGCTAGCCGATCAGCGTCAGGATCATTGGCCAGAATTAATGTACATCCCTCCCTGTTAGCTGTCTGAATTGACAAGTTCAATGCACTTTTTCCCTCTTCAGGGTTTGGAAAACGTACTGTAGGAAAATCGGGGTCAGGTTGGGCTTGCTCATTCACAGGATAAAATGGCTACAAGTAATTCAAATTTTATTAGTACATCATTCGTAATAATAGAAAAAATCGCGAGTCCAACGACTCGCGATTATTAAAACTTACTTTCAATCCTGCTAACTGGAAAGCATGCTGCATGTAGTGTAAACCGACACCATGCATTGGAGTGTAAGCAATCTTCAAATTACTAAGTTCGTTCTTAAGGCGATTACACCCAAATTCCTTGCCAATGATATCTCCATAATAGCCATCAAAAACAGGACCGTAAGGATCAAGAATGGCTTGGCTCCCCAAGAGACTATCTGCGTCTACATCCCACACACCCTCCCATGGTTTAAGATTTTCTAAAATCTTTGCTTGGATTCCTTTGTCATGAGGAGAGATGATCTACAACAGCAATACACCATGTACATTTTAAAATCATCTTTTAACTAACGATGAATAACTTAGGACAGTAGTATAAACTTACCTGCGCACCATTCTCCCAGTAAACTTTGTATCCATTATCGTCCTTCGGATTGTGGGATGCTGTAAATAATAATAGTAATAATTTTATTTTATGTTTGAGTCAGCTATCCTTCATATCTGGGAATGCATGTCAATGAACTTAATCTTTGAGTTCGTTGACTTGACTTTCTTCGAGGGTCAAATTGGCAAACTCTCATCTCATTTTCATAGCAGACACAGATACACAGAATGTATAATATCATTGCGTTTTTTTGGTTAAATTAAAATTAGTCTAATTTAAATACCTGTCACCATAATTCCAGCACAACACTTAAACAGTGTCACTGCATACGGCACCCAAGGAGTGGGACAAATTTTAGGGTACAGATAGACCAAAGTACCATGTTTTGCAAAAACATTTGCAGCTAATGTTGCGAATCTAAAAAAAATCACAATTTAAACACTATTATATAATCAAACAAGCTATGTATATTCATCAATGCTATTACAACTAATTGTATTTTTATACCTCAATGAACCGTGGCGAGCATCGTAGCCAATAACAACTCCTCGTGTAAGCAAATCTTCCTCCTTAAATTGTGTTTGCAAATATTTAAGAAAACCTTGAGTTGTTTGAATTATCACGAGATCGTTCATCGCATTAAATCCGGCCCCCATCACTCCACGCAGTCCAGCAGTTCCAAACTGGAGCCGAGTTTCCAATACTTTAGACAACGAGTCTGTACTTTTGCAATCAATCAGTTTCCTCAAGCTTTTAAGAGTCTGAGGATTCTGCAAAAGAAAGCAAAACAAGAATGCATAAAATTATTTTTTAAATGCACTTCTGTAGACATTGACCAGTTCTGCATGGCTTCATAAATAGCATTCGCTAAGTACGCGTGATAATCAGTGAACTAAAACTTCCAATATGATTCCAAGCTCTAATAAAAAACGGAGATACAAAAAACAATCTATTTTTGGGTAACCTAACCAGCTGACAGTCAAATTGCTCCTAAGACCAAGACAGAATTTAAATGCTTTGCTCTTTCTTTATTGACCTCCATGATTGACAAGGCAGAGTTAAAAAAATAGTAGTATCGATAAAGTCATGAAGTAAGCAATGATCGTTATTATCTCTCTGACCCCAAATCGCAAGGTTCTGCAAATCTTTTGGAATTGCATAGCATCAGCATACTTAATTTACTTCATATCTCCATCCATTCATTAAATGAAAGTAAATGCCTATGTTGCATGTGCCCTATGGAATACATACATATATGTATTCTGCTTACTACTCTTCCAGAACAGAATGAAACTGAATACAATCCTAATTTTTATCTCGTGTAGGATAAACCCCAATGCACTTGGACACACCGACTGGAAAAGTGCCAAAGTTTGCATTTTACTCTGTAAACAAAAGGAAGAATTGCAATCGCCAAAACTCATCGCTTCACATTCTCATCCAATGCCAAACAATTCAATGTCAGACTTTGACAGTTCTCTTCACACAAAATGTATTACATTCTCATGAACTTCCACACACTGCACAAAACCACCTGTCTCTCGTTTATTACGCATCCAATATAGCTCAATAAATAACCGGACTTCTTGAAGAAGTCTCCAAACTAAAAATGTTTCATGTCGGCAAATAATGAGCTTCTTTCTGTCACCTTTATAAGTCACAAAATAAGCTCACCATAATAATTACCACTTGTTTCACACCATTGACCACCCCTCCATTCCCGACCCTATCTCCATAGTAACCTTGATTAGCAAAATATCGAAATAAATCGCAAAACTCACCTTGTCCCAGGCCATGTATTCCTGCACTCGCTGCGCCAAAAGGGGCTTATCTTGCAAAAAGTCTAGCTGGAAAGCCTCTCCATTCTCATCGCAATTTGCAGAATTCTTCGGACCTCCTCCATAATTGGCATGTTCGCTCAAGACTTTGTACAATTTCTCTTCTTCCGGGAATCGAACAGCCATTTTGACCTTAGCGTCGCCGAGTGGGTGGAACGAATGGAGAGAAAAAGGAAACTAATTCCAGACTTGGCGAAGAAAAGAGGGCGAAAACTGGTCGAAATGGTCGCAGGGTGCGAGTGAGAGGAAGCAGGTGGGAATAAAATCGATCGAGAAACCGCACACGTCCGTCTTCCTCCGTCGCTGAGCTCAGTCTGCAGGCAGCAGGCGAAGAGGAGGAGAGCCACTCAATCCTTTGAATCACCGTTGATGCAGCGGTGCAGCCTTTAGCTCAACTAGTTCCACACATACGCACTCACGTAATATTGCATGAATCCACCTTAATTTTGACCGAACTACGGGCAAATCAGTGGACTTGACAACGACCTTGGTCCAGGCGTCTTTTTGGCCAGAATGAGAAAATGCCAAGTTTTTGTGTGTTCTCGAAATTTCTGGAATTGAAGGGTCATTGACTTTGTCCGTTTTCTTTGCTCACAACGAAGTCGTCATAATTTTTCAGGATAGTTTGGGATAAGGTATAAGGAATATAAGGATGTTTTTTAAAGTTGATATCGATATTTGTGAATTTCTCTGATGAATTGATAATAATTTCGACCGTTTTTAGTAAGGTAAATGTGGTTTTACTTTGCATGTAAGGAAATAAAGATTTTAATTCTTTGACCTGTTTTGTTTCTTGAGAATTAAACATGTACATAAGAAGGTAGTGGTGCGAGGTTTTGTTTATAGGAAAATAATTCCGATGAAATTTATTTGGCCGGGTAATATTTTTATTTGGTGCACATTTAGTATCCGCATTCATGTAGGGATATTATTGTCATGAATTTGGTGTACGTGACCAACTTCCAACAACAAAACGGAATGTTTGGATATCGTGGAATTATAGTTTAAAAACGGACAAATTAAGGACAGGACAGGATAGTTATGGTTTTGGGCTTTTTAGTTCAAGATTTAAATAAGTAATGCCTGAATGGGGACGCATTTACTTAATTAAATTATTCTATCTCAACCATGGAATTTGTTTCGTGCTACCAATTAATCTACTATGCATCGATTTTGTCCCAGTTTGTTCAATTTATCGATTACAGGATTTGTTCCAGCCAAAAGACGATGAAAGCCAAACCAGCCAAAATGCATATGTCATTATGTCATTTTATTGCATTTTTGTTATACATATGTACATAGATTCTTTCCCTGTGAGCAGTCTACACAATATTTCACATTCAGTCATAACAAATGTTTAGCACAAACGTAATAATGGCACGACATGCCAATATATAAAGAATTCAGAGAACCCATAAAAATAAAGAGTTTGGTCAACTATGTACTTTCGATAGAGTTGTTGTCATTCATGCAGAATTTCGCGTGTTGCTAATATCCATTTGTCACATATTGCTCGCTTTAGGAAATGAATTTCTGTCCGGTAAGTACGTAATATGTTGATATTGTAATCATTTCAACGCACTTTGTCGTTTTCAAAGAGATTTTATGTTCTGCATTGCTGCGTAGATATTTAGACCAATATTATGATATTGCGAATGGAATATGTACATATGTATGCACACCACTTAAAAAGCACATCAACATTTGTACTTGAGAGGTGAAGGTTGCACAATGATGTATTCATTCATTAATCAGTAGTGTTAGTAATCGAATAATCGATACATAAAAATGTTTCATATATACTTCTATTTGTATTCAGGGTGATCTTTAATATAGAAGTGAGACCTAAGATTACATGCTTGAAAATAGTTTTGTTATTGAAAGAGTTACATTAACTCTAATTTTCTAAACCAATTATCTAAATTCATAATTATAACGTTGCGAACAAGTTGTTCACAACACGAGACATTTCCGAATTGTGAGAAACTTGTTGCAAAAATCTGTATAAACGTATATATACAAAGCCCTTAGGTGTGATTTTAAAGGCTGACGCCAAGTCAATCTGAAAATAAATTACCTATTCACAAAGCGCTTAGATTAACAAAATTAAGATATGCGATAATATTCATGACCCCAAAAATTGTTATATATATTATACGAGTTAGTAACTCATTAAAGGATCAAATCCAGAAAATGTCATGGCCTGTAACAATAAACAGTGTATCGTTTCCACATGTATTTTAATAATATAACACATAACATTTGATGTTATTAAAATATTACAGATGTCCCGTAGACCTATTTATCACTGAAATTGAAGCATATATCAACTTTAAAGAAGTCAGGATTAGCAAGATACGTAGTAAATATGCCAGTGGTTTTAAGAGTATTTTATTAATCTCCCCAGTCCAGATGAACCGAGATGTGGCAATGATACAATGGGTGTCAGTGTCAAAATGTCTTTGGGATTAAATGTATTAATAATATGTTGCTTCTGCTGTGAACTATGACATCAAATCGTTGAATTACATATACTTTTATTAAATAATCGCATTTTAAAACAAGTAAATATGGATATATCTGCTTGGTTGAAAGCTTTAATAATCGCATAATACCTATGCGATATAGGTAGTATGCTTGAGTAAGAAAAATCATATTACGTAGATTATGATACTGCAACAAATACATCATCTCATGCATTTAACGCCCGTGACATTGGAAATAGGTAATTTTATCAATGCAACCTTTATAGATAAACTTTTGATCTGACTTTGATGACAGACAAACAAATCTGTTCAAAGGGGTGTGTCTCACTCCAAAAATCGGTAGTAGTCGGCGGTCAAAAAGGTCAAACTTATCATGAACGGACATAGTTGACACGTCTCATGAATTACAATTCGAATTCATAACACACTCTTCCACTACTCATTCCTTTATATTTTTCAGGTTTTGTTTGTGACTCTGCACTCTCATTTTGTACTCGTGTAATAATATCAGCATAAAAGGACCAGACTTTAATAATTTTAATGCGAATCATCATAATGCTTGTAAGCACACACGTAAAAAATGAAATTGCCGACTACTGAAATTCCACGCTATATTCAGCCTCAGCAACTTTTTCGACAAGTTGCACACATATCTCTAAACACTGAAAAGTGACATTGGATATACGTTATATCATACATAAATATACCCTCTTGTTGCTGATAAAGTAGATCACGCACAATATTTCCAGGCCACCACCAGTGAACGCGATGCCATCATTACACACACTAAATTAATATGAGGTCGACATGATTGCATGCTATGGACTTTATGTGGAGGAGATACCGAATGAATCCATGTTTTTTCACCGGTTTAATAATCCATCATCATCATTACGTGTGTCGCGGCTTATGCAAAACTTAACCTCAGAGAGATTAATTAATTTACCATCTGCAGAAACATCTAGAAAAAAGAGCAGTCCAATTACTATTGGGATTATCCATCTCTCTTCTCCATAATGCATGGCATGCACTTCCATCATCTTCTTTCTCGGATGTCCTGTCCAACATTGTCCCAACTTTATTGTTCCACGCTACGTAGAGAAAATGAGAAACATGTCACCATCCAATAATACAATACCCACACCCACCCACCCGAAAGCCTGCCCGATCATAAAAAAGATGTCTTTTTCATCCCACCATGTCGCTCTAGCTAATAAGACTAAATCGAATCTTTTTATCTTTTCTATTATTCCAGCGAATTGGATTCTCTGACTGGAGATGAAGCAGCAAAGACAATAAAACCTTGAACTGGATGGAAGGAGACGAGTCAGAGATTGAACACCAAGAGACTAACCCAAACTAGGATATAATTTCTTGTGAGAAAGACGAGAAGAATGTCAGGCACTTGTTGTCCTTCTTTCGACGACGATGATAAAATGAAGTGAAGGTTTTCGATTACACGAATGAAACGGGAGGAATTGTGAGACGGCGAGAGAGAAATGAGAATGAGACGAATTATTAGAGACCACATCACCATCCTCGAAAACACCACAAACCCACATCAAAAACATCAGACTCACTCTCTTTCTCTCGAATAATAACAACTTGCCACTGTTCCAATTTAACTATTATTATTACTACCCATTAGTTAGTTAGTTAAATTCATGATGATGATCATGATCACACGTAGGAAGAATAAAATTCTCTCTTAATTCATTTATCATTCAGTAGCGCTCGCCCGAGAACAGAACATTTGTTCAGTGGTAAATAAAAGTAAATAGGACGTCATCATTATCATCATGCACAACTGAGTGCATAAATAACAACAAAATATGAGTCAATTTGACGACGTGGTCAATCCCTCTTGAACAAGCTGCTGCCATCCACAATGAAGAAAAATATTGATAAGGACAACGGATAAGGGAAGAATAGAATAGAATAGGTGGTAGAGTTTGTTATTGAGAGAGTCGTAGTTAGTTAGTTGTTGGAGGACTCAGTTTAATAAAATAGTTTAGCGAGAGCAGTAATATTTGATTGTGACTTTATTTATAAAATTATAAATTAAATTGGAACACACATATCCATTCGTCGTATAAAAAGGTTATGTTGAATAAGAACTGGAGGTATGTGTACTTTATGAAATTTATTTGTATTTTTACTTCATATGTGAATAAGCAATTAATTTTTATGTTTGTTACTTTATTGTCAACAGTTTAAAACAATACTGGTGATAAATAGTCAACTTCATCCATCATCACCAAAGTTCAGTCAGCAATCAATTTTCTACCACTACAAAGCTAGATTAATACGTCGTCGCCATATCCAAGTCAAATTGCCATTAAGGAGAGGAACGTCATATCAGAAAAATCACTTATTAAGATTATTAGTGTTCGACATTCATCTTGTTATTGATAGTATAAATCTGCCACTGATCCTCATGAAGACGAATGGGTAGGGGTTGGGAAAATTTACGGCTAAGGAGTAGGAGATAAGCAAAGTACCTTAGAAATATAATTAGTGCTTCTGAGAGAAGAATTGGTGTCAGCAATGGCCGGGATTATTAAGAACCAAATCCTTAAACACCTGTCCAGGTAGGAATTGAATTTATTATCGATAGATATGTATTGATGAATGATTATATGATATCTAAATTAATTTAACTTTAACTTGTCTCAGGTATGTCAAGAAGTTGTCATCGGATCGTATAAACGTGAGCACCCTGAAGGGGGAGGGGGAGCTGACGGACTTGGAACTGGACGAAGAAGTTTTGACCGAATTGCTGGCTTTGCCCATTTGGATGAAGATAAAGAAGGCACATTGTAATCGTGCTCGGCTCATGATTCAATGGACAAAGTTGAAAAGCATTCCGATTCGTTTGGTAATTTATATTTGAAACTAATTGAAATCAGTGGCTTTTGGTGGGTGTTTTATAGTATTGTCTGTGCAGATATTGGACACAATCGAGATACAAATTGAAGCGTGTGAAGAGCTGCGACCAGTTGTGACTGCACAAACATCCCATCTGACCTTGCCTACAGCGGGGAAGTACGGCTTTGTAAATAAAGTTGTGGATGGAATAACGGTGACCGTGGAGGCCGTTGAAATTCGTTTCTTTAGTAAAGCATTTGAATCGAAAGTGCAGGTACATGAATTGATGAATAGTATATTATTCCATAAGAATTTAGTCCACATTTGATAATAATTTGACTTTTTATGAAAACAGATCTCTCGTATTCGCGTCGAATCGAAGTCTCCTCAATGGAAGAAAGTGGAACTACCTCATACTCGATTGAAAGACTTGGAAAAGGGGGAACTGTTAATATTTAAAGAAATTGAATGGCAAACGTTAAGACTGGAAGCCCAGTCGACAAAAGAGAAGCATTTGGCACCTCTAAGACTTTTAGCAAATCAGACAAAAGCTCGGGTTGTGATCAAGAAGAAACTTAGTGGTCAGAAATTGTTTATTTCTCTAAATTTATATCTTACGTCGGCCAGTCTTGACTCATTTTCTTCTTTGTTTTAGATTGTGCTGTTATTGGCTGTCGACTAACACTAATTCTGGATGATCTCCTCTGGGTTCTCACTGACTCCCAAATATTAGCTGCTGCACATTTCATGAGGTTTGAACCAGCTTTTATAAAGCAAGTTTTATTCTTTACTAAATTGTTAAATGTTTTTGGTCCTCTAAAAATTTAGCTCTTTGTCTGGACTGGTTAAACAAGCAACGGAGATGGTGCAAGCTGTGAAAGCAGCAAGAAAACTGGAGGTTGGTGTTGTTCAAATTTATTGTATTTAAATCCAATTATATGACCTTCTTGCATTTTTGTATTTTGTATTCTTACATTCTAAATTTAGAGTTTAAACGAATATCGAGCTCAAGAGTTCCATGCTGCGTCTGCACAAAATCGTACGCCACATTCTGAAGCTTCCAGAATTTTCGATGCATTCGATGTGAAAGAGACATCTTATCATTTAATTTGTGAAAAAATCGATTTGCATTTTTGTGACGATCCTGGAGGTAATCATAAATATTATTATTAAGCTTAACTTTGGTATATACGTTAGTTTATCAACATCACCGTTTTGATCAGGTGGAAGGTCTAATCATCCAGATTTGGTCGATGGGGGCGCAGGACAAGTGCAATTAACCCAGGTATGCTCTCCAGAGGTTTGTTTATTGAAGCGTTCTTATCCTTAAGATCATGTCATGACTTCTTTTGTTTTACAGTTCATTGTAGACTTTTATCCATATCACTTGGCGAAAGCTGAGCGAAAACACTGGTTTAAATATGCCGACAACGATCTAAACCATTGGCTTAAACAAGCATTAACGTCATTCCATGCTCAAATGATGGACTTATTTCCAAGATCGACGGGTGGATCGAACTTAAGTAGTCCGATGGAGGGGGAAAATATTTCCTCTCCACGAAAATATTCCTCCGCAAACTCTGACATAGTGAGCTCCCGGCTGAGTGAGCAAATGTCGAAACTTATGAGTACCTGTCTTGTTGTGAAGATCAGAGATATTTGTATGTACAAGGTCACCACTTCGTCCAAGGAAACTCCCACACCATTCATATCTAGTGCGTGATCGATAGTTTTGTCAATTTAATACCACTTGGATTTCTCTATATACTCAAATTAAATGTATGTTAACAGGTTACTTAGAGCGGCCAAAGGATATTTCTGCAGTAAATATGGAATTCACGTGGTTTTACAATCCTGGTGGTATTAGTTTTCCATGTGAGTCGACTGTTTTGAATATTTTGAAAATGGCAAATTGTTGATAGCGTTTAAATAATGGGTTAATTCTGTTTATACAGGTCCTAGTCCAAAATTTTATACGCAAGTCAACCCTCTTCAAATTCATTTGGATGTTTGCACCATCCTGTGGTTAAACAGTTTTGTAACAAATATACAATCTTCCATTCCACAACTCAATGCTCAACAAGATGGAGAAAATGGAGACTATATGGATGTTAGACTTGAACTTATCATGCCCAAAGTGCGTATACATAAATAATTTAATATCTATATTCTTTTGGGAGTGGAATAGTTTTAAGCAATGTTTCATAAAATTATTTATTAGGTGGTGTTTGAAGAGAAAATTCGCTATCATTCATACAAAGAAAGGCCAACGGCTCTTCAAATCCAAGCTTCTCGTATTATAGTGTCCAACTACCGATCTAGTGAGACGGGAACACGAAGTCAGCTTGCCACAGCCATTGTTGAAATTGAAAAACACTTTGGTCTGTCAGATAATGGAGTTTCACAAATCCCATCTAAACTACTTTTGCACTCGAAAGGTTATTAGAATTGAAACATTATGTACTTCTTCAAAACAAGTGCCACATTTTAATGTAATAATATAACACAGGGATGGATAAAGTTCGAGAAGGTCGAAGGTCAAGTTCCCATGATGGCATTCACCTTACTACCGACATGTTGTGGACAGAATCCAGAGATGTTTGGTGTATCACCGTCGACACTGTATGGGCTGATTTTTGTGTCGAGCCCAAATTCAAACCAGAATTTGATAATGGAGGAGGCGAACAGAAGAGAAAATTTAGGACATCTACTACAACTTCTCAATCTGATTCGTCTCTGCTTCCATTCGTAGATTCGCTCCCCCTCTCACTTTGGTTGTATTCCGAAGAAGAGCTTATTGATCCGGAGTTCTCTTTGGGGACACGTAAAGATGTTAAAGCAATACTTCGTACCGATGGAATGTGCAATATCCAGCTAACACATCAACAGTACCTGTTCCTGTTGCGAGCTGCTGAAGCAATATCTGAAATATCGTTATTCCTTACGATCGACACGAGAAAGACTTATATCGTGCCGCGAAGGGATGACTCTGTTCACCTAATCGGTTGCCTTCCCCGCCTTGAAATATCCTTCATTTTGCCATGTACGGAAAACTCTGATATCCAAAGAGAAAATTCTTCCCTGGACGATATTGGCCCTTCTCCTGTTCCAGATCCACTCTCATCTCATAACACACACCGATTACTGTAAGTAAAATGCAACATAATCAATAATTAATTATTGATGTGTAATTCATAAGGAATTCTATTTTCTAAAGGCAAGAGCAAGTTTCAAATTGGAATTCTTCTGAAGAAAAACTACGTACACCTCGGGTGCCAGATACTGGCGGTGGTCAATTTACACCAGATTCACCAGAAAAGTTTTACAGCGACTTTGCACCGGTTAGGTCACCGTCAGTAGCTCCCGTGGATTCCATAAAATCTACGTTTGCTCAGGGAATGAAGCAAGGTCTGTCAAATATAGTTGTGTCATTTACCAAAGCGGGTGGCCAATCCACCCCGGACAGCGAAGTGACGTCCTTGTGGTCCACCGATTCCTCGGAGAACAATTTTATCACTTTGGATCCAGACCAGGACTTGTCCCCGTTTCCGCAAGATGAACCTGAAGAAGCTGTAGAAGTGGCAGAAGAAGTGATTGAAGATAACAGTCAGTCAACTGGTTCTTTCTCCATTCACAATCCTTACGGAAAGGAAGACACTATTGAAGTATGACCTAACTCGACCCTTCTGTAATTAATAGAGAAATATTTTTATATTCATTATTTATCTGTTTATTCGTATTTAGATAAATGTTCTGACCATCTCTCTGAACGGTCTACTCATTCGTCAACAATCTGAAGGTTTGTCGAGTAGTATTTCGCTTTTATGCAAGACTCTGTTGATTGATGAATGTGGTCAAATTCCCTGGAAAGATTTTCAGGTAACTTAATTATCCAACATTTCTTCTTTAACATAAACGTATTTAGTCGGTGATATTCGAGATATGTATGTCTATGTATATTCCTATATTTAGACATTATTCGCAACTCGAGGCAAGAAATGGCGAACTGGCAGCGATCGAAAAGCCCTAATGACTGAACCTAATAATGCAATAATTTTAAATTTTACGCAACGCATTGATGATATAACTTTTAAGAATTGTTTAACTTCGGACGAAATGATTGACGCGCTGAAGCAAGTAAAAACTTCCAAATGTCCCCGAGTAAACTTGATTGATCGACCAGGACCAGAATCACCAATTCGCAAAGGCATGACCATGTCCACCCATCCTCACATCACGGCTAGCATAGACTTGTGCGATGGAAAGGCAAACGAAGGACAGTTCATAACACTTCACAGCAGTATTCTTAAGTCTGCAGGGGATTTTTTTGAAGATGAACTACCACCAACGATTCTACCGATGAAGGTAAGTAATTATAGGAATGAAACACAATTTTTAATACTGAACGGTTTCACACACTTAATTTTCTCTTAGATTTCCGTTGTTGGAGCAAATATAGAAATTTTGGAGGACAACAAAGGTCCAAACTTTCCTGCAACTAGGCTACGCCTGCAAGATTCTATAGTAGTTACGAGGAATGAGGACGGAATGTTTAGTTTGGGGTGTCCTTGGTAAATAATTTTTTCAGATAAAACTAATTTTTAATTAACCTTACATAACTTTATCACGTTCGATTTATTTCCAGCGAGAAACCCAAACGGCAAATTAAAACAAAAATTTGCAATGGTCGAGACGTAACTGTGGCTGGAATGGAAGACATGATAACTGATTTCAAACAACAAATCATGCAGTTGCGACAACAAGTTTTAGAGTTAGAAAAAGATAAGTCTACACTTGCAAACCAACTCGAACAGTTACAGAACAGCAAGACTTGAGATACATAAATATAATTTCCTATCATCCGCAGCTGATGAGAAATTGCATGCAATCAATATACCTTGTTTATAATGTGATACGAACATAACTTATTCTACTAGAAATATAAGACTTTGTTACAAGCTTAAACCCAAAGTATGTGTGATACAAAATGTGCGAAAGTCGAAAGTTTCAATAAAACAAATTAAATGAAAGTATACAATAAGTGAACATGTATACAAATGTTCTTTATCCATATACATAGTTGTACCTCAAACTTATATAAGGTCAACAACAGCATTTTGCAAAAAATAATGCATACACGTGCCTGTCTGGTAGTGTTTGGTGTCACAAAAAGATGATGAAACAAAGACTGCAAGTCATATGCCAAATCAACCACATTTTAACATTGCACATAATCCACAAAAAATAGGCCCTGAATTCTACTTGTTGAGAAAACTGGAAAATCTGCTTGTCCACCGTAATCCCATTCATGTCGCTTCACTTGATCGCATGCAGAAGGTGTTGCTTAGTTTAATCAAAACTTATTTTGTACAGGATAAAAAAATTAATCCTTCCATTTTTTTACCACTTCTCTCCAATAAAATTTAGCCTTCGAATCAATTGAGGATACATGAATTATGAGCACGGAATCTCGGGAAGAAATAGCTGTCAATTTCTCATATCTTGTCCATGTTTCAATATGTTCAATATAATAATAGGTAGCTTCACATGTAACTGTTGCAACTTAACTACAGACCTTGGCTAGTCCACCACAGTGGACTAGCCAAAATTGCATTCAGTTTTAATTTCACCATGAAAATGGAACATTGTAAAATATTTTTGTCCCTTGTGATACTAAATGCATGTGTATCCCAGAACAAAAATTTGGTCTTGGGCAGTCACATTCTCTTTCTGCACACTTGGTACAAATACGTAATATTATTTTAGGTTCAATTTACAAAATTTTGTTTCTGATTTCATTTAAATCTTAAATACTTGACTTTCTAGCACAAGCTATTCCCACCGCGTAAGTTCATGGCCATTCATCGAAGCCCTGATCGCAAAAGGTCATCAGGTCACGTTCATAGGTCCCTACGAGGCTAAAATACCGAATAAAAATGTGACCGATATTGTCCCGAAACGTCTCAACGCCCTGCTCAATGAACTCATCAGCTCAAACTTTGACGTCACTCACCGAGCTTATGGTCTCACCCCTAAATTTGTGATGGTCTACGACTACATGTGCTACACGGCTTGTAGCGAAATGCTGCAAAGTGAAGAGATCCAGAGTTGGCTGAAGTCTGAGCCACAAATTGATCTAATTTATTCAGACACAGTCACAGAGTGCTCGTACGGATTGGCTACTAAATTTAAGGCCAAACACGGTCTTATCTTGCCTGTTACTTTCCTTTCAAAGTATTTTGATGCTTATGGTGTTCCATTGGAAACATCGACAATTCCAGATTGGGATGTCACCTACAAACCTCCGTTGTCATTTTTGGGACGAGCGACAGGGGTCATAATACCGTTAGTGTGGCGTCTGAGCCAGATTCTGTACTATCCATGGTACAAAACCCTCTTTGAGAAATATCTAGGCTTGGATAATATCTCATCTTTGGACGATTTTCAAGCAAACACGAGTCTAGTTTTAATCAATGGGGATTTCATTGAAGATTATCCCAGATCACTTCCTCCCAATGTGGTCAAAGTGCCTGGACTCCATGTGAAAGCTAGGAATGGGTTGAATAATAAACCTGTGAACAAGGTGAATACTTAAATTGCGGAATTTTGCAATGTTTCTCTGTAATTTTCTTATAATTATGTATGCATTATTAGGAACTGGAAGCATTCATATCCACCAAAGTGAATGGAACCCCAAGTCAAGGATTCTTTTATATTAGTTTCGGAACCGTTGCGAAAGGACCTAATTTGCCACTCGAAATTAGAAACAAGATTTTTAAAACTATCGAATCCTTTCCAAAATTGCGATTTATTTGGAGATGGGATGGACCTAATCCTGATGATTATCCGAAAAACTTACTATTCCAAAAGTGGGTCGAGCAGGAAGACTTGTTGGGTGGGTATATGCACATAATAAATTTTGGAGCAATACCAATACTTATTTTGAGCTTGACTTTTTACACCATTCTTACCAGGCCATCCCAAAATTAAGGGTTTCATTACACAAGCTGGACGTCCAAGTATGATGGAAGCTTTTTATAACGGTGTTCCAACAATTACGTTTCCAATACTTGGAGGTAAATAATTTGAATTAAAGCTCTATGCATGCAAAGATATACAAATTCACTGTAAATTTTCAGATCAAGATTTTAATGCCCATCGATTCGAAACGCTTGGCATTTCTATCAATTTGGAGATCGGGGATTTCACGCAGGAAGATCTCACAGCTGCAATTTCCAAGCTTGTCCAAGATACCAGGTAAAACTAATAATCATTTAATATTAATTAAAATTCCATATGCAAACTTTTTCCCATTATTCCTATTGTCCCACAGATATGCTAACAAGGCCAAAAATTTAGCTGACTTTGCAAAGGACACTCAGTTTTCTCCCATCGATACAGCAATTTGGTGGACAGAATTTATATTGAGAAGTAGTCCAGAAAATCTAGCCCTTTTGACCCCGTTGGGTAAAAGCATTTTCTGGTTTCAACGGCGAGACTTGGATGTCTGGTTATTTTTTGGTGTCATAGGTTTAATTTGGGTAAAAGTGGGCAACGCCATTCTCATGTTTCTGTACAGAAAAGTGTGTACTAGGAAAGCTGCCACGAACTCGCGCATTTCAAAAAAAGATAAATCTTCTTAATGAAAGTATTGGATATGACCGAATTATCAAAGCTGTAGCTTATAAAATGCTTCTATGCTAAATGTATTTATGCACCACTGAAATACAATGACGTCAGATGTTCAGCGTGTCGATATCGTGCAGGATGAAAGATCATTTTCATGCAACTGTAGAAAATATGCAATGCTAACCATGAATGTAAATTTGAAATAAATACAAGAATGCACAGGTTAATACAATTGAATGTCAAATTTATTTTACAAAAAAAATATCAAATGGTCATGTTACAAAATGCTTTTCATTATAAAATACAATATTCAAGTGTTATATATAATAATTATATAATAAATATTATACGTATTATCTAAGGCTAGACTACAAACTAAATACAACTAAAACACTGTGACGCGTCCTTTGTTGTCGAGGGTGGCGACGAGTCCTTTCTTCGGAAAGATTGCGAGGTCGGTTGGGAGTTTGAAGCGGATGTTGGCGTTGAGGGGATCGGTGATAATGGTGGTGATGGATCGGAGGAGGTCGCCATTGGGCGTGAAGACTCGGAGGACATCATTTCGCGTGTCGGCCACGATCAGGTTCCCAGCTTCGTCGACTGCAAGTCCGGATGGGCGATGGAGGATTCCGGGTGAGATGAAGGGCCGCAAGGTCACCTGTCCATCCTTGAGTCGAAGCTGGTGGACTTGCTGGAGGTTGAAGTCCGAGACGTAGAGCGTGTCCCCCGTCAGGTTGAAGGCCAGTCCACGGGGATAGTTGAAGACCAGCCGGTATTCCTTCCAGTTTCCTTTAGGTCCGGTTACTCGAAATTCCCGAAGATAGTTCCCAGCAGCATCGAAGAACTGGATTCGGTGGTTCCGGGTGTCAGCCACGGCGACTGTGGATCCATCCGGAGAGACGGCTATTCCCCAAGGCAATTGAAACTGTCCAGCTAATTCTCCTTTACTCCCAAAAGTGGACAGAAAAGCCCCATCCTTGGCGTCGAAGATCTGGATACGATGGTTGTCCTTGTCCGAGACGAAGATCCGATCCGAGTTGGCATCGTAGGCGAGGGCGGTGGGTCGGAAAAATTCTCCTGGTCCAGCTCCAAATTGTCCAACGACGAAGTCCAGAGTTCCATCCGGTTTGTAGACGATGAGATTGTGGTTGATTCGGTCGGCGATCCAGAGTTGCTCGGTCTTGGTGTTGTAGCAGAGTCCCCACGGGTTGCAAATGTCGGACGATGCTTTGTCTGGAAGTTCCCAGGTGAGGATGCTGGTCAGACGCTGGTAGTTCCTTGAGAACAGGATCTGCATTGGACAGCCTCGGATGGGGTGGATGGCGTTGTGGAAGATGTCGATGGTGTGAATTCCGGGGATGACGGATCGAAAGGTGTAAAGAATCCCATCTTCGGAAACCGCGGTGTTGTTGAGGATGGGAAGAGCGACGTTGTTGGGTCCCACGATGACGATAGCCAACCGTTCAAGGTCCTGCTGAGTAGCTGGTTTCTGGGCGGTGATCAGGAACATGGCGTCTTCCGAGGTCAGGAAGGACTGAAATGGCAGGACGAGGCTGATGTGCTCCAACAAGTTGTCAGGGGCTGAGTAGTCCAGAAAGCGGGCCAGATCTACGGCTATCTTTGAAATAGCAAGGTCGTCCAACGTCGGTGAAGAGGGGTTGCTCGTGTTATAGCCAGAATCCGGAGATGCATCTTCATCCTTGTTGGAACAGGCCGGAAGGTCCAGACGAGGCAATTCTTTGCGATCCTTTGACATCCTGGTAGCAAGGGTCCCAATTGGTAGTCTTCTAGGCAGCAGGAAGGTCCAGTCCACAAAGGCAAGGAGGTCCAGGCAGAGGAGGCAAGGTGAGATTCCGGGGAGTCCAGGCAGCAGGTCCAGTGAAGGTGTTGTCCGGTCGAGGTCCTCAAGAAGTGTGGATGCTGAGTGGGGTGGACGGAGCCCTTTTATTCTCCTCCTCTCACTCACTCGCAAGCACAAAACCCGACCTCTGCGACCCAATTCCGCGATCCAACCCCACTACCGGGCTCCGCGATCTGACGTCGCAGCTCAACGACGCGATCCAACCCCACCGTCAAACTCCAGCACCCAACCCCACGATCCAACTACGAAACTCAACCTAAATCCAGAAATGAACTCTGCGACCCAACTCTGTTACCTATTGAAAATTCTCACGCATTTTACGAACTATTTTTAATTCTCATTGAGTTTACTCATACGAGATGTAACATTACATACGCATACCAAACTTTTCAAAGTCAGCCCCTTCATCCATGCTATTTTTCTTATCTAGCTTTAATGAAAAAGAGCAAATAAGAAAAATCCCTCCCCATCATAATAAAATGAACAAGAAGACGAGCCACCAAACTCCAGACAAAATCGAGAGAGGACTCCCAGCCCAACGCTTTTGAAAATCGGATGATCTCCGGAAACAAAGCCTTTTCTGAGGATTCTGTTGCATGTTTCATTTTTAATAATCAAATCACATAGTTAATAAACAAAGCGTCAAGTCCAAACATTTTTATATGCAATCATCATTCTTTCAGTAATTATCGCAATAATTTTATTATATTTAATGATATTTAATGTGCATGCATTCTTTGAATTGGGGACAACTTTTTGATAATTTTCTATTTAATAAATTTCATTTTGACCCAGCATTTAGTAGATAAGCACAGTCGCATAACTGTTTTGAATGAAAACCCGAATGAAAAACTAAACTCTTCTTATCCTCCGTATGTTTGTATGAAACTGGAAAACGAGAGCGGTAGTACGACGCGGAGAAAAATATGTGCATGCAGGATAATATTGTGTAATGGGCGTGAAGAAATAGGGACGAAGAGAGTGGAAAGTAATTTTATGGGATATGTAGATACAAATAAAAGTGGGATGAAATCACGACGGGATTAATGCGATATGAATAAGTAAAGTAAGTTTCGTAGCGAGAGAAAGATGATGCGGTGGTGGCGTGGGGTTGGTTCTGGAGTAATCAGGAAAAGAAGAATGAAGGGTTGCATTTGGTTTTTCCATGTAATACGAGCATCTTACTTAAAAAGAGAGAAATCCCCAAGGAACCCTGATCTCGGGTAGCTAGCTCTCTCTCTCTCTCCTCCCAGAAAGAAGTACTTTGCAAAAATAAACTGGTAGGAGAGGGCATAATTTATGCATGAAATTTGTGGGATATTTACCGGTGACAAAAGTGATAGGTTTGCCAGCAAAGTGAGCGTGGAGGTGCCAAAGCTCAGAGAGAGCAACCGGATCGCATTTGTACCTTTCAACCAAAAAAGCGACATGATCTTAACCTCTGGCTCAATGAGTGGAGAAAGCATTAGTTACCCGGCCTGACTGACAAATGCGACTTGGGAGCAGATGTGGTCGGATTTGCGGTTAAGTGTCGGAGGCAATTGGTGATGTGTGATGGGGATGACATTCATATGTGCTCCTCATCACATCACACTTGCTACGTTGGGGGCTACAACAACCGAGGTTGTGGATCCGACAAGTCGTACGGACTTGTTCTTATTGTTCCGAAGAAGAGAATTAATGTCCTCCTCCCTCAGTTCGAGGACGGGTCGTCGTGGATGTTGTGTGGCGTAAATCCGGAGCCATTTAATCGGGTCGAGTGTGTGTGTGGACCACCACCACGGACCGACCTCATAAGTGCGGACGGTTGATGTGGGCCCAGGAGAGAGATAGAGAAACGTGGCGGAGGAGAGAGCTGTTGGGGTGGCGATTATCATGCATATATGTATGACGACGAAGAGGTAAAAAGAAGAAGAAGATGTGCATGCTCTTCTGTATTACTGCACCACACATTGTGCTACATGTGAAGAGAGAGAGAGGGATAATAAGAGCACAATGAGAGGGCGAGTGTATTGGATAAAAAGTAGTTTCGTGGTTGAAAGCCCTTTGACGTGGTGGTGAAGCCAGTTCCAATTTATGCGATAAATAATGATGCATGCAGCTCCATTTGAGGAAAGACCGTACATATTTACACAGGAAATGGAAATTATGATTTTCTCCGAGTGCCATTGACGCAGGAGCTCTAGTGTAAATAACCATTTTTCAAATTTTATCAATATAGCACAGATGGATTCTGAGTCGAGTCGTCGGGGAAGATAGTTTTTATGGGGCTATCAAGTTGGAGTTTTTAAAACGGAGGAAAACGACGACGACGAGGACGACGGCGAGGAGGACGCTTCTTGATAAGGAGGCCGGAGAATGGAGAGAGAGAGAGGTAATTCCATATGTCATATGCATTAATGTCAAGTATTGGGATTGGGAGCCAGATGGATGGATCCGACCAGGTTGGAACCTTTTGCCGTCCTCATCCCACGTCACTTCCGTATCAATATCCTTCCGTACATCCTATAAGCATACACCAACCACCACCACCCATCCACCCTGCCGCCGCAGTCGTCCAGATTAACATGCAAAGAATGCAGGATCTTCGGATTTTTATACTCTTTATCATATCAAAATACGAGAGGCTCAAAATTTCAAAAAGAAATCCAATATAGATTTACTCTGAATAAAACTCTATTTATCCCTCCAAAATGATATTGATGTGGAAATTCTCTACTAAATCCATCCACAATCTTCACATTTCTCCACCGCTTTCTCATTCCCTTTTTTCATGCTCACCATTCCACCACCTCCTCCTCCACCCTCTTCTTCTCGTATAATTGCCTTTCTCACAGTTCTCAAATCCTCTCCTCCCGTCCAACCCTGGCTCCTAATTTGACTAATTTTCTAAATTATTTATTTATTATGTTCATAATTAGCCCATGCTTATAAAAGTATGTACATACAGAAATCGTTCCTAGTGTAAATTGCGTTGCGGCCTTGTAAACAGACACCGAATTTCTGATTAGAAAATTGAAATCAATCCGCAGCTCTCATCCGTAATGGATGATGCGGTATGAAACGTCTTTGTAAGATTGATCTCGTTGATGACACTGCCGAATAAAATTGGTGAGGTGGTGGTGTGGTGGGTGATGACTTTTATCTTATCCAAAAGTACTCTCTGATGACAGAGAGCGTAAGTGAAAGCAGGGCAGATACGACGCGCGGCATAATGTGCTGATGGGAGAGAGAGATGCAGCTTGGAAGACGGAATTGCTCCCACCCAGCGAAGAGAGAGTGACATTTCTAGTGTGAATGACATTGAGGCAAAGTTATTATTGTAAAATCTATTGTGAGATTTGAACATAAAGGAGGAAGAAGAAGAAGAGGGATAGGCGGCACAACAGCAGAGTCACTCTCTGACAGAATAGCCGATACCATGATAAATTGAAATGAAAAGATATCGGGCGAATAAAGTTATGTGAATAATGATATCACTGTTGGTTGATGCGTCACATCATTGTTCAGTCGATTTGTAGAGGGATGGAATTAGGCAAAATTGAGATCGAGGCAACTCAAGATGAGACTTTGGTTGGTGATACGCTCCTCTCTCCTGCTCGCTCTTTTGCTGCCAGCCAAACTAAAAAAAAGTTGGGACACCGATGGAAAAGGTCGGGATGGGTCACACAACATGTCCAGGAACCCTGCAATTTCAGAATGCATGTAAATATTTCTTATTTGCACATCCAGAATTTACACTCGCCGAGCCATGATATCAATGCAACACTGTTTACTTATTATTTTCATGCAGTCCTCGCATGAAACCCCGCCTTCCTTGCACATAACCGAATTTGCATAACATAACTGTTTGTGGATCCGATGGAGCAAGTTTTTTAGCCCGAAGAGATATTATTAAGGGTGCACTTGGCTGAGGGTGGTGGTGGAGCAGCCGTGGCAGAAAGTAACGGTTGATGGATGTGATTCCGAAAGACTTGCTGTCAAAGAATGATTAATGTTGGAAATAGGATGTCCGTATTGTGCGAGGAGGACGAGAAGAGAAGAGCGGTTAGCTCACAAGCCTTTTAAAACAGCCAAATCCGCAAAATAATAAATGTGGAAAGTTTCTCCACCACCACGGCTTCCTCCTCCTTCTTCAAGTCAGTGTCGGTAGTTGGTGCATGGTGACTCTCCTTTCTCCTTATAATTTTAAGGCTTATTGTTTCAGAAGAAAATCAGATTCGTGTATATCTCCTCATCCTTTGCATTTCCTTTCTCTCCTCCTCTTCCTTCACGAACCTATCTTCAATCTTCTTTTTATTCTCCTCAAATTTGTCACTTTCTCTCTCTCTCACTCTCTCTCTCGCTCTCTCTCTAGAGCGACAATGGCTTTCTGTTTCTGCTTACGGTGCAGATATCCTCGGAGCCATGTCCTGCAGACACTGCACGACATGTACCAAGACCAAGGGCGAAGCAGAAACAAGTGAAGCAGCATCATTAATTTCTTACTTAAAAACTTTTATTGGAATCCATTATGGCCAATTAGGAAAATTTTCCCATCTACACTTCCCCCTTGTCTATCATCCTAATTTTTGTGTTTCCTTCTTCTGCTGCCTTTCTCCACGATGCTGTGTACGAGGAGGAGGAGGAGGAGATAAGTAAACATTAATGCACAAGTTACTTTCTTTCCAGCTTTATTGTCTTTCCTCGCCCATCTTTCCCCGCCGCAAACCCCATTTCATCATCATCCGAGGTTCGCCATAAACTAATTGCATCAAAGACCGAGAGAGAACACTTAATTTCTTTTTTTTATTTTGATCTCTGTTGAATGAACGCATCTGGGGTGTAGTAGATTTAAGCAATCATTTTTCTTTGGTTGGGGTTAAACAGCCAAAAACTTATGATGCCTCTCAGAT